TAACGACGGAATTGTTCCAATCGTTGTTACGGAAGGGTAAGTTAAATTATTTTGGGGTTTTGGTTTCGTTAACGAAATTAAGCGATATAGGAACGAATAACGTCTCTTGATATTAGTAGTGATTTGTGTTACCGACGTTTGAAGAAACTACGGGTCCCGACTTTAATTAGGTTGGTATNAACCCCCTACCTCTCTCTCTCTCTCTCTCTCGAAAGAGAGTATCGCTTGTCACGTGATACGCCACCCAGCAACTTTTTCCGTGAGAATATGCTTTTGTACGGAAAGTGGCCGACAGATCTTAATTTATAAGTTTCACAGGGATCGAGCACACCTTGGTATAAAGCTCCACTCTCAATTATCCCAGGTCCTTGCATGTTTATCATGGTGTAGCCGAGTCAGTTTGAATTTTATCACTGCTCACGCACTAGCCGCCGAAACGTATCACGTCACACGGAGCCCACCACAATACACATGTATTTACCCGCTGAATTAAGCGAAAGAAAACCATTCATTAACCCATCTCCGCCACACGTGATACAACGACAGCATCACATTTGGCAAGCACCGGACTTCAACACGCCAGAGTTCTAGCTTCCTTATGCTCATGACCCTCAGGTCAATGAGTGGTACCATTACACCACGGCTATTCCAGCAATGGTCAAACGATTCCCCAAAAATGTTCATAATAGCACAACGCTCTTAGTATACATACACGCTATTTACTTGAGAGTGCCATTATGTTTAACTCGCAGCTTATATGAGACTTAAAACACACGCAGATCCCAAGAGGATTCTAGTTTCGACCCTAGTGAAGTGCCACTGCTATGACGAGTGGTAGCAAGCAACGCAATGATACTCTTTCAAAGCCTTACTTTCGTAAAAAGACGTCTCCGAACAGCAAATTTCTCATTTCTAGCCCCATGTAGCCTCTTGAAAGGAGCGGAGTTTAGCCCTTTTTTAGCGCGAAATGTGCCCTTTACCATGGCCATTGACCATCTTATCAACACCCAACCATGGCTCAAAACTGTAAAACAGCTAATGTTTTATCACTTTCGTTGCGTCCGTCGTTTCACCACATTAATGTTAAAACTGTCATCTTCAAGCGCCATTTAGCTACCCACAAATCCCAAACTTGAACCTCAATTTCGATGGCACCTTAAGTCAGCTTCTATCGATCAGGAACGCCCTTCAGCAAAAACCGTAATCTCTGTCTTCATCGTGAAGCATTTAGAGCATTTGGCTCTCTTTCAATATGCCAATACAGGCTGTTTTCACAAGCGAAGTCAGAAGAAAATGCCTCTTTGGAGAAACTGCAACTACCTCAAAATTTTCTTCGAGCCCAGACGTATACTCTCAGGATTTTTTGGCTTTGAGCCGGCTAATTGGCTTATTGCTCGCTATTGTCATATACATCTTTCTACAAAGACTAGACTTAGAGCACTCCAGCACATGCGATAGAGAAAACTTGGTGTTCAGATCCGGTTTTTGGGCGCCTTTGGAATAAGACAGGTTTCAAGGCAGTACCTACAATTTCTTCATCACCTCTTTTATAGCGTAAATTCGTGAGTAAAGCGCCCAGTGGGTAGCCAAAATCTTCATATGCAAAAGCCATAAAACAGAGATTGCCCGTGTTGGTGATCGAATCTAAGAATTCTTGGCAACACAGCCTTTTCTTCCACCGCTAAGAATTAACGTCGAATTAGAACATCAATTGAGACGTCAAACTCTTCGGATGTGTGAATCAAAATGATCTGTCAATGACGTCGCTAAATATCTCTATACAGCGAATTAGTGCGAACTTTGGAACTACGATTCAGGACAGGACAACGCTGCACTAAAGTCATGGCTGAACCAAGAACAGCTGAGAATCCATGGGTTTTTTTTACTGGTAATGGCGATAACTGTTTTTAAGATTGCCAGTTTTGAGAATCTGTCTATAATGCAGGTCATTGGCGACAAGCAATGATTGTCACTGAGCTGGGGGACTAATGCGAACAGCTCTGAAAAACCACACTTTTCAGCAAATAGGTCTCGAGGAATAGAAATGGTATTTTCTTGGCAGTCTATAAACACTGCGCTTCGCCTGTCTTGATTTTGGATAGATCATCAATGACTAGCTATCTCACTCGGTGTCTCATTAGAGTCTTATTCATATCTTCCCATTCAAGGTTTCGGTAAGAAGAATATATAGAGAGAAATCCAAGATAAGCTAGCAATCATATTCAATTGTACGCAAACCAAACAAAAGCTAAGAACCTAAAACTTCTGTCCATATTTGACCATTCCTGTTGAGCTTATGGTGTGCCAGGTTGTGTGTCACTTTGTACTAATGTGTCACTTTGTTGACTTAGCTTTCATAATTACCATGACCAGAAGCGCGAGAGCAAGCAGTCCTAATTCAAGAAGCTGTAAGCTATTGATTTAGGTACTGTTACCCACTCTCTCATTCTTGTTCCAGTTTTCAGGTTGACTTGACTCAATTTAATATTCGCAAATAGTCGAAATAATGACTCTTTTGATCACAAATCTCATCGAATTCGAGCTGAATTGTATGGTTCAAGACCGTCGTCAGACTCGAGCTCTACACCTATTCCACTGCTTTGATACGTTGAGATTTAGAAGCCGATGACAGCTACTTACTTTTCACGTGACGTGAGTACTTTTCGCGAGTACTATGTAACTACTCACGAATATCGATATTCAAGCCATTTGACAATATATCAAGAAGATGTTTATGAACATCGACAGCCCATCGCGTCTCTAAAGCAGCTTCAGCTCTCCAGTCCTGCTTCGATGACTGATCGAACATTCAAACAGAATTCTCCATCTTTTACTCTACGCAGCGAGTCCCCCATGATGCGGGATTCGCTGGAACTGGGCCAAACCGGTAACGCTTTAACTTCAGTTGTTCCAGAGCCGATTCACGTCTCACGAGAACAATCCAGCGGAATAGCCACAAAGACCGGACTTAGTGCACTGCAGTATACATTGACGAGCCTGAGCGTTTTCCAGCAGATTCCCAGAAACTCTGCTCATGGTGTGGACGATTTAACACGTATGAAAATGGCTTTGATGAGTGGAATTCCAAACGAGGTCAATTGGGCGCTAAGGAAATACCTTTCTTATAGCAACAAAGCTCCTTACATGATCAGCCTGAAGTCAAACAAGTATCTTCTGCCACTTTTCACGAACATTTTGGTGAAAACAAGACCATTACTCAAAAAATTGGATATGCCGTTGAATCAGGAAATTGATGTCCCCGTCTTTCAGCAATGCCTCAATTCTATTCTCATTCTTAGAAATCTCGCCCAAGATGCTGAATCTACGCAGGTTCTCGCACTGAACTCCACTGTGAAAGAGTTCATTCTAGCCGTTTTACAAATGGCCAATGCAATCAAGGAAACTGAGTTTCTGGTTTACGCACATAACTCACAGTTCTTCAATGAGCTTATACATTACGTCATTGACCTCATGGAGGCCATCTCTTCGTACATTGCCCCAGCTAGAAAAGACGATCCATTTTTCCAGAATATGGTCTCTACTTTAACTGTTACCAAAGACAGGTACATGGTTATCTCAATCCTTCGATCGGTGTCAAGACTTTTGGTTCGGTCCAAAGCTGACGAAGAAAGTGCAGCTGACAATCTTCACGATAATACTCTCGACCAGATTGTTTCGTATTTGGTGGTCGATAACGACAGCGAGCTGGTAATGGCTTCACTAGACTTCTTGTATCAGTATGTTCTCCCGGGCAACGAAAGAATTACAACCCTGTTACAAAGTGATCACAGATTCGCTATTTTATCGGCCGTTTTACCAAAGTTGCTGACATACGGGGTACCGCTCCCAGATTATGCACAATATAATAAGATTGAGGTCAGACTGAAGCCTAGAGTCAGACCTCCAGCTCCAACCGAGCCTCCAAAATTAGAAAAAAGGCTGTTTTATGAAATTTTGGAGCTCAACGAGCCCATGAGATCAACGGCTTGGTTGAGATGCTGTTTCGAGCCAGTCCAGGAGTCTGAGGTAACTCAAATCAGTCTATGGAGGGGCTACGAATCGGAATTTTCGCAAGCGGTAAGAGATTCAGGAAGAAAGCTGCTTCCAGCCGTCGAGTTCATAAAAAATGTGTCGAATACTTTTGAGCACGCATCTGCTATGGTCATAACAGATGATACTACGGGAAAGAAAAGGTTCGTGATCAAGGGCATTCAACCGAGACCGTTTGCTGTGTCTATCGCTGCTGGCGATGCTGCTGCCAACTCCTCGGGCAACCGCATGGCTTTGTCGCTCAGAGATGAAGATGGAACAATCAAAGAAGCATCACAAACTGCTTTGCCGATTGTGAAATTTCCCTCCAGTCTATCAGAGGTTTCTAAAGCAAGTGCTACTTTCCTTTGCCTAATTTCCAATGACAATAAGGGTATCGGCTTTACCTTTTGCAAAACTGTCAAACCCATAATAATGCATCTACTAGCGGATGTGCCACCGCTTAACTCGGTTTTGGCGGAGTACATGGACAATATTCCCACCGTGTAATTTCCATTTCGTTGATCGAGTACAATGCATGGTGGCGGCGACGACACCTCACCTGCAATCAGATCATTAATTCATAAATTAGAGATAAATGCTTGGTATGTAGTAAAGGGATGTATCATTATGGTGGTTTTTCCACACTTGTAAAGTCGTCAGTGAACACACACGCGGTCAGGTCAAGGGTGAGAGGTCGAACTTAATTCGTGTCTCGATTCAGTTGCCTGCCGTCTGAGTTCGGTTTAGTCAGTCAGACTGTATAGTTTCCTGAGAACGGATTGAAATCCTTTGGCTTTCTCAGCATCCTCTACGTTGGACTCATCAATGTAAAAGTTTTCAATACCTCTGACGAGCCTGGATAACTGTTCTGGCTTGAAATGAAATTTCATATTGTTCGGCAGGTACAAGCACCTGGTATTGGGGTTGAGATATATTGTCTCAACGATGTTATTGAAAAGAGCGTCGATACTAGAACGATGAGCTTCAGAGTAAAAGCGAAGGAGTTTGAAAAGGTCGGCTTCAGAAACGTCAGGTAGCTTGAGAAAGGTCCTAAATCTGTAGTAATTGGTGAGCTTCTGTACGGCGATTGACCTATTGGAATCTTTTTCAAAATCAATAAATTGCATCGAATCATGTAAGTTGTTGAGCATCTGTTCACTAATCTCCAAATTTACAGCCTGCTTTGTCGTCGTTTCTAATGTGCTGTTTTGGTCGCACATCAGCTCCTGGTAGAGGGCTACCATTCCTGCGAAGGTTTTTTGTGTGGAAAGCATATTAGCTAGCTGCAAAGTATTCTCAACTTCGTCATATTGAACAACAGGCGTCGTGAAACTTTTGAGGAAAAGTGCGAAGGAAAGCAAATCATTAGATTTGTGTTCACTTTTAGCATCTGCAGATCTGAGCACTTTAATTGCCTCATCGACTTCTTTGTTGCCCAGTAAAAACTCTGCTTGTATATTGCACTTTTCCGGTCCAAGACGACCTTGGAACCTGCTCCAGAGCAATTCGTATTGCGCAATGTCTCCAGAACGTATGCAAGACTTCAACAACAAAGTGATGTCCAAAACAGGACAAATTTTGTTGAGCCTTATAATTTCAGAGTAACGTTTGCTCCTAAATAGCTCCTCATAGACGTAACTCACAGAGTTCTTGTGTTCTGCTTGTTCTGCAATTCCTTGGAATTTTTCGGGAAAGTTCACATTGTCAATGAATGTTTGAACATCACCCGCATTTCTTGCAAGACGAAGGCACGAATCGTCCTTCAAATACGGCAGAATTTCAGTTTGGAACAAGGGATGTCTTAGAACCCTAGCCTCAAGATCCCTGCTCGTAGTCTTCACTACCAACGAATTAGTAATGTAGCCCATTTCTTTCTCGTCGGGGCAAAGGTTGAGACAGTTAGTGACCGTATCCGCATCGTTCACATTGCGAGTAACAAGTTGTTTGTAAGTGTCGTAGTCGAAACGAAAGCCTTCTGAGCGCAACCTTTCATAGGCTTTACGTCCTGTGGGAAGTGAGTTCCTGATCATTGACCCTAAACAAAGCGGATATGATTTGTCCCAATCACCGGGATGAGCAAAATAATCCACGACTCCTTCGGGCATGCTGATCATTTTGGCTGCCTGTATCGACGTCCCCACTACGTCATTAGGGTCAAGGGACAATCGCTGATAGTTGAGCATTAGTTTTTCAAATCTTGTCGTTAAGCGATCTTTGAACTGGAGCATGAACTCGTTTTCCATAACGGCGTAATAGCTCTCAGGATCGTATAATTTGCAGATCATTATTCCATGTAGTTTGATGTTATAGCTGTACTTTTCAATAGTTTGAGGGCGACCCCACAAGCTTTGAAAGCATGCGATCAAACCACTATAGTTAATTTGACTGTTCGATACATTGAATCTTTCACAGCAGTCCAAAAAGAAACTCGAGTCGGCGACTTTGCCTAAAATTACTTGAGATTGGTAGGCGTCTATCAACCCATTCAAAAAGTTGAACTTTTCTTTGGTCTTGTTCAAGAGTTCGCCATGGCAATTGATGAATCGAGTCAAATAATCCTCAGGACATCGAATGTCCTTTAGAAACTGGAATATGAAGGGATATACCCCAGAATCGAACGCGTACTTCTTTACAACGGATTCTTCGAGTATCTTCATTACAACCTCTGTATCCTTCAACTGTAGAGCATAATCCAAGAAAGAGCTCAAAGTCGTTTCAGAGCCAGATAAACTCAATAGATGATCACTGAAACTGTGCGGTTTTGCTTTCACATTAGGAAGCATAGGAAAAGAGTAGTCATATATCTTTTTCGCAAGCTCCCAGTTCCCCATGCTATTGGACAGCAAAGTCAAGTAGAAGCTGTATGAAAATTCTGGCACCCAGCGAAGTTTTTTGAACTCAAACCATAAAGTGTACGCTTTCTGACAGTCCAGCTTGCTTACTGATATCAAAAAATGCGAAAGTATCAACGACACGTTGGATGCTAGTCCAACCTTTTCTTTCGCGTCGGTCAAAACACTGTCCAGCAATTTAATCGCTAGGGCCATATCTCCGGTCTCAACCAATGCTGGCAAAACGGCACTGTAGACTTCATATTGATGCCGCAGCAGATGCGAATCCGATGCACACAAGCTTCTGAAGTCCTCATATAAGCTCTTGACGGCAGCATTATCATTAATTTTTTTGGCGTAAGTAACAAGGGCCACATAGTAGAAAGAGTCCTTGTAGTATAATTGGGAGTTTTGTAGAGTGTTTTTGACGTAGTCAAGTTTGACATAGCCGGGATAGAGATTCATTGCCAGAATTGAACAGTCTAAAACCTCTTTTGAAAATTGATGCGAAATGTGGGTAGTCGAGGCCTGCAGCAGATCAACCGCGATCTTATAGAAATCAAGCCCATTCGCGTTGCCCAGTTCATATGCTGTGATAGACCCTTTCAGTAGGCTACCTATCACCGCATTGTATATTTCCTCAGTGGGTTTCATTTTATTGTCAATGAGACTTTGGTAACAATTCAGCAGCTGAAACATGCGATTGTCCACATTGTCATTATCCAATTCTCTATCGCACACAGATTTTATCACCAAAGCATACAATTCAATTGGCGGAATGATGTTATTTCGCAGAAGGGACTGAAATGATGCGTTTATGCTGTTGTAATCTTGTTGTCCAAAGGATTTCTTGATGTAGTTAGTTTGTGTTTGAAGAAAAGTAGTCGGATTGAGACACTCTTCATTGTCTGGTTCCCATGCTGGAATCGAGGTATCCAAGCGAGTGTCGTTATTCATTAAAGTCTCAATTTCATCACTCTCGGCTGATTGCTGCTGTGTATCTGAAATTTTTGAATCTGAAGGCACGGCATTGAGCTCGGCCGCATCCTTTGGAATCGAACTTATGGTATTAGGAATTTTTTGACCTGGACGCTCTACAGAGCTGGTCGAAAAGTAGCTCTTGGATAGTCTCTCATTTATTTCAAGCTGCGTGTGTCTTGGGTAGCGGGCATAGTTTTCATTGTGCTGTCGAGATCGGAATCGCTCCAAGGACTGGGCAGTTGAAATACTAGAAGAAGCGGTTGCAGCTCCTAAGCTTTTTCTGCGGGGTCCATTGGTATGTCCTGTTCGGTTTTCAAAAGCTCCCTCATCCAGACTTCTGCGTGTTTGCAACGGAGTTCCTTCGCAAGCCTCGGGATCCAGTGCAAGTTCCACATTATTGTAGTTAACGTTGGCGACCACAACCGGGTTTGGAGTCACCGCCACACTGTCCGAAGAAGGAATGCAACTGTCTTGGCTTACAAGGCCCTGATTTCGGCGCAGATACTGATAAGAGCTTTCAAAAAACGCCGTTGACTGCTTCTGTGCGGAAGAGTGATAGCTCTTGGAGTAGAGCTTGCACTTGAATGACTTAAATACCATCCTGTTTTGATTCTAGACCGTGAGGGCACTTCCGGCCATTCAAATTGAGAGAAAGTGACGGCCACACGTCGAGTAAAATACTCTGAAAATTTCACCTACTCGAATCTGATTCTGCAAATAGCTCTAGTTAAAGAGAGCAAGCCAAAAGACCAAAGACTGAGTACTTCAGTCTGTTTCTTGCGCTGACTTAGAGGTGGATACAGCGAAGAGTCAATTATTCTATCTGATTTTCCAGTTTTCAATCTTAGTCGCGCTGTACGAGAAAAGTAGGATCAATAAAAAAAAAATGATTTATATTGTAGCATTTGATACGAAGAAAATGTATTGGTCTATTAGATGCTAGATCACGTGCAAAAATTCAAGAACGGTCTGTGGTGACAAGAATTAACTGTCATCAGTTTTCTGACATGCTCCAGCGGACCGAACTGGGTTGCACACGGCACGTCTTTGTGTGGCCTCCTGTTTCACTTTTATAGCTTCACAATAAAACATATCTTCGCACAGCGGAAAAATATCGATCGCAAGGTCGAAGCGACATCTGGATGATACCGTCTTAAATGGTTAGCATTGTTTAGCGAAGCAACTCTTTGCCGTGCGGTCGTGTGGCACAGTTCTGAAAGCTCTGGGTACTTTCATGGTGTCACAGCGTATTCTCTTCTGAATTTGTCGTCCACTTTGGTCAAATAGTAAACTCCAGATTGCAAATGGTCGATAGGACCCTTTGGTTCGAAATCTTTTTGGAGATGAGCGCCCTCTCTAAGGTGAATGGCTTTTTCGTAACCCTCTGGGGACTCCGTGACTCTCGATTGCAACTTTTTGTCCAAGCTCAAAACATCGGTGATGTATTTGATGTCGCCAACGACACGGCACGAGAAAATTGAGGAAGCGAGCCCTGAACCGTACGAGTAGAGACCAATACGCTTGTTTTGTAGAGCATCAGAGCCGACGTAAAAGAGCAAGGATGCAAGGGCTGCGTACAAGGAGCCAGTGTACATGTTACCGGTGTTGGTTGGCACGATCAAAGAAGGCGCAACTTTTTCCTTATGCAAAGTCTTGGCGAGACCCACAAATGTTTTTTCGAGGTTTTTGTCGGTCAAGCTTGTAGCGTAGTCGAGAGAAGCAAGAGAAGCATCCACCTCAGGATACAAAGAAGGGTTGGCTCTGAAATCGTTGTAGAGCAATCTGGCGTACGACTTGGCGACCAACTTGCAAGTAGGAACGTGGAAAACGTTGTAGTCGAAGAAGTTCGCGGCCCCAACGGCATCTTGGCCGGCTGGCTGCTCGACAAGACCCCTTGCGATGGCCTTTTGGGAGTAAAACTTGTAACTCTTGTCAAGCGCACTCACGTAGCATCTTAGAGAGAAATGGCCGTCAACGTAGGGGTATTCACTCGTGAAATCTGGCTTGTAGAAGTCGTAGGCATGTTCCATGTGTGTACCTCTAGCGGAGTCAAACACGATTGGAGCATCGGGCCCGATCAGTAGCGCTACAGTTCCGGCTCCACCAGTAGGTCTTGCAGCTCCCTTGTCGTAGATAGCGATATCACCGCACACCACAACGGCGTCACGACCGTCCCAGGAGGACGATTCGATCCACGACAAACTGTTGAAAAGCGCGCTGGTACCACCGTAGCATGCGTTGACCGTATCAATACCCTCCAGATCGGTATTTTCACCGAAAAGCTGCATCAAAACGGACTTGACGGATTTCGACTTATCTAGCAAAGTTTCGGTACCAACTTCGAGTCTACCGATAGAGTTGGTGTCCACGTTGTAATTTTTTAACAGTCTTGATAGCACTGTCAAGCTCATCGAGTAGATATCCTCTCTGTCGTTGACAAACGACATGTTGGTCTGACCAAGCCCAATGGTGTATTTGCCTTGGGAGACGCCGTCAAACTTCTCTAAACCCTGCTGGTTCACGCATTGCGAGGGAATGTACACCTCAATGGCCTTGATACCGACATTCTGAGGTCTTGGAGGCTGGTCAGTGGTCTTTTGCTTCTTTAGCTGGTTTTGTTCTGTCATTATCGATCGCTATAGCTGAATGTATAATTTAAATGAATGGTAAATCGAAATTTGGTTAAAAAAAGCTCAAAAGTAGCTATTTTGATCCCGTTTTTTTTGCTCAATTACCTTCGATGCAGTTCCCTGTGCTTTCTACAATACTTGTAGTGTGAAAATCGCTTATATGTGACGATTTCTGGCCCCTTGGTTAACAACCTTGGGTAAAGAAAGAGTGTAAGATGAGTTCTTGAAATTAAATGTTTTTTCTGCAGCGCTGCGCCGGCAGAAAAAATTGTTGAACGACACGTCTGCAACGCCTTAAACGACCGGCAGCAGAGCTCAGGGAAACGAAACTTTAAATATTTGAAATGAAATTAAGAATATATCGGTTTTGTGCGAACAAAGAGACGGCATTGGTCGAGATTTCGAGGTTTGCGAAACTTGACGTAATTTACGATTTTGTTGAGACTAGGATGCGAATCTTGGCCTTAGAACCTTAGGGGTTCTAGCCAGTGATTTTGAAACTACTCTTGAGGATACTAATAGAAAATCTGTAGAGTTTATGTATCTTGTCCTGGCTACCACCTGCTCTCTTGTATCTTACGGTAGTTAATGGTCTTCTTGACCTTACGGTCTAGATAGCTGGTGATTATTATTTGCAATATCTCTTTGTACGGGTTCAACGTCTTTTCAAAAGCATCGTTTAGAAGAGGATTTCCCGGCTTGTTTGAACCGTCGAACTTTGAGGTATTTAACGAGTGTGTTGTGTATACGAGACAAAGGTTTGGGTTTTCTTTTTTGTTTATTGTTCAGTTAGGGCTCTTGATGACAGTGGTTTTCTTGAATGGTATAATTATCTTACAAAACTTAAATTTCAGTGTGTATTGTGTGAAGCCAGAAATTAGGTCCTGAAAATAACATAGGTAGACATTTGAAACCTTGCGACCATGCCCAAAACGGATCATGTTTGGTTTAAGAAGGTGTATGTTCTTTCTGTGTTTGGTTATCTTTCAGAAACAGGTCTCTTGGCCCAGTTGGTTAAGGCACCGTGCTAATAACGCGGGGATCAGCGGTTCGATCCCGCTAGAGACCATTTTCTTTTTTGCTTCAAAAGCTATTTGCGCTAAACAGAAATTCAAAGGCAATTACTACCACTCCCGCTGGTCAAATGTTCACTATTCAAAAAATCTAGTTGGAAACTTGCTATCTATGCATACAAAACGCATCAAGGTGTTGCCTCGAGAACCACTACATGCGAAATCTTTAAAAAATGTCAGGTAAGCCCTCGAATTTCTTGTCCTTCCTCACCTGCCAATATTCGCCATTGAACTGCCAAAAGCTCTTCTTCGTAATAGGGTGCTGCACCTGTTTGAACCATTTAGGGACATGGTCCTGGTTCGCCTTCTCCAGTCTCTTTCTGGCTGCCCTCTGTTTTTGCTCTACACGATCTTTTTCCTTCGCAGCATCGTCGTACCTTCCTTCTTCCATCGCTCTTTGGTCAGGTCTCAGACGAGTGTCTGTGGAAGGAATCCATTTCAAAAGCTTGGGCTGTGGTGCATTTAGAGATGCAGCGAATTGTGTCAGGTTGAAAGGAAAATCAGGTCTGTCATGCACATGCCAGATCAAAAACTTATTTCCATCACGGTTTGGATCGTTCTTGGAGCCTGTAGAGCCCTTTGCCTTGTCCAGTTGCATCTCTTCAGAAGAGTTGGGTTTCAAAACTTTCTTGGCATAGAGCGACTCGTTCCAGTGGCCGCCAAAAATCCATTCCTTACCACCATCCTTGTTATACACTTCACCTTTTACCTCGTACGCGTTGGACGATCTCCAGCCACGGGCCTTGAAATGTATCATGCAGCGGTCTCCGGTTTTGTGGTTGACAATCTCCACGTCGCCGTGGTTGTCCACTTGTGGGTTTCCAACTAGAATACCTACCACTGTATTGTTGGGTTTCTTCCAAGTGTACAGTTCCTCCTCTGGTTCGGAGTCTGGTCTCATTTTGAGGTACCATAAGCCCAAATGCTCCACCTCAAATGATCTACCATTGAAATTTGAGTCTACCCTGGATTCACCCCAAAAATCCCACTTAGCAGATTCAGACCACGTCGCTGAAATGGGTGGATGGTGGGATACTTGCTCTGTGAAAAATCTAAAATGCTCATCAGGTCTTGAGTATTCATAAGTCTCTCCTAAAATCGGATTGAAGGGTTTCGCCACTCTTTTGGTGGTCGAAGAATAGGACGAAATGGAGAAGGCAGCAACGTAAAGTAGTCTCAAAGTCGAGTCCTCATAGCTGGCACCTTCCGTCAAAAGATCGGAATATTCCAAATCTTCAGCAACTCTCTGCAGCAAAGAAGTGGGCTCATTGAAGGTGACTGGAAGGGACATACGTGTCATATCTTTACCAATCATTGATTTCAAAACAGACCATAGACTAATTTTTGGACGGTCGTCTTTACTCAAAGCCAGTCTCGTTCTCAAACCGTCTTCATACCCCAGATACGAACCTTGCTGATTCAGCAGTTCTTCTTTCTCTTTTTGAGGTGGAGTGTATGTACTGTGAAGAGGTTTTTCCTGGCCCTGAGCAGAAAGGGAGTTGGTGGTAGCTGCGGGTTGTTTCGCAACGTTTTCATAAGATTGCGTGGCGGCAGCAGTGTCTGGAACTGACTGTTCGGTAAGACCCGAGTGCACGACGTTCTGTTCGAAATCAGAGGAAACTCCCTTGGATTTACTCGACTCACCGGTGCCGGCAGAGCCACCTTCCGTTATTTGACTTTCAGACACACCGCTTTCTCCCGACGCTTTCGCTTGAGCAGGTGGTCTCTCCTTTTCAGTAGGAGTTTTTTCGTCAGAATTATTTTCCGCGACAGGCGTTTGCGTTTTTTCTTTAGACGACTCATTGTCCTCGGCATCAAAAAATTCATCAATATCCGAGTCATCGTCCGCTTCCTTATTTGAGTTCATGAATTCGGCAATTTCCTCCAAAGGTCTACTGTTTTCACTATCGCCTTGATTTACGCCATCAGTAGCTTGTCCCTCTTTAACTGTGTCGTTGGCGCTCGTCCCGGCATCAGATAATTCCATCAATTTCTTCTGAAGAAGCTTTTTGAGATTTTTCCTTTCAGTATCGAGAGAAGAGAGACGCTCAGATTTGTCGATAAGTTCAAGTTCAAGTTCTTTGACAGACTTAATCCATAACTGATTGACATCGTGCTGTTTTTGTAAAAGTTTCAAGAGCTTTCTATCCCTTACGGACGACAAAGTACTGTACGATTCAAAATTTTTGGACAAGGAATTCAGAGACTTTCTTATCATGCTGATCTCATCCGCATCCGGAGCTTTATTATCGAGGAGTTCAGTAAGCGAACTCAACTCAATAGTGATTGATCTCTGGATCATGGAGACTTCTTGGTAGTGAGGCCCATACTCAATTTTCACATCCTCGTCTTCAAAGTCTTCAGTGACCTCGTCTCTCAAATAGTCTGGATCGCTATCACCATCATCTTTACCTTCTGCTTTATCGCGAATGGACTTAGAAGTCGTTGACTTGCTGTCTTCATCGTTGACACAAGCGTCTAGAGACGTTCTTCCGGACTTTACTTTTGTGACGTACTCTCTGCCCCTGTTCGTAAGGTTTTCGTTCAGCTCCGCCTCCCCAGACGACATCGAGGAGATTGAGCTTATCGAGTGCTGGGATTGATGAGGGCGCTGCCGACGTCCTGTGGAGGAATGAAAACTGTTAACGCTCGGGGTGCGCAAGTGATGAGAAGTTTCCTTTGCCTTAGATTCAGGCCTCGAAGGACCTTGGGGTTCATTGTTCCCACCGTTCCTTGTGGTTCTTTCACGATCTTTAGCAAAACGAATGGCGCCCTGGACTGCCCACACCCACCTATTGGTCTCTACAGGATGGTTCCCCTTCAAGTGCCATCTCACTGTACCGTTAAAGCCGCCAATGATTTCAAATTTGAGCTTTTCAGAAGAGTCCAAATGCAAATAGCAGGTGGACATATTTAGCGACCCACGACATGCATTCTTTGTGTCGTCTTGGTCTTTATAGTACGAAAGCGTTCCGTCTGGGCTGAGAACGAACCACCGTAGTCGATAACCTTGAGCGAAATTGGTCCACTTGCGAAGGTAGCCCTTATAAGTAGGCGGTTCATTTAAGCTGTTGGCGACTTCAATTACGCTCTGCTCACGAGCAGCCTTCTCTAATATGCGCTTCAGCTGTTGTTCAGGAGTCAATTTGACATTGGGGGACTCGTTTACTGGTGGAACTTTGCCTAAGAGGTCTAGGGGAAGTTTTCCTCTGCGATCTCTTTTAAAAGGGTCTCCACCATGGCTCAAGATCCATTGGCACATTACCACATCTCTTTTTTTCACGAATTCGTGCAGCACCGTATCTCCAGTTTGTGGATCTGTGCCATTGATGTCCAAAAGCTCGGAGTTTCGGGGCTTTGCTAAGATGGCGTCCAGATGTTCACGGTCCCGGTTCACAAAAGCTCTCCTAAATTCTTGTGCTACTTCCCCCAAATATTCTGAGCGCTTCAATTGCATCATCTGAGCAATGTTAAGGTTTTTACACATCTCGATAGGCTGCAAATTTGCGTGGTTCAGAATACAGTCGTTAATGTCAGGTTGATCCAGCAAAAGGGACACCACATCTCCTCGCGATTGATACGCAGCCAAATGGAGTGCCGTATTTCCATCAGGGTCATCCTGGTTAATATCTAGCTTGATTTCCTCATCTGTCAGCCAATGTGCCAATATATCTTTGATCAATGGTAAAGGAGCAACTTGAACGGCATAGTGCAAAATCAATTGTGCAACTTCTCTAACACTAACATCGTCTCTTGGGCGGAAGAAAGTTTTCACTAAACTATCCAAAGCCGCAAAATCACCTTCGCGCAAAGATTCCAGAAGTTTGAGTTTCAGCAGCGGTTTGCTCACAGGATGGTCTGCCATGTTGGAACCCCACTTTTACGAGTGAACTCAAACCTGATCTTTCTAAATCGTTTCGAGACCAAAATTGACGCAGAAAAAGAGCAGCAAAGCCAAAACTATGTGTCAATTTCAAAGAGAGCACAAACAGAAGACGTAAGCTTGGACAATGCTTCAGATTGAACTGATTATCTGGATATTGCTTGGGCCCTCGAGTTCTTATACCTCACTCCCCAAATTTCAGATAATTAATTGCTGTGGAGGGATCGTTCTGGACGAGTACTTTATAAGACATCAAATATAGAGTAAAAGACACACGTGACGGAAATGGGAGCTGGTTGTCATAGGTGTGTGAGCTAACAGAAAGATGGCATCGCAAGTAATTGTCTGACATCTTCAAAGATTCAGCTTCTTTACATTATCGAACATCTCCAGACTCTGAACTTCGTAACTTAGACTGGGCTACAATTGTTTTCATGCTATCGCTGCGCGTGTCATGACTTGCATTGTTTTCTCAATCCGATTCGCTTGAAAAGCTATTGTCTATAGACTTGTTGAATGTCGTCCAAAAACCGCCTTAGTAGCACGACCAGTCTGGTAGTTTGCCTATGTTTGGACGATACCACAAAAGTCATGCTCTTGTCCCTGATAATGTAGCCAATCCCAAATCCATTAGCACATACAGGCCCAAAACCAAATGCTTGCAAGCTCGGGTTGCCGCAATTCGATGTGCTGATGACGCTCGTGTTAAGCAAGGTCCAACCCTCGTCCTGGAAAATTGCTGGCTTGGGCATGGACTTCTGAAATCGTTCCTTCCAGATGCAAAACAACGCATATAAATGCCGATCCTGTCCCATCCCAGCTGCACACTCTCGTGTCACAGAAGAGTGCTTCTCGCAAGCAGCCTGAAAATGTTTCTTCAGGCGCAATGCAGGGACATCCCGACCATTGAAGGCCTCAACAAATTGTTTCGATTCCTCAGAAACGCTTCTGATGGCTTCTGTTCGTCCGTTTTGAAACTTCTTGGTCATAGCAGGTTCATAGGTCACCTCAAATTTTCCATAAAGCGCATGGAAGGCAGCCTGCAAAGCCATCTGCACAAACGCATCGGGCGAAACCTTAAACATAGACTTTATTTTCCCTGAACCGTAGTCTGAGAAATCGAGTCTAGCAAACTCAAATTGTGAAAGAAGATCAGACAGCCGGGTCTCTGCAAAATGCAATGATGATAAAAGGTAATTATCAGTCTCCCATTCTAATTTTCGAGGAACAGTAACACTGAGGTCACTTTCACTCTTGCTGGAAGCTGCGGAACGACTTGATTTTGGTCTTGTGATACTATGGGCAAATAACAAGATGGACTCTGTAAAAATATGAGTTGCTAGTCGCAACACTGTGTGTCCGTCGACTCCGGTGTGCTCAAAATTAATACCAGCTTTCCCATTTCGGGTGACAATCAACTGCAGCTTGTCATACCATCTATTGAGACATGTACCGTGCTGTACTCCCGTGGCAGATTTATAGTCGACATTGCCGGAAGTTTCGTCCAGCTTAACATCAGAGGTACCACATAGCATTTCCTGAACTAAGTCTTCAGGTTTTTCGACTATTACGTTGTCCAGACACAGGGCAAACAGGGCACTATCAATGATCTGCAGATTTTTCGTATTGGTAGAGTTTGGTGACTTCATGATGTAGTTTCTGACGTTGGCCCACACAGAGCGGTTTTCTGTTGTGAACACACCCCACGGATAGTGGCGCTCGGAGCCTTCATTCCCATTTCTCTCTGCATCCTTAACAATGGCATACAAGACACGCTCCAATTCTTGCGGAGCGAAGATCGGGTTGTGCTGGTCATCCAGTACATCAAACCAATAGAATTGGTAGCCACATATGACAGTCATATGTTTGGAGTCCACGCTAGTCTGCAGTCGACAAGAACGGCCTGCGCTCTCAGGTGGAATGCGCGCGGAACCAAAAAGCACATCATACTGGTCCATGGACAGCGGGGCTCCACGCACAGTATCCGCTTTCAGTGTCCCGCACCGTATTTCTTTGATAAACGAGATGGTAGAGAGTACTAGTCTGGCAGATCTGCGAACAAGTCGCGACAAATCTCCATAAGGGCCGGTTTGGCCCAATTGACGTAGCGTCGGGTCATCTTGGAGCTCGAAATACGGATTCACGTTGAGCACTACAGACTCATCAAACTGCAGGTACGCATCGTACCAGAATTTTTCGATATAGGAGGAGTTGGGATTTTCAAGTTGAAGTTCCTGGTCGTAATGCAGTAATTCTTGATTCAGATGTGACAGAAAACGAACGTTATCGTCGTTCAAAACTGCGGCTTTTGTTTTGGAATGCTGTTCAGAGCTTTGCAAAGGATACAAGCGGTCCAAATATCGTTTCAGACTATCTTCGAGGGTCGGTATTGGCAATCTGGGAAGCGTTGTAACCTTTATATGGTCCGAAAGTTGGGTGGTCGAGAGGGTAGGCATTCTCGTTTTCCGTAAAGACGAGAATAGAAGCTGGTAAGTTCACCAACTGTTAGTGGCTATTTCAAACTCGGTACTTCCTTTGGAAAGATATCATGGCATGGCCTTTATATCGTGCCCAAACGGTCGCAGCGGTTGACTCCCATTAGGCCCTTATCCAGGTCATCAATGAGCTGATGCTCTGATATGTTGTACCTGTGAGCATCTAGTACTCGAGTACAAAAGTACTCGTAAAAACGTGGATGTGGACTCCGAAGTAGCATGAAGCACACACTGAGGGTTTAATAGGCCAGATCAGATGTGTGCCAGTTATCAGTAGCATTCTAAAGCCGGGATCACGAATTTATCTGGTATGCTATCTCTCCGCGTGTTGAGGCATTTCAATCGCTGCTTTTCAGGTCAACTTTCCACCGTTTACAGTCCTCGTGCTCATTTCTCTGAAGGGCCGTGCATTGTAGTTTATCCGCATCTTCAGTGGCAATAAACCCTGTTGAGTTAGCTTGTACACTGTCAACTGCGAACTATCAAGTTCGGACTTGATTCTTGACACTTACTTTACCGCAGCTCGTCTTGGAGCAAAGTCAGAACATAACGACACTTCAATAATGCTTGTGACTGTGCTTGATATGCAATTGTGGCATTATTAACAACCCAAGGACTACTCAGATCCCAATGAGAAGCTCCACAGACCATGACCCCGAGATAACGCTATCGGGGAAATTAAAAGTCAAACGACGCTCACAAATAGTACAGCATAGCAACTAGAGGAGGGTTCACCGTAACCGATTGTCTTCAAACGCTCTAGTTTCCATTTCTAAACCTGCTTTGAAGACGTGTTCTTGTTGATACTTGAAATAGTAGCTGTATACTCATCAATATATATATATATATATATATATTTAAGTCTTTCGAACACCTGAGTGAAACTGGTGCAAGAAAGCGACCCATAGAAACGATAAATCTAGCAGACTTCAATTGCGCCACTGTCTACAAACCTAAGCCACTATACACGTCACTGGACATACACAAATCGCACAGTCTCGTTTTCTTGTTTCTCTCTATCTGTGCAAAGCGACATCTCATCACTTCAATTAGCCGCTAGTTATATATTGTATATTTATATTTATATTACAAGAAAAACAACAAAAAACGATAAACAACGAGCGAAAAGAACCACAGAAACAAACAGATAAGGTTCTTTTGGATTCCTCTGCTCTCGAAATGTATATAAATCCCATTAAACTTCACTATTCAGACCGCCGACAAGTGTTTATCATATAGCTTTTCTTTCAGCCCAGAATTTTGAAATCTCATCTATAATGCTGCCGTACAGAACGACGCAAGGGCCCAATACCTTTAAATCTAAAATATCAATAGCACAAGAATGGATGTGCCACCTTTTTGCCAGCTAGACCAGTTGTTACTCCTTCACGTTACCATCCATTCTTTTAGTCTACGTTGCGAGATATGGCCACCAGGGTGAATCTCACGCCAGCCCAGAAACATTCGTCCTCGTCAGGAAACAACCACCATTATGCCCTAAAGCAGGTAATAGGAAAGGGAGCCTATGGGATCGTCTACAGGGCAGTCAACCGGCAGACTGCTAAACAAGTGGCTATCAAAGTAATCGAGTATGACGAAGAAGAAGAGCTCAACGAGCACATGCTGGAAATTGATCTGCTGAAAAACTTGAAGCACGAAAATATCGTCAAGTACCATGGATTCATCCAAAAATCGCACCAATTGTTCATTTTGCTCGAATACTGCAGCCAGGGATCTCTAAGAGACCTGATCAAAAGAGGCTCCGTGGACGAACATGACTGCAGGGCTTACATCAAACAGACACTGCGCGGACTGCGATATCTGCACGAACAAGGTGTCATTCATAGAGATATAAAGGCAGCAAATCTGCTGCTGGACGACCACAATGTGGTCAAATTGGCCGATTTTGGTGTCTCAACAAGAGTCAGCACGCTGGCCATGACTTATGCAGGGTCCCCGAACTGGATGGCACCTGAGGTCATGATGGGCCAAGGAGCAACCACGGTCAGCGATATCTGGTCTCTGGGGGCCACCGTTGTCGAAATTTTAACCGGAAACCCGCCATTTCACAACCTTGTCAACGAAGCTGCATGCTACGCCATAGTACACGATGTGTACTTGCCGCCCAAATCCCTGTCTTCCGTCTGTCGCAAGTTTATTCGCGCCTGTTTCCAGAAAAACGTGTTTCAGCGACCTACCGCGCAAGACTTGCTCAATCATCAATGGATGAATGAGCCCCATAAACCGTCGCTGGAAAAATTTCGAGAGGGCGAGGAATCCTCCGAAGATTGGCGCCACGACTTCATTGAAGTAGAGGTTTCTCCTTTCAAAGAAAATGACGTTTCCGACCCTCAACAAAACCTTAATCGTTTACGGCAGCCAGGCGGGCACTTTAACCCGTATCTGATTTTCAATGAGTGTGACATTTGCAGCATCACATCGTGCTTGATAGAACTATGCCAGCGTGGAGAGCTGAAAAATGTGGAAGAAATGTTGACCTATGATGCGCAGTACAGAGGTGGCGAGTGCAAAAATATGTTCATCTTACTTGGCGGCATACCTGCGCTGCTGCAAAACTTAGGGCCAGCAGAAACGGTATTGGGTCACTTTTTCATTACCGATGCCAAAGAGCTTATTAAATGCGGCATACTATCGCAATGCGGTTTCATCAAACATGTGCATTTGATGCTTGCTGTCACATCGGCTTATGGCACAATTGTTGATTTTGAAACATGGAGTAAATGGTGCCGTAAATTGCCGAACATCGAGGAAACTATAGTGAAAGGGCTAGAAGCAAACGATAAATTAGCTCACGATACATTATTGGGTTTATCTGCTTCTAAGCATTTCTACATCAGTGAAAAGCTGATACTCAGACTAATTGCATTACCATTAAAATCGGACTATCGATTAACCTACACAATTTTCAAGAGTTTGAACAGCTTTCTTGAGAGAAAAAGCTCAGATAGTGATGCAGTGGAATACGCAGAAAGTGGGAAGTCAACAGAAGATTTACAAATGGCCCCTCTAAACTCTCAATTTGCCAATGTAGCCATCTACTCAGAGAGGCAATCGTTACCAGAAGGATTTATCGACTGGCTGCTCAAATACACACCCACCGCGTTAGATGATCAACATGTTGTTAAAAACTTTATCGAACTTTGCTTCAACGCGGGCCACCTAGACCGTGTTGTGCTTGGTGAGATTATGGAGCATGGTGGCTTCTTACAATTGACGCATAAACTTCTTCGAGAATTTTCTGGCGAGGCCCGCTCACGGTATACCAAATCCATGCTTTCTATAGCACTCAATCTCTGTGTCGAATTGTCGCAGGAGGTAAATTTGAATAACTTGGAGATCACCGTTGATGTCGCTTTAGATTATCTTAACATTCCGGATTTTATCACAGGTGGTACTGAGATTTTGATGCATTGTTTTCTGTTTGCGATACACGAAAATTGTGCAACAACTGAAGATCCGCTAAATATATTCATCCAGTGCCAGGGAAAGACAATCAGTGTACCACGCGTTGCCCTTCTACGAACATTTTACTCCGAGGAGCCTAAATTCGGGAACTACATCACGAAATTCACCAGGTTGTGCTCTTTACCTCCGTGCAGATCTCTGGCCTTCGACATCGTTTCAAATCCGCATTTCATGAAAAAGACAAAGGTGCTATTTGACGTTTATCGCAGCAGTCTTATCATTCAAATTGACTTCTTAAAGTTTCTGAAGCTAATACTCACACGTTACACCGAGTTTGCACCTAAGTCAGTAAGAAAGGACATTAAAACAGATGTCTTAATGTCTACTGCCATAAATCAGCCTATACAGCTGAAAGATTCGAAGGTGTTGTCCGATGTAATTGATTTCCTGTCGTCGAATTGGCAACCTGATAAATCGCGGCCAAATCAAGTTGGCTCAGATTCTGTCCTAATAAAGCAGCTCTGTCATGATATCGAACTGCTGAATAACAGCAAACCTTCAAACACCATCAGAAGACTAGACAAAAATGGATTCGCAATACCGGCACCGGTGTCAAGCTAGAACCATTATAGCCAAGAATTGTTGTCCAATCACATGACGATGGATCATCTGACCGATGCCCGATACGGCTAAGTCCAAACACTAAACCTGACCAAGTCATCGGGACGATTAACCAGCTATTCAAGAAATGATGTACTGGTTATTGATTCAAGCTCATCCAGTGCAGACGAAGTACGTTGCGTTGAGTTTCAATGTATTATAAGAAACCCGATACTCGTGAGCAGAGTGGTTCGAAACTCGGTGACTACCAAGTGCTTGAAGAAATCGGAAGAGGCTCTTTTGGGTTTGTGAGGAAAGTTATACACCTACCGACGAATAAGGTTCTTGTTCGGAAAGAAATTCAGTATGGGCATATGAACTCTAAAGAACGGCAACAATTGATTGCGGAGTGTGCCATTTTGAGTCAACTAAAACATGAAAACATTGTTGAATTCTACGAGTGGGATTCAGACAGAGACGTGCTTTACTTCTACATGGAGTACTGCAGTAATGGCGATCTGTCCCAGATGATAAGCAATTTCAAGAAAGAACGAAAATACATTCCAGAAAAACTTGTATGGAGAATAATGGCACAGATCCTCTCCGCTTTGTATCGCTGTCACTACGGTACTGATCTAGTACCGCTTGAATCCATATATGATAAAATCAAGTCACCCGTGAAAGGCTCCAACGTTGTTATCCATAGAGATTTGAAGCCAGGAAATATTTTTTTGAGCACGGAGAAAGTACCGGATCCTTCAACAGCTTCTCAAACCTTGGACTACAACACTGCATCAGTGAAGCTGGGAGACTTTGGTCTTGCCAAATCTCTAGGATCGAGCGTGGAATTCGCAACCACATATGTGGGTACTCCATACTACATGTCTCCTGAAGTCTTGATGGACCAGCCCTACTCGCCACTGAGTGACATCTGGTCTTTGGGTTGTGTGATATACGAAATGTGCACACTACGCCCGCCTTTCCAAGCAAAAACGTACACTGAATTACAAAGAAGAATTCGAGCTGGCAAATTTGAACGTATTCCAGAATACTACTCACATGAACTCCAGCAAATTATCGAGTCCTGCATCAACCCAGATTTACAAACAAGGGCATCCGCATACTCCCTCTTACAAGATATTCAGCTTCGTATTGCGCGCAAGTCGCTGCAGCTTGAAAGGTTCGAAGATACATTATTAGATTATGAAAAGGAACTCATGAATGTCGGGGACATCTTGGAGCGACAAGCTGCAGAATATGAGACAGAGATGACTGTTATAAGAAGCCAGTACCGGAAAGAGTTCGACCTTGCTGTTGAGCAGCGGGTCAGGGAAATTTTGCATGGCAAGAAAGTGAGCGGCATGCCAGATATAATGCAAGGCAAAAACCATCTTAATAGACCAGATTACCACTGGCGGGTGAAGGGTAGGTAAGGTGTGTGATGCACAGAGGTAATAGTGAAAGGGCTACCTAGCGTTTCCAAAACCGTCAGATTGTAATTAATCAAATGAACATTTATAAATTGAAGAGCTTAAAAGTTGTTGCCCGTTAGCGTCTCGTAAGCTTCCACATATTTGGATCTAGTGTTTGTGACAATATCTTCGGGCATCTTGACGCCATCCACGCCGTTCAACTTGTTACTGGTTAACCAGTTTCTCAAAAACTGCTTGTCGTAAGAGTCCTGATCTTTACCCATTTCATAGTTCTTACCGCTCCAGAAACGGGAAGAGTCTGGGGTGAGTACTTCATCGACCAAAATAATCTCGTCGGTAGTTTCGTCAATCCCGAATTCAAACTTGGTGTCAGCTATTATGATGCCCTTGGTCTTAGCGTAGTCCTTGCATTTAGCATACAGCTTGATGGCGAGTTCGGCCACTCTTGAGCACAATTCGGGACCCACTAATTCTGCAGCCTGAGCTTCAGATATGTTTTCATCGTGTTCGCCTTGTTCAGCCTTGGTTGAAGGTGTAAAGATAGGAGTGGGGAACTCTTGACACTGTTTCAATCCTTCTGGGGCTTTTTGGCCATGAACTGTTCCAAATTTTTGGTATTCTTTCCATGCAGATCCGGTTATAAAACCACGCACGATCACCTCCAATGGGATGAGCTTAAATTTGTGGATGAGCATGGATCTGCCTTCCAATTGGGTCTTGTATTTGGATTGCTGAAGCTCGGTGGGCAGGAAGTCGAAGACAGTCTTGCCCTCTGGGATTTCCACCAGATGGTTGCGAACATCCGATTTAAGATATGAGAACCAAAATTCCGACAATTTGGTCAAGATAACGCCCTTCTCAGGGATAGTGTTTTCCATGATAACATCGTAAGCAGAAATGCGGTCTGTGGCTACGAAAAGGAGTGTTTTTGAGTCAACTTCGTAAATATCTCTAACTTTCCCTCTGGCTACCAATGGTAGAATGCCATCTAGATTGGTTTCACGCAACGACATTGTTCGTCAAGCTTATGGGTATAGTTCTTCAAGATTAAAAACAGGTTCAAGATACCTAGTCTTGGATCAAATGCTTCAAGTTTATACAGTTTGAGCGAGGTAGGGAAAGGTAGGAGAGTTCAATTGTACTTATACTAGGTAGATGCTGTGATTTTCGAGATATGGGTCTTTAATATATTTAAATTTGATTAGAATGAATATTGGTGAACAGAGTCAGCGTAAAAGACTGGTGTTCGAAGCCCTGGGTAGGCACAATTAAAGAGGATAAAGAAGCATGAAAACATACAAATAAAGACCAAAAAATATTGTTAAGAGAGACGTATATTTTTGAAACTGATAGAACTGGCATCTTTGATCTAAATTTTAACGGGGTTTTGGAAAATGGAATTCGTGTGAGTTTATCAATTATATGTTAAATTTTGTAGCTTTCAAAGTATCACGATTGTTGAGATGCAAGGAAATTGAACCTTCGTGGTAGGTTTTAAGGATTGTCCATCTTTTTGGCATCTTTTAGATCTCAAAAAAATGATGAATCGATCCGCTAGCGAGGTTTTGAACGCAAACGACTCGTTGATACGAATGAAAAGCGGATATCAAACATTCTATAATCGAAAAAAAAACATTTTACTAGAAACCTAGCACATGGGATGCTGCTTAAAGACGGTCATTACCGTTGAAATTTTACTTTTGCTAGGTTCACTTGTTACTAGCTTCTTTTCCTGGCGCTGACACCAGTCACGTGACACCTTTTCGTAAATGTCCTTTTTCTTTTTTTTTTTTTTGGGCTCAGTCTCCCTCGTCAGCTTTGAAGTACAGATTTCAACCGCATACGGAACCCAAACTATATTCCTCATTCCACTCTGGAAGTTACCTCATCTCGGCCTTGTCGTGTTTGTGCCTTTATTCTTGGTGTGTCTTTTCGTGTTTCCGTACTCGAGTACATTAAAATATTGAAAATTCCCACTACCTAAAACTACTACCAGTTATCACTTTACTCTCTCCATGACTACTTTGAAACCCGCTGGTGCAAAAACAATAGCGTCCTCCGCATCCCCACTGTTCTTGCGAACCCCCATTAGATGCAGAACATCTTGGATAAGGCGTACGACAAGTATGCCCTAACTAGTTCTGCACCAACCAACACACACACGGATTTATTATGCGACCCAGACCTGGTGGAAGACTACAAAGATATAATGAAGACGATTCCCAAAAGAATGGGACAAGACGAGGAAAACAACAGCGTCAACGGCAGCGTGGTGATTAATGGCGGAAGCGTTTCCAGCTCTCCACAGAAAGATGCCAAAACTGACAAGCAAGCACTTCTTTTCACTACATCTTCATTGAAAATTGATGAAACCCATACCGAGCATAAAAATACTACAGAAACGTCAAATTTCGACACAGACTACGAATACAGTGATTCTGAATTTGAAGAAGACATGGAAAATAGACTCCAGGACCTCAGATCGAGCGCTAAACAGGGCCCAAACACTGCACTTTTCGCAGACGAGAAAGACGCAGATCAAGTGCAAGGTCCATCACCTTCTACGACAGACAGCTCATCTGGGTCCTCTTCCTCTGAGGAAGACGAAGAAGACGATGACCTGACCACAGCAGTCACAAGCATCAGGCCCTATAGAAATCCCAACGACGACGACGACGACGACGACGACGACGACGACGACGACGACGACGACGACGACGACGACGACGACGACGACGACGACGACGACGATGACGACGACGATGACGAAATGGAGCAGGACTTCCAGCCGCTTGCTCCGCCCGAGGAAATCGACCCCAGTAAATTGTACGCCCTATATCCATTCCAAGGCCCTGATCCATCCCATTGCCAGCTCTACCAGGACCAAGCATGTATGCTGCTTAATGACCAGGACTCGTACTGGTGGCTCGTCAAACGCTGCGATGACGGCAAAATTGGGTTTGCTCCAGCCGAAATACTCGAGACGTTTCCTGAACGGCTCGCCAGGCTCAACTGCTGGAAAAACGAGAATATGTCCGGCCAATCAGTCGACAGTGGCAATACTAGAGCTCTCAAAGGAGCAGAGCGTACCAGCGATGATGAGGCCAGCCCCACTCCCTTGCTACCTTACGCGAAAAATGGCAAATCTGTGAGTTTCAACGACGTGGTTAGCTACGCTGAGAGACATTTGCACGAAGCCGAGTCCGATGAAAGCTCTTCTGAACTTGAAGGGCCTGATGATACGGACAAAGAGGGGTCAGACCGTAACAAGAGTGTCGATACCGTGGGGGAAATTTACGAAGCCGCTTTACATGCTGACGATGACGACGACGAAGATGACGACGCCAGCGTAGCGGTTAGCGACGTTTCTTTCAATACGGGCAGCGCCTTGCCTCTCAATGTCAAGAAGGTAAGAAAGTCGGGGCCAGAAGTCGAAACTGAAGAAAATAAGCCCTCCGAGCGACAAACCACAGAGACACCAGAGCTGGATACTCCCATGTCTCTATTGGCACCAGAAAGGAAGGCAGCAGTTCCTTCTGCGGCTGCAGACGACGGTCTCCAGCAAACTTTCAAAGCACCCATCATACCTTTTGCAGGGCATAAGGATATGCCGAACTCAAACTCGAATTACTCTATATCGACGATAGGAGAATATTCACCGTCATCTTCGGAGTGGACGAACGACTCTCCACAAGTCAACAACGGCACTTTTGACACAGAAGTCATTGCTGCCGAAAGTATTCCTTCTTCGAGGGCCATCAAAGACATTTCCAAGCTTGTCAATCTTGAAAAACCTGACGCCAAGCTTGGAGATAGTGTGAAGGAGAAGGAGGCACCAGGAAAATTAGCACAACCAAAACCAGAGGATACGGAAACGGACACTGGTCCTACAAATGATGCTTCGACACCCCAGGATGGTCATTTGAAACCTGCATCTTTCAGTCGTCCAGCTCCATCTGGTGACTACCCTCTCGTACCAAGGAATACGCATCGCGAGAGTACTTCGGCATCTTCAGACGATTCTTGCATAGACGAAGGACGAGGTACTTCGACGACCACCATCAATAGCGCTTTTTCGATCAGTGAGGCAAAATATCAATATAGCCACCACCCGATTGTACACGAGCTTTACAACCCGCTGTTTGGTAAAATCGACGACCTGCTTGATAAACTAAACAGCGTCATGCATGAATAGCGAGAGTTGAACTGGCCCCGTTTTTTTCCTCATTTTACCATCTGCATTCAACGTCCGATAAAGACCTCATGTATACTATATAGTTTTGTCGAACAGAACTCACAACCTCGTCAACTCAGTCCGTCTTTCCAGCCCAAACTGCCAGGCTGACATTGCTCGATATCATTCTATTTCAAACTGTCGCTTTTTCAATATTATTATTGTTAAAATTTAGTAGACCTAGTACAGCTAGGAATTCAATGACAGTTACACTCATCTCAAGCTCAAAACCATTTTTCTGAGTCTCTAGACCCAAGGCTAGATAGCTAGAGTACATAACCTCTATCATGTCCGATTGGATACGTGATGACACTTCGCTTCTGCAAATTGTTGCAGTAATTGCAGGGTCATTGTCACCAGTGCAAGAGCAGAGAAGCCATGCTTCGGAACTGCTGGAATCATTCAAGATGCAAACAGAGTTTTTGAACTATTTATGCTATCTTTTGACTGACGCAGACACAGATACACTGTTGAACTCTCAGTACTCGTTTCTGGATGTCCAGAACTACAGAGCTGCAGCAGGAATGATACTCAAGAATTCTCTCTTGGGCGATGCCAAAATGTACGATTTGAACTACGTCAAAAGAAACATAGCAAAGGGCTTGCTTTCTAATGTAACGCTGATATCAAATATTACAGGTATCGTCATCACGACGCTGTTTTCTACATACTATCGGAAAAATCGTGAAGATCCGACTGGTGTTGAGCTGCTTTCTCAATTGTTAGAACTGATGGCCAATGGGAAAGTGGCAAGTGCAAAGGCCTTGTCCAAAATAATGGAGGATAACGCCCAGTTTTTCCTTTTGGAATGGTCAGGCTCAGTCAAGCCTATGGACACATTGGTGGAAAGCTTTTTGACCTATTCCGTCTCTGACTCGAACCCGGTCGTAAGAGCAGAGGCCTTAAAAAGTTTGAATCAGGTCATTCCATTACAAACACAAAGCTTTATAGTGAGAATCGACGAATTCCTGTCCAACATCTTTCAGCTGGCGCAAAATGATCAGAGTGATGTGGTGACCTTCCAAATTTGCATTTCCCTGACCGAACTTCTCGAGTTTAGACCTGATAAATTGATAAATCACTTGAGCGGAATCATCGGCTTTGTTGTGCATGTAGTAAGTTCGTCTTCAAAACCGGAAGTTGCGTTGCAAGCTGCCGAGTTCCTACTGGCATTTGCATCCAATTCCTATGTTCCGGAGAGTAACGTCACACCTTTCATTGCCACTGTTGTGCCCATGCTCTTAGCGAAAATGACTCATGACGAAGATGAAATTATTGTCTTTGAAGCCTCTAACGACGACGATGCCGAACTAGAAGATAGAGACGAGGACATTAAGCCAGCCACCGCCAAAATAAGTAAAAAAAGAGAATTATCCGGCGCAGACGACGAATATGCTGATGATGACGATGATGATGGCGATCATGATACTCAATGGAATTTGCGGAAATGCTGTGCAGCCACCCTGGATGTTCTGACCGGTATATTGCCAAGGGATGTTTTGTCTGTTGGGTTCCCCATACTCAGGGAGCGACTTTCCTCAGAAGAATGGTATGTTCGGGAAGCCGCCATTTTAGCGTTTGGTGCAATGGCAGATGGTGGAATGAGATATTTTGCCGATCAGTTGCCAGCACTGATACCTTTTCTTCTTGAGAAATTAAATGATAAATGGGCCCCTGTTCGCACCATAACTTGCTGGACCTTAAGCAGGTTTTCTACATGGATTTTAGCCGACAACACCCAGTTCTTGATGCCTGTATTGGAGTCCCTCATGACTTCCCTCTTAGACAAAAAGAAAATGGTCCAAGAAGCCAGCATTAGCAGTGTTGCCGTGTTTATCGAAAACTGCGATGCTGAGATAGTAGAAACTCTACTTTACAATGAATTACTGGTCAGATTCCACCAGTGCTTCCAGCTGTATCAAAAGAAAAATCTTATTATTCTATATGATGCGGTCGGCAGACTCGCGGAGAAATGCGAGTTTGATGAGACCGCGATGAATTACATTCTTCCGCACCTCATCGAAAAATGGGGTTCTTTGTCGGACACGGACAAAGAACTCTGGCCTTTGTTGGAATGTCTGTCATACGTTGCTGCATCTCTCGGTGAAAAGTTCGCCCCCATGGCCCCAGAGGTCTATCATCGTGCTTGGAGAATTCTAGTACATTGCGTAGAACTGGAAACGCAGTCTCAAAACGATCCATCACTAGAAGTTCCAGAAAAAGACTTTACCGTGACGTCGTTGGATCTAATTGGCGGGCTAATTCAGGGATTGGGTCCTAGCAGTCAAGAGCTCTTGTTTCCCGGAGGCGATCGTTCTGCGATGCAAGTACTTGCGCAATGTTTACAGGACCCTGTACACGAAGTGAGGCAGAGTGCTTTTGCACTTTTGGGGGACATTGCATATTCATATGATCCTGTTCTGCTGAGCCAAAATTTGGTGCAGTTTCTAAAATTCATCAGCACGGAAATCATGCACAATGACGATCCCGAGACCACACCATCTGTGAATAACGCGGTGTGGGCTCTTGGACTGATCAGTGAGCGCATTGACCTGGCTGAATATGTCATAGATCTGTCACGCATTGTTCTGGACTGTTTCTGTGACACTACGCGGATTATACATGGCTCTGTGGTCGATAACCTGGCGGCCACCATTGGACGCATGGCCAAATTCCATCCGGAGATTTTTGCCACAGGAGTGTTTGCCCAGGACGCCAGTTGGGCCCGCTGGTGCGAACACGCGTCTGGCTTACCAGACATAGAAGAAAAAACCGCTGCATACTACGGTTTTGTCAAGATCATGAATTGCACTGACACCGGGAGGACTATGTCATCGTCCACGCTGCACAAGTTCCTGAGAGGTGTATCACAGGAGGTGGATATCCAAGACTTTGTTGAAGACCTGTACGGGTTCTTGATGACGCATTCGGCCACACTGCAGATGTTGAAGCTTTCGCCGGAAGAAATGAATTTTCTAAGTCAGTTAGAGCAGCATTGAAAAAAGACAAGAAACCAGGAGAGAAAGACTGTTGTAAGTCATCTGGTGCGACTTGGAAAATGTGTGATCAACTCGAGTAGAGTCTAAATTCGAAATAACTACACTCTGAGCCAAAGTTTTCGGATCAATCCGTTGGTTTTCCACTAACCCAGAACAAAATAGCACTTGACCCATTGACGTTTATTTTCAAGAAGACAAGCTGAACAAGGAAGAGAGGACAATCACTACAACTACAATAATATGGGAGAAGGCCAAATCAACTGATTAAGGCTCTGTGTGACACACACGCAAATAACAATCAAGTTATGAACATTTGCCTAATGGGGCTGGAAGAGTCAGTTTATATCGGTTTTTAGCCAATGGGGGCTCTAAAGAACCAGAAAAAAAGTACTGCACTCATCTTATAATCCAGCACTTTGAGCGGACCCTCAAAAGTTTCCATTTCTACAAACAAGTTACTGGCTCTTTCACTGGCATCTTCACTGGCACCTTTACTCTCTCGAAGTTCCCTTGAATCTTGTCTCGCTGTTGTCTACCCACCCATTCATCACCGTGTTCGGGCAAATCCGAAAACATTAGATAAGCTCTCAATGCTCTCTTATCTCCAAGTAACGCGGCACGGCAAAACTTTGTTTTCCATTCGGCTTATCGGTCACGTGCCGATAAGATTATTCCTTTTTCGCTCTTGAGCGGAAAAACTAGTATAAACTGGCTGAACAAATCTGGAGACTATCTTTTGAACTTTTCAAGATCACTACAGGCTAGAGCACCGTTAAAGCAGCTGTAGTAGAGTTAGCTTTGTTGTTCTTACTCGATACTTTCTGGAGCAGATTTCGTTCATTGTTTTCAACGGATTTCCCACCCGACTCTTCTGCTACGTTCTTATCTGTGGCGACAGAAAAACCAAAGTTAAAACAAATTCAAAAAAAATTGTATTGGCTCCATACACATTATGCTCAACGCTATCGCATCCACCAAAGTTGTTCTTCATGGCCAAATAATGCCAGCCACAATCGTTTACTCAACGGATACTGGAAAGATAATCACGGTGTACGAAAATGAAGTTCTGAATAAGGTGCCGTCACACGAAGGAGAACCCGTACAGAATTATACCATCGTTTCTCCTCACGTGATAATGCCAGGACTGGTGGATGCTCACGTACACTTGAATGAGCCAGGTAGAACTGAATGGGAGGGCTTTGCAACTGGTACCCGTGCTGCCGTGGGTGGTGGTGTCACTACTGTGGTTGATATGCCGTTGAATGCAATTCCTCCGACCACAACGGTGGAAAATTTGCAAATCAAGTTGGCAGCAGCTAAGGGCCAAATGTGGTGTGACGTGGGCTTCTGGGGAGGCCTGGTGCCATCAAATATTGAGCAGCTGGTACCCCTAGTGCGTGCCGGAGTCCGTGGCTTCAAAGGGTTTATGATGGATTCCGGTGTGGACGAATTTCCAGCTATCGACAAATCTTACATCAATAAAGCACTACAAACGCTCGAGAACGAACACACAATGCTTCTTTTCCATGCCGAACAGGCTCCTCCGGAAGGCAACCTAGGGTTGGTTGATTCACCTAGCAGCGACAGCGGCTGCAACAGCAACAAAGATGACATTTTCGTCGATCATGTGCATGCAGCTCCAGGCGGTCAAGACTTGTCTAAAACCCAAATTCATGCACTGGCAGAATCCAAAGTACTTGAATCTGTTGAGCCCACAGTCGGGAAGCCTGCCCATGAAGTTTACGAAACCCACTCTTCTCGAAGCCCATTGGAATCCATAAAGCAACAAAATCATCTTCTAGATCAAATTGATCCCACGACTTACGCTCCATTTTTGGCCTCCAGACCAGACCTCTTTGAGACCACGGCCATAAGCACAATCCTGAATTGCTTAAAAGACTTTGCCAAGTCCTCGAAAAGAATTCCCAACGTGCATGTGGTCCATTTAGCCACGCAGGAAGCAGTGCCTATGCTGCGCCATGCGCAACAGGTTTTGAAACTGCCCATCACTGCAGAAACATGCTTTCACTACCTGAAATTTGCCGCGGAAAGTATCCCAGCAAAGGCTACCCATTACAAATGTTGCCCTCCAATCCGCTCTGAAGAAAATAGACTTGCTTTGTGGGAAGCCTTGCGTGGCGATGTGATTACCACAGTTGTCAGCGATCATTCGCCATGTACTCCAGAGCTTAAAAACCTGGCTAAAGGTGATTTTTTCGCTGCCTGGGGTGGCATATCTTCTGTTGGGCTTGGCCTTTCAATCATGATGACTGAAGGAGCAAAGGTGTCACCGCAGGTGTCTCTTCCAGAAATTGTCAAATGGTGCTGCGAAAATACTGCTAAACAAGTCGGACTCCAACATAGCAAAGGATTCCTGCATCCAGGTCATGACGCCGACTTCCTGGTTGTAGATCAGTATCGTAAACGGGTTATTTCCGCAGACAACGTCTACTTCAAAAACAAATTGACAGCTTACGATGGCCAAGAGCTGAGAGGTCAAGTGCTGACGACTTACGTCAGAGGCAATATTGCATACGATTTGGAAGCAGGACATTGTCCTGCTCCATTCGGACAAACACTTTTGGAGCCCAGAACGGTATGAACACTGGCTTTGTCATTTTCAAGAAAGAATATTTTCAATACGCATTCACACAATACACAACACACAAATCATATACATTTAATTTCAGCTATCCAATGCTGTAAACCGAAGACCTTTTGTAAGGTACCAGTTATCTTTTTCTATTGCTGCTGCGTATGCTCTTTCGAAGTCTTTTCAGCAATTTGGTCTGACAGTAAATGACACCCATGATGACCAAACTTCCACAGACGGCTAGCATATTAGCCCGCGATGCAATTGATAGAACCGTAGCCGAATTTCGCATCGTCCGTGTCTTGTACCTGTCCATGTTTGTCTCGAGCACTTTTAGCTGTCTTTCGATGAGCTCCAGTGACCGTTCCCATGTGTCTTGCAACGGATCTTCAAACTCGACAGGAGAAGATGGCCGAAATGCATTGTTCGGTTTGCTCAGACTATTGTCAGAATTGACTAAAATCTCCACGTCCACCATGCAGGAAGACTCAGAAGCCCTAAAACAAAATCGGTATTCGCCTGCTGAGCGTGCTACAAATGACCACTCGCCCTGCGTTTCGCGCGAACTTGCAAATATAGGATTCTCATCGATCCCAGGACCATAAATATCATAGTAAATCTCTGATATACCGCTCCAGCTGTGCTGTACTGCGAAGTAGTAGGATATGACACTGTTTTCAAGCGTCTCAACGTACAAACACTCCTGTTCGCCCGTTAGTAGCTCAAAAGTTACCGGAGAACTCGCTACTAAAGCCCCAAATATACAAGTCGCTATACAGAATCCTAGCGGCAGTAGTTTAACCATCTCAAAGGTTCAGAAATGTGGTTTTATCTCGAGTGTCAGTTCCGCTTTCAATGTCAGTTATAGCTCAAATGATTTTATATTGGTATAATTTTGAGCTTGAAGTTGAACTTATCCATCGATCGCATCAATCCATGCTAAAAGACAGCTTTGCAAGGCGTTAGCAAGCGTTTCAAAGGCTTTCACAAAGTAGCACAGATGGGAGAAGTTCCTCAAGATGTTGTGGAAGAAATACGAGAACTTTCAGAGAGCGTGCCGGGCTTGAAATCGCGATACAAACTTTTGGACAAGATCGGCGAAGGAACGTTTTCTTCGGTGTATAAGGCAGAAGACTTGACGGGCAAAGTTGTCAAGCGATTTTCACGTCATTTTTGGGACCTTTCGAGTCGGCAGGACAAACGTTATGTTGCTTTGAAATGGATTTACGTTACCTCATCGCCTACCAGGATCTACAACGAATTGAATCTTTTATACAGATTGTGTGGATCCACACGAGTGGCACCGCTGTGTGATGCACTGCGACACCAGGATCAAGTAGTTGCAGTTCTGCCATGGTATCGACACGAAGAATTTCGAAATTTCTATCGCGATTTACCGATAAAAGGCATCAAAAAATACATGTCAGAGCTCTTACAAGCTTTGGGTTACGTGCATTCCAAGGGCATCATTCACCGTGACATAAAACCTACAAACTTCCTGTACAATCCCCAGATAGGGTGTGGCGTTTTGGTAGATTTTGGGCTTGCAGAGATGGAAAACGACAATACACGCGACACACGAAACGCCAAAGATTTGCGATCACTGGAAAACTACTGCCCTTGTAACGCGAATGAATCTCATGGCACTACAGGGTCACAGTCTGCATTTTCCAAGAACAAATATCCAGTCGTTACACCCAATGCTACCCCCACGTTAGTGGATTTAACCAAAGGATATCCCAAATACGAAACACGCCGTAACAAACGTGCTAATCGAGCTGGTACTCGAGGGTTTCGTGCACCGGAAGTATTGATGAAGTGCCCTAATCAGTCCACCAAGATAGACATCTGGTCGGTGGGTGTTATACTATTGAGCTTCCTTGGAAGGCGGTTCCCCATGTTCCAGAGTCTCGACGACACAGATTCTTTGCTTGAGCTGTGTTGTATCTTTGGAACCAACAAAATGAAGAAATGTGCTGCGCTGCACGGGTTAGGTTTCAATGTTAGTGGGCTCGAAGGCATAAGTGAAGAAGGCTACAAGGGTGGTCTCGCAGATTTTATTCAAGAGCTGCTACGAGCGGAAGTGGAAGCGGGGACATTTCCCAGCTATTCTGTTGCATTTGAAACGTACGAGTACTTGGACAGCAGATCCTCGGGCGATAGTATTGCTCCCTCACTTCGACGTCAAGGTCCAGATTACATGGCTGATCATGAATTGAAAAAATACCATGATGAAGTCTGGAGTGATCACTATTGGTGTTTGGAGGTTCTGGATCAGTGTCTGACACTCGATCCTCATAAGAGAAGTACTGCTGACGAGCTGCTTTCATCCACTTTTTTCAATGAGCTTGTTGACTCGGACGTCACGGAAGAGAATGAAGATGAAGACGATATTCTTGTAATCGAAAAATAATTGAAGGATAAACAATTCATTCTGTAGCATAGCTAAATAATGGAGTTTCGCATTTTACATCGTTACAACAGGCATTAAAAAACGAAGGGGATCAAAAACGCTCTCTTTGTACCATATTTCTTATTCTTCTTGGCGGCCCACAAGTATAGTTGAGCGGTCGAAACAGAGAGGAAAATAACAGAAAATATGTTGAGTTTGAAAAGTAAGGTGAAAGCAGTCCAGGCTAGAACTTCGAAAGTATAGTTTGGCGCGACGAAAATTTTGAATAGACCATTTTCAAGTGGCACACGTTCAGTGATACCCTTAGCCTTTTGAGCATCACCCCAGCGACGAAGCTTGTAGTGTGTCCAAAAGTTCCAGAACTCTGAGGTGACAAAGAGGGCAAGGATGAGAGCAAAATTGTCTAGCTTGAAAGCGGAGTAGATCTTGAAAACAGTGACGTCTTTGAGCAGAAACCCGTAACCGAAGTAACCCAGCGAAATAGCACCATTCAAGATCCAATAGTGGAAAGAGTTCTTGAACAGATTAAAGAGTGGCATCGTAGATTGTGCAAATTTGTGCAAAAATATAGATTCCAATTCTCTCTTCAGATAATGAGCAACCACCAAAATGTAAGCCACCTTGCTGATAAATGGGTTATATGGACGGGATTTGTTGTGATATTTGAACAACTCTGGCCTAGTGGATAGGTAATAAACAAGAGAGTGTATTAAGATAGGTCCCAAATATTCCATGCAAAAGACGAGTCTCCACCCAATTTGGGGACCGATATCTTTGGCAAATATCTTTGCACCGGTCAAATCTTCAAACGCATGATCAGAAGTTATAGGAATTTGCTTGTTTTCCTTTAGGATAGTCAGTCTGATACGGTTCGTGTTGATATTCTTGTTTTTGCTTGAGATTTCTTTCAATGCAGCGGCTAAGGTGCTGGTTTCCCGAGGAAGGTCCACATCCTTCAAGGACTTGGATCTGGAGGTGACTTTGACACTCATTATAGGGCTAATGTGAGCTTCGGCTAGGAGTTTCAGAGAGTTCTGGTGAAGATGTAAGTTCATGAAGGCTGTTGATTTGATGAATGGGTAATAATTAGTTGATGTCCCTTTCGTGAACTATGATGTGATTTCTTCATAGTAAGTTTGAGTTTTCCAAAGAAGCAGAGTAGGGGTATATAATTGATAAATACCCACAGACGTAAATAATCAGCTCTAGGCGATGTAAGTGCCATTCTTTTGGCGGTTTTTTTTAGATGTTCTGGGATGTTTGGGCAAAAAGTGATATGACTATTACAGAGCTGTGTATTTGCCCATTTGAGAGATCAGGGGTAGAAAGAGGGAGCTATAAGAGTATTGCCAGATCAAATCCATGAATAGGTGGTGACTAGGACGCCTAAAACACGAATCTGTACACAATGAGGTCACGTGACCTAAGCTACAGAAGTAGTAAAGATTTCGATCTGAATACATTCAAGATGGTTGTTGGAATATTTCGATGTTTCAGTCAAAGGCTCAAACGTTCTTATTGCGATTTGAAAATACCGCGTGTGATGGAGGAGAACTTTTTTTTTTAGTTGTATGGATGACAGATGGAGGGCACTGGGTTGACCGTAAAAACGGCTTGGTAACTACTCATTCTTATTATCGGTGAGTGTGGACCACTGTAAAGTTCTATTCCAACCTTGCCTAAGTGCACACTAACTTTGTCACTTTTTTCCACACTGTCACGCAGGAAAAGGCAAAATGGATATACTTTGGCCTATGTGAATGTCCAATACCTTGATATGGTACTAGACATTAGATCATAGCATCGGAGCTCTAAGCTTTGAATATTAGTTGAAAAAAATGCAATGCTGAACCCTTGCACACGCTACAGTTTCCGTTCATAAAAGCTTTTAGTTTGGAAGAATAATGGACGAAAACCTGTGAATAAGTCTCTCACTCGACACCAAAGTGTGCCTAGCACAATAGAGACACGCATTTTTCTTATATGGCGCTAAGCTTTAAGTAGTGATGCACTTTTTTCAATGTACCTGAGCTTTTTTCTGTCGCCATAATATCGCGTCGTTGCAGATTTTCATCGGTGACAAGCCTATAATAAAGTGACAAGAAAAAACATTCGTGCTCTGCGCTGATGAAATGGGATAGAACGTTTGGAACTAAGAGAAGTGCACAGCACACTTAAGGACGTGGCAAACTTGAAATAAGGTGCTTTGAACGGGAGCCCGTTTTCGACTTAAAACATAGTGAATCTTTATGTCGTGCATAGTGATACATGTCGAAACATCTTCTACAAGCATCAGTCAAAAGTTTTGAGGGTATGTGACGCCTTATTCGAGCATTCACGATTGAACGTTAGAGACTCACATAAGAGAAAGGTCGTAATACAAGTAAAGACCAGCTGTCGCGGTATTAAGATGAAGCATTAAGTTGAACGTAAAAATACCTGCGTTTTTTCGATTCAATCACGTGACATAAAAATTCCTCAAATTTTGAGAGGATTTCCGTCATATGAGTGCTCAAAACACCAAGCGCAGTGCTTCACACAACGCTATCTCGAGCCAATCTGTCTACATTTCAGAGGTAAAAATAAGGTGTGTCATGATTTTTGTCAGGTAACCTGGTACGAGAGCATTGCAATTTTTTGTCCGTACAAGACTACGATCCGCTTGCAACCCGACTTTTAGGCAGAATCCATAAGTATATCTGCTACGTACAGAACGACCACCCATATGCAACCCGCTTTCACCAAACCGTCCCTAACCAATACAAACCGCACAAGAAAATAAAAAAACCGACTCTTTATCCAAACTCAATTCTCCAACCATTCCAAACAACACCAACTCTTCCTCCTCCCCCTCCTCTCTCTCTCTTCTTTTGCCCTTCGGGCTTCGCCGCTCAAACTCATCAATTCCTACCTTTCGTGACGTCTTTCTTTTCCCACTCGCTCACTCGCTAACTTTTTCTTATCACTTACATCTTTTCGTGTCGTCGCTTTCCTTTTCCAATACCTCTCTCTCAATAGTGAAAAATTTTTAGAGATGCTCATCTCATATAACTTGGCCATCGCCAACTACTAACTTGGCTTTACAAGTGTATCGATCTGAACAACACAGAGTCTCTCTAGTTATAACTGCTACGAGTGGGATTGATTCTTAGAAAGCAACATTATCTGAGATATAATTACAATGGTTTTTCAAGCTGGAAGCAGAGGCGGTCGTGGTGGTATGTGAGATTTCTTTCAACGTCGAGTTCGAACGAGCGAAATCGGACGAGTTTTGTCGAAAAGAGACGATAGATGGACACAACTGGGGGTTATGGCATAGCATGATGAGAGTACATGTTTGGAGAACCTTTGAGAACCGCAACGTCGCAATTTGCGTGGGTTTACGGGTCTTTTTAGTGTGGTTTTCGCAGCTTATTTTCTCTTCAAGATCTATGCTAAGCTCATCGGGTTGGTGAAAAATCGTGAAAACAACCATTGCAAACACTTTTACTAACAAGTATATGCTATTTCAATAGGCTCTAGAGGTGGCAGAGGCGGTGCCAGAGGTGGATTCGGCGGAGGCCGTGGTGGAGCCAGAGGTGGCTCGAGAGGTGGTTTTGGCGGTGGCCGTGGAGGTTCTAGAGGCGGTTTCGGCGGTGGCCGTGGCGGTCCTAGAGGTGGTGCTCGTGGTGGCCCAAGAGGTGGTGCCCGTGGGGGTGCCAGAGGTGGCGCCAGAGGTGGCGCCAAAGTGGTCATTGAACCCCACAAACACGCTGGTGTTTTCATCGCCAGAGGCAAAGAGGACCTTTTGGTCACCAAAAACATCGCTCCAGGTGAAACCGTTTACGGTGAGAAGAGAGTCTCTATCGAAGAACCTTCCACCGAGGAAGGTGTGCCTCCAACCAAGGTGGAATACCGTGTGTGGAACCCTTTCAGATCCAAGTTGGCTGCCGGTATCATGGGTGGTCTAGACGAGCTTTTCATTGCTCCAGGCAAGAAAGTGCTATACTTGGGTGCCGCTTCCGGTACCTCTGTGTCGCACGTTGCCGATGTTGTGGGTCCTGAAGGTCTAGTGTACGCCGTTGAATTCTCCCACAGACCTGGCAGAGAATTGATCTCCATGGCCAAGAAGAGACCCAACGTGATCCCCATCATCGAGGATGCCAGACACCCCCAGAAATACAGAATGCTCATCGGTATGGTCGATGCTGTGTTTGCCGATGTTGCCCAACCTGATCAGGCTCGTATCATTGCCTTGAACTCCCACATGTTCCTCAAGGACCAAGGTGGTGTTGTGATCTCCATCAAGGCCAACTGTATCGACTCCACCGTCGATGCCGAAACCGTTTTCGCCAGAGAAGTGCAGAAGTTGCGTGAAGAACGCATCAAGCCTTTGGAACAATTGACCTTGGAACCTTACGAAAGAGACCACTGTATCGTCATCGGCAGATACATGAGAAGCGGGTTGTAAATAACCAAAACACAAAAAGCATTCCAGTTCCCGCATTCTTTCTCCAGCCCATGCTTGTATATTAGTGAATTCAGATATATCTAAAAAGAGTCCGTCCAAGTACCGGACGACCTCACACAACACACATATATATATGTATATATATTATAAGGATATCTAGAGGTCTGTGTACTAGTTCGTGAAACTCTGACACACAATAAGCCAGTCTTTGTCTTTTGAGTCGTTAACTATAGGTTAGGTTTAGGTTAATTAGGTTTGAATCATTAAACAACTAGATTCACAACTCATCCAATTCACAAAAAATACAAAAAACTAACCTCCAAAGGTCTCTGGTACCGCAAGGACTGTGGTTTTAGGAAAACTAAAGTCTGTTGTTGACTGGTACATTTTTTCCAGCGTCTCAATACGACCAAAAATGGACTCTAACGAGATTGTTAGACATGATTCTCAACAGCAGGATGCTGAAGATGTTATAGAGATCGAAAGCTGTGCAGAAGACGAGGCGGAGATCCAGAACGCCACAGAACTACGACAAAACCCTACAGGACCAAGACGGGACTGGTCTGGTCGTTTCACACCGGCCCAAACTAATGGTAATAGGCAAAACGCACAAGAAGATGCTAATGAACAACACAATGACAATGACGATGATTTAGAGGTGGTGGACGAAATAGTGATCGATGATGGGGGTCCTTTGGACCCCAACGCGGAATACGTGGACCTCGATAACGAGAGACCGTTCACCGTGGCGCAAATAAGACCCAGACAACCTTCCACTGGAAGTGGCCAAGAGGACGATGACGTCGTATTCGTGGGGCAAAACACCACAAATGCGAGTTTTGTGCTGAATCTTCCCGGTGGCGATCGAGTATTGTTTTCGGGCAGTCCTCTCGAGCTGCCTGTTCGAAGGTCCTTCCAGCACCAAGTGCCTCGGGCTCTTTCGTCACATTTGAACTCGCGAAGAAGACGTGCTCAGCGCGTTGCAGCTGGTGCTCAACAAGCATTGAATGCACCCATGACTGCATCAAATCAACAGTTTTCGAATTTCAATGAGCAGCGCAGGAGAAATGAGATGCGACTTAGAAGAAGCACTCGCCATATGCAACAAAATGCAAGAAGACATACACCTTTTTCAAGTCCCAGTAGCTTCATGGGCCATTCGAACCCTGCGAATTTTCAATCGCAACTTTCCATGCTACCAGTTGGCGTTCGGGCCGCTTTTGACGAAGCATTGTCGATTGACGAATTTCAATCTGTGCTCGAGGCTAGAGACCGAGAAAGCTACGAACAACGTTTGGACGAGCTTACAACGCTGTATGCACAGTACCGTGAGATTGTGGAGAACTCAAGGGAGCCAAACCCAAGTAACGAGCCGAGAGCTGGTCGCAACATGTTTCATTGGGCGCAGGCGTTGGGAACTTTCGCGGGTCACAATGGCGGCAGACAACACGGCCTGGCAAGAGCGTGGGTTCCTCCCCAGTACGCAGGAATCCACACCAGAGACACAGATGATTCGCGGGAAATACAGGGAATAATGGAATTGATTGAGGCCCGTAATGAGGCAGAAGTCGATAGCAAGAAACGCAAGCTCATGGAAAGCACTAAGGGCAAGCGAATGAGCTTTTTGGAAGATGCCAAGAAACTGCCCGAGGGCTATAGCTCCTCTTTCGACGTTGTGCTGAAACTGGAGATGCCAATTAGGCGCAACAAACAGACCGAAATCATAAGTGTGGAAGACGACGAGGCGACGGAGATCGAAATTCCCGCTTGTACTCTTTGCGGTGTTGAACTGGGGGTTGGAATTCCAGAGGGTTACGAGGGAAGAGGCCAATCTGACGACAATAGGTCTTTCAGCGAGCTTGTTGAGAAATATAAATTCCATTGTCCTTACCAGTCATTACGAAGATTTACGGTTGCAGACAGAGACTTATCGCGGGAAACTTACGTGGCAAGCTGTGGGCATATGTTTTGTGGTCGTTGCCTTGCAAGAATACGCAGTGCGAGAAAAGTGAATGAGAAAAGTGCCAAGAAGTTCAGAAATGCGATGGGACCTTCGCATCCGGACAATTGCGGTCCTCGACAATGCCCGGCTGAGAATTGCAAGAACAAGCTGCGACAGAACTCCACGATGCACGAAGTCTTCTTCTGAGAGTGTCCATCACTCACGATGGATGATCGGCCTGGCATAGTTACCCTGCCATCTGAAGTCCGATGACTTCAGTTCAATTTGGTAAACTTGACATCATACAGACTAGGTCAACTTTACTTGACCAAGGGTGTTCATAAAAGGTTTGACGGACACCTTTTGTAAGATGACGGTACTGAATCGATTCTATATTCCTTTCTTGTGCGTGGGACTGGTAGTCAGCGGAGGCTTGAACTCGCTGCTCACCAAGTTTCAAGATAACCAGTGTGTTCGAAACTGTGATGGAAGTTCACCAGTGTTTTTCAACCAGCCCATTTTCCAAACTTTGCAGATGTTTGTTGGTGAGATGACGGTGCTCCTGGTGTTTTGGAGCCGCAAGAGCAAAACTGGACCTGTTGATGCAGGCATCGACAACAAGCCAGTGGTCAAGGGCAAGCAGCACCTGCTTTTAGCGATCCCTGCAGCTTGTGATATTATTGCATCGACACTGCTGAATCTGTCATTAGTGATGATCCCGGTCTCGATTTACCAAATGACAAGAGGTGCCATTGTGTTTTTCGTAGCACTCTTCAGTGTTGTATTTCTAGGTCGTAAGGTTACACGTCTGGAATGGACATCACTGGCTGTGATTGTTTTGGGAGTTGCAGTTGTTGGATACAGCGGTCAAAATAACGCTTTACAGACAGAAAAAAGCTCTTCACCGGAACACGCCACAGAATCCTTGTTTCTGGGCGTATCCTTCATAGTGTTGGGTCTGGTGTTCATGGCGTTCCAATTCATTTCGGAAGAACACATTTTGACGAGGTGGCAAGTTGTACCATTGGGTCTTGTAGGATTCGAGGGTCTTTTCGGTTCATTGATTACGTTCAGCGTTCTCCTTTTTGGCCACATTGTTTACGGCCATGCCAATACCGACTCCATCCTCAATTTGGGCCAAGCGTTCAAGGATACGGTTTCGAATGGCAACGTCTTGATATCGTCCCTACTCATTATGGCCTCCATTGCCTGTTTCAACTGTTTCGGAACCTCTATCACAAAGCATGTGAGTGCCACGTCAAGAAGTACTGTGGACACTTGCAGAACCCTGCTTGTATGGCTTGCGTCTTTAACGCTAGGTTGGGAATCTTTCAAAGTGTTGCAGCTATTCGGCTTTTTCCTTCTAGTTGTCGGGACCCTAGTTTTCAATGGAGCCGTTGAGATTCCAGAAAGGTACTTGCCGCAGTATCTACTGCAAGACAAGAACGCTGAGTACAAACGACTTATTGACACAGTGGATGAGGAAGTGGAAAGGTTTTAACGAGCTAAAAAGACAGTATGAATTAAGTTCAAAGAATGATTTGACGCGACGCGCTTGCTCTCCAGCTGTTGCCCTACATAGAATTATCGTAAGTCTTTTTTTTTTGATTTTTTCTTCAATCTGGGTATGGTTACATCGAGAGGTCTTTTGACGGTGGAAAGAAGACCAACCTTCTTTGTTCTTAGAACAACAAATCTAATGTGCAGCATAGACACATACCTGCAAGACATGCTGTTAAACAGTCGGTATTATTGCTGGTGGGTGGCTTTTGCTGCACGTAAACAGGTTGTTGCTGTTGATTGTAATAGCCCGGCTGTTGTTGGTGCTGTTGTGGGTAGTAATGCTGCTGCTGATTGTAGTTTGGCGGAGGGTTGGCGTAGTATTGTTGTTGTTGATGGCCGTAATACGCCTGCGGAGGCTGCTGCTGTTGCTGATGCTGATTCGAACTGAAAAACCCTCTACTGTCTGTTTGGTGGCCTGGTGGGGGACCCATGGGACTAGCATACTGTGAGTGAAAGAAGGTTAGTAACTAAACGAAAGCCTGGCTTAGCTATGGTGGTGCGAAAAAGAGGCATGCAATCAGCACCTCTTTACAGCTCTAACAGTGTGTCATAACGATATTTTGAGCCCCTTACATACTTGAGGTTGCGAGTTGGAGGTTCCTTTGTAGTATTCGGAAGCAGACATGATTTCCAATGGGATTAAGTCTTAATTATCGATAAAACCTCCGTTTGAAGCGCTAAAAAGTTCAAAAGAAAGCTTGAAATGAGAAGAGCACGATTGAGCCCACACAAATGATCTGTCCTTTATATCCTTTCGTGTTAGACTTTATGCTTTGGTCATCGAGGCTGCGCTTGAAGTCAGCTCCGCCTCTACCCAGATCAATATAAGATTAATCAAATATTAAATCCATATCTCTTCATACGAAGAGTCAAGTTTCCAAACGTAATTTATAAATCAAAGGGTCCATTTAAGAACAACATCAATCAAGAATTATCTCATAGATCAAATTCGAGCAAAACACCACCATTGCGGGACAATGTGTGGTTAATTTACCTGTTTTGATGCTTTCAATGAGTTTCCGAGAACAGGTTCACAGGGTACAGCTTTTTCAGCGAGTTGAAATCTTGATTTATAGCCATATTTAGTCTAGTTTGAGAGGAAGGACGCCGATATCCAAAAATAAACAGAATCGGCTATCTGGAGCTCAGTTTCGAGTTAGTGGGCATTGTTCAGGGTCCGGAATTCCATCCGGCAGCTGTGGGGCTGCGTCAAATCGGATGTGTCGTCCCGATTGATTGTCAACAAGCGGTTCCACATCAGGAAATGCATAAACAAAAGTGTAGTCCGAGAAAAACTGCAAAATTCTGGAATGGAAACAGATCTAGTTTAATAGCTGGGGGTCACCTTTTCTCACTTGAGGAAAAGGGTCTGAACAGAAGTAGCAGGAGCTCCTGCGCTTTTCGCCTTACGGTTCAGCTTATCCAAGAACTTTCTAGCGGACCACACCGATGGATCTCGACGGGAAATCGTCACTCTCGTCGCTTTCCGTTCTCTCTCACGATTCAAGTCCGCATCCATCATCCTTGATCTTCACCAAAAGCCACACAGATGATTCCTTCCGTCCTTTGGCAGGGGACACTCCTGTGAAATGGCAAGCATCTCATAAAGAGTTCCACTTCAACAGCAATAGTACACCTTCCAAATCCAGCAGCACCGATGCGTTCGAGGATCCGGCTCGCAAGTTAATGCGCAAGAGACGTGTGGCAAGAAGCAATCTCAGTGGTGCCAAACCAAGGCTGCATTCCAACTTAAAGGCTTCCACCACGAAACTGGATCTTTTGGACGATCACAAACTCACAAGCTTGCCCATTCCGCACCCTCTCGAGGAACCCAGTCATCATAAAACCCCTCGGAACTTGACTCATGAGGCTCAAATTCGCATCCATGCCGACAATAGACGTTTCAGTGTTGATCCCAAGCTTGTAAAGCAGGATTGCGATGGTACAGATCATGAAGAATGCCATCCACCCATAGTCCTGGTTGAAGACTACATTCCTGATGATTCTCGACGACTCAAGTTCGCGCGGAGTAAAGTCTCCATTTCCGATTTGAAGAGTAAAGTTAGCAAAAGTAAATCTCCTAACTTGCCTATTAAGCACAGAACAAAACGCACGATTTCGGCCACGTCGTCGCTCACTCTAACACCGCATGTGAGGGATGGCGACTCTGTTGTTAACATGGGTATGATCGAGGAAGATTCATTTTTACTAAGGGCTGATCAGCGATCTGCCAAATCTGACAAGACTGCCGTAGCAGACATCGAGGAATTTCTGGGCGCAGTTATCAAGCACAATGATGACAAAGACATGTATCTTCAAAGCTTGAATGTTGAGAATAAAGTCAAAGGTTGCGTTATTTGCGAAAAGCCCTTGTATGAGATAAGTTCGCTAATCGAAGGTCGCCCTTTCCGCGAAATAGTGTGTTCTTCCTGTACGGTAAAATATGAAGAAACGGCAAAGCTACTTGAAGACTACGAGTTCGATACATCTACGGACTCAGCAAACAATTCACACGATTTCAGCATGGAGAGTGAAGGATGGGCTGGCGAGGCAGATGAGGCACTGCCTCTAGATACCAAAAGACACAAGACGGGACAGTTCTCGTCAAACCTCATCAGCAGACTTCAAACGCAGCTAAAACAAAGGGGCGGTCCGGGTCCTAGCAATAACAACGTTGTCGATTCAAAGACAATGATTTGGTTTATCGAGGCGAAACGGAAGCTTCGATGGAGGTGGGGAGCAAGTGGCTTGTTTCCACAGTTTCTTGCTGGCAAAAGAAATGTATAATAGAGTTATATGATAGGTTGGGTAAATAACGAACGTTTTCACTGCGTCATTTGTCAATCCAAGTCCAGCTCAGAAGGTTCTAATGACTTGACAAATTCTGCGATAGCCGTCAGAGCAAAAGTGTGGTCTTCTTCTTGCTTCAAGCCGCTGACTGTCAATATCGCAACCAAAGAATCGATTCCATCCACATAAACTGGAATTGAACCACCATGGACAGCATATTCTTTGGAATCAATGTAAAAAGCATCCTCCATTCTATCCATCTTCTTTGCCTTTAGCTTCTGACCCATTACAAAACTGGAACACCCAAACCTCGTAACGGTCTTTTTCTTTCTCGCTACCCATATATCATTATCGAAAGAGGTGTCTTTATTAGTTGTAGTGTGGAAAAGACACTGTCCGGATGGTAAAGAAATATCGAGTACCATTGACTTAGATGGAAACAGCTCAATCGCCCATTCTCGCAATTTCAGTCCGAGTTCGAAAGCGATGTTATAATCAAACCGGGGCAAACGGGTCTGATTTTCCAGAGTTTTCAATTCTTCAACGTTTTTTTTGGAAATTTGTTTCAACAAATCTGGGAAGGAGCCAAGCATAGTAAATGTTCTTTTGGTGGTTTAAAACTCGACTTGGGATGCTATTCTTGTTGTAAAATGGTCTTTTGACAGCTTAAGAACATCTCATCTTCTCCTATAAAGGCAGCGGAAATATTTCCCGATGTGTTTTGCTAGTCATTTTCCGACCCAGGAAATATACCCGACAAGATAATTGACTGTATAACGCCGAAGGACAGATGATGACGGTAGTGGGAAGCTCAAGAAGAATAAGTGAACTGTACTTTTCGGTCAGTGTGGACTCTCGAGCTGTCCTTAGGATGTGCAGAGTTTCGGGTTTTTCTTGCTTCGATTGAGTATATTTTGCGACCATTGGTCTCACTTTTTTGTTACTTGAAAAATCCGTTTCTCACCACCTAAGCCATTCAAGTTTAGCTTTGAGAATCAGGAATGCAATTAGCCGGTATGCGAACCAAACGCATATGATTATTCCAAGATATTGACTGGTATTGCGTTTTAATCCATAACTATCAAGTACCTGAGAACCTGACGAAAAAACGCACGAGCCGTCCGGGTTTCGGCCCTCATCCGAGCAGGTGAGCTCGAGGTCGTCAGGAAAGGCGTAATTTATCAAAACCATTGAAGTGTAATTCAGCGGGCTCAAATAATTAAATCCTCGTAGCACCCGCGACATTTGTAATGACATTAGGCCCGACATCACACAGCCTATTGTAAGAACGATCGACACAACGGTGACTACAAACCCGGGTGTGGTGAAAAGCGTATTTGTGATGATGCCTAAAGCTTCACCGCAAGTCGATATGACCATGCTGCAGTACATCGTGACGAAAAAGTTGTCTGCGGATCGGTTCAGACCACACACAAGCACGATGAATATTGCGAACAAAGCGGCAGCAAAAGCTGCCATGGGAATTTCCAATGTCATGTAAGCAAGGAAAAAGGGCGTAATTCCATAGACGTTATCCTCAAATTCACGATAAAAATAATTTCTCTCGCTGGGATAGCACGCAAGGTTCGTCAGCATACCTGTGAAATACAGAGCTGTGGACTGTTGGACCAGACCAAGCCTGTTTGAGGTGCTAGCATAGTCGTGTCTGATTGGTGCGAAGAAAAGAGCCAGTATGATGCCAACGCCTGGAATCTGTGCTAATCTAGCACTCAAAGATTCCATATTACGCGCGATCGTCTTGGCTTGACGTCTCACACATACTTTGTAGGCAACAGTGAATGGTGCTTTCTTTCGACTGCGACCATCCATTGCAAACCCTTCGTATTCCGGCTTGCTACTTATCTTGTGCGATCTCTGATCCCATTCCGACAAAAGCGATTCTACCCTGTCGCGAGAGTTTGTCTCGTTGGTATCATTTTGCGTGTTCACAGAGACCAGGTCCAGAAAAAAATCCGCTACATTGGTCAGCGGAGGGCATTCGAAACCGAGACGTCGAAAGTAATCAATCATATCAAGTGGCCCTCCATTGTAGGCCACGCGTCCACCTTTGGCCAGCAACAGAATGTTCCCCAGCTTTTGAAAAACCTCCGCCCGCGGCTGATGAATGGAGATGATGACTGTCTTGCCCGGCTTGTTGCTGATGTTCTTCAGGACCTCTAATATCTTGAAAGAAGTAAAGCTATCTAGTCCTGAAGTAGGCTCATCAAGCAGTAATATTGAGGGATCCGTCAAAAGGTGGATTCCCATAGACACTCTTCTTTTCTCACCTCCACTTATCCCCTTAAGAAGCTCATTTCCAACCAGTGTGTCTTCACAATGTTTCAAGCCCAGGTCTATAATTATGTCGTTTACTCTCGAAATTCGCTCCTCGGACCGGAAAGCTGACAGTCTCAAGTCTGCCGCCAAGGACAATGTCTCCTTGACCGTGAGATGTGCTAGTAAGTGATCATCATCCTGCGGTACAAATGAACAGATGCTTTTCAGCCCATGTGCTGGGACATGGGTTCCATTGAGATAAATCTTTCCTGATGTGTCGACAGATGTCCAGAATTTCGATCGGACTTTTCCTGATATGACATTGAGAAGTGTAGACTTCCCAGAACCCGAAGGACCCATTATGGCGTTGATAGTGTTGGGTTTGAAAACGGCATCAATGTCATTCAAAATAGTGATATTTTCCGAAGTCTCTTGCGATTTGTGTATTGTCCAGGTTCGTCTGTTCCGAATTTTCATGTTGAGAGATTGAACTTCAACCTTGAGAGCTGTTTCAGTTAAGGAACTCGAGCCCAGCGTATTGGACTCTAAATCTGGAAGGCTTTCTTTGGCATTTTTTGAGTTTGGCTTTTTAGCTTTTATCCGTTTGGCGAGGCTCACGTCGACTGTCTTTAGCTTAAATATCAACACTGCAACGACATAGAATGCGATCGACCAACAGAATACAATTATAATCGGGGTTGTCCTCCAAGAGCGAGGAAAGCCAAGACTGCTCAAAACCATATTTCCAACGCATTCCCTCTCTTCCTCAGAGTCGCAAGTCAAGTTGGCAAACCCATTGGTCACCATAGCACCAAAAGCATACCATAGGTAAGTGATATACTTTGTCCATCTGACATACACAGGCATTTGCTTGGCATTAACAAAAAATCCGCATGCCATTGACTGTAAGGTGTAGTTGAGGTTGCCCACAAGCGAAGCCTTTGAAAAATCTCGAGAAATCGCAACCGAAACAAGGGCGAAGGACGCAGAGCACTGATGAACAAGTAACACTACCGCAAAAAAGACAAAGAATGATTTTGCCCCAGCTTCCATCCCATACATGAAGAATGTGACAATCGAATATAATAAAGGCATTGCGAGATCCTCAGCCAAGAAGTTTGCTATTCTACGAGCAGCTATGAAAGACCAAGGGGTTACACAGCCCTCGGCTCTCTCACGATCGTAGACTTTAATGTCTTGTTCGCAAAGTCGATAAGTTTCAAATAACAGGAAAAGGTAACCCTGCAGCGCCGCTGCGGAATAAAGTGCTGATGTTAGAGTTCTTATTCCCTTGGCTGAAGTCGGGTCAGGCTTATAAAAGATCCATCCATTAATGACACCGACTAAGACAGGTTCGGCTAAAAGCGCCGCAGTCGTCATGGGATCTCTCAGGTTGAGTTTGAATGCTCGTCTTGTGAGCACTCGTACTTGTGATAAGAATGAAACATGAGGCATTACGGGAACTGGCGGCGCCAATTTTGGCTCTACAAATTTGGCAGCATTATGTTGTTCATTCCAGTTTTCTATTAGTTTGTTGAGTCTGTCCGAGGACTCTTGCGCAAGTTGTTTGGATCTGGTGTCAACGCTGCATATATCAATAAAGTAATCTGCAGGATTGACATGCTTGGGAACATCGAAACCCAGTCCACTGAAGTAAGGCACCATCTTCGCAGTTTCATCGCAGTACACGTTGTAGCCCTTGGATAGAATACAGACCTGGTCCAAAAGGAATAAAATATCTGCCCGTGGTTGATGAATGCTCATCACAAATGTTCTTCCTCCTCCGTGGGCCAGCTTTCGGAGTGTTTTGATGAGCAAATAAGCGGAATAGGCGTCCAAGCCGGTAGTGGGCTCGTCTAAAAACAAAAGTGATGGATTTGAGATCATCTGTATTCCGATACTGAGTCTGCGTTTTTCTCCGCCGGAAAGTCCTGGATGACGGGAGTCCCCTACGAGAGTTTCGGCACAGTCACGTAGTCCCAACTCTGCGATCAACTCATTGACCAAAACTTGTCGCTCCTTCTTACTGACTCTAAGCTTGAGATCGGCAGCATATTGTAAAGTTTCACGACAAGTCAATCTCGAAGACAGCACATCTTGCTGTGTTAGATACGCGGTTGTGAAAGTTGAGTTATCTTTCGAACAGGGTTCATTGGTGGTGATATTCTCCTGTGCTGGAGCAGGGACGTAGTGGAAGGATCCTGTATATTTCAAATTTCTGGATACTTTAGATGCCAGTACATTTAGCAACGTTGTTTTGCCAGATCCTGATCCTCCGATGATTGCCATTATAGTACCACTAGGTATTGTCATCGAGATGTCTTGCACGATGGCCACATTTTTCGGTGCTATCACCGATAGCTTGCAAACATCTAGTGAGACCCGGGGTGCTGTAGCAAATGATAGCTCATTCTCCACAAGCTCAATATCCATAGATGCCAACTGTGGGTGGCTACGATCTGAGGATAAAGGGTGGTGAACAATGGAAAAGTTGGCTTGTATATGTGAAAGCAGAAGTCCAGTAATATGTCAAGGACAGTAAATGATGATATCAGGTTGAACGATCACCGTTAAGGGCGGTCGTCAATGAGCTCACCAATGAGTCGACAAATTGACTCCGTTCCGGTTCCCAGCTTTAATCGTTGACTTTTCCTCTGTGTTGAAAGGTAACTCGTTACGTTTCCGCTTGGTTCGTGAAGTTTTGTTGGAGTGTGGATGAAGATAGCGACAATGCCGTGGATTGGGTCAAAAACTGATTTAGAGATGTTCAGCATCCAGTGAATTTGACAGACTTGGAATGCGCTTTCATCTCTTTGAACTAATTTTTGGCGCCCTCTCAATTTCATTCTATATCGTGTTGTCCTCACAATTGAGATGGTGTACATTCGAAACGAAATGATCTCAAGGTCCTCAGCGTTCTGTGAAGGTATGTTTCATTGGTGATAGAGGCTTTGATGTGCCATTTAAAGTCCAATATAAAGCGATAGCCCTGTCTCCATATACAGTTTCCTAAAGGTGTTTTTACTGTTATTCATAAATACGAGTGTTTGATCGTGTTAGATGGAGTTTGAGAGGGCTTTGAACGGTCTTTTTTTGGCTGCAAAAATCGAAGCATGCCAGAATTCGAAGAGACCAAAAGAGAGGGAGAACATGGCTAGAATTACCCACCTCTTGCTTCCAAGTGTCGCGTGCTTGGTCAAAGGTTTTTGACAGCTCTGGTCTGTCATTAACAAATTAATTGAAAGTTGAACATATAACCAAATATACAGATATATCATGGTTGAAAGTAACAAATCAAACAAAGCAAGCAATTAATCTTTAAGTTTCTTGAGTGCTCGAAATAATGTCGATTTTTCTGGATTTTTTAATACCAATTGACCTGGTATTTTCGTTTTCTCTGCGAATCAGTGCGATGACAGTATATTGAAGCTGACTTAAAAGAAAACCCGTTTTCCTTAGACGCCAAAAACATCAAAAAAAAATCAAGACTGTCTTTCAGCCTTAATTGCAGTATCATACGATGCGTTGGTAAGCCTTTTTGAAGCTACTATGGTCAGAGGTTTCTATCTTTTTTAATGTGACGCCGGGCCACATGACCGTCCTGGTAAGTAAGTAATTGGCTATATAACAAGATCATATTCCAATGCAGATTCAGCATCGGTTCACGGACGATCTTGACATTTGAGAAACCCTTGGAAGCAACACAATGGACGCCCTACTCAACTCAACCAATTCCAATGCTCGCGGGATCCCAGAGGCTCCTTTCGTGGAAAAAGTTGAAGACTTTATAAAAGATCCTAGCGACTTCGATGTATGCTTCAACAAGTTCCAGGAAAGACTATCGAAATACAAATACATGCAAGAATCCAAGCTTCTCACGGTGAAACAATTGAAACAAAAGATTCCAGACATCGAAAATACACTCAGCATGTGCCATGCGCTAAAGAAACAACAAGAACGCGGCCGCAATTTAGAAACCAATTACCAGCTTAACGAAACACTTTACACTACAGCAGAGATAGACACTTCGAAAGATTTGAAAGTGGGGCTTTGGCTCGGGGCAGACGTAATGCTGGAGTACCCTGTGGACGAGGCCATCGATCTGCTGAATGAGAAACTCGCAGATGGCAGGAAAAACCTCGAAATCAACCAGGAAGACGTGGAGTACCTAAGGGAGAACATCACTACTATGGAGGTCAACTGCGCCAGACTCTACAACTGGGACGTAGAAAAACGCCAGCAATTGAAGCAAGCGCAGCAAAAAGCCTAATAATTCATCTCTGTCATTGTCTTTGATTTTATAACCAAAGGAGAAAAGAAGGCAACCTTAATCCTCGATATATTTACCTACATCCTAAACGTATTCAAAAATTGAACACCAAGCGGCCTTGCTGGCTCGTCGCTGGGCTCTTCGCCAGGCTCAGCGTCGCGACCGTCTTCGTCAGACGCAGCACGCACGCTTCCTGCTTGGGACTGGCCTGACTCTGATTCGGCAGCTACAACGCCCCTCGATGGGGCTGTTTGAGAGCCTTGTGAGAAAAGGGGAAGCCTGAACACCTCAGAACCTGGGAAAAGTCCTCTTTCGATGAAAACACCGCACATCCAGCTCAAAAACCCGGTCACAAGGCCCACAACGCCTTGGTTCAGCATCAAGATGGCTACCAATGCGTTTATCACGAACTGGTCGTTGAAATTCCATTTGAGTTGCTTGGACCGGGAGCCTAAGGGCTTGATGAGCTTGACGTCAAATCCGTACATTCGCGGCGTGTATTCCTTGTAGAAATGAAATAGGCCCATCAAAATTGGCACAGCACCGCTGGTGAACCGATTCCACTTCAAAAAAGGGTTCAAGTTAAAAACCCAAGCTGTCACGATTACCACAACGCTAGTATACATCCACGTCAGTGCTATCAGGCTTATGTATTTTCGACTGCCCAGCAGTCTTTCCAAATGCCTGAAATTGTACCATATAAGTGTGATCAGTATCACGTCTGTCTCATTCACTGCCGCAACCTGGAACGTCGCCAATCTGTAGTATTGTCTGTAAGTTGAAATAAATGGATCAATGTAAAGCAGAAACCAGTGCTTTACGCCAGCCACCGACGCCAAAACTGGAATGCCCAGACTCATGAGTGTACATAGCTTAGTCACTGGGAAGCTGGTGAGGCCCTGGGGCGTCTCAGTTGCCATCATTTCGCGCACTTCACGATGCCAGACTTGTAGAGATGAGTTTGGCTAATTTGACAACTTTATTAAGGTCATTTATCAAGAATCAAGTACTCGGCTACTACAGATATCAAATGATCAAGAGTTACGCCTTAAAGGAATGTCTTCCAATGCTTTGACTTCTGATTTGGACGTCGCAGTAGATCACCTAGTCACTATTTTACATCATCGTGGTTTCGCGGGCAAAATACAAGAGATTTTGGACAACTTAGTCTACTATATACCTAGATTACGTAGAAAGAGAAAACTTGAAGAACTCGTTTCTGCATTTCTGGAATCGAAACTATGGTCTTCATCACTCAACGGAGATCGGACTAGTTTGCAAGAAGCTGCGGAAGCTATATTTTCATGGAAACTCTCAATTTCTGAACCGGTCATCAGCGTCTTCGAATTTTACGAAGTTTGGGATCGAGTTATCATGAGATGCCCAGCATGGAATATCAACAAGTTGACTATTTTGATCGGTATACTTGGTACCAGAGATAAGTTCGGCAGCCTTCAAAGGCAGTATTTCCTTGACAATTCACATTCTGTATATGGAAAATATGCGAAATGGAGGGACGATCTGTTCGTGCCAGTTTGGCGACAGCTCTTCAAACAAAGCCTGGGCCACTCACCAAGGGATGCAGAAGATCTGGCAGTGTTAATGGCCTGTGTTTTTACACAATCAGAAGTTTTGCATGAATTTCTCAACCAGTTTGTCTCTATCCTATTGCACCTGTCGTTGGCATACATCAGAGATTACAAGAATAGTCCTGTTTTCGTTTCCAGAAATTTGGGAAGCATTGCGAAAACATTAGAATATGCGCTCTGTCGAACAGATGCTGCTATCTCTTCGAATGCGCTCAATGCGCTAACTGCAACGATTTTTGATATGTCCCTGACCGAATTGCATGCCCCTAGAGCCAATTATTCAACCCAGACACACTCGAACCAACTTCTCACTGTTGTTTCCATTCTGAGAGGCTGCTTTGCTTATTCACCGGCACGGAGTGAAAAGTACGGTCAAGCCATCATGTCGCTATTTTACGTGGATTTTCTTGCCCAAGATTTTGGTAAGACAGGATTCTACTCCTATGAGTATGTCTATAAATTATGTGTGGCAGCCTGCACCTTCTCTCCTGCAGAATACTATGGCTGCCTTGACACTATGCGCGGCAACATTTATCAGTTCCCCAACAACAACGTTGTGAACAAGAGCAGAATACTGTTTCTGCTCAATTTTCTCGAGGCTTCGCTGGGACCTGTGCCTATCACTCCTCGTTTTCTTGAGGAATATCTGGCTCCTGTTGTCACTTACTATGCAGCATCCTCGGATGCTGAGATATGTGAAGCTGCACACGCAGCGCAACTCTGTATCTACGGTGATAAGAGCGGGGATCATTTTCTGCAAGTGTGGAAAAGAACCCACTACCTCAAGTTCCTGGAGCAAGCTGTTCAGCGATACTTTTCAAAGGTTCTGTCACCCAGCCAGTTGATACACATTTTCGCTGTAATCAGTCAAGAAATACCAGCCTTACGTCTAGTTGACCCTGACGTTTCCCGCGAAATACTACAATACACTTATTTGCGCATCTTGAATAGCCGACAAGCATCACCCGAAGAACTATCTACGCTGATACAATGCTTGGTTAAGCAGCTGCCTCATATTGATGCCAAGTACATCACTGATTGGCTAGAAAATTGCATAGAACTAACCCAAATTTGTCCGCCTCAAAAGGAAAAGATTCTCGACTGTCTCTGGGAACAGATCACATCCGGGCAGTTATCGAACGATCGTGCTTTGGAATGGTTCTTGAAAACACAGTCCAAATTTTGACCACTCAACCAAATGTCAACGAAAAATTGCCATTTAAACTAGAATCGAAAGCCAAAAATTTGCCCAACGCTCGCGAAGCTACTTAAGCGTCAAGATTCCTGTTAAATTTACTAGATGTCAGGGTTTATTCTCATTTTGGTGTCATTTTCTTATGGCGATGAGCTTCACCATAATTAAGAAAATTTTTCAGGCCTTCTACCATACTACTATGCTCATCACCACTACAAAAGAGCCCTGGATCTTAACAAAACGTCTCTGACTGCCAACTACTGCCCTTGAAAGTATCGGCAGCATGAGCAAGACAGATGCCACTGATTCGGCCACGCAAAAACAAGATCTGAATGAATACGAACAACATTACTTCAGTTCCTATGATCATCATGGTATCCATGAAGAAATGCTTCAAGATTCGGTAAGAACGCTTTCTTACCGCAACGCGATTGTTCAAAACAAGGATTTGTTCGAGGATAAAATCGTGCTAGATGTTGGATGCGGTACAGGGATTCTGTCGATGTTTGCTGCGAAAAACGGTGCCAAACATGTTATTGGCGTTGACATGTCGAGCATCATTGAAATGGCCCGCGAAATCGTTGATCTCAACGGATTCTCGGATAAAATCACTCTACTTCGCGGAAAGTTGGAAGATGTCGAATTGCCTTACCCCAAAGTTGACATCATCATATCTGAATGGATGGGTTACTTTCTGTTGTACGAGTCCATGATGGACACCGTTTTGTTGGCCCGTGATCGTTACCTAGTCGAAGGGGGTTTGATTCTTCCAGACAAATGCTCAATTCACGTTGCTGGTATCGAAGATGCTCAGTACAAGGACGAAAAACTCAACTACTGGCAAGACGTCTACGGCTTTGATTACTCGCCATTCATCCCACTAGTCAAAAGAGAACCACTCGTCGATACTGTCAACCACAGTGCCGTTAACACCACGAGAGCCAAGCTGATCGAATTCGACCTGAACACCATCACTGTCGCCGATTTGGCCTTTAAGTCGAAATTCAAGCTTGAAGCTAAGAGCCAAGATTTCATAAACGGGCTCATTAGTTGGTTCGACATTGAATTTCCTGCGCCAAAGGGCAAAAAACCCATCACTTTTTCGACAGGTGCCCATGCTCCTTACACGCACTGGAAACAAACCGTATTCTATCTAGAGGACGACCTAGAGTGTGAAAAAGGTGATGTCCTGGAAGGTGAATTAACTTGCACTCCAAACAAGACTAACAACAGAGACCTTGACGTTAAAATCGTTTACGATTTCAAAGCTAAGGGTGTGGAGTCGGCCCAGAGGTCAAAGAAGAACACAAACTTGTATGTGATGCATTGAGGGGTATGTAACATAGGTTAATATTGTAGATTAGAACAAATCAATGAAGCACAATCAATTATCATTCAAATGAGCATCTTACCGTTGTTTGCGTGCTGGCTGCGAATATCGAAAGTTTGAAGTTTTAGTAAACAGGAATCAGAATTAAAACCTAATGCTAATACACTTGACTTACATACCAATCCTTGAAACGTCTAAAAAAGAGTTTTTTGTAGAACCTTGAGTTCAAAACACTTATTCGTGCTTCAAAGTCTCGGAGAAAACCTTGGAGACGGAGCCCTTCTTGTGCTCGGCCTTTTGGGAGCCCAACTTCTCGGCAGCGAAGACCTTGGCGTATGGGTTCAATCTCAACAAGACTTGCTTGTTCTTCAATGGATTCTTCTTCAAAACGTGAGTACGCTTTTGGCTTGGCTGGCCAGCTGGTCTAACAACAGATTGGATTTCAGAAGAGTTGATGATTCTGGTGACATCGGTGTTGGAGATGATGTTGGCTGGCAAAGTGTAGTTAGACTTGACAGAAGAGGCAACGGTCTCGGAACCCCAGACCTGGTCCAATTGAGCGAAAGCAGCTTCGGTCCAGATGACGAATCTACCCAAGTGAGCACCTGGGGCCAATTGCAAGAGGTTCAAAGAAGCAACGTTGGCGGTTTGAACACCTGGCAAGTTTCTGAAAGCCTTGACAAGACCGTTGTCGTTGGCGTAGACAACCAAAGGACCTAGTCTCTGGGTGAATCTTCTGTTTCTGTACTTACCCTTACCGGCTCTCAACTTCTTGGACTTTAGCACCTTGACAACGTCGGAGTGGGCACCGACAGCCTTTAGGGCGGCGACGGCTTCCTTGGTCTTGGTGATAGACTCTAGCTCAGAAGAGACAACGAGAGGGATCTCTGGGATCTTCTCGACACGGTGACCTCTGGCCAACACCAAAGAGGCCACAGCAGAGGCGGCGATCGCAGACGCGGTGGCGTATCTCTTTTCGTTGTGGTTAACCTTGACGTTCCACTTTCTCCAGGTCTTGGTAGGAGCGAACATACGACCACCACGACACATGTTACCGAAAGCAGCCTGACCGGATCTGTGGGTACCACCACCACCGACACGAGGAATACGGGCAACAGCACGACCAGTACCCCAAGACTCGGCAGAGGTTTGGTGACCAGCCTTGTCAGAGACGGCGTAAGCCTGTCTCTTGTTCTTGTTCACGCTGGTGAAGACGCTGTGGACAAGGTCTGGACGGATTGGGGCCGAGAAGACGGCTGGCAAGGCCAAAGAGTTGCCGGAGGCTTCGCCGGTGAGCTTTTGCACGGAGACTTGAGGACGAGAAGACATGGTTCTTAAAACTAGCAAAGAGTGCGATGGGGTTTTGGGAAGAAATTTACAAGAGATGGCGATGAGATCGTTGGCCTTTTTATAGTCCTGCTGGAAAAAAAAATTTTTCAAAAATTTGAAAAACAGAGTGATCGCTATGTACGTCTGTCGACTGGATGTCTGGGTAGAGGTAAGGATGGAAGATCGGATAGATAATCGAGTAGATAGCGAAACAGAGACGACACGAAAAGGATTTATACCGACAAGAGATCCTGAAGTCCAATCGACAGAGAATAAGACAAACAGAACACTTACACTTACACTTCACAAATAATAAAACAACAATGACACTTTTTAAACCATTATTTAGATTTAGTAGGGTTTTTTATTACTCTAGGGAGTGTTTCTTCTAGGCATTTCGAACATGAGCCAACAGTGTTCCACTTTCATTAATGGACCAAGTAGAGCTAAAATACATGCGAAGTCGCAAATGCGCTGCCTCTTTTTGTTTGTTCAACACCAGAACTTCCATGCACGGTACCAGTAGGGCTTGGTGCTCAAGATGGCCCGCTCTTCGGCAATTTCCTGTCTCAGGGTGTCGATGTCAACGACTCTTCTGCCGGTGTCGATATCGACATCCTTGGCTCTGATAAATAGTTTCCAGTTACGTTTCCATATCTTGTGACCGAAGTAGAAGGTCAAAAGAACTGGGAACGACAAGTAAGCCTCGAAAAAGTTCTCGGCACTTGGAGAGCCTCCTGGTGGCCACACTGCAACCCAGAACTGCGCAATAAGTACCAGGAGAATTAAGCCCGCACCGTAAGCGGACCCCCATACGCCCACTGTGGACTGGAAGGCCAACTCATCGGTGGAACGACCTTGCGCAGCAAGCGCTCTCCTAAAACGCAGGTGGCACAGACAGATACCAAACCAGGAGAACAGAGATGACAGCCCGGAAAGCGCTAGCAACCAGTTGAAAACGTCGCCTTCTTTGTCGGATTGTGCGATGAAGCACAGTAGACCAAAGGTACAGGTAACGGCAATGCCGACTAGTGGACGACCCTTTCTGTCGATGTATCCAAAAACCTTTGGTAGCGAGCCCTGCTCGGCCAAAGCGGTAATAGATCTGGAGCAAGCGAAAACGGCAGAGTTACCAACGGAAAGCACGGAAATTAGGATGACCACGTTGATAACGCTTGGAAGACCGCTGATTCCATGGCTCTTGATAGCAATCACAAAGGGAGAAGCGGTGGCGTCCACGGATGAAGCGCCAATTAGTCTATCGTCGTTGTAAGGAACAAGCAGACCGATCAAGCACAGCGAGATGATGTAAAAAAGCGTGATTCTCCAGAAAACCTGTTTGGATGCACTAGGTAGAGACTTTCTAGGGTTTTCGGTTTCGGCAGAGGCCAAACCGACCAGTTCCGAGCCGGCAAAGGAGAAAGCGGCGGTTACAAACACTGTGCATACACCTTTAAACCGTTTTCCAGCAGTGTCACCAATCAAGGCGCCTGGGTTTTGCCATGTGGAGCCTCCAATGTAGTGACCGTGAGGCCCACCACCACACACCAGGATGACACCCAGGATGATAAACCCAATCACAGTGACCACTTTGATGAACGAAAAGATAAACTCGGCTTCACCGTAGCCCTTGACACCAAACATATTGATGAGCACGATGACCAGGTAGAACAGAGCGACGAATCCGTCACGGTATTTGGGCGGTGTGCCCCAGAAGTTGACAGTGATGGACGCGGCGACGATTTCTAGTGGCAGCACCACGAGCCACTGGAGCATATAGTTGTAGTTGACGGCGAAACCGAACGATTCGTCCACGAAACGCGTTGCAAACGTTGTGAAACCACCAGAAACCGGGTATGCCACAGCCAGTTCACCGGCTGACATGACCATACAGTAGATCATGGTACCGGTGAGACCCCAGCCGATCAAGATTCCTGCTGGACCAGCAGTTCTGAGAGCTTTTCCGGACCCGACAAACAGCCCGGTACCGATAGCACCACCGATGGCGATCATTTGCAAGTGTCTGTTTTTGAGATGGCGTTGCAGCGGCGATTTGGCCGTTGCAATGGCGGTTCTTTCTGCTGCTGTGAGGTTTGGGTCGAGATCTTCCATTTTGACCTGTTTGAAGCTGTCTTTGAAGTCTTGCCATGCGGAGACCGACTTGGACGGCGTGTCACCGGCCACACCGCCCTTGTTGGACTCTGCAGACGTATCGTAAGAGTGGGTTCCATCTCCCTGGTAGCCTCTTTCCTCCTGCGAGTACACGAAGTTTTTCTTGTCTTCCGACATGGTGGATGGCAAGCTTATGGGGAGGGTTATTAGAGGGTTATTAGAGGGTTATTAAAGGGTTGTTGGAGGATTGTTGTAGGGTTTTGAAAGAGCTATCTGAACTTTCAAATGCTGTTATGCCCTTTTCCCAACATTGTCCCGCATCTTTTATACGCAACTGTTGTGCCAAGCTTGCAGATTGGCAGAGGTGGGGTTGGTGCTGGTACTGGTGGTGGTACTGGTACTGTTGGTTGCATTGCTGGCTTATCTTTCAGGATATGGTGTTATTCGAGATACGAAAGCTGACGATGGGGTGGTGGGTAGATGATAGCGACGATATTGGTGTTCTGATGGGGGATATCGTACGTTGCATGCGGCACTAACTTTTTTTCTTCAACGTATCCGTTATCTTGTCTTACCACAGTTTGTTATCGATGCATCTGTTATGAACCGTGTACGACTTGTTTTTAAGGATTAAAGAGTTTTTCGAGCTGTATCTATCAGATGTGGTGATGCTGATGCTGATGCTGATGCTAGTTCTGGTGCTAGTGCTGGTGCTAGTGCTGGTGCTTTTGATAAGGTACACTTTTGAGGAACGTGTACGAGGGACAGAGAGGGACAGAATCGTATCGCCAAGATTGGGAAGACTAGATTAGATAGCTTTTTCGAGTGTGGCAATGGACGAAACTACAAGCAACGAAGCCGTTGCTTGTTGGCAAAGAGAGCAGGGTGAAGGGTGTTGGTGAGTGTGAACAGGTGGTGAGAAGGTATGGTGTTAGTGAGGGTGTGAGTGAGGGTGTGAGTGAGGGTGTGAGAAAGTTGTTAATAGGTTTGGTGTAGATGTGATGATGATTGACGAAATGGTCGTCGCCAAGAAGTCTTTCGTCAAGTTTCATGAAATAGGTTTCTTAAAACACGATGTTTGGTTAAAAGACAGAGGAAGTTAAGTTTTTCATGGGTATTATAGAGCTTAGAGAGTTAGAGTTGAAGCTGGAGGGGGGTGGTGTTGTTTATAGAGAGTTGAAGCTGGGAGGTATTGTGAAAGAATGAACAATAGACAATAGTACAGGGATAGAAATCACAAGATTTGAGAGCTTATTGAAGGGAAGGGTGAAAAACGTACGGGGAGGGTTTTGAACCAGGGTCTCGAACCAGGGTCTTGGACTAGGGTCTTGAACCAGAGACTGCGTGAAAGACCGGCGATAAGTTAAGGATGTATCATGAATATAGCACAGCACAGGAAACAACTTGAAAAACGGATCCCGTTTTCGTACTATACCGAGACGCCATGGCTCGGTTGAGTATCGAATTGCAAATGTCTACTCGCAATCATCCACAAACGGATGGTCAAACCGAAAGGTGCATCCAAGTACTAACTCGGCTTCTAAGAAGCTACACTCAAAACGCACAAGATTCTTGGGACAAGTGGTCACCACAACTGGAATTTGCATACAACTCCACTTATAATACTGCTATTCGTGCATCTCCCTTTGAAGTCGATCTAGGATACTGCCCAAACGAACCACTCCTTGATCATGATGAAATGGCCAACGCAAGAAATAGCGACCGACAACAACTCATGCAACAATTACATGCCATTACGTTAAGAACTAAAGAGTTTCTAACCGAAAATCAAATTGATATGCAATCAACAAAAAACAAGGGAAGAAAAGCATTAGTGTTCAAAGTGGGAGAATGGGTATTGCTACATGAAGATTCTATATTCACGTTGAGACATCATGGAAAATCTCAAAAAATGTATGGAGGTCCCTATCAAGTGAAAAAAGTTATCAATAACAATGCGTACGAACTGGACATGCCTAATCACCCGAGGAAACACAAGGTAGTCAATGTACAGTGGTTGAAGAAATTTGTTCATCGAACTGAAGCCTATCCAAATGAATCGCCCATCTCATCATTGGATAAAGTTATTCGGTGTTCAGAAATAACAGAGGTTATTGGTTACGACACATTAAACAAAATATACTTCTGCAAAATGTCAATTATTGATCCAACCATTACAGTGCAATATCAGGAACATGAATTCAACGCACTTCCAGAAACAAGACGGAAACAACTTATGGATACATTCCGACGCACCTGCGGAAACCCCGGGGAAGAAGGAGGGGAAGATGTCATGGAATAACTTGACATGAATAATAATAGATAAGGCTGAAAGAAAGTTGTCACTGTCAACAGTAAGCGATTAGCTTTTGTGATAGATCACAAAAGCTGACACAAAAGGGATGACAGATTGACATATAAAAGAGGGTCTAAGACCAAGGAAGTAGACATAGCTTAGTTAAGAAGGATAGCTAGAATCTAGGGAATAAAAGTACCCAAAAAGGTCAAGTTAAGTGATCAGTTACAGTTTCTAGTAGTTCGTGATAATTACCCACGACAATTGGTAGCGCCACACCTGTGATGGGGAAACAAGTTGAAAAACGGATCCCGTTTTCGTACCAAATGACGACCCGATTAGCAGCCCAGATTGAGCAACCCAGATTGAGCAACCCAGATTGTCACTTGTAGTTCTTGCAGCAATCGTAGAAGCGTAAATTACCAACCTAATACCCCGCTCTCTTGCAGACCTCCTCATTTACGACATATTCGCCCACGTCTCTCCCTCCCTCTCTCTCTCTGTCTCTCTTTTTCACTCATACTACATCCAGCTTCTCTTCAACGCTACTCTTTTTCTCCCCAAGTTTCCCACATTTCACAACTTTCACTGCCTCCTCAATCCCAAACTTCTCACAACTCTCCCGCCTCAAACCATCGTTTTCGTCACTCCAAGCTGTCTCTGTCGCTTCCAACTCTCTGTAATAAGCTTGTCGAGTGCTAACTTCATCGCCAAAATTATGAAAACCATCTTCTTGAAATGTTAAAATCTCCATCATAAGTAATCAAACCCGGTGTCTCACGATTTCTTGACCTGTTGACACCTTAACACTCGTCCTCCAACACTCGTCCTCCAACTCACTCGTCCTCCAGCATGGTCAACCTCAATGGAATTAAACCTCGCAACGGAAAAGACTACTATTTGGCCCTGGGTCTAGAAGGTTCGGCCAACAAGCTTGGTGTGGGCATTATTAAACACCCGTTGCTGTCCAAACATGCAGACAGCGATCTCTCGCACCATTGCGATCTGCAGATCCTCGCCAACATCCGAGATACGTATGTGACTCCTCCTGGAGAAGGATTTTTGCCCAGAGACACGGCCAGACACCATCGTAACTGGGCCGTGAGACTGGTGAAAAAAGCGTTGCAAGAAGCTGAGATCCAAGATCCCACCGATCTCGACACCATCTGCTTCACCCAGGGCCCAGGAATGGGGGCTCCTTTGCATTCAGTGGTCGTGATGGCCAGAACCCTCTCGCTGCTGTGGGACGTCCCGCTTGTTGGCGTTAACCATTGCGTGGGCCACATAGAGATGGGTAGAGAAATCACAAAGGCGGAAAACCCAGTGGTTCTTTACGTGAGCGGTGGGAACACCCAGGTCATTGCATATTCGGAAAACAGGTACCGTATTTTTGGCGAAACCTTGGATATCGCTATCGGAAACTGTCTGGACAGGTTTGCCAGAACGCTGAAAATCCCCAACGAACCGTCTCCGGGCTACAACATCGAACAACTCGCGCTCCAGTGCTCCGACAAAGACAGACTTGTGGAGCTGCCGTACACGGTCAAGGGCATGGACTTGTCGATGAGTGGGATTTTGGGCTACGTCGATTCACTTGCAAAAGATCTGTTCAACAAAAACACCAAAAACAAGCTGCTTTTCGACCCGCAAACCGGCCAGCAACTTGTCACAGTGGCCGACCTGTGCTACTCGCTTCAGGAGAACCTCTTTGCGATGCTGGTAGAGATCACCGAGCGTGCCATGGCCCATGTCAACTCCAATCAGGTCCTGATTGTTGGCGGTGTCGGGTGCAATGTGAGATTACAAGAAATGATGGCCTCCATGTGCCGTGACAGGTCCAACGGACAAGTTCACGCCACGGACGAACGCTTTTGTATCGACAACGGGGTCATGATAGCACAGGCGGGTCTTCTACAGTACAGAATGGGCAATACAATTCAAGATTTGGCAGACACTGTCGTTACGCAGAAATTCAGGACAGACGAGGTATACGTGGCCTGGAGAGAGTGATCGGCGGGTCGCAGAACGCTCAGATTTTGATACAGGCAGAGCATAGATATAGATTTAAATAATGCTTTCGAGGGTTCAGGACTGGCTCTCGTCAACTTAGTTTCGAAATGTAACTTTTGGTATTCTGACCTAGGGCCTATAATGATATTTAATTGGCATCTTTGAGAGATCTTGTATAAATATCGAACTGAAAAGTAGAAGTCTTGACGCATCTGAGGATATATAAGATGTCCGGGAGCCTCAATGACTGCCTGGAACAACTCAAAGTATCTAGCAACTCAATTCAAACTCTTTATTTCAAACCCCCGGGCATTTTCCACAATGCTATCGTCCCAGACCCATCTGTCACCTACGCAGACATAATCACCAATATTATACGCGACGGGGACGCTCAGGAAGAAGCCCCACTGTATAAGATCGACCAGAACGGGCTCCCACGGCGCAGGGACGACAAAGTGGGTGTGTTTGACTTCTTGACGGAATACGAAGTGAATTTGAAGCGTAATCGCCGTTTGGGAGTAGCCGAAGAATCACCCATCATCCACGTACCTAAGAGCTTTTACTTGAAACAACACGAACAGGATGCAGCCCGTGGCGAACAGCAACGTGGGTTTTTGCTAGAAGAGCTCAAAACTGAAGGTATTTTCAAAGCGTTGCTCAAAAAATTCGAGGGCGATGAACAGGTTCGGAACTTACTGCACGCGTTGCAAAACGGGACTGTAATCACGGAAGACAGCGATACGGGCGTCAATGCCAGTCGCCGTAAGACTCTTTTCGTGGAAGACTTTCCCGTAGAATTGATCTTTAAGGTGCACAATGAGATCGTGACCAATTGGCCGATCGCTGAATACCAAAAAAACTACTCGCATCTGTTACAGCGCTACAAAGAGATCGATACCGACATTCGTCAGCTTCGCGACGAGATTGCAGACCAGGAGGATCAATTGCAGGGCATGGCCATGAGTTCTGGGGTTGCAAAATTAATCAAGAAAGAGAAGGAGGAGATTGCAGAACTGCGGGAAAAGCTGGAGACATTACAGAGGCCATGAACGCAAATAAAGAATAACTCAAACAAATAAATGACTGAATGAACAAGGCAACAGAGGATGCCCGACAATAGGAGCAATTTTTTTTCAACTTTGGGGAATTTATTCGGTCAAGCGTGCGTCTCCCGTGTGTATGAGTGAATTTGTTCGACCTGATACGAAGCCTAGAGTATCAACCATCCTGAATTCAACACCATCAACGTCGTCGTTTCAGAACGGAAAATCGAAGTAAATCTCGATATAACGTTCCTTCATGCAATCTAGACAACTTCTCGCAAATTTTTCGAAAATTGTGTTTTTGAACTCGGGAAAAAAGGCCAAACCAATCCAAAGATGTTTAAGCACCAATGAACCCTCCATCGTCCTTCATGAAGCATTGTTCTCCCTCTGGTTTCCGCTTTCTGTTTTCTGTCACCTGTCACCACTCATGTGATAATAGAGAGCACTCGAATTATTACTGGATTCGAAGAAAACCTAAAGGCAAAAGTTCAACTTAACAACAAAACACCTACTAATTCTCATTCACTGGGCCTGTTGGGACTTGTTTAGAGGTATGGGGTCAAGTTCTAGCAATTCTGACCAACTTTCCCAGCTGAGCAGAGCGGTCTCGACCACTGCATCTGCGATTTTCGGATCGCAAACCATGGAAGATACAATCTTGTCATACAGCAGTCCGTACAAAAAACTCTTGCATCAAACGATCACACACTCCGGATCGAGCAATGCACTTACGAAACTGCGCACATCGGCCAATCCGTTCAAAAAAGAGGACAACAAGGCGTTCCAGGACATTTATTCTGCGGCCAATGGTCGATCATTTTTCGAAAACCAGTTTAGCAACACAAAGACTAGCTTCAGAGTGCTCAGCTACCTGAGTGAAGAGCTTTTGTACGATATACCGAGTAGTGGTAAACTCCATCACAGTCGGGGAAGACACTCCAAGAAGTTTTTGAAGGAAAACGGTGAAGATGAGGGAAATCAAGAAAGCAGCACAACACCGGAAGAGCCATCACTGTTTCAAGGATTCGAATCATCGCTGCCGACCATCGATGAAATGATCACCACGGGCCCTCGGGCAAAAACTGCTCTACTTGAAAATGGCGAAAACAGCGCAAACGATGCCAATGCCAATTTTTCTCTTCCAGCAGAGATCGATTGGGACGAAGTGAACACCACAAATTCTCTAAGCGTGCTGAAAGCCGCATCACAGACTCTTTTGGACGGCTTGGATCTCTTGGAAATACAGAAAAACCTAGCCGCAAGCGAGATCAAAGAGATCGACTCGAAGCTCGAAAGACTGAAAATGGTGCGTGAGCTGATCTTCAAAAGGGTAGCAAGGGTCGATCAGAATGAAATTTTTTACGAAAAACATTTGGCAGTGGTAAGACAACGGCTTGATCTGGTGGAAGCTAACGAACTCGATAGTCAAGATTCCGTGGCGGAGGAAGAGCTGTCAGAACAGGAACAATCGAACACCGACATCAAGAAAGATTTGCAAGCTAGTCCTGCAAAGCATAGTCACGATGCAGGAAATGAAAGCGACGAGGACGAATCAACGTCTGCTCTCATGAGTAAATCTATTTATCAGAAAGTCAGAAGCCGGCACGAGCGTCGGGGCTCCAGAACTTCAAAGAGCTCCAATCTTCACAATGGCTCCTCAAAAAACAAATTTCACAGCGGTAACAGACGCCGAAAGACCTATCCTACGTTACAGCAGTTTTATGAACCGGGGAGTAAGATTTTGGCTTTACCACAAGCTCACGACGACGGCATCACTTGTCTGGATTTTGACATGCCGTTTGGAACCATGAGCACAGCGGGAAAGCTTGACCACTGCGTGAAAATATGGAATCTCAGCAAAGGAACTCAAACCGGAAGTCTTTCGGGTCACTTGGCGTCCGTAAGCTGCATGCAAATGGACGAATCATACACCTTGGTCACGGGTGGACGTGATGCATTGCTAAAGGTTTGGGACATTGAAAGGGCCGAGGAAGTCTTTCAGGAGCAAGACGCACAGGAGGAAGACCAGACAGAATTGTGTCTGCACACGTTTGACGCTCATGTGGACGAAATCACCGCGCTGCATTTTGAGGGCAGCACTTTAGTATCGGGTTCGCAAGATCGCACTATTCGTCAATGGGATCTGTATGCTGGCAAATGCGTGCAAACCATCGACATAGATTTTACGAACCGGGGCACATCCACAGGACTTTCTTCAATCAGTTCGCAGAATCCAAGCAGCAACGTGCTCCTCACGCATAATGAACCTCCAGTCATCGGCGCATTACAATTTTACGATGCTGCTATGGCTACCGGTACTAAAGACGGTGTTGTACGTTTGTGGGATCTCAGATCTGGACAAGTTGTCCGGGCGCTCGAGGGTCACACTGACGCTATCACGGGCCTGCAGTTCGATTCTGTGAATCTGGTGACGGGCTCACTTGACCGCAGTATCAGAATATGGGATCTCCGCACAGGGCTCTTGGCGGACGTATTTGCATACGATCGTCCGATCGGCAGCTTGGAGTTCGATTTCAACAAAATTGTCGCTGCAGACAACGAAAATTGTGTGAGAATTTACGACCGCAAGGATGGTCGCAAATGGAAATGCGGCGACGAAGAGGGCGACGCAGCTGGGGTTGCAAATTCAGATACCAGTCTAGTAGAAGTTGTCCGTTACAAGAATGGCTATTTGATCGAAGGTCGCACTGACGGTACGGTCAATACATGGGCTATCTAATACCATCGTGATGTGACACAACCAAGATGCCAACCATACTTTTTGTAAATAGTACATTTACCATAAGCAAATATTCACTTTTATATGAAAACATGCATTCGACTTTGGTCCTGATCCTATCAAAAGATCCTTCAAGCGTCCTGTAGTTGTTCTTGGTTCGAAATTTGAAGTCATCAATTCTGAATTATTACAATACCTCAAAGTTCTCAGAAATTTCTCAAAAGTAGCTCATTCGAAAGCTAAAAACATGTATTCTTAATCACATTGGTCAAAAGTAATCACTGATGCTCAAGCTCTCTGTTGAGTTGAAGGTTACATTAAAAGCCTTTAAACTTCATGAACTTTTCAAACCTTCCGTCATCTGATATATATAAATTATTTGAAAAAAACTGCAAGAGTGGCGATTGATCTTGATTCTTGACAACAAAATCAACAAGTTTAGACCATAGAACGCTCGGTTTCAAGTGTCCAAAACGTTGCTAAGAACCGCTCAAGTTAACAATGAACTTTGGAAGCCAAACTCCAACCATTGTGGTTCTAAAAGAAGGCACAGATGCGTCGCAAGGACGCGGACAAATAATTTCCAATATCAATGCATGTTTGGCAATCCAGGACTCTTTGAGGCCTACGCTAGGCCCACTAGGTTCAGACATTTTGATTGTGTCTTCGAACGGTAAAACAACGATCTCAAACGACGGTGCCACGATTTTGAAGCTTTTGGATGTGGTTCATCCTGCTGCTAAAACATTGGTGGACATTTCAAGAGCTCAAGACGCAGAAGTTGGCGATGGTACCACCAGTGTAACAATTTTGGCTGGGGAGCTCATGAAGGAAGCAAAACCGTTCTTGGAGGAAGGTATTTCATCGCATGTCATTGTCAAGGGCTACAGAAACGCCTCGAACATGGCTCTCAAGAAAATCAAGCAACTTGCGTCATCAGTCTCTAGCGAAAATGGGACCAACAGAGAGTTGCTGGAACGTTGTGCTAGAACTGCGATGTCTTCAAAATTAATCAGCAGTAACTCTGATTTTTTCGTGAAGATGTGTGTCGACGCTGTGTTGTCTCTGAATCAGGATGAATTAGACGATAAACTGATCGGAATAAAAAAGATCCCAGGAGGTGCCATGGAAGACTCTATTTTTGTGAATGGTGTTGCATTCCAGAAAACTTTCTCTTACGCAGGTTTTGAACAGCAACCCAAGGTTTTCGAGAACCCTAAGATCCTCAGTTTGAATGTGGAGCTGGAATTGAAGGCCGAAAAGGACAATGCGGAGGTACGAGTGGAACATGTTGAAGATTACAATGCCGTGGTGGACGCAGAATGGAAAATCATCATCGACAAACTGGAGCAAATCGAACAGTCCGGCGCTAACATTGTGCTTTCCAAACTGCCTATTGGTGACTTGGCCACCCAGTTTTTCGCCGACAGAAATATCTTTTGTGCCGGTAGAGTTGCTGCTGAGGACATGAACCGTGTGATTTTGGCTGTTGGAGGTGCAATTCAGTCGACAACCTCAGATATAAAACCAGAACATCTAGGCACATGCGCGCTATTCGAAGAAACTCAAGTCGGTTCCGAACGTTACAACATATTCAAGGGCTGCCCGCAAGCCAAGACCTGCACATTGCTGTTGCGTGGCGGTGCTGAACAAGTCATTGCCGAGGTTGAAAGATCGCTACACGATGCTATAATGGTTGTTAAAAGAGCCATCAAAAGTAAACTTGTTGTCGCCGGTGGCGGTGCTATAGAAATGGAGATCTCGAAATACCTAAGGGACGAGTCTAAGAAAATTGCTGGTAAGCAACAACTAATAATCAACGCTTTTGCCAAAGCTCTCGAAGTCATTCCTAGACAATTGTGCGAAAATGCTGGACTCGATGCCACAGATATCCTAAATCGTTTGCGGATGGCTCACAGTAAAGGTGAACAGTGGTTTGGTGTAGACTTCGAGACTGAAAGTATCGGTGACAATTTTGCCAAATTCGTTTGGGAGCCTGCCCTCGTTAAAATAAATGCATTGAGCAGTGCCACTGAGGCCACCAATTTGATCTTGTCGGTGGACGAAACGATCAAAAATAAGGAGAGTCAACCTGCCAACGCCGGAATGATGCCCCCACAGGGTGGTGCCAGGGGTAGAGGAATGCCAATGCGTTAAGTTTTGTAAATCATGTAGATATAACCCATGTGCACGAAAAAACTAACCGAGGCAGTTTTCAAGATAAATATAGGAACATGAGGTATAATTGGAACACACGGCGTCTAACTGAAATCCTCTATTTCTTTATTCTTCTCAACTGTTTACCCGCGTAATGCTTTTAGTCTTTGAGCCAGCTTCTGCTCTTTTTCGTCGGATGCTACGTCGGTTTTCGAAGGGACCTCTGTCACATCTTGCAAAGCGGCCGATTGCTTCAATTCCAAACCATTTTCGTCAGCAACCTTATTCATGAGTTCGTCAACACGATCGTTGTCCACTACAACTGCATCAGAATTGGCCCCCATGTCTTCGTAGACGTTGACACTTGTGTCTAAATCTTCAAACTGTTGCTCGAATTTGTCCATAATCATTGTTATTTGCTGCAGATTCATGCTTTGCAGTGCTTTGTCCATGCCTCGGCACACTTGTGCCATGCTTCCCGAAACTTGACGCATGGTAACCGCAGTTTGAACTCTGGACGCTACGGAATCGACCCTGGACGCCAATTTCAACAGCTGGAGGCGTTCGTTCCGCTTGCGAACCGAATTAGAAGCATAAAGACGTGCTATTTCCTCGCTTTCGTTGAGTGCTTTCTTCAATTTGTTAGCCTCCTGTTTCTCCTCTTTCGCCGCTTTTTGGGCTTGTTTCGTCAGCTGTTTCGACGTAAATTTCAGCTGGAAGAGCGTATTTTCGAGCCCGGCGGCAGGATTACGCGACATCATATAGAATGGGGGCTCGAACAGTTGGTTGGATGTGGTTTATTTTCCTGTTCAAGTTGAACTTGGTGCGATTGGAACTTTTACTACTGGGTATGGATTATCATATTGACCTTAGAGGAAAGTCCAGTCACGTGATTTTATTTGATTGTAATTAATTTCAATTTATAATGTGCCATTTTAGTACAAAGTGATACCATTTCGCTTTAAGCTAGTCAAGACTTCAAGAAAGGATTGTGGATCGCGTGAACGAGACCTTATATATAGATAAATAGGCATGGACTCTCTCTTTTCACAGGTGTATCGACTTTCTTTCTTATATAGTTGGAAAGAGCATCAAAAAAAAATACTCTTCTATGCTAAACTCTCTTCTCAAATAAAACTTCACAAGAGAAGGCTGCTCCGCTCAAAAACTCAATTGGACCGTTCAAGTATCTAGAGGAATGAAATCTGGATTGAAAGCTAGAACTGCGGTATCCTGGGATCAAGAATTATGAGTCGCAGACTCTGGAAAACATTGAACACTTCGTACGAAACCCTGCATTTAATCAAAGTGAAGTCAAGGCTTCGAAACTGACACCTTTTCGAAGTTTACACAAGTAACAGAACTGGTGATGCCTTTCCACTTACCAGTTCTGTTGAATCCGCTGCTCAATGCTGTGTTCAATTGCCCTACGCCCCACACGTCTTCGCTCAGGAAAGTTTTCTCGCAGATAGGAGAACGCAAGTTTCTAGTTGTAGCACCAGCTACGGACATGTTGACTGAATATGAAGATCTCGAAACAGGACAGCTTTTGAGTGAGCTCTGTTACACGCCAGAGTTTGTCTCGGATCATATAGTCATGCTGGACCTGCGAGAGGGCATACCAACTGACGAATTTAGGACACTCAGCGGGAAGTCAGTACTGGTGCGCAACCAGCAGGGGATTCTGCTCACAGGAGCTGGATTTGACACTCGCAGGCGATGTCGAATTTTGGAAGCAGAACTAATGACTAACTTCAACGACTATCTTACAGCATCATCCACATACCCGATAATCAATGTTGATTTCCCTTTTACTGGAAGGCTTTCCAGAAAAGACGAATGGCAAGTCTTCAAACATCCTCAAACTGTCTCTTCTAGTCAAGCAAAAAAAGTAGGCGAGGCAGATGATCACAGCTCGCCTGCAAAAGAGACACTGTCACTGGAACAAATGCTGCGCATCAACCCAATTCACGCCAATCAGCTAGGTGAAATTTTCGAGGCCCAGCGACACTCACTCGCCAACTCACCATTCAATGCCAGTTCCCTAGCCGTCCACTTTTCACAAACATGTGAAAAAGCTTTGGCGGTCATACAAAAAGATCCAAATTTCCAACATATGCCAAACATCGAACTACATGTTCACGAGTATGTGGAATTGAGCCTTTATGACGATTTTTGGGCCCAGCTTACCAATTCAATGAGACCAACGGAAATTGAGAGCATGGGTGACTACAGCTTGTTGAAACATATTGCATTATCACAAGTTCCCTCCTTTCTTTATCCCGCCAACAGCTCCAAGTTTGATCTTCGCTACGTTACACGAGTTGAAAAGAATTTGGCAGAAGCTGTTATTTGCTTCAGGAAACTCGCATCGACTAATTGCCATTCTGCTAAAGCTAAAATAATTGTAGAGTGCTTGCAAACTCTATCAAGAGGCATATCTGTAGACGAAAGAGTTATTCCAATCGACGCTGATACATTAGTAAGTCTCCTAGTCGTTACAGTATGTCGTGCAGGAGTCAGAGATCTCAAGAGCCATTTATTTTATTTGCAGGAGTTCGCGAAGAACTCATCACAAATTACATTCGGCATTTTGGCATACGGCATATCGACTTTGGAAGCGGTTCTTGGCTATTTCGAAATTCCTGCGAAGATCCAATCTGTACAGGCCAACTGCAGCCTCAATTTGAACTTTTGGTCATGGCTTTCAGATGCCCCTGACTCTGCCGCTGCCCCTGACACACTAGATGTCAGGAACATGCTTCGAGTCAGGACCTGCACAGGACAGTCTGCATTGAGCTTCTGCATTCAAGAGAAAAGTATAGAGAGATTCAAAGAGCTAGCGTACGAGTATGAATCACTGTTTCCTTTGGAGGATCTTTTGAATGATGAGGATATCGAGGGCTCGAATTTACTTATACAAATGCTTGACTCTGGGTGCCACGACCTCGCTAACAGCTTTGTCGATTTGCTACGTCTTAGCTGTACAGAACAGGAACTCAGACACTATTTTAATCAACCGAACCGTTTCGGTCGAACATCCGCCCATTACCTTATGCATGCTCCCCACCTTATAAAAAAAATGGGAAGCCTACTTGACTGGGAGAAAAAAGATTGCAATGGTCAAACTCCCTTGTTTGCAGTCATCAGAGCTTATGATCAACCAAAATACGACCTCATGCTTGCGGAGGCATACAATGAAGCAACAAAATGGTGCCGATCACAAGGAAAACAATTCAGATCCTCAGTCCATACGGACTCAAAGGGCAATTCCTTGTTGCACGTCGCGAAGTCTAATGCTTCAGTTCTTCTCAATGACCCTCTTGTAGACGTTAACGCAACAAATTACAAAGGCCTAACTCCCCTCATGGTTTATGCCAAGTACAATCGAATCCTCAATGTTGAGTCAATTATCAAAGATGGCCGACTCATTCTCGAAAGGTGTCAGCGGCGGACATACCTCGACTGTTTTGACTATTTTAAGAACCCAGCTGTCTTGAAAGAAATGGGAGGACAAGCTTCGAAAACGGCCTTCTTGCCCCTCAGGTCTGTACATGCGCGATGCATTAAATCTGAAAACAGCGAATGGGTTTTGTGGATGACCAGTCGCAAGAAATCCTCTGTTAGCGTTATTATGAGACCTTTGAGATTCATTCAAAACTTCATGCTAGTTTTTTGGAGGGCAAACCCTAGAACTTTTGTGCCGATAGAAGAAACATTAGAAGAACTGCGCGAGCTGTGTAAAATGACCATTTTGGTTATTCATAGGCTTGAGGTTCACAAGTTTCTGCCTAAGGCTTCAATTATTCTCAGTTATATCCTCCAAGATAGCACATTTGCAGATGCATTTTACTCCTCCAACTTGAACATCCCTCCGCAAGTATTAGAGGAAGATGACAAACGAAAAACAAGCGAGCATTACGGATTGATTGAACCAGAAGATATGAGGAGTATTCAGCGGGTCCTTAAGTTTAACAGGGCAGAGATCATGAAATTAAAGACCAAAGCACATGTCATGAAGAAGCTTTCAGCTTCTGGACATTCGAAACAGAAAGACCTCTCGACTTCTTACCATATGTTGGCGAAAAGGGTAAATCTACTCTGCAATTCACTCGAGGGCGATGAAGATATATTTCCGGACATGACACCATTAAAGCTAAGGCCTGATTGTAACACAATTGCGAGTAGCACTAGCTTTTTACAAAAATGCACAGAGATGCTCATTTCAAATATCGACAAGCTTTCTAACGTGGATATCCCGCATTGGTGGCGAACATATGGTGAATCGGCCTCTCTCCATCATGAATACCAGAAGAATTTTCCTGGTACGGCTAGACCCAATACAACGACAAGTACAGGTTTGTTCGCGTCCTACATCGAAACGAAGAGATCGAAGCTGGAGATAAGCATTTCGAATAAAATCAAGCAGAGCAACGCAAATCTTCTTACGGTGGGTCGTAATATCAAAGAGGAGAACGAAAGGCTTGCAGTTGAATTCAACAAATTCATCAATTTCAAAAACGAATTTTGGACTGTTTTGACCATAGAGGAACATGCAGAGATGAACATCAAATTACTGCGACAGCAGCTTGTATGTATGGAACAATCGTTCCACAGCTACACCGATCGATCAGTTCGAAAATAAACTTGTAGATACTTTACATACGGGACACTTAAGTTGGACGAAAATGAATGATAACCCTTTCATTTATTTCTTGTTTCCGCCCAAGAAGTTCTTGGCCATGTCCATCAAAGCAGGGTCCTTCATCATGTCGGCCATGCTGGGGGCACCCTGACCAGACTGGAACTTCTCGGCCATTTGTCTAACGGCAGGATTGCTCATCATCTCGCTCATGGCATTTGGATTCTGCATGAACTGCTGGGCAGCTTGCATCATTTGAGGGTTGTTCAAGAGGCCGCCAAGACCGCCTAGACCGCCGCCACCACCGAACATGGAAGACAAATCTGGGAATCCACCGCCGTTGCCTCCAGCTGGAGAAGCGGTAGCGTCAGCTTCGCTTCCAGCACCAGGTGCGGCTCTTTCCAAGTTGAGAGATTGCTCGACCTTCTTCATAGCAGTGTCGTAATCTCTCTTCATAGCATCGGTAGCCTTCTCGCCCTCGATGTCGAGAACGGTTTTATACGCCTCCAAGGCCTTTTCGGAGTTACCCAGAGCGTACTGGGCAAATCCGAGTCTCGAGTAGCCCTTCGAGTAGGCAGGGTTGACTTTGATGGCTAGTTCGGCGTCCTGCACCGCTTCAGAGTATTCCTTCAAAGACGAATGAGCAGCTGCCCTGTTGGCGTAGTATACGGCGTTGGAAGGCAAAATTTCGATGGCGTCCGTGTATTTTTGGATAGCCAATTGGAAGTCCTTGCCAGCCATAGCCTTGTTGCCCTCCAATTTTAGCGTCTCAGCCTTGGCTTTGGTCTCAGCGTCGTCTGCTGGGATGTTCACTTCAACGCTCTCTGGAACAACGGAAGAAGAGGTTTCCGAGCCAGAACCGTTTTTAGCGGCTGAAGCCACAAGTTGTTCCAAACTTTGGCCATTGAAGCTCTTTTGCAGGGTTTGGGCCACTGTTTCTTGTTCTAGTTCAAATGCTTCCGTGATACAGTCAACTGCCACGTTTACTGAATCCAAGAATTCTTCACGGACTTGAGAGGTCTCAGAAGCGCGCGAAAGATAATCGACGATCAAGCTTGCAAGCTCTTTGTTAGATGGTGCCATTATGAGATCCTGACACGAAGTTTGGATGTTCTTTTTGGTCGAGTTTCTCGAAGTTTGGTGAGTTTGAAGAGATGAGTTCTTCAAGATATCCACTATTTATTGATTTTCAGCCTATAAGTATAGGTGCCGAAACAGAATATTCCAGAAATGTGAGAAAGACTTGAGAAAGCAGCTGAAAAGCCTGGTGAGACCGTTGATCAATTGATCGATTGAAAGTAGCGAATGGGTTGGGTTTTTTCTGGAGAGAAATCGGGTTTCAAACGGTGGTTTTCTGAGCTTTGAAAAAATTGGAAAAAAATAATAAATGGAAATCTTCCCCGCCAGGACTCGAACCTGGAATCTCCTGGTTTCAGAAGTGGATACAATCGTAGCCAGACGCCGTGACCATTGGGCCACGAGGAATAAGATTTCTTGAAAGTGGAAGAGGATGTTTCTGGATATACAGGATAGATTGAGTCACGGGAGAGGAGATAGTGTCCAAAAAAGACATGGCATTCTAGGAAGACCGGAACTGCTTCTTGAAGGGTTGTACTTGGTTCTGTATTTTGAGAGAATTAGCTGGATTTAGGTCTGAGTTTCTTGATGGTTAATTGTTCTCTCTTTTATATGTCTTTCTTGACTCATCTTGATCGACATAGGTGGAAAAAGTGACATAGCACGTTACCGTTGAGATATGAGCTAACAAACCTGTTTATAGCGTCTATTTGCTGCTGCTACACACACTCGCACTCTCCAGAACATATCCTTCTTGTTTGATGAATTTTTGTTTTGAATTGGGATGCCTCTGTTTTAATGTTTTGTTGAAATAGCACGTCTTTCCACCTATTTCACCTGACACTTGGCCAACCAGTAGTAGAATTTGAAGGTAAACACTGACCATGTATCCACTGGTTGCAATCACTCAGAGATCAGCCATTCATTACTCTATTTACAAACAATTCTGTATTTTTAAACCCTCCTCCTCGCCAACGCTGGCTAAAAATCGGCAAAGGATGAGTTTCTCATGGCCAAAAGCTTGTAGTTATTCCACAGCCAAAAGAGACCGAAACAGGAAAACCCCAGGCCGCAGTTCAGAAGCACCCATATATCCGGTAAAAGTTGAGGCGCCTCCACGAACATATCCAGAACATGTATGATGGCCATCGCTACATAAGATGCAACGATTACCAGTTTCCACAATATGCTGTTCGGCAGAAAGCTTCTTCTTCTGTAGGATTCCGAAACGTCACTCACAGAGGGCCCAGGTGTGAGAAACTGAGGCAGGAATCGTGGTGTACAGAAACTAAAGTTTCCAATTAACCAATTGCATAATATCATCATCACTCCATACTGCAATGCAAGACCATCTTTCTTCAAAAGTGGCCACAGAGTAAACAAGGCCACATTATTGATCCAACTTACCATTGACAATACATTCCAGTCCGTGGAACAGTAGAGTAGAGTAATGGGGAGAAGTGGCACTAAAATGGATTTTTCATGAACCTGGAAACTGAAAAGGAAAAACGCCATAGAGCATGCTCCCAAAGCAAATGGCAGTAAGTGCTTCTTAGGGTAGAAAAACATGACGACGAAAGACGGTAGAAATCCAAGGGCTGTGGCATACATTGAGAATTTTTGAAGCTCGGCCTGAGTATAGTTTTCCGCATATTTAAATAAAACGTTTGACACGCACCAAAAATTGGCAACCTTATCCTCGAATAATCCCCTGGCGAATGGGAATATTCTGTGAACGGACTGGAGAACATTTTTCATCCCGCCAAACACATAGAGAGGAGCGAACAAAACAGCGAAGGAGACGACAGTTGACAAGGCCACGGAAATGAATCTAGGAATGTTGAAAGAGGGCGAAAAGAGCGATTTGCTCAGTAGGTAGGCGAAGAAGATGGGGGAATAGTAAAGTGCCATCTGCTTGAAGCATACGGATAGCACAAAGCATATAGCAGCAGGACCATAAAATCCATCCAACAGGTTGTTGATGGCGTAGACAGTGAGCCCCAGCATCACAGAGTTATATTGGAAATGACCGTGATCGATCAAAATCAGTGAAGGTTGGAAAAGTATGGCAGCAGCAGCTATATAAGTGCCAATAGGCGACTGTTTTCTCTTGATCCCAAACCATTTGGTGAAATAAATGACTCCAGGAATGTAAAGCGCAACTTCGCTCAAAATCACTGTAAATCTCATATATGATTTGAGGTCTGGAGTTTCCAAACCACGAGAAGCACCGAGAGCGAACCAACTGGGGTCGAGAAGCAATCCCAGCTTTCCCAGAAAATAAGAATGGTACGCAGTGAGAGGCGGGTAGTCCAATCCCCAGTATTGTAAATCGAACCAATACCATTTTGAGATTGGGATGCTGGTGGTGATTTCCATCCAGTGCCTTTGAGCTTCGAAATCCCCCCGAATGGGTCCGCTACCTTCACCCGAAAAGGATCCTAATCCCACTGCACACCGTATTACCAGCGCAAATATGACAATCACATACTCAGCATAGTACTGGTTCCCAATGGGCCTAAAAGGTGACAAAAAGTCGTAAAGAGGAGACGCAAAAAACGACTCCTTTGATAACTTCTTAACACCAGCCATATCAACAGCCCAAGTTGCTAACAAATGCTACAGAGCAAAGCTTCAGACAAAGCTTTTGATCTTGTCTTAGTTGTGTTAAAGGTTCTTGAATTATATATTTATATCAGATGCGGTCGATGAGGTACCGTTGGACGAAGGGTGAGATATAAGCTTTTAAATATCGTCTCGAAGATCGCGAGCGATGGATCTGATCAACTTAGTAGATGAACTCTAGGTTTGTAGCCAAGGTTTTCGAGCTTTGATAGCCGCCTTTGACTTTGGATGTTATACACGATATACTGAAGCAGCTCGTTGCTTTCACAAGCTTGAATTACCTTTTTAACAAACTTACAGCCTTTAAAAACCTATATAATACCTAAAAAAACGCGCGACGTTTGGAACTTTGTAGCTAAGTCTCCAAGAGCGCACGAGAAGCTAAACATTGCTTAACCAGAGCCCATATTTAGCACGGAAACGTTCTTCGTTATATTTAAGACTTTTCGAAAGAATCGATTTGATGTTCGGTAATACCGTTTGCAATCGAAGAACTCCAGCCTGGCGCTCTTTCGAACCCATTGGTACCTGTTTGATAGTTGCCAAATACCTGGATCATGCGTTCTCTGGAGGTCTCAACGAATGGCCCGTGCTGTACGACAGGCTGGTCTAGGATTTGGCCGCCTATAATGACAAATTCCGCGTTGCTGGCCGAACTCACACCTTCTACGTGTCCTCCGTTGTTTTCGAAGAAAACCGATGAAAATTGCGGGAATCGCTGACCATTGATTGTCACAGCACCCTTGAGAACATACAAAAAGACGTTGAAGTTCGTTGGGAAGGCTTGTTTGAAGGGAACGTCCGTCTTGGACGCAATGTAGTGGTAGAAGCTGACCGGTGTGTAAGCCAGCTCGCTAAGCGATTTGACGCCGTAAGATTCTCCGCTGATGACCCTGACTTCCAAGCCGTCGTGCGGCTTGACGGTAGGCGTCTCGTTTTTACGCAGGTCGCGGTAGCGTGGCTCGCAGTTCTTCAGATCTTTGGGCAGATCTACCCACAATTGCAGTCCGACGGCTGGTTCGTTGGAATCGAGCTTGACTGGGATTTCCGAATGCACGATTCCTTTGCCAGCAGTCATGAATTGCAAATCGCCCTCTTTGAGGACACCCTGCGAGCCCGTGAAGTCCTCATGGGCAACCATACCGCCCAAAATGTACGTGATGGTTTCCTGGCCGTGATGAGGGTGGTCTGGGAAACCTGCAGGCGGTGCGACTGTGAAATGGTCCAGCATTAGGAATGGCGTGAAATTGCGTAGGTTGAGCGTTCCGATTGACCGTCTGACCTTGGCACCCACACCCTCGCTTTGCTCTACGGCAGTAAAGTATTTTAGCACTGTACGTGCTTTATTCATTGTATGATGAGTCTTGATTTTTCTTTGTCTGAAGAAGATGAAGATGAGATGAGATAGAGATAGATGAGAACCTTGAAGTAGTCACTAGCTCTGGTGAGTATTCCACTCTTTACAACAGTTTCGGCATACTTTGCGAGAAAGCCACCGCTTATATAGTCTTTGAACTCCGTGGTGTCGAAAGCGTCTTTAGTCAACCATTAGTGATGCTTACGGCTGAGATATACATAATTACGTTACTGATGAAAAACATGTAATTCCATCAAAAGTTGACATATTTCCACCAGAAAAAAGACCCCGCCATTCTAGAATCCTCCGGAACAGATTCTGCTATTCAAATTAGAGTTCAGACCACAAGATACATTGCTTAGATCAATGTTGGCGAGTTTTATTCATTCATATTTAAACATTAGTTACCGTTGAGTAATAATTGATTACTGTATATATTAATGCATCAGACTCGACGTACTAAGTGATATATGTTTGAAATGTCAAAAGTTTCTAAAACAAAACTCCGACGTTGATTAAAAAGATGCGTATTTCATTAACCTTCAAATTATTGGACACGATCTCCAAGTCAACGACTTTTGGATTGAATTCGATAGGTTCGTCTTATAAGTAACTTTTGTTCATATTTTATACTTTCCGGCCCAAGGTCGTCCAAAGTGATACATCTCCCAAACTGAACTAGCATTGGTTCAGAGTCCGATAGTCTAAAAAGTTTCTTGTTCTGAATAGGAACAGTGTCTTTCTTTTACCTCATGTAACAATTCATCCATTTCGCGAGTCCCATTTCAAAATTCTAAAATACCGCTCCGTATATAGCGATCTCACTACAATTATTATCTTTTAAATCCAGTATCTTTAAAGACCATTCAGTCAAAGATGGCATCACCCCTCCTTTCAGTTGACAAACAGATCGAGACACGGGTGTTGAAACGGTCGTGTTTTTGGTGGTGAGTGATAGTTTGGAACAATGTCTAGCAGAAAAAAGAATATTCTGAAAGTCATCATATTGGGCGACTCCGGGGTTGGAAAGACGTCATTGATGCATCGATACGTTAGCGACAAGTTTTCCCAGCAATACAAGGCGACCATCGGAGCGGATTTTCTCACCAAGGAGGTAACCACGGATGGCGACAAAGTGGCTACCATGCAGGTTTGGGATACTGCTGGCCAGGAACGGTTCCAATCGCTGGGCGTGGCGTTCTACAGAGGTGCGGATTGTTGTGTGCTGGTGTACGACGTGACGAATGCCAAATCGTTTGAGAATCTCAAGTCGTGGCGGGACGAGTTTCTGGTGCACGCAAATGTGTCGTCGCCAGAAACGTTTCCGTTTGTCATTTTGGGCAACAAACTGGATGTGGAGGAATCGAAGAAAATCGTGAGCAACCGGGCTGCTCAGGACATGGCCAAATCGCTGGGGAACATCCCGCTTTTCCTGACCAGCGCCAAGGGCTCCATCAACGTCGACACTGCTTTCGAGGAAATCGCTCGCAACGCGCTGCAGCAGAGCCAGGCCGATGCAGACGCATTCGAGGACGATTTCAACGACGCCATCAACATCCAGCTCGATGGTGAGCCCAGCTCGTGTAGCTGTTGAATGTCTGCGAATATCTAACCAATCCCAAATGTAACATACTAAGTAAGTAAGAAAAGAAGAAAAGAAGAAGAAGAGAGAAGGGAAGATAAATAAAAAAGAGGTGGTACGTCCCAAGTATTGAAAGTCATAGCGACCACGACAATAACAACGTTTAATTCAGTCACATCCGTCACATCCGTCACTCTTTAGCTATGTATGGCCATTTTTACAGCTTGAATCTTGCTCTCCACGTGACCAAAATAATGCCTGCTCAGCCCAAAATACCATACACGTGCCGCCATGAAAAACCCAAATATTATGATCAAATTCAAGAACAGCTATCGATACAGACATCGAAACAACTCAAGCAAGTGTCGTCGTTGTCGTCGCCATCAATATCACAACCTAACGCTAGTCAACCTCTTTCCCACACAATTGATCAGCTTTCTATCACCTTTTTTCCCACAAGCTTCTCACCTTCGACAAGTGATTTTGTTCGGACTGGCCGTCGCAGTGGCACAGGTTGTATTCATTTGACAGAAAGCAGACCTTGGCAAAATAAATGGGAGCTACATGTCTGCTCAAGAGACGGGAGACGTAAGCACCCATAATAATAATAATAATGAGAATATTGAGGAGGAGCGTGCGCAATCTGCAGGATCCAAAAAAGAGTCGGTTTTGTCGCACTTTACAAATAGTCTTGGCGAGGTAGAAAAAGAATTGGTGCCAGACGTTGTGCTCCCGTCTAATTTCAGCAAATGCCCGCGGAGCGATCTGGTGATCTTGATCTCGAGAATGCTCTCCTTCCTAATACACATCAATGATTCGGCCTCCAAAACGGAGCAGTACGAGCTAACTCGATTCCATTCAAGAGTGCCGCCGCAAATATCGGTATACGACTATCTGATGCGAATGACGCGATACTCAGTGCTCGAACCGGCTGTGCTGATAGCTTCTGTTTACTACATCGATCTGTTTTCCGCCGTGTACCCTGCATTTTCATTGAATTCGCTCACAGTGCATCGTTTTCTACTTACCGCAACGGCTGTGGCTAGCAAGGGACTCTGCGACTCCTTTTGCACCAACACTCATTATGCCAGGGTAGGAGGGGTACAGTGCAGCGAGCTGCACGTTTTGGAGAACGATTTTTTGAAGCGTGTGAATTACCGAATTCTACCTCGAGACGACAACATTATGAACTGCAAAATAGAGCGCCAGGAGGACGTGTTTGTTACGGCCAGCTACGTTGAGGGAAACGTGAGAGGTCCGAACAATGGATTCAACGTTCTAGACACCTACTACCGCAAAATAATCGAAATAGTTGGCAGCTACGACTCGTCGCCCGACAAGACCAAAAAGGCACACTACTCCATGGAAACGCCACCTAGCAAACGGGACGCCGAGCCGTCGAAGACGCAGAAGAAGAAGAAGCGGGTTCTGGAAGAATCAGACGCAGATCTCAAAGCCAATGGCACCAAGAAACCAGCATGAAAAAGGTTTTACAACGTTTGAAAAGGTTAGCGCATAGAGAGTCTTTTTCCCCTAGCAGCATATGCAGACGTGACGTACAAAGAGTAATACACAGCGGAGAGATATCCGTGACGCTCGAAATAAATGGCGATCAAAAATGCAAATGCAAATGCAAATGCAAATGCAAATGCAAATGCACAATGGAATTAATGGAAAATGAACGTTTGAAAGACCGCTAGACAATTCTCGGATATCCCAATTACAGCGGACATGCAAAGACGACATTTCTGGTGACAACAGGGTCTCGCATCTACTTTCTACGATTTCTCGAGACTATCAAGTCTGTGCTACGCTGTGCTACGCTGTGCTACGCTGTGCTACGCTGTGCTACGCTGTGCTACGCTGTGCTACGCTGTGCTACGCTGTGCTACGCTGTGCTACGCTGTGCTACGCTGTGCTACGCTGTGCTACGCTGTGCTACGCTGTGCTACGCTGTGCTACGCTGTGCTACGCTGTGCTACGCTGTGCTACGCTGAGCTACGCTGAGCTGCGTCTTTCTCTACAGTTTTTGGAGTCTTTGGAACCAAAAAAAAGGTTAGACGAAACTCTCGAATCCCAAAACGCTCAGATCCCATAAACTCTCAAAAGTCGAGTTCAATTCCTCTCTAAAAGGTCTTTTCTGGTGGTATTCTTATAGCATTTAGTTGAATTACCCAGCCTGTAGAAAACTCAAATTTTTAATAGTAATTTTACAATTAGAATATCAAGCTGTATTTGACGCTCATCTCATCGCATCTCACTATTCTTCACAAGAGTCGCCTCGAGTTAGCGTCAAGAGCACCACAATGAGTCAAAAGCCTTCTGAAGCTAAGGACAGCGTTTTGACCGAAGTTATCGGGACGATTAGGGCCTGTGCAGCTCTTTCAGCTCAAGATGTTGAGTTTTATAAGAGTTTAGACCGTACTATATCAGATTCTCTGAGTGAAACGTCGGCGACTTTGCTCAAATCAATCAACGATGTCCTGCTGTCTGTTGATGAAAACAACGAAACGATCGATGCAGGCAGTGAAGGACTGGATAATGCTTGGAGAGATCTGGGTGAGGTTATGGATCTTTTATTTGAGAAATCAGAAAGCTCGCTGAATAAACTGAAAAAAAAAAGTGGGTCGTCACAAAACGAATCCATTCAATATCTGGATGATTCTACCACCATAGGAGAAAGCTCCCACAAGCGGATTTCGAAACCGCAGTTGAATTTCTCCAGACCCGTGGATAACACCGAAACCCACCCTTTCAAGCCTTTGCTCAAGACAAAACCCAACGCTTTGAAACCGTTGGAAGAATCACTGAATCTGGTGCCCGAAGAAGACGACATCCCTGCTCATTATCCGCAACCTTACGAATATGAAATCGAACACCAGGAATACAACGATTCAGTGCTCACCAAAAACGAACCTATCCCATCGAAGTCCTGGGATGACTCAGAAGCAACATGGGTGGACAACAAAAGCACACTCGACGCTATGCTTCAAACGCTCAAGGGTGCCAAAGAGCTGGCCGTCGATTTGGAACATCATGACTACAGAACGTATTACGGTATCACGTGCCTGATGCAGATCAGCACCAGAGAATCAGACTGGCTAGTGGATACGATCGCTTTAAGAGACGAGCTTTGGGTACTCAACGAGGTTTTCACGGACCCTAAGATCACCAAAGTGTTGCACGGAGCTTTCATGGACATAATATGGCTCCAGCGAGACTTGGGGCTGTACATGGTCAGTCTCTTTGATACTTACCACGCTTCTAGGCTGCTTGGATCGCCAAAGCACAGTCTGGCATATCTGTTAGAGCATTATGCTCGATTCAAAACATCGAAAAAATATCAGTTATCGGACTGGAGAGTGAGGCCCCTTCCAAGGCCTCTGCATGCTTACGCTAGAGCCGATACCCATTTCCTGCTCAATATCTATGATCACCTCAGGAACTCTCTGCTTGAGCAGGATAAGTTACCGCAAGCTTTACATGACTCCAGAAATGTGGCGAAACGGCGCTACGAATACACATCCTTCAGGCCGAAGATAGTAAGCTCAAGGGTTTACTCGCCTATCGAGAAGGAGGAACCTTGGAGGTCGCTAATGTTCCAATATAATATCCCACCCGAAAAGGCGGCACTTGTGAAAAGACTGTACGAATGGCGAGACCTGATTGCAAGAAGAGATGATGAAAGTCCGCGTTACGTTGCGCCTAATCAGCTACTAGTGTCACTTACCATGAGTGCACCCACAGATGCCTGGGGGGTCTTATCGATGGGAAGTTTCCTGACAGATCATGTAAGGTCCAATGCTAAAGCTTTGGGCCAGCTTATAAAGCGTACCTCCATGTCCTCTTCCTCTGCTGAGAAGCTTGGAGGCTACAGTGCGGCCGCAGATGAGAAGTTACCTCATAAAACAAGCATTAGCGAGGTCGAGACTAATTATGCTCGCTACGTCTCGCTGGTTCAAGCCTTCGCGAGACAAAATGGCGAGAACAACGAGTTGGATGGCGGCTCGCTTTTGTTCGCGGGAAAGCCTCTACCAAACGAAGCATTTGTGGGCTATAGCGGATCAGAAGTTGAAAAAGTGAGTCTCTCCGATCTCGAGGCACGCAAGTCCAAGATTACAGATCATACCAAACCTGAAGAACCACTTAAAAGCATGGCTTTTGAAAGACCGGAAGACAGCCTCGTTAAAGAGCCAGAATCGAGTGTTGAAATACCTGCTGTTGAAGTGGAAGAGACAGAACCGGTGGCTGAAAACAAGGACGATATAATCGTTTTGAAGAAGAAGAGACACAATCCCAAGCCGCAGAAAAGGCCACTTGATGTTGCGTCTTCTGAAAAAGAGGTTTTGGACTTCAAGACCGCGAAAAAAGTTTTGGCAGCACCTACAAACACATCGACAAGAAACTTCAAGAAAAAGTTCGATCCTTACTCGTCGGAGCAGAAGGGACCGGAAGGTGTCAAGAGGAGAAAAAAGACAAGAGGTTTACAGAAATCGTTCAAAGGATAGAATTGAGTATTACAATTGTGCTTAGTGAAGCAGTGAAGCTAGATTTCGAAACCAAACACTACATAGGCTCAAAAGTCGAGTTAATCTCACCTTATATACTGTTCACATTCAGCATCAAGCGCTTCCGGTAGTTCGCCGGCTGTCGACGTCAGTTTTGCACTAAACGATGCTCGAAAAGTTGTTTAACGATGCTCGAAAACTCGGTACCCACCAAGAATCACCCAACAAGTTATTAATTGTGTGATGTCCTGTGTGTCATTCATTGTTGGCTTCCGAATCCGTTGAGATCATGGCAGAGTTAGAAAACTTCAAGTTCTGACTGTTTAAAGAGTCTTATACTGTAAAGTACTCTACAAGACTTGTTCAAGATCGCATCTTGGTAAAAACAGGATGGTAGAAACGAAAGTGACCCAACGTAAAGGTGTGATTGATAAGAAAGGACTTATGACAGAAGATGCAACTTTGATGAACAACTCGGCAGGATCCGGAACATCAAAGCAAAAGAGAAGACTTTATACGTGGGAAGAGATTCCAGAATGGCAACGCGATAACGAACACATCAGAAGCGGGTACATTATCGAGACCAAGAGTCTCAAAGAGTGTTTTTGCAGTCTTTTCTATCTGCACAACGAATCTGTGAATATTTACACACATCTTTTACCTGGAATATGTTTCTTGAGTGTGGTGTTGTTCGACAATTATGCCATCAAGAAATTTGTTACAACGACATGGATCGACTATGCCATGATAGACTTGTTCTTTTTGGGCGGATTTACCTGTTTGATGATGAGCAGTCTTTTTCACTGTCTCAAATGCCATTCGATAGAAGTTGCCGTCTTCGGAAACAAGCTCGACTATCTGGGGATTGTAGCTCTGGTAGTCTCGTCAATGGTAAGCATCCTATATTACGGGTTCCACGACAATAAGCCCTATTTCTTCATATTCTCTGGCTTTACGGCGTTGTTTGGAGCTGGCTGCACGATAGCATCTTTGAAAGAACGCTTTCGGTCGAGGGAATGGCGAGCTTACAGAGCAGCCTTGTTTGTAGCCTTTGGGCTTTCCGCTTTGCTTCCTGTGATTGCGGGACTTGTGCGCTACGGGCTTGTGGAAACTTGGGCAAGAATACAGCTAAAATGGATCATTTTGGAAGGTGTTTTCTACATTTTGGGAGCTGTGCTCTACGGGACCCGAATTCCTGAACGGCTGGTGCCGGGAACTTTTGACATTTGGGGGAATTCTCATCAGATATTCCACGTCCTGGTCGTTGTGGCAGCTTTATGCCATTTAAGAGCGCTTCTTGGTGCTTACGAGTTGGTCCATATGAACTTGTTGAAAGACGCCGGTTTTTGATAGAAATAATGAATAGATATGAAAGGTGTAGAGCATTAACAACATTGTAAAGATAAAGGATTGGGTTCCGGTTTGAACTTTACTCTATGGGTCTTTTCTTAGCGACTCTCAGCGTTACGTTGAAATTCTAAAAAATTAAAGATGCTTCCAACCAGATTTGAACTGATGATCTCCACATTACTAGTGTGGCGCCTTACCAACTTGGCCATAGAAGCTACTTATTTGTTGGAAGCGAGTGGTTTGAGCATGGATATAGGTAGTAGATCAGATCAGGTGCTTTGGATATATGACAGTTACAAGTACAAGACGACAGGCCAAAAAAGGAGCGACTTCAAGTTGAAGGAAGACCCGGGAGATGTAGAAAGTTTGGATTTTGGACTTGGATTTGGATTTGGATGTACGAATAAAGTTCGAGTTTTGAATGACAACCTTTCCAATGCAAAAATTAGGCCCCGACTGTGATTAGAAAAAAAGCGAAGAGTCAAGCCAAAGGTAGTTACTGGAACAAGCTTGACATCTTCAGCGTTGTTTTTTAAAAAGCGAACACTGTGCGGTACACCGTTTTTGATTTCGAAAAAGTTCGGAACAGCGGACATGAAGCTCAAAAAAATATGAATGGCGAGCCAATCAATTGTAGGATTTGGTTCCAACTTCGCATTGAAATTGTGAAATTCCCGTTCTAGACTCCGCTGATTTAGGGAAGTTTCACAGCACAAAGTGGTGTCTCGTTTTCGTTATGTCTCGATCAATTTGAAGTAAATTTCCGCAAATACAGCTCATTGGGGCGTCCTATACCAAATGCTGCAATACCACGCATGCCAAAAAATCAAACTACCAACTCAAAAGTATGCTAAGCTCTTAAAAGATGAAAAAAGACCTCGAGCATCGCCAATTTCATAAACCTTTATCTCATACCAAAAATCACATCGGGAAGCGATCTTCCCGTCAAATGCGCACCATTCAACTCACAAAGTGTCATTAACATTAATCTGGACACATTTTCGCGGCCAACACGACCTTCCGATCTATGTCTTTTGAACTAAGTTCTAATTCTAGATGTTGATCGATAGATAAATTCAACTTTCCATTATCAATAATTGATCATCAAACTTCTTATAAAAACAGAACCGGATTGACCCATCGATTCACCTCTCATTCTCCTTCCAAAGATCTGTTTCTTGGACTTCAAGCTCATCGCATGATAATTGAAACCATTCACAGCGAGATATCAGTCATTGTCCGGTAAGTGTTTCTTGAATCAGTGTTTGTCTTTATATTTTATATACTTGTTAGGAATAGAAGTGCCAACGAGTTATGTTCAACAGTCAACTACAAAAGTCTCTTTTTGTTGTTTTCTGAATATCATGCCCATTAAACTCAAATGGCCATGGCTTGGGATCGCCATACCGAGCTTTTTGATAAGCTACATCGGTTACACATCTCACTACTTCATCTTATCCAATTTTGCCAGTCAACGACAGCAATTGACCTTTCAGTTCTCGCTGTCCATGGTGTGGGTATCCTACATTTTGGCCATTTACGTGAACCCCGGAAATCCGCCCAAGGGTTTTTCTCCAAACAAGCAGCAATGGACTCATTTCTGCAAGATATGCAACAATTACAAGCCAGAGAGAAGCCATCATTGTAAAACTTGTGGGAAATGCATTTTGATGATGGATCATCATTGTCCCTGGACGATGAACTGTGTGGGGTACCGAAATTTCCCGCATTTCATCAAATTTCTGGTTTGGATCATCGTTACCGCGCTCTTCCTGGAATATCTGTTGATAAAACGCGTAGTCAGTCACTGGCAGGCGAGAAATGAGCGTATCTTCGTTCACCCAGCGGAGTTGTGGTTTTTGGTTGTAAACCTACTGTTGAACTCCTTTATATGCTTGAGCATAAGCTTGTTGCTCGCTAGATGCGCCAACAACCAGCTATTAGACGGTATGACACAAATTGAGAAATGGGAAATGGAGCGCATAGAAAACCTGTTTTACCGAAAGCGTTTGTTGCCGCAGCTGATTGACAACTTGAAAATAATCTTTGGGGAACAATCCTCAACAGAAGCCTCTAACCAAAACTTACTGTCAAAAAAACGTCTGCGGCTAGAAGAAGTGGTCAATTTCCCGTATGACCTTGGGATTTCCGCAAATCTCAAAACTTGTATGGGCCCGCTAAAAACCTGGATACTTCCGTGGGCTAGTCCAAGTGGGTCGGGATGCATCTTCGAGGTAAATGACCTGGCTCTTTATGAACCTGATGCTGCTCTCGAGGATAAACTAATGGCATTACCTTGGCCCCCAGATGGCGGCCGCCAGATCTGTACTGGTACACCAAAGAGCAGCCCGGGTGTTCCAATTCACACTAGTCGAGGCGAAACAGTCTTGAAAAAAAGAATACCGGACGCTACACCAAGCTCAAGTGGAAAGTACTGGCAGAACGAATGGGGTGAATCATTGGCTGATTTTGGAGTTGACGTTGATGCAGAGGCCTGACAGTGAACCTATGGGTTACCACCGCTAATCGAGCGGGCAATATATCGTTACATATCGGCATGTCAAAACACCTATTTTCATTAATTATATTTCCTCCGTTGTGGTGTCATCACCTTTGATATCTGTGTCGTCACCAGTCTTATCAATAGGAGCCTCTAGCTCAGCAGCTTGCGCTTGTGGAAGTGGCACATCTGCTGATTCAGCAGGTTTCACTTTACCGTGATCCCTAACGTACTTGAGTGCTGTCTCGGCGCCTGTAGCACTCTCCTCACTGAGACCTTTCTTCCAGCCGTAATCGCTGTTCAAAAAATCTTCCACTTGCTTCTTCTTGAAATCTTTTTCTTGGCCGTTGAGAGGCGAAACCTTGGTCGGAAACTTGTTGGTAGTAGATCTAGTGAAAAGATCCTTCGAGTTTGGCTCAATCTGTAATTGGTAGTTTTCAGGATTGACTTGGATGCGAAGCGAGGAGACTGATTGGCCCACGGGGGAGGCCTTCTCATTATCGCTATCCTGATCATCATCCTTCAAATTCTTAACGAGGAACGGAACCTTGATCTCTTCATGCGATACCCCTTCCGTGGGATGTGAAAGGGCATATGAGGTCAGATAGTACTGCCACCTATCTTTGAGCGACTCGGGCTCTTTCAATGTGAGATCGTCCACTGCAACGAATTGTATACAGACATGACTAGTCTGCTGATTGTACTCGATCCGGAACATGTTATCTGAAAGTCCCATGTGTGACCTAACCTGTAATCGGTACAGAATTTGGTCCCGCCTGCTTGTACTGGCTGAAGTCCTGTCTTTTTCGAATAATACTACAATTCCCGAAGTCTTTGTGTCAGCTATGATTGTGTGCATATGTTTGACCAACCATTGCACGACTTTATCCACTGTGTAGAGCTTGAAAGCCTTGTTCTTGTATGCTTGACGCAAACTTTCTTCGAACCACTGATGCTCGATGTCATTCTCAATCAAACGTTTGCAGAGATTGAGTAGTTGTGCATAAGCGTCGAATTCTTTGAAATCCAAACCCATATCACTTAGCTGATTTGACAATAAATTTAGGTCCTTTGCAAACTGCGAAATTTTTCTATTTTTTATCTCCTCAGTTACAGCTTGGTTCATTTTTTTGACCTCATGCAGGCGCTGATACAGGGTTGTCAAATGACGGAAAAACACATATATGTTTGCGTTCGCAAACATGTTATATGTGTTTCTGTTTGGAACAAAACCGTGGTCATTCGCTTCCTCTATCACGCTGCCAAGTAGCCAGGGTTTTTGGGCTTCCTCTCTGATTATCTCTTCATCATCGTCAGCACGTCCATTGCCATTGGGTGAGCCTTGATCGTCCGATGATGCACCCTCTTCACCTATGCCATCACCGTTTCTTGTATGCTTGCTCTTCCCCTTGAGCATATCCCTCAGAATGTGATCATCCTGCCGTCTCCTCTTACGTGAAGGCGTTGCCAATGCTGACCCCACGTCGTTATCAAACGGTGAGTTAGACCCCGGCTGTCCAAAACGGTCAAGCTCATTTTGAGGAATAGCGAAAAATACTGACAGAAAGCCTTTGAGAAATTCTAAGAGTCTTTCTTTGTCACCGCTCGAGTATGTGGTGCTGTGATTGATGAAAACACTCACTAGCTCTAAAATGTCAAATAAAACTCCTTTGTCAACCAAATCATACTCCAGTTGACTCTCTGGCTTGGGAGTAAAAGGATAGATTCGCTTGTTGTTCTGATCCACCTTAATGCTGCTGATCTCAGATATCAGCTGTTTTGCCGTGAGTAACTTTTTATCAGCTTGTTTGAAAGTCAAACCCAAATGGTCCAAGGATTTGTAAAAGACCTTTTGCTCCAGCTCTCTCCAAACCTTGTTCCACTCCCTTTGAGCACGCCTCCACTCCTCATCTTTTTGTTTCAACCTCTTCAAAACAATTGGGACAGACACAGAAGGGTTCTCATGAAGAGCATCGATGATTTCAAAGCCTCTGTCCTTATCATAAATTTTCCTAATGACCTTCTTGTATATTGTTAATGATGTGTGGCCCAATCCAGGTGGTAGCTTGAAAGCTTGTTTCTCTTCAGCAGTCATCGTCGCTATCTTATTGGCAATTGTTTCAAGGGTCTGAATAGTTCTCAAGTTTGCTTCAATATAGAAATCATATTCATGACGCTCTTCTTCTATTTTGAAAAGTGTCTCCTCATATTGGTTCTTTCGGTGAGCGATGAAACCTGAGTCTTCGGAAGCCCATACTGGATGACCAACCCACTCATCATTCAAGACCTCCCAACACATTGCGTCTCTGCCAGAGCAGGGCATGAAGGTGTCCGTCTTAGGAAGCTTTTTGTAACTGGGACAGCAGGCCTCACACATGTCCAGATCCAATCTATGCTTCTCATGCATTACATTTTCTATGCATTTAGGTCTCTCAACGTAATTGACGAAACTTTTGAACCAATCGAAAAGCTCTACATTACCTCCGAGATAGTGTTCTACTTTGTCCACGAGTTCATTTGTATCAATCAAATCTTGAGAGTATAAGTTCAAAATCTTGAGAAACTCCATGTAAATTTGCTTATTTCCCAAGAATTTCTTAGCTCTGTCGAAGAAGGATGTTTCTTCGATCAAGGTTATATCACTTTCAAGAGGCCTTATTGGTTCAGGGATAACCGGTACCAGGCTTGGGTCTAAGTCTATCTCTGGTCTCGAAGTGGGCTCCATATACTGCATGTCTTGATATTGCATTGAAGGTGGAGCAAAACCGCCATCGACCGGGCCACGCATGTCGGAAACAGGTAAAGGCTTGTTGGCCATTCCCTGGACAGGAAGTGGACCCGGTTGCTGCGGAGAGCGTGATGGAATGTTTGGGGCCCCACCTTGGACAGCCGGAAGGCTGATATGTGATTCATTGTCACGCCCATTGATGGGAGGAGAAAAACTACCTAAAGGAGGTAAATTCTGCGCCCTTGGTTGTTGCCCCGGGAAAAAAGCAGGTCCGCCGTTGTAAGGTTGCTGTAGGTTCTGCCTGTGCTGCTCCATCTCCTGACGTTGACGTAACTGAGATTGGTCCAAAGGTTGATCTGGCTGGACATGCCCAGGAAGTACAGCGTTTTGATTCATTTGTTGCATCTGAAGTTGCTGATGCTGTTGCAATTGTTGCATATGTTGTAAATGCTGTTGCTGCTGTTGCTGCATCTGCTGCATCTGTTGTTCGTGAGCGGCAGTGGCATCGGGTAAAAACTTTTTAAAGTCGTCTAATAAGTCCGGTGCGTTTTGGAATAACGTCGTTACCTGAGCATAGACCTCATGAATGGGCTTCTGTTCCCTCTGGTATGTCTGGAGAATCTCCAGGAAGTGCTTGTATATGTCGGGCTGGTCTGCGAATCTGGTTTTGATTTTGTTGACATAACTGATAGCATGACTAAACTCCACGTCACCTGTGCTTCTGGCTGCCAAGTACGGTTGGGGAGGGTTTTGAGAAAGGGCTGCTTGAACCGGCGGTTGCTGAGCCTGCAGATTCGTGAGCGATTGGTCGGTTTGTTCCAACTGCTGTATTGGCAGTTGCTGCTGATTTTTGGCCGGGAAAATGGCTTGGGGTCCGGGCAGAGTGGGCTGGCTGGCCTCCATGCCGGGTCCATGCTCTGTGGGGGCAGCGGTCGCAGCAGCAGTAGCCTGAGGCGTGGAAATCTCGCTCAAAGGGTTTGATATGGAGGGAGCACCGACTCCCGGGGCGTTGGGAGCCGCCTCACGCTGGTCCAGCCGCGTTGGGCGATGTGAGTGGCCGTCGAACGGAGTGGTAACCGAGATGAAGTTTGGATCATTCGGGTCCAAAGCACACTCTATTCTGTAGCCTTGGGGCAGAAAAGTGTTGAGTCCCTGGATCAGCACCGGATAGCCCTTGAACAGCGTGGAGATCCGCTCGATGACCCCCAGTGTGTCGATAGCCTGCGACTTGTAGTCCTTCATGATATCCAAAAAATGGTTGTAAACGTCCGGCCGGCTATTAAACTGGAATTTGACCTGTTCCAGATACGACAGCGCGTCTTTGAAATTGAGCGGTTTGAAAGAACCATCGGGAATGTGTTCTACCGGGACATTTGGTGGTGGTGGTTGTTGTTGTTGTTGTTGTTGTTGTTGTTGTTGTTGTTGCTGTTGCAGTTGTTGTTCTGCAGGCAGTGGGTTGTCCAAACTAGCCACGGAAAAGCCCTTGGATCGTCCCACATACGGCAACCGCTGCTGCTGCTGCTGCTGCTGCTGCTGCTGCTCTCCACCATGGCTGCCGTTTTCCAAACCGCTGATCGACGGAAGAACAAACTGTTGCAGCTGTTGTTGCAGCGGTCCCTGACTTGGCACGGACTGAAGATTATCTGAGCTCTGAGACATCGTAGAAAGCCCGCGAAAAAACCCACTTGGACGTCAAAACTCGTACTTTTCCTTCTGCTAGCCTTCGTAAGTCCTGGAGTGTCCAGAAATGCCCTATTCGCCTTGATCCTGAGCTTTTGAAGCTTGATCAACTTGTATTTATGTGTTTAGGTTTTATAACTGGGGACAAATTTTTTTCTCAAAGGGGGGCGGTTATCGAATACTCGAAAACAGGACTAAAGACGCCTTAGAATTTTCCTCGTTAGAAATGCTCTATATTTTTCAAAATTGGATTCAAGAAACTCAATGTCATCAGAGAACAGAAGAGACTAGGACAACCATCGCTAGAGAAGACGAGCTTAGGAGAATAGAGAACTGCAAGAGGTGAGCGGTGGTCGAAATTGATAGATATAGCAGTAAGACTGGCGACGCAACACCCACTCACGAAACCCCCACACTCACAAGCTACAAATGAACGCGCCAGACAGATTCGAACTCTTTCTGCTGCCTGAGGGAGAAGCCAAACTCAAAGTCGACCCAGATACCAAGGCTCCAAACGCAGTAATTGTCACGTTTGAAAAAGAAGACCACACACTGGCAAATCTGATACGGGGTGAGCTACTGGAAGACCAGAAAGTGCTGTTTGCTGCATACAAAGTAGAGCATCCTTTGTTTGCGCAGTTCAAAATGAGAATTCAAACTGTAGAGGGCTACGACCCCAAAGAGGCTCTGAAGAACGCGTGCAACGGGATCATCTCGAAACTGGGCCAGCTGCAGTCGAACTTTGAAACAGAATGGAACCTCCAAACGCTGGCGTCGGAAGACAACTACGCGATGTAGCGACAGCTGGTTCGTTTTTTATTTGGTTTTAATGTCAACACCGCATCCGCACGCACTGGTGCGCACGCACTGGTGGTGTTCTTGTTTCAAGCTTTCTGTCTCGAGTTCACGCCGTCCCCTGTATTATAGTATTTAGATGAACAATTTGAAGAAGAAATTACAAGACCACCATCTATTGGCCGGTTCAGGGCATAAAAAACCCGCAAATCGTGAGAGCGGGAGAGGGTCGAGGCCCTTTTTGCTTGGTTTTTGTTCTCTACGTCCTTCTTACAAGCTATTCCTCGCTTTTTATACTCCGCTAAAAATTCGCTGCTGTAGTCATACACATCAATATTATCGCAGAGCCGGCTATATCTGCGGCTGCGCGGTGGATACGATTGCAGCTTTCTGCTTGAGGCCCTCCTTCATCATGAATATCTTGTCGGACAGATCGATATCGGGATGCTCGGGTAACACGCCAGCCTTAAGCAGCTCAACGGTCGGATACGTAGAGCTTTCGCGGTCGGGCGAGATATAAGTGATCAACGAACCACCTTCGGAAATGGCAAACTTGTGATGATCTTTGAAATTGAACTGGAACGTGCCGTCACTCAGCTCAAACATCACGTACTGTTTATAACGGGTGTATCTTCGAAGGAAAACATCGTCTTTGTGATATTCCTCACGAACGAAAGTCGAGATCCTGCTCAAATTCGCCTTCATGTATTTCGAAAAAAAGTCCACCACCTCCAGATGTCTTGCCAATTCGTGGGGTCTGTCTGTCAAGTTGTAATGGCTTGCTACCCAGCCCTCCCTGTCGTCGTAGCTAATGTACCAAAACTCTTCTGCGTCGGCAAGCCTCAGCACCGTGGTGCCATTATTAAATAGTACACCAATGTCATCCGTTGACAATTGGTATGAAAAGCCATGCTTATTGGAATAATCGACCCATTTTGTCACAACAATTGGATTCTTGAGCTTCGGCAGTCTTGATTTGGGGAGCCCACCCATGCGCTTTTGAGCTTCTGCCTCCAAAATACCATTTAGCGTCAAATGGCATTCACTGGCCAGAATTCGTAGCGATATTTCGGATTTGATAGCATTTGTGGAAGTGGCAACGAGATCTCTTTTGAGGGTAGCCTGCTGTGCTCTTCTAATTCTTGCCTCGCGCGCTAGGTCATTAAGCTTCTTTTGAGCATCGAGGTCAACGACTTCCTGGTACTTATTCTTAGTTCCACCTGGCGATAACGACTGTGGCAAGATTGTTCTACTTCGTTCTTGTTCGAGGTCGTTCTTAACAAGCTTGATGGGATCTTTGGTGGAAGATGACGAACCTGATGTTAAGCCCGATCGCGTCATACAAGCTTTCAAGTTTGCCATTGATTGAGCCATATCCAGATAATCGTAGTTTGGTCCAGAAGCTAGAGTATCGGTATCAATTCTTGGTGGAAATAGGCCCCTGAACCAAACATAATCCATGATTTCATCTAAAGATGGTCTCTCCAGAGGATCTATGGAGAGTATGTCCTTGATCAAAATCATCGCGTCGGGAGAAATGCACTTCTCTTTGGGAAAAACGTAGTCTCCAGACTTGATACGCTCATAGATAATGTTGACTTCTTTTGCTTGAAAGGGTGGTTTGCCCACTAACAAAGCGTATATCATTACGCCACAGGACCAGATATCAACCTCGTAAGAGTGGCCGGTATGTTTGCCGGTAAGGACCTCTGGCGCTATGTAATTGGGCGTGCCGCACACGGTGAATTTGCGTTCTCTATCGTTGGCCAACACGGCAGCCAGTCCGAAATCTCCGATCTTTAGATTGTAGTTGCTGTCGAAGAAGATATTCCCGAGCTTAAGGTCTCGATGAATAACTCGTCTGCTGTGCATATATTTTACAGCGCCTATGATCTGTGTTGTGAAGAAGCGTACTTCTGGCTCTGTAAGTACTTTTCTTGCTTTTAGAAGGTCCATCAGAGAGCCATTGGGACATATTTCTAGCAGAATGTAGACATTGGTATCATCCTCGAAACAATCCACAAACTGGACGATGTTGAAATGTCGCATACTCTTGTGGATCTGAATTTCAGAAAGAAGCTTTTTGCGCGTCTTTTCAGACTTTATCGAGATCTTTGCCACGGTCTTGGCGGCAAAGATCTTGCCAGAGTCGTCTTTGATCTGGAAACATCTTGCGAAGCCACCTTCGCCCAGAAAATGGCCCCTCCGATAGTCCCTGCCGCGGGTCTTGATGAGAGAAGGCGGCGTTTTGCACAGAGCGGAGAGCTTTTCCTTTTTCTTCTTGGGAGCGGGCTGCTTGTGTTGGTCGTAGTGGTGGTCTGGACGCTTGTTGCTGGTGTGTTGCTGCAGGTTTTCCTTTCCTACCGTGTATTTTGTGGGAGTGTAAACATTGTTTGTCCGGGTGTTCAGCTGTCGTTCGTTGACGATCTGAAGCGGAGCTGCAGACATGCTGTGCGCTGTGTGCTGTGTGTAGTGTGCTGTGTGCTGTGTGCTGTGTGCTGGAATATTCAGTTTTCAGTTTTGTGGCAGAAATTTTCCGCCCTTGTGAACCTCGAAAACAGAAACGTAGTTCGCGCTTTTATGTCTCCTGGCGTCTTTCTCTACAATCGAGCACTTCGTCACCAATCTTTCCACAAACCTTGCAATCGTCACCTTCGATGCTTTTCACGCTGCCAGTTTGGATAAACACCACTGTATATGGCCGATTCCAAGATGCCTTTTAGAGCGGTAAAATGAGTTCAATTCTCGACCGTTGCAGTTCCCCAAAGCTCACACGGCTGTAGCGTGAAGAAGTCTGGACGTTGGTGTCTTGAACTATACCCTAGAAGTCCAGGATCTTGACGAAACTGTTTGTTTTTCTTGAACTTAGCCCGAAAGCGATGTTGTTGAAGTTTTTTGAGAAGTAAACAATGATTTATGACTTAATGTTATATCTGGTAACCAAAACAGAAAAATGTCAACAGAAACCGAAAGGTTCAGAGGGCTTCCAATGGCACCTTGAGCAGCTCGCACAGGGCTGCAAGCTGTTGAGGACGGAGTTTTCCACGCATTTCGCGGGACGCGGAACGTCGAAATAGGGAATTTGGGGCGACCACTTTACGGCCAGTGTGTCGTGTAGTCAGAGACGACACGATGCGGATGTGACACTCAGAACCACTTTGCAGGACTCCAATCAGCGGCTGGTCCGTGCAATTCGCGAGAGGACCACAAAGGTAGCGTTTGGACCGTGTTAGAAGAGGAAACCGATGTTCTGCTGCCAAAAAGCCGTTATAGGAATAACTCACGAATCTTGGAACTACGATACTGGTTTTCTTGCGACAAAAAAAGCTACATGACTGCGTGTGTGTTTGTGTGTATTGCGAAGATCTTAGAGCATTCTCCACTTACAAAGATCGGTGGCTTCTCAACCAGATAAAGATTCACACACAGATATCTAGATCTGTTCGAGACCTAAAGTTTTTGTAGGGCTAGAAGCCGGATTCGGTCCCTGACTTCGAGGTCTTGGAGCCATTTTACAAACGCGAATATCTGACGCTAGCCAAAGGCTATTTTGATCAAGAGCAAGAGCTAAGCTGGGCCTTCTGCAGCTCTTCTTATATAGTTGTATCCAGAACAGACGAATTTGAAAAAATACTGAATATATATATATATATATATATATATATACATTATATAGAAATTATTGAATATTTCTGTAAATGTACAAGTATAAGACGATATTCAGCGTCCCAAGAGGCGATTTTAGGTCTGGAACTGCGTTTAACAGTGGATTCGAGTGCATTGAGGCCAATCGGAATGACAGTAAAGCTCAAGGAAGACACTTCCTCTTCGGACGAGGAAGATGCACCTCTCTCAGCTACTCTACAACGTAATAATAAGAGAAAGATCCAAGAGTCCGATGAGGACGATGAGAACACCAAAATCAAGCCAGAGGACAACGAATCGGTCGATAGCGATGAAGCGTTGTCGAAAGTTGTGTCTCCTCGAAAAATTGTGAAAAAGGCCAAAACTAGCGGGAAAAAAAATGGCGGTGCCAAAACGCAGGCTGACAATAAGAAATCCAAGAAGAAGACTACTACCACAACGACCACAGCGAAAAAAACACCAAAGAAAATCCCAAAACGAGAACACTCTGTCGAACAGCAAAATGCCGACCCGGAAGACAGCAGCAGCAGCATCAAGGAATCCAGCGAAAGTGCAGACGAGTTCAAGTGGTGGGAAAAAGATAACGACGACGACACAGTCAAGTGGACGTCGTTGAAACACAACGGTGTGATTTTCCCTCCCAATTACGATCCGCTTCCTTCGCACATCAGGCTATACTACGCAGGAAAAGCGGTCGATCTGCCGCCTCAGGCAGAAGAAGTCGTGGGTTTTTTCGCTGCGTTGCTGGAATCCGATCACGCCAAGAACCCTGTGTTCCAGAAAAACTTCTTCGAAGACTTCCTACAGGTGCTGAAAGAGAGCGGCGGTGCCCGCAATGGTGTGGAGATCAAGGAATTCGAAAAATGCGATTTTTCCAAGATCTATGACTATTTTCAGCTGCAAAAGGAGCAGAAAAAACAGCTCAGTTCGCAGGAGAAGAAGAAGTTGAAAGAGGAAAAAGAGGAGCTGGAAGAGCCCTACAAATTCTGCTTTCTCGATGGGCGCAAAGAACAGGTCGGAAACTTCAGAATTGAGCCTCCGGGGCTTTTCCGTGGTCGCGGTGCACATCCAAAGACAGGTAAACTGAAGAGACGGGTTTACCCCGAAGACGTGGTGCTCAATCTAGACAAAGAAGCTGAGATTCCAAAACCACCAGAGGGTCACAACTGGGGTGAGATACGGCACGACAATACGGTTCAATGGCTAGCCATGTGGCGAGAAAACATTTCGAACTCTTTCAAGTACGTTCGTTTTGCCGCAAACTCGTCCTTGAAAGGCATGAGTGACTTCAAAAAGTTTGAAAAAGCCCGCCAGCTGAAGGACTACATCGGAATGGTAAGAAAGGACTACACCAAAAACCTCAAAAGTAAGGTTATGTTGGAAAGACAAATCGCTGTGGCGTGTTACTTCATTGACGTCTTTGCGCTGAGAGCAGGCGGAGAGAAGGCAGACGACGAAGCCGACACTGTTGGTTGCTGTTCTTTGAGATACGAGCATGTCACTTTGAAACCTCCCACAACAGTCATTTTCGACTTCCTGGGTAAGGACTCTATTAGGTTTTACCAGGAAGTGGAGGTGGAAAAGCAGGTTTTTAAAAACCTGACGCTATTCAAAAAACCGCCAAAGAAGCCCGGCCACGAGCTGTTTGACAGACTGGATCCCTCAATTTTAAACAAACACCTTCAAAACTACATGCCAGGCTTGACGGCCAAAGTCTTCCGTACCTACAACGCTTCCAAGACAATGCAGGATCAGTTGGATCTCATCCCAAATGAAGGTACCGTGGCGGAAAAACTTCTAAAATACAATGCGGCGAACCGCACGGTTGCCATCTTGTGTAACCATCAAAGGACCGTGACGAAGGGCCATGCTGCATCGGTGGAAAAGGCCACAGCGAGGATTGAGGAAATGGAGTGGCAGAAAATCAGGCTGAAGAAAATGATCATGCAGCTGGACGCGACAGAGGCGAAAAAAAACCCCAAGTACTTCGCTGAGGTCAAAGATCTTGTGAAGGAGCAGGAGGCTGCCATCCACAGACGCGTTATCGAGAAGGAACGGGAGAAATTCGCCAAGAAGTTTGCTCGCGACAATGAGAAACGCAAATTCGACAAAGAGGAGCCTCTACCGGAGTCCCAGCTCAAGGAGTGGATGGCAAAGGTGGACGAGATGGAAAAGGCATACGCAGACGAGCTGAAAACCGGCAAAGTGCAGGTAACAAACAGCGACGTGGAAAAACTCAAGTCCCAAGTTGACAAACTCGAGCAAAGAATTGAAAACTACACTACCCAGCTAAAAGACAAGGAGGACAACTCCCAGGTTTCTCTGGGCACTTCCAAGATCAACTACATCGACCCCAGATTGTCGGTTGTGTTTTGCAAGAAGTATGGTGTTCCTCTGGAGAAGGTTTTCACCAAATCGCTGCGGGACAAGTTCAAGTGGGCGGTGGAGTCCGCAGACGAGAACTGGCGGTTCTGAAACCATGCATATATAGGCATATTTATTGTAAATGTGTGCGTAAATGTACACACATGTGCATCATCAAGCGCGCGAAATGAGCTCGCGTTAGTTCTGCATGATTTTTCGTGCTTCCAGTGTCCGTAATGGTATTTTTCGCGTATTGAACAGAAAATCGCGTCTTATGCTGATCAAGACGCAAGGGCCAACTACGAAAGATGTAAAGACCAAGAACGGGCCAATATAAGACCCGAGGTAAGATCTTAAGATGCGCCTTTCAAGCTTTGTGGGCAAGTCCTTCTTGTCTGGATTCTTTACTGCCAATTACTCTTTAGTTTACATACATATACGTTTGGAAAACTACTGAACCAGTATAATGAAGTTAATAGCGGTCTGTTGCACGTTGTGTGCTCTGATATCGAGTACATCTGCCAATCGAGAGTTCGACAGGACATTTCAGATGCTCAGGAAACGAGCGGTTTCGTCCGTTTCGGAAGACGCTTTTGGAACAACTTCTACAATATTACAGCCGGTAATACGGCGGGCGATGCCTTCTCTGACGGCCAGTTCGAGCTCAAGTTCGAGTACTGGCAACTCAAGCACCACAGCGTCTTCTTCTTCCTCTAGTTCTTCATACAGCGCGACTTTCACGCCGGTGGTACCGAACGCTGCTGGAAACAAGTCAATCTACCACACAGAGTATCCCAGCGGAACAGTTTTCGTTATTGTTGGGGCCGTGATTGGGTTTCTGGGAGTGCTGTTTACGCTAATTTGGGCGATTTCCGCCGTCCGGGCCTGGCTGAGTGCACGCCGGGAGTATCGTGCACGGTCTGTGGAAGCCCGTTTCCAATCAGATCCGTTCATGTTCCAGTCCAAAGATACAGACACCGAATACTCGGACGGCTCGAGCCACAGCGATGTGTCGGAAACTATTTTGAAAACACGAAGCTCGAGACGGCCAGCTTTGAGAACTTTTGGATCCCAGTCTACCGTGGATTTGCTACAGGGCAAGACAATTTCTGTCAACACCATTTCGCCTGCAGAACGCAATTCGATGTTCATATCTCCGACCGAAATCATGAAGAACTCGGCCAATGGCCACGGTCTGCCGTCCCAAGGAACTCCTCAGTCCGAGTTTTCGGAGTTTTCAGGTCCGGTGCAAGCTGCACAGGTTTTGGAGCATTCCGATCCGCTGTACCAATTCGCATACGGTGAGCCACGCTCGGTAAGACCTCCAAGCATACACTTGGAGAAAATGTTCGACGAAGAGCTGTGAACAAAAGATGGTGCTCTGAAGGCCACTGCAGATGCAAAAACAAGAACAAGAACAAGAATAAGAATAAGAGCGAGAGCGAGAGCGAGAGCGAGAATAGCACGAATCCGAAGCACACTCCCGCAGTGCAACGGTACTTATAGCTCGAAAGACCGGTTACCTGAGAATGTTGGTCTCTCTCTCATCGTACAAAGTGCTCGAGAACCACAACCATGTGACTTCCACGTGGCCCAGGAGTCACGCTAATATCACGCCAATATCACGCGCATGGAACAGTGGCGAAAAAAATAATCCTCTCCCGAGATAAATTACATAGATCCAAGTATAAAAGGAAGTGATATAACAATGATGGGATGGCTTCTTTCGAACAATAGAGTTTACACGTTTAAAAGACCAGAAATTCTTGTTGTTATCCGAACAAGAACCATCAACACATTCACTAATTCAACACATTAATAATGGCACGTTCTAGAGGTGGCGTTAGATCCAGACCAGCTCCAGCCCAGACCCGTTCGGCGTCCACCATGGCTGCTCAACCCCATCAACAGCAGCACGCTCCAGTAGCACCACAGCAGTCTAGCGCCTACTCTCATCCACAATCGGGTGCGCAGGCTCGCCAGCCCGGTCTATTCTCGCAGATGGCTTCGACCGCTGCCGGTGTGGCCGTCGGTAGCGCTGTGGGTCACACTTTGGGTGCCGGTCTAACCGGCATGTTTTCTGGATCCTCCAGTGCTCCTGCTGCCGAGCAGCAGCAGACATTCGCGCAGGACCAGGCCAGAGGCTGTGACGTTGATGCCAGAACCTTCACCAGATGTTTGGAAGAAAACAGCGGAAACATGCAAGTGTGCGATTTCTATCTGCAGCAGTTGAAGGCTTGCCAAGAGGCCGCTCGCCAGTACTGAACGCATCGCACCTTTGGGGGGTCATCAGTAGATTTTCCAAGACGGAACGAGTTGCGCTTTTTTGAGGTCTTGAACGGTGGGGTTAAGCTGAGGTCAAGCTTCCAATCAACCAGACCATTTCCATATTCCTGATTCATGTATGCAGCACATTTGTGTGTATATTTATGTACCGCGGGACTCCAAGATTCACGAATAATCTGGGGTCTAAAACAGAGATTCGCAAGAACCTGTGTTGTATGTAGGTTCAAAAACTGTAAATAGTCAAGCACTGTATTTTCACGCTACAAGAGTCGAGGGCGATGCATTGCACTGCGATGCACTTCAAACCTACTAAACAAAGTCTATTTGGACGCTAAATTGATGGCGTTTTGAGCTTTAAGACGCATTGATCTACGCATTTTGAAAAACCATTGAAAAAATACCGAAACCAACGCCAAAAGCTGCTTTTATACCAAACTTTTGCAGCTTGGAAACTTCCAAATGTGGTGTTGAAGGTGTTGAAAACAAGCGGCTATCGACCCGTTTTTATATAACCTCAATTTCGTCAAAAGTGATATGAAATTCTAAAATCGCCAAGTAAATAAACAAGATCAATATTGATCTGAATAGAAAGATGAGGTTGAAGAATGATGATGTTGATAACTTTCCCAAACAACAAAAGTCACACAAGATCATTGAAACAACCAACTTGGCCAGTCAAATCACTGTCCAGATATCTACTCCCTCATTCACATCATGAAGAGCTTTCAAATGCTTTTCTCCCGAGCCGCAAAGCTCAACGCTAGCACAAGTACGCTTACAACAGGAATCGGGATTCGGTCGCGGGTTTTGCAGCTCTCATCAAGAAGGTTGGTGCATAGTACGCCCCGCAAAGACCACACAACACTGCTAAGCAACGACAAGCTGGCCAGCTTCAACGTGCTGAGCCTGAAGGCTCTCAAAAATGAGTGCCGCAACCGGGGGCTGAAAATTTCAGGGAGAAAGGGCGAACTTGTGGATCGTATTTTGGCGTTTGAAAATACATCAAAATCGTTGTCCGGAATGTCCAAAATAGCCAGCAGTGCCCGTCAGCTGCATGTGACGAGTGCTGCTAAGCAGAAGGGGGACTCCAGGCCCGTAGACGACGTCAAACTTCCCGACGTGGCAGCCACGGAAGATTCGTTGCAATCGCTCGACAAAGAGTACATCGTTCACATAACACCACTTTCAGAAAGTGCAGACCAAAGGCCAGTCACAATGCTGGAGAAAGAGCTTCTTGCATCGCAAACGGCATCGGAAAAACCACCGCAAGTCTCGACCACAGACCACGACAAGGTGATTTTCCAAGCGGACGCTCCAGAAGAGGGCTTCGATATCGTGAACGAGGAGTACGAGACCGCCAATACTAACCACCACAACTTAGACGCAGCGAATACCAGCGGCTTTTCCAAGGAATCGGACTCATTGAGCTCCAAAGACAAGACTTTTTTCCTCAGCGTGGCGGGACTCGTGGCAGGATGGTGGTCGCTCAAACTATGGACCAACAAGGGCGATCATGAGCACTAGCTGGGTGCAAGCGGGTACACCCAAAAGCGGTCTCAAGTCCAAACTTTTTTATCATTATTCGGGGTTGTTCAAAGGCTATTTCTCTCTGTTAGGACTGACGCGAGGTAAGGAATCAAGGCGTCAAGGTGCTATTGTCATGAACACAACATCAAAATCGTAAGTAAAAGTGTAAAAAAAAAGCTATAACGGATTCTATGATTTCAGGTAATCGCCAGAAAAGTCTCGTTGTAATATCTTCAATGCTTAGTTTCTTACAGGACGTCACTCGTCTTATTTTTGGCATGCTGTCGCTTCAGATTGAAGATACGTTTTTCGAAAGACTTCATGACAAGTTCCGTGGCACTTTTCCCGAAAATGGATGCCACATTATTGTAAAGACTACTTTTGAATTGGAACTCAAGACAAAGTATAGCTTCAGTTGCACCGGGTCGCGATGGATGCGGTTTGATGCTCCAATGTGTCTGCAACGCGTTGAACAGTGTGTGGGTTAGTGAGTTAGCCACCACACTGTAGTTTCCCTGTTCGTCCTGCCTGCATTCGATTCTACACACAAGGCTCTCGTCGTAGCTGTGAAATCCCACCGTCAAGCCGGCCTCTGTTGGCCTTCCTGTTTCTTCATCTTTTTTGGCGACGAACGATTCTGTACAGTACTTCACAAACTTTTTATAATCCGATATGTTAGATACAACGTCGTAAACATCGTAGGCTGGTGCGTTTATAGTTCTGGTCAGCAGGAATTTCTGCTGTTTAGACAAGTTTCTCGCTGCACAAGCGAACGTCCTTCGGCCGTGAAATTTGAGATTCCCTTTGGCATGCGTATAAACAACTCTGCTAACACTATTTATCATAACCAATTGGGTCTTTGAGACCTTACTATGCTAACGTTTGTTCGCTTTTGAATGTAGTTTCCATCTATTTCACCATTTCCTTTGAATATATGTATAATATTTACCAACTCAAATATCAACCTACACTTTGCCAACTTGATGACTATTTACCAGCAAGTTAGGGCTCGGGATGTCTTTTGAAATCAATTGGGAAGACGTCGGGGAAGACCCCGTTATCAACAACTCTATCAAGGCCTTCCTCAACTCTCAATTGCAAGCCATCGCTTTACCCAGTTATGTCAACAGCTTACAGGTTACCGACTTTCGTCTGGGACATATACCACCGAAAATAACTTTGCGGGAGATCACAGATCCTCTCAGCGAGTTTTATGAGCATGTTGCTGAAGAAGAAGAACGAACGAAGTCAAAAGAGCATTCCCAAGACGGTGGGGATGACGAAAACTCATCGAATGACGAACCAAACAAAAATAATGCTGAATCTGATCCCAAGACCAGGAGGAATCAAAGCGACTTGCAGTTTTTGGTAGAGGTCGATTACAAAGGCGATATGGCTATCGACGTTAATGCAGAACTAGCACTTAACTATCCAAGTCCGTCTTTCATGAGTCTCCCGGTGAAACTGTCAATAACGGATCTGGGCGTGCATGTACTGTGTTTGGTGGCGTATTTGTCGAAACAGATGTTTATCAGCTTTTTGTGCGATGTAGCAGACCCTATTTTGGACGCAAGAGAGTCTACCATCGACTCAGGAAGCTCGGTGTTTCTGGGCAAAAAATCACTAGAAAGAATCTCTCTGATTCGGAGCATCAAGATCGAAAGTGAAATAGGTGAACAGAACAATGTGGAAGGTTCTGTACTGCGAAGTGTGGGGAAACTCGAACAGTTTTTACTGGAGATTTTTAAGACCATTGTAACGGTCGAAGCAGCATGGCCCAGCTGGATCAATCTGGATTTCAACGAGGAGGAAAGCGACGAGGAAGACTGAAGGAAAGAGGTAAAGTCGGGGGATACTTGGCTGAACAATTGAGAGCGTCAGCGATCAATTGTGAACGAGTTCCACTGCGAGAAATGAAAGCCGCTGCTAGCATGGCTGAACAGTTGAGGGCGTCAGTGATCAATGGTGAGTGAATTCCCCTGCAAGCATGGTTTAATAACTGGCAGTGTCAGCGAAGCGATCAATGTGAACTAATACCACTGCAAGAGTCGAAGACCACTGCAAGAAACGAAGACAACTGCAAGCATAGTTGAACAATCGAGAGCGTCAGTGGTCAATGGTGACTGGATTTCACTGCATGAGATGAAGTCCATTGCAAGGGACGAAGACCACTGCAAGAAACGAAGACTTGTGCAAGAGATGAAGACAACTACAAGCATGGTTTAACAAATGAGAGCGTCAGCGATCAATTGTGAACGAGTTCCACTGCGAGAGATGAAAACCGCTGCGAGCATGGCTGAACAATTGTGAGCGTCAGCGATCAACGGTGACTGGATTTCACTGCAAGCATGGTTTAACAATTGGCAATGTCAGTGAAGCGATCGATTGTGAATTATTATTACTGCAAGAGATTAAGTTCACTGCAAGAGATGAAGTTTACTGCAAGAGATGAAGACAACCGCAAGAATGGCTGAAAGACTAAGAGCGTCGGCGATCAAAGGTGACTGAATTCCACTGCAAGAGACGAAACCCACGGCAAGCATGGTTGAACAATTGAGATGGTCATCAATCAAAGGTGACTGAATTCCACTGCAAGAGACGAAACCCACGGCAAGCATGGTTGAACAATTGAGATGGAAATCGATCAATGTTGAATGAATTTTACTGCAAGAGATGAAGGTCAATGCGAGAGATGAAGACCACTGCAGGCATGGTTCAACAATTGGCAATGTCAGTGAAGCGATCGATTGTGAATTATTACCACAGCAAGAGACGAAAACCACTGCGAGCACGGTTTAACAATCGAGATCGTCATTGATCAATGGTGACTGAACATCACTGCAAGAGATGAAGACTTCTGCACATTGAAAAATGGACAGTGTCAGCGACCAAATATAAAATAGCCCGCTTCCATCCAAGCTCTCACAACCAAGGCTAAACAATTTTTACGATAGTCACAATTTGTCGCTGACGGCCTCAACAAAGGCAAAGATGTCTAATCATTGATCGCCAAGGCTCTCAGTCCTAACTACTTGTTCTATAAGTTCTTGTCATCAACTAAATAAACAATCGTACAGTAATGAAAAATTAGGACAACTTACACTACAAACAACATCAATATCCACATCTGATCATCATAAAGGCAGTGGCGATGAATTTGTTCGGCAACTTGGAGGATCCTTGGAAATCTGACCAACTTTCAGGCTCACCAGCCGCTCAAAACGAATGGGCAAGTTTGAATACAGATCCGTTAACGTCTTCTGGTATACTGGGAGCAGAGGCTAGTACATCAAAGGTTGAGACCTTTTCAGGCCACAGAAGTAAGGATGCTAGAACTCAAGATGTGCAATTTGATACCTCTAGTTTGATAATGGGTCAGCAAGATGGTGATAGAACCGCAGGATGGGGTGAGACTCTGGGCGACGTCAATAATCATGTCTCTAAGGGTCTGTCGAAAGGTGATATGCTAACAGAAACACCATTTGCAGAATCTGCAGATCAATCCAATGAGCCTCATGCAAAGGAAGACTACGAACACTGGCTTGACGAGGTAAGGAAGAAATACAACCCACTTTCTCCCGATATCATCATGGTAGAGGAAATACCTGAAAGAGAAGGGCTGTTATTCAAACATACAAACTATCTTGTGAGACACTTGGTGGAGCTGCCAGACACAGAACCTGCTAGTGACAAGAGCGTTGTGAGAAGATATTCGGACTTCGTGTGGCTACAAGAAGTTTTACTGAAAAAGTACCCTTTCCGCATGATTCCTGACCTACCACCGAAAAAGATAGGCTCACACAATGCAGACCCGATATTCCTAATCAAGAGACTCAACGGGCTGTCGAGATTCATCAATCTTCTCGTAAAGCATCCGGTTCTCAAAACAGATGACTTACTTTTGACATTTCTCACTGTTCCTACCGACCTTCTCGGCTGGAGAAAGAACGCCAACTATGACACCACTGATGAGTTTACGGACAAGAAAATAGGCATGTCTTTCATAAAAATGTGGCACAAAGAGATGGCAGAGAGGTGGAATGAGGCAGATGCTTCGATCGACACGCTTTTAGATCTCTGGGCAAAAATCACAATCTTGATCGAGAGGTATGAGAAAAGAATGAAATTTATCAGCCAAGACCGAATTTTGCTTGCATCTATGATCGACGATTTTGCTGGCAACACCACGCGTCTTTTCTCTTCCGACACAAGCTCCACTGTGCTCGAAATAAATGACCATTTGAATGTTGTATCTAAACATCTGGGTGCTTGCAACAAAATAGCACTGTCCGAAAGCGAAGAGATGAAACAGGAACTGTCGCCGCGCTTCAGGACTTTTATAGATATTCTTCTCGCGCTCAAAGGGCTTTTTGAAAGATACAAAATAATGGCAGGGAATACTGTCCCGCAGCTCCAGAGACGCATTGAACTCAGCACCGAGCGGTTGGATCAGATGAAGGATAAGCCTGACTTGAAAGGCGCGGAGTACGATAAGGTGAAACAAAGCATTCAAAGAGACAGGAGGAGCATCGCCCAACAAATGAATAAGAGCTGGCTCATAAGGGAATGTATCCTTGAGGAATATGTTTATTTCCAAGAAACTCAATTCTTGATTACAGACAATTTTCAGCGATGGGCGAAGCTCAATATGAACTACATGGAATTGAACTCTAACGAATGGGAGAAATTGTTGAATTCCATTGAATCGATGCCCGTGTCGCGATCATGATTATCTGTGTCTTTTTTCGGTAGGTACATAAAGTCAGTCAAAGAAAAAAACCAGCCGTGATGAGGTTTTCATAGACCTCAAACTATCAGACGTTGTAATTGTTATTTTATTATCTGCTATATGCCCATCATGCTATTTTTTTGTTGGAGTTGGTGAATCCCACACCTTTGATGGTCGCTATGAGGTCGTCACTATCGGCCTCGTTTACTGGCTTCAAGAACACTTCTGTACCGAAAATTTGTTTGATATGTCTCAACAGCCAAATGAATTTTTCATCCACTTGTGCTTTGTTAATCCTGAGTCTCCCGATATCTTCTTTACCAATCACCATGTAGACGATCGCAAGCGCCAGTTGATTTCTCCCTACAACACCACTCATTGAAATTTCCTCTAATAGCTCATAAGCGATTTGTGAACCCAGATCTTCGGGAACTTCACCAGCATCGCCGATACCCTCAGAAAAATATTTCCAGCCCTTCTTACTTTCAGCCACTAGTGTTATACCCCAGCCGGGACTTTTCCCGGCGTTCTCTCCTCTCCATGCGTCAGCACTTATATCGACTTCACATCCTACGCCCTTCAGTACCTTTCTAGCACCGTCGATCATTCTATTAACCATCGAGGGACTGACTCTGGTGGAGTATGCAACACCTCTGATGGATGAAATTTGAGGTGTTTCGAGCGCATGCATGGTAATGGGCTGAGAGATCAGAGAGTCGACTACCAGATGCACTTCACCACCTCCCAAGGGTGGAGATCCACGTTTCAGAGTGTGCAGAGCGCACTCACGGACCCCGAATTTCTCCATGACTGGCATTAGCCCCCACTTGATGGCCTCCAAACCTGCATCCTGATGCGAAGCGGTCACTCCTCTAAAAATAACGGAAAATTTCTTCTTGGAGAAAGGTGCCAGATACAGCATTGGTTCGACGTAGTATCCCACTGGTTTTCCAGGCGGACACTGATGCGTATATGAACCGCCTGTAATGATGCCTGGTCTGTAAATGACGGTTGTACCGGTATATGAGATTTCGATCGAGCTGCCGTTGGTCAGAGCTTCTATCAGACGTAGAAACGAAACTTCGTGGTCTCGCAGACCTGGGTTCAAATCTTCTGATCTTATTTTCTCAATTCTTATAGGATGTCCAGAAAGAGTTGCCAAAACTATCAGCATCCTGAAGTTTCTGCAACTTTGAAAAGTAGCATACCGCGACGTAGACATGTTCCCTATGCGTAATCTATCGTTTGGGGAACGTATAGCTATAATCAACGGGTCTTGTTTCGTCAGTTGAGTGATGCGATGAGCTTCCGATGAGCTTGAGATGAGCGATGAGCTTTAAATTGAAAAATCTTCCATAGTAATAAGCTTTACAAGCTGTCCACGTCGAAAGTGATCTATACGAAACAGATCAGAATTGAACGTTTCGAATTGATTCAAAGTAAGCGATGACTGGGATATGTCCATTATTGTTGTTATTTCGCGTGTAGATCGAGTTGTGTTTTTAGGTTTTGAATTACACTTGTTTTCTTCGTGTGAGATAATAAAAACTATAATTATTATGTTGATCTTTTTTCAGTTCTACTTGAGGGCGAGGTTTCTGACTGTTACAAGCGCAATTAGAAGATATTTTGTGTGTTAAATGACTGCCGAGGTCACTAACTTTGCGGGCAAAAAAAAGTGTAGCAAGAGTCTGGCAGACTTGCTGGCTTACGTAATCAATAAAAATTGTTACAAGAATGGTAAGCCCGCATACTGAAGTGATGAACTGATATTCGGTAATCCTGATATTTCCCGTATAAGCTCTAAAGAGAGTGAAATCGGATACGTTGTTGCTAAGAAAAGGAACTTCTGAGTGATGGCACGTGACTCGGACGACAGATGACAGATGACAGATGACAAGAGATGTAAAGTGAGATGAAGATAGTTAAAACCTTGTTAAAGGACAAACACAGAAATGGAAGAAATAAGACGATAGGGCTATTTCAAAGTACTCAATTCTTTGTAGACATTTATTCTGGACCATCCCCACAGCTCTCCTGTACTTATCTGAACCTTCTGCATGTCTGTCACTATTAACGAGAATCCCTCAAGCAAGGTCTCTTTTTTGGAGGACTCCAGCCTTCTTCTCACCTCTACAGACACATCCTGTCTTTTTTTGAAAATGTGCTTTCATCTGAGATATTCGAACCTCCTTAAAATCCCACCTATCTTCCACTCAGTAAAACTTCACAAGTTCAAAATGTTTGCACACTACGTGTTAGCCCCCACCAAATTCAAGCTCAATTCATGCTCCAAAATCAATTAATTCCAGTCATAATCGGTCCTCGTTCTTTCGCGTTAGCGTCTGTTAAAACCTTTGACATAACTTCAACAACATACCTTTATACGGGAATAGGTATATTTTAAATGATCATCAAAGATGAACTCAGTCGTGTGGAAACAACGATCTTAACACATCTTCGCCTAAAAACATCGACTTTGGAGCCTGTAAAGCGAGCCTGAACCACCTGTACAAGTATTTATACCAGTGCACTTAATCATGGCCAAGTCACCCAAGAGACAAGGAAGCCCGGGGCCCGAAAACTCAGGTTTGAAAAAAGCCAAAAGGGAAGATAATGACACACTGTTGGAAGACGAGGGACCAGCGTTCGAAATCGGAAGTGGTACAGCCAGTGAAAGTTTAGAGCCAGGATCTACTGATTTCGGATCGGACATGCCCACTCCTTTCGATAGTATGGTCGATAGAGCCACATCAGGCGTTGTTCTGCCGGAAAGTAAGACCCCTACAACGAATTTGGTAAATTCTACAAGTGTCGCCGCACAAGACAAAAAGAAAGGGAAACCCAAGGGAATGCAGCAAACTACCAAAAAAATGCAACAATCGGTGCAAGCAGGCGGGTCGAATGTATCGGGCAACAGCGGTGGGACCACAAGTGGCCCCGGTAATTCAACTGCAAACGCAAATCAGCCATCCTCCAAGATGCAAACAGATCCGGACAAGTTGAGTGACGCTCTTTTCTCTGCGGGTGTCGATATCCGTGAAGAAGAAGCTTTGCTAAACTCGTCCATGAACATCACGAAAAACAGCGCACAACACTCGGACATGGCCCTCAATAACACACTGCCGCCACAAGTGCCGCTTCTGCATCCGTCTCAGGTTGCGGACTACATGAAAAAAGTGGGCACGGAACAAAATTTCAATCAAGATTTTTCAAAAGCTCACGACGTGCTAAGTTTGATGTCTTCGGCTTGTGAAGCGTTCATGAGGGACATAATAACTAATTCTCTCGTTCTTTCAAGGCATCGCCGTCGGTCTATAAAACTAAATTCGAATCGTCGAAGCGACGTGTCGCGTGCGCTGCGAGACATCGCCATTCAGCAAAAAGAACAGGAGGAGAAAAGAGTCAAAAGAAGGATTTCTATGGGGCTGGAAAAGGAGACAGCAGAGGCTAAAGTTGAGACCGAAGAAACGTTGCATAGAGCCTCCAATGCGACTGCTAACATGATGACGGGTGGTAAGAAGAAATACAGCTGGCTGAACGCCGGTCCAAAGACTAACAACAATTCTGTTAAGGTGCTAGGTAAAGTGTCCTCAGATGTTGCTGCTCGTGGCGAGATTGGAATTCGATATCGCGAAGCTAGAGAAGAACCGGGTATTGTAATGAGAGATTTACTTAACGCTTTGGAGAACAGAAGAGTTGGTGTCAACACAGTGATTCCGAAGGGCTATGCAAGAATAAGAGATTGAATAGGAAGCGCGGTAAATAGGAGACTAAGTTACATTGGAAATTTTCGGCCAACTACGGCCCAGGAGTTGTACTATTCAAGATGAGAATAATAAGCAGCTACTAGGAAACTACATTGGCGGGCCAAATAGTGCATGGAAAGGCTCGTACTTAGAGGGCATCTTGAAAAAAAAGAAGATGCAAAAAATGATTTCGCCCAGGATCGAACTGGGGACGTTCTGCGTGTTAAGCAGATGCCATAACCGACTAGACCACGAAACCATTTATGAAAACTCCAGTGTTATTATAGTGAGATGATCGTTGAAGAACTTTGAACGTGGCTCGCAACAGGATGACTCCATTTGGTTGGGTAAAACGGCTTTTACTTTGAGCAGCGAAGTGTATTCTATTTGCAATGGTTTTGAAGCACGAAATTTGCTTAGTATGCGTCACTCTACCTTTTTGGTGATAATCGTAAGTCATGTGGGAGGGTGAGCGTTACAAATGAAAGGTATACGTCGGTTGTTTCTTAAATTTCTGGTAAGATTGTTCTTGCTGTGGGTCTCGCTTTACCATTTCTTCTCATCGTCTGCTTTCCTCGCTTTTCTCTCTTTTTCTGTTTTATGTTTTGATCAAGTTCACTGACATTGAGATATTTGTAGATTTGCATGATAGTTTGACGATGAGATTCGCCATGATTCTCAATCAATCCAAGCACGCTCAGGCGCTACTGACTGAAAGGTATCTATGTGTTTATAAAAGTGTTATAATATGTATATCGTTGTGAGTGTGAGTGTCCATCATCTCCTCATAATAGCCCCAGTATCGAGCCGAGCAAAGTGGAAAATGCAACTATCCAGCCGGTATTGTAAGACCGAGCCATAGATGGCGCTGCATTTTTCTTTTTGCTGGAGGATGCGGTGGATGAGGCGCCTGATGACGTTGCAGCATCGGTTTGGAATGAGATTGAACCACTGTAGGCTCCTTGGCTGCTGACGCCGGAATCCTTGTTTGCAAGTTTACCATCCCAGCAGTAGTCTTGGAAACACTTTGTGCATTCTTGTGGCAAAGTAGCGTTCAAAGATTCTTGTTTCCGTCTCATGATAGCGCACGCAATGCAGCCTGCAAATCCAGAATCGTCAGTCAAATTGTTCCGCGTAACGGCCTCGAATCCGTTCTGGAACATGCTCATGCGCTGACTGGAGCTGTACGACATCTTGAAAGTACTGGTGTTGGAGTTGTAAGATTGACGGTTGTTTGGCATGTAAACGATCAATGGTGGCGTATGAGACAAATGTGTCAAGTTGGACGCATCACAACCGAAAAAGGTGGGTTTGGAGTTCAAGCCTTTGTTGATGAACGTGTCAAAGTCTGGGACATAAGGGAAAACGAGATCTTTGCCTTGAGGTCCGAATTGACGCTCATAAGTTGCAATCAACGAGAGTCCCGCAGGCCAGTATTCGTCAGTATCAGCACTGTTGTCCAAAGCGAAGATCACGTCTACGTCTCTCTCCTTTTGTAGCATTGGAACCAGTGGAATATTCTCGCCATCCTCACCACCATCAACCAAAAACAGATTTTCAGATTCCACAATACTCTGGCTGTAGTTGGACGCAATGTATGGAATATTCTTGAAAGGGTTAGGATTGTATATGGCAATGTCGTCGTAGTCGCCTGACAAGTCTTTTAAGAAGTCGCCAATGATTCCCTTGATGAATCCGCTCAAAGAGGTTGTGTTCAGCTGTAGCAAGAACTGGTTGAAAAGAGTCGAGGATGTACCCATGATAAAGCCTGCGTTGTCGAACCCTGCAACACACTTTCCCTCCGCGACGGGAGTACCGTTTGAAACGTTAGTGCCCAAGTACATAACGTCGGTAAAGGCGTTCAAGGACGGATCCCAGGAACCCATTTCGAAAGGATTGAACTCAAATAGGGTGGAATTCAAATCGACAATTTGAGTCCCTGGGTATCTTCCGTCTGCCACCGAGATGGGGAAAGGCATTTCAGCGTTCTTGAAAACGTCAGCTTCTCTGAGACTAGACCAAGTGTAAGCTTCTCCGCCGCGGTAAAGCGAGGGGAAGAAGTTGTAGGACAACGCACGGCCCCACACGTCCGTGAGGGAGGTGTTGAAGCCCGCGTCTTGCTTGTCCTCGACGGCGTCCGAGATATGGTCCCATTGGGACGCACTGCTGAGGATGTTGATGCCGCCGGGGTTCAAGATCGAGTTGCTGATGTCCCAAAGTTCATTTTTCTTGCCGCGAGAGTCGATTACGTCTTGCACAGAGGTCCAGTTGTTCCATGCAAGCGAGCCCACGAGCCAATTTCCACCGGAAAGCCCTGCGAGATACGTAGCACTTTGCAGCAGTCCTCCCAGACCGTGTTCGTTGGCCCCGTCCGTTCTGTTGTCCAATGCCGAGAGCATGCCTGCTCCGCTGAGCATTGCTCTGTAGCCACCACCGGAGCAGCCCACACCCAATTTGGGCACTTGGTCTGAGTTCCAAAGCGAATCCACCAGAGACGAGTTTGTGAAGTTCTTGGTGGCACGTTCCAAAAACGTTTTGAGGGCGTCTTTGGTGTAAGAGTCTCTTTTTTTCAACCATTCGGTCTCGTTGTTGGATAGACCGGAAGCTTCGCGGACCAAGGAAATGTCGTTAGCGCAACTAACGTTCCCGGGAGCGTAATTGTTAGTTGGCGACCATGCAAACACGGTGTCCAACACTATGGCAGCGAACGCTGCTTGCCAAAGCATCTTTGGGAGAAGATTTGTTTCTGTTTAAGATATTTTTTACTTGCACTAGTCTTTCGAGCCTATAGGCGTCAATAGTGGAGCTAAAAAGAAGCTGGAAAGACGCTTGGAAAGTGAGATTTCAGGACTATCTATTTAGAAACAGGTTACACAGGTTTTAGTGTGCGGCCTTGGTGGTTTTTGATATAGTTTTCAGCGGCTTTCAGCGGCTCTTTTATGCTTGAATGTTGTGGTATCACTTTTGGATGATGATATCCATGTAGAAAATTAAATCAATTAATTACATTACCTATTGACTATTCATCATCTATGTTTATGGCTCTAAGCCTTTTGACATAGAAAATGAATGGCGCTAAAAATAAAGAGAAGAGATCTCCGATATTTACGTGTGAGGTGATAAACGAAATACGAGGAAAAAAAGGAAGAAAAAGAAGAAGAGGTCACATGACTTACTAAGAGAAAGAGAAAGAGACGCTACTTTTAGCATTTGCTACGAATACTACAAAAAGAAAAAGAAAATACTTGAAAACTCCCGATCAATATCATAAGATACGAAATGGGAAAGTGGGTCATAACTATCTACGGGACGGGTATAAATAAAAAAAGTGCAATTTCAAGTGGGTCATAACTATATACGGAATGGGTCTTTGAATGGAATGGCCTTTCAAGCTCGGGGGAGAACTGGAGGAATCTCGTGACTTTCAGACGAGCTAGAAGATTGCGGAGAAATCTGAATCAAGCAAGAAGCTTACATTGTGATCCACTGTTGATGTCAAAGCCAGTCACCCGTCATTAGAGAGATCGGCACTGATTTTATCAGATCACGTGTTTAAGGCACATCGAAACGGGTCTCAGAATGGATCCCACATCGTGAGAATCAGATACTTTTTGGATACTTGGCTTTCAAAGTGATGAACATCATAAACATGTGAGAATCAGCAGACCAGATAAGCATGCCCGCATCCACATCTAACAACCCCAAAGCGTATCTAGGAAGTTTGTTCTTGTATTCGTGTTTCTACTATCGACCCGTATAAAAGTACGACCCGGTCAGGATCTACTTTGAATTACGTTGCAACCCGATATACCACCCGAATGTGAGTTGAGCTACAAAAGAAGGGCTCTCTCTTTTAAACAATCAACTGTATCACGATTTCGAATAAACTCTCACAAAAGCGATACCATGGATTTGTGTCTCTGCAAGGCTGAGGCCTCACAAACCCGCCACGTATGCCTTGATTGTTCGAGATCCTTGAGAAACCCTTGGACCCACTTCAAGTGTGTGTTGTCCAATTCGCCTGTTCAGTTCTGAGTTTTGACACCTGTGGCTAGACTCAGGGTTATGAAGTCTCGGCGGCAATTGTGAGTGGTCACAACAGTCTTAAGACTAAGACCGTCTCTACAGTTTTGGAAACACTCTTTGGGAAAAAGCGCAAAACAGGAAAAGTACGGGATTGAGAGACTACCCAGGTCTTATAAGCCAAGTTTTCGTCCAAAAGGCCCGGTGTGTCTTACGACAGCCGCTGTCGCCACAAAAGTTATGTGGAGCTGCAACTACGGGTGGCGCAGATCGATCTCTACACTTGAGTTTGTACACCCATAAACATTGAGGCCCACAACTTACGTGCTCCATTTGAAACACCACCAAAAATCACACTGGTAAAAAATTGAATGTGAGTTTAGACGCCAACGGCGAACATTGGCTCTTGCCAAAGAGCTGTCCAGCTGGCAACGGTCTCCTACGATACCACAAGCTCACCTGACACTCGAAGTCGGACTCCAGCCTGTCCAGTGGGAACGACCTGTCAGGCCAACACTACACAGTTGTCGCCAGTGACTATGGTGAAAAACAGAAGACGCCTTGATGATACCGTTTCCAATCCCCTAGTGACCATAGTAGGATTTCCATATCAAAGATCCTGTTTCTTCACCAACTGAGACACTAGAACACGGCTATAGCGCTTCGCTAGCGTACCAATAGACTGAGGTAGCAACCTATGGGTCAATTGCCGTACAAAACTACGACCTTCATGCCACCTCTCCGTACAAAACTACAACCCGATTTCCCCCCTCCATCCAAAATGCCAAAATTTTCCCTCTAATTTTCACCAGCGCTATGAAAGAGCCGATTTTGCCTTCCCTTTCCAACATCCACACCCTAAACAGCTTCGCCTCATTGTCCTTCAGTCATACCTTCCTGTCCCCACGTTTTATTTCTCAATACTACGAAATTTTCTGCTGGCTCCAGAGAGAGAAAGAGAACGTGCACTCGCTGCGTTGAACAGTCGCTGTTGATAGCCACTCAAACAAAGCTACTGCCAGGGTCCTCGTCTGCGCCTCGTTTTCTTCCAATAATGCGTGGTAAATTCTTTTTCTCTTCAGTATAGGACCCTGCATATTGGATAGCGACCGTTGCTAGGGTAACTAGTGCCGATCCATTTTATTACATGGTTTATTACATGGTAACAGGGCTCGAGGAAAAGTATTGGGATCAACAAGAGGGCAACCGTTTAATGCACATGTGGGGAGGCTCTGCAATCGAGAAGAGTAGTTGTGAAATTGCGGGTCACTATTGTGTCATGGAATAGCGCTTCCAAATTGGACCCGTGGTCACTTTAGTTTTCCGTCATGGCGAGTTATGTTGCAATGGGAACTATTTAAACCTACCAGGATGTTGTTGTGGATGTGAACAAAGCGTGTCTTGAAGAAACAACAAGCACTTGCTATAATTGTGACCTTGAAACTTTTGAAAGTAACTCAATCCCACCTCTAAAAAACCCGCAAAATCGTGCAATGGTGCTACATCAGTTCGATTACATCTTCGGCATCGCCATGGTGTTCGGGTTCCTGGACGCCTTCAATATCGGCGCCAACGACGTGGCCAACTCATTTGCGTCGTCAATTTCGTCGCGCTCGCTCACATACCCGCAAGCCATGATTCTGGCAGGCCTGTGCGAATTTCTGGGCGCCGTCCTCGCCGGTGCCAGGGTCTCCAGCACCATCAAAAACAACATCATCGACGCCTCGGTCTACAGCAAAGACCCTGCAGTTCTAATGCTCACCATGGCGTGTGCGCTGGTCGGATCCTCCTGCTGGCTGACTATCGCTACCGCAATCGGACTTCCCGTGTCAACAACCCATTCCATCGTGGGAGGCACCATAGGCGCCGGAATTGCCGCAGGCGGCTCCAAGGGTGTTCACTGGGGCTGGGACGGTGTGTCGCAGATCATCGCTTCCTGGTTCATCGCCCCGGTGCTCGCAGGCGCCATCACGGCCGTTGTATTTCTAACATCCAACGTGTGCGTTTTGCGCGTCAAACCCATCGAAAGATCCATCAAAAATGCGCTGTTGTTGGTCGGTGTATTGGTCTTTGTCACATTCTCAATTCTGACCATGCTTATCGTGTGGAAAGGATCGCCCAACTTGCACTTGGATGACTTGTCCGGAAAGACAACAGTTTTGTCTATCATTCTTACCGGTCTGGTAGCCTCAACAGTATATTTCACGTTTTTCTACCCATTTTACCGCAGAAAGCTGCTGCATCAAGACTGGACCTTAACGCTTCTTGACCTTTTTAAAGGACCCTCACTTTACTTCAAGTCTACCGACGACATCACCCCCATGCCCGAGGGCCACGAACTCACAATCGACTACTACGAGGGAAGACGAGTTACTGAAGATTCCAGCGTAAATTCTGCAGATGAAGAAAATAAAGTTGTGTGTGAATCCAAGACTGAAGTTGAGTGTGAGTCGAGCAGAACCGTGCCTGCGGACGACAAAAAAACCGAGGACATGTCCACCAGGCAGCTGTGGTGGCACCTACTAACCAAAGGACCCAAAGCATGGCCGCGGTTGCTGTGGCTTGTGGTTTCTCACGGATGGACTCAAGACGTTCTCAAGGCTCAGGTGAACGATAAAGATATGCTTTCTGGTGATCTCAAGGACATGTACAAAAGATCTCATTTCTATGACAATCGTGTCGAATACGTTTACTCCGTGCTGCAGGCAATCACTGCGGCGACCATGTCCTTTGCCCATGGCGCTAACGACGTTGCCAATGCCAGTGGTCCTTTGTCTGCGGTATATGAGATTTGGCAGACAAACCGGACGGGCTCCAAATCCGACGTGCCCGTGTGGGTTCTGGCGTACTGTGCAGCCGCGCTGGTTCTCGGGTGCTGGACGTACGGGTACAATATCATCAAGAATCTCGGCAACAAGATTATTTTGCAATCTCCTTCGAGAGGTTTTTCGATCGAATTGTCCGCTGCCATCACTACCGTCTTGGCCACACAGTTGGCAATTCCCACATCGACGACGCAGATTGCAGTCGGCGGTATTGTCGCTGTTGGTCTGTGCAACAGAGACTTCAAATCCGTTAATTGGAGGATGGTGGCATGGTGCTACCTGGGATGGTTCCTGACCTTGCCGATAGCTGGACTGATCGCTGGTATTCTCAATGGTATAATTCTCAACGCACCTCACTTTGGCGGCGAGTACCAGATGACTTGAAGAGAAGCACTGCTTGGCACTTGCTAGCTAATCGTCTCATTTGTCGAAAGTCCGTGTATCCTGGTATATTGGTAGTAATTATATATGTACTTACAGAATACCGCAGATAGGTGAATATTTACAATCGTATTTTGGAACAGCGCAGAAAACGAGCAGGCTGTGTCTTTTACCAAATGAACTTAGCCCAGCATCGAACAGGCCATTGGGTCAAGTTTTCTCATTCTCTGGTAGTATTCTTCGTATTCTTCACTGTCGTTGAAGACTTCAGCCGTGACGACTACTTGAACATCCACTCGATTGTCTACTCCTTCCACGACCCAATCATCGACTCAAAGCCCCAGTTGATTCTCGCGTTGATTCCCCAGTCATTCCTCTACCCATCCATGTTACCCGCCTCTCACCGCGTTTATTTCAGATATTCTAGTTAAACTCTCATCTTCAAAGAATAAACAAACAACACGAACATCTATTCCACTGACAACTTGATCACCAAACAGACTGGATCACAGCGTCGGAAAGAACGCAGCTAAACCAGGAACACACGCCTGTATCAATTAGACAACAATGTCCGGAAAAGCACACGGCGGAAAGGGCAAATCGGGCGCGAAAACAGGGTCAAATCTGAGATCAACAACGCACTCGGCGCGCGCAGGACTGCAGTTTCCTGTGGGAAGAATCAAGCGGTACTTGAAGCGGAACGCGGCGGGAAGAACACGGGTCGGGTCGAAGTCGGCGATATACATGACAGCGGTGCTGGAGTACCTCACGGCTGAAGTGCTGGAGCTGGCTGGTAACGCAGCCAAAGATCTGAAGGTCAAGCGTATTACACCGCGTCATTTGCAGCTGGCGATCCGCGGGGACGACGAACTGGACACGCTGGTGCGTGCCACGATTGCATCGGGAGGTGTGCTGCCCCACATCAACAAAGCTCTGCTGCTGAAGGTGGAGCGCAAGGGAGCGAAAAACTGAGCTGCGTTTTGGCTCTATGCCTGTCTCTCTCTCTCTGTGTGTTTGTGTGTGTACCATATCTAGTCCTTTGTACTGTGTATGATGGGGAATGTATTATTTCTGGGAACTCTCGATGCTGTTGCTGGTCAGTGCAGCTCTTAGCTCTTCGATCTCATCTTGCAAAAAAGTGATGTCTCGGGCCACCTGGTCCCGTCTGTTAAGCTCCTTCGTACGCTGTCTCAACGTTTCCCACACCACCACGCTGCCAGTGACCCCGAATACGAACGCTTCACTCAGGAGTGTGGCACCGTTTTCCACCGCTCGAGCATCGTTCAAGGGCCGCACCTTGATTTCAGCTTCCGATTTGTTCAACCTGGTTCTCATCCTCGCGTCCACTCGGTGCATTCTCTGGGCCAGTCCTACGCAAATCTCCTTGAATTTGTCGTGTTGTTTGGCTTGCGCTTTCAGCACGTTCGCTACAGGACGAGTAACCTGTCTAATAAGCAAAGTTCCCAGTTTTACAGCCAAAGCACTCATTCGTTCGGTCTTAAAAGTATCACAACTGCCTCAATTCTGGCCTAGATCGAATTCGTCAAAGCCAAGTGAACTAGACGTGCTATAGGTTCTGTTCTTTCCAATTTGTTGTCCACTCTGGCTTCAACATCTTGTATATGAATATATTTATATATATATATATTATATAATTCCAACTTGATGAATCTTTAACTACTTTCTAAAACAGATTTAAGAAGACAAAACAGCCTAAAAGAATCGATTCTGTGGACTTTAAGATTGGAACAGGAGCGTTATTAGGTGCTTATTTGAAAGTACTAACTTTCAGTTTTCCAACGGTCAAAAAATCATCATTTTTGGGCTTTTATAGCAGAAGTTAGACAGGTTTGTTGAAATTTAGGGAAGTCGGTGAAGTAAAAACCAGGGAAGTTGTGATTGTAGAAAGAACTTGAGCTGAGGGAATAGTACGCGTGTGTGTGCGTGTCGAATCGTAGGAATTGGAAATAGCCCGCTTTCAAATGATTCCTGGTGTGAGAAGAAGCCAATTTGCGGCGTATACGTTGGCTACATATGTCGGAGCAATCTGGTCATTGTTCAATTGTCTACAATCGAGTCTGTCGTATTTGGAGGCAACTCTGAAACTATGCCAGGGCGCGAATTTGATCATACAGTGCAATTTCGTGGTCATCAACACCATTTTGCTGTGGAAAGGCCTATCAAAACTGCTTTTCGGAGAATTGCGTCTTTTAGAGTACGAACACATTTTCGAAAAATTGTCATTCACACTGGTAAGCAGCTTCTTCGTGACATCGATGTACTCCGGAAATGAGTTACTGGGCGTGCTCGCTTTCGAGGGGGCTTTGATTTTTGTGAAAGTGTTCCATTGGGTCTTGAAAGACAGACTCGAGTATGTGATCCAAAACACGGACGAAAATACGTCACTTATCAGGTTCGTCTTCTCCAAGTTCGTCTTCAACATTTGCTTCTTAGCATGGGTAGACTACGCAACAGTCGCTTATTTTTATAAAAGTGCGACTTTCAGAGGCAAGAGAGCGCTTGACGGTTCTACACAATCAATTCTTTTCGGCACCAGTTTTGCAATGCTGTTCGTGGACGTGCTAGAGGTGGCGTTGAAAACTTTGATCCTGGCGGTGGAGCTGCGTCAATTACGCAGAGCTCAGGCGCAGAACGAAGAAGAAGGTGCGGGTCTCGAGGGCAAGTTTATTTACGAGATGATTTCAGAGCTAATTTGCCGTTGCATCAAAGTCGGCTTACATTCTCTTCTTCTATTTGCACTTTTCATGCCCGTTATGGTCGTGAAAGACATCATATGGGACTCCCTAGCCATATTCCAAACATCTCGTCTGATTTGGAAAACGTTAAGGAGCAACAGGCAAATAGACGAGAAACTACCGACAGTGACTCGTTCGGAATTGGATTCTGCTGACGAGAGGATGTGCATTGTTTGCATGGATGATATGCTACCAACCGACGAAATTACTCATCCTAGATTGAAGCCTAAGAGGCTTCCCTGCAGTCATACTCTACATTTGGGCTGTCTCAAAAGCTGGATGGAGAGATCTCAGACATGTCCTATATGTCGGGTTGCAGTTTTCGATGAAAAAGGAAACGTTGCTCCTAGTGTAAGCACTTCAACAGCGCAAGGGCAACACTCGCCAGGGTCAGAATCAAACGCAAGATCTGCGGCGCATGCTGACGAAACCGTTTGGAGGCGAAATGTCGCTAGCGTACTTCCTTCAACGCCCTCAAACAATCCATCAGGATCATGCAGATGGTATGCTTTTCCAACGGTGGAATTACAGGAATCTAACGGGAGAACGATCCAACTCTCTGACGTCACGGGTACTGAAAAGACCCTGACTATCACTCACATATCTAGGCCTGAATATCAAAAAGATACGAGCCAGGTTCCTGGAAAGGTGGTGATTAGTGACAGCTTTGAGAGCAGCAGCTCAGAAATTGACAGGCTAAAAAGAAGGATTTCGGATTTGGAGGGAAAAGTGCAGGAGCTGAAGAAGAGGGCGCGTACCGAATAACGCAGCTATAAATGAAGCTCAAAGGGTTCCTGAACGGCGTATCACACAGAATAAAACGAACCAGGGGTATGATTGTTACGAAAATAGATATTTCTCATGAAATTAGTTGACTTTGTATTAAATTAAAATGCTTATTACTATGACGGTCATGCGTCTTATGCTATTGTGAAGTAGTCCTGTTCAGCTACTGCTTTCTTCTGAGTCAAATCCAAAATGAACCCTTTCGCTCCTTCCAAAAAAATCTTCTTCCTCTTCGTTGAAAATGGACGACAGCTCCGGTACAGGAAACTCCTGGGTGTCCAAGTCTGAAGCCGAGGGCTCAGATGAACTATTCTCGAAGCTCTTGGTTTCTTCCGAAGGCCGGCTGTCGCTCGTGGTTCCGTAAAGTCTCTTCTCGAAAGCAGACAACTGCTCTTGAAGAAAACGATGGGGAAATTTGAAACAATCGCCTTTGTCTAAACAATTTTTCAAACAGTTATGTGCGTTAGTGATGTTTTGAGTAACCTGGTTTCTTGCTATATCCTTCTCCAACCCACTGAATGCATCATTTTGGCTGCTAAACCGGTCAGAGAGTTGATCAGCACACACCAAATAACAGAGGGCGTAAATGAACCAAACTTCTGGATCCTCCATGTATGGAGGTGTCAGAACCATTTCTGAAATTTTCTCCATGAGCTTCGGCAACCGGCTATTGATGCCGTCGTATGAGTTATTGGAGCTAGGGTTACCATCTGAGCAGGCCTCAAATAAAGACTCCCACAGCCAAGTGATCACAAATTTCGCGCTATGCGTTTTCGATCCTGAACGGAACACTGGATCTAATGACAAGTTCATGCTTTGATTGAAGTTGCTTCTGGAAGTGTAGATGCTGCTAAGCCAGCCTAGAAAGTCAGTGGTGCTGCCAATATCCTTGGTTGATGGCGAAAGGGCGTCCAAAATGGCTGCACCGGCACCCCATAAGCCTCTGATATCGACGCCCGGAAGACGAATCAGGATAGAGAAACACCTATAGGCATTTTCCCACTTTCTGTGTAATATGCTAGTTTGTAAAAGTTCGCTCAGTTGCCTGTAGTGAATGCTGTGATATGCGGGAGAAGGTGGAATATACACCTCCGAGCCATTTCGCATGGCTGAGTATTGAAATTGTGTAGTCCGAGGGATATGTGTATTTTTGGCCATGGTCCTTCTGTGGGCATTTTTCTCAATCTGCCTACAGTCGGCATATGAGATAGTCCTGGAGACTATGGGGGTAGCTAGATGCTGGTCAGTTTTCCACAACTCAAAACTCTCTTGCGGCTTTTCGTGTCTTGAGAAAAACTCCTTTTCGCTGTCATAATGGGAACCGGTCTCTGCGTCAAGATAGCCGCCATTTTGTGGCTCGAGATCAGAAAGTTCGCTGTCAGAATCCGCACATCCCAGGACCCCGAGAAGTCTTCTTTTACGCCTTTTTCTGACGATACTGGAAGCTCTTTGTGCGTCAGCGTCGCTACTTTCTTCTGCAGCAGAATTTTCTGGAGTTGGCAATGCGATTCCCGGGTTCAATTGGCCCTGGAGTTTAGCATGTTCTCTGTGCAATGCATTAATGTATTGGTACCGAAGTTTGCGGGTCGTTCGTATTCGCTTGCTGTTTTGCACCGTTGGTAGTTCAAACATGGAAATTGATCTGTATATCAACAGGGAAGTACCAAATTCATGAGCTTAATGAGACGTTGATATATATATGAGCTATGATGCTTTCAGCTAGGGGCAGAGCAAGCGAGGCTGGACAGATTGTATTAGACGCAAGCACTCGGCTTCTTATCCAAACTGGTGCGATGCGATGCGATGAGATGAGATGAGATGAGATGAGATGAGCTATTGTTTTTCAGAAATATCAAATTTTCAGGTTATAGCTACGGACGACAGCAATATCAAAGAACCACGTGACCTCGAGATTCGAGCTATTTTGGCAAAAAAAGCGGGCCAGCATTCAAGTTAAACCAGTCACCACGATCAGATAAACAGTCTATGTAAAGAAGCACAGGGTACATTAATGTCTTACTCGACCTTTTTTTTATATTGGCTTTTTTACAATAATTTATGATTTCAACCGGCATGTGTTTGATAGTCATCAGATAAACTCCTGCATATATAGTTGTAAATTTCCACTTCGATTTTCAACAATAGGGCGTGTGGTCTAGTGGTATGATTCTCGCTTTGGGCGAAGGTCGAGACTTAACTCGGACTAAAATAACCACAAGCATGCGAGAGGCCCTGGGTTCAATTCCCAGCTCGCCCCATTTAATTTTTTTAGTTTTTTACCTATACGGTTGGTATGATTAAGAACCGACGTCAGTAATGCCAAGACTTACGAAGAATAAGAGACATAAGGCTGTCATCATCATACAACAATAGACAAACCAGATCTGTTTTGAATCTGTGGTTTTTCTTGTGAAACCACACCGCTCTGGTGTTTAATTGAATCTAAACTTGACGGTTCTTCTGGTCCTTCTTTTTTTTCCACAAGATTTTTACTTCACCACCACTACCCTAGTGGTTAGTAGCGGGTTAGTTTGACTACTCGATAAGATCTTCAATTTGACAGTATTTTCAGCAGTGCTCTACTTGCAGGGTTACCATTTCCATCAGAATGTAGAATTGCCAACAGGTTATAAGAACGTGCGAAATTCGAGAGAACTGTCTTTGGTCCTACTTGCAGTGTAGCCTTCTTTTTCATAATGCCAAGCCTTCCATCTCATCGCAGACAGCGGTTGCCCCACTAAAAGGAAAACATACCGACAATGACGTCCAGTAAATTGAGAGCGACTCCGATCCCAATCACAATGCTTTCGGGATTTCTGGGATCCGGCAAGACAACGCTGCTGCAGAAAATTTTGACCGCAGACCACGGACTCAAAGTCGCTGTCATCATCAATGACATGTCCGAGATCAACATCGACTCTGCTTTGATCCAAAATAACCGGATATGCCAGAAAGAGGAAAAACTGATCCAGTTGCAAAATGGGTGTATCTGCTGTACTCTGCGCGGCGACTTGCTTGAAGAGCTTGTGCGTGTGTGCGAAATGGGGGACATCAACTATATTATAATCGAATCGACCGGAATCGCAGAACCCATGCAAGTTGCAGAGACGTTCGCCCAGGAATTTTCAGATATTTTACTCAACATGCCTGGCGGCATTGCAGAGGAAGAAGAGGCCATTTTGAAAAAAGTTTCTTCGATGGGGGGACTGCAGGCGCTAGCCAAGATAGACACCTGTGTCACTGTCGTTGATGCCCTTAACTTCCTGTCCAACATTAACACCACGCAATTTTTGGCCGATCGTTGGGGCGATTCTGGTCAAGGTGAGTCCGAACGTACCATCACCGACCTTATGGTGGACCAGATCGAATTCAGCAACCTCGTCATCCTCAACAAGAAAAGCTTGGTGGGCAAAAAGAAGCTGCAAAAGATCAAGAAAATGATCCACGTTTTGAACCCGCTTTGTAAAATCGTCACCACAGACTATTGTGATATCCCAATCAAGTCTGTGCTCAACACCGGTCTCTACGATTTCGAAAAAGCATCTACTGCGGCCGGATGGTTGCAGAGCATCAACGAAATGACCGTTGTAGAGGGTTTTGGCGAGAAAAAGAGGAAGATCCTATCTCCCAAACCGGAGACTGAGGAGTACAACGTAAACAACTTTGTTTACCGCCAACGAAGACCATTCCATCCACAAAGACTGTACGAGGCTTTGAAGAACAAATTCATGGTGATTGAACACGCCGGTGTAGAAGGGTTTCCAGGAGACGGCGAATATGACGATGAGGATGGAGAAGAAGGTGAGGAAGATGAGGACGAGGGAGTTGAAGATGAGGAGGATGAGGAAGATGAGGAAGATGAGGAAGATGAGGAAGATGAGGAAGACGGGGAAGAACTCAGTGAAGCACAAATCAATGCCAACAGAGCCCATTCCCCATTTGGACCCGTTTTACGCTCTAAGGGATTTATTTGGCTTGCAACCCGTTTCATTGTCCGAGGTGAATGGTCTAGTGCGGGTCCTGTGCTCACAGTGAAGGGTGGACTTCCTTGGTTCGATTTTTCTGGTTTCGAGGACGTCCCATTAGAGGCTCTCGAGCTCATTAAGAAAGATTTCGAAGAACCCTACGGGGATCGCCGTAATGAGTTGGTCTTCATTGGTATTGGTCTTGACGTGAAAGCCATCACTAGAGAATTGGATTCTTGTCTGCTCGACGACAAAGAGTTCAAACTGTACGAAAAGATCACAAAAGGAGGAAACGCTCTACAGGTCGACGAAGAATCTGTTAAAATCTGGGACGATGGTTTCGAGGATTGGATGACATTTGCAGATGTTGACGATGAGGAGGAGGAAAAAGCGGAAAATGGTCAACAGAAAACATAGCTGGGAAGATGTAAAAATGGAACTTATTGCAACAAACCGGCTGATGCTAAACTTGATCCAAGAATGAGCTTATCTATTTAATTATCCATATTTAACTATTTATACAAGAACTTTGACACTTTTTGTTATAGTGAAGGTTGCCTAGTGGGAAGAAATATGACAAAAGGGCTCCTGAAGCTCCAAAATGAATTCTGTGATTACGAGGTAGTCTCAACTGGACTATCGCAGATATTTACAAGTAAAACGTCGCTATATATATACATACATATACCTTTGATGGCAGATGTCAATGTTTTGGGGCAACTTACATCATACCAGGCATACCTGGCATGCCTCCTGGAGGTCCAGCACTTGGAGGTTGAGGAGCATCCACGATAGCCACCTCAGTGGTAGCCAACAAGGAGGCAACACCGGAGGCATCGAGTAAACCGGATCTCACAACCTTGAAGGGGTCGATGATACCGGCAGCAAGCATGTCAGTGTACTCGCTCTTGGCCGCATTGTATCCCTTGGTGAAATCGTTTCCGTATTCGTCGATGATCTTGCCAACAATGACAGAACCTTCCTCACCGGCGTTCTCGATAATTTTTCTGGCAGGTCTGGTGATAGCCTTTCTGATGATGTCGACACCCAACTTTTGGTCAAAGTTCTCAGTCTCAACCTCTTCTAGAACCTTGCATGCCTTCAACAAGGCGGTACCGCCACCTGGTAGAATACCTTCTTCGACAGCGGCTCTTGTGGCGTTCAAGGCATCGTCGTAGCGGTCTTTTTTCTCACTGACTTCAACTTCGGAAGCACCTCCAACCCTCACAACGGCAACACCCCCGGATAGTTTAGCAAGACGTTCTTGTAGTTTTTCCTTTTCGTACGAGTTGGTCGTGGTCAAATCAATCGAGTTCTTTATCTGTTCCACTCTAGCGGCAATGTTTTCCTTGCTGCCGTTACCGTTTAGAATAACGGTATCTTCCTTTGTGATGGTGACGGCGTCACAAGAACCTAGGTGTTGTAAAGTACAGTTCTCAGGCTTCAAGTCCAGCTCTTCAGTGAAAACGGTACCACCAGATAGGATGGCAACGTCACCTAGAGTGTTCTTTCTGTTGTCACCGAAACCAGGAGCCTTGACGGCACAAACCTTAACTTGACCTCTCAACTTGTTTAAGATACACGCCGCCAATGCTTCACCATCGATGTCTTCAGCGATGATCAAAAGAGGTCTTCTGGTCTGATTGGAGAGCTCCAAAGCAGGCAAAATGTCCTGAATGGAAGAGATCTTCTTCTCACTTAGCAACATCAAAGGTTTCTCGAATTCAACCTTATTGGACTTGGCGTCGGTGATGAAGTAAGGAGAGATAAAACCGCGATCGAATCTCATACCCTCAGTCACTTCCAGCTCGTCTTCCAAAGTTCTACCCTCCTTGATGGTGATGACACCTTCTTTGCCTACTTTTTCCATGGCGGAGGCCAACAATTTACCAACGTGAGCGTCGCCGTTGGCCGAAATAGTGGCAACTTGGGCGATTTCTGCTGAGGTGGTGATCTCCTTCTTATGAGCGCTTAGGAAACCAATAACTTTTTCCACAGCAGCTTGAGTACCTCTTCTGAGATCCATTGGGTTACAGCCGGCCGCGACATTTTTGACGGATTCCGTGAAAATGGCACGTCCCAAAACGGTGGCAGACGTAGTACCGTCACCAGCAGCTTCGTTGGTCTTGGATGCAACTTCTTGCAGCAACTTCGCACCCATGTTTTCGAATTTATCCTCCAACACAATGGCTTTGGCCACCGTTACACCATCCTTGGTGATCTTTGGCGCGCCAAAAGGCTGCTCAATCAACACGTTTCTACCCTTAGGACCCAAAGTCGCTGAAACAGCTTCAGCTAGTGTTTCAACACCTTTCAAAAGGGCGGCTCTTCCCTCAACGCCGAATTTCAACTCCTTGTGAGATGAATAGTTACGGCGCACAGCAGATGCCATGCGCTTGCTTAAAGATCCTCTAGTAGCTCTCAACATCTTTCTTAAGCAACAACCGATCGATCTAGGGTTCAATTGGTGGATACGCCAACGTATTTACCAAGAAAGCTCGCGATGTGAGTGAAAACAGAGGGCCGATGGGGTCAGGGGAAGATCTTGGCCTTTATATACTCTGGAAGCTTTTTTATTACCCGGAGTAAAAGTTTTCTCCAGAAAATTCCAGCTTTATTGGACAGACTTATAAACAGTGCTTTTAAACCTGGAGATGTGAAGTAATTACGAAGGGTATGGCATTCTCTCTTACAGTTTATCACTGAGTTTTGAATACCGAGAAAGAACTGCGATTTCCACCTTTTTTTCAGCGTCAAAAACGCGTTGGTTTTCATGTCGTGAAATACTTCACTAAATTGTGTCTGAATTAGTACAAAGTGATATGAAAATGTCAGTAAATCGACACAACTGCTGTGTATCCGAAATACTAACGACGGCGAATTCTGAGCTACTTGGCCCAGTTTTTGGCGTCATTATGATAAGAATTCTCTTTCATTTCGGTAGACATTCATCCTAAGGACTGAGGAAAAATTGAAATTACTGGAAAGTTTTTTGTTATTTGTGCGGGTTCAGCTGGAACCCACTTTGTTCTGTTGGCGCGCTGTGATGCCAAAAATATCACGACACTTTCCCCGTGGCGAGGAAGAACAAAGGAATTTGATTATCACTTCGACAGTATTTTATCTGCCAAGTGTTTCTCTGAAGTTTTACCTGTTTTCAACAATGTTTAATTTATTCCCGACACCGAATATTCGAAGAAAACTCATTCAACCTCGCTCTCAATCGCGTTTTTCATCTTGAAATATCGATCTTCAATCAGAAAGGGTCGCTGGACATCAAGTTTCTTCTGTCTTCGACTGTTGCCATCCCAAAACAATTGGTGACATTATAATGTGACATGATGAGTATCCTGTCATGGTCTGGTCAAAATGAAAAGCTCCTGGCCATTGATCCATTAAAGAATTTCTCTCTGCTTAGCATGCGCTGGCGTGTTTTATCCTCGAGTGAATCCTGTGGTAACACTCAGAAACTGCAATTCTTGAGGGATGGAATTGCAGGTCTGTTTTTAGGCGGAACCAACGCCAAGCTATTGCAGCTAGAGCACGATCCATCATAAAAAGCAGCCTTTCACAACTTTTTGCAACTGCTGAAAGCCTACTTTGCTCATTGATCAAACTGCCGACTTAAAAAATCGGGAAAGTGAAACTTGTTTTACAGAGACGAAACTTTTGACTTTATACAAGAGCAGAGGTTTTCAGAGATGTGGTCAGTCTCGAACATCAATAGAGCTCACCTCTCAAGCATGGATTTGACCACTCGATACTCAAGTCTCGAAGAGCAAGACAGCCGTCTTGGCCAAATTGATGATCAGCAAGTTGGTAAAGGAATTCACAGCTCGGCCGTCCAGATAGAAGTCGTCAGCTGTAGTGAAAATGATGTGGCTGCTGGAGGAGAAAACTTGGACAGGTGGAATAAAAACAAAGTGCTTTTCGCCTGGCTGTCTCTTTGCTTTTCCACAGGCCCGACTTCCTCCATGAGCAAAGTATATGTGCCTGTCGTCGTTCAGTCCTTTGCGCACGCATTAGGTCACCAGAAGGGCTCTCAAAACAAATGCACTGCGCGCGGAGATAACTGCTATGTGAGATTCGGCAGCTTTGATGTGCAATTCACCTCTTACGTGCTGTATCTAAAGGCGATTTATACAGCGTTGGAAGGACTTGTCGCCATTTTGGTCATGACTTGTGCTGATTACAGTAATAATCGAAGAAGTATGTTGGCGGTGTCTGTAATCACTTTCGGATTACTTGCATGTCCATTTGCAGCACTTTACAGGGAGACCTTTGTATCGCTTATCTCGGTCTCTGTATTGTACTGCCTAATGCTGATAGTGGAGACAGTGTACCAGATAATCGAAGGTTCTTACATCCCAATTTTTATGCTTGCCGCGGGTCAGCGACTAAATCCTCAAGCGGCTGCTGGTCAGCCATATAATCCATCCCTAAGGCGTGGTTCAATAGTAAGTGCACTTGGATTGATCATGGGTAATCTAGGAGGTATCATAGCACTCACAATCGGCGTGATCATCACTCACATTGGTGGCCCTTCGAGAATTTCAGGGCCTCGTAACTTTATGAGCGCAATCACCGTTGCAGGGTTCTTGACTTTGTCCGTCGGTATGATCTCCATGATCTTCATACCTAGACTGCAAGGTCAAACTTCAAAACGCAATGTGTCAGAATCGAAAATCAAGACCATATTGAAGTTGCCATTTACCAAGCTAAAAGAAGTCACGCAAGATGTGCGAAATCACAGAGAGGTCTTGAAGTATTTGGTGGCTTGGGTCTTGTGGAACATTTCCTTCTCCAATTTTCTCTCGGTGAATGCCCTCATGTTCCGGTCTACGCTTGGATTGAACAACTCTAGTGCCGAGTTTACTGTATGGCAACTGATGGGCAATATCATGGCTTTACTGGGGTCATTGGTATGGATGCTAGTGTACAATTGGCAATGCCGCCGGTTTTCTGATGCTCGGAACGCGACTCTTATTAAACGGTCTCTGTGCATCCTATTATTGTTTGGTTGGTTTGCAAACTTCTGGGGAGCGCTTGGTGCCAACGCTGACTGCCCAGTTGGTTTCAAACACAGATGGGAATTTTGGGTGGGACTTGTATTTTTTATGAGCACTAGCAGTGGTCTGCGGTCAATACATCGAGTCGTCTACAGTAGCATGCTGCCAAAAGGAAAGGAGAATCAATTTTTCGGATTGGAAATAATGCTAGGGCTGTTGACCGGTTGGACAGAACCTCTGATTATCGCTGCGATAACGAATCGTACAGGTAATTCGCGGCTTCCGTACATTCCGAACACGATATTATTCACCGTGGCTATTGGCTTTTTTTACTCTTGTGATATTACCGCAGGGATGAAGCAGGTTGCGAAGACATAGCAACAGTGGGCAAGAAGGGCCCATATCCCGCCTTTTTCCCGGGGTTTTCGGACACCTTTGTTTGTTTGAATGTCGATGTCAGCGTTTCTAAAATAATGAATATTTGCGTCACAGCACACAACCCTATAAAATCCCGATTTTTGAGAACCAATTCACTGGCAGCCACGAGAAGAGTATGCAATGGCCGTTGGATCGTCCCAACAACAGCAGCAGCTCTTCTTGGATCTGACATCGAGCCTTTTGATTTCATCATCATTTTGTACTAATATGTCATTTGATTATGTATAGTGTGAACGATTTCATTAATAAAAACATCGACCGATACATTTTAAACTGTCATCCATAACCATCATTCATGAGAGAGTGTTTGAAACCAGAAATCATATGTATAGCTAACAGTATAAAATTCCCTTTCATATGGTACTATTTATCTTGCTAATTTCCGCTTCTTTTTTGTCTAAATTTTAGGTTTTCGAGCTCTCGAGTGATTCATCAAATAAGCTTATCCATAAGCTGAAGCTCATTTGCGAAGGAAACTAAATGAAAAATTAACCAGCAGCAGATCTATTGTTGGCAATTTATCATAATATCGGCGGTCACGTCGTGGCCACAACGAACTTCAAACAAATTATTTCATTTTCAACCCATGCCCATTGAGACATTTCGAAACTTGAAGAGATAAACAAAAACTATCTAAGGCTCGAAGATCTCAAAGTCAGTGGACCCGTTAAATAAATACTTAGAGATCCAAATTCGATGCGACGCGAAACTGTCTTTTTTCGCTCGCATGTGACCAACTTTTAACGGGCGTTAATACCGTTTAATATCAGGCATATAACTATATAATTAAAGATAATGGACTTTTGTACATGAGAAAGATGAGCTGTAAAGATCACAAATAGTCACCTTCAAGTATCGTCTTAAGCACCATTAAGCCCCAGAATCTGACTACAACTATAGTGTGAAGGTTTTGAGTCTTTTCCACGAAAAGCGCCGCTTAAAATCTCATAAAATCATCGATAAATTGAGCGGAAGAGTTCAGAGCTACCAAATAAGAGCGTCACTCCAAACTTGTAAGCACTCTGTGACCAGAAGATTAATCATTCATCATATTATCATTTTCTCTGCGTGAACAAGCACCTAGCTCTGCAAATTTGATCCACGGCAAGTTTTCGTTTTTCTCTCTACAAAACAGCGATATCTAAGGTCTTTAAGATCCCAATCCTAAGGTGAGAGTACGACGAAAAGAATAAGAAAGATAAAGTCAAAGTAAAAGAGACAAACTCATCTATACCCCGCGTTGAAGAACCCATTGAAGGCAAAGGCACGCATCATGAAAAAACTAAAGTCCTACATGAGCAACTGTAGCCGGGCGGTTCTCACAGAAACGGGCGTCATCATCAAAAGTCAGCATTCACTTTCCCCGGAAGATTCGATGAAACTCAGCGAAAGTGAGTCTGTGGCCAATCCGTTCGCGGATGAGACAGAAGACACTCCTAGTGTTCGAACCAGCGCCGAAAGTACCTCACTAATTAGCTGTGTCACTTGCTTGAGTGACAACAGCAGTGCAGACGAGGAAAACGGCGGGCGTTCGCTTCCAGCTAACACGCAGATTCCTTATGCAAAAATACTTTACGCCCGAAAAGTATGTGTTGTGAAAAACGAGTTTGCTCCTTATAGAGACGAAACGAGCGAAAACCACAGCCCCGAGCCTACAGCCCCAGGATCTGAGCTTCCATCCGTGCTGGTCGAGGTCACTTTTGCCAAGACAAGACGGCATAATCTTGTGCCAAAAAAGCTTCTGCTAAGTTTTGAAACGATGATTCCTGAAGAAGACATTGCAGAAGTGTTGATGCAAAGAAGCTACAAAAACTCCAAGCGCGGCAGATCCATTCTCACAATAATAAATCCGCATGGTGGTAAGGGGCAGGCGAAAAAGCTGTTTGTGTCAAAAGTAAAGCCGATTTTAGCTGCCAGCAATTGCATATTGGAGGTACTCGAGACAAGCTACCGGGGCCACGCCATGGAGGTGGCACAAAATCTTGACATTGACAAGTATGACGTGATTGCATGTGCTTCAGGAGACGGGATCCCGCACGAGGTGCTCAACGGTCTTTTCAAAAGAGAAGACCGCGCTGCTGCGTTCAACAAACTAGCAATAACTCAGCTCCCATGCGGTTCGGGGAATGCTATGAGTCTTTCATGCCACGGAACGGCCAATCCTACTTACGCGGCGTTAAGCGTGGTCAAGGCTCCTGAAGTAAAAATTGATTTGATGTGCTGTACACAGCCTTCTTATAAGAACGAGCACCGACTTTCTTTTTTAAGTCAGACATTCGGTGTGATAGCAGAGTCAGACATCAACACAGAGTGCATCAGATGGATGGGGCCATCGCGGTTCGAGTTAGGAGTTCTGGTTAATGTCCTACAGCGAAAAAAATACCCATGCGATCTTTACGTGAAGTATAGTGCCAAATCAAAAAACGATTTGCGGGAGCACTACAATATACACAAGAAAAAGCAGGAATCTGATGATGATGGCTCTTCTTCGGAGAATTTGGACCAACGAAATGTTCAAGAGTCAGATTTTCAACTCACCTATGACTTGTTTGATCCTGTCCCTGATGACTGGGAACTCCTTGACCCCGAAGTCACCGCCAATCTCGGTATTTTCTATGCAGGAAAAATGCCCTACATCGCGCCAAACACCAAGTTCTTTCCTGCAGCGTTACCGAATGACGGCTGTTTTGATCTTGTTTTGACAGACTCAAGAACTTCAATCACGAGAATGGCACCAATCTTGCTTTCTCTAGACAAAGGTCACCATGTTTTGCAACCTGAAGTTATACATTCTAAAGTCACTGCTTACCGCTTGGTTCCCAAATTGAAACAAAGCATAATTTCAGTTGACGGTGAAGCGTTCCCTTACGAACCGCTACAAGTTGAGGTACTACCTGGGTTGTGCAAGACATTGTCATACAATGGGTCGTATGTCGAAACAGACTTTGACTCGATGTAGCTTCGATAGACTTTGAGAGTTGCAGCTGCGGAGGGAAAGCAGCTAGGCAGAAAGGGACAAATGAGACAACATGGAAGAAAATACACTCATATAGAATATGGTACATACAGCTTTGATTCGAAAAGGCAAATGATAGGAACTGAAAATGATTTTTTTGTTGTGTACGTTGTACTGCAATTTCAGACATGCACTGTTGAGCTCCCTTTACTCAAACGTGGCAACACGGCCTCCAAAGCCTCCAAACCGATGAGTCAAAGTCCAGAAACGACAAATATATGCTTGGATCATAGTTAACATTAATACATTACACGGAGGCGCTAACACTGACAGCTAGATTGATCCTGGTCTTCTTTATTAGTTGTGATATCGATAACGTCCGGTTTTCTCTGGGAATTGCTGTCATCAAGAGGCACAGTGTCTGATTTTTGAAACTCCGGCAAGGTCTTGGCAATTTTTCTGAACAGATTCTTGACGTTGAAGCCTGCTTTAGTGGACGTTTCGATAAATATTTTAGCGTTCAAAACCTGCGCCTTTCTTTCACCTTCTTCTGTAGAGACCTGTCGTTCATCGGACAGATCGTTCTTGTTACCCACGATGCAAAGCACCACGTTTTCCTCCCCACGCTCTGATTTCACGTCTTCCACCCATTTGTCGATGTACTCGAATGATTTTTTGCTTGTTACGTCGTAGACCACAATCGCTACATGCGAGTCCCGAATGTATGACGGAATGAGCGATCTGAACCGTTCCTGGCCAGCAGTATCCCACAATTGCAGTCTGATGGTTTTATCGTCCAAATACATGGTTTTGGACAGAAAGTCTATGCCTATGGTTGCCTGGTAATGGTCATCGAATGTGTCATACATGAACCGTGTGATGAGCGAAGTTTTGCCCACACCTTGCTCACCCAAGAAAACTATCTTATACTTTGTCAGGGACTTGCCCGTTCGACTTCCACTCATCTTGATCTTCGAATGTGCTTGACCTGCTAGGATGCTGTCTTTCTCATCGCTTGCGAACAGAGATCTGGATTCAGATGATTGTCAACTCATCTTTAATTCACAGAATTCTGGAAAACCCCAACGTACATAGTGATGGATATGAACAGTAGTGATATCTATCTAGTAGAAAGGTCGAAAATCGATGTCTGGAGTAGGTGAAATTAGCCAAGATTGTGCTCTAGGGCATTGTTTTCAGGGTTTAGAATTTGGAATTTTTGAAATCCTTCGAAAAAAATGGATGTTTGACGTACATGTCAGGTTTTTTTTACCTTCTTTGATCGGACTTTGTCTCGGTATGTAGCTAGCTGCGTGAACGTTCAAAACAGCAGAAACACTTGATTCACATTTCGAAACCCACGGTGATCTTTCCGTTCATTTCATATGAACACTTCTTTCCGGGAGAAAAAAAACCGGGCCCTCCGCTAACCTCACGGTAAATCCAATATGAGCACACACACTCGGGAAACAGATCTACAAATTTGACGAAACCGCTCCACATTATTTTAAAGAATTCCAAATGTCGATTTAAAAAGGTACACACGCTTGGAAAAAAAAGCTATACTGCGAGCCAAAGGGCAAAGACAAAAAGTCCTAGGGACCATTTTAACCTGGCAGATTATTTCTTGCCGGATTTCTTGATTCCTCCGCTGACAAGGTTTTTGCCACCCTTCATGTTTTCCAACAAGGCCTTCTTGGCAGCCTGGTCAGCTTTTTGCTTCTCTTTGAAAGCGGCTTCTTCGGGATCTAGGTCCGCCTGAGACTTCTTCTTGCTCTTTAAAGGCTTCAACTTACCACCTTGACGACCAGACATTTTGCGAGATAAACAGCTGCGAGTGTAATGTGAATGTGACGAGCTTAAAACTCAACTAGGTGTCGGGATAGAGCTTCTTAGCTGAGTGTATGGAATCATTTGATGATATTTCTTATTAAATATATATATATATATTCTTGAAAATTATTAAATTCATCAAACTTCACGAGCCACGTGACTTCAAGACTTAGAAGGGAAGAATCGATCCGTCAACGTCAGAAAGGTCGAAAATGAGACTCCTAGGTTAATGCGATTGTTGTCTTTACCCGCTGAGGTTAGGGTTAGATTCAATAAGCTGGAATATTCTTGAGATGAGATTGTTTTATTTTGAACCATCCCGGAAACATTTATCACGATGAATTCGAGAATTATTATATGCTTCACTCTATTAAGCTACAGAAATATCGAGGGTTTCGCAGTTTGGCGCCTTTCAGAGTGCGAAAACTATGTTGCGAAGGTAACAACCATGATATCATCAATCCGCGTCTCTCGAAAAGACTGTAAAAGTTTTTCCCTCGCTCTACTTACTGCCGTCTTTCAGACTTACAATTCTGTTCAGAACAATACGGTCAGCTTCACTGTCTTTGTCAAGCGTGAAATAACCCACACGCATAGCCTGGAATCGACAAACCTCTTTACGACCATGTCCTTCCTCAACGTAGAATTCAGACTTCTTCGAACTCTCAACAACCCAAGGCGATTTTTCAATGACAGAGCTGAAATTGTGTTCCACGACAGACTTGGGATAAACGACCTCACTCTCAGGGTTGATGTCCTGGAGGTAGCCAGCTGGGTTCGCCAATGGGTTCTCAGACTTGAATAGCTGGTTGTAGATTCTGGTCTCAAAGACGCGCTGAGGCGAGTTGTACTTGGCAGACACAGGTACCCATTGAATATAAGTCTTTGGTTTCTTGGGCTTGGCATCCTCATTGTCGTACTTCACATGAACCCTAGTAATCTTGCCGTCAGCATCCTTTTCCAGAGACTTGAAAGATACAGTGTAAGGAACTTTGATCAAACCGACGGATTGATTGGGTGTCAGTCTGAAAAATTCTTTGTCATCCACAGATTCCGAAAAATCTGATCTTTCGATGTACAAGCGGTTGGTAAAAGGCACTATTCTGTCACCAAATTCGGCGGTACCTGGCCTGTATGGAATTGTCACCAACTCTTCGTAGTCGTCAGGTAGATTGTCGACGACGATTTCAATTGGATCCAAGACCATCATGAGTCTTGGCGTGTTGTCTTCCAAGTACTTTCTGATGGCAGACTCGAAACGCACCACTTGAATGTTAGTGGTACTTGTAGTAACTCCAAGGGTGTTGATGAAAGACAAAATAGCACCAGGAGGAACACCACGCCTACGGATGGCTTCTAGAGTAAACAAGCGAGGATCATCCCACCCTCTAACGTAGTGCTCGTTAACTAACTGAGCGATTTTTCTCTTCGAAAGAACGGAACCTGTGATGTTCAATCTCCCATACTCTCTCTGTGCTGGTCTGAAAACATGCAGTTGGTCACATAGCCATTCATAACTTTCTCTCGACAAATAAAACTCAGTGGTACAGAGCGAATGGGTGATGTTTTCGAACGAATCGACCAAACAGTGGGTGAAATCGTAAGTTGGATAAATTCTCCACTTGGAACCGGTTCTTGGATGTGGTGCGTTCAACACCCTGTAAGCAATAAGATCCCACATTTGTGGTGAAGGAGAATTGAAGTCCTGTTTCATTCTCAATGTAGCCTCTCCAGGCTTGTAGAAACCATCTCTCATTTTTCTGAACTCCTCCAAGTTGACCTCTGGAGTCCTCTCGCGCCATTCACAGCCAAAACGCTCACCACCGGGAGTACCGTCTTCCTTGATACCACGACCGCGTCTGATCTCCTCAGGTGTGCTGTGGCACACGTAAGCTTTGCCATTTAAAATCAATTTCTCGGCCAGCTCATAGAGCTGATCGAAGTAGTCTGAAGAATATGTGATCTTCCATGGTTCAAATCCCAACCACGAGACCATGCTCTTTATGGACTCAAAGTACTCAGGTGCTTCAGCTTCAGGGTTAGTATCGTCAAATCTCAAGTAGCACACACCGTCGTTGTGTTTTGCATAGCCAAAGTTAACCATGATAGCCTTGGAGTGACCGATGTGCAAATATCCATTAGGTTCTGGTGGAAATCTGGTGCGCACTTTACCGCCGGTGGCTTTGAGATGCTCCTGCATTAGCTCGGGATATGCCTGTGGGTTCTCACCAACCTTGTGGAGGTCACCCAAAAACCCTTCGTCGAACATAGTTCTCTTAGGCTCGCTTGAACCGTTTTTGGCCCCATTTTTGGAGTCCTTTGAAGCGTTATTGACGTCTTTAGCTTTCTTTTTCTTTTCCTTCTTGACCACGTCTCTCTCATCCTTAGGTCCCAAAACTTTGAGGATTTCTTCGTCAATGATGGGTTTGAACAAACGTGGCTCTGCCCACTTGAGCTCAGGAAGACCCTTTACAGCTGCTAAAATGCCAGGGACAAGTTTGTAGCGCTCTGAGACTATAGTCGCGTGGTTGTCGGCGATGTACTTCACTACACGTTCTCTGACTTGCGCTTCTGTCACCACCACACCAACACCGCATTCTTGCTTGAGCTGATCTGCCGTTGCTGCATTTCCGGCCTCTTTGACGTACTTGTAGGCTGCCTCGACCTGCAACGGAGTCTTGAGATCACCGTTCAGAATTTCGTCCACCACTAGCTTCGACTTGGGCAATTCCGCACCTTTTGCAAGTTGAGCTAGATTATGGACCAGAGTTCTGCGTGGCTTATCCCAGTCTTGTCCCTCAGGGGCATCTTTGATGAGCGTCTCCAGTGATCCTGCGACTTTTTTGTTCTTCACAATTTCCTTCACTTTGGGCTCTTCGAACCCAGTTTTTTCGAGCAATAGTGTCAATTCCTCTACAGAGCTCATTGCTACCGTCAAGTTGATCAATTGAGCACGTTTGGTATTTGGTTTACTCAGAATTTGAAGAATTATTCGAGGCGATGGCTATTTCATCAGTTTTCAAATTTTTCGAAATTAATTTAATATGTACTATGTAGTATGCCGCAGTGAGTCACTAGTCAGATTTAACTTTATAAAAGATAGCGCTGAAATATCAGAGCAAGCAATGATGGAAAGCAGACAGTCAAAAGTTCATGCAAAGTTAGGAAGACTTAAAAGCCACTTTTGGAGTATTCCCACGAAGGTTGTTTTCAAATAAGTTTTATAATCATTAAAGACGGCAAGTCATCGCCATTTGAATCACTATTTTTTAGGGGAGAGTATAAATAGCCAGGGAAAAACCGTCGTTTGATTTCTCAGTTTCCCCTTACTTGAAGCTCGGCGGCTAAGATAAAAAACAAACTTTTGACTGCTCCAAAGCCGTCTCTAGTCAAAGAAAACTGAATCCCTAACAATTCCACGGCTTGCGGGACAAGTAACTCGATGTTGAAGCGCGAAAATGTGTTTGAACAGCTCAAGCATGCTGTCTGGAATAGTGGAAACAAAGAAAAACCAGAGTTTTTGAGGAAATTGCAACATCGGCAACAGATTGAGATTGACAGTGATGGACCTCTGCTGCCGCAAGAATCGGTTCTGGGCTTGCTAGCGGCCACTCAACGCAGTGCTGTACACTACAAGTGGAGCGTGGCCGATCTGGTTGTACAGGATCTAAGCAGCATGCGGTTTCAAGACAGGTCTTCGGAAAAAGTTTCCATTTGGTACAAACTAATGGTATGCAGGTGAATACAAGGCGCCAAAGACGCATACAAAGACACCCTTATCTCCCCGTCCATTTTAGCGAGTATTTTCCGTTTTCTTCTAACACTATATCAGAGCTCTACGATTTGGGACGATGCAAAAAGTTTTGATTCACACATTTTCGAGACACTCCTGAACTTTGCGTTGTATGAAAAAGCCGACGATGCCTGGAGAGGGATAGCTCTTCTTTTAGAGTTGGCCAGGCGTAATGAAACCCGCTGTCCGCCGGTTTTAATTTCGGTAGTGCAAGAAAGATACGCAAGTAGTATGGCAAGAGTTTTGGATCAAACTCAAGATTTTCAGCTGGTCGTAAATCTTGTCAGGTTGCTAATATTTTTATCTGCGAGCGGTGCTTCATCGTCTATGGAAGGATGGAATACTCCGTCTTTCCAATTATGGGAGGAGCCAAGCAGAAATAGAGCTTTCTTCGGTAACAGTGACTTCCTAGATTTGGTAGGCAAACCGAATGCATTCGTTTGCGACTTTGTTCTTCAAAACATGGGGGAATTCTCGAATGTAGGGATTGTATCCGCCGCTTGCTATTCCCAAGGTTCTGACAGGAAAAATTTCGGCATAAAATGCATCCAGTTCAGCAGACATGCAATATACGCATGGACGCAGTTGGGGGCGCTATATGAATTTGATTTGCGATGTTTTGATCTTTCGGCAACCGAGAGTGAATTACTGCGACTAAAGCGAGTGAAACCATCAGAGTCAGCGATCCGCACTCTAGAAACTGTGGTTGATCGAACGTGCCTAGCGGCTACAAACTTCCTCGTTAGATTTAGCGATAGAACCCTCACTCAAAAGGTTTTAAAACAATGCTACAGGAACAAGATTAGTGAATGTGAGTCCTTTATATCCCTTCAGTTTGCTCTTTCCGGTCAGAGCGATGGGGAAGACCCCCAAAAGTGTGGGCCGTTGGCTCTACCAACCCCGGAAAGAGAACCATCGGAAGTACAACTTACTCGTAAAAGCGCAATAGTCCCAAAGCCAAAGGCCTCAATGAATGCCACGCGGAACCTCAAGCCCAAGCCGCTGAAGTTAGTTTTTCCCACCAGTAGGGACCAGAAAACGTTTCCCAAGCCTTTGAATTCCAATTCAGATGAAATGTGGGACATAGAGCCCTCCGGAAACGTGCAGGAGCAAGTCGCTGTGCCAACGTCGCCTTCTGTTCATATGGACATTGTTTCCGACCACGAAACGTATTCCGAACAGTCACCACTTGTGATGGCTCAAAGACGTAGACAAGAGAGGGCAGAGCGGAGGGAAAAAGCTACTGCGCTGAAAAAGATACCTTTACAGACGACGTCACCAGAAACTTCCCAAGAGATTCCCGATGGAAAGGGACCTGCGAATCCTACAAAACTCAGCATTCCTGAGTTTATTGGAAACGACCAACGATGTGAGTCGAAAGTAAGCAAAGGAATCTCTAAAAAGGAGATTTCACAATTGGATAGTATTTTCAATAAGTTGGGACATCAAGGAAGGCACAGAGAAAAGATAGGAAAGGGTGCCCTCACTCGAATGAAGAGGAAAGCCGATGACTCTATAGCGACCGAGACCCGAAATGCCAAATCCAAGAAAATTGTAGAGATCCCCGTCGAAAACGTGGCTACTGCTGCAAGGGACCTACCGAAGCCCGATAGTTCAGCGGCTACGACGAAGCGGCCTACCACTGCTATTGCTGAATCCACAAATCTCGATGTCACAACTTTGACAACACCGTTTTTGCATACAGACAATGGGCCGCTGGGGGGCTCTTTCACCAATCAGTTGCAGGATCAAATATTCAGCTCGATCCGTCAATTCACGGACCAGTTCGCAAGAAAAATGAAGATAATAAACCAAGAAGTCAACCGGAGAATAAGCCTCGAGCTCTCTCAAAAATACCAGCTTCTTTTTTCGCAATTGCAAGAAAGCTTCGAGCACGACGTGGCTCAAATGTCCCTATTTATGAACGACATCAAGGACATGTTGCACATGCCGGAAGAAGAGTTGATCCAGGCCATTGCAAGCAAAAACCGGCGAACTCAAGAAGAAGAGGATAAGCAATAACAACTGAAGTGCGCAGCGGCCGTCTTGTCTACACCATCATTCAGGCAAAAGCTTCAAAAGCTTGGCGCCCTGATGTGACGACGATTCTCGTCGTCACCTGCCCCAGGGTTACCCCCACTACTGCCGTTTTCTATGACCACGCACATCGCTATCCATCTCGATTCTTCAGTTTTGCCCATTCTGAAAAATTTTTCAGAGCTTCTCATTGAAAAAAAGTTTGATCGAATTCACTTGACTACTCATCATTAGTGCCACTTTTCAGTTGTAAAGCCAGCGAGAACAGATTCAAAAATGGACACTAAGACCCCAGTTACTCTAGCCAAGGTTATCAAAGTTTTGGGCCGTACCGGCTCCCGTGGTGGTGTCACTCAAGTCCGTGTTGAATTCTTGGACGACACTTCCCGTACTATTGTGAGAAACGTGAAGGGTCCAGTCAGAGAAAACGACATCTTGGTGTTGATGGAATCTGAACGTGAGGCTCGTCGTTTGAGATAAACAAGTCGCGTTGCTACTTATAGCTGCTGCGTGCTCTCTTTTTTATCTTTTCACTACTATAATCACACAAAATCCACACTCAAAGTAAGCAAGACGCGATGGTGACACCAAAGAAAACTGATGAGAAACCAAGACTGGATTAAGGGGCGTACTTGTTCGAGGCGATACTCTAAGGATGTCTCTTTTTCTGTCCTGATCGAAATGAAAAAAAGAATGACAATTCGCAATGGACGTCAGATTTTTTTGCGTACCTCGGTACTGCAAACAAAAGGCAGCACGGTTGTCGTTCGGGGATGACGGTGAGAGACAGGGGTTACTTTGCAACGTATTTGTTGGTAGACGGGCGGAGATGCCGTAGTGCGTTTTCCGCGCCAGTTTTGCAACTTGGTTGCTGCGAGATATGGAAGCGTTTACCAGATGAAAAGCTTCCCACGTTTCTTTGGCAACGAAACGATCGACTGAAGTCTATCGTTTCTACTGGTTGCTTCTGAATGGCTTTTCATTCTGACCGCAATTATTTTTCTTCCTTTGTTTGCAAGCTGGGCCATTGACCGTCTATCCACTTTCCTTAGCAAGCCGTGGGACACCCTTGAGCTCTCCCATTCCCGCCATACTAGTGCATTTTTTTGCTGAAGTTGATTGTCTTTTTTTTCTTGGACAGAAATTTCTTAACAAGAAAATTTCGAATTTTTGGAAGCTATAATGCTTCGCGGCGCTACAGCTGCTTGCGTCTTATGCCTTCACTATTCTACAGAATCTCGAAATATCCTTTCAAACCCAGCGATTTAACCTTTTTTTCTGAGTCTTCCTTTCGAATCATTTCTTTGCATCATCATATCTATCTTATATAAGTGCTATCTTCTAAAATATCATTGAGTAAAAAGCCCAAGCTCTTTGACGGGGCGACACACTATCCTGTAAAGGTGTATCAGTCTAACAGAAGGTTCACGTCCTTCTTACCAAGCTGATGTCAATGCCTTGTGACTGGGCATCTTTAACACTCACTTTGATTCGTCTCAAAGATCACTTTATACTACAATGTCACCCTGCTACTAGAAATACCCACAGTATCCATCTAACACGATTGATGGTGCTACATACTATATTTCCATATCAAACCATGAGAATTCCAACAGGAGCTTTCCCTTCACAAATATAGTGCTTATCATTCCCACTTTGACAATACTGTCATTCAAGTCTGACATAATCGGCTATAAAGCTTAAAAAGCCTAAAAAAAACCAAATCAACAACGATTCGAACACGAATATATCAGCCGTCTTGAAGAAACTATTTCAAAAGTTTAAAGTTCCCTTCTAGTACTGGAATTTTGGCGCTGTGTTGACGGTGCCAGTAAATAGAGTAATTTTGACTAAATTACATGTTGTTTCGTACGAAATGCATAACTTCAGTTAAATCGAGAACAGGTAGATATGCCATGAACGTTCGATGGTTTAGGCTTCTTTGATGGCGAACGACCGCTTGACTGGTGCTCGAAACAAGCATTCACGCACCATTCACCACGGTGGTCGAGAAAAGGTGAAAAAATACACCCTTGAAGACATAGAACGGGACTTTTTAGCGAAACAAGATGCCATCGGAAAACAAGTGGTACGTGCAGCTCCAGAGGCTAGCAACGAACCCGAAAGTGTCATCAGTGAAGACACAGCTATGACGGACGTCTTTGAAGATTTGGAAGTGGAAAGTATCTCGCACATTGTAGGGGAGCATCGAGAAAAAGATCCAATTTTGACAACAGACCAAGCCATGAACGCCGACGACATGATGGAAATGGATAGGGCCGAAACGGCCACGCTAGAGGCACCCACGGCTTTCGTGATTGATACCAATTTCATCATCTCTCATCTGGGAATCTTAGAAGACCTACGTGCACTAAGCATGCAATACCAGCACAAGATAGTGATTCCTCGAACAGTTGTCCAAGAACTGGACGGGTTAAAAAATGCAACCGATCGAGTAGAAAGTAGCCAATCATCATCTCATGATGCATGTACAATAGGCGCTCTTGCACGCAAGGCAAATGATTGGATATACACGCATTTCTCAAACCTGGACTCTGCAGTTGTTGGCCAGCGGCTCAATCAAAAGCTCGATTACAGCAGTGAAAAAGATGACGCGATTCTTGATTGTTGCTTGTATCTTACCAGTAAGCAAAACCTTTTCGTAGTTCTGATGTCGAACGACAAGAACTTGTGTCTCAAGGCGCTGACGGAAAAAATACTCACAGTGTCTTACCGCAAAGGCATGTCAGCCAAGCTAATTGCTGAAAGAGTCTTCCATGAGAGACTGTCAAAAATTAGTTTCAGCGGTGATTCTAGCATGGCCCCAGTGCGGCAAGAGAGGCCCAATCCAACTTACTCGTCTAGAAAACCATCTGCCCCTCAGCACGAAGCCGATTGTCCCCTACCTGCAGCATTAGTGTTCAAAGAAGTTGAAGCAATTATGCCATCGGCCATTGATCACATTATGCATGTTGAATATGGCGATGAGCTGGAATTCACCGATTATAAAAGAACTCAGGTCGACAGCCTTTCAGCTTGTTGCCGCTGCATTGCCAAATTTTGGATGTCGGTCTTCGGCATCTACTTCAAAGGAAGTGGTATACAAAAAGAAGCCTGGAAAAGCCCAAAACCGTTTTTAGTGAAGATACCATCGAGTTCCACGGAAACAGAGCACTTTGTTGAATTTTGGGTTGCTGCACTTCAATGCCTTTACAAAGACCGCAGTATGGATCAGAAAAATGCATTGAGCCTACTAGCGACGAGATGGACCGGTGTGTGCTGAATTCACGGAAGAGACCTAGCAGAGCATCAATATATTATCTGAAGCCTAATCCACGCGAACCCTGCCGAATTTACGTTTTTTCTTACTCGGAGAACGGTCAACAGCGGATTCAGGTGAAGATGATTTGGCAAAATCACTAAACGGGGTCTGTTGACGGTCTGCACTTTGCTCTTTTGTCGAAGCAGATGTTCTGATCTCAGAATGATTCTCAGAACCACTAACAGACAGATCCTGATTCAATTCCTCTATTTTCACTGCTTGGCCATGATTCTCTTTTGGATCCTCAGGATGAACTCTGGACAAGTCGCTGTTTTGAGTGTCGGAGTGGAAAGAACCGAAATCGTCACCGACAAAAGAGGTCCCCGTTGCATTTTCTGGCGAATCTACACAATGCTCTCGATCGAACGTAACTTTTTTCAGCATCAGGTCTTGGAAAGCATTCGTTTGCCCAGCCGGTCGTTGGCTCTTGCTGGAAGCATCTGGGATGGAGCTCCATTGCTTCAACCACTCTTCAAAATCAAAACTTTTCAAGATCTTCTCATTTAACGAATTCGCGGGTGCCCACCGGCGGATCACATCTGTGAAACCCAGATCTTTAATGCTTGCGGCCAAAAAGGCGAGTGCTTGATCCTTCTGTATTACAGTTTTGTGTAGGTGGTCGACGATACCGGTTTGCACGGTTAGAGCGCACGACAACGATTCGACAATGGATTGTTGAATTTCTAACGAGCCGTTAATATCAACACCTGCTGTCTCTGTAGCCAACCTTAAAGCTATGTTGTCAAAAAGCGTACAATCAACGATTAAGTTGTGGTCGGTCAAAGAAAGCTGGAGAAGAGACGTGGAGTTCTTCAGAAGTTGCAAAACAGTAGTAAAAACGTCGATACCTGTCCTGACAACAAGTCCTTGCTTCAATGCTTGCTGATTTACATCCTCTGATCTGAAATCTGCAACTAAAGGTTGTTCGAATTTTGCTGCAAGACAGAACTTGAAGAAGTCTGGATTGCTAGTATTTCCAACTGATCCGTAAAACAGCTTTTCACCTATCTTATGAACTCTCCATTCTGAGAACTCTTGAAAACTCATTTGCCTCAATGCGACTTCTATCTCATCCTTCAGTCTAGCTCAACAAGGTTGTCCATCATCTAACGGCAGCTTTAAACAGATCATTAAATTCGTCACATAGGAGATATATATCACATGAAGAACTCAACTGACTACTTATGACGGCTGTAGAGGGCTTGACAGTGTTCTTTATGTACAATTTTGTATATAAGCTTAGTTGTCCTCAGTTTCCTTAGATAATGAGTCTTTTGGCAAATCCTGTAACTCGAACTCTTCCACTGGCGCCTGGGATTTTTGAATTCTAGAGCTGCTTGAGACTGAGGAGTGAGTAGCGCCTGTAGCAGAAGGGCTTTCATCCAAAAAGCCTTTGATCTTGTCCTTTGCCAAAGATTTGGTTTCGTTAACTGCTGAGTTGACAAGCGTTAGAAGAGGATTCCAGAGGTTTAACTTGTGAACAAAATAAAAGGCAACAGCGAAGATGAGAAGAAGAGTCACGAATAGGGGATTTCTAATGACAATGAGGAACTCATTCCATCCCAATACCGCGATAAGGGCGTATATGTAGACTGGGATATGCGTTGTTGTGCGAATGATTGACCTCTTGGCCTCGATGACCGCTGTGTTGATTTGGCGCTTGAAGCCCTTGAGAATTTTCTCCTTCTGAGGCGCAGTCAGGATATGAGCAAAACTCTTTTGGTGATAAATACCTTCTTCATCTTCGACTAGTTCATTGAGGGGTTTGACAGGAACATCTGGAACGACCTCGATGTGCTTTGATGTGGCTGCGAGGGCCAAAACATCCAAGACTTCAGTCGCATATTCCTTGGCAACCCTGTAAACTGTGTCTATTTCTTCCTCATTCTTCCATAAGCGGGGGGAGTCATTTTCATCAAACCTGAACTTGTTCTCGAACCGTTCTCTTAATATTGATACGATGTTGTCCTCAGTTAAGTAGTCGTTGACTATTTCATGAAGAGTAGCCCACGCATTCGACCGAACCTGTTTGTAAACTTTAGCATTTTCTTCGGGCGATAAGCCAACTTGGAAATCAAAAGTCTTGTCACCCGTAGCGAACCTCTGGGCAGCTTTCGCAATGATGGACTCAAAGCTCTCGATGACTTGATCCCATAAGTCTTTTTCTGGATGCGTAAGTAGAAAGATAATATCATCTTTGACACCAGTCGTGATTACTTTATTCAGGCGGAACAGAATTTGTTTCAACTCCTTTTGACTTTGGGCAGCACTTGCCTGCGCTAGAGTCGAGTCAAAAAGGTCTTCTTCATCCTGGAGACTGGACACCAATCCACGCTCAACCAACTGACTAGTCGCCGAATGAAATCTTTGCTCAATTTCGGAGCTCACCAATTGAGCCTTTTCGCTGAAAGGTACATTTTTGGGCCTTACCGCGATATCCTTTTCGAATTCCAGTATGAGGCTCTCACTTAAATTTAAGAGATATTTCGAAATCGTTTCTTTGAGCTTAATTTCGATATCGCTAGTTAAAGCCTCCCTGGTTTTCGCGTAAACCGGCTTAGCGTATCGCGACGCATAAGTGTCATATTCTTCAATGCACTGTGACTTGAGACTATGCAAAAGCTCGATTAGCTTTTCCAGTTCATTTGCTTTGAAGGTTTCCGTTGGATAGTTTTCAGAAAACGCCACAAAGGCCTGCTGTGCGATCTCTTCTGTTTTGAACTTAGCAACCAGGATTTGCTGAGTGGGCAAATCCAAATCTTTATTCGTTTCAATCTGGTTCCAGCAATTGCCTGCATACAGCGTCCAGCCATCCAGCGGTAGGTTGTGGTGATATTCCGGTTTGAAGTAACTGTGGGAGGGGTTCTCAAGGTCCTGGAACCGACTTCCCAAGGTCCCAACGTTTTCTGCAAAAATGTCAGGTTGCAACACTTTATGAGCCAGTGTTGTAAATTTCAGATCAAAAAAATCGTGAAGGGAGCTATCTGCACAGCCATCAGGTTTTGTGAGACCGGTCCAAATGTCGTTAAGTTCAGTTTCCAGCGTTTGCTGGAGACTTTCAAGTGGTGTGACCCCTACGTGGTCTCTGATCACAAACAGCAACAAAACTTTGTGGTCGGATTTGGAACCGAAAAGTGACAGGTTGACTTCAAAAACGGTTTTCAACAAAGCCATGTTGTTGCCCTGGTAAAGTCCCACTTGTTGTTCCCACATATTCACGATCAAAATTTCAGACACCGCAATTGCAAAGAGCGCAGCTTTACGTTCGAAATCCTGGTCTTCACCACGCTCTGCCCCGTCAGATCCTTCCACGTCCAAAACAAAAAGATCTTTCATGCGTTCTTTTTTGTTAACTGCAACGGCAACGTCATTTGTGTGTCCAAGCCAAATCCCTTTGGTGGTCTGTTGCCGTTTCTCCTTAGCATTCATAGTATCAAACTGCGTGTCAAAAAGGGCATTCAAAAGCGTAGATTTCCCGCTAGACTGTGATCCAAAGACAGAAATTACATGGTAATCCATCCCTACATCGCGACTTTCAACGCATTGTTTGAAGAAGTCTAGCACACTCGGATTAAACTCCTTGGCCTCGTCAATGAGCTGAATAGCAGCATTAGAAGATACCATTGAGATCGACTGGATAGCTGCGGCGGTTGTCTTGGTGAGTTTGTGAGTTTAACGGTAGGTCAAGTTAAAGAATTTGGTGAAATATGTGTGTCCACAGATATTAATAAACGACATGAAGAGTGAGTAGATGGGGGAGTAGAAGATTGGCTGGAGGAATGACTGGATAGCCGAAAGAAAGCGAGAATAAAGAAGAAAGACAGGAGGTGGTGAAGGTTTTAGCGTCTGCTAAAGGATTTGTTCATTTTAACCTGCACGGGAGAATTTGAAATCTTTTGGACTTGAAAAAGAATATTTTTTTGGCCTCAATCCATATTTTTTATGTCACCACAACACCTAGCTTCGCAATGGCTTTTTGTCTAATTTCCAGCATGTAACACCACGAATCAATGTTGTTCGAGTTTTCAACGAATAAAGCCTTCGTGCAGCTTCAAAACGGTCGTGAAGTGTCATTTTCCAATATTCGAAAATAACACCTCTTTACTGACGCAAGTCCCATTTTGCCAAAAAGAAGGTGCAGCGGAGAAGAACAGAAGATTCAAAGTAATAACGGTTGAAAGCATGCCTACTCCTGAAAAAATGCCAATTTTTTTTAATTTCAGGGCTCTTGATTCTTGTCAAAGCATGGATACAAGTGACATGGACTAAACAACCTTCGTTCTATGATGTAATTCATAAGGCCTCAAATCAACGTTTGTCTTATTTCAACAGGCTTTCCCCGGCAAAAAAGATGATGTGGAAATGATTTTACAACCCTTTCATAGTTTCCCATCTCGAGATTTAACATGATGTTCTTATGTTCTTACTTTGAACTTTGTCTTTGTTTCTCGACCAAAAATTGACGAAAAAAGCTCGGGAAAAAGGCCTTAAAAACCTTACATTCTATGATTCTTGTGTGTGTCTAATTGCGACTTATAAAACTGCTCATCGATGCTCTAAATCTTGCAACTTCTTACTTCATGAGCTGTCGTCTTACCTTGTTAAATATCAAATTTAAAATACTATAGAATTATTACTCTCATTCTGGCAAACCCAACGATTGAACAAGCCAGTAAAAGTGCGATAAACATACCCTATGAGCTCCAATACCAAACTTACAAAGACTTTGGCGCGTTTCCAAGCTCGAATTGAGGCCGGGGACTTTTATGAGGCGCATCAAACTCTGCGCACCATTGCAAATCGTTACGTCCGTAGTAAGCACTACGACGATGCAATTGATCTAATCACAGAGGGTGCACAGGCGTTTCTATCGGCGAAACAAGGTGGATCTGCAACTGACTTGATTTTCTATCTCCTGGAGGTATACGATACAGCAGAAATCCGTGTAAGTGACGTTTCCATCGCGAGGTTGGTACAGCTTTTAGCGAATTTGGACCCAGAAGAGCCTAATTTGAAAGACGTAGCAACAGGCATGAACAACTGGTCTGTGAAATTCGGGCCTTGCAAATACGGTGATCCATATCTGCATTCGGTAATAGGACCTAAACTCTCAGACGGTGGTTACGTTTATGAGGCAGAGAGGTATCTCGTATTAGGAACATCGGAGTCTGTGAAAGAATACGTTTCTCTTTTATGGGAATGGTTTACACAAGCTGGCGACAAAAAAGCTGTTGGAGAGTTTTTTTCGAGGCCAGTTTTCAACTATCTTTTTATTGGCAACATCGAGAACGCTTATGCTGTTAAGGAAAGCTTTCTGACCAAATTTATTGAATGGTCGTCCGCTGCTTGTGAGAAGATCGATAAGAATGGCTTTGAAATGTGGTATTTTGAGGACTACGCAGACTTGAATTTCCTGCAGCTACTTATCTTGACATGCCAAACAGAAAACGCTGACCTCTTCAGGAATCTACAGAGCCACTACGCGGGATCGATAGACCAGTACTCCTCTCAGCTAGAGTATTTGGGCCAGGAGTATTTCGGAATCAAAATCCAGAAACCGGTCAATTTTATGCAAGATATAATGTCTGGACTCCTTGGCGGTAAGTAGGTAATGCGCTTTGCTGGTAGAGCCGCCTTATTTGTGCTTGTGTAAACTAAAGATCAACTGTGAGGCGAGTTAAAGAGAAAAAAAATACAAACAGAATAAGATCCAAGTATTTTCTTAGCCAGTCTCTAAAAGTAATGCACACCATGAACTCACCCCGTCAATTTTTCAATTTTTGTTTATACTGGAGCGATCGAGAGCTTCAATGAGTTCTGGCCGTTTCGCAATTCTCAACTGTTCTACGGCATCTTGGTACGTGAACCACCTTCTGTTACGCTTCTGAACTTCTGGATACTCTGCTGCCAAAGACTCAACAGCCAGTTCGTAAAAGTGGAACTCAGAACGCGGAGGATGTTTGTTTACTTCTGCGTCGCTCTGGGATTCGACAAATGCCTTTATATTGGTGTTCCAGTCCTTGGGTGGTCTCATATCTTCAATTATGCCCAATTCTTGAGCCACACGGCCCAGAGCACCAGATTCTTCCCACGTTTCACGCATAGCCGTCGTTTGGAAGTCTGGCTCGTCAGATTCAACTCCGCCTTTCGGAAGAACCCACTTTTTCTTGTGAGCAGATGATTGAATCATCAAAACTTGTTTCTTGGACTCATCAAGACACACACATCCTGCAACTATTCTCGCACCCGTAATAGAAGAATAAACCTGGTTTTTCCGACCAACGCGGGCTACATCGCTCTTGTCAAATCCAGACATCTTTGACGGAAAGGGGAATTTTCTGGCAAGGTTTATAAGCCCAATGACTCTTGATAAACTAACCTGGAGTGACCAAACTAGCACTTGAGTAAGAAGCACTGAGTTATTTGAGAGTAGTAGGAGGTATTAGACTACTGATCCAGCCACTAAGTCTTGACCTATAATTTCAAAACTGCCATTGTACATTCACACGTATCGAAGGACCTACCTAGCCTTTAATTTATTCGTTGTATTCACTGGTCATAAGAAGAGGACGGCGACAGCGAATTTTGACTCAACATAATACTTTGATCAAATGTCCATTCAGGGCGGAATATGCTACTTTGTGAACTGAGATTCCCTGCTAAAATAAATTCGAGGAAAAACGGTCTTCATTTGCGACCATGACAGCCGATGACAGTATTATGACATTTGTCGTTAAACTTAGAAAGTCATCTTCAGAGGGCAACAAGAAGACTTTTGGGAAGTTAATCATTCATACCAATTATTCCATCATGGCTGCACGAATCCCGAATTGATGGTGTTATTTTGGTCCCCCATTCATGTTGGTGCTTTTTTTTCTTTCTGTGATCTTCTGGTGTTCTTGAACTTCTTTTATGATTCAAGGCCATTAGTATCTTTGATCCAAGCGACAGCCGTGCTTTCTCACCTGCCACTGAATGGCTATCCTTTGAATGTGGGCTAGAACTCGTCTTTTCGTGAACAGTGTTATCTGCCGACGAATGCTCCAGGTCGTCTCCTTTTGATTGTAAGACCAGCCTTTTATGTGATGTGAAAAGACCTGAGATGAATGCTATAGCATAGGAGCCTAGAGCAGCATACATCACATTTTGAACACCCTTGGCGAATGTCTTGGAAAGAGCCGAGTTCAAGCCATCGTAGTTTTGCGCACGGTAAGCAATCAGCGCTTCGATGTTGCTGAAAGGTGGTATTCCTGCTCCAGCATGCTTTAGATCGTTTTTAACCGAGTTCGTGAATATCATTGTTGCCATAATTCCGCCAAAAGCCATCCCGAGAGACTTGAAAAAGGTGTTGACTGCGGTTGCCTCAATGAATAATGTGTGGAAGTCGGTCGAGTCTCTGTCGATTTGCACCTGGGTGCTTAGCAACGTTCCTTGCAAGATGCACCCAAACGCAGCGCCCGGCAAAATACAATAGCCTATCGTGTCTCCGAGAGTACTTGTGGTCTTCAATAAAGTCATAAGACCCGCACCTATAAAACCCAGCGTCACGCCCACCACGATCACTGGCTTGATTTGTCCAAAAGTCGAGCTTGTTTTGCCGATGATGACAATGCTGATCATGGTGGCCACCAAAAAGGCCCACAAATGCATACTGGCGGATGTTGGCCCGTTGTTATGCACCAGCTGGTAAAACTGGACAACGTACACAGACTGCATGTTGAATGCTAGGCAGCCAAAAAAGACCACCAGAGCGCTTGTTGCAATCCCCGGGAGGAAAAACAGTTCCTTCCTCAGCAATGGAACTGGTTGCGTAGCTTGATGAAGGGACGCCCAGTAATAAAGGATCACGCAGTCAAACAACACCCAGAAAAGGACTAAAAAGCCGCCCACTGTCAAGTACGCAATGATGGTACCTGATTTCCATGAATACTCGTTCCCTCCAAAAGTGATTCCAAGCAGCAAGAGAACGAACCCCGAGGACGAAAGAGCGAAGCCAATAAAATCTAGTTCGAAAGCAGCGAAAAGGAAAGCTCGGTGCCACATTTTCTTCGTAAACACCTGCTTGTATGGAAGATTCTTCACTGTTTTGGCTTGCGCTTTCAAAGAGTCTACCCAAAACGTTTCTCCTGGGTTATAGCTGAAAAGCAGTAGAAACAACGCCAGACCACCAATGGGCAAGTTAATGAAAAAACACCATCTCCACGTAACGTTTTCCGTGAAAGCACCGCCAAGCACCGGACCGATTGCGAATGCAACTGCGAAAGCAGCTCCGAGAATCATGATCACGAGGCCTCGGTTCCGTTCCTGGACCAGAGAAGTCGCAACTACAAACACCAAAGACTGTATGCCGCTGCCTCCGCAGCCAGCAACCACTCTTCCTCCAATAAGCATGCCCATCGAGTTGGAAACAGCCACCACCAAAGAGCCTATTTCAAAAATAATGATAGATGCTGTCAGACTTGTTTTCAATCCAAAAATGGCAGCAATACGACCCCACAACAACGTGAATAAGGCACTGGGCAATGCGTACCCCGAAACTAACCATCCAATACTCGCATAGTCGTTGTATTTTCTTCCTATTGTCTCATACAACGTAATGACGATGACAATATCGAGAGCGGCCAAGAAAAGCGTCAGTGCCAGCGAAAAAAGCGTAAAAACTAGTTGGAAATTGATCTCGACCATCGTTACAAACTGGGCAATATTTAGTAGCTATAAAAAGTGGAGGTAGATCGAAGAGGATATGGTTTTATGTAAAGTCTAGCTGGTTTTGGAGTAGCGACGATCCTTGGTGAAGTTGATGAATTTTATGGTTTATTACTGACACCCGGGAATTAGGGTTCTGTCATGTGACTGATGAGGTAGGCAAAATATGAGCCATGAATGAAATGCGGAGTTATCGTTGACCATTTTTCTATGTAAGTAGAGATTTCAAAGAGAATATAGTTCCGTCTGGAAGATGCTTAACGTTCAGGACAGCTCTAATTTGGAATGGAAATTCGCTTACTTATATGTCATTTCTTAAATTTTTGGAAGCTTCATGGGCTCAAAATGCGAAAGTAGTACTATATAACCGAAATTAGACGCCATTGATAAAGGAGAAGTGCTCTTCAACCGCTAAATAGCTCTTTTCATCTCCAGGCTGGTGGATGTAGCAGCAAAAGGACCAAAACATCTTTGATGTGACAGACGCGTACAAAGTGACACATATGATATTAAAAAAATAAGCCCTGCATATTCTAATAGAACAATGGCAACAATAGGCAAAAGAAGCTTTCCATGCAAGGAACATTGCTTGATTTTACGCGACGACTTTTTTAGCCGCTGTGGCCTAGGTCACTTAAATCTGTATGTTTCTTCATTCTTGGCATATTCCAACAATTATAAAAGCTCCTGCTGTCACAGCTTGAAGTTTCTGTAAGTAAGCATACGTGAATGCCAATCTACATAATCGAACCCCGGCGCTTTATTATTGATATATATGTACAGAGAATATTGAAGGCAGCATTAGTATAACAGCCCTTCGAGCCAAAAGAAAACCACAATTTGCTCATACCTATTCATGCGCCCCTGTGTGGCTGTTCAATTGGTGGCTGAGAGTCGACTCCCGAGCTATGGGGATCCAAAAACGCAATGTCAACGTCCCTTTTCTCTAGTTTGGAATCTTCGATGGTCGTTGCTTCGTGCTCAATGTCTTTCGTGGAATGTTGGCTATCGGATTTGGGCGCCAATACCAAACGCTTGTTGGACATGAGTAAAGTGAATAGAAAACTTAAAGCGTAACAGCCCAGCGCCACGTAAAATACGTTTTGCACGCCTTTGGTGAGAACCTTTGCCATAGGAGACTCTGGTCCGTCGTAGTGTGTCTCACGGTAAGCCACTATTTCTGCGGAGCTGTCAAAATGTGGAACTGGGAAATCTGCATGTTTCAAGCGGTCTTTCACAGTGGTAGAGAAGATGAGCGTGGCAACAATTCCTCCAAAAGCCATGCCCATGGCTTTACCAAAAGTGTTAAGAGCCGTCAACTCGATAAATTTTTGGCGGAAATCGGGATCCGTCTTTTCGACTTGGATTTGGGCACTCAACATAGTCGACTGCATGACGGTTGCAAAACCGACACCAGGAAGAATGGAGTAGCCAATAGAATGACCCAGTGGCGTCGATCCATTTTGCATGGTTAGAAGACCTGCGCCAATAGTGCCCAATGCAACACCTCCAACCGCTATTGGCTTGATCACTCCAAATTTTTTAACGATGTTACCTTGAACAACGATGCACACAATAGCAGGAACAAGAATTCCCCACATGTGCATACTCGAGGCGGTGGCGCTTTCGTGCCGCACCAACTGGTAGAACTGGATGAGATAGATCATTGCCATGTTGAGGCCGAAAGACACAAAGAAATTGGAGATTGTACCGGAAAGAGCGCCGATGATTTTGACCGAGGCCCAGGGCAACAAAGGCTCGGCACGCTCGTTTTCAGGCAGGAATTTTCCCCAGTAAGGCAAGATAATAAAATCGTATAGCAGCCATAGAATAAGTAAAACGAGTCCCACAGTAAGGTAAGCGATTATGGTTCCCGAGCTCCAGCTGTACTTTTCGCCTCCAAAGGTGAGTCCAAGCAGAACTAGCACGAATCCGGCCGAACTCAAGGCGAAACCAATGAAATCGAGCTTGAAGATGAAAAAACGCACAATGAAACCCCAGAACTTGGCCGTTAGCATATTGGAATAGCGATAGTTTTTAACAGCGTAAGCTTGCTCAGTGATCGTGTTACGGAACGATTTTTGAGCAGGGTTATAGAAACCCTGTAGCATGGCGTAAGCGAGACCTCCAATAGGCAAATTAATGTAAAAGCACCAACGCCAACTGACGTGTTGGGAGAAGGCTCCGCCAAGAACAGGGCCCACTGCGTTGGAGACCATGAAAGCCAAACCCAGGACGGTGATGACCAAGCCTCTGTTACGCTCCTCGACGAGCGAGGTGCCCACCACAAACACCAGAGACTGGATACCACTGCCACCAATGCCTGCTATGACACGGCCGCCGATGAGCATGGACATGGAGTACGAGAGCGCCACGACCAGGGATCCGATTTCGAAAATAATGATCGATGCCGACAAACACGTTTTGAGTCCGTACAGAGCGGACAGACGGCCCCATAGCAGGGTGAAAAGAGCGTTGGGAAGCGAATAGCCTGTAACGAGCCATCCGATCTCACCGTAGGCGTTGAATTTCTCGGAAATGACGTCGTACAGAGTGATGACAATGACGATGTCCAAAGCTGCGAGGAACAGCGTGAGGGCGAGCGATCCCAGACACATGCCCAGTACGAGTTTAGGGCTCATAGGCATTTTTGTAGTTGTAATTGTAGTTGTGGTTGGATCGTTGAGATCAATAGCAGGTGTGTGTGTGTCTTGCGTATGCAGTCTTCGAGACTTTTTGATGCGCGCTTACGTAACACTGCAGATTGAGAGACGCGGGTCCTTCGAGATTTCTTTTTGTTCCTGTGCCAAGCAATGCTCGAACAAACAAACAAACAAAGGCCCAGTAGTAGTCAAAACAGGCGATCTAACAGCAGTCAAAGAAAACAACGGTTTCTTACCAGGAGTGGTGAAAAGAAGATCAGCAAACAAGGCAGAATCTTTAGCAAAATCAGAGGAAATCCAGAGGAAAGAACTTCAAGTGTGTGCTCAGACAGTCGCTATTTATACGCACTCAAAAGAATAATTGTTACCGGTCCTAAAACGCACCAAAGATGTGGTTATTATAGCCTGGATTGTTCAATCTTCTGGTACAGTCTCTTGTGAGTGTTATCTTCCCTTCTCTTCCTCTCTGGCCCTCATTTTAGGCTCTGCTTTAATACCTGAAAAGACTATTCGGGTTTCGCGCGGAGATGAGGCGCGGCTGACGTAATCTCGTCACGTGCACGCCAAGTCCATTGTCCGTCTCTTTTCCACGGAGATTGGCGCATATAGGAAGAGAGGCGAGTCTTGCGACGCCAAAGTCTTTTCTGGAGTGATGAGCAGTGATGAGCCTTGGGAAGTGCCTTCCGCGGATCGTTCGAACAAACATTCTGCGTTAAAGGCCGGTGTGTCATCTCTCGCTCGCACCTGAGGCTAAAATCCATTGTGATTGAGTGGTGACTAGGAAACGTCTTACAGGGTTGTGGGTCATCATCGTTCCTGCGTAAGCCAATCGCGTCATTTCGTGTTTACTCTTACCGTGTCAACCTTGCAGGAATGAGAGGGAGTCTGAAAACGCTGTAGAGACGATGAGTAGCATCTGAGCCACGTACTCGGAGTGAGCCCCTCCTCATCCGTTCCACGGCGAGGTGCCTAACGGTTCCGGTCTTTTCTTATAGGAAACTACAGTGTCTTCCTGCATGCCTACCGGTTTTATTGTCTCTTGGCAAACACACAGAATTAGATTCGCTGTGATTATTGGAAGGATTCGTACATAGCGATTTGTGCTTGATGAGGGTGTAAAACTCCTTAATGGTAGGTCTTTAGAGACAGCTTATTGAATAACGAGACTAATCGTACGTCGGACATACGTCGAACAGTCATTGTTATGATGAGATCGCTTCTCTTTGACACGTTGGCTTTCTACCTCCTCTAATCATCACATACGGAATGGCATATTGTTATTAATATTCAATTATCTCTGCTGCTAACGCCGGGGCTAAGTCCGGCGATGCCTGTCACATCGCACGAGCTGTTTTTTATTCGAGGCTTCTTTGCCAACGCCAACCGTTGGACGTTGATATTCACATGCGTTCTGCTCACCACGCGATACCCGTTTCTACGGTCAGAAGAGCCTCTTGTCATCTGTGTGTGTGTGTTGATAATCTCCCGCGTGGCGTCTGAAAGCACAACAACGGTTTGTCTAAGCCAATGCCACGCCACGGGCTGCAAGGGGTTAGACACACAGAGAAGTAGGAGGTGCTAGAGTATGTGCGTGTTCTTTTGAAGTTTTGCACCCCTCGAACGCTCGAATTTCACCAGATTTGTCTCTAGTGCTGCTACAACCCATTACCTATACCAACTCATTATTTCCAGTCCGGTATTTACTACGTCTTTCGCAGGTAATTCGGCACGAAATCTGTAGGGCTATACGGAGAATGCAGGAGTTAAGTCGGAATTTTGACCTTTTATACTAAATGAAAACACAAACAAGCATGAGCGCTTGATTACAGATTCAGAAACAACAAGTTTCAGGTGGCGAAATGCTAGCAATACGCCGCGTAAACTACCTACAATGTGAAATCCAGACCTTTACCCACAAAATAAAAAAATAGAGTAGACATTGGTCGTTTGTGTTCGTATAAAGCGATGTATACAACTTCTTTATTACACGAAACTCACATACCAACAAGCTTTACGCCATAAAAATAATTGCATTACCAGTAAGTACCTTTCTTGTCAGCCTTCAGAATTTGTGTGTGTGGAAGAATCAGATCATCACATACGTGATTCTCATCTCTCGTTTGCATGTGATCCGTTGATAAAAAAGGGGACCTCTCGTATATAATGACTCTTATGGCAGAATAATAGCGGTTGTAAGCCGGACTTTGACGAGGGTTACCGTGAAAAATGTGAAATTAAACTCATATAGGGCATACGTGGATGTATATATAAGGAAGCTCATCGCTCATTGATCCTAAATTTAACTTAATCTTTCTTCAATCCCGATGGGCTCTGTCCCCTAACGTTACTCACAAAATCGAATACTGAACGCGCAAGCAGCGTATGGTCAGCGCATTTCAAGGCTCCAGTGCAAAGAGAATTCTTATCCAGACCTTCAAGACGCCAAACTCCCCGTCTTTTCCCAGCGATTTTCCGTGGAGTTGATACCTTGAGATATATTTCTAGTTTGCAGAAAGCAGCCCCTTTGGAAACATGCAAGAAAAGCCACTGATGGACCAAAAAAGGAGAAGACGCAAGACCATAAAATCGTGTACTTTCTGTCGACAACGCAAGTTGAAATGCGACCAGAAAAGACCCATGTGTGGGGCCTGTATGGCTAGAAAACTGCCTGAGTGTGTATATACGAGCGGCTTCAACTTCCAGCTGACGTCGGACGAGCTGTTCAGCAAACAGCCAAACGTGGCACTACTTCGTCGAATCAAAGAGCTCGAGGAAACACTAGACAAATCAACACTTGAAGAAGAACCCGCTGTAGAAACTGACGTTGGCAGCAGCAGCAGCAACGGAAACAGCACAAACACATCAGAGCGAGATCCAGACTCGGTGGCTTCCACTACAGACATCGGCAGCAGTGGCAACTGCAATACCGTCCAAAGCGATGCCTCTGCTGTGCCCACCGCCAACGACGGTATAAGCACTCAGCTGGAAGCATCCAGCTATCAAAATCCCATCATGGAGGGCCAAAAAAGAAACCTGAGCGATTTCTACGTATTGCGGGAAAAGGACGGGCGTTTTATCTATTACGGGCCCACTTCCATCAGAGCTATAATCACTGCGTCAGGCGACCGTTTCGTGGCCGAATATGTCAAGGTTTGGCGCAAAGTAAAATCAGAGCTCGATGCTTGGAAAAATGTGCACGGTGGTCTGCTTACTATGGACTACAGCTCACTCGAATATTCAGGCTCCGGAAGCTTGATTAATTCCATCTTACCTGATCTACCGCATTACGAGATTATTCGAAGCAGACTGGAGGAGTTTTTCGACGATCCCTTGCATACCTACTATCAATTCTTGGATAAAGACAAAGTGATTCACGATTTTGAAGTTTGTTTCATACCCGGCTACATTGCTCTTAAAGGCAATGACAATGTGCCTAGGCGACCAGTTGCCTTGCTGCTAACGGAAAACAAACAAAATTTCTTCAACATTGGTATCGTACTAATGATCCTCAGTCTAATACATTTCAAAAAGAATATTCCTGCCTCTTTTCAAAGACTGAGCATCTCCTTGTTGGGATTCACAACCGCTAAATCCGTTTATGTTGAAAGAGCACAGTTCCTACTTCTAATGTGCATGCTCCGAATGTATAGCGGTCTCAGTGGCAGTGGATGTTCTCATTTGGTCTCTCTGTCAAGTCTGCTGTGTTCCACGTCCATGAGCTTGGGTTTGCACAAAGATATCAAAACGCTGTACCAAAATCAAACTTCATTCGTGGGATCAATTTCTTCTTTGGAGAACGTTTGGTATTGGACGCTATTTGTCGATTTAAACGTATCTTTCGACATTGGGTCTCCCGCGACTATCACCTCAGCCCATTATGATGACACTAAACTGCTTACTTCTGAGATTGGACGCATTCCGCTACTCCGTAATTTTCTTTTTGTTGGGAGAAAATGCATGCGAGCGTTATATGACCCTGTGAATAGACCACCATTGATGACCTTAGTATCACAGATGACCGACTTTATCCAAAATCATTTTAGGCAAGTGAAATATTATACCGATTCTTCGCTTATTTCGCAAGTTGATCTCTTCGACATCATGATACTGTCGCCAACGTTAGCCATGATGACTAACTTCTATGATTTGACAAGAGTATCACGAGAGGTCATAACCATAGCGATGAAGAACGGTTTCATGAAGTCTATGCTAATAGGCACAGCGGTCTCGGTAAATACAATTTTGAGATGTTTCAAGTCCGACGAAGAGCAGATTTCAACTTCGCAGCTTCACCAAAGTAAGGTACTGACCCCTTGGCTGAACCTATGCGTCTTGCTGCTTGGTTCGCTTCCAATTCGAATGCTGACAGAAATGTATGGTCTGATGTTTTACAAGATTACGTTATTTGAGAAAGGTCTCATAGTATCCATAGAAGACGGCAGCATGGAAGGGCCATCGCTGGACGACCTTTCTGTTTCAGGTGAGTCGTTCACATCTTTCCGCGGCAACTTTAGAACGTTTTGTTCAATCTTCGACGAGCTTTGGAAGCCTGAACATACACGGCTGACACACATGTTATGGAACTCACATTATTTTGTTATCATGATGGCCCTGGAACGTGTGAACCGTACAGTCTTTGAAATGGGCTTAGACAGTAGAACAAGGGTCGAAGTGACCCACAATTGGTCATCGGTAGGAAATGACGAGGTACCTGACGACGTTGTAAAAATGTTGGCCGACGAAGTGTGGAACAGTTACAGTAATGGTTTCACCGATCTTATCGAGATGGACGCGGGTGATTTTCTAACAGATTTCGACATGCTTGCAGGAGACCAAGCGTGAGTGGAGATACCGAATAAAAAAAGGCTGTCGTAAAGGACGCCTGTCAGGTAAGCAAATAAACCTGACATTGATAAACAAGAATCATCAACCTTCACGAACCCGTCGTTTTCATGTAAATAGCTAGATGCATCTCTCAAGATGCTCGAGAGGAGCGACTGTATATAATAGAAGGACAGTTTGATAGGTTTAAGAGACATTCTTGTTTGAACTGACTTGACCTATCTATAAGCAGTAGGGTTTCAAGCTGATAAATATTACATTTATGTTTGCACACCAAAATGAGCAATGTTAATTGATAAAAGTTCAAACTTCACAAACCGAGAGGGGAGAGCACCACTAAATAGATACCTATGGTCTAGACTAATCATAAAGGTCGATAGGATGACGATACTCAAATTTCCGGTCGAAATTGAGTTCAGGAACATTCTAACAAAAGCACATGAATTTCTCCAGAAAAGAAGTATGGAGTCTAACGTATTTATCAGGTTTCATGGGCAGCAACATTATTGTCATATAGGCTTTACAGCTGATGCTTGGGATGCCAAACAACCCAGCGAACTAGCCGGCTTCACAGACGTGTGTAGTGATAAATTTTCAAGATATGATTATTCATATATTTATCACAATTGATCTCGAAAGCTAAGGTTTAGCCCACTACATCTCTGTCTATAAAGACACCTCATAAATCGATTGAGTCTCAACACCGCTAGCTTTTTGCCACTGATGAAACTGCTTCATTTTCTAGCCATTTCCATGTCAACACTCTTGGTGTCATGCCGCGTGGAAGAGGTAACGTCACTTGATTTTTTCTACGACACTGTGAACCGCGATGCTTATACTGTCGTGAAGTATTTTACTACTTGGTGCTCGCATTGTAAAGGACTTGCACCTGTTTTCGAGCAACTGAGTGAGAAATTCGAGAATTCTTCGGCAAATGTTACGTTTCTGGAGGTAAATTGCGAGCTTTTTGCATCTTCTATCTGCCGAAGACTTCCTGGATACCCTATGGTGGAAGTGATCAAACCATTGAAAGAGTCAGAACAAATTGATGCGGAACCAGAAGTTCCTGTCAAGAGGTCATGGTGGTCCAGAATCATCAGTTCAATTCAAAATAGGGCATTTAACGCACAATGGGATATGGACCTCAGCAGAGTGGCCGAATTCAAAGGAAGCAGGGACCTACCGATCCTGACCAATTTTGTGGAAAAAGTGATTGAAAATACCGAACAGGAAAAGAACATTGAGTATATCTTGTCTGACCGCCGTTGTTCTGACGAAGAATGTTTAACGCTAAGGAAATATTTATCACAGGTTGATGATTCCAAGAAAGAGATCAGAAAGTTGGAAAAGACACTAGAAATTGACGAAAACAAGTATCCCGAAACGACCAAATTGAAAATCGCTTTGCTGAGGGCTTTGGAAAACACTAGGCAGACCGAAGACCGCGATGAATTGTAGAGCGGGACCAAAAGGTGTAGCGTATCATCACCAGGCGGCGTATTGCTCAACACACCTAACTTTTTCGGGCCACGGGAGCTGAGGCTTTTCAGGTACTATCATGAGATTAACAATGGCGGGTACGTTTTTTGGAGTGACTCTGGCCAGCCAGATAAGCGAGTGGGAAGATTTCAGATACAGGATCACGTTTGCCGCAAACTTGTGGCCCCCTACATGGTTTACGAAGCCCACAACGCATCCGCCTGGTCGGAAATCGGAGTTGTCTCGGTACAAACCGTGTTGCTGGAGCTCTTGATGGAAAATCTTCTGCAAGATTGGAGCTGTGATGCCACAACGCTTATCGCGGGTCTTATGAGAGCACAGAAACACAAATGAGTTTTCGCGTGCTTCTTCGATATTGGAGCGCGTCAGAAGCTGGTCCCGTTGGTTCTCGACAAGCAGGGGCACCAGTTCATCGAGCTGATCTTTCACATCCGATGCCGCAAGAGCTTTGATTCTCAGAAAATGGGGCAGCACAAGCACGTCGTTTTTCATGCCGCGCATCACGTCGATGTCCATGGCATCAATGGGCAATGACGAAACGTTACATTTGATTGACTCGCCTGTGCCTTTGGTACTGAAGTCCGATCCACGCTTGTCTATCCATTCGGCTATCTGGTATTGCACAGAACCCTTTTTCTCGCTACAAGCGTCGTGCTCCCAATCCGTTTGCGACGTGGGCACCACAAAGTGGATTTTGGCGGTCTTGGATGACCCGTACAATGGTTTATCGTGCTCAATTTTTAGCTTTCCGAATTTTGCCTCATCGCTTTCGATGGCTGCATGACCCTCTTCTGCATCGCAATCACCGCATTGACGCTCGCATACCTCTACAACTTCCTCAATTGCCGCCAGATCTTGTTTGGAGACTTGCTGTGAGTCTCTGAAGAATCCCAGCAATCCCATTTTTTGTATTTGATGATTTAACGATGGTATTCTACCTATCAGTCGTAGTGAGCTTAGCTTGATCGTGATCAAAAAATGGGGCAGAGAGACGGAATTGACAAGATATTCGCAGTACAAATGATACAGAAATGCGACAGATCAAGAAACGCTCTTCCAAGACGTTTTCGAGGTGCTACATATATATGCTGGTTTTTTATAGATTTGTATAGCGAGATTGTATAAGAATTATATATACAGATGGGTTTTTTGATGGGATTATAATGATTTTTTCCACTAGGGCTTAAATTACACACTTAGTATGCGAAAATCGTTAGGATTTTTTTAATCCCTTTGTCCGAATAAACTCCGCGCTTATCTCCGGTCCCAAATCCGGTCACGTGACCTTTCGGACTTTTTTCCAAAAAATCCTCAAAAACGCATAATGTTTTGTTCCATTTAAACGCATATATTCACACGCCTCTTAAATGCATAGTCATGTGACCTCTGTTAGAAAAAATCGGGTATCGCGTGACTCACGCGGGTTTTGGCGTATTTCGCATATTTTCCAATTTTCTCTCTCTCTCTCTCTCTCTCTTTTCTCTGCGTATAGTGTGACACCATCGGATGTCCTAATTTCCAACCTCCAGTAATATTAGTCAAATATCAACTTCAGAGTCAAAACTCCGCTAGACCATCGCTGTTTGATATATTCCACCAGTATTCTCATTATAAGTACTACACCATCGGTTAAAAGCTCTTTGGAAGTTTCGGGTCCTTTTTTTCCACGCGCTAAAACGTTGATTTTTGACACATTTCAAGCTTCTTCTCCAGACATTGACCCCACACACAGCAGTTTGTGACAATGGACCCCTTCACGCAACAATTGGCTCCCAAAATTAGAAAGCGGGTTCCCAAAGCATGCGACCACTGTCGCAAACGGAAGATTCGCTGCGGTGTTGTCAACTCAACAACAGGCATGTGCGACAATTGTGTGAAATTTGGCGTTCCCTGTACTTTCAAACACCATCATGAAATGGAACGACAACGGCTGGTTCAAGGTTTCGATCTTGAAAAGCCACGGGTCTCTAACGGCGGGGTGAAAAAACCGCGGAAAAATAGCGACTCTTTCTCCAAACCAGACTTGAACACTCTGTCAGAGACCGCCAACCCAAATTCGCCGCTCCAAACCCTGGAAAACAAGCTGGAGGCCTTAGAATCTCAAATAGGCGTTCTGTTGAAACTTCTAACAAATCAAAACTCTACTAGCTCTTCAAAGTTCCAGGATCAGACTGCGTCGTTCCAAAGCGCGGAACAACGGAGGGACGCTCAACTACCAGGTTTGCTCGACGTGTCACCTTATCCCAAGCCAAAACGCTATAAATCGTCTCTGATAACCAAAAGACGGATCGCATGGCTCCGCAACCGAGCCAAATTATGCTACGGCCAGAATCAGACCAATCCAGTGCCCGGTGCAGAGGTGCCAGTGATAACGTCTTTCACGCCTTTAATGGACGTTTTCGTTGTATCCTCCAAATGGTATGTGGCAGAGGTGAAGAAGCTAATTGACTATTCTAACCCTTTTGTTCCCGTAACTGGATCACAACTCTATCCGCTACCCCCGCAGCAGGTAGTCCAAAAAATGGTCCAACTGTGCGATTATCGCATTTTTCAAGGCGCTCTCAGCATCGTGGGCTACAGTGAATTGGATACCATAGTCAGTCGATGCTATGCTGGCGAAAAGCTTTCGTATTCTGAACTTCTTCTCATCGACATCTGGATATGCGTCTGCACAGCTTATGATGTTAGTGGAACAGATGACTATTACTTGAAGCAACCGAGTTCAGAGATGCATATTCGTGAGAGCCACATGCTCCTCAACTCCATGTATCAATATCACAAGGTATCGCTGATCAGCGAAGGTTTCCGTTCGGTTCAGGCGCTCCTTTTGCTGTACCAATATGTGCAAACCAAAATTAGTGCAAATGTTGCATACAGCATCTTCTGCGTTGCTCAAAGGTATGCTCAAGATGTGGGACTTCACAAACGTAAGACGTATGAAGGCTTGAGTTTTGAAGAATCATGGTTGAAACTCAAGATGTGGTATATGTGTGTCACCATCGATGCACATCTGTCCCTGGCGTTTTGCAGAGCTCCTTTGATAAACATTGAAGAAAGCGATGTCTTCACAGAAGCCTTTTATGCCGATTTTATCAAATGCCATGACCTTGCTCGCAATGCTACCACTGAAATGGAACCTTCAGATCATGGAAGTCTCAAGCACTCAATCTCAATTCTTTTGACAAGCCCCGACACCCTCCTTATTGGAGGATGTTATTATGGGATACAGCTGAGTCAAATATCTGGTAGAATATACAGAGATCTCTTAGGACCCGACGTTATGTCCAAGAACACATTTGATGCAGTCCTTCGACGCGCTCTCTCAATTCTCAATGACTTGAAGGAGTGGGAAAAGTCTTTACCTGAAGAGTTGTCGCTTGAATATTATGAAAAGCACATCGAAAACCTTCATCACTCGCATCAGAATCCGGATCTTGAGATTACGGACGTGCATTTAGGAATACTCTCTACAAGCGTTCTGTCCTTTCATTTTGAACGCTTGTACCTAACGATATTGGTGTGTCAAATGATGTCTTCCTTCATAACAGATAACACTGACATACATTCGCGTTCGGCGTTCAACGTTGAGCTGCTACAGCAAAGAGCGCTCAAAGATCTGCGTTCTTCTGCCATGCAGCTCATATCAATATGGCCCCGTATCAAGTTCGTTCCTCATATGCTGCAGAGAATGTTTTATATCTTGAGCGTTGGTGCATATGGTCTCCTTCTGACGTCGATTGGGCTGGCGCAAGAAGAGGACACGGCAAAATACATTGCTGCCCTGTGCGATGTGTACACGTACTTGTGCGATGAAGGTGACTCAAAGCTTTTGATAGATAACATCAAATGGAATGTTTCGATGTTCATTTACACCTTCCTGCTGACGCTGGCGATTCAATGTTTCAACAGCATGTGCCCTCAGGCCAGCAACTACAATTTCACTACGGACTCGATCACCAACAAATTCCCGTTTTGGATGGATCGGTGTGAGCAAAACAAAGTCGTCGCTGTCAATCAATTACGCGAACACTTGAATATCTTCGCACCCTCTGTCGACTTACCTGATGGTGCCGAAAACGATGACTTAGCCTTAGAACGAATGCGTAAGGAATCGGATTTTCCCAGGGCATTCCATCTTTTCAGTGAAGTCAACGTCGGCGATTTCAAGTGCCTTTTGTCATCGCTTCCCATCCAGATAGTGTCTAGAGACACTGCCGCATCATCCACTGCACCGCAAGGTGTGGAAGACAAGGGTGCACCAGCAAATTTCTCTCAAGAAATGCCAGAAGTTGGGACTGGTCTACTGAATGGCTTTGATGGGGCATTCGGGCTGGATTTCAGTCCTAACGATTTTAATCAAGTTTCGGGAGCCACCTTTTCAAGTGACCAGACAGAGTTTGAAAACGCTCTGGACAACTTACTATTTGAGAGGGACTTCGCCTTCCCGGCCATGATGTGAATGATTGGTGGCCATCAGTCATCATTATATTTCCATAGACTATATATAAGAGACAGCGTCACGGGCAGCCTGTCGTCGTGTACTTTCGTTACATCATTAAAAGCCTTCAAGAAGCAGCAAACAGTAAGGATCAACTATGCAAAACTACTTGACATTCTCACGGAACCCTGGAATAGACACTGCAAATGGCTCATCTCTGAATCGCTTCGGATTTTCGAGACCATACTGGGTCAAAGAGGCGATGTCTTGCTTAGTCAAAGGCACAAATTCGATGTTAGAGACAATGTTCTTTGGATTGACCGAGCGAGGGACGACCACTTGTCCTTGTCTGATGTTGTAAGCTAAAAGGACATCGTTTGGAGTACAGGAGTACTTGTCAGCAAGAGCCTGGAAACTCTGGTTGTCCTTCAAAGGGGAACCAGTGGCACCGAAAGGAGAGTAGGATTCCAAGATGATTCCATGCGCTTGACAAAATTCACGTAGTTCCACTTGTGGCAGCTGAGGATGGATTTCCACTTGGTTCAGGGCTGGAACCACAGTGCACTCCTTCATCAGTCTCTGCAAGTACTCGACTGGGTAGTTTGATACCCCGATGGCCTTAAAACGAGGGTCTTTGTTCAAGTGCATTTTTTCCAGCTGTTTGTATGTGTCTAAGTAGTCTCCTTTTGGGTTGATGTTAGGAGAGCCATCTTCATGTGTAGGGTTTCTTGTTATCCCATCTACACCGTTCTTGTCTTCAACTCTGTTGAAGCATAGGGGCCAGTGTTGAAGCACAAGATCGACATGGTCCACTCCTAGGTTTTCCAAAGAACGATTTATGGAATCGGATGCAATATCCCAGTGAGTTGGCCACACCTTGGTTGTAATGAAAATATCTTCTCTCTTAATAGCACCTTCATCAAAAAGTTCTTTCAAAGCTTCACCAATGCGGTCTTCGCATTGGTATGCCCATGCCGTGTCAATTAGTCTGTATCCCGATTTAATCGCAGCCTTGATGGCTTGTTTTGTCTGTGGGATTTGTTCGACTTCATTGGCCGTTCCCAGACCCAAGGCTGGTATCTTTGCTCTGGTATTCAGCTCAAAGTAGATTTCTGTGTTCTTGGGGTGTAGCATTGTTGGTTATAGGGTTTGATTTCTCTTGGATTCTAGATCTGTAATCGTTCTTCGATCATTCTAACCTATCTTATATCCATTCAGAGTGCGTCTGCCCATCCTTGACTCTTTTATAACATTACTTGTTCCAACCGCAAACAACGTTGCTTTACCACGGACTGATCGGCAAAAGAATACTTTGCGTTAACACAATGAATGTGTCAACAACTTTGCTCATGTCATGGGACTCACTTTGCACTAACCGCAATTCACGGTTGACGATGAGGGTTTGTCTGGCGTGAGTTGTTGCTTCTACGGTTGAAGGAAATGCCACGATTAGCAACGCTGCACCCCTTCAATTGACAGCAGTGTCCATAACTGGTTTGCCCCGCAGCACTTTGACTTGGTAGTGAAGCTTTGCTATGCTGTTCAACGCTTGAACCAAACCTTCGTGCGAATCCTTTGAAGGACGAAAAAGTTACCGGGACAACGCAAGTCCAAATACCTTTCGAAGGGCTTGACATTGAAGCATGTTAACGTATGTGACTTGAGATGGTCGGGCTACCATTACAACAAGACAACACGGCCGTTTCGTTTGTCTGCATTATTTTATCACATCAACAGTTGTGAAATTTCTTTGACAAATTTGTTGTCGGAATAAGCAGACGTTGAAGTCACCTTTTTCAAAAGCTGTAGTATTTTCTCTTGGCTTTGCTCCTCAGTGATGGCATCTTCGAGCCCTCCATCACGCACGTCTTTCACCCATTCTTTTAGTAGCGTTTTCAGAACTTGAGTGCCCTCTGCTATCTCGTCAGAAGTGCATTTTTGCTTTTTGAGCGTCTGAGAGTCCTGTTTGAGTTCTTCGAGTTCGGCAGCCTTGCGCTTCGCCATGGAAACAATCTTGGTGGGGAACTGGACGACTTCGGCAACATGAATACCGAAAGACTGATCCGAAATACCCGGCTCGACTTTGTATAGCAGTGTAATATCGTCCGCAGAATGAGAGCCGGCGTTCATGTCTTCGATATGGGCTATGACATGCATGTTCTGAACCGTGGGAACCTCGTCGGCCAGTAATGTGAGCTCGTGGAAATGTGTTGCGAATAGTGCAAAGCATTTGATTTTAGTGGCAATGTGCTCGGATATCGCCCATGCAAGACCAAACCCATCGTACGTACTCGTTCCTCTCCCCAACTCGTCAGCAATAATCAGCGAGTTCTGCGTAGCGTTCTTGAGAATCGAGGCCGTTTCCAGCATCTCCACCATGAATGTCGAAACACCTTTCAGCTGCGAGTCTCCAGCTCCTACACGGCACAGAACCGCGTCCACCACCGCAATCTCCGCTGTGTCACAAGGAACAAAACATCCTATCTGAGCCATCAGTGAAATGACTCCAACTTGACGAATGTAAGTAGACTTACCGCCCATATTGGGCCCCGTTATGATAAGGAATTCGTTCTTGCCACTTTCTAAGCGAACGTCATTCGAAATGAACGCTACGTCGTCCTGAACTTCCAAAACAGGGTGTCTTGACGCGATGAGTTCAGTCTTCCGTTCTGTTCCAAGTCCGTGCATTGTAGGCCTGACGTAGGGAATTGGAGCATACGACGACACATGAGCGAATGAGCTCAGTACATCTAGTTTGGCCAGCACGATTGATAGTTTTTCCAGGACGGGAGTGTAGGTAAGTGTTATCTGAACAATCTCTTTCACCAGATCATACTGCAACCTGTCATATTCTTTTTGTAAAAGGGCTGTCTGTTCGGATATTTGTTTCAGCTCTTTGGTGCTAAAGTAAATACCTGCTTTTACTGTCGTGAGCTCCAGGAATTTCTTGTGTTGACGAAGCTCCTTACCATCGTTTCTTGTCAGCCTCATACACCAGCCATGAATATGATGGTTCTCCAATTTAAGCTTCTTTTCAGGATCAAAACCCAACTCATCGGCAGCGTCAAGATGAATTGTCTTGATCTTATCCTTCAGATCGTCAAGATCAATGCGAATCTTCGCCAAATCTTCGTTGAAATCTACCTTGATCATGAATTCGTTCGTAGACTCGTAGGCATCCAAATCAACAGTAGACTCCACCATTTCTTGGAATTTGTCAAGAGGAGCCAAATGCTCAGTTAAAGGTTTTTGCCAAGTATTTAGGACTAGGAGTTTGATCGACGATTCATCAGTGACGTCCTTCAAATAATCATCTAATACTTGCGATATCTCGGGAACTTTCCTGGCAAATTGATAAATCTTGAGGACATCTTCGAGGTTCCCGTTCCTTATCAATTTCTTGGTCAGTCTCCTTACATCCGGGACTAGTGGAAGGTAATCAGTCTGCAAAACTTGCCTTAACTCAAGCTGGTCGCTCAAGAAATCTACCAGATCGTGTCTTTTTTCGATTTCTTCGACATCAGTTAGAGGCTGCTTGAGCCATTCATTCAACAGCCTGACGCCCGCATTGGTCTTGCATTTGTTCAGCAGCTGGAACACGCTACTTATTCTGGGCCCGCTCCCGAGTGTTCCGTGGCTCACGGGCATGCTGCTCGACCCAAGGGTATTCTCAGAAAACACGTTGAGTGCTTTTAGCGCCGATGCATCTAGTTTCATGAATTCATTGAGTGAATGTTGCACCAGTTCAAATTTGCCCATTTGCGATTCATCACTCATAATTTGCAAATACCCCAAGAGGGCGTTGCACGACCCAAGTGCCAAGTTGGAAAATTTCATTAATGACATGGAAAGCTCGTCACCGACTAGTTTTACCAGTTCTAGTTCAACATCCTTATGATTGAAATCTGAACTCTTGATAAAAGTTGAGACACAACCACAACGGTCCAAAACTCCCACCATTTTTTTCAGTTCGTTGGAGATGGTTTCATTTGTTCTCTGATCGGGAAGAAGACACTCTTTGACCCCCATCTGAATCAAAAAACTCTCCAAATTAGAGAAAACCTCGTTGTCAACAATATCTAGCATGCCCAGTTTGTAAGAACCACTGTCAATGAATGATACACCCAGCACACAGTTGCCTTCTTGTGCGTTAGGTTGAATTTTGATGCTTGCCAAAACGATTGCAGAATCGAACGAGATATTCATAAGATCGTCTACCTGATCGATGTTACCGGGCGAACCGCTTCTGAGCAATTTCCAAGACTTGTCGTAAATCTCCACCTTCATCCCCTGTTCCAGTAGACAGAGCTTCAAAAGGCCTGCAAGGACCTGAGACGAGATCGTAACGTACTTGAGAGGCTCATGGATGGATTTGGCTGTTCCTGGGTCAATTCTGCAGTCCTTCAACACCGAGTTCGTATGATATACATTTTCGGCCACGAATATAGCATCGTGCCCTACCACGGTGTAGTATTCACCTTTATCGACAACTCTGATTGTTTGAGATGGTTTCTCAGGTAGCGTTGAAAACCTTCTGTAAAACCCTCTCTCTTCAGAAGCATCTGAAAACTTCAATTCTGGACGTGTTGAGGACATTTTTCCTCGTCTACTGAGAAGATATCAAGAGATTTGAGCAAAGTAAGTGCAGCTTTGTGAGTGAATGGGGTTTAACTTGAGATCAGCTTGACAAACGCGTAAACCGATGGTTTAATTTTGATATTATATAAACGGGCTAATTTGAATTACGCGTTTACGTGTATGGTGATGACTGTGGTCAGATGACTATTATTTTACTGACGCTCTCAACCTATGAACAACTGTATTCCTGATGCTGTGTTTTTATCTGCTTTTTGAAGGTTTTGTAATGATCTTGTCAATCCTTAGTGATCTTTGGAGCCACCCAGAAATCTACGCTTTTTTTCGTTTGATTTTGTCTTGTTTTTCTTTAGGTGTCTAACCAAGACTCATCGGTCCGTTCTAATTCAATCAAATGAGTCCATTTTGAAAGTTTCAACGCATTCGATCCATTGCTGCATCGTGCAGTTCCAGTCTCGAGGGATTCAATTGAATCATTTCGAAAATTCTGGGTTGTTGTTTTGTTTCAAACGAAAATCTATGTTTTCTCAACATGTAGAGTTGCCTCAAAGTAAGTCTATGAGAACGTACTGCAACCGGTGTTTAATCTCATGGATCAGAATTTCAACACTCATGCCAGCTTTTCTGCGGCCTGGCTGACGCTGGACCCGTAAAATTGAAAACAAATCCCATATCATAGTGTCTTTTGCTGACGGAAGGACAGGTTCCTATCGAACAAGAAGGAAAAGCACCTAACAAGACACCTGGAAAAGGACGCAACAACAGCTACCAGATTTTGAAAAGTTTCAATGTTGGAAAGAAGTACATCAGAAAAATTTGTAAATAAATGTGTCCGAAAGTGAAGAAATTATGTGGCCTTAAAAAGCCTCTTTTATTTTTTACTGTCACGGAGCTAGCGCCCAACGCCCTGTGTCCTAGCTTCCACCTTGGCTTGGGGCTTAGAGTCCTTTTTCAAACTATCGATTCTATGATCTTGTTTGGCTATCAAAGTTCTTTGGGACTTGCAATCTTGCAGTAATCTCGCGATATACTCCTCATGATCGTGTTCTTTTTGACGCAGCCCTCTCAGCTGCTGCGACAGAAATCTGTTCGATCGCATGTAGGAAACATACTTGGCGAAAATCTGGTCCAGGAGGTTTGTCTTGGCAAAATGACGATAAAAATCAGCGACTTGATCCCGCTCGCGAATAGCTTGCTGTTTCCATTGGTCTTTATAAACCCCATTCGCTCCTTGCAAAAGAGCGCAGGTGAATAATTGGTTAGAGCTGATAGATTCCAGATACGCGTCACACTGTTGCAGAGTTTCTTCACATAGCGCATTCTTAAAGGACATCATTATCTGAGCCATAAACTGCAACGATTCCGTTTTGTGGCAGTTCAGAAGTTCCAGTTGGCCCTGTGCTAGTTCAAGCTCTCGCCGACACTCTTCCAACTTGAGATGTTCTCGACGACAGTCTGACCCAAGCTTCTTGTTGGCACTTGTAGCCTTTTTAGCAAGACGGTTGCTGTCACAAAAACTTTTCTCAAGACGATCGTGAGATTGCTGAAGCTCTCTCGCTTTAAGGTCATTTTCGGAAATGATTCCAATCAGTTCATGAATTTTGTCTCTTGAAGCGGCCTCCTGCTGAGCTAAATCTTGATAGCTATTCTGTACTTGAGCATGTTCAAATTGCAACTTCTCGTGATCTTTTCGCAGATTCTGTAACTTACTCTCCTCAGCTTCGCGTAGCTTTTTCTCTTCGGCCAATTTAAGCTTCATGGTGCGATCTATTTCAACAACCTCTTCATTACGAGCATCAAGCTCAGCTTTGAACGTGTTCATTTCTTTGGTACTTTCAGAGATTTCATTGCGAGCGTCCACCAGCTCAGCTTTTGTAAGCTTCAAATCTTTCCGGCAGTTGTAAAGATCGCTAATACTGTCCTCGTACTTCTCGCGAAGTAGGGACAGCTCGGATTCGAGTTCGATGATTTGATCTGCTGATTCTACTGTTTTTTCTGGGCAATTTTCAGACTTGACATCAGTCGTTGTTGGCGTCGCAGAATTACCGCGTTGCGCCTCATCTGCCGAAAGCTCAGCCAATACCAAAACCGCTCTTGTATAATCTTCAAGCGTGCTTAAATCGGAAGAGCTGCGGGAAGGCTTGTTGAGCAGGCGTATTGTACTCAGCAAGTTGAAGTATGTTTTTGAGTTCTTATTGACTTGCAAGTGATCAAACTGTTCTTCTACGGTAACGTAGTCCTCTGTCGTTCGGTAAACGTCCTTGTATTGCATATTCATCTTTTTAGATGAAGTCTTGGTAAAGGCAGAGACCTCATCGACAGGTGTCAATGGAGAAGGGGCCTGTGACAAATTGCTGCTAACACCATCCATATTTGAATACCTTGATAGCCCTAGTTCATCGAGTCCTTCGTCCGATGCCTCGCTTTCGGAGTTATCGCCTTCATTGTTCTTTCTGAACAACTCTTTTACTCCATCAAACTTTGCTAGTGTGTTTGCGACACTACTTGCGTTTTTTGTGTTCAATAAAGCCTCGAGGTCTTCAATCGTTTCTCCCGTAGTTTCACCAAACACTTCGCTTTCTTCAAAGTCTCCTGTTTGTTTCGCAAAAACGGTTCCGATGTTTGCGTCACACCCATGCACTCCACTGGGTGCGTCTTCTAAATGATTTTCTTTAAATCTACCGGCATTCCTTCTGTGCTGGCGCGATCTCCAGGACCTCCAAAACTTGCTTGAGCTCGTTGAGCTGGACGGACGACCTCCATTAGTTTCCGAAGTGTCAGAATCCTCTTGAAAATCGGGTGCTTCCAACTCAGAGCGGTCATGAGTAGCAGACTGTTCGGATTGGCTGGCAGCACGATGGTCACTTCTCCGAAAAAATGAACTTATCCCTCTCTTGAAAGGAGATTCGCTTTTGTGAACCTTTTTCGTTTCAGTCGAGTGAGGATCAGTAATATCCGCACTTTGAGGCCTCTCGGAGAGGAAGCAAGTTCTTTCAGCCATCTCATCACTCAAGTCATCAATTTCGTTTTCATCAGACGAAGTTATCTCGCTGTCATCGCGAATGTGATAGTTCTGCAAATTGTACGGATCGGCTTTGTCTGAAAGGGATACTTGCACGTCGTTCGAACGATAAGTCCTGTTAGCAAGTAGTGGCATGCTTGCAAGTAATGCTTTTTACTGGTCACTCCAAACACTGTAATATCAGGATTTCTTGATGTCCTATGCTGAAAATATGTGATGGACAGACCTTTCCGGGGAGCAGATCTGGAAAGACAAGTTTGTGAAGATGTATTTTTTGTTCTGAAAGGTAACTTTGATCCCTTCGGAACTCAACTTAACTTAGTGTCGCTGACGCGACGCTTTGCTTGGTCCAGATGAATTTGATACGACGGAATTTTATTAAAACGCTGGAGCAGGAGGAAAGAACACTATTATTGCCGATTTGGGCCACTATACATGGCGTGGAGTCATGAACGGGATGTCAGTTCGACTATTTGCACGAATTTATGAAGTTGGCTACACGACAACTCCTGTAGGGATGGCACCATTTTTCTTGAAAAAGAAAAACTGCAAAAAGATGACGAAATCCATGAGCAGTGTGCCACTGCTGCCAACCAGCCACGACGCATTAACCAACAAATAACGCGGTTCGACAGAGATGCTCAAAACAGATATGATAAAAGTAATATTGCCAATGCATGCGAAAAGGAAAAACAGGAAAGAAATGCCCTCGCAGGATTTGCGTTTGAAGTTGAGCAGAATCTGAGGGACACGCGAAGCCAGATATAGAACGGCACTTAGATAGCCAAAGAACTGGGCGAGCCAGTTCATGTGCAAATCTGGCTCTGAAGGTATGGCATTTGGGTCTTTCAAATACGAGATGTACCAGGATAAAAACCCCGCTAGAAACACCGCGATTATCAGCACGGCATTCGTGATGTATGTCTTATTACGATTTTCCGCGGCGCTAGCATCGGCAACATCGGACTGGCCAGTTGCTGACCTTGAAGAAGCACCTGTGGAACTAGACTGGGCTGTGGCAGCATGGTGATGGTGATGGTGCCTTTTATTGTCCTGCAAAAGTGGCTGGTGTTCATGAAAGACGTCCTCGAGGACTCTCTCGTTGATTGGGTTGGCTGGCGACAGATGCACTGCGTCCACTTTGTTTTCACTTCCGTAGAACAGACACTGTGCCAAAAGCACAATATCTGCCAGAGTGTAGTATGCTGCCAAAATAATCATCGTTGGCAGTAAGTTCTGCATCACAGCACCAAGGACGTTAAAAACGTCGCCCAGTAGCCAGAGAACTACGAACAGCACCGAGAGCCCTTCTGCTGAGCTGCGGTAGAAATTTTCGTAGATTTGCGGAACAAAAACGATGATCCAACATGCAATAGAAATGGAGCCTGTAATTCCGCTCACAGACTGTGAGTTCAATACAATAGGTACCATTTTGAACTGTAAAAACTGGATGTCAAAACTCAGCTTATTCTGGGATTTGAGTCACAAAAATTATATGCTCTTGGAGCCTGAATGAAATTGCAAACTATGAGCTTTAGTTTGGCCTGGTTTGGAGCTGAAATCAGCGGCTTTCGACTCTTTTTAGTTGTTCGGAAGTCCAGCGAGATGGCTTTAAAGTGTCAGTCATCCTATAAGTTAGGAAAAACTTTCATAGTCCGATCACCAAAGGAATCGACTAAATAATCAAGTGGATAATCAAGTGGATGACTTTGCCAAGAGTGTCAGTTGTGACAATCTGCTAACGACGCAATGTGCTGAAGGCTCCCGGCGGCCTGTTTATTTGAACTACTATTTTTCGTCAAAGAATGAAAGGTATTGCAAGTTTCTTCTTCTTGGATTGAATTGTGACATCACAGTATATTTGGCTTTTGATATGCGACAGAATTTATTTTTTACGCGGGCAGAATGCCTTCAAGGCCTTAAGTGTGAATTCTCGAGTCCCTGTGCGTTGAAATCATGAGTTTTGGTATATATTGTCATTTTCTTTTTGTTAAAGTTGAAGTTGGAACTACTTAGACGCATTGTATCGATTTCAACCCTCTAAATTCTATTTCAAGGTAATTTTCAAACGAAGGTCAGGACATGTCCTCTGAGCCAAATACGGAATAGCTCGGAATCAATGTCGATTTTTCACTTTTCAGGAACATCAACCACCGCTTCAATAGCGGAAGACCCATCGATGCTCTCTTCGCGACTATGTTCGCCGTCAGTTATGCCTTTTTCAGTGCCACCTGCTTCGGAGCTATCATCCTCCAGCTTCTTGGTCACTTCTTCCAGCTTACGAGCCGGGAGAATGGCCTCGAACGCTTCCTTCCAGTCCCGGTTGTCAAAATACCGAAGCATCAGCTGGATCACGTGCGTCGATGTAAGCACTTCTCGGCCCGTTAGATTGACGTACTGTGCCAGAGGCAGCTTTCGAGTAGGGATCCCGAGCTCACGCGCCTTATTATAGCATAGCAACTTGTGTCTGTTCTTATCGACTATGCCTCCGACAATGTAGGTCGTGCCAGGTTCCAGACTCTCGAGAGTTTCGTCAGTGTCTGCCGTCAAATACACGGTATTTTCCACTGGAAGCTGTGGGTCCTCGCAAAACTCGAAGTTCTTCCAATCGTAGAAGCGTGAATCCTTTAGGTCTCGCTCAAAACGCTCTTTGAGTCGCTTGTCGAAGCTCGTCACGGTCACGTGCGCGTGGTGGTTCTCGCGCTTGTTGAAGCTGTACGCACGCGTAATCTGGTTACTGAGACTGATCACCTCCTTTTCGTTCATGAGGTCATCGAAGGCACAGTCAATGACTATTTTGATACCGGAATCAAGCTGCGCTGTGTTTTTGCGAGGTTTGCGGCACAATTCCTCCGGGACTTCCTCACCGCGTTCTTTGTATTCCTGTATTTTGGCACGCCTGGTCAGTTTGGCTCGTATCTTCTTCTCGCGTCTTTTTTGCGAGAATTCGTCTTTCGTCTCTTCCCACCTTTTTCTTCTCCAGACTTTCTTCCATTGAGATTTCGACATTCCCTCTGGCACTGGTGGGAGCGGATGAGGTGTGTAATTTTTAGCTATTTCTTGGCCGTTTGGTGGCTGGCTGGTCTCACTACCTGAAACATCTTTCTCTGAAGCTTCACTACTCATAATAAACAGGCTCGCGGGTCAGTGTTGAGCTTTAAGATGTCTTGATTTAGCTCATCGCTTCTCAGCTCATCGCCTCGAAGTTCCAAAATTTTTCAAATTAAAGACAGGATAAATACTACAGTAAAGCGAACAACTACTCAAAGAAGCTTTTGAGTCAAGACTGCGAGCTAGGTAGTGTCTTAAAGGATCTGCCACCTGTATATTCGAAAAGAGCGCATTCGAAAGTTATGCCAACCGAGCCATTGAAGCTGGAACTGCCATGGGTAGAGAAATATAGACCGCAACTGTTGAAGGATATCGTGGGCAATGAAGAGACAGTTCTGCGACTGCAGCAGATTGCCCAAGACGGGAACATGCCCCACGTCATTATCAGCGGACTTCCAGGAATAGGTAAAACCACATCTGTGAGTTGCTTGGCTCACGAACTGCTGGGAGATGCGTACTCACAAGCAGTGCTGGAACTCAACGCCTCTGACGACAGAGGTATTGACGTGGTCAGAAATCAAATCAAGCACTTTGCCCAGAAAAAATGCAGTCTTCCACCGGGACGCCACAAGATTGTGATTCTGGATGAGGCAGACTCAATGACCGCAGGTGCCCAACAGGCCCTGAGACGCACCATGGAGTTGTATTCCAACACAACACGTTTTGCATTTGCCTGCAACCAGTCGAACAAGATTATCGAACCTTTGCAAAGTCGTTGTGCTATTCTGCGCTACTCCAAGTTGCAAGACAACGAGGTGCTCAAACGTCTTTTAGAGGTGATCGAAGCCGAGAACGTGCAGTACACTAACGACGGACTGGAAGCCATCATATTCACTGCAGAAGGTGACATGCGTCAAGCTCTGAATAATCTGCAGAGCACTGTTGCCGGTTACGGGCTCGTCAACGGTGAAAACGTGTTCAAGATCGTCGATTCGCCCCATCCACTAATTGTCAAGAAAATGCTACTTGCAGAAACACTAGATACCTCGCTGGATCTGCTCCAGGATCTTTGGAAAAAAGGCTACTCCGCGGTGGACATTGTTACAACCTGTTTCCGTGTTACTAAAAACTTGGAAGAGGTAAAAGAAGGCATTAGGCTCGAGATGATCCGCGAAATTGGGTTTGCGCATATGCGCGTTCTCGAAGGCGTGGGCACTTACTTGCAACTTGCGGGCATGTTGGCGAGAATATGTAAAGTGAGAAGTAGTTGAAAAGGTGCTGACAAGAACTATTGAAGTCTACAAAGTCAAAAGCTTGACTCTATTCTCCGTACGTTTCCATTTTATCGTCTTTTTCATATATGTTAAATATCGATTATGGTGATGGTAATGAATTTGACTTAAATTGAAGGAAATGAAAGTAACGTATTTCAACTACCTCAAAAGCGTCGATATCTAACCTTATGGAGGCCTTGCAAGCCATCATTGGCACCGAGATCCCATCCTATGAGCCCAATTCAACTGAAGATCTATATGAGGACTTTGTAGAGCACGCAAAGAACCCCAGATTTCGAGTTGACCGGTCTTCCACGTTGGCGCTACAAGAGCTTGAAAAGCAGTCAGAATCGATCAAGAAAGCCATTGAAACGTCAATCCCTCCATTACAGAAGTATTATGCGGATTTAAATGATAGGTTTAAAGCCCTGACGCACGATTTGAACTTGGTAAGGGGAAGATCATTAGAGCTCAACCAGCTGTTGACAAAAAACTCAAAGGATCTGGGAGAAATATCACCACTGGTCAATGACCTCATAATCTCCCCGGAGGTCATCACGCAGATTTCGCAGGGCAAAATCAACGACGCATGGGTAGAAAATATCGCTTATGTGCGGGATAAACAAGAGATCTATTCGAAATACATGGAGACCGGCCAAGAAGTACCCTCTGATTTTGCAGAGCTGAAACAGCTTTTGGCTATCTTAGAATCGATTATCATTGAGAGGAGTAAGCGTTTTATTGTCAGCAAAGTGAAACTTCTTCGCGACCAGCGCACTGTCCCTTCACAAAAGATTCAGAGACAACTACTGGATGTCAGAGAGATTTTCCAGTTTCTGTCAAAAAAAAACTACTCTCTGGCCTTGGAGCTTAGACAGGCGTACGCATATACAATGCGGTGGTACTACAAGCAATTTTTTGGCCGTTACATGCGGTCTTTGACGATATTGCAATTTCTGGCAATTGACTCGAATTACGCCTTGGGCCGCGGACTATCATCAACGCCCGTCTCGACAACGGACAGATTCACAAGCTATTTCAGTGGGAGCTACAGAGCCTCAGCACCGACAAATCAGATGATAAACGATTACTTCCAGATAGAAAAGCGGCTCTCGGTGTTGACCCAGGAGGATAACACTGTTATGGTGTCTCAAATAGCGGAAAACAACAATAGTCCCAACTACCTGGAAGTTGGCTTCAAAAATCTCAACCTGGCACTTCTAGATAATTGCACAGTGGAGTTCTCATTCATTACCGAATTCTTTCAAACAAGCGACAGCACGGAGGACCTGCGTGGTATATTGGAGCAGATTTTCCAGCCCACTTTTGACGAAGCCCTAGAATATACCAAACGTTTAATTGCTCCGAGCTACGATATGTTTGGAGTGCTCATAAGCATTTGGATATCCCATCATTTACAATTCGAATCTCAGAAACGACTTGTTCCAGTATTTGATGATTTTTTGAACGGGCAATTGATGTTGTTGTGGCCCAAATTCCAACAACTGGTTGACTTCCAGTGCGAGAGCCTTCGACAATTCCCAATCACGGTTTCGGGCAAAAGTCTTGCAGGCAGAAAGGGTGGAGAAACCGATCCTTCCGCTACTACGCATGAATTGACCGTTCAATTCTCCAAATTTCTGACCAGCATTCTGATGCTTTCCATGGAACATAAAGATAGTGTTGATGAAAGATCCGAGCCGCTTTACAACTCAATCATTCGCATCAGAAATGACTTCGAGACCATTATGACAAAGTGCAGTAAAAAGACCAAATATCCGGAGAGATTTTTGGCCCTGAACTACACGTATCTGCTGGATGCACTGCAGAAAAACTCGTTGAGCCAAGAAAAAAGAGAGCAGGAAGGATATCCACCTTCCTTGATCTTCCAAGAGACCAAGAGCCACCTGGAAGAACTGGTGAAGGCTTTCAGCACCATCACGTGATATACTCCGTGTACAGTGATTCGTTTTCAAGATGCTGTATCTTGACCATCTTCCTGAATCGATCTCATCTTAAGGTTTCTTCTCACTGATCTGAACTTCTTGGGTCAATAGGCCAGTGGTATTTTACTGTCCAATTGTTTATTGAATTGTTCAATGATACCTGGAGTTCCTTCTTCTTCATCATCATCACCCCACAGATTCCATCTGCGATGATCGAACCAACACCTTCTCAGCAGGATGTTATAATGAGCAAGTATGAGCCCGGAACCACTATCAAAGTGGTAGCTGGTCCAGGATCTGGTAAAACACTGACTCTTATGCTCAAGGTGAGGGAACTGGTTCTGAAAGGATCTGTGAAGCCCGACGAAATTCTCATTTTGTCTTTAACCAACAAAGCGGTAGATAACGCAACAGAGAAGCTTTCACAAGTATTTCAGGAAAATACCACACTTGGCATACAAGATGGATCTGTTGCTGACATTGTCTCACAGATTAATGTCTCAACTCTTCACGGCCTTGCCAATAGGGTGGTGGTTGAAAACGAGGGCTTGATCAATATAATCGAAGAAAATGGGTGGAGAAGTCTATTGAAGCTCATACCTCCAGCAATTCTGCGGAAATTGGGTCCCAATAAAGCAGGCGCTGCATTGACACCGAAGATGTTTGAACGGCTTTTTCGCAACTATCAAATCGCAGGTAAGTCAAAAACAAAAGATGCCACCATGGAGCGGATCATTAGTATTATGCGAGGGTCCAAAGTAGTGACAAACGATGAATTAATCGTGCTCGCCGCTAAGCATCTTGAGCAAGCTCGGAGCTCATCGATCGTGAAGCCATCGGATTCTTTCGCGCAAGATTTACTCGACAAATATAAAGTGATTGTTGTCGATGAGTTTCAAGATCTTTTCCCATCTCTTCTCCCATTTCTAGAAAGCATTTCCCGTGGTAAACAGCTCATCTTATTTGGAGACCCTCATCAAAGCATCTACGGTTTTCTAGGTAATAACAGAGCATTGATGCAATCATTGGAGAATTGTCGGTCCTCCCAAGGGCTCAAAACCTATCATCTAAGAGACAATTTTCGCAGTACGCCTGAAATATCGGGCTTTTCCTCTTCTTTGATATCTCCAGATGTTCCAGCTGCTCAGGGAAAATTTTACTCAAAGCCTCCGATGGGCCTGCAACCTCTAGCTATTCAAACAAATGATCCCAACGAAGAACTTGAGATTTTGATTAGAGAAATTTCGCGGATGGTCACCAGTTCAGCAAGATTTTCAGACATCGCCATCCTCGCTCGAACTAATGCTCAGGTAGGTACTGTGGCAGGTTGTCTAAAAGCATACGGGATACCGTTTGAGAAGCTTACTGCACAGCCAGATTGGATATCTGATAAAGGTGTCAAATTTTTGACCGATTTGATAAAGCTATGCGTACTTGTTGGTAAAGAAGAAAGACAGTCAGATGGGACCAATCAGCCCACGACCTTCAAGAGTGATTTCAGCGTCATTATTACCCTCAGCGCTTCCAAAGGCTTAAGCAATAATGCGCTACAAGCACTCTTTGCAGAAGCAAGGGAATCTAACATATCTCTATGGAATGTAATAGCGAATGGTAAGATCAGCTCGGTATCAGCAGCGAACAAAACAAAAATTCGCAACTTCGTCAACCATGTAAATACGTTAATGATCCAACTGAAGGCAAACCCTAATCCAGAACCAATCGCTTTGATAAGCACAGTGGCCGACACTGCATATAGGCTTGGGTTCCTTGCCGAGGGCATTAAGAGTTCAGACGCTGCTGATACTTTCAAAAGTCACATTGCAGAATGGCTTAAAGCTCTCAAGCTTTGTTCACTTTCGAAACCCGACAATGTACCTTCGATAGAATGGTTTTTGGAAACGCAATTCGACCAAAACCATGCGTCTAGCACAAGCTTAGTTTCGAATGGGAATCAAGATCTAGGGGCCGTCAAACTATCTACTATACATTCGTCGAAAGGCCTGGAATTTCCAATCGTATTTTTGCTGGGGAGCTCAAGTTCGGCGTATGCGATAGAAAAGAATGCACTTTACGTCGGTATCACAAGGGCCCGCAATATACTTTATATGAGCAACATCTCAGATGGGCTTTTGCCGAAACTTATTTCATGTAACGGAAACAGACATTGGAACAAGCAGATCTGGAGTTATTATAACTCAGATCTCAAGAGACCTTGCGTGATGAGTACAGCCAAAGGCCTCGACAATTTCACGTCTTTAACCAAAAAATACGGGCTCAACTCACCTTCAAGAACCTACTGCAATTTTGCTCTGCGTGCATCACATTCATTAAAATATATACTGAGGTAATTTCATTAGATCAGGCTTTGAAACCTTCTGGTACACCTTTTGCAGCCGGCTGCTTAACGTCCAAAAATATTCCACCACGCGCGAATCCATACCACTTAAATTGTGGCGCCGGTTGCTCTTCGGAGTTGCCTTCACCAATCGGATCTTGAAGTTCTTGCACAATCTTATAGGCCTCGACATCGGCATAAGGAACGCCGTTCTTAGGATCAAAATACTGGCAGTCCCGGTTGGTGATCAAGCATTTCTTTCGAACGCCGTTGGGTAAGATGACACCTGCAGGAGCAGGAGTTTTGATTTCAAGTTTGAATTTCGTGTCAGTTTCTTCTGCAACTTCAGTAGACAATTTTTTGTCGTATTCTCCAAATGCAGGGAAGCTCTCGAAGATTGAGGTGTCAGGGATTAAAGAAGAGCTGACATCCATCCATTCATCCTCATTTTGCTCATTGTAAATTTTAGCAACAGTTTCCACGTTATCGGAGCGGGAGTTTATTGGCTGAGCCCATTGAGATCCAAACAGAAAAGACCTTATATCATGGACCTTGGGGTTGTCTTCAGGATATGAATAAATGGTGACATAATTGCGACCAACTAATTGCTCGGGACCTTCGTAAACTTCAGAGGCTTCCGTCTCTTCTCCCGCATCATCAAATAACTCCTCAGAATTTTGTCGTGACGATTCCGCATCGGTGAGTTGCTCGCTGGACTTCGGTGTGTTTGTAGGTTGTGTCTGATCAAAGGTGTTATAGTCAGCTACTTCTGCGAAGGAAACCTGTTTTGATTGCGGTTCGCCTTCCGTATTGTTAGTGTCAACTGGTTGCGATGGTGATACTTGCTCTCGACCGATACCTGGTTTTGAAGCCTCTTGCTCTAAGTTGGTGCCTTCTGCTTTTCTCGAAAGTGCGCTCTCTTCCTGCGTTCCTTCAACCAAATTATTCGTTTCTAAATCTTTTTGGGTCTCCGTTGGTGGACTTGCTTCAACTTCTTCTTTCGCATCCTCCTGCTTTATTTCTGCACCGTCAGACGGCAGTTGTGACGATTCTTCTAAATTTGGTGATGAAATAGATGGAGTTTCTTGAGCGATACTTGTAAGCTCGTTTTTAACAGGCTCGGATTCATTTTCCGGAGTGGCTGCACTGGGCAACTCCTGTGGCTCGTCAATTACATTTTGGACCACTTGGGCATCATCAGCATTCCCATTTTCTGGGCTTTTTTTATCCGTCTCGTCATCCTTCTGTTTCTTCCTCCTGGTGTATTTTTTCTTCTTCTTGTGTCGCTTCCCTAGTTGTTGTTCCCAAAATTGGCGGTCTTCGATTTCCATGATGGGAGTAACCATCGCGGCCGCAGAATTCACCCGAAGCATCATTTCACCAACGTGAAACTTAGCCTTTTTCCGCAAGTTCATCGCAATTCGTGTCTCTTTCTTGAATATTTCTTCTTCCCTGAACTTTGTGAGACTTTGAGTGTTGATCAATTCCGTTTCCTCGGCCTGGAGAAGCCTGTCTTCTTGGGTAAGCTCCACATGGGCCATTTTGGCCTTGGTTTGTCGTAATCGATTCTGAATCTTTTCCCGCTTTTTCTCTGCCAACGCCAGTTTCTCATATATTTGTAGCTTATTCGCCACAACTGATGATCTTTTGGACGTTCTGCGGTTGTCCTGGAGCAAGCTATCCGCTTTTGGTTGATCATATTGCGGTTTCGGTACGTCCTCGTCTATCTTGACGCGTTTTCTCACCACCGGCGCACTGAATTTGCGAGCTTGTTTGCGTTTCTTACGTTCTTGTTGTTCAAGCTCCCTTTCTCCGGCCTCCTCGTCTTCTTCGCCGTCGCTTTCACTTTCCGATTCTGACAGTCGTTCATCCTCATCTTTACTACGTTTCACATCCGCCTTAAACTCCTCGTCGTCCTCGTCTTCTTGAAATAAAAGGTTGATCTCGTCATCGTCCAAATTTGCCGTTTTTTCTCGCATTTCTTCGCGCTCTTGGTCGATAAGTTTTTGCATTTTGTTACCGGCGTTCGACCGCCGTGCCCTGCTGCTCATGAGCAGCTCCTCGGAGTCTGACATGGCCAGTGGATTGTCCTTTGAGGCTTGTTGAGAAGTGTGTTCAGCTAGCGATGACTTTAACTTTGAACTTGAATTTAGAGGAATTGAAATATCCATAATTCGTGGATCGTGACTTGGATTCAGTCATGTGATAATCACACTTAACGTAGATGTCGTCTTCTACGGAAAATTCGATAAATCAATTATCACTAGCTAACCTATAATTCATGAAACTTCAGTCTTCGTAAGATCTGCAAAAGACAACCTTTGACCAGTCTCTACCAAGCCCTAAACCTCTTTATTATGCTCAGAAGTGCTACTCAGGGTTACTTGAAATCTGGTTTACGGGTTTGCGAACTTTCGACAAGTCTGGGCCGCACCAATCGTCATGGAAGACTGGCAATGTCTACTTCAACTTCGCAGGACGAAATGAAGCATTTTGGCGAACTAGCCCCGTCATGGTGGGATTCCTCGGGCCCGCAACGCATTCTGCATAAAATGAACCTAAAACGAATGGACTTTATACAAAAAACCCTTCAAAAACAGTATCAAGCGGGTCCAGAAACGTATGTGCCGGGATTTAATCACCAGGCGTTTTTGCCAAAACAAATCTCCACAGCGATCGAACAGGAATTAGATCAGGACATAAGCGCGCAATTGAATGGTCAAAAGCTGCAAGTGCTGGATGTTGGTTGCGGTGGAGGAATTCTAGCCGAATGCCTGGCTCGCCTGCCGTTCGTGTCAAAAGTGAAAGGCATCGACCTGACACCAGAATGCATTAAAATTGCCCAATTGCATGCCTCGAAGGACCCTGTTTTGGAAGGTAAGCTCAGCTATGATGTTCAACCGTTGGAAAAAGTGGAAGGCGTTTACGATTTAGTAACGTGTCTTGAAATGCTGGAGCATGTGGACCATCCTAGTGAAATCCTGCGACACGCCTGGAAAAAATTGAAAGTCGGTGGAACCCTCATTGTGAGCACAATCAACAGAGATCCCGTGTCATGGTTCACCACCATCTTCATGGCAGAGCAGGTCCTCAAACTGGTGCCTCGTGGCACGCACCACGTCTCCAAATACATAAACTCCGAAGAAATCGTTGAATGGTTCAAAGATGAATGCAAGGGTCAGCACGAGATTTTGGACTGCAAGGGCGTAATGTACGTACCGTTCAGCGGCTGGATAGAGCATGATCACTCGGGAGTAGGCAATTATTTCATGGCCATCAAGAAAATAGCCTAGTGGTGTTCCTTTCTCGGAAATGTTAATAATCTTGAAAATATGGCTACCCCTATGTACAACAAATACCAACCTCATCCGACCACCACGGTCTACGTAGCAGTCTCCAAGTTCCCGGTCTGTTCCTTGGCCGGCTCCTCGTCGACAAAATGGGGAATCGTGCCGGAAAGATAAGACGGCACCTCGCCTCCAATCTCACCTTCCAGACCCGCCATGTCACCTTGAAACATGGGATCTTCGCCCAGAGCCTCCAGCTCGGCGTCGAGCTCCGTTTCGCTGATATCATCGATGTCTTGGGCTCCACTGCCCATTGCAAGCACTTGTTGCAGCTCTTCTCCTTGCTCTACCAGATCGAGCATTTCGTCTTGCATGTCTTGCAATTTATCGACGTTAATCTTGCCGTATTGTGCCTTGAGAGCTTTGTTAGTTTGTTTCAATGCGTTAACTGTCACCATCGTGTTTCTGAGGTTGTCACTAGTCATTTGAGCCTGGTTCATCGACCACGATTGGGCATCAAGTGAATCCCTCATTGACTCTAGTTGCTTCCGCTTGTTGAGAAGCTTCAGAGCACGCTGACGCAATGGCCTCTGGCCACTGGTGGAGCTGATCGTCGATATTTTGCGTTGAATAGTTTGTAGCTGAGCGTTCAACTGTGCTATTTGAGTGTCCAGACCCGAAATTCGTTCTTGCATCGATTGTTGTGCTTCGTTCATGGCCTTGTTGGAATCCTGTAAAAGCTGGTCGTGAGCCTTGCGACCACCGTAGCCAAATATGCGGTTCATAGTGTCAGGAGAGCGTTCACAGAGGCCTGAGGTTCAAGAACTTGAAGTGAGCTGTCGTGATGGGCTTTATTTCATATTTGAATAATAATATTTACTGAATTTCATCTAGGAAGAGTGAGATCAATGCGATGCCACGAAGAAAGAATGGGAATAAGACTGTTAAGATGACTCCGAAAAGAGCTCAAGAAATTCCGAGCGTTTTGATTGTGCTGACTAGCACCAGTGGGCTTTTTTCCGGACCAAAAAGAAGCATTTTTCAGCAAGTACGGCTGAAAAAGGCAGAAATGAAGTTTTACTGACGCCAGATAAATCTTCCAATGCTGTAAGTGTTTTTTATGTGAGACCATTTTCCTTTATGGGGACTTTACCGGCCATTTCATCGAATGGCCTGTGGGTTGGGAACTCAACGCTTATAACAGACATGACAGTAACGCTAAATGATTTTTTTTCAGAAAGAAAAACAGATTGTACGGGATATAAACCCCAGTGAACTGACTGTGCTTATTCTTGCCGAATTTCTCAAATCATTCGCTTTCTCTCAGCTCTTCTCAACGCAAGCACACTGCCTTCGTCAGCAGAATATCATCTCTTTTTTTAAAATCCTGACAACTACTGCCCCAGGAATCGTGAAGCACTCAAAAAAATTGTGGAATGCTCCTTACAATTCCCTCGTTCGAACCAGTCTACTTTGTAACAATAAAAACAGCTCCTACCCATTGTCTTTCCTCAAAACATTGTTCTTATCCAACCTCATCGTTCTATCAGAGCTGTATTAATATTACTGAAAAATTTCGATGTCTAGCATCTTTCCAAGATATCTCGATAGTCATCGCCTATTCAACGCTAGGATTGTTGACAGACCAGAACGCTTTTGAACTATGTCTGCTGCTCAAACTGAAGAGGCTCTCCAAAATCTGTCTGTGAAAGAACAGAACATTACGCCATGGGATGTTGAAGGTGCTGTTGACGAAAACGGTCAGTCCCAAGACATCGACTATGACAAGCTAATCAAGCAGTTTGGTACCAAAGCAGTTTCGGACGAAACTTTGCAGAGATTTGAACAGGTCACTGGCCACAAACCTCATCACTTTCTTCGTAAAGGTCTTTTCTTCAGTGAGAGAGACTTCTCGAAGATTTTAGATCTTTACGAACAAGGCAAGCCATTTTTTCTCTATACTGGTAGAGGACCTTCTTCAGACTCGATGCATTTGGGACACATGATTCCTTTCCTCTTTACCAAATGGCTGCAGGACGTTTTCGACGTTCCTCTGGTCATCGAAATGACGGACGACGAGAAATTTCTGTTCAAACAGAAACTGACTATCGATGACGTTAAAGGATTTGCCCGTCAAAACGCCAGCGATATCATCTCTGTGGGGTTCAATCCAGAAAACACTTTTATCTTCTCAGATCTACAATACATGGGTGGTGGATTCTACGAGACGGTGGTAAGAGCCTCCAGGCAGATCACTGGGTCAACTGCTAAGGCAGTTTTTGGATTTACCGATTCGGACTGTATTGGAAAATTCCATTTTGCCTCTATCCAAATCGCTTCTGCGTTCCCATCGTCGTATCCTGACGTCTTGGGACTACCTAACAAGACTCCTTGTTTGATTCCCTGCGCAATTGACCAGGACCCATACTTTAGAGTTTGCAGAGATGTGGCAGAGAAGCTCAAGTTCAGCAAACCCTCTTTGTTGCATGCCAAGTTCTTCCCAGCTTTGCAGGGCTCTAGCACCAAGATGAGTGCCTCGGACGACACAACTGCGATTTTCATGACGGACACGCCCAAGCAGATCCAGAAAAAGATTAACAAGTATGCGTTTTCCGGCGGACAGGTGTCGATGGAAGACCATAGAAGGCTAGGAGGTAATCCCGATGTTGACGTCGCGTTCCAGTATTTGAGCTTTTTCAAAGATGACGACGCCTTTTTGAAGGAAGTTAGCGACAAATACAGATCTGGTGAGCTACTATCTGGTGAAATGAAGAAGCTATGTATTGACGTGCTGCAAGAATTTGTGCTTCAATTCCAAGAGCGCAAAGCCAAGGTCGATGATCAACTTGTGCAGCAGTTCATGAAGCCTCACAAGTTGGTGTGGGGCCAGAAGGAGAGACTTGTTCCTGTGAAGCCCAAGGAGAAGAAGTGAGTGATGAGAAAGTAGAGCACACGGCGGTGTCAGTTTTGCCACGATATTACTTATATACAGTGTTTTTCTTTCGTTTTGACCTACCTATAAAGTACTTGTGATAGACATTTATGGTTAACGAAGACCTCGATTTTATTCACTTTGACAGGTAGTTTTTGAGCGACTCGATCGTGATGATGTCGATACCGAATTTTTCCTTCATCTTTATGCAGTCGTCTAGTCTCATCATGAGTCCGTCTTCGTCTCTGACTAACTCACAGATAACGCCAACGGGAGCTTTGCCAGCAAGCTTACACAGGTCGACAGCTGCCTCGGTATGACCGTCTCGTTGCAAAACACCGTTGTCAACGGCTCTGAGGGGCACAATATGGCCCGGCTTCAAGAAATCTGAAGGTTTGGTCGAACCGTCTGCCAGCTTGCGGCAAGTTAGCGCCCGATCGTGTGCTGAGATACCTGTTGTTGTGCCGTCTGCAAAATCGCACGTTATTGTGTATGCGGTTCCATGACGGTCATCTCTAGACGATTTCACGTTCATTTCACGCATTAGAGGTAGATCGATGCGATCTGCAATGCTGTTACTCATAGGAGCACACACGTACCCGGAAGAATAGCGCACCAAAAACGCCATTTGCTCTTGGGTGATGTTTTCAGCTGCACAGATCAGATCTGCCTCATTTTCCCGGTCTTCATTGTCCAGAACCATCAGAAACTTGCCCTTCTTGAACGCTTCCAAAGCCTGCTCAATTGGTGTGAAATGAGAGAAACCACTGGACATTATGTAGAGGTAAATGGGTACAGACTAGATCTGACTATACAATGGGGAGTTTCTAATGCCTAATCGAACTTATGATGGCTAAACAAAGGAGCAATTGGTATTTTTGAAGTGATAGCGTTGTCGTTAAGTAGTCATCGTTAATTTCATTTTTCAATAAAGTAAGATGATTAAACTTACAAATCTAGACGAAATCCAAGCTAAAAATGACTAAAACGTTAGTAAACAAGAGCTTGAAAGAGCTAGATGGAAACTCCGTAGTTGATGAATTCAAAACAGACGTGAAGGCGGTTAAAACGTAGTTCGAATTGTCTCGAAACTCGGATTTTACATCGTTCTTTACATGTTACCAAAAATTCTGCTGATTATGAGGTGAAATTTGGGAAAATGGATGACAATCGGGTGTGACGAAGTGGGAAGCACTGGAGCTGACCAGTTTAGAAAGTTTTGTGACTTTTTATGCTTGAGCTAGCGGCTCAGAAACTCTTAAATCCACTTTTTTTTTTTCAACCAGTATTCCCACCATTAGTCAAAACATAGTTGTTTTCAAAAATCCTAGCATTCCACTAGTCGCACATCTATGAGAACACAGTTTTTTTGAACCTTTTTTCAAATCCATCTCCTGGGTGTCTGATGGCTTTCCAACGCTCTTTGTCGTGTGCACTTATCACGGAATACTAGTTTGTATAGACGGCCTCTTTTGACTTCTCATGCAGCATTCTTCTTGACGCCGAAAGCTCTGGTTTTACCCTTCTAGGAGAAGCTTAATCTACCTGCTGGCTACATCTGACAGCCTCCTTTGGCCTTGGCCTTTTATCTTCATCGTCACCAGTCCTCTCACAGATTAAAACCAGCAATAGTCGATATATCCAGCCATGAACGGTCTTCTACCATCAAGTTTCTTATTCCTCGTGGCCCAATGGTCACGGCGTCTGGCTACGATTGTATCCACTTCTGAAACCAGGAGATTCCAGGTTCGAGTCCTGGCGGGGAAGGAACTTATTTTTTTGTCATTTTTGGCTGGCTCCAGAAGAATAAAGAAAGAGCCAGTAATATATCATGGAATCTACAATGAAGACTGGATGTAGCTTGATCGAGCTTTTTGCCCTACCCATATCCACCACACTACAAGATCAAACATCCTATGACATTTTAGTACGTAACGATATATCACTGTCGCTGAGCAAATTCAACCGTCTTATCCCATCTTCTCCCTTTCGTTATGCATTTGATTCTTTACTGCCTCTATAAATCGCGCTTTTATAATCGTCGCCAGCAGCTCATGAATCATTGTCTCTAAATGTTCAAGAGGACGCATATTTGCCGAATTCCGTTTCCGCCCAACAAAGCATAGCATTTTCCACTTTCTCTGAACACCGCGACGCTAGTGAAATAGGTAAGCTCTTCAAAGTGCGATACATCGATGCTGAAAATCTCTTTCGGTTTTCCAGTCGTGCGCCAGGAAAACACCCCAGAATCCGAAGACTCAAGTACAACCATGGGTTTATAGACCGTAAGAGCAGTGGGAGTCAAAACAAAAATGTAGTAATTCTCTTCATCACTCATCCATTCGCTGTAAATCACCGGATAGTCCATTTCGATGGTTACAAGTAATTGATTGTTCAATACATCCCATAATTTACACTCCCAGTCCATGCCATACGACAACAGTAAATTCGGAGCGTTCGCGCATTGGCAGAGGCCCGTGATGGGGAAAGAATGAAAAATGTCCTTAGAATCGCCAGCGTTCTTTGGAACAAACCCATTATTGTCCGTATCAATCGTGATGGCTCCTGATTTTACAGAGTTCACATTGATCTTGTATATTCCTCCGTCCTCACAGCCTGCATAAATAACAGAGGGATCTTGTGGCATCGTAACCAAAGCTGTCACGGCAGTCTCGTCGTAGCGAGATTGCTTGTCGAGTTGCGCTCGGAAACCTGAAGGGGCCTGTGAGTCGTCGTTGGGGTCATCAGATAAAAGTAATGTCGAGGATGAGACCGGCGATATCTTAAAATGAGTTCCTGCTTCTGTAGTTTGATACACTTCCATTTTCAAAACATCCAAATCGCTAATAGTGCCATCTGTACTACCGACAAGTACTCTCGGGCTATCTATGTGGTGTTGCCATAGGGCAAAAGCCGGATAATGATGAAAATTTCGTACTATGAGGTTTCGCTCGATGGATAAGTTCTGATTTGGGTCAGTGATGCCTCTTGCTTCATACAAAATCGTCTTGCCGTTGTAGCAGGTCAGCAAGGCTGACGTCACGGTAGATCTCGTCCGACGCACAAATTTACCACGTAAAATCCTCTGTCCTTTAAATTCTACCGTATCGACCAGTTCTGCGGTGCTAAGCTTGTAAATCGAGACTCTGCTAGAAGAAACCGAGGGTTCTGGAGAAGTTTTGTAACTGTCTTGGTACACAACGAGAGCCAATTCTAGGTAATAGTCGACCCATGCGCACTTGGTTTCAATTTCCGCGTCGACATCCATTTTTTCGGGGCCCAAACTATGCGAAATGGTGAAATGCTCTGTATTTTGTAACTCTTTTTGAGTGAGTGCCGCTTTTGTCTTATCCAAAGCTTCGAGCAGAGAAAACGACTTTACGCCCAAAGTTAAAGCCTGGCTTTCGACGACGTAGGGTTCCACAGATCTGGAAAAAGCTGGTTTCGAGTCCAATTGCGGCAGTAATTCCGGCTCAACATCTGAAATCCCGCCTCTTTCGCCATCACCAGTAAGAACTTCGCTATCGTTACCCATATTGTCTGAGTGATGACCACTGCTGTCGTCTGAAATATCGATTGGATCGGTTTGGATGGCTTGTTCATAGGTCAAAATAGCTGGAATATCCGATGATTTAGTTTCCAAGGCAGCTGGCTCTTCTGTTTGAGTGCTTATGCTAACCATTTCGATTTGCTTGGTCAAATGCTCCGATTTCAACAAATGTGACGCCAAATCATCGTTTGAACCCGCTGAAAAAGGAGCAAGGCTTTGTGCGCGACGCTCTCGCAACTCCCGAAGCTTTCTGCGCTTCTCCTCAAGTGTATCCATGCGTTTTGAGGGAACTTTTTCACTTGGATTTGTCGAAAACCCTCTAGTTCAAGCTTTAATACTTATAACAAGACTTGAAGATTTGAATTCTTACACATCAACACCGGAAAACAGCTCAAAGAACGTCCTGGTTCAGCTACTACTCATTTCTATATACGTATGAATATCGACATTGATGATATCCTGGCGGATCTCGACAGAGACACGACGGCTGTCGACTCTTCGCTGATCTCGCAAGCGCACAATGATACAACGATTCTGGGAAGCGATGGTGATGAAATCAACAAACTCCGGCAAATCACAAATGTATCACCGGTGGAAGACTTTCAAACACTCATGACGCATTGGAGAAACGAACGGATGAGTCCCGAGTTGCTCCCATTCCCGCATTTGCTGATGCAGCGAACGCTACGCAGGGTCCAAGAGCAGATCGAGCACATCGAAATGCTGTCAATGGGGTATTTAGATGATGCAAGTGGGTCTGCAGATACGGCAGACGGTAGAAGTGCGGCCCTTATGAGCAAACTGCCGTTACTGGGCATGGAGGCAGATTTGGAACGGCTGAAATTTGTGTTGAGGAGTTTTTTGCGCTGCAGACTGGCCAAAATCGACAAGCACAGCTTATATTTGCGTCAGTTCAGCGAGGAAGGCGCTGCAATACCTTTGGATGAGTTATTGTCGCGACAAGAGCTGGAATATCACGAACGTCATTTCGCCATATTGCTCAAGCTTTTGAACAATTCGATTCTACGCCATCTGCCACCTGAATTACAGGCGATCGACGATAACGATGGATCTGTGAAAATGGTGGAAGAGCCTGAGTGGAGCCGATTTGTGTTCGTCTTCGTGAACGGGCCAGACCCGAGGAGACAGCAAGATCCTGATCCACGCTTACTCGTCAGCGAAACTACAGGCCAGCAGTTCTATCCGGTAACAATAGAGGAGCTGCAAGAAGAAGCAGAACTGGCAATCGGTGGAATCTACGTAATGCGTTACAATGTGGTGAGAGAACTAATACTAGAGAACAAGGTTCAATTAATATAGCCAATGATTTACAGCAATGCAGCAAGATACTCAATGACAAACAGCTCTAACTTTGTACACTAAGATTTGACTTTGAGAAAGCTTCCAAAGACGAGAACTCGTTATCAAACCAAGAAATCGTTTATTGTTGGAGGTACGTTACTGCCCTGGCTGACTGTATACTGCAAGTCTGTTTTTTAATATTATTGACACCAAACAAAACATTTAGGAAAGACCAGGAGAAAACACAGGAACAAAGCTCGACCGTTCAAGAAATGATCCAAAGAGGTCAATTGAGATTATAAAAGGCGTGAATCTGGCCTGGTGTAGATACAATCAGACCGCCGTGTACTTTCGATATCAAGTTGATATTTATCACTTCATACTAAGGACTCAATTTCGAAATTATTATATCAATGGTAGTTTTACATCCAGATATCTACAACTTTATTCATTTCAAAAGAACAAGAACCGCACTTTTAGGACTCCTTTTCGATATTGCTCGAGCCTCCAGCGTCAAAAAACGCAATTCTTCTAGTAGAATGTCTTGTCTGTAGTTTTTTGTGCGTCAATTCTTTCACCTAAGGTAATTATCGCTATTCGTCATTCACCATCTTTTCCTCGATTTTGGTGAGCGTCTACTTGAGTGTTGCGTTGACCTCCCGAGGTGTTCTTTGCAGCAAAACTCTTGGCAGATCTCCACTGTGTTTGCCTTTTCGAGCAGCTGGGCTTGATCTCCGGAATCATACTGACATTTCTGGTGTCGTCAGAGTTGTAATTTGGTTGACGATGAGGTAGTCTATCCAGGTCGGCGTAAGGCCAGCAACGAGCGCGGGTGAGTATGTGGACGATATCAACGGTTTTCATGTGATCCCATCTCGGAAAAGCGGAAATTTGCAGCCAAGCCATTACTCATCATTTCGGAACTTTTACTGTGTTAGGCAGGGTTTGATCCTTGTTGATAAAGGTTGAGCAAAGGGAACCAATCGACTCTTGGGTCTATAAAAGTGCCCAGAAATAGCGATGAGATAACTGAAATTCGAAGCTCTAAAGGTTGCTGTCGATAAGACTTTCCAAAACCAAGCACCCACTATCAGCAGGTGAGTGATCCATAAGAACAATATGTCCCACTTTCCCAACTTGAAGTTAAACACCGGAGCTAGCTTGCCCGCAGTTGGATTGGGAACTTGGCAATCTTCAGATGAAGACGCCTATAACGCCGTAAGCACCGCTCTGAAACTTGGCTACAGGCATATCGACTCTGCCGCGATCTATCGTAACGAAGTTCCTGTGGGTAAAGCTATCAAGGACTCCGGTATCCCACGTAGTGAAATATTCGTGACAACCAAACTATGGGGTACGCAGCATCGTGAACCCGAAAAGGCTCTCGATGCTTCTTTGAAGCGTCTGGGACTCGATTATGTTGATCTATACTTGATTCATTGGCCCGTGGCTTTGAAAACGGACACAATCAAAGACGACGACCTCTTGGTGATTCCCACGACGGCCGATGGTAATCGCGATGTAGACTTGGAAGACTGGGACTTTGTGAAAACATGGGGGTTGCTTCAAAACCTTGTGGAAACCGGTAAAACCAAGGCCATTGGTGTATCGAATTTTTCGATCAACAACCTTAAAGCGATTTTGAAGCCCGAATTGAAATTCGTGGTTCCTGCCGCCAACCAGATCGAGGTTCATCCACAATTGCCTCAGGACGAATTGATCGAGTTTTGTCGTGCCCACGACATCGTGGTAGAGGCGTACTGTCCACTGGGTTCCTCATCGTCAACGTTGTTATCTGACCTTGACCTGCTGAAGATCGCGTCTAAGTACAATGTTGAACCCGCTCAGGTGCTGATCAATTGGGGTGTAGCTCGCGGATACAGCGTTTTGCCCAAATCCGTAAATCCTAAGCGCATCGAATCGAACTTCAAGGCTTTTGCATTAAGCCCCGAGGACACTAAGGCTGTTTCCGAACTGCACAAGAAGATTGGCTCTCACCGTTATGTGAATCCAAAGTGGGGTCCGTTCGAGGCGTTCGCTTGAGTCAGTACAAATGTAAGGAGAATGCACAGCTCTGTGTATGATTGAACGCGATAGTGGAAAGGAAAACGATGCTGCCATTCTTAACAAGCATCCTTGAAGTGAAAAAAAAAGGCCTGCTGTTTAAGCAGCTTTTGTTATCGAGGGTCAAAACTGCAGCTTGAGGGTCAACACTGCAGCTTCAATATTTACCTGCCCTTTCTGACGTTGCAGCAAGGTGATACTACTTTTTACTGGCGTTTGCGCCTTGGTGCAAAGGACCGGACGCTAGAACAAAATGAGTAGGCTTACAGGTATTCAAATAGATAAATGCGACGCTTCTAATTCGCACTTTGTATGGAGATCTCGCTAGCAGACAATGAAATCCTTTCGGCGTACGTCTGGTCTCTCATGAATGCAGCTTCACCAGCATCGTGCGGTAAGGAATTTACTCTGGTTTATACACTTGCGGATCCTGAAAACCATTATGGTGGGCTTTCGAGAATGGAATTTGAAGTGTGGTGAATGCCATGGAACCGCAGTGCGCAGCAGAAAGTCTGGAGTGCTGCCAAGCATGAGAAATCACATTGTTCTTGCCCGATGCTAATTGGTTTTTGACGGACACAAATTGTTGCAAGTGAAGCTTAGCGGGGCAGTTGTTTGGAACCTGTGTTGCTCGAGCTTTTTATAAGCATATGGCGGTAAATTTCGCTTGCAATGCGTCGATGGAGACCACCAAAGACTCACGGGAAAGAGAGAGTAGTGGGGAAAATGTTTCTTGGGGGGGCAGGTCAGTGTAATTCACGAGGTAGAGGATTTATCACGAGAAAGAAGGTCCGGGTGTTGGATACGAGTCACTGGAATTATAACTCAATGCAGAGCTCACAGATGTTGACGACGGGGGAAGTTTTGTTTATCTGTAGTACTTGTTACTGTCGTTCGTCACGTGACTCCAGATCGCGGCTGGGTATTCTTTTTAACGAAACGGGAAGCAACAGAAGGACCCCATGGGAAGAGAAGCGGGAAGAGGGGCGGGAAGAGGGATTTCCCATGGCAAAGAGCCGAATAAACGTCTGTCTTTTCACGCACCGAGGAGGGGCTTTTGTTTTTGAAAAAACACGTATATCACTAGATACGAAATTGTTTTGGCGTATATCTGTCATCGATTGTAGAGAGTCTGTTTTTGAGACCCTAATTCTTTTGAAGCTTGAGGGATAGATTTCCAAATACCTGTACTTCTCCTTGCAGTCTTCTTATGTATGTTCCTGCGACTCCTTTAGAGTATGCTCAAAAATTGGGTCACGTGATACGCTAATCCGTCTCACTACCCGTTTGGATCCGCTTTAATACCCACTTTAGTACCCATTACACTACCCACTCCACCACCCACTTCACTACCCAAACATCACGTGAACTACTACCCGTTTGGATCCGTTCCCTGCTCCCCCCCCCCCGGCCTCTCTCATATCTCAAAATCTAATTTTCACCTACATTAGATAAAAGATATCGGAATGACACCACCGTGCATATAAGATATCGAAATCAGATACAACACCTAGCTACTAATTCTCTCAGCAGACGTTCCTGTTCCTAAACCACACCAACTGCGTTCCATGCCTTAACCCCAGCCCTTAATCCTGCTCTCTTTGCTAGCTTCTGCTGCCTCCCTTTCCAAGCTTTTCAATACCGACTTTCCCCATCGGGCAGCTCCATTTTTACGTCGAGGCTTCAAATCGAAGCACACGACGGTTTGGAAAACTTTTGAGCTCTCCAAGCGCGTTATCTCGCACGCTTGAACACCCAATCTTCTTTTATCTAAGGCTATCACTACGTTTTTTGCCCGTATCGTGTTGTTTCTTGGCTACGATTTTCCAGGACGTACTGACAACTGCGTTCGGAGAGATCGGTGCAAGGCAAATGGCATGGTTACAGGGTTGAGGCTTCTCATTTTCGGAAAATTTAGCTGCTGATTGGAGGGTGATTACGCTGGGTTCTAGCACTGGTGGTTACTATGGCTGCGATTATGGATGTTCATGATTCTGGCTACGCTTAGTGGGTCTACTATCAAGTATGAAATATCGATAGACAGACCATCACTATCCATAAACCCAAAGTCCATCAGAAACAGATACTGGATGATTCGCTTATTGTATAAGAACAAGGTGGAAATGGTGCCAAGATTGGGAAGTGTAAGTGGATGTGGTTTTGAAGACACCTCTTTCGTGTAGTTTCTCAAGCCAAACACCTTTTCAGAGCTAATATTCTAGCAACAAAACCATACTGTGTGCTTGCTCATTCATCACCAAACTTCAAGTCCATCATGTCTCAAATGCTCGATTTGACCTCCAATGTGTCGCCGTCGCCGTACTTGTCGGCCCAGCTAAAACACAACAAAGAAGCGGCCATCCTGGACGTCATCGATGTGGGTCTGGGCTCCGTGACGGACATCGACGAGGAAAAACAGCAATACGAAGGTGCCTCGACCGAGGTGCAGCGTGGACTCAAGTCCAGACACATCCAGCTCATCGCCCTGGGTGGTGCCATCGGTACCGGTCTGTTTATTGGGTCTGGTGGAGCTCTGGCCACCTGTGGGCCGGCCCCACTGTTGATCTCTTACATGGTTATGTCGTTTTTCGTGTGGTGTCTGATGAATCAGCTCACGGAAATGGTGGCCCTTATCCCGCTTTCCGGCGAAGCGTCCATGTACGCCATGACCAGAACCTACGTGAGCAGTCCCGTTTCGTTTATGTGCGGCTGGAATCTGTTTTACGCCATGGCCATGATTGCACCTGCGGAAATCACCGCTTGTGCGTTGCTGATCAAGTACTGGACCGATGCCAACTCGGCCATCTTCGTCTCCATCTTCGTGGTCATCACCATCGCCGTCACCATGCTTCCGGTGCGTGTTTTCGGCGAAAGTGAATTTTGGGTCTCGACTATCAAGCTTCTCACCATCACGGGCTTGATCATTGTAGGACTGGTGATTTTCTTCGGCGGCGGGCCTGCCCAAGACCACGTCCTCGGTTTCCACTACTGGAAGCACCCAGGTGCCTTTCGAGAACACTTGGTCCCCGGATCCACTGGAAAGTTTTTGGCCGTCTGGACTGCCATTATCAAGAGTGGATTCTCTTTCGTTTTGATGCCCGAGCTGGTCACCTCCTGTTCTGCGGAATCTGTGAACCCTCGTGTCAACATGCCCAAGGCTTGCAAAAGATTCGTGTACCGTTTGGCCTTTTTCTACATCTGCGGTGTTCTTGTTATCGGTGTCGTTGTGGGATCCAACAACAACCACCTTTTGAACGCTTTGGCCACCGGTACTAGCGATGCCGCTGCTTCCCCCTACGTGATCGGCATCAAGGACGCTGGTATCAGAGTTTTGCCCCACATCATCAACGCCTGTATTCTCACCAGTGCCTACTCTGCCGGTACAGCAGAGCTGTACGGGTCCTCGCGTGTCTTGCACTCGATGGCCATCAGAGGCGATGCCCCCAAGATTTTCGGCAAAGTGAACCGTTTTGGTGTTCCTTACTACTCCACTGGGTTGGCCAGTCTGTTCTGTTTCTTGGCCTACCTCAACTGCTCGGACTCGGCCTCTGTCGTGTTTACCTGGTTGTCGAACATTGCCACCATTTCCGGGTTTGTGAGCTGGATCTTCGTTTCTATCACCTACATCAGATTCCGCAAAGTCGTCAAGTACCTAAATCTGGCTGACAGATTGCCCTTCACGCCTCGTTTCCAGTACCAGTTTGCGTGGGCCGGTGGTATTTTCTTCACGGTTCTGGCCTTGACCAACGGATACGCTGTTTTCATCAATGGCAACTGGAACACTAGCGATTTCTTCGCCTCCTACGTGACCATTGGCTTTGTTGCGGTCCTGTACATCGGCAGCACGATTTACTACCGCCAGTTCAAGTTCAGAGACATGGAGGAGATCAAACTAGACATTCTGCCCAAGATTGAGCGTGCTGAAGAAGAAGAGCGCAACTACGTTTTCCCAGTTCCCAAAAACGTTGCTGAGAAGATATGGACTGCCATCATCTAAACCAGGCTGAAGTACCCACTGGGACTACCTCCGATCGCTTTGGTAAAGTATAATAAAGGTATATAGATGCTTTTAGGCGACTAATAAGACAATATTCAATGGTTAAGAGACCAGCAGTACTAGTTTCCGAGTGGTCAACTTGCAAGAATCATGCCCTGCCAGGTTCTACAAGGCGATAAACAATTGATAACTCGATACTCATCGCATCCAGAGGGCACCACCAACGCTCGTGCTGTTGATAACAATGGCTGAGTACACCGAATACTGATTCTCAGGCTATCAGCACAACTTTCCGAATCGAATCGCCATATCTAGCATAAAATGCTTTATCAGTAGTTCAAGGCGAACTTTGACCAAGTTCGGTAGATAGTGGTACAAGATAAACGATATCTAAGATCTTGTCACCATGAGTCGAGTTTCCTGGATAGGGAACTTTAGCCCGTTGACTGGGTAAAAGTTCCCGACGGATAGTAAACAGCGGGTTTCTTTGGCGGGAAGTTGGAAACTTGTAGATAGGGTCCCGCTAACAGTTTGGTGGTAGTAGTAGTGGTAGCAGGATGAGTAGTTCTAGTCGAGCAGATAGTGTCTGGAGATCGATGCCAGGAAACAAAGTATATAAGAGCACACCACAGGAGACAATGGAGCTTTGATCTGGAAAAGTTTCGTCTCTCTTTTATTCTTGTTCTATCATCACAACCAATACCAAACCAAATCAAACCAAACCAAATCCAAATAAGACCAACAATGACTGTGTCTGCCTCTCCAGCTCCTCTACCTTCCTACAACTTCCAAGCTACCGTCGACTCTACCGGGTTGCAAGTGGTCGGTGGTAAAGGTGTATACATCGATGTCGAGAAAGACGGCCAAGTTCACAGCGGAGTTCTGGACGGTATCACCGGTGCAGCCGTGGGTGCTCTAGGCTGGGGCAACGAAGAAGTGCAAGATATCATGGGCGAAGCCGCCAAGGGCGCAGTGTACTCGTTCGCTCCATTGATGTCCAACAAGGCGTCCGAAGAATTGTCCAAATTCTACATCGACAACTCTCCAAAAGGCGCCTTTGCTGCAGCGCTATGGGTTTGCTCGGGCTCTGAGAGTAACGAAAACGCTTTGAGAATTATCAGACAGTACTGGCTCGAGCGCAACCTTCCAAAGAAGGTCAAGCTCATCAGCAGAGACAACTCGTACCACGGTTACACGCTAGGAGCACAATCGATCTCTTGGAACTCCAAAGTCTTGCCTTTCGAGCCATACCTCATGAACCGTGAAAAGTACAACATCAAGATCAGCAGCGCTTACGCTTACCGTAACCAGAAGCACGGCGAAACCGAAGAGGCCTACGCCGAGCGTCTACTCAAAGAGTTGGAAGACAAAATCTTGGCCAACGACCCAGACACCATCGCCTCCGTCACTGTTGAGACTCTACCAGGCTCCTCTTTGGGTACGTGCCCTCCACCAAAGGGCTACTTGCCAGGTATCAGAAAGCTGTGCAACAAGTACGACTTGATCTTCCACTTGGATGAAGTTATGTGCGGTACCGGGAGATCCAACCCCAACGGCAGATTGAACTGCTGGGAAAACTACTTGGATGACAGCGAGGCTCCCGACATCCAGACTGTGGGTAAGACTTTGGGTTCTGGCTACGTGTCCATTGCCGGAGTTTTGGTGGGCCCCAAGATCGTTGACACCGTCCGCAACGGTTCCAACAGCATCTTCGGTGGTAACACCTACTCTTCGCACGCTTTCAACTGTGCTTCTGCCCTCGGCATCCAGAAGAAAATTCTAGGCAAGGGTTTGACCAAGAACATGTTCAAGATGGGTAACCTAATGGGTCAGAAGCTCAAGGACGCTTTGTTGACAAAAGACAACATTGCTGGTGACGTTAGAGGCATTGGTGGTTTCTGGTCCATCGAGTTTGTCAAGGACAGAGCTACCAAAGAAACATTCGACTCTAACTTGGAAATCGGCTACCGTTTCAAATCTATCTGTTTCGACAACAAGCTGAGCGTCATGGGATTCCCAGGTAACGCGGACGGCAGCTGTGGTGACCGTGCCTTGCTTGCTCCTTCCTTCATCATTGACGAAGCCTTCGTCGACGAGTTGGTCGAGAAGATTGTCAAATCTGTTGACCAGTTGACCAAGGAGTTGCACGCCGAGGGTTTATTCTGAGTGCCCATCAAGGCTGGCGTGGTCTAGCAGGGAGGCTCGGGAAGCATTCTCTTTATAAACCACTACTGTACAACTATATATCGTTATGCTATTTACAAGTTAAAATTTATCGGGAAAAGCGGGAGTTTGTGAGACACTGACAGCGACCAGAGATTGTGCCAAGTACGCGAACAGCCTTGGGAACTCGAGGCACACGTTGAAGTGTCGTTGTTGTTCTGGTGTTTGGTGTAGTGTTCATCATCGGCGATGAGCTATGCCAGCGATGAGCTTAAAGAAATGGAAAGTGTCACGTTATTTCCTTATCAGTACTCGAGTACAAGTAGTGGCGTGACATTCACGCCACTATCACATGTGTGTACTCGCCGCTCTCTGTACTCGCGAAAATTCTAAATGATTATCTACAAGATAAGAATTGGAAGATAAAGTTTAAAGATGGACTCGATATGCACAGCTTCAACCACTTTTTCCACCGGATATTTCTAACACAGAGACCATTGTCGATCTACTAAACCATGTCGAAAGATATCGCGTTGAGTTGGCCATTTAGAAATGGTCCTCGATAGCAGAAAACTGGATTGATCGAGCTGCCCAATTGGGTTTTTGGGTCGGCTAAAAGAGAGAAGATGCGTGGTGAAAACTTGACCCGTCCCGTCAGATAAACCTCCGTTGTGGAATCTGGGAACTCAATGCTGTCTTTGACAGCTTGATGCCATCGGGTTTGTCGGTATAGGACAGACTGTGGGTATCTGGAAGATTCAGGCCATTGGGATTTGGTTGCGATGATTGATTGGAAAGCTTATAAAAAGGGCATGAATAGTTGAGATGTTTGGTGAACCTAGGTGATTGGGTTTCCTTTGTTTGATCCAGCGTCTCTCTCAGATTCTGTATCGTGGCCAGCTATCACCAAACCATGTTTTCCTCCAAGTTTTTACAATATTCCACGTCCACAGCTTCAAGGCTGCGTGGCGGGATTAGAAACGGCCCACTGCGGCGCAAAGTGGGATCTGGAGCTACTAGAAGAAACCTGGCGTCATTGACATCGAAATTCAGTGACCCCAGCAAGCGCACTCGTGCCCTTAAAGCATCAATTTTCACCACAACTTCGGCCTCCGCTGCAGCGCTATTGTATTCGTTTTTGGACCAGTCTCCAGGCGATATCAAGCCCTCAGAGGTTATGTTGCACAATCAACTGGACGACTGCTGGATTGTGCTCAATGGCGAGGTTTACGACGTTACTGAATTTTTGCAAATGCACCCAGGTGGTGCAGCCAGAATCATGCAAGTGGCCGGTAGAGACGCGACCAAAACTTTTTACTCCATCCACTCCGATTCGACTTTGGAGAAAATGAAGAGTTCGCTAGTATATATCGGCAAACTCAAGGGTACTTTCAACATAGTGGAGTCCGAAGAAGAGCTCAGATTGAAAGAAGTGCGCCAGAAAATGCCACCTCTCACCCGCATCTTCAACCTTTCCGATTTTGAAGGGATCGCCAGAGAAGTGTTGCCTAAGAGCACATTTGCATACTACGCTACAGGTGCCTCTGACGAGTTTTCCATTCGTGAAAATCACTACGCGTACGGAAGAGTATTCTTCAAACCCAAAGTTTTGCAAGACATCGAATACGACGTCGACACTTCTACCGAGTTCTTGGGTACCAAAGTCGATTTGCCCTTTTACATCTCCGCTTTCGCGGGCTCGAAGCTCGCCCATCCTTTGGCTGAGTTGAACTTACAGGCCGTGGCCGAAAGAGAAAACGTTATGCAAATGGTTCCAAAGCAATGTTCATACAGCGTGGACGAGTTCTTCGAGCATGTCCCTGACACTCAAAACCACTGGTACCAATTCCACTTTGACAATCTCGAGGAATTAAACAACTTCCCCAAATTGATCAAGAGACTCGAACAACAGCCTAGTGTCAAGGGAATTTTCGTGAACGTCGATTTGCGTGACATCGGTAATAGAGAAAAGGACACGAGGCAAAGATCTGTTGACACCACTACCAGCAAGGAGCTTTCTTCCATTGTCACCAGCAAAATGGCGTATGCCAAGTTCACCTGGAAGGATGTTGACAAGATCATTGCTTCTACTAAATTGCCAGTGTGTTTGAAAGGTGTACAAAGAGGTGAGGACGTGGTTCTTGCCGCAGAAAGAGGTGTATCCGCTGTTGTGTTGTCGAATCACGGCGGTAGACAGTTGGATTTCTCTCGTCCTCCACTTGAAGTGCTAGCCGAGGCGAGAACGATGTTGAAGGAAAAGAACCTTGAAGACAAGATTGAGATCTACCTTGACGGTGGAGTGAGAAGAGGCTCCGATATCATCAAAGCTCTTTGCATGGGTGCCAAAGGTGTTGGTATGGGCAGACCATTTTTGTATGCCATGGCTGGATATGGCGAGCCCGGTTTGGAGCACTTGGTTAACATTCTACGTGGTGAAATCAAGAACAATATGAGACTTTTGGGCGTTGATCGCATTTCTGACCTAGATGAAAGTTTAGTGGATTTCAAGAGTCTACAGTTCCGCAACCCTCGTGCCAACGACACCCTTTACGATCAGGGCTACATGCCATTGAGCTTTCCTGCCTTCAAATAAGGAACAAACAGAAAGAGAGTGGGTGTGCGTCAAAGAGAAAACTGACTGGCTCGGTAGTCAGTCCTGCTACAAGTTCGTTGATTTACAGGAGTATAAACTGCGAGTTATGGATGGAGATGCAGCATTGACTGATGGTCTGCCTCCGTCTTGTTTACCATATTTAAAGCACTAGTTATTGCTGACCATTATAGAGAGTAATATGATTATAAAGTGTTGAAGTCAAAGTCAAAAGTAATCAAGTCTTCTAGTCAAAACTTTAAGAAAGATGACACCACAGAGCGATCCAGAAACTCTTATAGCTGGATGATGAACTCTAGGTCTGATTTCAAGTCTATAGCTTAATAAACAGGCGTAACATACGCTTAAAAACTCAGTATATAAGCCTATATAAGAGAAAATGGTTAGCGTCAAAAGGAAGCTCGAATCCTGCGAGACTCTTGAGATCTGGACGTCACACAAGCAGTATTTAGTCCAGCGTGCACAATTCGTAATACTGTTGTTTTAAGTTGCTTATTTCCCTGGAACTTCAGCAACACATTCCAGCTCGACCTTGAGTCTGGAGTCAGGAAAGCTCACAACAACACAGCTACGAGCTGGGCAGCCGGGAAAGTAATCCCGGTACACCTTGTTGACCGCAGCAGCGTGGGCACCGTCGGAGACAAACAAAAGAACCTTCAACACATGGTCCAGATCGGTCGAGCCCGCAGCCAAAACACGCTTTAAGTTTTCCAAGGCGTTTCTGGTCTGACTTTCAACGTCCTCTGGGTATTGGCCGGAAGCATCGTTACCAACACAGCCTGAAGTGAACAACAGCTCGCTGTCCTTACCAGCGATCAAACCCGGTGAAAGAAAAGTAGGTCCTGAGGAAACACCAACTTGACTCCATTCGATTTTTCTGGCCATTTTAGGTGTGAGTATGCGACTTTTGTGAGAGTTTAAGCGACCAAGACGATTGAAAAACGGTCAAGCTCGGAAAACCCTTGAGCTTCCAGGATTCAAGAGCCGGCCGATTAAATAAGGACAAGATTCTGACTGACTTCTATCGAAAAGCTGACTGAAGCATAACTTGCCATACCCTGGGGAATTTCTCACTACAAAGGAAGCACAATGATCCACAGGATCTCGACCATGGAATCCAGCGTAATCGCGCGCAACTACTGTTTACGGCAGGTTAGTGAACCTTGGCAATGCCAACATGTGATTCCAAGCTCGAGAGCTAGCTGCTCGAGATAAGATACGGGACCCTGAGATAAGAAGTTCAGGACAGAAAGCGGAAGGTCAATTGACCTTGTGAATTACAGCTTGCCCGAGACGAAATGACTGGTTTGCATTGGTAAATGTCCTGTGTGGTTGCTGTTGATCCGTTGCGAGGCCTGGTTGCCATCTGTCGTTGGAAAAATTGCATTGGCAGCGGCTGAAACTGGCACGTCCGTCGTGTGTCATTGGGGAGGGATTTGACACACTGTCGTCGCATTTTGTCATTTAACGAAACGCTGCAACGAGCGATGTCAGATTAAAGTCGGCTGATTGAATAGTCTTCTTCGAAAGATATGAAAAACTTCAACTTCTTAAAGCATCTATCGCTTTGGATATTCGTGACTATGTGTTAGGCAATCATGGATATGAAATGCCGTCGACTTTAACTGCTTCACGAAGCCCCATTTTCGTGTGAATAAATTTTCAGCGCTGCAAGCACGACCGATTTCGCAGCTCTCAATTCCAACATTCCATGCCACAAGTATAGCCACTTTTGTGACTCCCAAATTCTACAAAACTGAGAGTAATTGCAGTGCAACTACAAATACCACAGTTGTCATATTCAAACTCGCTAGACTCAAAACATTCATTGTTACTGACGCTGTCACCAAGAAAAATAAACTGACAACATCCTCACCATTTCACACTTTTGCCGGCCAAAATCATCTCTGTCCTCATAAGAAAATGCCCAACAAAGCGGTGCACAAGAACAGTAAGCACTACTGATCTCATACGACTTTTTTCGGGAGAACTACCGACTTTTTTCGCATTTCGGAAATGCCACCCAAAGCCGATTCCAGCCATTAAGGTTTGAAGGCTACGTTTTTGCCAAATTCACCACATTTTCTTCGATCCACAAGCTCCTAAAGTCACAAATCTACCACTGCTCACCTCGATTCTCTAGTTGGTTTAACTCGCTGTCGTAGTCAGTTTCTTACTGCTCGAGTAATAATTGAAATTTATTCAAAAGACAGATGTGATCTTCATCATCAACAAACAACTTTACTCAAAGCTTAAGCCAAGAATACGGTTTATAATACCAGCTAGAGTAGCAGCCAGGGTATCTGGTGTACTTGCTCAAGGAATGACTTTCAACAAGCTGGTTTCTTTCCAATTGGACTATGCTCCGCAGTATCATCTGTCCAAATTCATCTCATCTCGTTCTGGGCTTCAACTCGTTCATATCCATAATAAGGCCTCCCCTTTGGTACAAGGGTATTTTGCAGTTGCTACAGAATGCCCAACGGATTCCGGGGCGCCCCACACGCTGGAACATCTCGTTTTTATGGGATCTAAGAAGTATCCATACAAGGGCTTTCTAGATACAGCAGGAAATTTGTGCATGTCGTCGACAAACGCTTGGACTGCCACTGATCAAACGGTCTACACACTGTCATCAGCCGGATGGCCTGGCTTCAAAAAATTGCTGCCTGTTTATCTGGATCATGTTTTGCACCCGACTTTGACGGACCATGCTTGCACAACTGAGGTTTACCATGTTGATCCTGAGGACCTGCAAGAAAAAGGCGTAGTATTCAGTGAAATGGAGGGAATCGAGTCCCAAAGCTGGTTCATCACTATGCTCGAAAAGCAAAGGAAGATGTTTGAAGAAGGCAGCGGATACCGCTCGGAGACTGGTGGGCTAACGGAAAAACTAAGAGATTTGACCAACGACGAAATCCGTAAATTCCACAAAGATATGTATTCACCAGAGAATCTGTGTCTCATCATCGCGGGTAACGTTCCAGAAGACGAACTTTTGTCCATTGTATCCGAATTCGATTCTACTCTACCAGCTTTCGAAGGAAAGCGCACCAGACCCTTCTTAGATTCCAAAGAATCTCAAATACCGGCCAAGAGGACGGAAACTAGTGTCTCGGAAATCGAGTTTCCTGAATCTGACGAGTCTCAAGGTGAAATTCTGATGTCATGGATCGCAGAACCATATTACGAACACCTCAGCGATCTTGCAGTCTCGATACTGATGGATTATTTCACCGAAACAGCGCTTGCTCCGTTCAACAGCCAGCTTGTTGAAATTGACGAACCTTTGGCAAACTTGGCAGAGTACTGGACCGATGACTTCATGCGCACCATCGTGAACTTGAATTTTCATGGTGTACCCGTCGAGCGGATGCACGACGCCAAGGAAAAAATACTCGACATCCTGCAAAGTCATAAAATCGACTTCGCCCGCATAAAACAAGTGATAGAAAATGGGAAGTGGGAGTACGTTTTGAAGTGTGAGAAGAACGGGCTCACAATTTTAAGTCAAACTTGCATAACAGACTTTATTTACGGCGACGATCGTGGTGCAATATTAGAAGCCTCTCTGAAAGACCTCAGTGATTTTGATACACTTGCAGGATGGTCCCAAGAGCAGTGGCAAAGCTTACTGACAGCACTCTTCGTTGACAACAAGCCCGTCATTGTTTTGGGAAAGCCAAGTGTTACTCTGTACAAGCGTCTTGAGGAACAGAAAAAAAGGAGAACGAAAGAGATCGAGACAAGCCAAGGAAAAGAAGGTCAACGTCAGCTCAAGCACAAGTTGGAAAGCGCGGTCGCTCATAATTCTAAAGAGGTCCCCGCCCAATTATTGCAGGATTTCGCAATTGCGGACGCAGAAAACAGCATATCATTGATAGAGACGGACAGTTTTTCGACCGTCCAGAACTCCACTGAAGCGCCCTCTAAAGCCTGGGCCAAAAAATTATTTGAACAAAAGCCACAAGAATTTCCATTTTCCTTGCACTTTGAGCAGTTCCCTTCTCAATTTATTGAGTTGCGCGTTTTGCTCAATACTCTCAAAGTGCGTGATGTCTCCCTGCTGCCTTTATACCACGTTATCTGCGAGCTGTTCTCCATGCCAATGAAGGCTGATGATGGTTCTATCATTGCTTTCGAAAAGGTCGTTTCCGCCTTGAAAGCCGAGACCATCGACTCTGAGATCGATCTGGGCTTAGGAGGAGCTTTTCCGGATCTTCTTGAATTCAAGGTCTCGACGAGAGCAGTAAACTACCATCATGCTGTCAAGTGGATTAAACATTGTCTATTCGACATGGTATTTGATGAAAAAAGAGTAAGGGTCTTATTGGAAAAATACTGGTCCTCTATTGTTGAATTAAAGAGGGAAGGCGATTTAATGGTCGATTCCCTATTTAATCGCAACTTCTACACTTCAAGGACTACAAAGAAGGCCACAGATGCGCTATCTGTAGAAGATTCTCTAGAAGATATCATTGACCAGATTGACGATGGGAAGTACCTTAAAAATATTCTACCAAAGTTGAACACTATGCGCGACCAGATGGTTCATGACTTTTCCTCCTACCATGTACTTGTTCTAGGTGGTGTCGATAAAATTGAGAATGCTTACTCACCCTGGTTAGAATTGGCTTCGAAGAGGACTGAAAGAAGCGTACCTGTTACTGATTACCCGAAGGTTCCACGCTTGTTGGATTCGCTATCCGCTCTGGGGAAGCACCCACAGGGCACGGCATATATCGTCACCACCCCGGCCTCGGAGTCCTCTTATATGACACTTGCTACCAACTTGTCTATCCAGGTCGATTACAATCACCCTGATTATGCCGCCATATTTCTTGCAGCCGAATACTTGAGCTGTGTGGAGGGTCCATTCTGGAAGGGAATTCGCGGCTCTGGCCTCGCATATGGTGCTAATATTTTGAAGATGATAGAGTCAGATGCCGTTGGCTTTTCCGTTTATCGCGGTGCAGATATTATCAACTGCTATCAAACCGCTCATAAAATAGTTGAAGACTATGCGTTTGGTAGATGCTCAATTGATGCCCAGCTGGTTCAAGGGGCCATAAGCAGCATTATCAATGGAATTGCCTCAAGTGAGTCAGACTTCTTTTCGGCAGCCCTAATGAAATACGTGGACGACATTTGTAGAAAGAGAGGGCCAAACTTCAACAAAACTTTTCTGCGCAAACTGGGCAAAGTTAAGGTGGATGACATAAAGCGTGTCTTTTTGACGTATTTTCTGCGCATGTTTAGCTCAGAGACGGCAACAATGTTCGTAAGCTGCCATCCCTCTAAGCTTGAGTCTGTTCAGGACTTTATGGAGAGCAAAGGTTACAAAGTGATTGTCGAAGAACTTGACGAAGAAAGTGAGGACGAAAGTGGAACAGAGACAGAAGAATCAAGCGAGGAAGAAAGCCATTGATCACTAACCGTCACCCGCTTTGTAGATTTGGTGAAAATTTTGGTAGAAAATGTATTGAATCAATTTCTTTGTACATGGGCCGTCCGATCTGGAGTCTATCGTCATATTCGCCTAGGGACCGTGATGATCAATAAGGCTAACGACAGCGGCAGAGGGCCCAGCGAAGGTTGACGTGATGAAGGAATGTAGTAGTTTTGGTTGACTGCACACGTACAGCCTCTTGTAAGAGATTTGCTAAATATATTCTAGTGAGTGCACAGTATGTAATATGATTCGTATTCCAGCTTCCGCGTCCAATCCTGCAATCAACAGGAGAAACCCATATCATGCTTTGTACCATGATGATGAAGCTTGACGAGTGTATGATTATTCATCTTTTGTACGGCCGATCAGACCTTTCAAGAAGCCTTGACCCTTTGCCTGAAGATGTTGATCGTTGAGCTTGTCTAAATGTGTACTGGCTCAGACCTTCATGTAATTTCTGAGACTTGTCGCCCGCCAAACTAGCTGACGGGAGGCCGTTAGTCAGTTTCCCGGACAAGGGTACCGGCTTAGCTGTCCTCTTACTTTCCTTACCTCTTTTATCAACAAATGTATCGAAAAGACGACCTGATTTGGATCCTTCGGCAGAGAGCAGTGACGCTACCGGGCTTTCTGGTTTGCTGGGTGATTTTGGATCAGACGCTTTGGGCGATGCTTTCACAAAAGTTGGGGAGGCCTTGGCTGCAAAAGTAGAAGTAGACGGTATTGTTGGACTGGCGAGCCTAGCCGCTTTGCTGGCGACGCCTGCGGGGTCCCCTAGCCTGCTCCTTTCCACGATTCTGTCGTGATATAGTTTCACGCTTTTAATCGAGGTCGATAGCCACGTTGAGTCATTAGCACGGCACTTGAAGACAAATGATTTGAAAGGCGTCTCCACAACGTACTGAAAATCACTTACTTCAAAGTCGTCTCCCTCGACAATAAGTTCTTTGATCCTTACGTCTCTCTGAGACAAGTCAATGTCATACTCAAGGTCGAAATAGAGATTAGTCTCTGGTTGCGCCACACTCCTTTTAACAAAAACAAGACAGCGACCAAATGTTGTGATCACCAAAAATCTTTTCAAAAAACCTGATAGTGGGAATACTTCTGCAACTCGTGGAGCCTCCTCGTTCTTGACTTGGAATAGTTTTTTGAATTTATTCGACACCGCATGGGTCTCTTCAGTGTCAGACTCAGTTTTTTTGTAAGAATCAGCAACAACTCCATCCGCGATTGACCATTCGAGATAATAGTCTTTCTCGAGAAGACTCTCAGAATTACTTTCAGATCTGAAACCCGTCACACCGCCCCCGGACCTCGCAACCTGCGATAAAAATGTGGTTCTCTGTGTGGGACGTCCCAGGTCGACTAGAGACGCATTCGTCTTGGATAATCTCTTCTCCAAGATAAGAGACTTCATGCTAGTCATTTCCACTTCTCCTGTTTTGAGAACCCGCTCATCAATATTTTTCAGATAGAAAGACCACAGGATATCAGTTTTATTCATGGGGGGTACTGCATGAGCGGTGGCAGATGATCCGCTGCTGCTCCCTGTCTGGGTTCGATCCGAACGAGAAGGTGGGGGGACAGGAGTTGGTCTAGGAGACGGAGGATCTGTTGCGTTAGTTCCACCAGATGATTCGGATCTAACTGTATTGGGCGGAGGGGTCGACCTAGCCGGAGTCTTCATTAGAGCTAAAGCAGCAGCAGATGCCGCACTGGTTGTTCTCCTGTTGTTCTGACGTCTATTCTGAATTTCTCTTTTAGCATTTTCCAATATCTGGGCGGTTCTGGCATCCGTTGGAGGCCGAACTGTTTCCGAGATTTTGGGTTCATTCGTAGGCTCGGGTGTTGATGGAGCTGAAGGAGTTTGTGGCCGGCTTTGTTTTTTTGGCATATTGATAACAAGCCGTGGTTTTGTTTTGTCAAGGGCAGATACTGGCTGCATGGCCTTAGCATTCATCTTGTAAGGAACAATCTCGGGAGCGGGTTCATTCCAAATGCTATTATCGTCAAAATTTGTGTCTTTGAAAAAATGGTGTTTCTTGATCTGTGCAGCATCTAGCCTATTCTCGGGTGCTTTCACCAGAATACGCTTGATCAAATCTCTGATGATTAGCGGGAAACCCGCTGTGAATGCATATTGAACTTTCATGACTTTTTGAAAGGTCAAGTATTCATTGGTTGCCTTGAATGGTGGCTTCCCAGCTATCATTTGAAACAAAATGCACCCAAATGCCCAAATGTCACACTTGTAGTCCACGTAGTTATCATTCAAAAGTTCGGGTGAGACGTATTCAGCCGTGCCAACAAATGATTTCGACCTTTCTGTGAGATCATAGGAGTCTGCACTACCGTTTTTGTCGAGAAGTTTGGCGGTGCCAAAATCTGTTAGCTTCACCTTCATATCTTTATCCAGCAAGATGTTTTCAGGCTTTATGTCTCTGTGCACTACCCCCATGTGGTGAAGGTAGTCTATAGCATCTAGAATCTGGGCAGAGTAGTATCGCGCACAGTCCTCTGCCAAAGTCCCATATTTCTTGATCACCGAAAGAAAGTCGCCGTTGGGCGCATATTCCAGTAGAAAATAAAGGCTAGCTTCGTCCTGGAAAGTGAAATACAACTTGATCACACCTCGACCATTGTTCAGTCGCTGTAGTGTGTTTTTCTCGATATTGACGTATTTCACTTTTTTCTGACGTATGAGGTACTCCTTATTGAGCACCTTGACAGCATATTTCTTGCCACTGTCATTGGAACGAGCGAGCATAACGGTCGAGTACGAGCCGTCTCCCAACACTTCGCCAAACTTGAAATCTTTGATGCCCTTTTTGATGACGTGTTTTGCCATTACTCCAGTTTCTGGGTTTACAACTTCTCTCACGATCTTAGCAGCACCCCTTTCAGCCCAATCGTCGCGCCTTTGACGCATTGATTCCGCCATGTTCATCTCTTTGATCGAAGACATCTGATTGTTGTCAACTGGTACTAAAGAGTCGGTACTGGATTGTGCACTGGTTTCCAATTCACCGTTGCTGCTAAGACTGTAATTGTCCGTTCCGTTAGTCGGTTTGAATTGGCGAGACGAGTCCCCATGGATCTGAATGAAGTTGTCCGTGTCAGTGAGTGCCTTTTCCAGCGGCGGTCTTGCTAAATTCTGTCCATAGCAATGTCTGGAAGAAGCATGTTGTTTAGCAGTTTTTAGTTCTTCTGGAACCGAATTCACAGATATCTCAGACTGGGCCAAAACAGACCGATGGTCCAGCCGCAGCGCTGGTGCCTTACTCGGGTCCTGGTCCCCTGGAATGAGTGGTCTTTCGTAATCTAAAGACATCCTATTACTGATTTTTGGTGAAGGTTCCGAATCAATGCTGTTTCTTGGTCCAATTCTGTTGTAGGAAAGCTATGAAGTAGCAGAAAATTGTGCATAGGTCACAACCAGCTTCGCAAACGGTTCAATCAGCCTCTGGAAAGGGTTAACGCTCCAGAACACTGAGCTTTTTCACCTGAATTGATCTGCAGGAGATGTAGTGAATTGCTAACTTGATTTATTAATATCTACCACCTTGCATTCGTCAAAAAAGAGTGACAGATACAAAGAAAACCTACAGTTTCGACCTCGCTAGTCACCGTAACCACTCAATGGCTCTACAATTGAAAAACTAGGCTCCTAAGGTTTTCTTGGGATGGTCTTGGACTTCGAAACGATGCATTTTTGGTCAAGTTAGAGGTGACGTTTTGTGACGACACTTGTAAAAGGGTATGCTACCTTGGAACCATAGAATAGTGTTTATATATGAGCTTGTTTAGCCTGGCCAACCCATTTTTGGTGACTTTACTTCAGTCAAAGTCGGCAGCTCTGGCAAGTTTTCGTCTCGTCTCGTCTCGTCTCGTCTCGTTCCATTTCGTTTCGTTTCGTTTTGTATATGGCAACAACAGAGCTGGTAGACTGCTTCGAGCAGGATGCTCAGGAATATTTGGGTCGTTTGCGATTTCGCAGTCGATTGCGGTCGTGGCTCTCCGGATCGACAACATCTTGGGCCAGTTGCCTGGAAAGAGATAAATTCAATACCGCAGAATACAGCTACGACACAGAACAGCTCGAGCTGCTGCTGATACTTAACGGGCTCAAAAGTGGACCGTCCTCCAGCGCTGCTGAAAACAGGACCTTTTCTCCTGTAGACACAGAATCTTCCAACCTGGGCTCCAAACACGACCAGGATCCGCATGCCGAGCCACCGCAACGCTCTAAAAGACGAGTTTTCGAGTTGGTTCGTCGTTTCAGAAAGGCGATGCGCAGATCGCGCAAAGCCGATGAGCCACAGGCATCTTCTACACGCAGCGGTGACGAAAACTATATGAGAGTGCTCGAGGACTCGAAAAAAAGTGTTGGGTCAGAGTCCTTGAGTTCAAAGCACAACAGCTCACAGGAATCGTGCGTGGCACCATCCACAAATGTTCTTTCACTACTACAGCAACATCCAGGAGGCTATCATTCAACAATTCAGTCTTTCCGATAGGCTTGAGTACTTACCTTCTGCATTGCTCGGTCATGCTGGAACTTAGAAATCGCACAATTGCATCAGTGGGCTTATTCGAAAGCTAAGATCAGCGACAATCTCACCAAGATACAAGCCTATCAGTTTCATTCCGCTTCCCTTGAGGAAAACACTGAAAACTGTGTTTTTCAACCTGCACAGCTCATCTCATCGCCCAGGCTCGTATACTACTAGTGCTGAAAAATTAATCCCAACGAAAGCTGAGTACATTATGTTGAAACCTTTAACTATAAAAGGTGTGGTCGAAACTACCCAAAGATCAACTCTGAACCTTTCCAGAAGTTTGGTATCGTAACTAGCGTGCCAGTTTATCCCTAGGATTTCAATGAGCGTAACTTGCACGGTACGGCAACGGCGAAGCACGCCTGGGAAAGTGGGAAACAGTGACCGGGTGAAAAACGCTGGTAAATCCGCTTTCCAAAAGCTTTGCAGCTACAATGAGCTTCCCGAATGGCAACGCGACAACGACAAGATCCTACGGGGCTATGTTCGTGAGACGCGGTCCCTAATCAAATGCGTGAAGTCGCTCTTTTACTTCCACAACGAAACTGTAAACATCTACACCCATTTGATTCCTAGCGGGACATATCTGGCATTGCTACTGTTCTTCACGGATCTTGTGCTGATTCCCCAGTTCCCGTCAACCTCTATGTCGGATTACATTATGATCAACTTTTTTCTTCTGGGGGCCTTTTTATGCCTAATGTGCAGTAGTTGCTTCCACTGCATGAAACAGCACTCCGAGGCTCACAGCGACGTCTGGAGCAAAGTCGACTACATGGGCATTATCGTGCTGATTTCGTGTTCTATGGTATCGCTGCTGTACTACGGATTCCACGATTACTTGCTGCATTTCAAGCTTTTCACCATTGTAGTGGTGGTCCTGGGATCCATATGTGCGGCGTTTGTCTTGAACGATCGTTTTAACGCCAAGAACTGGCGTGCGTTCCGGGCCGCTTTTTTCGTGCTGTTTGGATTCAGTGGAGTTGTGCCCATCATCACGGGTCTGGTCAAATTTGGAATTGAAGAATCCTGCAAGAGAGTCCAGCTCCGATTTGTATTGTGGGAGGCGCTTTTCTACATTGTAGGTGCCGTGATATATGGTCTGCGGCTGCCCGAAACACTTTTGCCCGGAAAATTCGATTTTGTTGGCCACAGTCACCAATTATTCCATGTGTTGGTCGTGCTGGGTTCGATCTGCCATTTCCGGGCGCTGATCGGGTCCTATTTCTTCCTGCACACTGGTCTCAGCACTTCGAATCTTCTCAATCTGAAAGTTCTGTCATGAGGGGCTGTGCACTGCCGGCAAATAGAATATGATCTATGCTTTTCGTGACATTTCATGACAGTATCTTTGCTTAAACGCTGCAAAGACCTGAATAAACATGTATACATAATACAATAATACGTAAGCCCTGGATGGCTTACAATCAGAAATGGGAACCTTTTGCGGTGTAGGATGGTATTTCGGTTTGCCAAGTCGCACTCATGTCACTTTGTACTACGATGTCGTTTTTGCAGATGACAGATTAACGATAACTGTGATTTTACAACAGGAAAAAGTCGAAAGCGTACGAGGAATGTCGAAAAATGCTTTCCTCTCTTAATGCATGATCTTTAGAGTTCCTTCAAGGCACTTCCAAATTTTTCGGAGCTTTTCCAGTGGATCTGAATATATTGTTCAAAAGTTGCGTTTCAACATAACGGGAAAAAAGAACACGGGCATGATTCCAGAAAATAAGGATAGCTACAATATATAGTACAATTTAGTAATTTAAAGCAGCGAATTCATGTTCTGTAGGTGTAAAATCAGGTTTCCCACCTCCATCACTATACACGAAGTGGAAAAGTTCCACCAATATTAGCTAACTTCCCTCATCAAGCTAAAGCGATGAGCTCACCACTTGTTGGCATCAAATAGCGCTATTCTTCAGCTCAAAGCCATCCACAATCTTGCAATACTATCATGGGTTCCCGTATGGCCGCGCTGGCCGCTTATAGAAACGGTCTGCGAGCTACAAAAGTCGCTTTCAGTCAAGATACAAGAGTTCTTCTAGCTGCAAGAGCTCAGATGAGAGATGGTATGTTGCATCCACCAAACCCACAGCTATCATCAGAAGAACAGATAAAACATTTGAACGATGTTGCCGAGTTCTTGCGACGCAATATCGTGCAAGGAAAGAGAACTGAGGGTGACAAATATGCGTTGAACATTCATAAAGACACCGAACTGGGAGATAACGAAACGGTAAAACAAGCAAAAGCTACACTTGTGGCAAAAGGAGGAGGCTGCTGCGGTGGTGGCCAGAAACTGTACGACTAGTTCGTCGTCACCTTTTGTCTCCCGACCCTTTCAGTCTTCTTTGAAGACCTCATACCTGTAAATACATGCATTTTATGTATACGCTTAGTTAACTTGCTGCTGATTTTGGAAAATTGTAAAGGCTTGTTGAAAGAACCAAAACCTTGATAGGAAACCCGTCATCTGAGAATATTCCTCGGCAGCGGTCCACACCAGCTACTTCTTTTTGTCCTTTTTTTCTCGAAATCCATATTTTGTTGTTCATTCATGCCATCTCATCGCATCCGTTCACTTGCGTTTTGAAGATAAAAGCTAGAGAAAGCTGGGCTATGTCCGAGAATAAACGGGATATCCAGATATCCAAGGCGCTGGCATACCTTCTGCGTCATGGAGCTGTCAAGGAAGGCCTTCCCATAGACAACAATGGTTACGTCTCCATTGATCTTTTGCTTCGACACAACAGGCTGAAAAGCTTGCATTGCACGCTACAAGATGTTGAACGAGTGGTGGCCAACAATGCCAAGAAACGGTTTCATATTCAAGCTTTCCAAGACGGCCAAACGGCCATCTGTGCCACACAGGGCCATTCTCTCGCGCAAGTGACTCCATCGGACGAATTCCTTCATAAAGTCTGCGTCCAAACGGAGCTCCCATCGAAACTCGTACACGGCACCAGCTTCAGCAGTTTGAAACTCATACTGCAATCCGGCTTTCTTAAAAAAATGCGCAGAAACCACATCCATTTGGCGGCCGGTGTCACTGGCTCCGACGACAACGTGGTCAGTGGCATGCGAGTCTCCAGCAATGTGTTCATCTACCTGAAGGTGAAGGAGCTGTGTGAAAGACTTCAAGTGTTCAGATCTTTGAATAATGTCTATCTGACGCCCGAGGATATACCAATCGATTTGTTTCAATGCGTGGTTTTGATTGGCAGCGAAAAGAGCAAATCTACTGTCCACGAATTAAAACTGGCCTTAGAGCAGCTTCATGTTCCATGCGAAGTGTCTGAGGGTTGATATCATTGTTGAAGCTCGCACCAGAGATTTTTCAAGACAGATTGTTCGACATCCAGAGCTCGTCATCTACAATACGAACATGCAAGTGGAAATAAAACAGCAAAAAATTCAAAGCTCAGTATTCCATCGAACTGCCTATGCAAAGCTCTAAAAAGCTACCGATTTGACCAGAGTAATGGCATTTGAAGCGTTTGATTCGAGTTCCGTCAAAATCGATTTGTTTTGGCCTCAAGGAAGCTTCTCTTCCCACGAAACTTGGTAGAAAATAAGGAAAATATCCAAAGAACAATTCGCAATTTTTGGATATACCATTTGGCTTTTATATGCTGCGTTGTTTGCAATGACACGCTTTCTAGTCTGTAAAACTGTTCTTTCACTGTAGCTAGTTCATCTCTCTTATAAGCACATCTGAAAAAATATTGAATGAAAAGTGAGAAGTTCACCAAAGTTCGAAGTAAAAGGACGCTAAAGAGCCCATTTGGAAGCGTTTGAAACTCTGAAAGTCAGCTATGATTGTACCCAGGAAACTTGGGCATTCCAGGAGACTTTACAGCGGCGCTATCTCCCAGGATTTTCTGAAAAATGTGCTAGAACGAGTGAAAGAGACCGCCGCAAAAAAACCAACGTTTAATCGGCCAAATCCAAGAAGTAGGGCCCCTAGACGTGCCAATGACAATGGTGAAACCGGCAGAAATCAATATGGCAAAAAATCTGGCAACAGAAACGCTGTTTTTGCTAATGGTCCTGCAACAAACGATTCGAATATGGCCGGCAGAAAACCAGGTATCAACGCTAGTATCATCAACAGACAGCCACAATTTAGACGCAGAAGGACCGGTGCGGACGATGTGGCCAAAAAAGACGCTAGCTCCGAAAGTATCGGCATAATGGACGCTTTGGATTCAACCAGCGGCGTTCAATTCCGTCCGAACAGATCACAACAGGCCTCGAATTCAACGGGAAGAAAACCTCGTGCTCCCCGGACAGCACAGCGCTCAATTCCAGGTCGCACAAACTCGTCTTCCTCAGTTGAGGGAATCGCTTCCCAGGTTAGAAAATCGACTCCTTCTCAACAGTATTCACCAGAGGAGCCTACGCCGCTTGGGCTGCTTAAATATGCACCGAAATTGGCCTTCAATTCGTTTTCCAAGATGACATCTTTTGGGCTAGCAACTTTACAAGAAAACGACTTTCCACTAACGCGCCCTGTAAATTTGGGAGTGGTAACTTCTCCATCCGAAAATCCCCGTAACGTATCTTTGAGCCCCAATTATGCGAGTTTTAGTAAATTCATGCCTGCTTCGTCCTTAGCATGGGGCAGGGAAAGACTATTCAAAAATACCGCAGTGTCGCTAGACGTGAGCCAATTCGAAAAAGCTGTGAAGGGAGAATACATTCATTTATCGCCAGCTGATCAGAAAGCTTTTGAAGGCATTGCTAAAAACGCTAAGAAAAGAGATGACTTGGTTAAAAACAGTGATATTGTTAGATTAAGTTTGGAAAAATCTAACATGGACATCGCCAGCAAGGACCTCGTGTTCAACGTATGTTCGGGGCTCAAGCCAGTCTCTCAGCTCAAAGTGTAAAAGGTCACTGCTCTGTGAGCTTATCGTGTCTCAAATATAAACATGTATATAAAGAAACTTGACTCAATTTCGAAGGTTGCCTTTTCCCTCCAGTTGTGCAAGAAGCTCAACGTCCTTATAGATCTTCTGCTTCAATAGTGCTTTTGTTAATTCTTGATTCGTGATCATTGTTTTGATTTTGACCAGTACCAAGGCTAAAGAGTCAACAATATCTGCTAAGCCAAAATCATGTGGGATAAGCTTCAGAACTTCAATCAAGCCTTCAAGAGAGGTCATGGAGTTGAGATGTTTTCCTAAATGATTTTTCAGCAGCATGAATGAGTCGTTTTTGGATTCGAGTTGCAGGTAAAATTTTAGGACTTTTATTACATCCTTCTCGGTAACTAGCTTGTCGATGGTTTCGAAGTCATTGTAAGTCATTAACTTGTCCAGCAAGTCTTGCTCAAAAATCAAATGCTTGTCTTCATCTTTTACCAAAAAGAAGAGCAGCATATTAGCAATGTCAAAGAGCTTTATTTTTTCAACAACAGCATCGAAGACAAGCCTATCGTCATCTGCATACATCAATGCTCTAAGCTTTTCTCCATAATGTAGCAGGTCGCTACACTCGGGACTTGTGTTCAGTTTCAGGTCCAAGAAGGTCTTTAAGCTCGGCTTTAAATAGTCCAGATCTTGAGCATAGGATGCAGATAATGCACCAAGAAACTCCCACAGGTTATCTCTTTCCAATACTTCTCGAAGTCTCGAGACATAATATTCTATCATAAAATGCTTATCATTAACGTCATTGGAACCTAAAGCCTCCAAAATCGCCATTTTCGTGACGTTCTTCTCGGGCACGGATATCAAATCCTTTACGCCAAGCTTGGATCGACTCAGAATGTCTGTGATATCTTTCATCATAGGTTCGCGTTCGAGTACATTAGCCGCAGTCTCTATCAGGAACACAATATCTTCCAGCAGCCTCTGGTCGTCATATCCTTGGCTTTTTTGTAGATTTGTGAGATTCTCAAGAATGAAAGAGCTTATTTGAGGCCCGTTCTTCCCTTCCTTCAGCAGCGACAGGCAGCTTGGATAGTCACCCACGCGAAAATAAATGTCGTACATCAACCGGCTATACTGCTCCTCTTTTCCCTTGAGTAAGACTAGTATATCCAGGTAGCTCGTGGCCTCGCATTGGTCTAAGTCGACACTAAGTCCATGATCCACATAATACTTTACAATTGCGATATCGACACTGCGAGAAACGTTCTCTCTATCCTTTATAGAGACTAATTTATCATCTCGGAGCTCGACCCGAATTGTCTCGAGCTGTTCCGCAAAGTTTGTGAATTTATTGCTCAACTTCAACCCGCGCGTTTCGCTGATGAACTTTATAAGACCATTGGGCACCCAAACATCACCAAACACTTCAATATCACACAAGTTTAAAAAGATTCGCAGATCAACATCCACAGCACTAGTGCACCATTCCATGACAATTGATCGATCTATCGACGGGCAATGTAAGGTCATGAGAAAGAGTTGCAATAGGCGTAAATAGTGCATCTCGAGTTTTAGGTGAGATCCCAAATAATTGAGGCCTCTGTAATGCTCCAGTATTCGGTTGATCTTCTCAATCGTCGGCTCGTCGTAGTCGTTGACTTGAAGAATCACAGGTTCCTTGCTCAACAGATAAATTCCTGCAGAGGAATATAACAGTGAAGACGTGTTTTCTTCATAGTTGTTCTCCACATATGCTCTTTCTTCGTTGATGCGAAATTCATGAGTACCTGGAGTCAAGGGAACAGAGCGAAGCTTCTCAACGACTTGTTGCTTTCTTTCCGGCTTGTCGACGGAAAAGATATTGCTTGTCTTCGCTAACCGTAGCCTGCCATCATGAGAAGTGCTCCAGAATTTTTGCACAATCTTGGGCTCGTTATTCATCTCGAGCTGATAGACGTAGACGCCATGTTCACCGTAATCCACGAGTATCAGAGGTAGGTCGATGAGAACGTCTAATGGGTACTTTTCGAAGACTAGAGTACCCTGTGTGATATCGCCTTGACAATTTACGACAAGTCCCATTGCGCTATCTTCCATGGAGTTCCCGCAGCACACAAGAAACTCATCAGTATTGAAAATTGCAACCAAAGGCTTTAGGTCGGCGCCTGTCTCACTGACGTGAAATAAAGGGACGGTTTCTTTGGTCTTGAGATCTGTGAGTTCGTAATTGGATCCGTTTGACGCCATCATCGACTTGCGGTAGACTTTAGCCCTCGAGATCGGCTTGGAGAACACCAAGTCGGAGGTTACAATACGCTTATTGAATACGGTGACTTTTTTGGCTCCTTCTGAACCAAATACCTGTATCTGGTAAGCATTTGAGCTGGAGGAGTACCGGATTACTTGGAAGTCACACACGTTGGGTATACTGCCCATATTGGGGACAGGTGCGAATTCAGGTAAGAGAAAGAAGTGTAAAGCCCCTCCGGTGTGAACTAATGCGATTTCGATCAATGCAAGTACTCTGATCGCTTCAATTGGCTCGCAATGCTCGGGATCGAATTTGGTCTGGGAAACTAGCATATAGTTTTTAGTCTCCATCTCGAAATAGTGCAAAAGATCGCCTTGTTGTGTTCCCAAATACAGATTTTTGTCGTGAGCATCGAAACTAGTGGGGCTACAATCGTTTGGTAGGTATTCAATCAGAGTTTCCAGTATCAAAGGGCCCTGTGAAGCATTCACTTTTGCACTTTCGCGCAAGCTGGGATCTCTGTCATTTGTGTCATTATCGTTCGAGTTATCGATTTTCGTGGGTTCCTTACCAGTATCCTCAGCTTCCGATTGCTGAAGACTCCCCTCATCGCTCATACCAGTGCAAACGGGACTAAGCACAGTGCTTTGTTTGAGCAGAACCTTGAATCCATCGAGCTTCTTGAGATGAGATGAGATGAGATGAAATAAGAGAATACACTATAATGAATTTCAAGAGTGTCGTGGCAAGAGATAATGTCTTCGAGTAAAGTTGGCTTTATGTATAATGTACAAGTTTTGATCAAATGGAGTCACTTATGACTTCTCATTCATTAGTTTTGCCAAGAGACGACTACCCTTGTTGTCGCTGCTGTCTTTGTCGATGCTCTTTGCGACTTTTTTCAAGTCTTTCAAGAATTTTTTGTTTCCGGCCTTGGACAACGACTCATAAAGTGCCACGACGGTGAAGGAGCTATCAGCGTTGTTGATCCAATCCAAAAGATTTGTTTCGTCAATGATGGCTTCGTAAAACTTCTGGGCAAATTCAGGTCCAAGACCTTGAACTTTATGCAATGGTTCGAGCTTCTTTTCTTTGGCATTCCACTTTCCGCCCTGAATCAACGATTTTAACAGACGGACAGAGAATGGTCTGTGAATTGGATGAGTTTCCTCTGAAATGTCACCTTTGAAATAGGCAATGACAGTGTCGATAACTTCCTGGAACCTTTGCTTGTCTTGTTCGCCGAGCTGCTCGTAGAATTCATCATTGACAAGCACCTCGCTTATGAATTGGCACCCGAGAGTTTCCTCCAAAATCAAGTCGTAGTACTTGGCAATGGTGCTCAAATACATGGGCGCAAACTTATTCAGAAGCTCCCGTCTTCTCTGCTCAAAAGGCTTTTTCGAGGTCTTCTCTGAAAGCTTGATATACTTTTGCAACTCTTTCTTGGCGTTGGGCGAGAAATACTTCCCGTCAAGTCCTAGAAGAATGTACAAGAAGGGCCTTCTCCCAAACTTGTCAACAATCATGCTTTGCAAACGATCTTTGATGGCGGGCCCAAATGATTTAAACATCATTACAGTGTCATCAACACACATTAGCGCGGTGACAAACACACTGTTACCAAACTCGTTTCTGATAAGATTGTCAGCATGGTCCTTCAAATTCTTAATGATCAGCTTTCTCTCCTTTGCGGTAGCTCTTGCTATTAGTGTGGAACAGACCTCAGCTCCTTCTGGAGTATGTACCAGCTCCGCAAATTTGTCTTCGAGCACCTCTATGAATTCTGAGATTTCCTTGTCGCCCGCGATCTTGACGTATTCGACCATGGCGGCATGCAAGATCTGGAACCCCACAGAGCCCTTTTCGACCGAGGCGGTGATTGTACCAATCAAGTTCTTGCTGATGATGTTCTTTTTTTCTGCGCTGCTCTCGCACACTTGCTCAAGAGTCAAGTCTTTGTGGGCGTCCCTGAAAACAGCGTATTCGGCACCCCAAAACTCGCGGATCATCTGTTGTCTTTGTTCGTGGGAAGCGTACAACACATACAGGTCTTCCACGACGTGTGCACCTTCACGATGTCTCATGAGCTTTCTCAAAGATCCGTGCAGTTCATCGATGATGACTTGTCTGGACTGCTTTGTACCGTAATGCAATAATTTGACCAAAAGGTATTTACCGTAGGAAGAAGTGGCCAAGACGTAGTATTTGCCCTTCAGGGCGTCAACGACCTGTTCCCGACGCTCTTTCGAGGAGTACTTGACCAGGGTTTGCACCACACGCGACGCATCGTGTTTCATCACCAGATCACTGATACAGTCTTTCGAAAGTTCCCACACCTCGTTGGCCAGTTTTTCACGCACGGGTTTAGGCACCGGTGGGTTGTTCACACGCAGTCTTTCCCACAACGATTTGATCTGCTGGACTTCGTTACCGGACTTTCTTTGCAGTTTACGCTCTTTCAAAAGCTTTCTTTGCTCTGCATGTTGTCCTGGACCTTCACTAACGCTTTTTTCCTTGTCTTCTTCGTTGCCAGCTGAGGTTTCCTCGTCTTCCTCACTATCAGATCCGGTTTCTCCATCTGGCTGGTCTAATTCGTCTTCTTCAGAGCTTGCGTCTAGCTCGTCCTCTTCCTCAACTTCTTCTTCCTCATCGTCCTCATCGTCCTCTGCTGAAGAAATGTCTTCGCTGCTGGACGTAGAATCAACTTCAACTCTAGCTTTTTTCGCACCTTTCTTATCATTCACCTTCAAAGCATGTTTCTTACCATTCTTGGAAGCAACAGGAGCCATTATCACTGGTAAAGTTGGATCTGGTTTCTAGCGCATGTTCTTGAAATTCTAGCTCATCGCATCGACTAAAATTTTTTATAATTATTATGACATAGGGTAAACAAGAAGAATATCAAGTTGGGCGTCAGTTTGAAAGAAAACGTACGTGGAGTATGATGCGAAGAATAATTAAGAACTTATATGTGGGTGGTGGTGTATTTAACGGCTGAAAAGCTTTGGAAACGTAGGATAACTATTGCATTATCCAGAACTTTAACCAGTAATGCAGAGGGGTTGAGTCCTCTCCATGTTCTATCTCACTTTGATTTTTTTGTCTTTCCAGGTTCTTCCTTGCTGTATGAAGCTTTGTCTTAATGCCAAACCTAAAGGATAATATTATCTCCACCCGCTCGATATTGACAAATATTGGTGCTTACTTCTCCATTATCTCATCCGAGGGTTTTGTCTTGTTGTAGCCTTGCAGCTCACTGTCATGAGCAGAGTGTTTCGCGTCGGACAACTGTTGCTTACGCTTCTTGGCCAAACGCTTGGAGGCCTTGATATTGAAACCGTCTTTCAAAATAGTTTGAACTTCTTCAAGCTCAAGACCGGACAACTCAGGGTAGCAGAAGTAGATGAACAAAAACGACACAAACGACAACCCTGCAAATAGCGAAAAGGTACCGGTGGGCGTGATGTTTTGTAACATGGTTAGGAAACAGGACGCGATGACCAAAGAGCCAGCCCAGTTGGTGGCAGTCGAATAAGACGTACCAACACCACGCACCGCTTGAGGGAAAAGTTCGGATTGTTGCCATGGGACCGTACCGATACCCAAAGCGTAGAACGCGGCATATAGGATGATAGACAGAATAACGATGATTCCCCAGGCGGTGAATCCGGTCTGCTTGATTTCAGCACTGCTGCCCACAAACTTGACATCCATGAAATGGAATGCAATAGCGCACAGCACGAGCGAGAGACACATACCAGGCAACCCAATAAGTAAAATAATCCTACGACCAACACGGTCGATGGCCAGGAACGCCACCATGGTAAAGACGAAATTGGTGCCTGCCACAACAATAGACACAGCAGCTGGATTTTTGAAACCCACAGTGGAAAAAATAGTACCAGAAAAGTATAGTAGCGAATTCCAACCGCAGAATTGCTGGATGCCTTGCATGGCACAGGCGAGAACCAGGGCTCTAAAGTTCGAAGGCACGACGTGCAATTCCTTGATGGAGTTGACGACTCTCGCGGCAACAGTCTTACCAGGAATAACACGGTTCAAGCTGTTGAGTTCGATAATTTTCTGTTGAATGAGTTCTGGCGAAGCGTGGTTGTAACTTCTAGCCAATACTTCGGCAGCTTTGTCGAGTCTGCCTTGCATGACGTAGAAACGTGGGGTGTCGGGCAAAAAGCAAAAGCACGCAAACTGGATGCAGGTTGGGATCAAAGATAGCCCGACCAGAATACGCCATCCGTTGTGGACTTTGTCAAGTCCAGCACCGCAGCCGTATGCAATAAGCTGTCCTCCGGTTAGACACAGAGAGTTAATAACAACCAGACGGCCACGGATCATTTTGGGGGCAATTTCACCGATAAAAAGAGGCGAAATCAAAGACCCAATACCAACACCGAACCCCATGATCAGACGGCCCACAGCCATTTGCCAGAAAGTGTGGGCTGAGACCTGCAAAACGGCACCCACTACAAAGAAAACGTTGGAAAACATAATACAAGGTTTGCGGCCCCAGATATCGGCACACGTACCTGCCACAACCGAGCTGATCAGAGCACCGAGCGACGTGGCCGCTGTGATGATCTCTTTGTTGCCGTATGTGAGTTCTTTTCCGTCGAGGTCCGTGCCAATCGACACCAACGCGCTTGAAATGTAACCGGTATCGTAACCAAACAGAAATCCCGAGATCGACGCTACAAACGTCAACACCACGATGAACCACGAAACTTTTTGGTTGAAAGTGATCATTACAGAAGTGTCATCTTCGTCGTTGACGGGTTTGATCTGGATACGTGAGAAGGAGTTGGCATCGGAATCTGAGTCAACGTCTCCGCCTGCACCAGAAGGCCCAGGGCCAGCGCCTGCGCTGGCCGGGCCTTCCGGGTGTCCTGGAGACTCCGGTTTCCCCACGGTTTCCGTGGTGTACTCTGAGAATTGATGTTTTGTCATTGTTCACTTCAATGATGGCCAATTCTGAGAGATGGCTAGATAAATAGAGAGAAGGAGCGCTATTCTTAACGGGTTACTGCGTTCCACTCTCTGTTGTCTCTGAGTACTTGTTCCTTATTCCACAACAACAAAAATGAGAGCCAAGAAATTTCGATTCCAACTACTTTATCGACGCCTTTATATACTTCAAAAACTCCACTTTTGAACGCGGTAACAAGGGGTAGTTTTGAATCCACGGTTCTGTGGATGATCCTATCTTCTTGACTTGTCTTTGTGAGGTCGATGATGGCCACAGGTACAAAAAAAATTTTTTGGCCCGTGGGAGGAAAGGACAGTGTGTTATGTGTTAAGTTAATGTTTTTATCGGTGGGGGTTGGCCACGAATTCCGCCTCTAAAATTTTTTTTCTTTTCTGGTCTGTTTTTTTTATCTCTCGCTTGTCGTCAATGGAGGCTTGCGAGCGGGGTCTAGATCATGGTTGGTTACAAGTGAAATCAAGAGGTTTTCAGAAGTGGCGGCTAGGTGAGAGGAATCAATTGGTCTTGAATAAGATTCAATGGCTGTTTATATAGTTTTGAAATGGATATGTGGGGGGAGGGAGAAAGTAGGGGTGGGGTAAAGGATGGTAATGGCGCGTAAAAAGGTTTTCGTGCATCATGATGTATATGCACATTCGGCGAGAGAGATATCATTTACGACGATAAATCCTAGAGAATCACGCAGTGGCAAATATGCAAGTTCGGCGAACTTGCATGAGTACTTTAATATTCATGAGTACAGCTGGATGAGTCCTTTAGTGAGTACTCGACGTGAGTACTCGACGTGAGTACTTACGTGAGTACTCGACGACTCTTCATGATGCAACCTTATTACAATACAACGGTGAAGACAGTAAAAAGTAGTGAAAAAAAGGTTCCTAAGAAAAGTGTAAATGAGTGAACAACACGAAGAGTCGAGGAAATGATTGGATTTTAAGGGGAATTCACTATGGTTCGATTCGGCACGACTCCATACTAGATGGTCTCCCATTTTTCATGGTTTAAAACACGGTATTAAGCTCCCGCTCGCAAAGACCAATTCGTCTAACGTGATGTTCTGATATCATTTGGTACGACAAATACGTTTTTATAACTTTAAGAAAAGTAAACTATAAAGAGGAAGTTTTCAAGATCCCAGGTGTGCTCATAGTCTTTGCTTTCGATACAAAACTTCTCAAAATGATGTTATTCTCATTCTCAATCTCATTTAAAAGATCCGTTAACAAGATTCGAGTCACGTGACTATTTTTTTCTTTGTCTCTTTTTGTATCTCGTCCCGTAGTAGTCTTAAAATTAAATCTCTACACTATGTATCATGCCAATCCTAAAAAAAAACGAATTGATGGCACGGGAGTATCGCGAGTGCCTTTCCAATAGTTGTTGAATTACCGTCCCTTTCTCCGCTAAATTCTAGCTAAGCCCTTCACCCCAAAGGGAAATTAGCTTGTATCGAACACGTCTGCAAAAATCATGTCACGTGTTGGAGAACACCCCGCCCTCGACTTGGTAAAACCGTACTCCCCATGGCGGTTGTCAATCGTTACCACCGGGAGAGAACAGAGGCGGAAAAATGCTTCAATCGTGTTTTGTTTACCTTCTGGTTTGCCGTTTGAGGATCCCCAGAACTAATTTGGAAAACTCACAGCATAGGTGCTCAACTTTTGCCTTTTCTTCAAACACCAAAAACGACACGCCTGGACAAAAAGACAGTATCTGGCGTGCTCATTGTGCATTTCGGGAAACTTAGTGTCGTGTCCTCATCTCTAGCTTTACCGTTGCAGCCTGACGGTTTAGTAGATTGTGTCCGTCCGTAGTGAAATTCTAATGAAATTCTAATAATTTCCTGGCAAGACTGTGGTTTTACCGGCTTTAAGCAAGCGTCTTGCAGTTGGACTTTTTTCTTTCAGCCACCCCGTGGTTAAGAGATGTAATCAAGCGCTCTGGCCGTGGTGGCTTTGATCGCTGGCTGCTCATGGCAGAGGCCAATACAGATTTCTTGGACGAGCGTGGCAGATAAGTACAAAGTGATATCACTGAGTACTCGACAAGCACTGCAAATATGCTGTCTTGACAGTAAGCCAAACTTTTAGGTCAGTCTGTTTCCATTGACGGCCCTCCTGTTGGTGGCACATTCTCTAAACGGGCTTCAAGACGTGGATACCCACGTTGGTGGTAAAATATGCACTCACTTTTCAAAAGACCGTTGAGAAAGGGCCGTGATAGGTCCTGGTCCATCGACTTCTCTGTCCCTTGTAATTTTTGATTTGCTCCCTTTTCACAACTCGTCCCGTATTCTGGAAAACGCATCATCTACCGCATCACCCACCATCGTCGCCATAAAGTCAGAACCATCCTGAGTGGTTTCTGCAGCTTTCCACACGGCATCCGTAGTAACTGTTGCTAGTGTTGCAATTGAAGATGAGAATGATGTCGGATCGAAACCAACCTCGATTTTAGGAACCGCTCCGAGAATGGCCAAAATTGACCGGAAAAAGCGAAACCATAACCACAATGCGAGTTTCACAGGCATTTTGAAAACACGCCTCCAGAGCACCCAACTTATGCACAGCGCTAGAAACGCTAGCCCCGAGTATATCTGTCGCTTTTCTTGACCGGACGAACTTTGGATCACCCGCACGACTTTCGAAGAAGTGGTCAAAACCCCGGAAAGAGAATCGAACCGATCGTTCAATTTGTGCAGCGAGGTAGTCTGTTCTTGAAGCTCAGAAACGTTTAATTCGCTTTGCAGTACAGAGCTGCGCAGCATGTGGCTCGTTCGCATTAATGATGACGTTATTTTGCTGTTCGTTGATAGAAGCTTGTGCTTTTTGTTCTCAGGTTCTGTAACACGATTTTCCGAGCCTGAATCGGCTGTCGTATCGGTCTGACGACCGTGATCTATAATTTCCTGTTCATATTTCTTGTAGCCCTCTATCTGTAAGTCCCGGAGGTGCGAACGAAACTCTGTTTGATTTCGTGTCTGAGCTTTTCTGTATTGTTTTTCCAATGAGGTGATGAGATCTATGGCTCTGACAACTTCCGCGATGTGCTCAGTGACGAGTGGCGAAGCTGTGAAATCTCGTTCCTGGTCCATTTTCAGAGCTGATCCTCTGCGCCATGATAATCGAAGACCACGATGAAGTTGGCTCACGCTAACCACCAGCAATCGAATCATAGCTGCGTACTCTGAAATTAAGCTTGCGGCGTCGCTGGAAAAGGGATCCTCCATAATTCGATACTCTAGAGTGCGTAGAGCATCACTGCAGGCTGTGAAATTGCTGTCTGGACGCATTATTTTGAACTAAAGCGGGCAATTTGTATGATCTAGTAGAGCCTTGGTTGTTAGCGCTGGTACACTGTATAGGGTTCATTAGAGCTGTAGGCCTTATATATTGAAAGAATTAGAGAAAGCTCTTACGTATTTAGTGATTTGTACAATCGCGGTCACGGGATCAGGAAATAAAGTTGAAAAAGATTATTAGCCGCCCAGGTTCAAACTCTTCTTTGTACACAACCCTGCTAAAAACAACAACATCGAAGTACGTCTCTGCTGGGATAGCAAGCCAGCTTTTTCTTATCCCACACCTATTCAAGTCATATATATCTGGTATCTACCAAGCTTTCGCGTCGCGAGCAGTCTTTGTCTCCCGAATTCATGGTGGACGACGCGGTAACTTTCATCGGCTCTCCAGAGAGATCCTTTTTGGGCACTAGTCGAGGAGAAACAGCAGAATTTAACGATGACACGGTTGTGTCTCTCCCGTTGCCTTTGGTAGTTCGCTCCAGCGCTCCTGTTGTGCCTCCGTTGCGTTTCATCAAAACAATCAAGGATGCAAGCGTGCGACAGAATCACAACCTGTCGTTGCTGCTGTGGATACTGAACAGTAGCCCCAAGGTCCTGGATCTTACCCTCGACATACGTCAATGCCCTGCCCCGTTCCAGCTGTTTAAGACCTGTTTTGAAAACAGTTGCAATGCCCCAAACTACGAGTCGTTTTTGTCAGTCCAAACACTAACAAACCACAGTTTGGCGTTCAAGACCGGAAAAGCACAATATGAGATATCCGTGTTTCCTCAAATTCTACAGAGCACTCGGATGGATCAGTTCAAAACCGAGCAGCTCCTCCAGCAATACACACAGCAGTTTGCGCGGATCCTGGACGCCTATAAAGATCGCAGTCATCCAAACAGTGCAATATATCTCGGTGCAAATCTGTCGCGACTGATACAGTGCTACGTCAACGACACAATTTACGATATTGTCTACAAATGGAGACACTGGAACCGGATTCTAGGCCATCATGTTGAATTTGCTCCGTTTTCTCAACTTGTCACCAAGTTTTGGGACTCGTACCTGGTGTTCCACGTTGGCGGCTCACTTTCCCAGTTTGAAGTCAAAATGCGCCATTTTGGGAGCTTCCATTGTGACTCCAGCAAGAGAAACCTCAGGTCCAATAAATCAGGGAATACTACTGTAAAATACGGGATATGGATCGACAACATTCAAGGTGTGATTCTTCTAAGCAACATGATCACCACGGAACTGATGGATGCAGTTCCGAGTCTAACTCTGGACCTTATGGTTACTGAGTGTGACGAAAGTGTCAAAAAATTGTTGCTCTTCATCAATTGCTGCTTGATTGAATGCGTCAATCAGGAAATGACTAAGACAGTTTGAAAAAGCATCGGAACGCAACTTTATTGATCTACTGTTTTACCAGGTAAGTGCCAAACCAGCCCCTTACCTCATTGCTAAGCGACCTCAATCTTCATTGTACCAACGAGCGGAAAGGCCGAAATCCGCATTTAACCTTAACACATCGGTTAGGGTCGTCTTTTTTCAAAAATTAAACGAGCAGGGCGTGTGTTGGCATATAAAATTGAAACAACAGACTTTTTACAGTCGGTTGGATCAAACTAGAAGAAGGTAGGTGGTAAACCAGCAATAACTACAGGTTTACGTCAAAATTTGCTGCCAGACTTACACATTCGAGTTTAATTCAGAATGTCAAAAGATGCTGGGCCTTTGAACCCCAGAACTACGAGCTATGAGTTTAGCGGAATCCCCGGAGTGCTGAGCATCGCTTTCGGTCTTCCTTTACTGTCGATTGTCCTCAACCAAATGGTTCGTCCCGATTACTACATCGAGGGTGCGTTTTCCAACTTTGATATAGCAGAGCTCTGGAACCACATCAAGCCTTTGAAGTGGTACTTGTCCAATCGTGAGTTGTGGACATACTACTTGACCTGGTTTGGAGTTTTGGCAGTCTTTTATGTGACATTGCCAGGACGTACGATGGACGGGGTTGAGCTACGTGATGGTACAAAACTACGCTACAAAATTAACGGGATAGCTCTCACGACAACTTTGGCTACCATTTTGGCAATCAGATGGCATTTGACCAAGGGCGAAATGCCCGAATTGCAGTACTTGTATGACAATCAAACCGACATCTGCATTATCACGATTCTTTTTGGGTTCTTCATGTCTTTTTTCCTGTATGCTTACAGCTTCTTTCCATTGCTAAGAACCAACGGCCGCGGTACGAAAGAGCACATTTTGTCCGTGAGCGGCAACACCGGAAACCCCATCTACGATTGGTTCATTGGTCGGGAATTGAACCCTCGGCTAGGTCCCTTGGACCTCAAGTTGTTTTGTGAACTGCGTCCAGGTTTGCTATTGTGGTTTTTGATCAACGTTGCCTGTTTGCACCACCACTACGTGCAGACCGGTGAATTGAACAATGCCATTCTTTTCGTCACTTTAGCCCAAGGCTTTTACGTCTTTGATGGTATTTTGAACGAAGAAGGCTGCTTGACGATGATGGACATCACCACCGATGGGTTTGGCTACATGTTGACTTTTGGAGATCTGACCTTGGTACCTTTCACTTACACTTTGCAGGCACGCTACTTGAGTGTTTCTCCAATCAGTCTGACCGGTCCCTATCTGACCTTTCTGGTAGCGTTGATGGCCCTCGGCTACTATATCTTCCATTCTTCCAATAACCAGAAATCCCAGTTTCGTCAAGGCAAGCTTCCACACTTGAAGAGTATCGACACAAAGAGAGGCACTAAGCTATTGTGCGACGGTTGGTGGGGGATGTCTCAGCACATGAACTACTTTGGAGACTGGTTGATCTCGCTCAGCTGGTGCCTTGCCACCGGTTTCCAGACCCCGTTGACCTACTACTACTCGTTGTATTTTGCTGCCCTGCTGATCCACCGCCAGCAGAGAGATGAGCATTTGTGCAAGATCAAATACGGCGACGACTGGAAGAAGTACGAGACCGCCGTGCCCTACAAGATCGTGCCCTTCATCTATTAGAGTAGTTTCTACGCTAAGCACTAAGCTGCATACCCTATGTATATCATCTATTCTTATAACGCTTGTACATCTAAGTGTTCCTGATCGCCATGAAAACAGGAGTGGTGCGGTGTAGTCACATTGCAAAGACGTTTCCTCACGACTGCTGCACGTCCCTGGAGTGCTGCTCGATGAGATCTACTTGGTACTTGCAGAGTGCAGCACGAAGATCGGGGAGTAGCTGTTCTTTGACCAATACATAGTGTTCTCCAAATCCCTCTGGTCGAATTTCGAAATCCGTTTCGTCGTGCACAAGCTCAGGGACCAAAATTTTGCCTTCACAAACCAGTGTTTCCGATTCTGTTTCAACTACCTGAGACACGAACTGGACATTGAGGTCAAAATAGCAGATTACCTTGCCCTTACGTTGAGAAACGTGTGAATCGCCTGTCACCGAGTCCAATTTTACGATTCGTACCGTATGTGCTCCATTGGATGCCACCACAGATGGTAAACTTGCAGGCAAGTTTTGAAGGTAGGATTCAGTCCATGGGAGTGTGTTTTTGTCAACCCAGTGCCAATTATTAGGATTGAGAACAACCATAGTATGCTAGCGAAGCAGACCGACAAAGAAGATATTGGAAATCAAAACCAACGCTATTACCAGCAAAGGTTCGCAAGATTGTAGCGCAGAGGTTGGTGAAGGGAATGGACTTGGGCCTTCTTAAATCTCTGGTAGTTTGGATTCTATTTCGAACTGGTTAGTTCTTTCTAGAACCTGGCGATGAGCGTGGAAAAAAAAAATTTTGGGAAGGCCAGGAAAAACAGTAGAAACGAGAACTGCTGAAGAGTTGAGCGATCCTTAGAGCAAACGACAGTTTTACTTGGACGATTTGGCTGATTTGGTATTCAACGATACCTCTGAAGCTATTACGCCTATCCTAGACTCACTAAATTTGAGCCATGGTTGCGGGGTCACGTGACCGACTCTTTTAACCAGCTGAGACGCAAATTGCAGGTCAAAATTCGAATTTTCGATCAACAATAGCATCCCATCGTGAAACTGGTCCTTGGGACAGCATTCGTCCAAATGTGAGATGAATCCCCGCGGTAGTGGGACTAGGACCACTTCATATCGCGATACACGGGCCAATATCGGAATCTGAGCTAGTAAAACACTGGGGACAGAATCGCGATTGCACACGAATAGAAAGACGCGGGGCAGCTCTGTGTGTGTATTGGATGTGACGGCATCAGTTTTGACGGGACCTTGCAAAAATGTGACCACATTGTTAAATCCAAAAAGTGCTTCTAAAGAATCGGGCGCCTGTTGTAAAACCGAGGTCACGTGACTCCGCACCAATTCCGCAACTAATGGTTGTTCCTCCACGTAAGGCCAATTGTGAGCTTCATCTGTGTATGGATTATCTAGAATAGGTTTGTACACCTGTTTTTTGACAGCTGATTGTTGCAGTTGCTTGAGGGAGCTCATAAAATCTGGTTTTTATGGATGAAGTTATAGCGCGATGAGCTAGAAAGCTTGGTTTTGATTACATCGACTTATGATAATACCTATTTACTGTGACGTAACAAGTGAGAAAAAGCGACAGGACAGATAAAGATGGAGGATTTCAAAGTCTTAGATTTATATGAAGCTGAACAGTGGCTTTGGAAGGTTTTTGGTGTATTCGGATAATACCTTGGAAGTGAACACTTGGTTAAGAAACGCTCGACTCTGAAATGATGACGGTTAAATCTTGTCACTATATACGAAATAGGTGAGAATACCGTACAATAGCAGTGAGACAGGTCTTTTTGTCACGATTTGCAGGCAATATCGGGTATTTGCAGTTTTAGACGTAGACTACAAACTATCTGTTTATAAGTTTTTGAAGTTAAAGGTTCGAACAGTAAAACTACCAAAAAAAAAAAGGTATAGTAAATGACACGAGCACGTGATCTCGGTATCTATTCTTCGTTGCTGTCTATGGGAATGCGGAGAATCCTCATCTTCTGGCTGGTAGGTATCACTATTGGGTAAGCGTTTCACTGCTTTTTGTGTGCTTCATGGACAGTCAGGTTAGGCTAGTGTTGTTTTGAGTCACTTTGTACGGACTTTGTGTTTTTTTGCAAGCGTGCTCATGACCAAATGAACAACATCACTTGCATTGGGCATTTGAGATAGTGCAGTAAACCGGGAGCTCTATTTGCTGTTGTTTTTGAGGAATTTCCACCCGTCTGAACGTTTTCTGTCATATTCCTGTCACTTTTGTCACAGAATAACACGCATCACGTGACTGCTTTTTGTTCCACTTTACTCGCTTGCATTGGATCAGATTTCGCAGATTCCGTCATTGGCAATAGAATTTCCTCTCATATCGCTCAATTGTCAAGCGCTCTAAAATTTCTTCTCTTTTTAAAACCAATCCGTGGTGTTTTACTAATTCGATGTTTACGAAAACCACGAAAAACCTCGAAAACATGAAATCTTCCAGAAAACGTAATTTTAATCCTGGAAAAAAAATGTACAAAGGAAAAAGCCCAACCAAATAGGAAACCCCGTCCAATCTCGATGACACCAAATAGGATATCTTATTTGGCTACTATCTCAATCTCAGAACAAGACTTCCGATTATACGCACTGTATACGAAATACGTCCCAAATGATAGAAGGTCACATGGTGTTCAGATCAAAAAGTCCAGAACCGCGATTTTTCGTAGCATAAATAAAATATGCTGCGAACAATTTGAAGTTTCAAAACATAATATAAGAAGTTTAACCTATCAATTGAACACTTCAATTCAAACACAGAAAGCGAGTTTTAAACACTCTTGGGCGTTCCAATCTCGTTGTTTTAGGGTTCGCATCTTAAAGAGGAAGGGCAGGTTTTTTTAGAGCCCGAAAACCGCGTCATTATAGCCCTCCTGGATCGGGTTTTTCGCTTGATTTAACAAGAATTATCCCAACTAAAATAACGGCATGTTGACTTTAAAGCTAACAAAAGGGCTGATATGGGCTGTGGGAGGCCTAATTGTGCCATTGGTACAGGCCGACACGTCATATTCAGAAGTGGGATGCTATAAACAATCAGATTTGGGGTCTGGCTTGAGCTCCAAGGGCTCCTACACATATCAGAGCGTTTCGTACTGCCAGAACGAATGCAACGGAGCAGACGTGGTGGCGCTTCTGGGAGGTGACACATGCTACTGTGGGTCTTCTGCGTCGAGCCTGGCGTCGGCTTCGTCGGCGGATTCCAGCCAATGCAACACCAAGTGTGCCGGATGGCCTTACGCTACATGCGGTGGAAGTGGGTATTTCCAAGTGTATTTGAAGGCGGGCGTTTCAATACCGAGCTCCAGCTCGAGCTCCAGTTCTAGCTCCAGCTCAAGCTCCAGTTCGAGTTCGAGTCCGAGTTCCGCAAGTAGTAATAGCAACTCCGGGTCAAGTTCAAGCAGTTCCACGACTTCAAGTTCCAGCTCTAGTACGGCATCGTCGTCTTCGTCATCCTCATCATCATCATCATCATCATCATCATCATCGTCGTCGTCGTCATCGTCGTCGTCGTCTTCGTCCCAGTCCACCGCTTCGAGCTCCAGCTCGAGCACTACCTCTGGATCTTCATCAACACCGGCTTCGTCCAGTATGAGCTCTACTTCGAGTGACAGTTTGTCGCCAACTACTAGCTCCAGCCAAACTTCCAGCTCCAATGCCGGATCTACTGCTTCCTCGCGCTCTCCTACTACCATGGTTACGTCGGATATCACCGTCGCTACTCTTCCAAACAGTAGTCGGTCAACCATGTACATAACCCAAACCACAGTGATAAGCGCACCCAACTCTTCCGGACAAACCAATTCTGGGACAATAAAATCCAATAACAGCAACAAGAAGAAGTCACTTTCGGGCGGAGCAATCGCCGGTGTGGTTATCGGTGCCATTGTTGGATCCGTTCTGGTGGCTGCGCTGGTTTTCTTTTTGTTTTGGCGTCACCGCAAACAAGAACAGCTTGACCTGGAGGAAACGAAACAGCACAAGCCTTATTCTTTCGGTGACAACGCCTTACCAGCACTGGCTGCTACGCAGCGGAACGCGTCTCTACGCCGTTCGTCTTCAGAATTGGAAACATCCATGGTGAACGACTACTCTGGCCAAACGCCGGGCTTGGACGACAGTTTTGGTCGCATAAGGCTCAGCGACGGCTCGCTTCCCGATGTCACGCAAGAACACGGGCCGCTGCGAATAGTCAACCCAGAAGAGCTCGACTATAGAAACGGTATTCACTGAAGCTATTCGACGAAAGCTTGAAAAGGCATAATAAGCCAGGTTTCCCCAAAAAGTAAAGCGGAAAACTGCACATATATTTTAGACAGCATATAAACTTTAAAGAAAAACAGTTCACTTAATGATACAAATGGTTTTAGGTGTCGATGAGTCGATCCAGCGCATGCATTCATGTTTAAGACCTAGTTCGTGTTAACCAATATATATAAAAATTAAAAATATATGCTTCCAACCAGATTTGAACTGATGATCTCCACATTACTAGTGTGGCGCCTTACCAACTTGGCCATAGAAGCTTCTTATGGAGACATCAAGGATTTTAGCGAATAATACCAATGGTAAGTGGCACGGTATCTCAGCAACTTCAAAAAATTTAACCTTCACATTTGATCTTTGAGATGATGAGTTCAAACTCTCATCAAGAATAAGTGGAAGCCATATTTTGAACAAGAGATCCAAGATGCTCTTGAATCGCACCCTGACACTGCTCAGGGGATCCCAGTATAGTATAGGACAGTTAGGAAATGTACAGAGTCGATGCATATCGATTCTGTCGCAATTGCAGCCGTCGGAGGGCTCCACGAAAACATACAAAAGAGTGGGTCGCGGTCCCTCTTCGGGCAAAGGTAAGACGTCTGCGAGAGGTCAGAAGGGTCAAAAAGCTCGTGGAAAGGTGAAATCGTGGTTTGAAGGTGGTCAAACACCTATTTACAAGCTTTTTCCCAAGATAGGGTTCACCAACGTAACATCCTTGCAACTTAGCGAGCTGAATTTGGACCGCGTGATGTGGTTTCATCGCAAGGGCCGTTTAAATTTGGAGCCAGGCGAGGTGCTGGATATGAAAAAGATGAAGGATCTGGGACTGGTAACCGGGTCCATCAAAGACGGTGTTAAACTTCTGGGCGATGGGAAAGAGTATTTCAATCTTCCGTTGAAAATAGAGGCTACCAGGGCGTCCAAAGGCGCCATCAAGGCTCTGGAACGCGCCGGAGGAGAGTTCACGGCCAGATACTTCAACAAACTAGGGTTGAGGGCGCATTTGAGTCCTGGCTGGTTTTTGGAAAACCGTGGACGTATTCCGCTACAAGCAAGGCCTGTCAAGAGAAAAGATATCGACTATTACAGTAGTCCACTCAAGCGTGGCTATTTGAACAAGGAAAACGATCCCTTTCTAAAGCAAATCCAGGAGGCCAGAGCCGGTGGACACCAGACTTTGGCCCGTAAGGCCGCTAAGAAGACAGCTTTGGAATTGCAACTGGAGAAGTCGGGAGGCGAGACCGTTCAGAACGCTCAAACCGTTCAATCACAGATCATCACCGTGGAACAACTGCGGTGAGACCGAAAATTAGATATCCAGATAGCTACTGGATCAATCTCATGTACATATACGTATAATTGACTAGTGAGTCGCACTTTGGACGAAGGTCCAAGTTGGATATCTCTTTAGACGAGTGTTTTGAGCCAAAGTGAGCAACGTTGCGAAAAAAACCAATGAAATACGTTGAATCTGTTAACAACTGGCCTGCTCAGATGTAATCGATTGGTCAGGTATGGATACATACGCTGAGCTCAATGACCATATTGTCGTTCCGTACATAGCGAGAGCAAACAAATTGAAATTTCAAAAAAAATATGCACTCACGGTGGGGGTCGAACCCACAATCTTCTGATTAGAAGTCAGACGCGTTGCCATTACGCCACGCAAGCTTTGATGAGAAACCTGAAGAAAATGAACCTACATAGGAGTAAGACAAAATCATGTGAGACCAAACATGTTGCATCAACCACCTTAGTAGCTTAGTCTCGAGTATCTGAACAAAACAGTAATTCCACAAACAGGATGATCGTTCTCACCTTCTGGTAATCAGCGTCCAACCTCAGACCTTTGATCTCTGATCTTACAATATCTTTCCCTCTCTCTCTCTCTCTCTCTTTCTCTACTCTTTCCACATGTAGAAAAAATTATACAAGTAACCATACTCCAGTGTACTCATCTCGAGAGCGCATCAGCAAGTATCTGGTCCTGAATATCAAAGCTCACTTAGGCAATGACCCATCCTACGACCGTAGACGCTCCCCCCGAAGTTCCAAAGAAACGAAAACAAAGTCAACGTGTGTGTTCTCTTTCGGAGGACCAGAAACGTCAAAACCATGTTTCATCCGAGCAAAGACGGCGTCAGGCGATGCGGGAGACTTATGACACTTTGGTCGAAATGGTGCCCGATCTCTCCCCGGAACAGCGACGCTCAGAAATGCAAATATTCGCCAGAAGTACGTATACAGGCGCGTTTTCCCAGTCTAACCAAAACTAAAATATACTAACTTTTCGCACTTGTAAAATGATAGGCTACAATTATGTGGTATGGTTATATGAACGCAACCGCATTCTGCGAGAACAGCTACAGAAGGCTACTGGCTCTCAGCCTGATGATGCTCTAAGGTTTGAACTTCCACAACAGCAACAGCAGCAGCAGCAGCAGTAGTAGCGGTAGCACTAGCAGCGTGTTTATGAGAAGATCTGAAAAAAAATAATAATAATCATTGACGAAATTAAAAATTAGCGACCTCGGTGAGGATTGAACTCACGATCTTGCGATTAACAGTCGCACGCCTTAACCAGCTTGGCCACGAAGTCATACAATATTTGTTGGAAGAGGTCGCGAATTTAGCCATTTGGGTACCAGCTTCGAGGTCACATGGCATGTGTTTGATCTCTTTCTTTTTTTCCTTTTTCGGATAATCTTTCGCGTCGGCGGCAATGCAGCCTTCATGCACGATTGCGTAAGCATAATGCTCGAGGATGTTAAACGATGTTCACGAACGAGCAGGTGACCACGCCATTCCAAACGGTACCAAACACGCCATGGCTATAAAAAGAAGACCCTCCATCAAAGTCCAAGTCGACCGACCCTGGCACCGAATCTCAACGGTTTCCAGTTGATATCATCTGTGCAATGGCCATAACGGGAACTGGACTATGGCTAGTGGCCGTGCTGGGCTACGTGGTGCAGACAAAATCAGTTTCATACGTCTATGATATTTCATATGAGACGCAACAACAAAGACCAAGCCAGCGGGACGTTCTTTACCTGCTGTTTGTACACCTCTCATCGTGGATACTGGTCGCGCCGCTCACGCAGCTGTTTTCTCGAGTGAAAAACGGCTTTTTGAGCAGAAACGGGTCTTGGCTCGGAGACGCCATGGAAGTCGACCCAGAGATTTCGGGCTACAACAACGGCCGTTCCACACCGAACCATACCTTGGCATCCCGTTTCAAACATCTGGTTCAAATTGCGACCCTAGCTCTACTAATAGTAGTTGCCGGATACACATTTTTCGTAGCTCTGGGACTATCGCCGGCCGTGGACGTGGCTATCATGCACGGCACCTCCATGTTTGAAATCGTGTCATTGCTGCTGGTGGTGATGGGGCTGGTGCCCGGAAAGAAGCTCGGACGCAGTTTCGCGCTCACGGTGGTGATTTTGATCGGGATCTTCATAGTCTCTTACACGAAGGGCACTTGCGACCTGCTTTCTGGAAAACTGTCGATGAACGAGTCCACAGGCGAACTGGACGACCCATTTCTGTTCGATCGGCTTAAGGGAGCACTGACTTGTGGATTGGGAGCACTCACAATAGGCCCATTCTTTGTCCTGTGGAGCAAATGGAGTGCAGCTTCTTCAAATGAGTCCACCACCTCGATTCGGCCATTTTTGACGCATACCGAAAGATCCTACATATCCAACCTCGAAATAAGCCATTTGGGTGTTGCCAACTTGCTGATAGTGGGCCCCATGCTCTTTTTGAGAAGTGCAGGAGGTCCCTTCCATCAAAATAACACTTTGTCCAACTCCGCTTGGATTCTTCTCTCTGTCTTCGCAGGCCATCTCCCCATGATCTGGGCCCTCGTGCACTTGTCGGATCGAGTATCTTTGGCGTTCTCTTCAACGTGTTTCGTCGGGTTCATTGTTTTCACAGCTCTGGCTGATTGTATCTTCGATAGTGCCCAAGTGGTTGTTACAAGGTGGGAGGTGGTAGGGTACCTGATGATCAGCGTAGCAGGACTACTGCTGGCCCGCCATCACTTGGTGGCCGCTAAAGCATAAGACATTGCATCCATAAGTAACGATCGGTCATAAAAACGTATGTAGCAGAACTATCCAATATGTCAAATAAAGACTGTTGAATTGCACGGGAGAGGGCGAATTGCGCCAGATCACCATTTTAGCACCACCACGTTCTTGTTGCCCTTGGTGGTGATCCCTTTCTTGATCAATTCGAGTGCTTCATCGTCCGAGGCGGACGCAGGGTTCCACTCAAGCTTTGTGACCTTTTCTTTGGGAGAGATGAGCTTACCTTCCGCGTACAAACGGGCCACATTTGCAACGGTGTCTCGCTTATTCTGCGGATCCTCAATGGAGTTCTTGGTGACCCAAAAGCCCAAACTTTTCAAACCTTTGAAGATATGCAGCGATGGAGGTAGAGTGATTGGCTGCTTCGCCATACCTCCATACGTCAACATCGTGGCATTCACGTCCAGCTTGCGGGCTAGTTGTGTAGACGACTTGCCACCCACGGAGTTGAGACCCAGCTTAACATGAGCGTCAGGTCCCAGAATTTTCGGCAACTCGTTTTTGCTGAACTCCCTGTCATTGTTCTGCGACTCTGAGATGACCTTGGTAGCGCCATATTTCGATTCCAGCTCGTGGGCCACTTCCTCAAAGTTGTCACGGTCTCTGATGATGCTGAGGGTCTTTATATTTTGCAACTTGGCCATCTGGGTCACCAACCTCGACACCGACGACGTTCCGGCATTCTGGACCAACCAGTCGTTGCCATTGCTATCCCACTCGACGTAGTTGTTGAGCATCTGGTATGCAGTGCACCCATTCACAGCAATCGACGCTGCTGCGAACTTATCGCAGCCTTCCACCTTCACCATTTGCGAAGCGTCTTTACAGGTTCGATAGCTCGACCAGGTACCAAAATTCGCTTGCAATGGGATCACCATATCTCCTGGCGTGAGCCCATTGACCGTTTCCGGGACATGAACCACTTCAAAGACACCTTCGTTTCCGGCAACTGCACTGGGCTCTTTAGTGCCCAATTCCAGTGTTTTCTCGGGCTTTGAAGGGTACACGCCTTCCAATTGGTTGATGTCCGATGGATTGATTGGGAACGCTAGTGTACGCAGCAGCACCAGCTTTTCGAGATCCTTTGGTTTGTACTGGTGTACCGACAAAACTTTGGTAGGATCTTCAACGTCGTGTGTTGAATACACGAACGACTTGAACGTAGAGGTAGCCATCGTTCTGCTTGCAATGCCCGCTGTGCCCGCAATTAAGGATTTAGCGCAAGGTTTCACCGAAGCTAGATACATAAGACTATATATACTCTTCTAGATACTTGAACTTTGACAAGCTTGACTAAGTTAACCAACTTTTGACCAACTTTTGACTAAACTTTTGACTAACTTGACAAACTTGACAAACTTTAAACCATATTGAATATATAATTGGTCAAAATAGGAGGAGTATTCGTGCTTCTGATCTTAGTTTTGAATACTTGGCTCGTCCCTAACTAAATACGATTGTCATAGTCTAGTTAAACCAAGTGATGTTCCCGTATGTGCTCTTGTGTTGTTAGCAGTGTTACTGGCAATAGTTCAACGGTAGTTTAATCTTGCACTCACACATCAACATCATCCCAGGTAGTGCTCTTCAAATAGGCGACTCGATCGTTGATGTAGGTGCACATATTGCGAAGTTCTTTAGCTGGGGACTTGCTAGCAGCGACCTGGGATGACAGGTATCCAAAGCTTTTGTAGCCATCTTTCATTTCGCACAGGTAGGTCTTGAACACATCCCAATTGGCCAACTCAAGGTCATAGCCAGTAAGTTCGGAAAGCTTGGATCCGTACATGCGGTAGTGTCCAGAGCCGGCCGGTTTGTACTCGGAGTCATGTTGATGGTTCTTGTAGGCCTTGGCACCGTCATACATCATATCGCCAGACTGATACCACTCCCATGGGTCATATTTGGGCAAATGGGAGTGGACAAAGGAAACTTTGGTGAACTTGAAAAAGGCAACGAAATCTTCTAGATTGTACGAGTCTCGAAGCTTCTCGTAGAGCGCGTCGCGCACCTCGGTACTATCACGACACTGCTTGTAGCGCTCATCAGCCTTGTTGCTGAAATCTTTCTGGTGGGACTTGTACCATTCGTCGCAGAATTTTTCTTCTTTGTTGCGATAGGTGTTTCTCAAATACTCGACAGCAACGGAATGGCACCGAACGTCCTCGATATAATCGTGCTGGAGCATCGCAGTACCTCTGAAAGACTTGGCGTCGCCGGCCTTTTCGAGATCTTCGTCGGCGATACGAATCTCGTCCTTGGTGTCCGTCCAGTGGCCAATAGCAGATACTGGCGTTTTCACCTGGTGCCACGAGTTGGGTCCGTGCAATACTCTGCTGGCCAACAAAAATGTATCCTTGTCTCCCTCGCCTGCAAATCCTTGACCTAACAGCGGATAGTAGTAAGCCGGCCCGTTGAAATTGAAATACAGACTCAAAAGTAACGTATCCAAGTGTTTTTTCTTGTTTACCAGCAATTGGCCCGATTCCGTGCCGCCATCTGGAATTGTGTTAGCTAGGTCATGGAACGGTGAGGTTTTAGAGTCTCCCTTGAACATGTATGAAGGTGACCCGTCGTCAATAGAGTTCCGATCTCTGTGGTCCCGGTTAAGCTGCAAGTTCAAAAGGTCGTAGAGTTTAGGGTGGTGCAAACGGCGCCAGTAGTCAGGCCACAGGATTAGGCCCTTCTCACCAAACTTGTTGTTCGTGAAGTAGCCCTCCAGCGAGTTGATCACGTAGTTGTCCGAATCCAGCATCAAAACCCGTTCGAAACTTGACACCAGCAGCGCTAATGACTTGATCTGGTAGCCCTTCAGATGCTGCAATGACTCTTTGTTCATAACCTCATCCAAAAAGATGCATCTGGTGAGCCCTGTAGGGTCGAGTGCTGGCAACACGTTGTCGCAGAATCCTCTGTCTGCGTTGTCCTGCGGAGGAATGATGATTTCGATTGGAACGGAATCTTTCATCTTGATCCCACTATTTTGACGGATCGCTTTGATCGCAGGAAGAGCAAATAGCGTATATTTCCCGCCTCCTACGATGACAATACCCTCGCCGTGGAAAGCTGATTCATTATCATCTTCGAACAACGGCAGCAAGTCGTCTGCGATAGATTTTCTGAAGCTTTCGAAGTTATTGCGTAGCTTACCCAAAGTCTCATCTGAGATTTGAACGCAGTTGCTGAGGGATTCCTCTGTCAGCTTGTGGAATTGTGCGGTGTCTGTGATTGATATATCTGTAAGGTCGCATTCTTTTTTCGGTGTAACGTCAAGTTTACCTTCGGGAGAGAACTTCATGATTCTTTTCATGGTTTCATCGATCGCTTTGCTGACGATTCCATACTGTTTTAGATTCATGCTTGAGTTGATGTTATCATAGTCAGTGAACGTCGAATCTGTTTCTTCGTCGGAATCCTGAATCTTACCGGCTGGATTTCCATCTTCCTTATTCTCGTCATCATACAGCAGCATGTCTGTAGACACGTCTTGGCCGTGAAACGTGTGGATTACCGCTATCAAAGCGACAAGACCAACTATGGCCATGATGATGGTTGACAAGTTTTTGGACTTTCCTCGCCTAAAAACATGGTTTGACTGTCTCAAACGCGTCCCAAGAAGATCCAGGGTGGCACCCACCCTTCTTGGCAAGCTATTGACAGCTTGAAGGGGGCTCATAGTCGGCTATTTGAGTGATTGAGGAGTCGTTGATTTTTCGCGATGGAAGCAGACGGTAGGTTCAGTAATATAGATGGATATTGATATTTACTGTTGCTGTTCAAGTGAAGCGTCAGCGAATGAAAAAGAGTTGTATCTCGAGAGGGAAAGACATGAGCGAGCGGAAAGTAATATATTTGAATTGCTTGTAAAATTCTGAGTCTGTGGAGTGTTGTTTGAGCTTTTTTGGAGTTATAAAGCGTGCTGTGAAAAGAGTTGAATAAATATGATGGACCTTTCTGTTAATGGAGGTAAGTACAACATTCAAGGCTTGTTTTAAGGCCGGGAGAGATTTTGAATGAGAGCTTAGAAAATGTGGGTGATAATTTGGAGACTATGGCGTAGAAAAGTGTGTTTGGTTACTTGATATTGTAAGATCAGATTGATGAATTTGGAGTGATTGTTGAGTTACGAGCACTGAGAAAGACGAATTGAATTCATGAAAGAGATATATTTTGCAATCGAAAAACAGCTAAATGGATGGCAAATTGTTCTGACAGCTCTTTTTTTTCGCTTTTTGGTTACCAAGTTTCCAGTTTCCTTGCAGAACATACCGACTTAGATCGACATAACAACAAAAATCATATTAATTCAACCACAGCAATCGGTCATTGAAATACAATTCGGATGGCCTGAATCCTGAACCTATTCTCTTTGATGCGATTGTTGTCCGGAACCTATGGAAACCGACGATGAAAGGGTCCTACAAGCATATCATTTCGTACCTATCTTTCGCCGTGGTCAAAGTCAAGAGACCAGTGACGTTTTCGACATCGTTGATCAAGGATAGACCCGTCTGATAGCCAAAGAAGCTGTATCGAGGAAATCAAGATTAATGGTCTTTTTTTTATTCGTAATACCAATGCCATTCGGTTGATTCCCTTGACAAAATGCGGTTTCTGCCCTTCGAAAAGTTCGCACATATGGCGAAGTTTTGGATTGTCCCGCAACAGTTGTTAAACAATTTCAATAGCACTCGCTCTATTCTGTACAATTCTCAGAGCACCCAATTCCATTAGCGTTCTCGCCTCTTATTTTGACGTCGTCGACGTGTCAGCTAATACAGTTCACCTGCTTGCGACGCAGTATAAAAAGTCTAGCTTCCAGTCATCATTTTCAATCCCTTTCAGTTCCTGGTAATTCAAATATCAGTTTTGACAGTGTTTGGTCAAGCAACGGTTTTATCTCAAGTCTCCTTGCCAAGTCTTCAATGTCTCTTCATTCCTTCACCAAAAGCGATCTCATCACTTGCTTCAAAGCAGGAAACAAATGGATGAATTGCGACACGGAATCTGTTGAAAGCTTGGTAGATATGCTGCAACCCGGCAGCATTCCAAATTCTGGCTGCCAAACTCCCCAGTACGATAATAAAGACGAGATCAAGCTAAGAATCGAGTATATCATCGGAAGACACATACTCAAAGGCAGAAGTGAGAGTAAACCATGGCGTGCGTATCTCAAAATCCTCAAAGTGAAAAAAGATAGAATGGATAGCGTGGAAGAACCTCAACACTTATTTTTCAAACGTCAAACTCGGTCGTCAACGGTAGATCCTCATCATTCGCAATCCTCCATTAACTAGTTGAATTTATCTATGCTATACTACACTTTTAAAGTTAATACCGTTATCCCCTCCCTCTCCGTACCGTAGTGCTTTTGAATTTTTAGTACACACTGGTTTTTGAGCCAACTCGTTAGAAATGGCGTTCCAGGTAGCTTGTGCTCGCGACGTAGCTGAACCCTTGGAACAATTGAGCATGCTCGGGATTCAATTCTTGAATATCGATGCAACCATTGGCACTGTCTAGCCGCATATTGGTGAATTCTGAATCGAAGTTCTCCGCCAGCTCCCAGTCCGTGATGATAGGTAAAATTGGTCCATTTGTTGCCTTCTGAAGTTCCCCGCTCTCCAGTTTGGTCCAGTCAATCTTGCGGAATATAAAATGGGACTGGAAACTCGTAGTTTTCGCTTGTCCGGCCTTTTTCTTCTTAGGCTTGGGGCCGTCAACAGCCCACAATCTGTCAACATCCCATCTCTTCGACACATCTTTTTTGAGTAAGGATCCCAAGAAATCTTTCATCCCTTCGCTAGAGAAAGTCGGGATCCTAGGTCCTGTGTCTTTCATGATCTTGTTGAGTATAACTTTATGATTTGGACCCGTGTACGGTGGCTTGCCCGTGAGCATATCGTAAACTAAACATCCAAGCGAGTACCAGTCGCAATTTTGAGTGTAGGGCTTACCGTCAAGAATCTCTGGGGCACAGTACTCAGGGGTCCCGATAATTGAATACAGCGTCTCCACTGGTTCTGCCTGTTCCGGTTCGATACCATCTTTATTAAAAGGTTCGCAAGCGCTTTTCTTGCTGAGTCCGAAATCAGTCAGTACCAAATGTCCTCGCTCATCCAAAAGACAGTTTTCAGGTTTAAGATCGCGATAGACTATCCCTCTCTGATGTAGAAATTTTATTGCAGAGCTTATTTCGGCAGCGTAGAAGGCAACTGTATCTTCGTCAAGCACGCCTTGCTCTTTCAAATGATAAAAAAGCTCACCCCCAGGTATGAACTGCAGGACTAGATATAGTTGATGATGGTCATGAAACGTGTAGAACAGTTTCACAATGTTGGGATGCTCCAACTTCGACAAAATTGTTCTTTCCGCGAAAGTACGCTCCAGTTTCTTCTCAAGCGCGTATTCTTCCGACTCGAACATCGAGGATTCGTCATGGATCAAGATCTCCGCCTTTTTTAGCTGTTTCATGGCAAATAACCGACTAGTATGCGAGTCTTTAACAAGCAGTACTTTCCCGTAGGCTCCACGACCTAAGACTCTGATAGGTTTAAAGTCTTCAAGAACGCGCGGGCCGTGTTTTTGAAGGGTAGTCGCGCTACATATAGATTCGGTACCTTTGGTCTCGCCCTGCGTCATTGGAAGCCGTCTTGTATTTGGAGGTGTGACCACGCTCATTTTATCGTAGACAGACGACCGTCTCCGCTCTTTGTTGATGGCCAAAGGTGAGCTGGATGGAATTGCCAGACGTGAAAGCGACTCTTGCGGTTGCGGTCCCACAGAAAGCAGGTTCTTATGCCATAAGTCATTGGATGTTTCCTGTTCGAAATCATCATCTTCGCTGTCAATCAACGCACAGCTACCATTTACGGTGAGCCTGGCGATGTCTTCGTCAAGAGAAAATATCGCCATGCTAGTAAAATGAGCTTGTTATTTTGGCCTCGAGCCCGAGCTAAAAACGGTGCCTAGGTGGTTGATCTCTGTCTGTTCTTTCAGGTCGATTGAGATGAGATGAGATGAGCTTCGAGCGATAATTGCATGTTAATTATTTCATTGTAGAAAGACCTTAGTAAATAGGTCGACAAAAGACATGAATATTGGGTAATTAGAGTCTTTAAAAAGGCTTGAATAGTACCAAATTTTGGAGTGCCATGAAATGAGAGCTCTGAGCTTCAAATTGGTTTTTTCAGCGGCGAAAACGGTCAAAGACTGAAGAAGTTTTTTAATTTATACATTTTTAGTGAAAATGACACGTTCTTTGACTGCAAAACAGCCATAGTGGTTATTCAAGCCACTCAGATAATTTCAATACCTTTCATAGCGCTTTTGGAAGAGAAACTGGGTTCTTTACCAGCGATGAGATGTGGTATGTGCGAAAAACTCCGGGATCGTTATATACGAAACTAACTACTTGCTAGCTGCCCCATTGCAATTGAAAGCTTTTGAATCAAAACGTTGGAACCGGAGGATTTTTTAGACCATGAAAATGCCGATACTTCTTGGATTTCAAAATATAGAAGTTTTTACTGAAACTCAAAAAGCCTTATAATGCAGTGTATTAAGGCTGACGCCCTAGAGCACTGTGAACGAGAGAACCACAAATGGCCTGACATGGCTGTGATTTGCTGTTGGCGCCCGAGAAGGGCCTCTGGCTCTCTTTAAAGAATAGAATTCGCGGCCTCTAAGACTTTTCACGTTACACGGTGTATGTAGTCTGAAATGATAAAAATTGTTCTATATAAATCTGGATAGAATATCGAATGTGACTTTTGCGACTCTTTATCTGCTGCTGCTGCTGCTGCTGCAAAGAATGCCGAAGCTTACCGAAGGCTGAGCTGGCTTCACTAGTATCCCGATGTTTTGTGCTACAGTAACTCGATCACGTGACCTACATGCAACTCTTTGTATCCATTCATATGCCAGCAGGAGTTGCACTAGTACTGTTCAACCCGTTTTACCAGAATACCGGCAATATCGCCAATGTCATTTGCTTTTGTTCTTTCCCCTTTTCAGCCAGTTGTCGTGCTTATCCACCACCATTAGCTAGTCACATCTCTACTCGATCCTCCAGTCGTCACTAGCAGCTATAAATTTCTCCCGACTAGCTGACACGCGCCAAGCCTCTTCCATCCAAAGCCTCTACCGCTCGAGAGAGGCTTGTCAGGGCTTGGCAGAAATGCAACGCTGATTGCCAAAAAGTCCACAGGTGCTTCTCTGAAGATTATGCAAATTCATAACAATTTAACCTTAATCGTTCACTACTTTCAGAACCCTGCAGTAATACTCTGCGATTTACGCTGGTTGCATATCAATTCGGGCATCACAAGCCACCCTGAGAATTCTGCAGAATTACGTACAGTTCAATGCACCACCTCTTGAATCCCTTCGCCGCACTGTTGCCGAAAAACTGAAATTTCAGTCATTGCGTGCGTTCATGTAGAGGCGAAATAAGCTGGCGAACAAAGAAGAGCGCGTGCTGCTTGTATGCTGACGTTGCTACAGGATGAGCCAGTCAACTTGTCTGCGGCCGAGATGCGGCCGAGATGCCGTTAACATAGCAGAAACTGATAGGGCTTTTCAATGCTGTTGTCAGTAGAAGCAGCAATGAGTTTCTCACTTAACCCAAATGCTTGAGTGGTGTTCATAACAAAGCCTCTGAAAAGCGAAGTGCTTCAAATGTGGCTAGGAAAAAATGTATAAGAATGCGGACTAGATTATGGATTTAGAAGCAATGTTGTATCTCTTGTAATGGTTTTAACTGTGCCAGACACTAATTACTGACACACGGTGAAAGTCAAAAACAATCAAAATGAGCTCCAAAGTCACTTTCTGGGACGGAAAAGAACATATCGTGTATGTGGTGGAAATTGCCTTCTACAGCGTCCTTTTCATTGCGTCTGTGGCGGCATTGTTGAGAAGACGTCAATTGGTCAAGGGCACCATACTTTGCACGATTTCTGCTCTCAAAATTAGCGGTTCGGCAGTCAGTGTTCATGCAGCGATTCAAACCGTCAATGCAATTAATAGCCCAGACACTTCCAAATTTCCTTCTACAAGTCTTGTTACCGTTGGCGCAATTTTGACATCGCTAGCCACAGCACCGTTGCTTGTGCTGACACGAGCGTTTTGTCCGGAAGACAGTCTGCACAAAAAGTTGCAGAGATTTTCCAGGATCTTGGTAATTGTCCCTGCTATTCTCGCTATTGTTGGGTACAATTATTGGGCTGATGGAGGATCTTCCATGGACACAGGTATCGCTCTCGTGAAAGCGTCGTCGATTCTATATGTGGCACTGTATCTGCTTTTCGTTGCAAGCGGTTTGAAAAAGTATCTGCAGATACGCGACAGCGCAACTCGGCTCGAGGCAACGGGTATCTTCATTGTCTTGACAGCAATGCCTTTTTTCATAGTTCGGTTCGTCTTCGTCATTGCCTCTTCCTTCTCATTGACCACCAACATGAATGCCCACCACAAGTTCAGCTATTTTGATGGAGACTGGAGAATCTCACTAAGCATGTTCGTGGTTATGGAGTTCGTTGTTGAAATAGTATACTGCTTTGGCGTCCACCTGCTCATTTCCAGAGAAGCCCAACAAAGCTTTGCGAGTAGCGACGAAGCAACAGAAAAGGAGAGCGCTTGAAACTGTCAGATCAATAGTTTATTCTAGTTGCAAAACCTGTTTTAATTGAGTAATTCTTCGATCAACGTACGAGTTTGCCATGGTAGGCAGTTAAATATTATACAATTCCGATAACTGACCGTAAGCTTTATCACTGAGAAATCCGTTGCTGTAAAGAACTTCATTCAGGATCTTGATAAGCTCAACAATCTGTTTTTCATTGAAATTGAGTAGGATTGTGGATATCACGGTTTCGACAGTTATTCTTTTTTCACTGATAAAGGTCTCGTAGTACAAGTTCATGAAAGAGCCCATGAGGAATTGGCAGTCGACTCTGTCAGTAATACCACCGTGGCCCGGAATGGACTGACCGAAATCCTTCACTTTAAAGGTTCTCTTGAGACCCGAGGCAAAGAAGCCTCCGAAGGGTGCAAACAAGGATGCAAAGGTAGCTAGATTTAGTGCATGCAAGTAGATAGGTTTGATGGTGACAGTGCTAATGCCAAGCTTTTCAAACAGAATAGGCGGCAGCCTGTAGTCCTGTGGGAGGAAAACGGGGTTCAGATCGCATGTTAGCGGGGTGAAAAAGTTGGTATTGATGTCCTTGACTGGGCAAGTCATGTATGTGAAAGGCGTGAGCAACCGCGTGAGAATAACACTGGCTATGGCGGTGAAGATCCATGCACCCAAGAACCCTTCCAGCGTTTTCTTGGGTGAGATTTCGATCAATTTGGTGCGTCCAAACGTGATGCCGCACAAGTAGGCAAAAATGTCGTTGACGATTACAAGTCCACAAGGCAGCAGGAACCAGATTAGTCCGTTAAGCACATTGTTGATAACCAGATGGGCTTGGAAAACCACCAGCAGCAACACCATGTGTGTAACACACAGGGAACCGAATTGGAACTTCAAATGGCCCTTGCGCAGACTAAACACAAAGAAGACGAATCCAAGCACGTAAAGACAGTAGCAAATGAACAGATGGTTTGAAGCCACCAAATTCAACGCTCTGTAGTGGATAAAATAGTACTGGAAGAATTTGAAAATCGACCTACCGTCAAGATAGTAGATGGTAGTGAACAAAAAGTACCAGTTCAGTGTTCTTGTCAACGGCAGATTTTTCTCGCGGCTCGAAATCGATGTCACCCGGATGCACTCTTTGAAAGCTGCGATTTGGCAAGCCAGGATCAGCAACACGCACCAAAAGTGGCCGGAGGCCAGCGTGATGAAGAACCCACTGATCATAATGAAAGTCCACACCGTACGCACCACGAAGTTGTATCTTTTCGACTCATTTGCCGTCTTGGAATCATTTTTGGTCTGTTTTTGGTCGTTTTTGGACGTATCTTGTTCGCCTGAAACCGTGCTGGTCTCTGCTGCGGCTCTTTTGAGGTTACCGTTACTCCTTTTGCTCTTTTTCGAGGCCATTGCGTCTCTAGCTTCAGAACTCTTTATCCAGGGTTGGGTTTATGGCAAGGATGGCAATGACAGCTAAGAAGTGTGGTGGCAGTTGCAGAGAGGGCACGATGATGAGCTTGATTTTTATTTTTCATTTGAAATTTTTCGGAGCGTGTGACTTTCACATGGCAAACGAAGAAAAATCAACAAACCCGAAAAACGAAGATGGCAAAAGGTCAGATGACCAGGCCAGCACACGTGCTCACTTGCACACGTGACCAAAGAGAAAGATCCCATCCCAGGCCTCTGTTAAGCCACCCAGACACCGCATGCATAGCTCATCACTCTCCCAAGAAAACCCTACAACAGACCTTGTTTGTCCAACTCATCGTACATGCGCTGTGTCATAACATTTCCGTGCTGGTCCTCCACCTCTATGTCCATCTTGTTTGCTCCCGAACGAGCCACCACACCAGATCCTCGCGTTTGTAAGTTTGAAGCCAATTTCTGCACATCTGCAATTGTCGTAAGGCCCTGGAACGTAGTAGAGGGCTCTACACCCAGCTTGCGAAGACCTGAAGTATGAAGAGGCTCTGCGAAATGCTTGTCGAATTGGCGGCGTCCTTTGTAGGCGTGGTTTCCGCATAGTTCGCACCGATACTCGATGTCCAGTCCCTGCAACTTGTAGAGCCAATGAGGAATCGGAAACCCATCAGGCCCCAAAGGCAGATCTGGAGCACTGTCCAGATTACTCTGCGTTTCTGCAACGGTCACATCTGCGACATGCTCTTCAGGTTCAGATGCATTGTAGACTGGAGCCTCGTAATTAGCTGTAATCCGTTCGAGCTCCGCTTGACGCTCCTCAGATGTGAAACCTAGTTTCCGCTCGACAAATTCTCGCGTGCGTGAAAGTTCTTGTGCCAGGAATTCGCAGGCTTTGTGCAGTTTATGCTCTTTGGCCAAAAATTGTTCGTTTTTGCGCAGATTTCCCAGATGTTTCTTGCCTGTGAGATGCGCAGAGTACACGGTGTGAGCCTTGAAGTGCTTATCACACGGAATGCAGTAGAACGATTTCGAATGATCGTCAATTAGCGGTTCAGCTAAATAGGTTCGAAACTCTGCGTCAACCTTTGCGTCCACGCTTCTCCAGTCCAAGACCGGGTATGCACGTCTGGAGAACCCATCGACATAGTCACAAAGCGTTGAAATAAAGTGTCTGTAAGCTCCACTGTTACGATTAGACCCGGGATGCGTCAAAAACTCTTTGGTTCGAAACTTTTCGATCTGCGATAGAAACTGCAAGAAAGTGACATCACCGCTCTTGACCACACCTAGCCACTGCTGGTGAAACGGGGTCAAATCCAAAACCTCCCCGTACTGTTCATCTCTGGAGAACAAGGCGTTCACGTCCAGATCTTGCGCTTTTCTTGACAGGACGTCTTTCGACGACGAAGTCGAGTTCGAGAACATCGCGTAAATATCGCCAGCTTCATCAGCCTCATCTCCAATGCTCTCAACTTCACGCAAGAATTCGTCAATAGAACCCTCAGAGACTCTGTATTTACTGGCATCTTCAAATTCCAAATTTACCAATTGATCACAGTTCTTTCGATATGTTTCCAAAAACAGCGCAATTTCGTGCTCCTGAGCTGCCATTTGCTTCCTGCTTCGTTTGGGCTTCTTAACGGTGTATAGCTTATTCTCAGTCTTGCTCACTGGGGATTCTTCCGGAAATATCCATTCCATGCTCATCGCTTTCCACTGATCGACATTTCTATAAAAAAGTTCGGGGTTTCGCTTGAATCGGGCGCTAATGGCATTTTCGATCAACTCCAGTTCTTCTAACTTCTGTCTAGCGCTCTCATAAGCCACCATAAGTGTATTCTTAGCTGCCTTTCCTGGTTTTAGTTTCTAGTTAGTTGTTAAACTGAATAATAAGATGTCGGTTATATATACTTACAATTCAGGACGACATACAAGTTTAAAGAACAATGTGACAAAGCTCAGCACTCAGCTCTCTTATCCCGTCAATTATGTTATCAAGAGCTTGATATTAAGTATTTACTTGTATGTAGGAAACAAGCAAGACGATCTCTGGCGAGATCTATCAGTACTTCCGCTTTTTAGAAGGACGAGCGTTCTTGGCCTTGCGGTTTTCCTTAGCCACTCTTTCCTTGTAGATCTGTTGTGGAGTCTTCAATTCACTTGTAGAACCAGGCTTGTTGAAGCCCTTGACGGGAATACCACTGCCAATGGCCTTTTCAACCTTCTTTTTCTGAGAGTGGTAGTCGTCTCTGTGCTTATCGGGAAGTCTAGGAGCCTTGACTTGTTTGTGTTTGAATTTTCCACCAACGGTTCTCTGCGAGCCAGATCTTGTAGGATCACTGAGTAGTTTCGACGTGGAGCTCGACTCGCGAGCACCCACCTTGATGGGCCCTAGCTTGCGTGCCTTGGACCACTCGTCAAACTTCCCGGAGCGGAACGAGGCAGGTATCTTGTGACCACTCTCACCCATTATGTATTTCTTGTTATCCACACCCTGAGAGTTCACGTACTTCTTACGTTTCTTGTCCCATTTGACAGTGGCCACTTGCTTGTGATTCTGGACCTTGTCGTCGTTTTGCAGGTCAAAAGTAGCATTAGCGGCTTCGTTCGTGAACCCGGTGGTCAACTGCAGCTGTTTGTCTTGAATCTCATGTGCTGGTGCGTAATGAGATAGGAAGAAGGCTGGGTCCTTATAGGTCTTGGATTTTTTGTTGGGCTTCTGACCGTCAAGGACCTCGTCGGCGTCTTCGAACTCACGATTCAAAACTTCCTCGGGCACAGAGTAACCAACTTCGTTGCTGTCACCCTTCAGAATCTCGTCCTCAACCGTGTGTCTCAAACCTGCCATTCTCTCTTTCTCGAGAAGCTCTTTCCGTTCACGAGCCCTGCGCTGGATTGGCGCTATCTGTCTCCGTCTTTTCTTCATGAGCATTGCCATTTCATCGTCATGATTGCGAGCAAACTCAAAGACAGTTTCCTTGTGATTACGATTCTGTAGCTTAGCTAGAAAATCAAGCTTATCCTTCTCAATGTTCTTACCAAACTTGAGATTCTGCTCATCCCACCCACTCGACGCGACTTCCTTTGACCTCTTCATCGATTCTTGAGATGCTGGAGGACGCGTTCTGAAATATAGTTTCTCGGCTTTGGCAGCAATAGCTTTGAGTTGCTGCAAATCAAAGCTCGATTGCAGTAAAGTTTTGAAAAGGTCTCCACAAGTTTCGAGTTCTAATCTCGGACAACTGCCTAGCACCATCCGACTAGTGTAGGAAACTTTGGGGGGTTTGAAAGTCAATTCGGAGTTACCTTCGCTTACCCACTTGGATTTGAGCATCTGGGTAGTGGCTTCGAACATCGGTGTCAATAGAATTTTCCTTCCCAAAAACAGTTCTAGATCCAAAAGATATGGTAGCTCGTTGTCAGAAACAATTGAGTAAGCGGAACCTTTGTTACCGGCTCTTGCTGTTCTACCCACTCTATGCACGAAAATCTTGGAGGATGCAGGTAGCGAGTAATTCACTACATTGGCCAACATCGGAATATCGACACCTCTGGCTGCTACATCCGTCACCACCAAGATTGTTGTTAAGCCAGATCTGAAGTTGAAAAGCTGCTGGCGACGAGCATGCTGATCGAGCGTACCATACAAGTAAGAAACAAGATATCCGCAGTTTTTGAGCAGCTGTGTGAGGTACTCGACATGATGCTTCGTGGGAGCGAAAACAATGGTAGCTTTTTCTGAAGGTAGCTCGTTTGCTGCCGGTAGCCGTTTGCGTGGTCCAGACTTGTGTTTCTTTTTGTTGCGTTTTGTCTTGTTATTCTCACCATCGTCACTGTCATCGCTGTCTTCATCTTGTTTCGTCTTTTTGCGGAATTCGAGTAGCTGTTCCTCAGTGGCAACCGGAATATCCATGACTTCTTGCAGCAAAAACAGTAGATTTGCTTCTCTTTCCTCATTCTTTGATGTCAAGTAGAGCATTTCCAGGTTCTCAGATACCTTAGTCTCAGCATCCAGCCTCACTAACACTGGGTTCGTCAGTCCGGCTTTGGCAAAATCAACTAGAGAAGCGGGCAATGTAGCCGAAAATAGTAACGTTTGTCTGTTGGATGGGAAAGCGGCCAATAGTTCGTTAAGTTGTTCTTCAAAACCCATTTCGAATAATCTATCAGCTTCATCGAACACCACATACTCCATGGATTTCAAATCAAGATTCATCTCCACCTTCAAATGCAAAAACCGACCAGGTGTGGTAATCAGGACGTCCGGGTTGGACATCATTGCACTGAATTGATCTTCTAATGATTCACCACCAGTTATCAAAATGCTACGAAGATCCGAGCCTTTAGAAAACTCACGAAACACCTTATGCGTTTGCATCGCCAGTTCTCTTGAAGGCGAAAGAATCACTGCACGAGCACCGATTTTGGCAGAGTGACATTTAAGTCTTTCGATCATGGGGAGCACGAAAGCAGCAGTTTTACCAGACCCCGTTCTGGCCATACCCACAATATCACGCTTCTGCAAGATCAATGGTATGGTTTTACGCTGAATTGGAGTTGGCTGGCGAAAACCTTTTTTACCGATGTTCGATAAAACAAGTTTTGACAATCCAAAACTGGCAAATGACCCTTTCTTGTGTTTAGCGTTAGCATTACTTGTAGTTGAAAAATACTCTGTGACCTCGTCAGCAGCATCCTGGGCTCCCTCTGTTCTTGTGTCATCTTCGTTGTCCGACAATTCCAAAGTTGGGAAGGCCAGGGTCGACTGAGCCTGTTTTCCACCCTGGTTGTTCTTTTTCTTGGAAGAGGTTAGGTTTTTCTTTTCCTCGTCATCACTGGACTCTATGATGTCCTGGATCTCCTTCTCTTCTCCACTATCACTCTCTTCATCGCTAGAGCTGCTTTCGTCTCCATCTAGTGCGATGTTGCTCGCGATGTCCACAGTGTCTTCATCATCCGAGAAAGTTTCCTCTTCTCTAGGTCTTTTGAGCGTAGATTTAGCCATTCTTCTTACAAACCGAGTAAAGAAAGATCGCTGATTTCAACTAGATATTCCCCTACGCTTCTAAAAGCTTCCTTTGTACTGGTTTTGCAAAGTTGCAAAGAGCTCATCGCGTAGCTCATCTCATCTCATCGCTTTGAAATTTTTCAATATTACCTATATATGCATTAAAAGTTCCAACTTTAATGTCAGTATCAAAAGGCTCTAAAATTGGCAACTTTGAAAGATCGTTAACAGCCCTAGAGAGTGCAGATCTGACTTCATAGATACATTTATGGATAGAGCGAAATGTTTAGCACAACTGTTGAAATTTTCGGGGCTTAAATCGAGACAGTTACCGGGCTACGGTCCTTTGAAACTTCCCGGCAAATTTGACAACGTTGTGGTGGCCATGTCTTCCGGAGTGGACTCATCTGTTGCAGCTGCATTGTTTGCTGAGTTCCCCAAAGCTCAAGGTATTTATATGCAGAACTGGTCTGCAACCGAGGACACTGTGGGTCCTGGAAAAGAGTTCTGTCACGAACGGGATTGGAAGGACGTCGAAAAAGTGGGTAAGCATCTGGGGTTGCCAGTGGATCGTGTCAACTTTGAGCAGGATTACTGGCAAGACGTTTTTGAGCCGATGCTACAAGGATACCAGCAGGGACTCACACCCAACCCAGATGTGGGATGCAACAAATTTATCAAATTTGGCAAGCTCAAAGCACATCTTGACTCAAAACTGGGGAACAACAATTATTGGCTAGTGACCGGCCACTATGCGCAAGCACTAGATTCTATCTCATCGGGTGAGACCCACTTGTTGCGGGCTTTCTATAAACCAAAAGACCAGAGTTACTATCTATCGCAGATCCCACGCACGATATTGCCAAATCTCTGTTTTCCTATGGGGGTACTAACCAAGCCGGAAGTACGACAGATGGCTAATGAGCTAGAGCTGCCGACTGCTAATAAGCGTGATTCCCAAGGGATCTGTTTTGTCGCTAACTCGCAACACAACAAGTTCAAAAGCTTTTTGCAACAGTATCTGCCTGCGCAGTCTGGTGACATAATTACGCAAGACGAGACCAACGGGTCTAAAATTGTTTGGGGACAGCATACGGGGCTTTGGAACTACACCATAGGCCAAAAAATCGGCTTGTCCATGCCACAAGGCGACCCGCGTTACACGGGCGCCTGGTTTGTAGCGCGGAAATTGCAAGATACCAATGAAATCGTTATTTGTCGTGGACGTGATAATCCAATGCTTTTCTCTAACCGACTCAAAATAACCAAATTCGAGCCTTTGGGCGACTCCGACGACGTTTTTCACGTTCTAACAGAAACCGTGAAAGATCGCGAGATTCGCATACAGTACAGGTCTCTCCAGGATCCGATTTTAGTTACATCTATTTCAAGGATGGAAGGGGACATCGAACTTGTTTTGAACGAGCCCCAAAGAGCAATGGCCCCTGGCCAGTACTGCACCATCTACCACCAGGAAAGAATAATGGGAAGTGGAATTATAAAGTGCTCGCAGGCTTCTACATAATACGCATGATGCCGTTGATACAGCCTCAAACAGACGGCTGCAATCGATCAGGTCGAAGAGCGTGTTGAAATTGCACGCACAGGGGAAAAAACATTACTGCCAAGGTTGAGCGTGCGACGAATTTGATTCAGAGTCTCGAATTACGCCCTAGCAGCTCACCGGGTGCCTGAGAAAGATGGTCCTTTCACCGTCGCAGCAGTTTAGTACATAGTGATAAAATTTGTCACCATCAATTTCGAAAGCACCTATGACAACAACGACTCGAGAGATTTCAAAAAAGACAGACTTATAAATATACATATAAGACTATCATTGATTTAGTCAAATGCGGTTCTCAGGAAGGTAGTAAAGTTATGCATATAGAAACGCATCACTATTTACGAAAGTGACGCGCGACCCATTATAAGCTTGGACCCGGGACTGAGCAGAGCAATAGCTATGAATACTATTCCAAACCTCTCTTCGCAGTTTCCGACTTCTAATTGAATATTCCTGCCAGTCGCTTTGTTTCTTGGGCTGAGTTTAGCTATTCTCATGTGATTTCGTGTTTTTCTATAATATGGTTGATAGTGGCTCCTATAAATTGAATATCCACAACTGAACTCGCCAAACGAGCAAACTTCTTACAACTTTTGTGAGCCATTGCGCTCCTATTTGACTATACCAAGACCATTTCAAAACTTCTACAACTGTTGCACCAATGCCGTTTGAAAAAGAGCTTTTTGTAGCCACTCAGGCTTTGAGAAAAACGTCATTATTGACCAAACGCATCCAATCGCATGTCATCGCCAGCAAAGACAGCACAATCACCAAAGAAGATACCTCGCCAGTGACAGTGGGTGATTACGCTGCACAAGCCATTATCATCAATGCAATCAAGGCCAACTTCCCCAACGATAAAATTGTAGGGGAAGAAGAGTCTAAAGGATTGAGCGATGAGTTTGTCACCAAGATCTTAAGCGAGATACAAGCCACCAATGCGCAATACAAGAGCAAGTTCGGTGCTTCTGGCTCTACATTAGGCCAATTCCAATTCACAAACTCGCAATATCCCTTGAGCTCGCTCAATGACGTTCGCAAAGTGATAGATCTGGGGGACTATGAAGGTGGTTCTGGCTCCAGATTCTGGTGTTTAGACCCCATCGACGGCACAAAGGGGTTTTTGCGCGGTGAACAGTACGCAGTGTGCCTGGCTTTGATTGTGGACGGTGTTGTACAGCTTGGATGCATTGGGTGCCCCAATCTGCAGCTTTCTCAATATGGTGGAAAAGACTCCAATCCTAGTTTAGCACAGGAATTGGGATACATTTTCCGAGCAGTAAGAGGCCATGGCGCTTTCTTCTCACCTACATTGGCAGAATTCGACTGGGCTCCCGTGCATTGTCGTACACTTGACTCCACGAATCCTATGGTCTCTCTGGAGGGTGTTGAAAAGGGTCATTCGGCTCATTCCGAGCAATCACAGGTCAAGGAGGCTCTAGGCATTTCTAGTTCGCTGCACCTGGATTCGCAGGTTAAATACTGCTTGTTAGCTTTAGGCCTCGGTGACGTTTACCTCAGATTGCCGTTGAAGCTGTCGTACCAAGAGAAAATTTGGGACCATGCTGCTGGAAACGTGCTAGTGCACGAAGCGGGCGGGTTGCACACTGAGAGTTTCAAAAATGAGCCTCTGGACTTCTCGAAGGGCAGAACGCTGTTATCCAAGGGTGTTATTGCGTCCAGTGGCCCTGCAGAACTGCACGAAAAGATAGTCAAGGCTGCGTCTGATGTGATGAACAGTAAATAAAAGTCATGACAAACATGATTGAAACTTTCAGTATGTATACAGAAGATAGACTTGGAAGCGGCGGAACATAGCTGGTAGCGTCGCTGCATGAATGAGAGACGGGCATGTTGGTAAGAAATCACATCTTCTACCCAACCCTCAACTCGTTTATCTACCCAAGTATCCCGTCAAGTCTCCACTCGAGTATCCCATCATTTATTGATTCAAGTGTATATAAAGGATCAAGAAAACAACAGACGTCCACTTGGTTTTCGACTCGGATCCTACAGTCGTAACAACCAAACATCGTGAATCCAGGCCAAGAGATCAACTGAACTTAGACATTCAAGTCAAAGATGAATCAACTTGGTAAAGACAGCGACGTGGACAGCACAACAGATCCTGCAGTAGTAGGAATTTCAGAAGTCGCAGATGTCGGCAATGTGGTTCCAATGACGAGAATCGACCCTGAAGTGGGCATCGCAGATCTAGAACCGACGCTTCGATTTTTCCACCAGGAGGTTTTGCAACAGGAACTGAATACTATCAGGGACCTCAAGACTGCTCAATTACAAATAGATGCTGCAATTAGTGAATTGATGCAAGAATTGGACTATAAATCTGCAGACGATGACAAGAAATACAAATTCAAATGGAGTACGGCTTCAACGTACAACCTTTTGAAGTATTGTTTTGATATTGGACCCTTTTACGGGTTCGAAAACGGCAAAGATCCTTCTTTGCGGAAACTAGAGCAAAGCAGTTTTATCTCGCTGAAATGGGGGTGTGTGTGGTACGACGTTTTGAGATCGGCTGAATTTCCTTCGCAGGTGGTCCCCACCGAACTGCAGTGCAAAACCCGCTTCAAATACTTGCTGGAACAGGCCCATTCGCGTCTTTTCATCGGTGATATCAAAAAACAATTCATTCTCACGGGTGTACCCAGGGTCGATGCTATTTTGGAAAAAGTGACCAAACTGAAGTACGAGGCCGAAGAACGTAAAACTCTATTGCAGAAGTTCGAAGGACAGCGTGCCAAACGCAGCGTCAGCGACATGATCGGCGATACCATCGACTCCAGCCTGGCGAGTGTGGAACCTGAATTGGCTGACCTCAGCCGCATTGGAGCAGAAGCCATGAATCCCATAAAGCGAAGAATCGACATAGCAGCTGCTGCAAGAGCTGTAAATGAGGACTTCCGCGATAAGCAATTGGCCCTTCAGCAGGAGCATATTGCGGTCGAACACGAACATCTGGCGTTGGCACGTCAAAAAGAGCGGCGAGAGGCCACTGACTCCAACGTGAAACGCGTAACGTCCATACTTGGGATCTTGGGCTATGCCCACGATCTCGACAACGAAAGACTCCGGATCAAGGACACCCTCCTAAATGTTCTGCAGGATGCCCTTCACGATTTGCAAACTACTATCCATTGAGATTGAGGTGCGAGCTTGCGAATTGTAATAAAACAAATATGAGAAGCTTCTGACGAGTTGGTGAAGCTTCCCGTAATGAGTAGGGTCCAGAATTGAAGGAAACGTTAGTCTTGTCACTTTGTACTAACCATTGTTACAATCCAGGTCTGATTGTAACAAACGGTCACTGTAAGAAGCAGAGTTGATATGGAAGAAAGCAGAAAATCCACGTCTCAGCGATGCACGCAGGTCTTTGCTGGTTTAAATGATTCCAACCAAAAAGGAGCGACTCATTACCAGGGACATCAAAAAATCCTTTTTTTCACCACACGAAAGCGAGCACCAAAAGAGGCTCAGGCGTTCAAACCAGAGCCTAACATAACCTTACAAAAGTCCATCAAAGTTCGAAAACTGCATAGTCTCGCCGTGGAATGTCTGTTCCCAAATGTTCGCATTGTTCGGCCTTTAACATATTTCGTAGAGAATGATGATTTAATTTTCATGGGCCCTCAAGGGTAATTTATTAGAATTATCTCAACGATATCAGCAAGATGCCGACAAAGCTAACGTAAATAGACCACTCAGGACTCAGGAAAAGAGCTCGAAACCTATCTCAAACGTTCTATGGTCTTTTCAAACACGAGGTCATTTTTTTCTGGATCGAATTTGCTCACTTTTTGCCCTGTCTACTGTCCCTCAAAGCGCTTACATATTGAGCCTTTACTCAAAAAAGTTTCGAATTTAATAGCAGTGGAAACCTGAGGCCTTCAGCCCAATAGTTGGACTCTACCGGCTAGACGGTTTCCAAATCACTGAATCCAAAATGTCTTTACCCAACACAACGTTTTTTGCAGGCGGCCATGTCATAGAACCCGTTAGCTTAAATCGCACGTGGAATACAACTACAGTTAACCAGTTGCTGGGTCTCCCGGGGATGTTTTCGACGTTTAATCGAGGGCAGCTGTTACGACTGCGTGGAATAGCAATTGCGTCCTCATCATTGTCAATTTTAGCTGCAATCGTCGGCCTATATTGCGTTCTTTGCATCGATCGGCGACGAAAGGTATTTCGACATCAGTTGATCTTGTTTCTCATATCCTGTGATTTTCTCAAAGCACTTGTACTCCTAATTTATCCCGTGGCGATTCTGATCGACAACCATGTCTACGGGTATCCAGCATTTTACAATACGCTCGGTTGGATGACGGCGTTCGCCATTGAGGGCGCAGATATCGCTATTGCCATTTTTGCAGTCCATTTTGCACTACTGATTTTTGTGCCGTCGTGGAAATGGCAGAACAACGCGAGTGCCAACATGGAAGGAGGTCTGTTCCGCGTGCGGAAATATCTCTATCCGGCAACGTTTATGCTCCCAACGGTGCTTGCCAGTCTCGCGTTTGTGGGCTTCAAAACATTCATACCTGTCAATCTGAATGACCGTGTCGTTTTGGACAACAACAATTTTGGGTTCCCCTACCAGGCTCGAGAAGGTGGTTACAAAGCCATGAGTGCATGGTGTTACCTACCACCACATCCTTTGTGGTATCGCATCGTACTAAGTTGGGGCCCTCGTTATTTTATTATCGTGCTGATCTTCACCATATACATCAGCATCTACATCTTCGTTTCGAAAGAAAATCGCAAGATCAAAAACCAGATTGGTTCGTTTAGACACGACGATAGCGTTGATATTCATCGTGACCGTGATTGCAAGGGTAAACTTCTAAGCGTGGGGCAAAGGTTTCGGATTTACTGCAGATACTTCTGTAAAAGAACAGGTCTATTAAAAATAGGTCGAAGCCTGTGCAATTTCTTCTTCTTCTCTTTTGAGGAGTACCGGGATGAGCCGGCCGAAAAGGATGACGAAGGAAGGCAGGTAGACGCTCTTGCTCGAGTTCTCAGTGATCAGGCTGCATTACAGTCAAGTTCGACTCAGGCACAAAAGACACCCATCAAGGCACACAGGTCATAACTCTCGGCTAGTGGTTCTAACGCCTTACCATATCACTTTAAAAAGAGGCATTCTAGCTTCTCCAATATGAGCCCCAGGACGCCCTTGACACGCGGTAAAGTGGCAAAACCGGCCTCAAAGGGTACTAACGTAGAGCGGGGAACAGAGCAAGACTATTTTTCACACTTGCCAACCTCGGAAGATCACCCGCTTTCAAAAAACAGTCGTCGCACGGATAAAAGCCGCTCAAAAAATTCAGTCACCTATGAAAAACATGGATCGAAAAGCTCATTACCTCGAATCGAAGCCTTGCAAGGTGACGCCAATTCACTTTCACCTATGGGACTGGCAGACTCAGGCAATGACACGTTACAAACTTATCCTGCAGCACACAGGCCGCTGGAGGTAAATAATCAGCTTCGGCGGGGCCAGAAGGATTCTAATTTTACTTTGGCTGGTACGGATCATGTATTAGGACTTCAGCACAACTTCCAATCCGAAACTTATCAGGATTTCAAGAAAAGGCGAGCTCAAATTCAAAAGCAGTTGAGGTCTATCTTCATCTATCCGTTTTCCTACGTCGTAATTTGGAGTTTCCCTTTGGCCGTGGATGTGATTCAGTATCACTACGAAATTTTGCATGGGCCAGTAATATGGCTTGAGTACATTGCAACGTTTATGCAGCCACTCAGCTGTTTTGTTGATGTTCTTGTGTTTCTATATCGAGAACGGCCTTGGAGGCATTCCTGGGCATCGATCACCAAAAAGGAGCTTTACAATAATTATGCTTTCAAAGGCGAAATTGGTGAACAGCCCATTCGGGAAATGTGCAACTCCGAACTGGGCAAGAAAGGCTGGTACTACAGAGGTAGATGGTCCAAGCTGGAATGCTGGCGATACAAGCCGCAGAGGTGGAAGAGGATAGCCTGGTTTTGCTATCGTTTTACCAAAGGTTGTTGGCACAAGCATTTTGATTTTGAAGACAGGTGCAACGACGCGACGTACTGGGACAATTATTATTTGGGGAAGAAACAAAATTTTGATCATATCGAAAGATCAAAGCTCAGCTGTGCTGAGGCATTCAAGGAGGTGTTGGACGTGGATAATAGCAGGCGAGAATCATATGTGTCCAATTCTACCGGTGAGGAATTATACGAAAATCAGGGATATGTCCGCATTCCACTCATGTGGCGGCTTGTGCACTCTTTACCCATGCTTGAAGCTGTGGACTTGGACCAGCTTGACTATGATCTACGCACCAACCAGCGCGAGTGGGGAATTGACATACCGGGGATGGGTTTAGCCCTGCAAAGTATTTCGCAAAAGAAGACGGAGGTGAGCGGGGAATCTTTTTTCAAGCCAGACTATGATATGGCAAGATCCAGGTCTGACCCATCGGAAGTCGCGCCTCTTCCACGTGCACGTTTGGGCATGCCGCGACACAGTTCTTCCCGCCTGTCCCAAAACACTCAAAATACGCAGTCCCCATTGCACAGCTTCGTTTCGGAAGCCTCAAGTAGTGGTCAAAGACAGGCATCTGCAACCAACTCAGGCGAAGCTCGTGGGATACGCTTGGGCCACAAGGAGTCTGGCAGTGCTAGCAGCAGCCAGGACTCGGATGAAGAGAACACGGCTGGTAAGAGGATAGATCTCCTGGACTTTTTGAATGGTTGATTTGGATAATCAACAGGGAAAGAAAGAAAAACCAAATAACGGAAAAAAAAACATAGATAAGTTCTCAAACTTATCCGCAAAAGGCGCAATTGGACGCCCGGGCTAGGCCCACCACTTCAGTCATGGGAATTTCGGAACTTTGTTCACACATCTGGAAAATTCCCAGCTGTTAAAATAATCACTGATGTTAATATCTTTTGATAAGGACTCATCGCCTTTCCCAGGAACAATGGAGCAGGCATTTAATCTCGCAGGTCGGACGATTTCAAAAGTGACATTTCTTATTCTATTGCCAGAATCACTGGTTTAATGTAAAGTTCTTTATTATATGTATGTTCATTCTAATGATTTGAAGAATTGAAAGGTTCAAGTATCTTGAAAGATTTAAAAGCTCAAAAGAAGAAGTAAGATGTCAAACAGCTACAGCGTGTTTGTCTCAACGTTCAATTGTGGGAAGGTTTTACCAGTTGATGATCCGATAGAGCTGAAAGCGGTGCTTTCAACGCTTCTTCCGGCAGAAAAATCGCACGATATTTATGCTTTAGGGTTTCAGGAACTAACGCCTATTTGGCAAGGCTCTTTTGCTGAAATGGTGCACAAAACGCTGCAGATCGTAGGCGAGAGTGCTGTGGAGCTTTTAAATCGGCAAAATGGAGGTCGGAGGTTCAAATTGGCAGCTTTGAATAGCACTGGTGCGATTGGGCTTTTGGTGATAGTAGCTACTGATGTGTCAGTTTCCAACATTTTGAAGGCATCTGTCAAGTGTGGAATGTTCTTTTCAAGTTTGAAGGGTGCTGCAGCGCTACAAATGAGACTGCAGTGTAATGATTCTGATGTGAGTGATTCTTTCGTTTTCGTGACAGCGCATCTTGCTGCGAATGAGGGGGAAAACGAATGTCTAAAACGTGAACAAGATTATCACACAGTTGTTGGTGAACTTCAGCGTGAACTGGGCTCTTTCAGAAACCACCACGTATTCATCTGTGGTGATTTCAATTTCCGGTCTAGCAAATGGGCGAGCAACTTAGACGATTTCTGCAATATGGACCTGGTACGTCAAGCTGTGGTCGAGCATGATGAATTGACCTTGGGACGTAAAGCAGAACGTATTTTTGGGAGTTTTGATGAAGCCCCAATCGCGTTTGGTCCAACTTACAAGTTCACCCTCACAACTCCGGATGAGCAATACAACTTGAAACGAACGCCGTCCTGGTGTGATAGAATACTTTTTCAATCCCAACAAGTGACACCAGAGATCTTGAACTACACGTCTCGCAAACGCAATGCTTCATTACAATTCACAGACCATCTTCCTGTGATTTTGGAGCTCACAGTACCGCATATCGAATTTGAACCAGTCGTTTCTTCAACACTGGAGTCACCACAGGAGCAACAGTGGACCGCCAAACTCACCGGGTCGGTGGTAGACGCTACAGTGGGCTACTTGGGACTGGCCAACGACCTATATGGACGCCAGTTGAAGATACTTGCGTTGATTTTGGCAACTTGGCTATTATGGAAAGCCTTCACGTGACCAAAATGTGTCAAGGTCACATGGTTTTAAATGCTTACTTAATCATTAAGTCACGTGGCTAGAAACAAGCTGGTCGATTACTTAAGCGGCTTTATTAATTTTTTTTCACCAATGAATTATCAGACTCGTCGCATAGAAAGAAGAGGGCCTTGAAATATTCTACTATTATATGCGATGAGCTCAGCTCAGCTGAATTCATTTTAAGAGTCCAAGATCAACGTAAAGATCGAGAAGCGACGGCTCTGTGCATGCTTCGGAAGAACGCATTGTCACTGGTGAACATCAAGAAACGATTCAGGATTTCAATGAGTGATTTTGGAGATTCCAGCGATTCTCGAGAGCCCGGAAACTTCAAAAAACGTCTGTCGACACCCAATCTGTCCTCTAGGGCTGTGGACGAGTCGGGGGAGCCAGCCGCGGACGTGGAACTTAAGAAAAAGAAGAAGCCATGTGTGGGTGAACTGCGGGACAGTGCTGGGTTCAAAATGAAAGTTCAGGAATCGAACCATCTTCGCAATAAGCAGGTGGATCCCGAATACGAAGTTAAAATTGAAGGTCCGTTACGCAAAGTTGTGCCATACCACTTCACATACAAAACATTCTGCAAGATGCGGTGGCGCGATCGGCCTCTCATTGATATTTTTGTAAGCGAATTCCGTGATCGCGAGGAATCTTACTACAGAAAAACCATCGCCAAGGGCTCCGTTATATTAAACGATAAACCGGCAAATTTGGAATCGATTGTGCGAAACGGCGACCTGATAATGCACAAGATTCATCGTCACGAACCTCCCGTGACGTCTCGGCCCGTTAAAATCGTCTTCGAGGACAAAGACATTCTTGTTATCGATAAGCCCAGCGGCATTCCCGTACATCCAACTGGTAGGTATCGTTTTAACACGGTGACCAAAATTCTGCAACGGCAAATGGGCATTGCAGTGCACCCGTGCAACAGACTCGATCGACTCACAAGCGGGCTCATGTTTTTGGCCAAAACGCCCGCCGGCGCGGACCGTATGGCTACACAGCTTAAAGCCCGCGAGGTCAAAAAAGAATACATAGCTCGTGTCGTTGGGAAATTCCCAGTCGAAACTGTGACAGTTTTAAAGCCACTACGCTGTGTCGAGCCCCGGCTCGCACTCAACGCCGTGTGCGAATCCAATGACGAAGGAGCCAAGGAGGCCGAAACGGTTTTCACACGCGTCAGCTACGATGGTCATACCAGTTTGGTGAAATGTCAACCACACACTGGGAGAACACACCAGATTCGGGTCCACTTGCAGTGTCTGGGACACCCGATCGCAAACGATCCGTTGTACTCCAATCCGCAGGTTTGGGGACCGACTTTGGGGAAGGGACAAATTGACGACTTTTCTAATGTCATTAAGGCATTATCAGAAATCGGGAAAACGGAATGTGCAGAGAGCTGGTTTCATCCGGATTCTCATGGTGAACTTTTGTTAGGCGAAAAATGCGCCGAGTGCGAAACTGACTTGTATACGGATCCTGGTCCCAATGACCTAGACCTGTGGTTGCACGCATACTGCTACGAGTCCACTGAATTTAATGATCAGGGCTCAAGGTTGTGGAGTTACAAAACAGAGTTTCCAGACTGGGCTTTGCAGCCACATCGCCAATTCATGGAGCTAGCGCTACAGGAAGCGCAAAAATGCGGTCCCACAACGACCGCTTTTAGCGTAGGAGCAGTTCTAGTGAGCGGTGATCGTATATTGGCAACCGGACACTCAAGAGAGCTTCCGGGCAACACCCATGCAGAGCAGTGTGCACTTGACAAGTATTTCGAAGCTACAGGGCTCACTCATGTCCCTTCTGGAAGCGTACTTTATACAACCATGGAACCATGCTCGTTACGTTTGAGTGGCCAGTTGCCCTGTGTCGACCGGATCTTGGCCCAGGACAGAAACATTCGTACTGTGTTCGTTGGTGTTATGGAACCTGATACGTTCGTGCAGAATAATACCAGTCGGGCAAAACTCTCTCAGCGTGAAATTGACTATGTTTTGATACCTGGTTATGAAAGTGCCTGTACAACCGCTGCATTCAAGGGTCATGACGCCAAAGGAAAAAATTAAAGTAATACCAACTCAAGCTATCCTTGAAGAGCTATATTCTGCTGTTATGGCCACGATCACAGCCATAACCTCAGCTTTTAAAAGCTGAGATCTTGCACTATTGTCATGCGGCACGAAGGGTCACAAGTTTTCCAATATCAAGAGATTTTTGACGTCAAATTGTATCTATCACCAACACTTTCCAAGCCCAGAATCCCATTATAAAACATGTCCAAACGTCGCGTAGGTGGTGTTGCCAGACCCAATGGCTTGGCTATAGGCAGATCAAAAGAAGATGCCAATCTTTTGGAGGCTTTGAAACTTTACGAGGCCAAAAATTACAAGAAATCCTTGAAGCTAGTCGAGGCAAGTTTGAAAAAAAATTCCCAACACACGGACTCGCTAGCTTTGAAAGCCTTAAACCTGTACTGCACTGACCAGAAAGATGAGGCAGCCTCTTACGTGCAAAGAGCTCTTGCCAAAGGTAGTGTGGCCGGTCCTTCACCAATCGGACTTCACATCTTGGGTATTTACATGAGAAACGAAAAACGATACTCTGAAGCTGCAAATCTCTTCCAGTCTTCTTTAGACAATGGTTCAAGCAACAAGCAAATCTATCGTGACTTGGCAACACTTTACGCTCAAGAACACGATTACAAGAATCTATTGAAAGCTCGCCAAGCTTATTGGGAGGAGTTCATGGGATACCGGGCCAATTGGACATCACTGGCTATTGCGCATGATCTGAATGGACAGCAACAGGAAGCAGCCAACGTGCTGTCGAAGTTCGAAGAATTGGCAAAAGGAAAACTGGGCGAGGCCGAGCTTTACGAGCATAACGAGTGTCTTATGTACAAGAATGATCTTCTTTACCGTGCTGCTGGAGACGACAAAACGAAACTACAGCGCGTTATGAAACATCTAGACGAAATCGAAAAGGATGTTTTTGACAAGTACGCTTGGTTTGAGAGACGTGCTGCTCTGTTTATGAAACTGGATGATAAAGAGAATGCGTCGAAGGTGTATCGGACGTTGATCAAAAGAAACCCTGACAATTTCCGTTACTACAGACTATTGGAAGTTGCTCTCGAGGTGCAAACTGATGACGACAGTCGCAGCATTTTGTACAGTAATTTGGAGCGGTTTTACACCCGTGCCGAACCACCTAAATTCATTCCTTTGACCTTCATCAAAGATGAAAAAAAGTACGCTGAGAAGTTAGCGAATTATCTTCTGCCTCAAATTGAGCGTGGGGTTCCTGCAACTTTCAACAACGTCAAGCCCTTGTACAGAAAAGACATCGAGCGTACTGCTAGGTTGGCAGGAGAAATTGTTCTTCAATTTTTAGGCAAAATTGATTCCAAGCAGTCTCCGCTTACATTTGTGTGGGCCAACTACTATTTGTGTCAGCATTTCATGTTTTTGAAGGACTATACAAAAGCTAAAGACTACATTGACACTGCTTTGAACCACACACCAACAATGGTGGAACTTTACATTTTGAAGGCAAGAGTGCTCAAACACGCAGGACTACTTGCCGATGCAGCCGACACGGTCAACGAAGGTAGAAAACTGGACTTACAGGATAGATTTATCAACACTAAAGCCGTGAAGTACTATTTGAGAGCAGACCTCGTTGAAAAGGCTGTCGAAGTTGTGTCCATCTTCACTAAAAATGATGGCTCCGTCAATGGAGTCATGGATTTGCATTTAATGGAAGCCGCATGGTTTGTCGGTGAACAAGCTGAATCATACTACCGGTTGTACTTAAGCAATAGACAGAAACTGAAGGAGGCTAAAATGAGCGAGGTGGGTGTAGAGGAAGAAGCTCAGTTGGAACGTGCCCATCAAATTCGTCTTTTGTCCTACGAGACTTCCAAGTTCGGCGGTCTTGCTTTAAAAAGATGGACAGCAATTGCTAAATTTTTCAAGCAATTTGAAGACGACCAACTGGACTTCCACTCCTATTGTATGCGCAAGGGTGTTCCTAGAGCCTATTTGGAAATGTATCATTGGGGCAAGTCCATTTTTGCCTTGCCAATGTACGTGAGGGCCACCAAAGGAGCTGCTAAGCTCTATTTTGATCTTTACGATGCGCAGCAGAAACCTGTAACAAATGAAAGCGAAGATGCGGAATCGGCCTCGGTCAAGAAAGGTTCCAAAAAAGCGAAGAAAGATGCTGCTGCTTTGAAAAAACGTACTGATGAGGACAAAAAGACAACATTGGCTTTCGAAAAGGATACTGACATTTTGGGAGAGAAACTCATTTCAACCACAACCCCATTGCAAGACTTTCATGACAAGTTTTATGCGAATTACGCAAAGGCAGCCACAGATGCAACGAGGGATTTCGTCCTGGAATTTGAATACCAGCTGAGATGTGGAAAACTACCACTTTGTGTGGGTGCACTAGCCAAGTACGCCGACATCCATGGCACGACAAACAGCACCGTCGGCGCTATGGTCCTGAGTGTTTTGGATAAAATCAAGCTTTCCAATGAGATCGACGAATTGACGAAAAAGCTTGCGTTGAAGGGACTAGAGCGCCAACTTTCTTCACTACCTTTAGACCAACTAGAAAGCGAAACTTTCGACTGGCTTGAATTTTTTCAGCAATCGTATAGCGTTCCCACACTTGAAGCATTATTACTGTTGCGTCGTTCTGCCTCTCAGATTGTCAGTTCCGCAACGGTCAAACAATTGATTTTGGAAAATTTGGGATCGCAGGAACCGATCGTGCAGGATTCTGTGTTGAAATACGAGCTTAACTAGAGGTCAGTGAAGAACTCTAGCTTGTCCAATCCAAGCTGACTGTCACTTGATTATTTGACGACTCCCATATGTGATACGAATCCTCTCTTCACACTTGGCAAATGTCAAGATCATATACATTAAGATTGAAGAACGTCTCCGAACCGGCTCAAATTTGATACATAGCTTAATACTAACAGTCTTGATACCGCTAGCAAGTATTTAGGTGTGATGGTGCAACTTAAATCGAGTTGTTGTACTTTTCCATTTTCCACCTCCATCACATAGGTTGAGTACCTAAATTAACCATTAGGTTCATGTTCATCGCTACTCACCAACACATCAGGAAAGACAAAAAAGAGACAGAAGACCTTGAAACGATTGTTGTACCGGCTGAAAATGAGCTCAGCGCCACGGCCAGAGTCCGAGGCGTCTTCTCTGCCCTCAACCGCTGGCTTCACAACGGAAAATGACCGTCGAAGAAGGGATAACTTGAATGACAAGATGCAAACGCTTTTACAAGTAATCCCAGAGGAAATGTTCCAGGAATACTATCGTCGTAAGGACTCAAAAGATATGAAAGATAGTTTAGAACTGGATGGCGGCCATAATACGCCAGGCAGTGGCAACGTTACAGGTGGAGGCTCTGCAAGCAGTAGCAAACCTAAGGGCACAGGTACTAAAGATGGGAAGCCCAATAAGGGTCAAATTCTGACCCAGGCGGTGGAATACATGACTAAACTGCAGGCACAAGTGGATACACGCAACCGGGAAGAGGTGGAGCTGATTTTGAGGGTCAAAGAGCTAAGTAAGAAAACGGGCGTGGCACTAACTGATATCAATCTGGACAACACAAGTGCTGAGATCGCACTGGCTAGGATCGGTGTGGGTCCCCTGGCAGGTGCGGATGAAGACACTCTCGACGGAGCGGACGATTATAGGAATTGACATCGGGGCTCGATGTAAGTGTGTGGGGAAGCTGCAGGTCGAAAAGAGAGAGAGAAAGAGAGAGAGAAAGAGAGAGAGAGGTGTCACAGATTAGTAAAATAGGGAACCTAAACAGGTGAAACTGTTATCGGGCAAAAAGCCAGTTTGGACCTCAATTGGTGACAGGGAAAAGAATTGAAATGCTGGCTGAAGGGAAAATAAAATCACAGTTGAAGTTGAGATTCCGATTGATAGCTGCTGGATCAAAGCTAAGATGCGTTAATCAACGCACACATACTAGTATCTGGATTCTGGATTGGTGTTGATGGAGTGTATCTACACCCAAAGTCAAATCCCAGTACTCGGGTACTCGTACAGACACTCAACCAGTCACATGACCAAATGAAGTCATGTGACATTTGATGTCACGTGGTGTTTTTTTGGAACATCACGAAACACGTTCTCTTTTCAAAATTTTTCAAGATTGAACAAGAAATCCAATTGAATATTGTTATCCCTGCTCATCATCTCAATGTGAACCAACCAACATCAACTACGAGCCAAGCTGGTTTTAGGCTCCCGATATCTGTCTCTTCCATATGAGTCTCGACAGTCCGTCCGACGGAGCGGCTGGGAAAAGACCGTTGTCGGAAGCTAGTACGAATTCCAACGAGGTTTCTAGCGTTCAAACCGAGGGAGCTAAGAAACCGCGAGTTCACGACGAGGAAAAGGAGATATTTGATCAGGAACCACCCGCAGACGAGCTGGAGGACATTGTGGATGAGTACGTGCCCGTCAAAGCCGGCGAGTCTGAACGCGAGCTGGAAGCAGACTCGGGCGAAACTAAAGACATTCTGGACGCACTCAACGAATATATGCCAGCCGATCCAGTTCCCGCAGTTGAGATCACTCGCAACCCAATAACAGGGAAGTATAGATTTCCCTTTATCAGCAAAGAGGACTCATTGGCAGCACGGTCGTATCTGAAATACCATGGTTCAGGCCGGTTTCTGGACTCACATCTGCCAGAAGATCTCAACTCGCTATACATTTACCATCTCATCAAGTTGTTGGGATTCCAGATCAAGGACAAACAGCTCTTGGGAGCCGTTCAGGCTGTGTCTGAAAATGACATTTTGCCGCAAGGACCGGTTTCATCTGCTAGTACGAACGGCACCGGCAGTGTCGGTGACACTCATCCACAGCATCAAAACAGTGTGGAAAAAGGTCAGGATCCCGACGAAAGTGACTACTTCGATGATCCCTTGGAGAAAAAACACGCTGTGCGTTTAATCAAAGATCTACAAAAGGCCATGAACAAAGTGCTGAGCACGAGAATGCGTTTGGCAAACTTTCACTCTTTGGATCATTTTGTCGAAAAACTGAAGACTGCGAAAAAAGTTCTGATTCTCACAGGGGCCGGTATTTCCACGTCTCTGGGAATCCCCGATTTTCGGTCGTCTGAAGGATTCTACTCCAAGATCAGACACTTGGGTCTCGATGACCCACAAGATGTGTTCAACTACGAAATCTTCATGCAAGATCCATCTGTTTTTTACAACATAGCGCATATGGTATTGCCACCAGAGAACTTATACTCACCATTGCATAGTTTTATTCGCATGATTCAGGACAAAAGCAAATTGTTGAGAAACTACACTCAAAACATCGATAATTTGGAATCCTATGCCGGCATACAGTCCGAGAAAATGGTACAATGCCACGGTTCTTTTGCTACCGCGTCCTGTGTTACTTGCCATTGGAAGCTCCCAGGGGAAAGAATCTTCGGTAACATCAGAAATCTCGAACTGCCGTTGTGTCCGTATTGCTACAAAAAACGCAAAGAATTTTTCCCCACAATCGTTCCTGGCTCCAAGGAGAAAGAACCCGAGAATTTTAACAGTCTGTTTGGCCATGTACTCAAGTCCTATGGCGTGCTGAAGCCCGATATCACTTTTTTCGGCGAAGCACTACCTTCCAAGTTCCACCGCTTCATACGCGACGATGTTCTGAAATGCGACCTTCTTATCTGCATTGGCACCAGTTTGAAAGTGGCGCCCGTCTCTGAGATTGTCAACATGATCCCCGCATACGTGCCCCAGGTGCTCATCAATAAAGATCCGGTAAGACATGCCGAGTTCGATTTGTCGCTACTTGGCTACTGCGACGACGTTGCGGCCCTTGTAACTCAAAAATGTGGCTGGTCCATGCCTCACGACAGGTGGCTTGCTCTTAAAGATACGGAGTATGTCTGTGAGTTGCACGAAAGAGGGACTTACGAGATTCATGCTAAACAATCCGATGAAACGATGCAAGATAAGGAAAATGGGCTAAAACAGTAAGTTCAATGCTAAAAAGAGACATCACATCGATAGCATAAAGATACTAGGCAAAGCATAGTTGGAATAGTCAAATTCAACGTTCCCAGTGTATAAAAATTCTGTTTGTAGAGTATAACGTGATAAGATGTAATTGACAGAGAGAGAGTAAGATCTTAACTGATGATGAAAGACGTTTGGATAAAATCTAGACAAGAAGTCGATATAAAGACTCAATAGTTGACTTCGATACCCATTTAGTGGTAGCTAGCACTGTTGCAAAGATGGATTATCAAAATCGGGCTGGTTCGAAGAAGGGTTCCGGCGGTGTTGCATCTGCTTCGCAAGAAAACCTGCACAGAAGAAAACAGGTCGAGGAACTGCTGAGAGAAGGAGAGGACGTACCATACTCATTTCAAGGTATCAGTAAAGAGGACGAAGAGCTCAGCAAGAAGAACCCATATATATACAAGAATTATGCTGGCCGTCTAGTATGCAAGCTTTGCAATACGATGCATATGTCATGGTCCAGTGTGGAAAGACATTTAGAGGGTAAAAAACATGGCCTCAACTTGCTGCGAAGGGGTACAAGTTCTGCTCACAACCAGCGCAAGGAACTGTCGCAGGAAGAAATCGAATTTCAGCAAAAAGTTGAAGAACTGCGAGCTCAAATCAAAGATAACGGTCTTCTACCTGAATACCAAGTGGCTAAAATACATGATCCTGAGACCAATGCAAAAGGTATAGCAATGAAGCTCAAATATCCCGATCAAGGCCACGCACTCGATGTTGACGATCGTCCCTTCGTTAGACTCATGTCCAGTCTAGAAATGTCAGTGGAGCAGACTGACGACAAAAAGTTCTTATTGGTAGCTTTCGAGCCTTTCAAAACGGTGGCAGTAGAAGTGCCAAACCGAGATTTGCGTGCAATCGAGTTCAATACCTCTAATGAACCTTTTGTGGACGACTTCAATGCCAAATATACCTACTGGGACGCCAGCAATTTAACGCTGTACATCCAGGTCTTTTTTAGCGATGAAGACTAGGCCCCACACGAGGAAAAGTTCATTGATCTCCATATTTTCTTTTTCTCACGTTATCGTATCCTTTGAAGCATGCTGCTCATGTAATTGTTTATGTGAGTGGCCAAGAGCGAGTACTCGAGCTCTATGGCATCCGATTCTTTTTTGAAATCTTCCCTCAACTGTTGCATGTCTTTTTCCAGACCCTTGATGACAACGCCATAAAGCTCACTTTCCACATGCTCGTCGATCTTTCGAACCTCCGGCAAGATTTCTTGTGAGAATTGGGTTTGTAAAGTGTGTAGCACACTGGAGTTTTCTTGGTGTTCGATTCGGGTGGAGTCTTCTAGCTCTCGGATGCTTTTTTTACGACTTTCCAGCTGAGTTTGCATATTCGTCAATTTAACCGTTACCCCGGATGTGAGCAAATGTTCTAATTTGGCCCTATTGTTCAAAAGCTGCTCTTTAAGCTCCAAGATGCCCACTTCCTGAAGATGTGATTTCTGCAAATCTGTCGAAATCACTCGTAGAAGCTCGTAGAGCTCTGTTGTGACCGTTTGGAATGTTGACATAGCCTTTGCAAGATTGCGGTGCTGCTTTTGAAGCCTCGAAAGGCTTTCACTTTGCTCCTCCAGGGCTTGTGACAGCTCTTTGATACTTGCCTGTAAGCTTCCTACATCTGCTTCGGAGTAGCGCTGTAGCTTGCCACGTTGCAATTCAAGCTCAATCAGCTCAAAGCCCAAACTTTCCAGTTCGGCCAGCATTTTACGCTTACTGCTTTTGTAGTTGTTGTAATCGATGGAAAATGTTTCCTGAACCTGTGTAAGTTTCTTCAACTGGTTTTCCAGATTGCGGTTATTACTTTCTAACGAAACGAGCGTTTCCCCGTCTGCAAAACTGGAAGCTTCCTCGAGTTTCTGAACCTGTAGTTGCAGGAAGTTGTGGTCATCTAGCTTTTGACGCAACTGTCCCAGTAAAGTTTCTGTCTGCGACATGAATTGGTCACAATCAAGCATGCGTTCTTCTCTGAAACGCGCATAGTTCACCACAGCGCTCAGAAACCGCTGAGTCCGTTGTGCTTCGGGCTTGTAGAGGTCCATCATATTGAAATCTGGGACGCCTACGTCCTCGAAGAACTTGAAGCAGATCTTGTTCAGCGTAAGCATTTGAAGCGTATCTCTATAGACTGGATCATCGTCAATATGAGTTCCGCTCGACTCCAGAAGCAACTCTCCATTATTTATGAGTGTATCGGGAGATATTCCAGAGAAACTGTCTATGATTTGCTTATATAGTGTGACGACATACTTGGAAGATGGTCTAGCTATGTTCTCCTCATTGGCAAGCGCAAAATCGCAGCTTTGAAGACACACAACAAGTTCCTGAAGATCTAATAGTGGAAAGACGTCTTTGCTCATATCTTCATCGGCTCAATTGGTCGTGGTTAGACTCGAAATCTTGCTGTTTTTGATATCTGATCATGTTGATGCATTAAGGTCAATATATCCACTTTTTCAGATTTGAATTTAACTTAAATCCAACCTTAAAGATATAAAAACATCATCGTTTTAAGCCTTAAAACTAGCTTTTGGGTTAGTTTCGATAGACGCTTTAGCTTCTCCCAGATTTCATATACCTAAGAGCTTTTTCAGCGGCCTCTTGGTGTTAGTTTTGAGTGAGATAGAGATAGTTTTAGTACATATTTCAGTGATAGCCGCGTCGCGACATATCCAATGGGTTTGATCAAGAAGGTAGCGGTAATAGGTGGTGGACCGGCTGGTCTTTTGGCGGCTGAGAGTTTGGCTCGACAGGAAGACCAGAACTGGGAAATTGTGGGATTTGAAGCCCGAAGTCAGCTAGGCGGTGTTTGGAGCGATACTCCGGGCTCTAATCTAAACTCGGAGCAGGTGTTCCAGCAATTGCAGCTGTTGGGAAATGTTGAAGCTCCTCTTGATCCAGCAACAATATTCCAGAAGGATTCACCGCTTGTGGAAAACGGGCGAATTCCAAACCTACGTCCGATGCTTGCGACCAGTGTCAATAAGCCAATGTGTCTGAAAAGAAAGCCATTACTACGTGACGGTCTCGTTTTATCTAGCAAGACCGGTGTTTACGATAATTTCATGACCAATGCACCTAGACAATTGATGGACCTTGACTGCCGAAACCCGTTGCAAGATGACCGAAGAGACGACATTGCACCATTGGAAGACTTGCAGCAAGTGCAGGAAAACGTGAAAAGTTTTGTGGAAAAGCACCAGAGCTCCAAAATATTTCGACTCAACACAAGTGTTGAATATCTCGATAAACTGTCGCCCTTGAAATGGATTATAATAGCCAAAACCTCGGATCCCAGAAACGATACTGACAGTTGGTACAGCGAGACATTTGACGCAGTTGTTATTGCTAATGGTCATTTTATGTGTCCATATGTCCCCTACTACATGAGCTCGACGTCGAATGGCGACTCGAACATCCACGAGTTCAACAAAAGCTTTCCTGATACCCTATCACACGTACGGGATATTGACGTCTGGTATCAGAAACGACTTCCTCTGTTGCATAAGGCATCTGCATCTCGAAAACAGAAAATTGTCATTGTTGGCAAAAGTTTCAGCGCCATGGACATTCTGAAGCGCCTCGTCCCTCTACAGGATGCACACCACTCGCTTGAAATCATAATTTCGACGAAAACACCTCCCAATCCTGAAAATACAGCCAATCCGTTCTGTTGGTTTGACAAGTGGCTTACACAAACAACAAAAGTGACCACAGTGTGTGCAATCTCACAATTTTTCGAGAAACAGGGAAAACCCGCTTTGCGGCTAGAAGATGGATCTGAAATTCAGGAGGTATCCGAAATCTTATTTGCAACGGGGTATCTTTATTCCTTTCCATTTGTATCCAACAAATTGCTCGAGAATTACCGTATACTTCTGACTCCTGATCCACGGTGTCCAAGTGGGACGCCGTCCAACATTTCCCGTGTTACAGGTCTCTACCTCCACACCTTTTCGATTGCAGATCCCACAATGGGTTTTGTGGGAATCTCCAGCAATGCCAACTTCCAGTCCTTCCAAATTTCAGCTCAAGCTCTTGCTGGAGCGTGGTCTAAGGTCAATTACCTTTACGAAACGCTAAAACCTCAAGACGGGCCAATCTATGACTCTATATGGTCACAGGTTCTCCCTTCTGTTCAAGAGCAGCTCAAGTGGTGTCAAGAACGTCTGCTTCAGACCGGAAATAATGGTGCCTACCATTTTTACTTTCCGTTAAACCTACTCAAAGAGCAATGGCTCAAGCACAGCGAGCCGCTATTTACCGACAAAGATCGTCAGCAGCGCTTGTTTCCGGAGGACTCTGCCGAGAAAGCGCAGTCAGGGCTAAAGAAACTCGAGGAGCTATTTTTACAAACCGTGGAGCCTAACAAAAATCTCTAATGCCGTCATAAGCAAGCAGATCAGGTTTCTTGGCGAAATCGCTCCCGCTGAGCACAGCTTGTCACTAATCGATCGAAGTGACAAAGCGAACAACTTGATGATCATCATGTGAGCTGTGAAGATGATTACGCTTTGTCGAAGTGTTGATGTTTTTGTATTACCGTTTTTGGAGGGCTTAAAGCGTTTATAGATATTCAATTGATATTGAATATCTGAGCCTATACCAAGAACATCAACAGTTTTCACAGGAAAGCCAGAACCATTGCCCAGATTTCTGCAAAGGCCGCGATAATGGCAATGAACACTAACTCGAAGAGATTGTCGGCCATGATCGACTCTCTTCACAACGAAAAAGACGATGATCTCCTCTACTATCGAAGAACGACTCCGCCCATGCAAAGTACGACTGCGGACGCAGTCAATGGTAGCACCTCGTCTACCGATACTTTTCCAAAACCACCAGCAGTTTATTCAAATACTGCTAGCGAAAGAGGACCCACAAGCCCCAATTTCAAATATGGCAGTCCTGGGAATCGAGGAAGTCTTATCTCAGACTACTCAGCAAGTATCCATGAAGGTGTACCCGTTTATTTAAACCAAAAACCTTCTCAAGAACGTTCAGATCGTCCCGTTATCTACTCAGCCGTTAACTTCCCACTTTCGGAAGAAACTGTGAACCAGAATGGAGAATTACCGTATGAACATGAGAAAAATCCCCCCATGGGTACAAGCGGACTTCCGGTACCTAATTCAAGTGTTGATGTGGCGAGAACATACGAACCTATGGGAAACAGCTCATTGAAGCTTTCTGCGAGACAGCATTTTCATCACAAGAAAAATTCGACTGTCGGATCAGGTAACTTGGCTAGCGAGAGCGGCCACTCTCACAATATTTCCGATGTCGCTAGCTCACCCAAATTTGTCAATGAAAAGGAGCTCTCACCGGCTTACGAGTACGTTGGAAGCGGGGGGGTTGAGGCAAGCAAAACGCCTTTGAATGGTGGACCTCAGGCATTGAAAAGCGAGGACATTAACGGAAACAAAGCTCTGTCACCAGTCCGCTCGGAAACTGTGGGGTCAGTCGCAAGTTCGGTGAAAGACGCTAGCGATACACAATCCCTTGCGTCCAGTATAGTTCCCTCTCTGCGAACACATCTGCCCACGGAACGAGCACAAGCTATGCTTCCCGATCGCTCGCTGAATTCAGACTATAACCCTTCAATTCCACCTAGGAGTCGAAACCGTCCCAAATCTCATCTATTCATAAAAAACGGATTAGAGGACATTCAAAACCAACTACAGGAGCAAATGGCACTAGAACATTCGCGAAGCACGTCCCGCGCTAGCACCAATAAGTCCAGCAGTTACTTCTCTGCCGTTGATCCCGCAAATAGATATAACATGAATGATGACGAGGACGACAGTGAGGAGGACCATTTCGGTAAGCCAGATGACGATGACAGTTACCTACACAGGCCTCTACCGACCGTTCCAGCAGAACACTCGAAAAGTGGCCTTGATCGCAATGATACCATCCTGATCTCTCCGGCTCCTCAGCCAGATGCTCAACCCCCACGTATGCCCAGTTTTCCTGCTTCATTGTCTCAATATCGTGATACCAATGACTTGAATACTAATGAAAGCTCTATGCACCCACCAGTTCCTAACGATGATGACGACGAGTACGAAGATATCTTGGATGAAAACACTGTAAATACAGGTGCGCCTCCTACAGCAAGTAAAGGGAAAGCAAACAAAAGCAGGAAAGGTGCCCCTGATGTGTCCGGACGTAAATCGCATGGTGCTCGCAGCGAAAAACGTAAGAGCAGGGATAGTAGACGAGAGGTAAGATCTTTCGATATCGATACCATAGCGCAAATGCTGGACGTTACGAAAGGTACGATGATTGGATCGGAATTTGCAAATCTCGGAATGCAAACGGAAGAAAAAAGGGCACTGGAACGACTTGTGGACTCGCTTTCGAGGTTAACAGCAGACATGGTAATAGACCCAAGACGTTTTCGGGAGGGGATGAAAAGATTGGATAAGGCCACAAGAGCACTGGAGGGTTTTTGAGGATCGCGGTTCGTGAACAATAAAAAACCGAGTCTTGTGTTGTTGTTTCCTGGGTTTTCCTTTGGCATCTCTGGTGTGTGCTCAATACTGTGATATGTGATTATCAGAGATCAGTCGCTTGAGAAACATGCGCAGCGTAATTTACTGTCGTCAACAACTTCAATGCTCAAACATCGAACAGAACATGCTAAGTTTTCAAAACAAACCTTTGCAGATACCCCCGACTTAACTAAAGACGACTAACAATCCTGAAGTGATGCGGACAGGCTTTCGAAGAAAGACGAAATCTGATGATGAGCTCTTCATTAAGCTAAAATGACCATTTCCGAAGCAAAATCAGCACTTGAAGGTCACAGTAAAGACCTAGACATAAACCCACATGTCCGGCCGTCTTTTATCGATGCCATCAACTGCTTTAAAATAGCCAGGACTTGGCTCTTCCACACTCAAGTTACACTTCGTTCGAAATAATACTCATCGCCTCTACAATGACATAAATTAAATTTGATTTTAGACTAGCATATATCATCGACAATGAGATACAAGTATCGATGCAATAGTGCCGCTGAAGTCTTCCTGTGCTACTTATTCAATGCTGAAACGACTGGTTGGTGTGAAGCTCGCTTGTGGGCGAAATTTCAGCTATCTCGGGGCTCTCATGGGCGAAAAACAAGCCAAAAAAATGGACTCTAGAGAGGCCGATGGGTTTAAAGACGAGCAGGTATCGTCGGTCCATGAAAGAACACTGTTCGAGCAGATCTTCACACAGATCATGAAGAAAGACGAGAATAAGAAAAGATCCAAGGAACTTTTAAGGCCAATTTTAGGACAAGAAATTCACCGATCAAGCGTGGAAACGGTGAACAAGCAAGACAATCTTCAAGTGGTTTTCGAAAACACCAAGAAATCCGATTCTGTTAACGATACACTTTCGAAGTTCTTCCGGGACGCTGTGGGTAATGATGCGGAGGATTCCAGCGCTCTTGCGAGAATGACAACAGAAGATATTCGCAAATATCCGGTATCGTTGACACCGACGTATTTTTCGAAAGAAAAGAGCCCCGGCATTACTGAGAATGGGCAAAATGTAAGCCCATCTACGCAGGTATCTGCTGCGTCTTATATCGAAAAGATTCTGGCGTCAGATCTCAAGTTGAGCTTGTCTCGTGAGAAAACTGCAACCTCCAACATTAATCCTAATCTCATAAGACAAATCGAAGCCAAAAACCGATTAACTGCAAGTTTGGAAACCGCTTTGGGTCCTTATTTGCTGATGTTACAAGATCGCATTCAAACCGACGGAGATTGTCTTGCAGTCATTCAAGATCTTCTGAAGCAGTACCTGAACAGAGATTTGGATTGCGATTCGGAGACTCTAGAGCACCTGAAGCAAAAATGCTCAGAAAACCCTGCTCATTTACCGCAGCCGTTGCATATTACCGCGCCGTTTGTCATTCGGCATCTTTTGACTAGCTGTGACTTTTCATTTCCACCGGAGCGTCGATACGCTCTAATATCTCTGGTTTACAATTCGTGCAAAAAAGCTTCAGACGTTTCTCTGTATCTGAACGTGTGCAACATCGACTTTTACAACTTACTCATCGAGTTGACCTGGGAAAACCTCCAAGAAATACATCAAGTGAGACAATTGGTGGCCGAAATGACGGTAAACGGCATCATTGGTGACCTACGAACCGTAGAAATTCTTTCAGAGATTGCCAAGGCTATGAGACATATGAATGATGGTATAGCTGATGACTCTGGCTATTCAGAAGGTGCTCTGACTGTGGGTGTCGTATGGTGTCGTGAAAATGCTCAAGACTTGAACTACATCGAGGACTACCTGAAGAAACTCGAGCAGAGTCACACCCAAGTACAAAGCATTTGAGAGCATTTCCTGAACAAACAAAGAACCCTTTTAGTCTCAACTCAAGCTGTAAATATAAACTAGCATTATTCTTCCATCATTATGTACTATACAAAGCAGTTGGACATTATTAGATCAGCGCGCTGTTGAATCCACCATTCAAGAGTAAAGTTACCATAAAGATAGCACTCAAAGCTTAGTTTCGGGCCCAAATGACGCTTGCCGATATTTCTAAACATTGTCACAACATAACCAGCAGTTATTTGGCTGTCACAAACGGTTCAGAACTCGTGGAATCAACTAAAGATGCTATACGCTTGACCCGATATCATTTGCTAGAAGAAGTGTTCCGTCGGTGGGATCCGTTTGGAAATCAACTATCATTCTCATACAATGGTGGTAAAGATTGTCAAGTTCTTCTTATTCTCTACTTATCATGTCTCTGGGAGTTCTTTATCACCAAATCCAGAAGCTCGCAGTACGATTCACAATACCACCATTTCCCACTGCGATCGTTGCCAACAGTGTACATCAATCAAGCTGAAACATTCAACACACTTGAGCAGTCGATCGAGTCAGCTCGGGAACGATACTTTCTATCCATTTACGAATCGCCTCAGAATCAAACCAGCATGCCAGAGGCATTTGAAAACTACCTGAAAGTACACTCCACAGCAGAGGCTATTGTGATAGGAATACGATACACAGATCCATTTGGGGCCGATCTGCGGTGTATCCAGGAAACAGACAGCGGCTGGCCTCAATTTATGAGAGTACAGCCTTTGTTGCATTGGACTCTGGCTAATGTGTGGAGCATACTGTTATATTCTAACGAAGAGATATGTGGTCTATATGAAAGGGGATTCACATCGATAGGAGGTATAAACTCTACGGTGCCGAACCCTGCATTAAAGATCAACGATGATGCAAACATTCCAGCCTTCAAAAACTCGTTTGAGTGGGAAATCGCCAACGCCTACGGAAAGCAGATGCCGTCCGACAAAGTCAAAGTGTCAAAACTCACAGACGCTGACGAAGCGTTGTTGCAAGGTACCGGACAACTGGGATTCTATCCTGGATGGTTCTTGACCGATGACTCGCTTGAACGAGCCGGCAGAATACGCAGATGAGAGTAAAAAGCATTGCAGCACGCATGATGCGGTGAAGAGACTTTTAGATCTGTAAAAGACATGTTCATTTTTTAATGTCCGAAAAAAACAAAAAATCGACTATGTACAATGGTGAGATGTTGGTGTGTTTTGTTTTCTTCCTTTCAATCGTGAGGTTTACCAGAAACCCGGTCGTAAAGTCTCGCAGCATGATAATTGATGCTGCTCTTTTGGACACCAGAATTTTTGCCACTTGCATTCTCAGAAGAGCACAACTTCAGGTCCTTAACAAGATTCTCACACACAGGACTCATGTGGCCGTTGGACGACCAGCATTGCAGTAAATTTGACATGAGCACCAAACATTTGTTAGTTTCTTGTTGAATGATCGGTTTTTTCACCTTCAGCCTGGGCAAAGGAGGTAGCCTGGGTACAGGTGGTTTTCCAGACATTTGCAACGTGTGGGAATTGGTAGAGAGTGCAGCTCCAATGGGCGTTGAGTTCACGAACTTGTATTGTCGATGAGATCCAGAGATGGGTTTTCAATATCGAATTTTTCATTTTTGAAGACTCGAGTACCATTTTGACATGTACTCGTGAGTACATGCAGTACTCGGCAGCTTTCTCAAAGTGTGAAGTAAGGCACACAGTCCGAGCTTTAAGACCATCCACTCGGCCATTCAGTACTGAACTAGTATCCATCACAGCACTCGTCAAGTTATATTTTTCGTTTTGGTCCATCGCCACTACATTTCCATTTCATCATTACTGTAAGTATTGTCAGACAGGTTTGCCAGAATCCAAGTAACGCAGTCACGTAGTGAACATACATCATTTCCATTACATTCTTCAATAACAATAAGTGTCGTCTTCAACCCCAAAAGATCGCGATATCGAAAAAAAAGAGACCTGTTTTAATAAAACGCTATACAAGAAATGCCACCCTAAGAACTAATTCCCTTAAACCCAGCTTTTAAACCCGTTCTATGACATCTTTGTCCTTTTTTCTTTTACCTGCTACCTAATTCCGGCATCCTCATGACAACCTTTTCCCTGTTTTCGCTAAAATCCTGCAATTTCTTCAGCAGCTTGGAATCCTGGAACTTTTCCGGTAGCGGAGTCACATCAAAATTCTTGGTTGCCCAGTAGTAGATATCCCAATCCAATTCGTCGAGCAATGAGTCGTATTCATCGAGCTCTTCCGGAGCCATGGTGTCTAGATATTTCGCAGCAAACCGCGAGAGTAACAGATCCGTTTCCAAAATACCTCTTTTACGAGACTGATACACCAGACGGGCTCTTTTGCGCTCCAAAGTTTCGCCCACGCGCTTGATTGGTGGTATTCTTAGTCGGACATCGGAACTGTAATGACATGCTAAGTTGCGAAAATTCGACGCAGGAACAATGGGGCTTACGATCCTGAAAGCAGAGGGTCTAGGAAGTGCTAGTTTCGATAGCATGAGTGTATACCGCGGGGAGAAGAAGTCCGTAACACCTATGAGAAATAGGATTGGATTGTATGTGAGAGTGATGAGTGTTTAGACATTGGTGATTTCAGAGATATAATTGTATTATTAAAACTGATACACTTTTATCGTAGATAGTTATCGTGGGTGGTGATATTTGAGATTGTTAAACCCGTTATAAGTGACATAAATATTACATTGGTGTCACGTTACCTTGGTGTCTGGGTGGGAGATTCATGTGTGTCTGGGTTTTTTCTGGGATGCTGGCCTTACGTAATACTGCATTCCAATTTTTTTGAATTATGTTTTAAGTCACGTGACTTGCGCACGTGGCTTCTCTTTGTCTCCCCTTTCTCTGTCATGTGCGTGAACTAACTAAACTCATCCGCTCATGCGCCAGAACAACAGCCCAGCTGTTATCAAACACAAAGAGTGATGAATTTTGACCATAATAGGTGATTGAGTTTTGTGAGTTCCATCACAACACACGCATAGGCTTCAGGCTATCAAGACCTTCCTAATAAGCCGGGAAATAGATATCACCGCTGAGACAGGTAATCTCGTCGTCGTCTTCTGTGTAGGCCCTAGCCAAAACCGTGTATTTTCCAGGGGGTACTTCTTGTGGGATTTCGACGGTTTTTTCAATCATGTAATCGCCAGCCTTGATAGGACACTTGAGACCACCCACATCGTTATTTTCGAGCTCTTCACACAAATCGTATGTTTGTGACAGCAGCTTGATATATCCAAGACGCACCTCAACGTCCACGTACGCTCCCTTTTCGATCGTCTCTTTCACGTACCCTGCGGCAGAAATTGTGACGTTTTCACCGCGCACTGGAGGATTGGGCAACAAATTGACCAATTTTATGTCCAAAACCTGCTTTTCGTCGGTATCACACTGCTGCAATGGAGAATCGCCTGAAATAGGCTTGTTTCCAGACTTGGTGCCTGGAAAACTGAAAAAAGCTGGGAAGACAGGCGAGGCTGCTGCAAGGGCGCACAAAAATGCCAACAGTATTACAGAATAACGAGTCATTCTAGCTCAAAAATCTGGAAAACAGGATAAGTGCTATGCTAAACTGGTAAGTGTTCACAGTTTCCAAAGATCAAACGTGTCAGTCTTAGAAACTATGAATGGCCAGTTACTTCAAAAAGTGGTTGATATATTGTCAAAAATGCCTTAGGACCCCTGTTTCTTTATATAATCATTAATTTGGGATTTGTTGGTTGTGGTTAATTATTACTGTCGTACAGAGTGATGCTAAATGGCCTAAGTGAAGAGTGATGAGAGTGCCAACGTCAGACTTGAAACGACAGCGAATGTTACAAGTATGGTAGCACTATTATCTTTTGGAGCGCATTGGGTTCGGATTACACCATGGCGATTTCTATACCGTTCGGAATTTTTGTTTTTTCTTCCAAGAAGGCAGGTTTTTTAGACCCTTCATGATGTTGAAAATTTTCCTTCCAATGGACACCAAAACCTCAAATTTAGCATTATATCAAATGTAAGTGCATCGTGGCAATCTCGGGGGCCATCGAGAGATTTAACCTTTTATAGCTGGGCTACTCCCTCGATAGTTTATTCGTCGGACCGTCAACGGTGGCTCGTGATCGTCATTAAAAGCAGAGAAAGGAACAAAAAGTCCAGCGGCATTCCACGCGGCTGGTAAGGACCTGAGGACTGGAGGGGAGGGTAAAGGTCGATGTACCGCGAAAAAAAGACGCTTTTTAGTCTAGTGTACAGATGTGAGGAATCGTGGTTGTTGTTATTGTTTGTTGTTGTCAATATTGACAATGATCATCAAAATAAGAATGTCGTGACTATAATGATGATGATGATGATGATGATAATGATGATGATGATGGTGGTGGTGGAGTTAAGTATAATCGGCACGATGACTCTGTTGCTTGTGGAGCTCTCTCAAGGAACTACAAGAAATAGCCACCGCGCTGATTGCTGTGATTGTTTTCCTGGATGTAATCGTCAGGAACGGCAGAGAATATCTTGAAAGAGGGCTCGAGATCCTCGTCCACCTTCATTACGCTCGCCACATTCCCACACCGATAACAATAGTTGGGCGCAGACCACACCGTGACCACATCCTTTTCCGGAAAATGGTACTTGAATCCTTCCATTACTAACTGATGCGCTCTTGCTATGAGATTAAGCCCGTTAACATGATTGAATTCGCGTGCCACTTTGCTCCCAAAGAGCCAGCCGGCTCCACGCGGCGAAACCTGCCATGCCTCCACGTTATCTGGATCACTCCATAACAGATCCGAAAAGCCACCCTCGTGCGGAACCTCCTGTGCTCTTGACAGCACCCGAATTTGGTCCAGCATGCGTATTTCCGGTGACAGACCCCCATGCACACACAATATTTTGCCGTCGATGATTGCCGCCAGCGTTAGAAAGTCAAACACCTGGCAGCAGTATTTCCACACCGTGGTAGACCCGTATTTGTTTAAACATTCCTCGTAGAACCCGTAAACCTGTGTGATTTGACGAGACTCATGATTTCCTCGCACCAACGTCAGACGAGCCGGGTATTTAACTTTCAGACACATCAGCAGCGTGAAGGTTTCAAGACTGTAGTAGCCACGGTCCACGTAGTCGCCGAGAAAAATGTAGTTGATCTCGTCTGGAAATCCGCCTGCGGTTCGAAACAGCTCCAAGAGGTCATGAAACTGGCCGTGAATGTCCCCACACACCGTGACGGGCGTCTGCACGGGCTGAATGTTTGATTCTTCCATCAAAAGCTCCTTCACCATCTCGCAAAGTTGCTTCATTTCACTTTCTGTGAGCGATTGGCATTTTTTTATTTTCTCTAGCCACTGATCGGGCCCTCTTTCCACCATTATGTCACCTTTCGAGTTGCGATTTTCAATATTTCGAGTATCTTGACACTCTTTGGCAGATCAACGTACGATCGGTATGCTAAAACAGCTTTATTCTGACTCTATCCCGCGATATTGGCAAAAACGGAATAAACTCTTCCTATCAAAAGTTTTGGTCCAAAATCGACGCAAAAAAGTCCCAACTTTCGGCGATTCTTTAAATGCTGTCGTTGAAAGGCTATAGGTGTATCGCAATACACTCAAGTTGGATTTAATGGTCTTCTTGAAGCTGCTTTAATCTGAATCCAGGTCAATGTTGTGATGTTACGCTCTCATTATTAGATTATCAATTCGCTAATTCAACAAATTTTTACAGTACTCATTTTCAAGTGGTAGTGACGAGTACGCTGTTTCTCACGTGACGTAAGTCAGCGGGAGAAGTAATGACTTGAGAACGTCAGTGAAGAAGAATAAGAAACGGACTGGAAGCTGTGGGGTTGTAAGCTCCATAATGAGATCTTATGATGAATAGGCCGCATTTTGCACCTCTTCTGAACTTGAAAGCAGTGGTGAAAATATCATGCTTCTTCTTCGTCTGTTTTTTCTGGTCCTCAGTCAAACGTCGTTTTGACTTGAAGATGCCAGGGAATGAAATAAGATGGGTTCTTCGGGGTCCTTAGTCTCAGTTATCAAGCCAGACATCATCTCCGTTGAATGGGAAAAAAGCCACAAGCTTTTCGTTCACCGATGGAAAAATAAAATCAATTTTTTTGGCTTTGGGAAATACGCACTGTTTGCTGAGAGGAAAACAATTGGCCTTCATCAGACCAATGTTGACAAGAGATTCGAGGGCGTTTGGGACATTCTCCGGGACATGTACCATGGTGTATATCGGCTTCAAACCTTGCGGGGAGCCCAGCGAAATCCGCAGTGCAATCTCAAGGAACGCATAGGATATCTTGTTGCTGTCGTTCGAGAAACAGAAGTCGACGATGACACGGCGGAAAAGACTGCGATATATCAGAAGAGGGCATTTCTCAAGAAGCAGAAGTAAAAGTTTTTGTCTGCGCAACTCGTCTTCGTGCTGGGCCATCCAGACGTGAAAACGACGCAAGCATCCGCTTTTAACGATATGTGACAACTCCAGGTATTTATGAGTGCTCTCGCTTCCGCTACCGTGCAAAAACTGGTGTTCCAAATTCATAGGCGTTTTGCCGAATAAGATACCCACTGGCAACAAGAATCTCAAGATTCTCTGCTTGTTTCTTTGAACTGAGGGATCTGCAGCGGTGTTGGCAGTATACTTCACCAGCAGACTATAGGCACTATTGAGCTGATGGAACGCATTGGAGACACGGTGGTTTAGCATATAGTACCGGCCAAGTAAATACCGGTACTCGATCTGCTCGTGCACTGGATACTGTGAGAAGCTTTCAATCGCGGATTTTGGTTTGACGTTTTTGAAAATATTGGCACACGATGCCGGGGAACCAATCTGCATGTAAATATTGTTCAGTTTATTTGCAGTGTATAGCAGAATCTGCTGTTTCTGAGGCAGCTCCTCAAAACGCACTGTAGGTTTTTCGTAGCGAGGTTTGATGCTGTTGAATAGTTTGGTGACGACAGACGAGATGTGTGTCAGAAACTGATGTTCCCGCGTGTCTATTTCGCGGTATTTCGAATCTAGCTCCCGGGCCAGCGGTATGACATATTCAGTGGTGCTCTGGAAAATTGTAACCAGTGGATCTACCGGGAAATTATCGTTAAGTATGCAATTGGTCAGATCCTGGTAGTAATTGAAAATGAGATCGGAACTTTCCCAGAGCGACCAGGGGTTAACATCTTTGCAATATCGCATAAAACTCACTATCAGCATATTAAACCGAGTCCATTTTCCTCCCTCAAACCTCCTGTTCTCAACGAAAGCCTCTATGTCCTTGTCACTCAACCCGTTCAGCAGTTCCGCTTGTAGCTCAGCAACCAAGCGTCCATTTTGATTCAAATTAATGTTCAAGCAACCTAGATCTCCGGACTCGATACTGCTAAGAAATTGAGCCACTTGAGACCCTGCAGCGGGCTTCATAGAAGGTACAAGATTCTTGACCTTTGAAGTTAATAGGGCATCTGCTCATTGAATTCAAGTAATATTGGAAAATTTTCGACACTTTATGAAAATAACCTGAACTGAACCTCAAATCCATGAAAGAACATGGATGAAAGGTCCCGGGATGATGCTGAGCATGAGGTAAAACGCAGCGCTGACTGGAAAGGTGGATACAAGAAAAAAACCGGGGCCAAAAAGCTCAAAAATGAAGCAAAAGGCCCCACATCAACAGGCGGTTCCGGAAATGCAAAATCCAAGAAAAAGTTCAAACGCAACAAAGAGCAACCAAAAGTTCCGCCTGCTCAGCATAAAGTTGTGGTTCGTTTGCTGCCGCCAGATTTGACAAGCGAGTTATTTTTTGAAACGTTACACAAAGAGCTGGGCTCTGAGAACGGTAGCAAAGCTGGAGCACAGTTCTTGGCCGATAATGTTGATTCTCAATACTATGTGCAAGGCCACTACTCCAGAAAACCGTTCAAGCTTCCGACGTACTCTAGAGCGTATCTGACGTTCTTTGAGCTGGCAAAACTGCAAGAATTTCAAGGAAAAATCAAAAATTTGAAGTTCACGGACGACAGTAACACTTCAATGGTTCCTGTAACGGCCATGAGTCCCTACGTCAAGCGTCTCAGAAACGATGATCGAAAAGGTGCAAAAAACCATAAGGCCAATCTTGAAGGTACCATTGAAAAGGACAAAACTTTTCAAACTTTTTTGAAGTCCATGGCGCTGATGAATGAAAACAAGGAGGAATTTGGCTACGCTGATCTCAGCGTCATTCAACCTCTACAGAAAGCCCTGGATCGTAAGCGAGAAGAAGAAGCCAGGATCAAAAATCAAGGAGAGCGTGCTGTCATTGCTCTGGCCGGAGAAGGAGCCAAAGAAAAGACTAAAAAGAACAAGACCAAAAGTAAAACCAAGTCCAAGAACAAAAAATCTGTTGGTGAAGTGTCAGCTACCAAGAAAAAAAACAAGTCTGGTAGGGCTCCCAAGGGCGCTTCGGACAAACAAAACATGGTCATTATCGAAGAAGCGGGACGACGTGAGCTTCAAAGAAGAGACCGTGTGAAGAAAATGGAGAAAAAGGGCAATGCAGCTGATCAAGGGCTTTCTGCCACCAACAACGCTGATGCTAATGCTCCATCTACGAAAAAGCCTGCAAAGAAAAAACCTAAGGCGAAGAAAAAGCCGCAGTCTAGAGGCAAAAAGAAGACAGACCCTGCGGAGCCAGGCTCATCAAGTGCCTCTACCAAGACTGAAACTGGCGGTCAAAAAGCTGAGGCGCAACCTAAACTAGGATGACTTTTAGTCTTTCAACGAAAAACTAGGAAATTTAAACAAAGTGATGCTTATGAAGTTATGCACTCAACTATTGTGAAGGCGCATCATGGATTGAACTATGAAAGTTGAAAGCGAAGAATACTGTATTTGCTGGTTTATTAAAAAGACCAGTGCTTATTTTTGGCTCTATGACATCTTCATGTATATGTTTTGCCCTGTGTTAAGCATAGCGTATGCAAAGCTAAAGAAAACTGACCATTTCTCGGGTGCGATAAACTGCTGTGCTACGGAAACAAACACAGTAGAGCTCAAAATACTGCTGGTGAGCATGGGACCGTAACGAGTATGCAAACTATTCCGGACAGCTTTAACTTTCTCCTTCACGAGACCACCACGGGTCTCTCCGGGCTCTAAATTCACCAACGTGAGCGCAGTGAGCAGCCCAAAAACCTGGACGGGGCTGATGACAAACCAAGACCCGCAAAGTTGTGCAAGACGTCTCCATTTGGGTGCTACGCGTCTACTGGTGAACAAAGTGAGCCACTGGTAGAAGAAATGGTTGATGGGAGCGTTCACGATGCCGCCGTACAAAAGCATTGCCAGCAGTTTACGATATTTTGGTTTCTGCAAGAACGCTTTGATCCCTTGTAAGCCTGTGGTGTGCTTTTCGTCGGTTTTCCTTGTGCTGGTAGTGGTGCATTGACTTATCAGCTCGCTGAGCGCGCTGAGAATTGCCCCGGTTGCTATTTTGGTGAGCAACGGGCGACGCGCCAGTAGCGAGTTATATACCAAAACAGGGTTGTTATTTGATTTCTGCATTGACATTTTGCACACACGATTGACAAATCGAAAAGATTGGTCCTGTTTCTTTCTTGCTTGACGGTTCTTCTTTTTCGAGATGGATTTTTACGTAGGTTCACTTATATACATATATATCTGGAAGATCTTATCAGTATATATATTCTCCAGGCTCGCATATGCCCGATAACGAAAAATCGTCAAACAGTATGGTAGAAATAGCTGTAAAGACAACGATTCCGAGACAGAAATCGAATGTTCAAATTGATTGGCATCTTTTTCCCAAACAGCCTTGAAATGATGTGTTTTTTGGTCGAATATCCGTCAGGAAACATTTCGTGTCACCAAATATATTTAGACGGTAAGGAGCACTAAAATCAATTCCCAAAAACCAGAAAAGCATCGCATGAATTGTGGCCATAAACATAGCATGCTCCAAAAGAATTGAAGCGATCAAATCCTTAAATCTTCAACCTTGAAAGGGCGTTCTCAAGTTTTTCCACATCACTTTATACTATCCTGACATCCAATTTTAAGAGAAAATAGAATAGAACTTGATTAGATCTAGAACATACATTCAAAACCGGGATTATTAGGGAAAGTGAATAAAGATGGATAAAAGTCAGAAAAAGGTTTTTTGTTAGCTTGTTTGGTTGTTTGATTGTAGAAAGCTCTCCTCGTAATCTTTATCTCCCTGTTTGTTTCCAATTTGACAAGGTCACATGATTATCGTATCATATGACACTCATTTGAATTTATATTTTTCGTATAGAATGCTCCCTCACAACTTTCTTGAAATTTCATCATTATAATATCTAACCATCTTTCACATCAACTGCTCATCCGATGAGCTACAAGTCAGCGACAGTAACTCGGCAAAGAACGCTCTTCAAGTCCAGATAGTATGAAACTCGTACACTTTTTGATGAAACTGCGCAATGAACAAGTGACTGTGGAATTGAAAAACGGGACCACGGTCTGGGGCACTCTGCAAACAGTGTCTCCGCAGATGAATGCAACGCTGACAGACGTCAAGCTGTCACTGCCCAATAAAAGCGGGAACAACGCCGCAGCAGGTGTGTTTCTGAGCGGAGGAGAGCATAACACAGAACAGAAAACCACAGCGCTGCAGTATATCAATATTCGGGGAAATACAATCCGGCAGATTATCTTGCCAGATGCGCTGAACCTGGACTCATTGCTGGTGGACGAAAGACATCTGCAAAGAATGAGGCACTCTGGAAAGCTCACAGACGAATCGGGGCGCAAAAGACGACTGGATACAGCTGGTGGGCCTGCCAAACGTGTTAGACGGGCACTGTGAGAGTTTGAAAAGAAAAAAAAGAATAAAGATAAAGAACGAGACAGGTGCCGGCACTCGTGTATCATAGATTATAACAACCGCGTACAAGTTCATGAGGGATTTGCAGACGACAAAGGACACAGTGTGTATAGGAATAATGCATAGAAGAATCCAGTAAGAAGGATCAATTTTTCAAGCTCTAACCGTCATCGTCGGACTCAGATTCAGAGCTCTCTGTTTCGCTATCGCTGTCGTCTTCGTCTTCGTTCTCGGCATAAATATCACACCATTGACATTGACCCAAAGGAAGTGCCCAGATCTGGCTTTCGGTGCATAGCCAATCCACGATCTCGTCGATATGGCGGATCTCGACCTTTTGTAGGCCACCTTGGGACCAGCAGTCGGCATCAAGTGCCATACACTTTACTTTGCGATAGTCACGAATATACAGGAGCAACAGACTTTTGAGGTTTTCTGCCGTCACGTCTTGATCCTTGTCAAAATCTCGAATACTTGTTATATTCAGAACTTCCGAGGGTTTCGACAGAAAGTAGTACTGTAGACGCAGGTATGTAAGCACCAAGACTACCAGGTATTTATTATCGAATCTGGAATGCTTCTCGTGCCCTTTTTGCAGAATCACCAGCAATTGAGCCCAAGTTGGCCTGATATGAATTAGCTTCATCAGCAGACACTTAAACTCAACGCCTCCACACACGATGCCCTTCTGACTTTGGATTCCACGGCATGTACCTAATTCGTGTAACATGGTCTTGGACAGTTGCAGCATGCTGTTACCTCTCAAAGATGCTGTGTCAAGATTCGCTTTATAGTACATCGAGTTGTGTATTCTTGTCCTGGTGATGCTGGGAATGATCAGCGATGTGGATTGAAAATTCAGCTGTTTTTCTGAAACATTCTCATCAAATCTGAACTCCCGGGCCATCGTCACTCAGCTTCCTTGGACTGTTATGCGCCGTTCTACTTATTTCCTATCAAGTTAGCTCATCTCATCTCATCTCATTACCAATTCAAATTTCAAGATCGCTCACTACGCTGAAAGAAAACACTAGTTCGATCAAAAAACAGTGCGCTGTACGCTTTATCGTTATTTACAGGCGTCTATGTAGCATACAAGTGGTATTTCATTACACTATCAATAGCGTGCTGAATTCAGAACCAGCGGGGGGTCTTTTCCAATTTACGTTTTTCCAGTTTCTTTGCATATTTGCGGCCCTTGGCCTCCAGAATGTAGTCGTCTGCGTTGCGAATGGCATCCTGCATTCTACGCATCTTGTCAGATTGTGCCAATTCGTGCTTGTGGCCTTTGGGTAATAGCACACCTTTCATAAACTTCTTTTGGTCGTATTTCTCCTGGAAAAAGAGTTTCTTCCGTGGTGGCAGCAGTTCTTGAAGCCCATACTGATGAGCCAGCTTGTACAAATCACTCATACGTCTCAGGGAGTATTTTGGGTTGTGGTATTTGCCCGTTACCGGGTTTTTGTTGGCCAAGAATGGGTTTGCATCGACCGCCTGGATCGAGGTGGGTTTTTCGCTGTATTTCACGTTGGGAGGATATTTTTTGAAGAAACTTTTCAGCCTATCCGGCAGTAATTGGAAGTATTGTTTTCTTGACGCCGACATCATCGAGATCGGAAGACTACGTTGGAGTGGACAGGATCTCTTATAGTACTTCAAATTGAGAAGCTTTCTTATGGTCAAAGTTTCTATCTCTAATGGTCAAATTTCAAGTCAATATTTGGTGAAAAATTGGATTCACAGTTTAAGACGCGAGTACGAGTACGAGTACAGCTCGATGGAAGTCCTAACTCAGTCGTCAGACTAAAGCATCAGACTGAGCTAGTTAAACTCAGGGCTGATACTTTAGCTGCTTTCACCTAGCAATTTCATGGAGTGGTTCATTTGTATGAGTGCATGTTTCTCTCGTTGCCGTTTATTTCCAATTTGAAATAACACTTATCAATGGAATCGTGAATCGTCATCTCATGTTTTGGGCACCTTGCTCTCCGATCCTTGTGTATCGTTTTTTAGACAGTCTAAAACTGCTTCTATCAACTTCCCTCTTTTTACAGTTTCTGTAGATACCCCTGTTGTACAAGACGCTCCACGTCAGCTTGGCGGACGAAAAATTGCGAGTCCTTGATCAGATTGAACACCCCGTACTCCGTCTGTATCTCCCCTGCGTCCTTCAGTACCCGCACATCAATAAACACGTCGCTGGGAGGTGTCAAAGATCCGGAAAGATCGATATCTGTGTAATCGCCGCTTTTCATTTCTGTGAGGAGTTGGGCGTAGTCTCTCAAATACTCCTGCTCGTGGTGTGATAGGTTTGCGCTGTTTCGTTGCGTGGCGTCTGCTGTGCCGTTTGGATTCCACGCAAGGCTATCCAACGCGTCACTTCGCAGCTTTTGATACGCCATCAGGCATCTTTTATTGCGTTCCATGCACAGAAGCGTCACAAAATACTGACAGTGCGCAACCTTGTCTCCACCCTCACTCTGCTCCTGTTGTGTTCTCAGAAACTCGGCGTTCTTTCGCAGTTGACCTACCTCTCGCACTATACTTCTCACAAGTTCGTCCTGATACATAGGAAGCAGCTCTGGGCCCGAACTTAGGCTCAATTGATGCGCCCGTTTCGCCTCTAGTACGAGCTTGTTGCTGAGATCAGTATACATAGTCCCTGAAAGCAAATATGGGATGTTTTGTATCGGATTGTTTAACTTTTAGTCAAGTTAGTTTAGAGACATCGATGAGATGAATTACTACAATTTCATGTTTCATCACACTTCTTATGAAAATCGAAAAAGGAGCTTGAAAACCATCCCAATGAAGACCTATGGCAAGCTTGGTAGGTCTAAATGGACGCTACGTAATGTAGCATCCGATGGTGCAAATTTCAGCGAAGAAGAGGCTCTTTCAGACTCATTTACAAGCGAAGACTGTGGCGATTCCATAACACCAAAAACAAGTATCGAGTTGACAGCGGAAACTAGGGATTCGGTAGCATCAAAAAGTCCAATTCATCCAAAGACTTTTAAAAAACCGCTGCAAGAGGAATTGTTTGATTTTTTGGATCAACCAGTGCTCAAAAAACGCAAGAAAACGCTCCATGCGAAACCTGACGCGATTTACGATGATGACAGTGACAATGATGACGGTAGTGAACCCAATTGCAATAATTCGCAGGCTTTCTTTTCGAGCCAGGCAGATAAAAGCTTCCAGAGCACCATTGATGAAGCTAACACGATGCTATCGCAGCTTGCAGAAACTCAAAATGGCACCTCTGACGCATTAGCTGTATTCGATCCTGTGGATTCTGTTGACGAAGAATCTAGGAGCTTCAACAATGCTGATACTGCGTCGAAAAAACTTTATGGTAGAACCAGGACCATTGTGCAACAAGCAGACGACGATGACGACAATGACGACGACGGCAACGACGACGACGACGTTCGTGCTGGCGAAGCCATACCAAGAAGTGAAGACGCCTATTTAGACGAGGTGGATTGCTCACAGTCCACTCAGCATTTCAACCATTTGCGGGTCATGGGGGAAACTCTAAAGTACCAGGATGATCTAGAGTTTCTCATGCAAGAGAGTCCGCAGGCCAATCCAGAAACCAAAACTGCCAGCGTGCTTGGGCTGGCTTTGAGTTTTTTAAATGACAGTAAAATGCTTGATTATGCAGTCAAGCAGTATCAGTTAGAACTCTGGGAATGGTGTACGAGTTTATGTCAGAATGCAAATGATCTAACTTTGCATGTTGGTGCTTTCATCCTCGACGCACTTGCTATGAAACCTGAGAATCATGCCTCGGGTAAGTTGAACTTCCAAAAAACTGTTCTTCCACTCGTAACACGCATAAAGATTGTCCCTACTGACCTCTACACTAAACATGTTGAATTGAATTACGGAGACTTTCTGAAGCTCACAGGTGACAAATCTGGGTTATTTTACGGACTCAGGCTCTGGAACCTTTGTCTCGACAGGCACGAGAGCTTAGAAGACGCGGATGCTTTGGAAATCATCCTACAAACATTGGAAAACAATCAGTCATACGCCAATGATGCACTTATTATTGCTGCAAAAGTTCTCACCGAAAGCACAGTGCATCAAAAGTCTCGATCGAGATGGTTTAGGGCATTAAGACCACTTTGTTGTTCGCAGGCGACCAACCAAGATTTTGTGAAAGTGCTCGTAAGATTGTCTAACGATGCTTTTGAAGTTTGCGATGGAATGGAAGATGTACTGAAAACTTCTCTCATTTTTGTTCTGGATAACTCCGTTCTCTTGCTGCAAAGCGGTCGGAGGGATGTGATTGAAGTATTCGTGTTACACCTGGGGCTGTGTTTAAGTTTGGTTCAAATCCATGGTCTCGTAAAATTGGTACCTGACTGCACGGTTCGACAGACATACAAGGTACTACAACAAATTCTTGAAGGCTCCAACCAGGCTTTACTGTGCGATTTCAACCAAAATATGTTTATTCTTATATGCTGCTATTTTGCATGTTCTAAATGCTTGACGTTTCAGCCGGCTGAAAGCGACTCTATCAACCTTCGATTGAAGGCTTTCGCGGAGGAGATTGAGCCTTTCAATGAAAGCATCCATACTAACGTTACGCAAGTGCTAGATGCCCTTTCTGTATAGTCTATTTGCATTGTAACTTCGATATTCAAAAGTAAAACAGAGCTCAAAGTGCGTGTTTGTGCCAGCCAACTCTAAGGAGCGATTCTGGTAATTTTCCATGGATCATTTTCAGTCTCGCGAGAGTAAACTATTCTGTCGTGTAAACGACTTTGTCTGCCTTGCCAGAACTCGATTGATAGAGGAACTACACGGACACCGCCCCAGAACTCTGGACAAGGTACATCTTCTACACCCTCGAAACGGGCCTCGTTCTTTTCCACTAAGCTTTTGAGTTCATCCCGGTTCTTGAGCGAAGCCGATTGTGGCGACGACCAAGCTCCGACTTTGGAACCGCGAGGTCTTGTTCTAAAATATCTCTCTGAAGTTTCTCTGCTGACTTTCTCGACAATTCCCTCGATTCTGACCTGTCTTTGTAAGTTTTTCCAGAAAAATGTCAAGGCTGCCTGGGGGTTAGTTTTAATATCGTGAGCTTTTCTCGACGTTTCCCAATTGGAGTAGATCGTGAATCCACGCTCGTCGAGCTCTTTGAACAACAGCACTCGGGCTGAAATTCTACCACCTGGCAATTCTGCAGATGCAAAGTTTACGGCTTCCGGAATTGACTCGGTGGGATCTTGCTGAGCCTCCGAAAACCATTTTGTGAACTGCATGATTGGATCATTGTCAATCTGCGATTCATTTAGGGAATCTTTGTCGTACTGGTAAGTTTCAGGAGCAACTGAGAGCACCAAATTTCGTTAGTACAACGTCGTCGTAAAAGGAAGCATAATTGAGCTTAGAAAAGCATACAGATGATCGGGTTTTCGGTGGTGGGAGTCTTCTCGGTCATTGTAGTAAGTTCGGTATCCAAACAAGTCGACTTTAAGTCTCAAAGAAGCGATTGAAGCGAGAGATTTTGCTGGTGAGAGTTGACCTGGACGGAACCTTATTTGATTATAATTAATGGGTTCGCATCTTATTATCTTATTATTTTATGAGTACTTTGCGTGAGTACTCGGAATCATGTGATTGGTGAGAATGAGCCAGGTTCAGGTTCTCGAGCTCTCCCGGAGCAGTCGTTAGGCCGCTGAGAGAAGCACGGCTACCTTCTTCACGGCAAGTGTATCTGTATTATAGTGCATTTTTTATTCCTTAAGCTTGGAGACCTTTAGTCCAGGTATAAGAACCCAGTATCACAACGACAAGGCTGAACGACACGAATATCGAGACAAAATAGTATATCATTGTTCGACGGAACGGCAGAATCTGACATTCGTTGATAAAGGTACTCACTGTGGTCAGACCACCGCAGAATCCATTCCCAAGCGCTATCACCACGGTTTCCGCAGTTTTGGAATGAATTATAGCTGAATCATCAGAACGTTTCCCCTTGGTGACGAGCGTAATCACCGCTAGTACTAGAGTTCCAAGGACATTGGCCGCAAAAGTACCCATGGGGAAGTGCTTGATGCGGTGGTTGAGCTGTTTCGACAGAAAATACCGCAGCACGGCACCTGGGAAGGCGAAAATGGCAGACAGTGTCCAAGAACGGGAGAAGTTATCGTAGACACCGGCCAGGACGATTTGCACAATCAACACCGGAACTGAGAGTACTAAAACAATTTTGGTGATGGCATCGGTGATATTGCGAATACGATTGACAGCTGGTGGTGTCTTTTCCTCGTCTTCGTCCAAGAAGTATGGTGCAAACTCTCTGGCCACCAAAAGTCCAAAAACATGGCTACTAATAGAGGTCAGCAGCTGTGTCAGTAGGACCGCAAGAAACTGCATAATACCGTATGCACGATTAGGCAATCCTGACGGAACACGGGCCGAAGAAACATTTGCAGCGTTTGTAAAAAGCTCGATCATCAAACTCGAAAACGACGAGACACTCCCGCAGTATGCGGTGGTTAGAGCGGTGAAAAGCAGGGGCGAAAAAAGCTTGAATATTTTCATTTCCTGCATCAAACCCATGACAAAACAGGCTCCGATGTTAGCCCAGAGCACTGTAGGGCCCCGTACGTATGCACCCGAATAGTTGGTAAGTTGGATGAGACCCATCCTTGAGTAGTTTCCCAAAATTGAAAAGAAGATAAACGCCAGCATCAGCTCAAACTCTGCGCGGAATTTGCTCATCGATGCTTTGATTGCGGGCAACGGAGACGATGACAAGCTCTCTTTTGATGGTGATTTAGCCTCCATATTAGATAGAAGGAAATATCTAAAGTGGTTCAGCGCTAGAGGGATCTTTAAGAGCCTTTATAGTAATATTAATATGAGCAACACGCTAAAAAAGTGATCAATAACGCTCTAGGTTCCAAAGAGCAAGTTCCATATGTATTTTGTAGCTCAAAAGTGTTGATGATGCCATCACTAAAATTACTCTTGGCATTTTCTTATATCAATTATTATAATATAATACGTGATAAACGCTAAGATCGACGACAGCATTGTTGTGAAGAAGAACAAGACGTTAGGCTGATGAGGACTGTGCATCTAGTTAGACAAGAGTCAGTTCACTGGACTCTGCTGGGAGATCTAGGGTTTCAAAACCCATTTTTTTACTTCAAGGTTATTACCGATAAGATGACTTGCAAGAGTAAATTGAAATTCGGGCGAATTCGCTGTCATTCATGAAATGTTGACAAGCAAGCCGGTGGGCTGGGTCTTGGCAGACTTTTTACTGCCCTAGTGACTTCAAGTAAAATACTCTGTGGTTTTTGGGAGCCTGATGCCTACGATCTGCCGTTAATTCCCGAATCAGGACGCACGTAGGTCAAGTTCTTTCCAACTGTCACTAGACAGACAGAAAAGCAAAAATGAATTCCAAAAATTTTCGAAGTGGCGCGCCGTCTAGTGAGGCGCAATCTCAACTTGACAACGCCAACCTGAGACTCACTCTGAAGTTCTCAGATCCTTCGATTAAATCCGTTGTGGTGCTATCAAATCATCAGAAAAGACGTTCCTTCAACGTCATGATTCGAAGCCGCTAAATGACTTTCGATATCACACTCGGGCATGAGAGGGGAAAGTCAATGAAACCCCAAACGAGAGAAAGTTTGCAAATGAGGATGGGCTTTGGCCGAGAGCATCGAAAAGATGACAGGCACCATGCACGACAAACGGAAACAAGATCAAATCTGCCCCATTCGAAGCCTAGTTTCTTTTCCTCACAGACTCAACAACGCTGTAGCGGTGAGCCAACTGCTTGTGTCGGCCTCACAAGGGACCCGCGTCGATCTGGGACTAACCATGGAAAAGACATGAAAAGTGCAAAACCCGCAATATGCCAGTCTTTTCCAAGTCCAGATGTAGTCAGAAAACCACGAGTTCAGCACGGGACCCGCAGCAATCGGTGCGTTACAAGCGTATATCATCTTGAGTCTATTATCATCAGGAGAAAATAACTTGGCAACTGAACATGCATGAAAATGTGCCGTTCAATTCTTTTTCGATGCCCAGTGCACTTTTTTCAAGCGCTGCGCAGGGGTGCTGGGTGGCTGAATGGGTTGGATCTAGACATAATTGACAATAAAAGACAAATCTAGAGGTTTTCCGAGAAGCCAGGTTATACTGCTTCTCTCACAATCGGACCGAAACGCCCGAGAGAATCCCAGGAGTATAATAGCCTTCCCTATAAGAATCTCAAAAAGCATTCAGCACAGACCGTGAAGTGGATATACCTGACAAAGATAGACAATTCTTCCAGATCCAAGCGGTCAAATCATTACGTTGAGGACACTTCCAAGAAAGATATTGCATCACCGGTTGAAAACTCTCCCTCCAAAAGCTGAACAAACAAAGACGTGAAGCATGAAAGCTAGAACCTACAGGGTGCAAGTCTTAGCATGAGGCTTTGAAAGTGCTCTAGTTACAGAAGGTAACCTCCATTTGAGACGTGTACTAAGTCCAGATATTATCATTAAATGTATATACATTGGCTTCAAGATCTAAGTTTTTCCATTTCTCGAACAAATACGTATATAGTGATGGGTATTTGGGAAGTTAATTTTAAAGAATAATTTAGCCGCCAAGCAGAACTTGACTTTGAACCAACCACTTTTTTCGAAGAGCGACTATTCTGAGGGTATTTTCGAAAATAAAGTTAAAAGTATTCGATATAGAGTTCGTAGTTTTCATAGTTTCTGCTATATAAAGTTATATAAATGGTGTTTAGAAGATCGAGCACGCTTGACCCAGTGTCGCAGGAATATCAATGGCTGAGCCGAAGATCCCAAACTGTTAATTTTGAAAGCTCTGAATTTGTGGACCTGAGAAGTGTTGAGGAGACGGGTGTTGGCGACAGCGATCAGCTTTCAAAAACAATGCCTATTCAGCAGCTGCGAAATATCCAACGACATAAATCAGATTTGATTGAGTACCCTAAACACACTCAACAAGTGATCAAACGGTCTCAAACTATTTCCTTTCCCCAAAATACATTGGATTACGATATTCAAATGGTTCCCGATGTCGAGAGCACCGATTTGAATTGTGGGAGTGGTGTTTCTGTCAAAGACTTTTCAGCTGAAGACGTGTATCTCAAAAAAGAGCTTTCGGAGCCTTTTGATGAGTCTTTCATAGTGATTGAGTCTTCTCAAGGACTAAGTAGAGCTGATGAATCTGATGCCACGCTTGATGCAGAAGCTACGGAGGTTTGGAATGAAAATACAATCTCGCAAAAGACTCCGGACCTAAACGGCTCAGACACGGAGGAAAAAAGGCATTCACAAGAACGTTTAGTACATCACGGCTCTGCTAAGTGTCGAACCATTGACAATACCCCAGATTGTGATCAAACCTTGACTCCAAATGGCGAGTTTGAAACCCTCGATTGCACAGTAACGGCTTCGCCAGAATTAACTCTTGGGTTTTCGTCATCCAATGCAGTCTCTCGTGGACAGACTGAAGAACTCATTGCAGGAACAACTTCTAATGAAAATCTGACGAAGAGTGAAACAGACACCACAGTATCCATCGTGGCCTTAGAACCTGGCACTTTTGGTTCCTCCAGCGGCGAGAATAAAAGTCAACCAGTTCACAATGATGAACCTAACGAGTCAGCTGCTACTAATAGCCCACAGAACTATTCCTCAAGCTTCTCTGCAACGCAGATTTTAGAACGCACCGCCAACGTGCACAAATCCTTGAAACATCTTATACTCAAGACAAATCAAGAATGTTTCCAGGTGAATTCCAAAAAAGTACGTTATCGCGCCGGGCTGTCAAAACTAACAACAGGTTTACCGCATTTGCATGAGCGCTTTAATAATAGCGAATATAAGCCTTCATGAAGCAGTAAGAGCGGCAAAAAATGGTCTCTAGCGGGATCGAACCGCTGATCCCCGCGTTATTAGCACGGTGCCTTAACCAACTGGGCCAAGAGACCTGATTTGTGGTAACCGGAAAATCCACAGGTTATATGTCTTTACCTCACTTCCGAAAATTGTAGACGGTTAGAGTCACACTCCAGTTTGGCGATATTTGGATGAGCTGATGCTTCAATGGTTACCTATTTATGAATTATTGAGAGATTTCAGCCGCTCAAAAAATTGAAGTTAACAGCCACGATCGATTGGGATTAACTTCGGTTTCTATTCCCGTATGTTGAATTAACCAATTGTGTGATTTTTGCTGAGGTCGCTGGCATTTTTCGAGCAGATCAGCGATCAACTCGCTCTGACGTTCGCTTTCAAGCATGTCGTTCCATGATCGCGGCGCTTCGGGGCGGCTTTCAAGTCTCAATCTAGGGCATCATAAAACCGGAGAGCTAGTGCCACTTCACGATAGTTACAATCAAACCGAGCCCCAACCCACAATTGACTTTACAAAAAGGTGCTTTACCTAAAACCCAAGTATAACAAGACGTCACAGCTCTTGTACAACGTGGGCTGCGGCATTAAGTTGGGGCATGTGAACTTCAATCATAAAAGAAATCTGTACCTCAAGTGTCGTCCGTTAGATTTCCTTCTGACACCTGCGCATCATCTCCTGTTGACACACCAGCATAAAACTTGCTCCAAAGGTCGGAGACGCTCTCGAATTCCTTACCCACAGCGATGAAGTTTTCCAAAGAAATGTTCAGCCCATTCAGATTATTCAAGATGGAATCCATTGTCTGACCAATGTCTTGAAGAATCAGGTCCCGTTGCTCTATGAAATGTTTATCACTCTCTGAAACCTCATTGGAAGATAAATCTTCTTTCCTGATGGTCTCAGACATTGAGATGCTTGGATCAGCCTTGATTGCAAACTAAAGCCAAAACTTGAGTCGCGTTGTGAGTAAAAACGACTTTGTTTTCATTTCTGTCAGTGTGTTACCCAGCTAAAGATGAAAGAGAATTATGGGAAAAAGCTATAAAAAGTGCAATTTTCTCAAAATCTTCAGCGCTTTTTTGGCCACTTTTGGTTTCAAAACTTCAAACATTAGCCAGTATCATTGGCTGTCCACATATCCCCAACATGTGGACGGTCTCTCTAAGCTGGTAGACTGAAGTATTTTTAAAATCGGAACAACTCAAGTTCTGTCGTGGTAGCTATAATTCCCAAGTTCCAGGACACTATCGTCGTTCATACACATTTCCAAACTGTAGCACATATGGTCAAGCTTCGACGCTGATTATTAAGTAATTGCTTATGTCTTTGAGAGTCTGTACCTATTCACTTATATCTGGATCTTCAGGATGACGAGGTTCCACGTCGAATATAAGTTCGTATTTACGCCATTTTTTGCGAAGTTCGCTTGCAGGATCGTCGAACTCATGTTCAGGCTCGGTGTCAAAGCTATCTAGCCAGTCCCAAGGCTTGCTCAACGCTTCATCGTTTTCCTGAATGTAGCTTGTGAGTTTGTCACCGTAAAGCAACGGGCTGTCGTTAGTCAAATGATTCCAAATGCACTGTAGGTAGAATCTTAAGCTTCGCACACCTCTCAAGAAACCGCGGTCTTCAGACTCTGGCGATCTTGGAGGGACACGGAAAGAATCGAAACTTGTAATTATGTCATCGCGTGTAACACATTGTGCAAAGTCGATCAGATTCACCTTAACGTTGCAATTTGATGGATTGTTCCCATCGTAAATCAGCAACAGCGACGAGCCATAAAGACGATATCCTTTGAGTTCCATTATCTCAGCATGCAATCTTTCGAACTGACTAATCAATTGTGGTATTTGCCGCACGATGCTGCAAATGTCTTTCCCGCTATACAGGAATCTTGCAAGAGTGCGAGCAAATTGCCAACCAATATGCACGCGCCGACCGAAATACTTGTCTCTCTTGATGTAATAATCTTGGTTCCAGATCTTCAACCCGCATATTCTAACGCCAAGCTTCCGCGATGTCGTCCTACGACATTTTTTGCTCTGTGATAAACGCTTGAACTTGTCAGCATCAACACCATACTGCCGTGTCCCCATTTTGAGGTCCAAGACGCATGGTTTATCAAGCTTTCTTGTAAGATCCTCTAAGAGAATGAATTTCGAAACAATTGTGTGGGAGCTTTCTTCAAACATAACTGACTCATGGTTAGATGTGCCTTTCGAACGTGGAACGTCTTCTTCTTCCATCGCAAAAACACCGTCTTCGCCATCTGCAGAGTCACCGTAGTCATTGCGTAAAGAACTAGTCCGATGTAATTCCTCATCTTGCGAAAGGTTTCCCTCCGTCGAGTCCTGATCATCCGCATCAATTTGAGCCATTTTGCGAAGATTGAACTGCTTGAGATCCAATACAGAGCTGTGGGAGTCGATTTTCTTTGCTAAACTGGCCTTAGTGGAACGTGGAAGTAGAGCAGGAGAGGGAGTGCCAACTTCAGATCCTTTGAGCTCATGAGAATTTCTCCTCATGCTGTTGCTCAGCGTCAAAAGATCTGCTGCCGACGGATTGTTCTTGATACTCAACTTATCTAAAGAAGAGTTACGAGTGTGTGGTTTCCGCTTTGTTGGGGCAAATACCTCCTTCAAAACTAACTCTTGTAACTTAGTGTTTACTACTGTTGAGCCTGAATTTTTGAATATTGAGTCCTCTCTGTCAAGGCTATGTGATGAAAGGTAGGAATCGCTGGGTGCTGATTCAGGTGAGTGTGAATATTTGTACCACAGTGAATCTGGAATAATATGCTTGTTATCGTCCAATAGGACTTCTGGGTTTTTGAATTCTATGGGCGCACTCGCTTTCATGGCATCTTGGGGTTGTGGAGTCTTTCCTGCTATTAAGTCCATTTTTTGTTGTTTTTTGGCGAGTTTAACCCGCTTCTCTCGTTCCACTTCGCGCTGAAACTCTTCTTCGGAGTTGAAGTGCTGCCTGACGTTTAGTACACCGATGTAGCGAGGTATGAAATCTAAGAGCTCTTTGTGCTGTTGTTCGATGTTTTCATACCATGTGTTTTCCCTACGTACAAGAACTTTACACACCGCACGTTCAGAAAACCTGAATATTGCTGTGTGCCCGCCGACCTTGTTTGTAAATGGCTGTAGTTCGACAGCTAAGGGATATACCTCTTCATCATCGCCGTCGTCGTCATCTGGAGTTTCAGGATGTGAGCTATCTACAGCGGTCTCGTCCTCAAGACCCATTGAAGGGGCTGTCGGTGTTTTCTGAGGTTTTACGGGAGAAATGTTGATGGTGGACCCTATGGCTTGCCCATCTTGATGCGTGGGGCTCGCTGCAGTCTTCTCAAAATGGCCCTCTACTTGCGGTTCGGACTTGGATTGATGAGGATAATAAGTGGCTGAAGAAATGGGCTTAAGTGCTAGAAGTTTGTCACGAACTTCTGGTTCAAGGCCTGCTTCTACAGGTTTCGACGGGAGTTCCACAGACACCGACTTCAGCGGTACGGATTTCTGGGTCGTGACAGGCGCTTGTTCCTGCCACTGGGGCGTGTATTCCTCCATGCATGCATTATTGGTCATTCTGCGCAAAGAGCTCCTGACAGGGTCTTTGCAAGAGGACCGGCTGAATCTGCGGACATGTGGGGGTCTAGGAAACTTGTCTCGCAGTCCTATGTGTCTGAAACGAGGCAGAACGTCGTATGTGGATGATGAATGTCTTCTGGAAGGCGGTGTGGGGCGTGCTTTTTCTGTTCGTTTTTCGAAAAGACTCATTTTCCAGCTAGACGGAAGTGGACCATGATGGTGCGATCTCAGTTGTTGTTGATGTTGTTGATGCGGTTCACCATCGTCGCATGCCAAATGGTTTTCTGGGGGCAGACTGCCACTTTCGAGCTTTTTGCCCGCAGTTTCGTCATCCTGGAACACTCGCAAGTATGTGCTTGCCTTCCTACCGTGGATCATGGACGGCACTTTTTGTTTGTCGAAGATGTTGACGTCCTGAAGGTGCTTGGTAAGGGAGCTCAATTCATCTTGTTTGGCATCGTGAGTAGCGGGGCCCATGATACTTTAGTCAAACCAGAGTCGCTTTTTTCACTGGAACCTATAAAATTAGCGTCAAAGGTCTCTAAAGCAGCAAAACTGGGCTGTTTTGGAGAGTTTTGTTTATAAAAAGTGGTAGTTAAAGTTCCCATGTGTGTTGATTGAAATTGTAATAATTTTATATAATGATCTTGAAAATAGATAAGAATATAGGAAGAGCATCAAATGAAAAGCTTATAGGAGCCTGAGATACATCATATAACATTAAGCAGATTGAGCTAAACTTCAGGTCTTGCCTGGATTTTTTAAATTCCAAATCGGATCATTTTTGAGTGAGTTAGCGGGTTTTGAAGTTTGGAAAGATGTTGGCAGTGCAAAAGACATTGTGAGAGGTATGTTTTGGGATGATGAGTGGACAGACTTGTTTTATTTTGAATTTTGGGATGGTTTGAGGACTTTTTCCCGGGTTTGAGGCCCTTCAAAATGGCTGCGCCAGGGTGTCAGAATGGCGAATTTGAAAGTATTCAAGGACAACCGGTAAATACATGATTCAGCAGAAGAAAATAGAACAAAAACCTAACGGCGAAAGGAATGGTGTTGGCTGTGGGGAAGAGAAAGGCAGAATGGAATGGGCCTCCAAAGGCGATGAATGTGTCAAGACCATATATATCACTATGTACTATTCCGTCGTCAATGATATGAGCGGCGTCATTGTCGTGGATAATGATCAAATTTTTTTGGGTTTTCTTCATCCTTCACAAAAACCCTTGAATTTGATCTGTTTTGAATGAAGGACTCTCTCCTACGGGTGCAATAAATATGTGTATATACGTATGTGAAACTGCTATTAGTAAAAGGGTTTACTTTCTCTTTTTTTTTTCGTCTCCAGGCTCGGAACACACCCGTCCAAAATGACACAATTTCTCATACATAAGAAATAATACCATCTCCAACCGAAATATCGCCCCATTCTCACCCCAGAATTCTTTCTCCAGTAACACCACACGTTTCCCGCACTCTTTCTCTGCAATGATCAACACCCATTCTCGAACTTCTGTCGCTCTTGGCCAATCACATCGCACTATTCTTCCCGTTACCCGCACTCATCCAGTCTAATTACACTACAGAAAGTGAAAAATATCTCGAAACCCAACGTTAAAACCCAAACTTCACGTCAAACTCCAGCGTAAAGACAGCCTTTAAAAGCTATCAATTGGACGTCAGGTAACTCTTCCGCTTGTTCTGATTACCGCGCACTCGCACACACCCGCAGTTGAAGAAAAATGTTTGTGAGATCCGGTGTTTTTGGAGCCCGTATGGCCGGTATGCAAACCGCTAGAAACTATGCGACACTTCGTGAAATCGAAATGCGTTTGAAGTCGATCAAAAACATTGAGAAGATCACCAAGACCATGAAGATTGTGGCCTCTACCCGTTTGTCCAAGGCCGAAAAGGCCAAGGCTTCTGCCAGAGAATATTCCGTGGCAGAAGACGCGTTTTACCAGAATGCTGAAACCAAGGATTTGCAAGCTGAAAAACCAAGAGAACTTATCGTGGCCGTCACCTCCGACAAAGGTCTATGTGGCTCGATCCACTCGCAATTGGCCAAGGCTGTGCGTAAGGAAGTGGCCAAGTCACCCGAGACGGACATTGTGTGCATCGGTGACAAAGTCAAGGCTCAACTACTAAGAACCCATGGTGACCGCGTTAAATTGACCTTCAGCGGTGTTGGCAAAGAAGCCCCAACCTTTGAAGAATCGGCACTCATTGCCAACCAAATTCTCAAACTCGGTGACGGCTACTCCAAGATCCACGTCGTGTACAACAAGCCAGTTTCCTCCATATCTTTTGAACCAAGAATCAAGCCAGTGTACAGCGTCGAAGCCATCGAGCAATCGCCTTCGTTTGCCAAGTTCGAAATCGACGCCGACAGCAAGGTTTCCCAGGACTTGTACGAGTTCACTTTTGCCAACCAGATTCTCACAGCCATGGCCGATGGTTACGCTGCCGAGATTTCTGCCAGAAGAAACGCCATGGACAACGCTTCCAAGAACGCTGGTGACATGATCAACAAGTACTCCATTCTGTACAACAGAACCAGACAAGCCGTTATCACCAACGAACTGGTCGATATTATCACTGGTGCTTCCTCTTTGGGCTAAACGCAAGTCTCGCACGGGAACGCTCTTTAACGAATGACATTTAAACACTTTTTACATACGAGACTCGAATATATTCCAGAGCTAAGGTCGTGGGCTTGGGAGATCACTGATGCAGATGTCCAAATCGCTAAAATCACGCAGCATGATTAGACACAGAAATGTGATGGTGGTGGAAAGACGTTTCTAGGTCTGTGGTCAATGGTTTTAGTAGAAAACTCTATATTTACATATACAATAGCACCTGCATCGACTGGTCCAAAGAGTGACAGACTGGTCTCGACCTGGGACTGTCAATTGTGTTGCAAACTGACACTCTAACCTCTAAGTAGAAATTTTATCCTTCAAACAGGTTTGAGAGCTGTCAATGTAGCAGGCTCGAGCATCGTAGTCCTTTGGTTTTGACTGGATCATTCGTGAAGCAGCTTGAAACTTGTTGTGTCGTAAGATAATCTGTTCAGAAGACGTTTCAAGCTTGTATCGAATCTGAAACTTTCGACGCCCACCATATCGTAACTCAGCCATATATAAAGGGCTAGCATCTTTTCGCAATCGATCCGTCCGTCTTGATGGTCGTCCCTTGCCTGACACCATAATATTTCCACACACACTATCGACCAAAAATGCTTCCACTGACAATTGTATGGTTTTTCGCCAAAAAAATGCCCAGATTCTTCGCAATGGCATGCGATCTCATCGCTATCCTGATGCTCATCTTTTTACTGGTAGGAGCTAACAATTCTTCTCAAGTATCAACTTACTTGACGAGTTTCCGGTTTTCGTCGAAATCACCACTGTATGATATCATTTCCACCTCGTTTGATGCCCAAAATACCACTACTGGTCTTCAACAAGTCCATGTCTTGGCAGGTTACATGGGCATTTGCGTTACTGGGCTTCCCAAGGCTTATGCCGGCGATTCCACCCTGTGTTACAACCGGAAATCTGTTTCGAGCGAAACTCTGTATCAAGACCTAGGCGTAAAAGTGTTCAATATTCGCACTCCAGATACCAAAAGTACTGCAAACTTTACTGCAACTATGGACCTCAACATTTTGCAACTTGCGCAAGACAGTTCCGTCAAAATTATCCACCCATATGTTCTGATGGCAGTTATAGTACTTGCGCTACTGATGTTTTGCGCCACGCTGTGCGCAACGGTGCCCAAATTGCCGGGCAAGTCCTATGTCAACGTTTTCCTGCTCATTTTGAGCCCAGTCCTAACCTTGTTGTGGGGTCTTGGAGCCATGTGGACCGATGTTGCAATTCGGGCCGGTAAAAACTACGTTCCTCACGCTTCCATGGGCATTCTCAAAGTTGAGACCGGTACCAAGGCAAGCGCCTTGGCTTGGGCCGCTTTTGCGTTTTTCATAGTCAATTGTTTGATCCTATGGGCGTTGTACTTCAGAGATAGAAGAGCTCTTGGGAAAGAGATCGACAAAATACGAGCTAGAAACGACCGTTTCGACCCAAAGTTTCACAGTGATCACTCCACATTGGACAGCAAGCATTGAGCTCTCGAATGAGTTACCATTCAGCTTCTTTGAGAATCTTTATCGGCTTTTCTTCGAAAAACCGTACAAGGCGTCCGTGGTATATATGGAAAATTCCTGTTGGAGGGAAACTTCTTAAAACTTCGGTGCTGTCAGAACATAAAGCTACTCAAGAAGGGCGTCCAAGGCTAGGCGTTCAGCTAGAAATATCATCAATAGCATTGAGATTAAGCATCAGAGATTTTTTGAGACTCTTCAATGACGGCCCAGTTAGATTTTGTGGTGGTCCGGACATTAAAACTTCTTGTGAGAGCTATCGTTCTCCCCATAGCATGGTTGATACGGGTTCTGACAATTCCAATCGGATCATGGTTTAGAGGCTTGAACAAGCGTCACAGAATAACAGACGATTGGTACATTGCAACATATTTTCTCACCGCTGTACCACGCTACATTTGGAGCGTATATCGTGGTAGATTTCAATTCTGGTACACATTCGTAAACCACGTCGAAAAGAATGGCAATTTGCCCTGCATTTCTTACCCAAAACCGCTCCGCGAGAAGGGTGAGTTTCAAATGGAATGCTACACTTACCGGGAAACATACGAAATCGTCCTTAGGCTCTCGCACCTTTTGTACCACAAGTATGGCGTGAGGGAAAATCATACGGTGGCCATGGATTACGCTAATAAGCCTATGTTCATCTTCATGTGGTTCGCACTGTGGAATATCGGTGCAGTTCCATCGTTTTTGAACTACAACTCTATGGGTGCCCCTCTGGTGCACTCCATCAAGATAGCAGATGTAAGAGTAGTTTTTGTTGACTTGCAAGTTGCGCATGCCATCAAAGAAACTGAGAGTGCCATCAGAAGCGAATTGCCACAGGTGGAACTGCACTTCCTCTCAGATGAGGAGGTTTACACTACTATCATGGATAAAAACTCTCCTCAATTTCTGCAAGCAAAAGAGAAGCGGTCTCCACCTTTTGGTACCGACTTCCAGCCGGCGTGTTTGATCTACACTTCTGGTACAACAGGACTGCCCAAGTCTGCCATCATGTCGTGGAGAAAAGCCGTCATTGGTTGTTCCTTGTTCGGTTACATCATGAGAATCAAGAGAGATTCCATCGTATTCACAGCTATGCCCCTGTATCATTCCACTGCAGCGCTTTTGGGTGTCTGTGCTGTTTTCTCGCAAGGTGGATGTGTCGCGGTTTCAAACAAGTTTTCAGCGAGCTCTTTCTGGAAGCAAGCATACCTGACCAAGTCTACCCATATCCAATATGTTGGTGAGATTTGTCGCTACTTGTTACACACCCCGGCCTCAGAGTATGAATCTAAACATTGTGTCAAAGTTGCGTATGGCAATGGTCTGAGAGCAGATATCTGGCAAGAGTTCAGGAATAGATTTGGTATTGAAGTCATTGGAGAGTTCTACGCCTCTACAGAAGCACCCTTCGCTACCACCACATTCCAGAAAGGAGATTTTGGCGTTGGTGCGTGCAGAAGTTACGGAACCATCATTAGCAAGATTCTTTCGATCCAGCAAACCATAGTTCGAGTGGATCCTGAAGATGAAAGCACGGTTTACAGAAACCATAAGGGTCTTTGTACAGTGGCACCAGTAGGTGAACCTGGTGAGATGTTGATGAAAATATTTATGCCAAAGAAGCCAGAAGCTACTTTCCAAGGCTATCTTGGAAATGAAAAGGCCACTAAATCGAAGGTGCTACGCAACGTCTTTAAGAAAGGTGATGCTTGGTATCGCTCCGGTGATCTTCTGAGATCTGATGAAAACGGGCTGTGGTATTTTGTTGATAGAATGGGCGATACTTTCAGATGGAAATCAGAAAATGTATCTGCCACGGAAGTTGAGGATCAGATTATGGCTTTTGCTAACCTAAAAGTCGCTGCTGTCGTGGTGGTTGGTGTCAAGGTACCTGACCATGAAGGAAGAGCTGGATTTGCAGTTCTGCAACTAGCGCCCCAGGCCCGAAGCCTACGTGGTGACATCAAGTTCTTGAACGAAATGCTATCAAATCTAAAGAAAAGCCTTCCCAAGTATGCGCTACCCGTTTTCGTCAAGTTTGTTGACGAGATCGAGCATACCGATAATCATAAGATCAAGAAGAAAAGTTACAAAAACCAAGTTCTGCCTCATGGTGCTGGCGGCGATGAGATTTTGTATTGGCTCAGCAATTCAAATGAGTACAAACCTCTCACGAACGCCGACTGGATCGACATCAACTCGGGTGCCGTCAAGCTATGACCCCAACACAATTGCAAGGCCTGCTCGCAGTATCGCGCATTATATCATCTGATCGCTATAGCACGCTAGCGATTTCCAAGCGCATTTTCTAAAGTCATAAACATAGCATCTCTTTCAAGCATATTTCTTCCATACTAAAACTCCTATAGTTAAAGCAGTCAAACATGGAAGTGCCAGCATTTGCACCATTTCTAAACGCTGAACTTTGCAGATTCCCGTAACGACCTGGCTTATTTCGCCCTGGTTACGGTCAAAGCTCGAATGCTCGTAGTAGTAGTCCAAGAGTTCGTCCTTCTCCCTCCAAACATTCAATAACCATTCCGTGAACTTGTTTTCGTCATCTATGGGAATCTCGTCGAGCTCGAAGGCTCTGAGATGTATATCCACCAACTCCGGTGACTGGCCCTTTAGGAAAATGTTTCCCAATTGGTAGATGTCCTGTCCGTATTCGTTCTGTTTAACGCCCGAATACCCGATGGTAGCATCGTACACCACTTCACAGCTGTTTCTAAGTTCTTGCAATGCAAATCTGAGGCCTGTTGTCCTGGGAATTACCAAATTCCGGAAACTTTTGAGATCTGACTTTGCTGCAAAGATCTCACTCTTGTTACGAGTATTCTGGCTCAGATTTGTGCCTTCTGGAAAAATAATCAGCGAATATGGCCAGCTTATTTGCTTTTTGTCCACGAATTGAGGATCTTGGTCAGTCCAAATCTCCAGGCCATCTTCGGTTTTGGTGGAAAACTGTTTCCCAGCCAGCTCACCAACGCCTCTGGCGTTGTGGTCCATATCGCTCAATCGGTTAGCCAAATTGATCTTGTCCTTGCTCCATTTGCGATTCATGAAGATGAACTTGTAGTTTTCCATCCCATATCCCATTATAGGAATACGTGCAAGCGATTGCTTGAGCATGATAAACACATTGCCTGCAAGTCCACCGGTGTAAGCCAACCACCATAGAAATACCCAATCGGTGTATATTTGATGGTTAGAAATCAAGATGGACTTTCTCTTCAAAGTAGACAGCAATCCTCCAGTATAAAGGTCATGGGAGAACAGGTTTTTGGGCATCGTGCGACCATCCGTCGTTATTCTCACTTTTGAAGGGGCCACAACGGTCAGAATTGTCACCAACAGCAGGATAAACTTCTTCTTTGTGTAGTTCAGATGCTTTTGTCGACGAATCGGATCATTAGGCAGCAACCAGTTCACCACAAACTGGTGAATCACAATAGACAGTGCCCCTTGGATAAATATCACAATAGAAGCCAACGTTATCGCTAGTTTGAGCGCTCTTTGCGCTAAAACTAGCACCGTCATGCTCCTGTTTAGTCGGGCAAGAAAAGCAGCAAGATCTGAAGCGAATAGCAACGCCTTTTGAGTCTCTTTTGATCTAATTGACTTCTTATTTGTTAGGGTGAAGTAAGTTGAGAACTATTATGATATGTAATGCTTATTATAATGTGAGTAAAAGTTGACGAATAAAGACAATGTCTCAGAAATAGTGCTTTCTGGCCATCAAGAAACACTTTCCGGGTGTATTGGAGGTTTGCGGTTCTAATGGTACTTTTAGATCCGCGAAGCGATATCTCCTGGTGAGTATACTGTAACAATTAGTTTTCTGGTTGAAATTCGTGAAATCTCCGTTCAAATCGGGTTCAAGATGAGCAATGAGAAGTCATGCATCAAGTCCATGAGCATCTGCTGTCTGTGGAGTAAAATTTGGTGCCCTTTTGGTTGCTGTAACTTCAGTCAAAAAGGAAATTTTGAATTCTGTCGTTGCTCAACTTGCTCGAACGATCGGAGCTAGTTTGCACCATTCAGTATCGGCAAATTGGGTGTGAAGGTCTTGTGAAGCCTGTGCTGCGATTTAAAACTCAAATTCCTCGAGATCATTCCAATTTGTCGTACAGTTCTTGCAAATCGAAATTTTCTCGCCAGTAGTCACCTCTGATTTTCAAGACTACCAGCACCGAACTGGCAGCTACCACAATGAAAGCCAGCATTGTGAAGGCCCAGCCAACACCCATGCCTTTGAGCATGGGCTCGGTGACAAAAACAGCAACAGCTGCGAAAATTTGCCGAATAAGATTGTTCAAAGCAACCCCGGTGGCTCCTTTTCCAGGCAAGGAATCCACGAGGTAAGAAACAGTGGCACCAATGGTCATCATGGAGGCAAAGCCGAAAAGTGCAGTACCCACCAATGGAGTGACCCAATGCTCTTTTTTGCCCAAACACCACCCGAAAATGAGGAGAGAAATAGGAAATGAAACCACAGCTGTCACCACGTTCCATGAAATGCGTGCCTCAGGCGCCAGAATTCCATGCTTCTCCTTATAGCGCTTCAAAAGAGTGTCGACCCACCGTCCACCGTAGATGGATGCAATGATGTAAGTCACGGAGTTAGGAATGTAGAGAAGACCCACGTACAGAGGCTTGAAATTGTAAGGTGGACGCGAATAGCAATATTCGATGGTCATGTTCACGAAATACAAGATGGCAAACGAAATGGCAGAAAATGTGATGGCCAACATGACCGGTGGGAATCTGAGAAAGTGCAACGATTTCAAAGGCTTGACCAGATACACGTAAAGCGCATTGAACCACGCACGTGTGCGAGACCGTGCGTTGGCCTCTTCGGAGCCATTCAAGCAGGCCTGCTTATGCTCCGTTTCCAGTCTTTCAAGTTCGTTTTCGACGTTGGTTTTCCATTTTTTGAGCTCGCCTTCTCGTAACCGCTGCTCTAACTTCCGGTCTCTTGTTTGCAGCTTTGTTAGCTGGGGTGCCATGACATCCCCGTGAGGACCATCTTCGCGAGGTGGATATTGGCCAACCTCACTCGTGTGAGTTAAGATTCGTGAAATTTCGTCTTCATTTCCTTCTCGATTTGCTTCCAAGACTCCCAGTTCCCCACCATCAGAGTTCGGCGCACCTTCGTTGGCTTTCTCGGAAGCTTCACTAGAAGCATTATCGGAGTCGACAGCTTTGCGTCCACGCCGTCTTTCGGCCAAAATTTCCGCGATCGCGCTTTTACTATCTTGCAATCTGAGTGTTTCCGGGAGAAGAAGCGTTAACATCAAGACCGTGACGCCTGCCAAAATGACCAGAAACCACTGGGTAGATCTCCAACTCCAACGACTCACCAATAAAGATCCTATGATGGGAGCGATTAAGGGAGCACTCAACGCGCCCAAATAGTAATAGCCAAGATATTTCCCTCTTTCTTCGGGTCTGAAAAGATCTGCCACAGTCCCTGCTCCCACACTTTGTACACTGGCAGAAGAAGCACCGCACAGCATGCGAAAAACGATGAACGCATTGATATTGGGAGATAGAGCAGCCCCGATGCAGAACGCCAATAGCAGCGAAAAACTCAAAACATACACGGTTCTACGTCCGCGAAGTTCTGACAATGACGACCACCAAATGGGCAGAATTCCCAGACTCAAAAGGTAAATTCCCACAGAAACGTTAACCATCATAGTGGTGGTCTTGAAGTCTCGAGTGATCGGATTGATCGACGGATAAATGATATTTGTGCCCATGGGACCCATCACTGTGGCAAACGCCACCAGAAAGACGATGAACTGTTTCAGTTTCAACGGATATTCTCGAGCATCTTTATACTCCGGCACCAACGTCAAATTGGCTAGAATCCCTCGTCTTTCGTTACGTGGAACCATCAAACCCTTATCCCGCAGGGTTGAGTGTTTGGACAGTGCTTTTGCATCATCTACAGCTTGCCCATCGTCCTCGATGCCGTTTCCTGGTAACTGAACTGACTGAATCGAAGGATATGTCTGCAAAGACGAAACATCGTCGTTTTCTCTAATCTCATTCGGTAGAGCACCACCCATCTTCCATGGCTCGACTCAGATGATAATAAATAGGATTAAATACTGTTTCAGCGGACTTGAAATGCTTTTAGGACAAGCTGAAAGCGTCTATTCCAGCTCTGTTTTTATAGATTCGTTGTTGTTTTTTGATGAAGTTGTTGTTATCAGGAAGGACATAATACATTAATCTAAGTTATTTATCTATCTATCTATTATGGTGAAAAGATGATAAAGAAGCATACGGCATCTATAGAAGCTAGAGCCTCTTGCATTCCGCTGATCATTTTGATAAATTGGGCATCGACGTTATTAATTACAGGACCCTAGCCTTAAGCCTAGGAATTTGTTGTGTTTTTGTAGAAAGTTTATCGGTTCGATAGCATTACGACAGTGACAGCAGATAAAGAGTTTTATCGGCCAATGTTTGATATTTTGTGAGTCTGAATAGCTAGGGAATTAAGAATATTTATTCCTGTTCAAGAGTAACTGGATGGTACCGTTATAGCCCTGGTTCTGAGAACCGTTGCCAAGAAATGTAGAGTTGAAATCGAACATAGATCACTTTTGTCCCAAAATGACGTTTTTCGGTGATACATGTTTCGCCCAAAGGTTCTTATAAACACACCCTGTAGATACGTCGGTATTGTTCCCCCGAAGTAGTTGTTGTGTATCTTTTAGTTAGTGAGAGATGTTACGGTAGGTCGGGTATTCTCTTTTGTCGTTGTAAGAAGGTTCAGTTCGTTGTGAGATACGGGCATGGTTTTCCGACCTGTAACACAGCTCAGATAACGAAAAATACCGATGCCGGAAAAATCTCTAAGATGAGGAGGAAGGTGCATCGAAATCATGTAAGTGACAAGTTGCCGTATATGCTAGAATTATTATGACTTATAGAAAACGACAGAGAAGAAAGATGAGAATATCAAGTGGTCCGCATTTGCCTTACCCATTAGCACCAAAAACGATAGATTCTGTAGTATAGCGGCTTGGCAGCAATTCTAGCCCTTTCGTCGATCGCGTCCTGCTTCAACATACCGAGATCAGTGATCCTGGTCCCAGTGTCCAAGTCGATTTCCTTCAATGGCGTCAACAAACGTCTATTTCTGTTGAAAAACAAACGGTGCGCCACATACACGACTATCATGATAGGAATACTCAAACAGTATTGGAAAAACTGCTTAGCACTGGACTTCTCGCCCAGAGGAAATGCCGAAACATATATTTCACCAACAATCAACAGGAAATTGAGTACAGCGCCCAGGATTCCTCCGTAAATGCCCAACATGGATTTGTGGGCAATCTCATCTGTAGACCTGCCCTGCGCCCTCAACGCTAGTCTGTAACGCACCTGAGAAGCGCAAATGCAGAACCATGTGAAAAAGGAAGAGATGGAGCACAAGGCAAATAGCCAGGTGAAGACTTCGTCCTGCTTGTCAGAAGCAACCAAGAATCCCAACAAACCAAACACACCGCAAATAGCTATACCAACTAGTGGTCTGCCACTCTGATCGATGTAACCGCAGATCCTAGGAATTTGGCCCGACGCGCCCAACGCTTGAATGACTCTCGAAGCCGCGTATACGCACGAGTTGCATACGGATAACACAGCTATCAGAATAACGGTGTTCATGAAGTCCGAAGCTTTGACTCCCATAGAGCCCTGTCCGCTCAGAGCGATCACAAAAGGAGAAGCGCTCAGATCCTCATCATTTTCACCGCCCAGCAAGCGTTTGTCAGTGTATGGAACCAGGCACCCGATGACAACCACGGTTGTGATGTAGAAAATGGCAATTCTCCAAAACGTGCCTTTAGCTGCGCGGGACACGGACTCGATTTTACGAGATTCACAGGCTGTTAAGACTACCAGCTCAGCACCACCAAATGAGAAGGCTGCAGATACGAAAGTGTTGCAGAGCCCCTTAAAAACCGGTTTCGCAAATGAACCCGGGTTATGCCAGTACTTAGCACCGATGTAGCCCTCGGACTGTGGACCTCCGCCACAAATGAGCACGATACCAATGATGATGAAAATGACAATGGCAATGACTTTGAACAAAGACATCCAAAACTCCGCTTCTCCGTATCCGCGAACGCCGAACAGATTCAGAGCCATGATAAAGGTATAGAATATGGCTATCCATACGGCAGGATTAACGCTTGAATTCCAGTAGCGCAGGGTGATGGCACTACCGATCAGTTCGGATGGGAAAGATATGAGCCAAGCCAGAGCATAGTTGGTAGAAACCGTGAACCCCAAGGAGGGCTCCATAAAACGGGACGTATGCGCAGCAAAGGACCCGGACACGGGGTATTGGCACGCCATTTCAGAAGCACACTGCACCACGCAAAACATCATGGTTCCCACGATGAAAAACCCGATCAGCAGCGATGCAGGGCCCGAGGCCAGTGAAAACCCCAGACCGATAAAAAGCCCGGTACCCAGCGTTCCCCCGATCGAAATCATTGTCAGATGTCTCTGGTCCAGAGTTTTGCTGTATGGCTGATTTGCAAGCTCGTAGTTACGGCGTTTTTGCTCGTCCAGAAGTTCCATATTAACATCGTCTTCCATAATCACCGGTTCTCGACGCTGGAACGACGAAGTCCATTTTCTCAAACGAGATTTTCCATTCTCCTCAGTTCTCTCCACCGACAGTTGCGAAAAATCCACGCTGGTGCTCAACTTCCCGTCCTTTTCCATCTTGTTAGTCCTGCGATGAGAAGGAACAGTCTTTGGTGAAAATAGTTGAAGTTTACCAACTTTATCAAAACTGCACTTTTTGGACCCACGAAAATTTTCCTGTATCCAGCTCAGCACTCCCAGTACTTAGTAGAAGGCCTTCAACGTTCCACGATGATGCTTCCTTTTAAATTTTAACTGTATCGAATTTTTTTAGTTTTCAGTAATGATGTTAGCTTTTCTTATCTTTTAAAGAAACTTTACATCAATTTTTTTCAGCATATGATAATATTCCTCTACGAGCACCGTGAGTACGGCCAAAGCCACAGCTTAGCGAGTCAATAACGGAAAGAGGAGTCTAAACAATCGTTTTCAGGGTGCTAGAGCATCAGTAGCACAATGGTGGTGGGTCTTTGAAAAAAATAGGAAATTTGAGTCATTCTGGAAGAGTTGCCTGACTTGTTCTCGAAGACGCATCGGTGCATCAAGAAAGAACATTCCGAGCAGGAAAGGACAGAGACGAAAAAACGAAAAAACGAAAAGACGGAAAGACGGAAAGACGATTGTAGGACCCTTTTCCCTTTTGCTGTATTACTCTGGTTTATAGAAGTGACTGGACACGAGTGGCATGCGTGCAATCTCAATGGGGAATTTTTTACCACGAACGCTCACCTGAAGAGGAGTGCCAGCCTTCCGATAGGCTTTTTCCACGTAGGCCTGACCAATGTTGACTCCGGCCAAGGAGGGAGAAGCACTGCCCGAGGAAACGACGCCGACCAGCTTTTCGCCGTCAGCAGCGAAAATTTGAGCACCCTGGCGAGCTGCAGGACCCCGACCGGTATACTTGAAACCCACACGGGCCTTGGTGGCAGACTTGTTGTTGATCTGGTCCATGATGTGGTCGAACCCGTTGAATTTGGGGCCCAGAGATCCGTCCCTACGGCTCTTGGATACCAGCCAAGTGAGCGAGGCCTCCACGGGCGTGGTCTTCTCGTCCAGTTCGTGACCATACAGACACATACCGGCTTCCAGCCGCAAACTGTCTCTGGCGGCCAACCCGATAGGTTGCACTGTCTGGTTTGACAACAGCTGTGTGGCTAGCTCAAGAGCGTTGGCGTTGGAAACGGAAATTTCAAATCCGTCTTCGCCAGTGTACCCAGAACGTGCCACGTCTATATCAAAGCCTGCGGGAACGGTGTATTTTCTGCGCTGTCCGAAAAAGAGATCCGCGAGCGAGTCTGGACCGCCGGTCACAATGGACCCCAGCACGTCTTTCGCCTGGGGACCCTGCAATGCCAGAAGCGCTCTGTCTTGAACAGGCTCCCACTTGCAGTCAAAACCTTCGATTTGAGACTTCAAAAAAGCCACATCCTGTTCAATACATCCTGCATTGGTTACGATCGAGAATTCGTTTTCGCCCACCTTCGTGATCAGAGTGTCATCTACAACACCGCCCTTTGCATTTAGAAGCACAGAAAGCGTGCCCTGTCCAATAGGCAAGTTTTGGAAATCTGTTGGTGTGATTTTGTGCAAAAAGCCTATAGCTTCTGAGCCTTTCAAGGTACTCTGCAGCATGTGCGAAACATCGAAAAGTCCGGCGTGTTTACGGGTCCAATTGTGCGATTCGATATGGGTTTGATGCGAGTATTTCACCGGCATAGAGTAGCCAGCGTAGGGAACCATGGTTCCACCGGCTTTCACATGAAGATCATGAAGTGCTGTTTTCTTCAAGATGCCAGCAGCAGAGTTGGAATTGAATCTCTTGAAAATCATCGTAAAGAAGAGCTGAGAACGGTGAAATAAAGCTCTTTGAAGGTAGAATACAGCTGCGGTTTTTACCAGCTGGCTTACTAGTTCAAATTGAGCTTTTTTGTAGTTAAAACTGTGTCAAATAGCTGGATTTTTGGGTTCGAGGTTTTGATCCATCTTTAGACTCCACATGTATACCTATAAGTACTTGGCACATTAACGTGAATTTGGCTTATCGTCAAATATTGACTCTGGAAGACTTGAGCTGACTCGGAAACGACGGAGTCAAATAATGTGCGAACGACCAGAAAGTGACTCGGCGCACTTAATGCCGCCTCCCTTTCCTCAACGGACAAACGAACATGACTTAAGATAATCCTTTTTTCGAGTCATGTGATTATTGGATCTTCACGTGATCGGAGACCTCGGCGGCTATTTACAAATGAATTGGGTTCGAACGGTGAAGAGGGGAAATAAACTCCTTTCTCCGTTCCTGTTGCCGAGTATGTCTTGTCTCACCCCATTATATTCCTCATGGGGTCTCTCCTTCGAAAGTAAAATTCGTTAAACTAGTCCTTCCTGGGTTTGTCGAAATACCGTGTCACCAGTACATCACAGCTGGCTATGAGCTTGAGAAACGAGGATACCCCGCCCAAAGCGCGGTCCACAGTACTCCAAGGCTCGAGAATTCCTTTCTCCAGCACCGATTCTTTTTCGGGGAGATACGCAGTATGGAAATTCGGGTCTTGAATGGTCTGGGCGATCGATGTGGCGGCTTCAAACCTGTGGATGCCGTATTTATTTGTCAATGCATTCTCTATGGGGTTCGTCAGGGTTTCAATCACCGCTTGGTGGCCCAAAAACGATGGATCTTTCTTAGTAACGTCCTTCAGCTGATGGATCGACTTTGCCAAAGCAACACCATGTGAGGGAATCCACCCCTGGGCCAGACCGTGGCACAGAACATTGTTGATGATGTGGTCCAGCTCGGCCCTTCTATGGTCGATTTCAAGCTCACTCTGACCACCGACTTGCAGAGTGATTGTGGTGCGCAACGCATTATTTTCGATTTCGGTCCCCGGATTATACAGGAACGCTTCACCCGTAGTGGCCTTGAGTGACTCTAGCGAGCCGAAAAACCGCGACGCAGATGCTGAACTGGGAACGTATTCGCTGAACTTGGGCGAGTACACACTTCCCAATCCATGCGGCAGTCTCAAAAACTCGAGGAAATCCGTGTTTTCCTGGAGACTAACCCCATCGTGGTCTCTAGGGGAGTATTTCATCACTATAGCTTGCGAGTTAATGTTTTGCCTTGCGTTTTTGTTGTTGTGGATAGTGATAGCAGCAAGGGCATCGCCCTTGCACTCACCGTTGACCACTAAGACGATGGATTTGCCCTGTTTTGTTGCATAATGCAATGCTGGAAGCACATTGTTGGCCTCTCGAAGTTCTCCATCATGAACCAACACCAGCATTTTCGCGTTCACCGTCACGAGCTTGTTTTTCGGGATTCGCAACGACCTCAAATATGGCTCGTTTGAGTCTATGATGCCTCCAGGATACTTCCACCCATTTGATATCTTTAATTCGTCCTCAGTCCTTCTTCCGCGGGTAACTCGAACCACATCGTCGGAAACAAGCTTATAATCGAGTGCTTTCAATACTTTGCGGATTGCGGAAGCATCCTGTTCGTTAGAGCACAGTTTTTGCACTAACACATCAATTTCAGAGCGTTTGTCTACCATGATACGATTTCTTTCCAAATAACTTCGAACTTTCGTCAAGGCGCTTTTAAGCCCTTCATACATTTCCAGATGCGGAATTTGGTTGTACCGTTCAGCTAGGGCCCGTGAAAGTGTTATTCCCAACACTGTGACGTTGTCTTTATGACAATCTGTAAACAACTGAAGACCAATTTTGCCCAACTTTGCGGTAGAATTTCTCTGAATAGCTGGATTCTCGGCCTCCTGCTGCTGCAAAGAAGTCGAAAACTCTTTAAGCACATATCCGATCCTTACTGGATCGGCTCCGGAGATCAATTGAGGCACTTTCTTGTACTTTCCAGCGTACAACAGCGATTTGTCGTAGGAAGACGACATCATCACTTTCTCCAGTAATCTGATGTGGAAAAGCATGTCTTGTCGCGACTTCAAGTCCAGCCCATTATATACTGGAGTGTGTAGCGTTTTGACACCTCTAACGCCCCTCAATGTGGTCCACATCCGTGGTTAGGCCTTATTTCTTCTCTTGCTGATGCTTAATGTTCAACATCAAGTTCTAAACTTATAATCTCAAAATCATTAAAAACAAAGTGCTCATCGATCGATCACAACAAACATAAACAATCCTATAACATCGCAGAAGATACCGCTTGATCCATAGCGATTTTCTTCCTGAGATGTCAAACAGTGTAGTTTTTTTTGATATAAGTTGACGCCAGTGAGTTACTGGCTGATTACACAGACAAATACAGACTAAAGTTCGTCTTGGCGAACTTTGCAAGGCTTTTCCCGACGTGATGTTGGGTAAAAAGGGCCCCGAGCTTTGTTTTAGAAAGATTCTGCGGCTCTCAGGGGTAGTACGCCTTGCAAACAGCTACTAAACTTCGTTTTAAAAGTAGATCAACAGTAGTTCTCCCCACAACAACTAAACTAGCTCAATTCGTAGTACTGCTCTTTTTCAATATCAAGGGACTCGGCCTGGAAATCCAGCTGTGGAAACAAGCGGGCCGGCTTTTCGGCCGAGGAACCACCCTTGCTGTCTTCTACGATCTTCACAATGCTATCGACCACGATAGCAGCGCCAACGGTCTCACTGTGGCTAGGGATGATGAGATCTGCATGGGCCCTGGTGGGCTCTATATATTTGTGCATTTCGGGCCGCAAACCACTCATATACTCCTGAATGAGCACTGCAAGCTCGTCAGGACCGTGTAGTTGCATGTGGCGCCGCTGAATCAGGTCGATCAATCGATTATCGCCGTCGCTGTCCAAAAAGACCTTTAGATGTGCCAATGCGTTGATTCGGGAATCAAACAGTGCGTAACGGCCACCTACCAGCACCACTTCCCACTTCTGCGACGCGTCTGCACGCTTTAACCGCTCCAGGATCTGCTCAAAGTCGTAATCCTGGTCGGAAAACTTGCGTTCACCATCATTTCTGAATGTGCTGTCCAGATCTGCAATTACCACTGATGTGTCGACAAAAGCCTCGAGAAGTGCTTTCTGAATATGCAAAACTGTCCTGTTGATCTCAGTAGTGTGGCCACCACCGACTGACACGATAATACGGGGCATCGATGGTGATGGACCCTGGTTTTTACTTAATGTTCACTTGGCCATCGAATTTTTCAATGCGATGAGATGAGCAGAAGGAAACTTGAATCAAGCACTCAAAGTTCAAAAAGTTCAAGAAAACGGTGTAGAAACCAACAAGCCAGGGCTCTAAGAACACTTATAATCATGTCTTTCAGTAGAGAATCCGATTCTAAACTCAAGTTCAAAACTTCGTCAAAACTGAAGGTCTGTGCGAGCTTCGAAGCGATGAACTTGAAAGATGATTTACTCCGGGGCATATATTCATACGGATTTGAAGCACCATCAGCGATTCAGTCGCGAGCCATCACGCAAATCATTTCTGGTCGTGATGTTATTGCCCAGGCACAGTCAGGGACCGGTAAAACGGCAACGTTCACTATTGGAATGCTGCAAGTAATAGATTTTAAGTCCAAAGAACTGCAAAGTATGGTACTGTCGCCCACGCGAGAACTAGCAAAGCAAATTTCTCAGGTAGTGGGAAACCTGGGAGACTACATGAATATCACAGCACACGCGGTCACTGGTGGAAGCAAGACAATGCAGGGCGAAAACAAGAAGCTGACCCATGGTTGCCATGTAGTGAGTGGCACTCCTGGGCGTGTGCTTGATCTGATCAAAAGACGCATCTTGAATACGAGACATTTGAAACTACTGGTGTTGGACGAAGCAGATGAGTTGCTAAGCGAGACGCTGGGGTTCAAAAATCAAATTTACGATATTTTTGCCAAACTGCCGAGATCCGTCCAGGTGGTGGTGGTAAGCGCTACAATGAGCAGAGATATTCTTGAGATCACCAGAAAGTTTATGAACGATCCCGTGAAAATCCTCGTCAAGCAAAACGAGATTTCCCTCGAGGGTATCCAGCAATTCCACGTTAATGTGGACCGCGAAGAGTGGAAATTTGACACCTTGTGCGACTTGTACGATTCCCTCACAATCACCCAGTGTGTGATTTTCTGCAATACGAAAAAAGTCGTGGACTGGCTATCAACAAAGCTGGCTCAAGCCAATTTCGCGGTATCTGCGATGCACGGCGACATGAAGCAAGAAGACCGCGACCGGGTGATGAACGATTTTCGATCAGGTAACTCGCGCGTTCTCATATCCACAGACGTTTGGGCTCGTGGGATCGATGTACAACAGGTGTCCTTGGTGATCAACTACGATTTACCAGAGCTTTTGGAGAACTACATTCACCGTATTGGCCGTAGTGGCAGATTTGGACGCAAAGGTGTGGCTATCAATTTCATAACCCGAGACGATCACAAACGGTTGCACGAAATAGAAGCCCATTACAGTGTCAAGATCCGCGCCATGCCAGCCAATCTACGAGATTTGACGTAGGCGGAAGGCATGAAGGCTTCTGCAAGAAAAAGATCCGTAGGAGTGCACCTTTCTTTCATCTTGTTCACAGTGTATTGAATAGACTATGTAGCTGATCGTTTCTAATTTTATAAACCCGGATTAGCTCCTCCAAAGGCAGATCTTCATTCTCTAGGGGCTCGAATCTCGACATGACGCGCAAGTGCAGCTCGTGAGGATCATCCTCGGTCGTTTCCCAGCTCAATTGCTTGAACCTGTCACTGATCAATTCTACATGAGTCACTTCCAGTTCTGCGTTGGTCTCGACAACCACTACGTTTTCGATCCCATCGCCTTCGTGCTCCACCTCTAGGTCTTCGTCGTCCTCGAAAACGTACTTGACATTGGTCGGAAACATCATCGCCGTTGTTTCGTGATCAGGGTGTGGAGCGCCTGTCACGGGCCCTATTGATCCGTGTTTGACGTTACAGTCCAACACAGTAACGATACAAGGCTCCATGCCAGATGTGTATGTACAGATAAAAACAAAAGAATGTATAAAAACAACCGAGTCCAATAAGAGACTGGGTTCTGAAGAACGGCGTCTTGAAAATGGTTATAGTTAAGTTCGTTCTTGAATCCTTACCTTTAACTTTACTATACCATATTCAACAATCAAAAAATTAAATTGAAAGGTAAGTTGGTTATTTTCCCGCCGAGGTTCGAACTCGGGATCTTCTCCGATTTTATGATTGTAAAGGAGACGTCGTAACCACTAGACCACGGGAAATCAACTTGAAAGAAACAAAGAAAAAACTCAATAATACATGCATCCAGGTCTAGTGATTTTGCTATTTTCTCAATCGAAGGACGAAAGGGACTGCCAATTAATTAATTGCGATGTGACACAAAAACGGATTAAAAATGACATATAAAAGCGGGCGCGTTGACTGCTATCGGACATAGAAGATCAACACATCGAACCAAGAGAACAAACACGACCTTGTATATATGTTATTAGATATCAATGTTTAAACTCAACTCAAACATTGCTCAACTAAGAGTCGTTCATTATTCAGGCTTTTCCTGTTTTTTGTGAGGCTCTCGGAGTTTTGGGAAATAACGAAACTATATCCCCGAATGACGCGGGAAGAACTACACAACCGCATTGCGACCGAGAAACAGCTTCTCGTATAGATTTGTTCTCCTAAAGATCTATGCCGCTTATTAATGATCTAATCGCCATTCTGTGAGGCCTTCAAGGTGCTGCTTTTGTTGCAGTTTCCCAGACATCTCCTCGAAGACTGAGGTAAATCGCGTCTGTCAAGCTGTACGAGCCGTTTTCATAGCCATCCATGAACTGAGAATGCATACTTTATAAGAAGCGCCCTACCCACACGGTAGGTGTATGGCCAAATGCAATGTCAAATACTATTGCTTTGTTGACCTAAATCACCTCACAAGCGCGGAATGTATTTTGATTCATATCAAAACACTTTTGCAAGTGATGTTCTCGAGTTTTTCGGATTGGTGAAATTGGAAAACTTCAGTCTGCAAGCGTCAGTGAAAGACACTTCGGATTTGGAAGGAGAGCCCAAAAATTGCGATTCAGCTGACAAACTTAGTGTCGAAAACAAGGCAGATCCTTTTTTGGTAGAATTTAGTGACAGACTAGATCCGGAACACCCGCATAACTGGCCCAGCGTTAAGCGCTTTGTCGTCGTGTGCAATGTGATGCTTCTTACATGCGTCACATACATGGGAACGTCTTTTTACACTCCAGGACAGGACAGCATACAGGAAGAGTTTCATGTGGGACACGTAGTCGGTACACTCAATCTGTCATTGTATATTTTGGGGTTCGGACTGGGACCACTCGTGTTTGGACCGCTTTCTGAGTTTGTTGCATTTGGACGTCAACCGCTTTTCATCGGAACTCTGTTTATGTATATGATGATGCACATGGGGTGTGCTTTGGTCGATAATATAGCTGGATTGTTAATTCTTCGGTTTCTGGCCGGAGTGTTTTGCTCTCCATCACTGACCAACGGTGCTGCTTCTGTTGCAGACGTTGTTAAGCCGCAGCATGTTCCAATAGTGCTTGGACTATGGTCAATTGGTGCTCTAGCAGGCCCCGCTACGGGTCCCCTGCTCGGTGCCTCCATGCTCGTTACAAAGAATTGGCGTTATATGTTCTGGCTGATGATGTGGATAAGTGCTGGGACATTGCTCTCCATGACCTTTTTCTTCCCAGAGACGAACGAGGACACGATCCTGTACCGCAGATGCCGAAGAATCAGAAAGATCACCGGTGACAATAGGTACTACACATTGAAGTCCAAGGAAGAAGAAAAACTCTCTTTCCGAGAGATAATGGTCGCCACATTGTACAGGCCATTCGAGATTCTGGCCAGGGAGCCAATCGTGGTGGCTTTGAACGTATACCATGCGGTCGAGTACGGGGTTTTCTACCTATTTTTCGAAGCGTTCCCCATCCTTTTCAGCAAAGTGTATCATTTCACAGCGGTGGAGCTAGGGTTGGCGTACCTTGGATTCTGCGTTGGTTGTGTCACCGCTTATGGGGTCGCAATGGTATTTTTCAAGTTCTACGCAACCAAACGAATAGCCAACAACACCTTCGTACCGGAAACACATCTGATTTTGACCATATGGGTTTGTTGGACACTACCTTGCTCGCTGTTCCTTTTCGGGTGGGCAGCGTCCGTCCATTGGATTATACCAGTCATCACAGAGGTTATCTTTGTGGTTGGCCAGTTCAATGTTTTCCAATCGGTTTTTTCCTACATGGCGATGTCGTACCCTAAATACACAGCTTCGGTTTTTGCTGGGAACAATGTATGTCGTGCGATCTTCGCGTGTATTTTCCCTCTGTTCGGTAAAGCGATGTACGACAATCTGGCAATTGATGGGTACCCTGTGGCCTGGGGCTCATCGCTGGTGGGATTTTTGTGTTTAGCGCTTGCCCTTGTCCCCTTTGTGCTATTCAGATACGGCGCTTACTTACGGAGCAAATCGAGGTTTGCTCAATGAAACGCGATTTGAGACGGCATGGCAACTCAACAATTAGAGTTCATAAGACGACACAATCAAAGAATCACTGTGATCACCATCTTTTTCATCAACCGGATACCCTCATTGACAGCAGCGCACACCCTGTCGAGTTGGTTGGTATGATGATAGAATTATCAAAGATAATATTCTTTAAAATCGGGCATGTTGACGCCTGCTCACGACATGTAAAAATGTAAAGAAATATACGACTTTGCATTGTGGAGAAACCTTTTTTGGAGCCCGAATGCCATCCTCGAGCGTCTTGGCATTGTACAAGAAGTGGAGTCTTCAGCTGGTACTAGTGTCGCGGAATTGATTATGCATCAAGACAATTGGGCTGAACATCTTTCATAGACTGGAATGGACAGTTTTAGATGGACACTAAAATAATTCCATTCAGCGATTGCACTGAAATTCACGAAAGTTGGCCCTTTGATTCAAATTGCGGTTACAATTTCAATCTAAGAGCAGTTGAAGAGGCTACTGAACTTAGACTACAGTTGTTTCTCTAGACTCTCAAAACTAGGTGTTTCCAAGCTTTTCCTCCATTATGTCAAAAATTTATCGACTCAGAGACGGTAAAGCCAGAATAATCAATCGGCTACAAACAATGTTGGCTGGCGGCCATTGATGATTCTGCTGTGTATCTTGTACCCTCAAGAGAGATCTGAGCATAGTCATCTATCATCTGACCAAGTGACAGATGACAGATGACAGATGACAGATGACACGCCTGACTAAACTGACAAAACAAAATGTTGCGACAATGAACCTATCGACACCAATCAGATAGCCACAACCACCACTTCAAGCTGATGGCCGTTATCAATACCATTTCTGTCCATTCGAAAGGCTCTTTTTCTTTCGGAGACAGGAAAAATAATTTGGATAAGGACGTTTTTGGCCATGAACCCCGCAAAAGAATTCGTCAGCTGTCTCTATTGACTTCATAAATCCGATCGATTTTGGACTCAAAAAATTGCCAGAGTCTTCTATATTTTTTCGTTTCGACTGTTTTACATCGAAAATTATCCCCATGAACATCAAGACCGATCCAAGTAAACCAAATGTATTCAAACATCAAACCATCAAGAACTGCACAGAATCTCTCCGAACACTGCTCCACAATCTCGAGTCCTTCCTCAGCGTCTGGTTTTAGAACCGTTCAAGCTTTTGAAATATCATGCCTTCGTATCACATGACCGTTTTCAAATTTTATGAATATAATCGATCGATGTCTCTGATTTCATGAATCATCCACCATCTCCAGTATCTCGAAGCACGCACTTCTAGAGCTTTCGGAATCTCCCAACAGGCCCAATTACTTGCTCTCATACATCATGCTGGATATTACGCAGTTTATCGAGGAAAAAGGAGGAAATCCAGAGCTCATCAGACAGTCTCAAAAGGCCAGACATGCGAATGTCGAAATCGTAGATGTGATCATTGCGGATTACAAGGAATGGGTCAAGACTAGATTCCAGTTGGACGAACTCAACAAGCAGCAGAACAAGGTGCAGAAGGAGATCGGCTTGAAGTTCAAGAACAAAGAAGACCCCAAGGATTTGCTGGCCAAGAAAGATGAAATCGCAGCTGAAAAGAAGAAGTTGAGTGAGCTCGAACAAGAACAGGACTTGGCTTTGAGAGAAAAAGTGTTCCAGGTGGGTAACATTGTTCACCCATCGGTGGTTGTATCGAACGACGAGGAAAACAACGAACTGGTGCGTAGTTGGAAACCCGAAAGCGTCGCAGAGGTCGGTACTACAGCTTCTTGCTCTGGAAAACCAGCAAGCTTGTCTCACCACGAAGTGCTTCTCAGACTCGACGGTTACGACCCGGAGCGTGGTGTGAAGATTTCGGGCCACAGAGGCTATTTCTTCAGAAACTACGGTGTGTTCTTGAACCAAGCCATGATTAACTACGGTTTGTCTTTCTTGGCATCCAAGGGCTACACACCTTTGCAAGCTCCAGTTATGATGGACAAAGACGTCATGAAGAGAACCGCTCAATTGTCGCAATTCGACGAAGAACTTTACAAAGTGTTGGACGGTGAAGACGAAAAATATTTGATTGCCACTTCTGAGCAGCCCATCTCCGCATACCACTCCAACGAGTGGTTTGAGAAACCTCAGGAACAGCTGCCTGTTCGTTACGCTGGTTACTCGTCGTGTTTCAGAAGAGAAGCTGGCGCTCACGGTAAGGACGCCTGGGGTGTTTTCAGAGTTCACGCTTTTGAAAAAATCGAGCAATTTGTTCTAGCGGAACCTGAAAAATCGTGGGAAGAATTTGACAGAATGATCGCGATGTCGGAAGAGTTCTACCAGTCGTTGAACTTGCCTTACCGTGTCGTGGGTATCGTTTCTGGTGAATTGAACAACGCTGCCGCCAAGAAATTCGATTTGGAGGCCTGGTTCCCATACCAGCAGGAGTACAAGGAATTGGTCTCATGCTCCAACTGTACCGATTACCAATCCAGAAACTTGGAAATAAGATGTGGTATCAAGAAGATGGGTGACAGGGAAAAGAAGTACGTTCACTGTCTGAACTCGACCTTGTGCGCTACTCAAAGAGCTCTATGCTGTGTCTTGGAAAACTACCAGACCGAGGAAGGTCTCATCGTTCCAGAAGTCTTGAGAAAGTACATTCCAGGTGAACCTGAGTTCCTTCCTTTCACAAAGGAACTTCCTAAGAACTCGACTTCTAACAAAAAGAAGAATGCCGACGCCAAATAAGTAAGTGTTATCTACTCAAATGCTATAAATGCGACTAGCACCAAGATTTACCCTTTGTCGAAGAAACTTCAAGTTCTCCAATGACTCTTCCCATCTTCTAAAGTCAAAGAGCTCTACAAATTTCAGATCCAAATTCCCGATTGGAAGTTCTGATTTTAAACGTAATGCATAGTAGCGTCAAATAAACATAAAATAAATGTCTTCCAAGTCAACGAGTGACATGATTAAAAACAGCTTTGTGATACGGTCCCTTGCTTGTGTAACCGTTGCCACTCTGATTCTCGAGGACAACTAAGCATTCGCGCTATGGGATCGCGTAATTGGCGGCCGATGTTATGCTCTGTAGCTTTCTTACTCTTTTTAAAGTCGATCAGAGCAGACTTGACGTCACCGTTTCTAACTGAGTTGTAGATATGGTCATTGGCATAATAATTTGTGAGCTGCTGCTCACGAATTTTGCTTAGGCGGTGCTCTTCATTTCGACGACGCGCTTCATGGCCCTTGAAAAATGAGAGAAAATCAGTGACATTGACAGTATCACAATCGTCTGCTCTTAACGATTCAACTGCTGCACGTTCGTTTATCTTTCGTTTGAGAATGGGTTTTCCAGCAAAGCTTTTAATCTTTCCACCATCTTGAGTACCGCTATCAGAAAGAGACCGCGACAATTTCCCTTCCTTACCAAACAAATTGTTTGTTCTGAAAGATTGGGTGGTCTCGGGTCGTTCGAATCTACTGGTTTTTCGGACGTCATACATCAAAAGATGTGAAAACTTGTCAAATTTGACACTAGAGACCGTGATTTCCTCGCGAGTTTTGAAAGACTCTGATGAATTTGATACCGAGGATTGAGAGTCGTAGAATCTAGTGTCACGAAAATCGTACGCGTCGTCGGACTTCACCTTCGACAAATTGAATAAATCGCGTTCAGTCAGTGTACCCTTTCTGACGCCTTCGAATAATCCCAAGGCGTCAATCTTACGCAAGCTTTGCCGAAAAGTAGGAATACGAAGCTTCTGAGTTTCAAATTCCTCGCATTTAGAAGGTTTGAAGGTTTGACGTTTTTTCTTCAAAGAGCTCAAGCGACCTCCACTGCTATTGCTGCCTTTACTACTGTGTCCTTTGCGTGATGCGAGATCATCGTCAGAGTGCCTGTCTTCTTTGCTTTCTTTCTTACCTGTACGACCAACAAGCGTTTGGTCTTGAGCGTCACATTTTGGCGATGTTTGGTGGTGAACGGCTGATCTGAATTTCTCAACAACCCCACGAAACTTTTCTTCTGGTGTGGGACCCTCATCATCACTGGAGTTAAGCCGATTGAGTTTCGAAATGGGAATGAAAGAGGGAGTCTTGATTGGTGGGAGATCTTTATAGTTTGCGGGTTCCCGTGCATCTTTTGCACTTAACGCTTGGGGAGGTTCCGGATTTTGGAAATCTCTGAAAGGCTTCTCATCGGCCTGATGAGTATTTATATATGGATTTTGAATCATATGCGGATTATTCTCCAGCATTGTGGTCGGAGTTTCGCAGAATGAAGTGTCAAAAGGAGGCGCGTCCGAATAGAAGGAAGATGATTCGTGAAGTGATTCATTTGCCTCGACCCCGATGTTTTCGGGAGGCACAGCTTCCTTGTCAAGACAAGGACGCTTAAGTTCAGTAATCAGTTGATTGGGAGAATCGAACGTCCTCTTCAAGCTGTCTTGCCTGTCATCGGAAAGAATACTGTCATCGAGGAATTTTGGTGATCCGGGGTCCGCAACAGAGTCAGGTTCAATGGGCAAAGTGCCGAATGCTTTTGCATTCTCGCGTTCCACAGAACCTGTTTCAGAGCCATTGTCCGGTCTCATGATGAGCGAGTCATCATTCAGGGTGTCTCGTGGCTCAGGGAAGGTGACGTCGCCACTAAGAAAACTCCCGTCGTTCTGGTGAGCAGCTTCAGCCAGTTTGTCATCTGCGGCGATATCAGCATCCGATGAGCTTAGCTTGTTGAACTTTGCGCCCTGAGTCCCAGGTTCAGGATCAACAGGATTGTTGGTACCAAAAGCCAGAGAAGTAAATGCTTTGCCCTCATTATTAAGATCCATCTTTGAGGAGTAACGACCCAAATATCCAATTTTGTGGTCGGTTTGGCGGTTTTCATTAAGGACAGAAACTGCTTCGCTGCCAACAGAGCCGTCTAATTCGCCAAGTTCCCACTGTTGCTTATTCGAATAGTTACTGCCAAGCAATGCAGACTCTTGATAGTTAATGTCGAAAACCACGGGAAGGGCTCCGTGGCACTCAATCGGACGCCTCGGTCGAGCAGTCAAGAGACGACGCTTGGAAGGCCTCCTCAGGTGTTCTCTCAAAAAGGCCTTTAAGCGACGCCCATGAGGATAGTCTTTGGCCTCACGCTCCGGCGTTGTCAGAATTTCCTTAGCTTCTGTGGCACTTAGCACAGGAACGTAGGACAGCGGATTGTCCGAATTCAAAAAGGCATCTTCTGCGTCGACAAAAACAGTTTCCTCATCATTTATGTCCATGGATGGAGAATGCTCTTTTAAACTGTGCAACCAGGCTCTGAACTGCTTCCTTTTGGACAAAATCTGTTTTGTGTCCTCCTCCGTTTCCTCACACATATGTTCGGAGCCAGTGAGCAAACCAAGGTCGAGTTCTGATTGTCTGTTTAACATTGGGAGGGTTTGGCGAAGAATCTTAGGATTGTAGCTAAAATACCTAGAAGGTCGGTCCGTTGTGATGCGCAAAAGCAAATAGTGTAGTATTCCAACACAGATCGCCCTTACTTTTTATACTGTCACATCAAAGTGTCAGCTTGAAGTCCGGGGATTTGATTTTGTGACGCTGTCGCCGGGGAAACACGTCTTATGCTAAACACCGATGAGCATTCGCTGGAAACGATTGTAGTGAAAAACAACTCTGTATGCATCATGCCAAAGTGAAAGGACATTGTTTATTGACATTGGAAACTTCTTGTTCCAATTTTTGTTACTGGCTCTCAGTCCAAGCTGTATTACCACAACGACAGTAGAAAACAGACCGTTACGAAATCAGTTTGCAACGGACCATATCAATCAGCGGCATGCGATTCAGGTTATCGAACACCGTTGGAGACCCCCAAACTTACTCTTCAGCACATATATAGTGTTTTGTTTGTTTGCATGTTGAAAGTGCAGAGCTCGCTTGCGGAACGTAATGTCGCCCGGGATAAGCGAATTATGGGTTCTTTAAAAGCGCCAAAATGGCCACAGTTTCAAATTCAGACTAATTGACATAAGATGGCATACTCTAGATACAATGAGGCTTAAATATCAAAAGGTTTTGATGTCGATTGTTTTGACTCAATCTAAGCGCTCATTCATGATATAGATGATTCAATTTAATTTGATCTTTCCATATCACTATATACGCAAAATCCAGCTTTCTCTTGTGACTTCAAACACCCGTACATCTTTTCAAAAAAGCTCATAAATTTTTCAACGATAGTGAAAATATTTGACGAAAAAAAGTTGCGTCCTTTTTCACAGCTTTCCCTTCGAGTGGGTGTCCACGTCACGCAGATTGCTAGGCAGAACTCCCAGTAGCTGCAGTTCCCTTCCTAACAGCCACAGCCCGTTCTGCCTAGCCCACTAGCCCTCCAATGGGATACCTCCCCACCAGCACAGCGTTCTCTGCCTAGAGCCTCAAAGTCCTAGACGGGAGTCCCTTCAGAGGCTCCGCTCAAGCCCGGCTCAGCTCGGTCCAGCCCAGCCTAGCTCCAGGCTAGCCACCTAGGTACCTCCCGGGAACGCAGTACCGCAGTGGAATCCTCCAGGATCTCACCTGTCCTGGAACTTTGACAAAAACAATCAAGTAGCCAATACAGCTAAACTGCTATTCACAAACGTTGTATTATAGGCCTTCAGAAACTGGATCAACAAGATGTCTACTGAATTGACTGTGCAAGCTGAAAGAGCTTTCCAAAAGGTATGCAAATTCACCGGAAACCGCAGCGAGATGGACCAAGAGAACGAATAATTTGGGAAATCATTTCACGATGAGTGAAAGAAACAGGAGTGCGAAGTATCATTATGGGGACAACGTCAATGTGTGCTGTGGAACTTCGCTAGCGCAAGGAAAGACAACCAGCTCGATAATCAGCTTTGAAAAAAAAATGCTCCAATTATCAGACATATTCAACCAGATGAGTACAAGGTGGAAAAAATACGATTCCGTTAAGACGCTCCAACAAATGCTCGCACTTCTCCTATTTTGAGGTTCTCTTCTGCTTGTCATCTTCAACTTTTCAATTTACTAACTTTCCTCACTAGCAACCACACATCTTCACCAACCCAAAGGCCAAGGCCAACAGACGTACCAAGAGATGGTATAAGAACGTTGGTTTGGGTTTCAAGACCCCAAAGACCGCCATCGAGGGTTCTTACATCGACAAGAAGTGTCCTTTCACCGGTTTGGTCTCCATCCGTGGTAAGATCTTGTCTGGTGTTGTTGTCTCTACCAAGATGCACCGTACCATCGTCATCAGAAGAGACTACTTGCACTACGTTCCAAAGTACAACAGATACGAAAAGAGACACAAGAACGTCTCCGTCCACGTTTCTCCAGCTTTCCGTGTCGAAGTTGGCGACATTGTCACCGTTGGTCAGTGCAGACCTATCTCCAAGACCGTTAGATTCAACGTCTTGAAGGTCACCACCCCAGCTGGTAAGGCTAACAAGCAGTTTAGCAAGTTCTAAGCATCTTTGAACAGCTGAATGTCACCTCGTATCAAAACCAGAACAAAACCGCTTTCAATGCGCACCTATTCTCTTTCTTAGAATATTTTGTATAATGTTTTAAATATAGGAAAGAATCTTTCTTGTCAAAACGTCTCGACGAGAAGCGTGGGCGCTATCTCTGACATGCTCTGCTCTATTTTTCAAGACTTTTAGCTAATTACACTGATCATTCTCCATTACATGTTACACAGGGTCCTAACGCTTTGAACTTAGAATATTACCGGCTTCCAACGGCAATCCCTCATCGCGAATCCCAATTAATTCCTTACAAATCTGATTGATCGTCCGGTCCTTATGATACTTCACCCCTGTTCTCAATTTTTCATAGCAGAGTTTCAACTCGGTGCCGGACCAAAGCTTTCCGGGCATCAACCTGGCAAGCTCGTCCCAATCCACTTGTAGATCTTCCGTGAAACCCATGTCTCTAAGCTTCTCTAAAATCCACAGTTTGTCTTCTTCACTAATAGTTTTGATCTTGTTCATGGCCTGTTTTTTCAAGAGCTTGTTCCATTTATAGCGGCACTGAATGCGCGACCGTGTTCCTCCCATACGTTCACTGACGACCGTCCAGTTGATGAGATCTCGAGAACCGGAGTCTTTCTTCTTGGTGTTTCTTTTTTCTTTGCCTTCGATCTGCGTGTCATCCATAGGATCATACAGGTGATCCTCAGGTGAATCTGCGGTTTCTGAAAGCTCTGAAATGACGACCTTCAGCTGCTCTTCCTCTTGTGGTGACCATTTGTTGGATGCCCGATTATTTCCGCATTTCACGTAATTTCTCCAGCGATCTCGGCAATCCTCTGGCATCCTTCCTAAAATTTTACCAATCTCGGACCATTGTCCCTCCTTTTCAAGACACAATGCGGCCAGTTCTCGTTCTTCCTCTGGTGTCCACTTACCGCGTTGCTCAAAGATGTGGTATTTACGACGAACGTGTTTGTAAATCGAGGACCGCGTTCTATAAGGCAGGACTTTACAGATGTTCGTCCAAAAGTCATCCTTTCGACGCTCATTAGACCATATGCGCTCGCAAATCTGGCGACGCGATAAGTTTTTGATAGCTTGATAGTCACCGACAAAATGTTCTAGAGCCTGCTCTTCTGCAGCATCAAAAGATTTTCCAGTTGACTGACTTTGAGGACTAATGAAGTTCGATGCTTTGGTTGCCGCATCTTGAATTAAATGAGATATGTCCTGATCGCTCGCAGCTGCACCCACAGCAGATGAGCTTCTAGACATTCCGTGTCCGTTGCCGCCCATCATGTCACCATGATTAGTGCTTGCTCCCGTCTGCGATCTCGAGTTCGATGCATTAAGCGAACTTCTATGGCCGCCCATGACAATTTCATCTCCGGATACTTTGGGTAGTACTTCAACCTTTCGTCCAAAAGCGTGAGCTTCAGAGTGGTGGAGATCAGCTGAAAGACGCGATTTGTCCTCTGGTTCGTCCTCCGTATTCAAGTAGTGCTGAAAATCCGGATGGTGAGCTATCGAGTCGGCGTCGAGTATAGCTTTGCGTACCAACTGTTCGTGCTCCGTAACATCCTCTGGGTCGTCAAGAGAAGCTAGCTCCGGATCAACAGCGCCTAGATGGGGCATTTTCGAAGACTGACGAAGCATCCCACGTGAAGAGCTTCGTGGCTCAGAAGAAGGTTGGTGCCTTTTGACGCCGGAGTGAGATCCGACGAGTGAGCCTATTGCGCCCGTCTTTCCAGAATCCGACATGTGAGATCTCTTGCGGTCAATAGCATTACCATTGCTGTTTCCCAAGTTAGCGGTTTCGGAAGAACCAAATGCAGCAGCAACCGCAGCAGCGGCCACCGATTGCGGCTCTCTTGTCTCACGCACGTCTAATTCTGCTGCTGCGGGCGACTCAGGATCCAATTCATGCCGCAGAAACCATTCCACATCTGCAGCTGTGGAAGATCCTGCAGGAATGGTTCCAGGAGAGCTGGCAGCACCGGCAGAACCCGAATTTTCGGCATGTGCAGCGTTAGCCGCTAGCATGGCATTTGCAGCCACTGCGGCATTCTTGGCATTTTGAGCATCACGAGCAAGAAGCTGATCGATACGTGTATGATGATATTTCTTACCTGAGCCTGCAGACGTGCCCATAATACCTTGCTCGACAGCATGAGCGCTGTTTTGTCGCTGCTGTTGGTTCAGACGACGGTGAGGATGTTGCACAGCAGGGGACTCATTTCTATGGAAATTATCGTTTGCGTTTTCAGTTTCGTCGCCGTGTTTCCCGCCCTGCAGGTCGACGCCGACGTACTTGAAAACAGCTTCTTCGACCGATTCCTGATGGGTGCGACCCGGTGACATAACAATAAAAGGATTGGTACTCGTTCCAGCGATTCACCGCTTCAACTAATGTCCGCTTATAATATGCGATGTTTGCTTGCCGTTTTCAGGGTAAGTTACTTGTCTGTTTTCCAAGGATAACCCTGTCTATGGCACTGGAAGTAGCCGGGCAATATCTTAGAAAAGGGCTCGTTGGTGTGTTGTCAACGGTTTTCCACGGTAACGAACAGGGTAAGTTAGAAACTGTTTTTATCCGGTGAATGAAGATGAGTAAAAGACAGTTAAAACCGAAACTCGAGGATCTTTTGGCTGAAAGAAGATAGTAAACAAGCAAGCTTTAATGAGACCTTTCAAACACGGCAAAAACAGAGAACGCAAGGGTGAGGGGCTGTCGACAAGGTGTTGCGACGTTCGTAGTATAAGGCTTTATTATCTCGCCTATGTGTTTCTTCCATTATGGCCTTACCACTTCATCTTAACACACACACCCACTGGCTAATGACCTAGGGATACGTGTATAGTGACATATACGATCACCAAAGGAGGGTAACACCAGTAGCGATGATGATGGAATTCGTAGGCACGTGACCAATGTTTGTGTTTGACAGAAGTTCATGGTAAAACGCAGTTTTGTCATATCAGCGTATCCGTAGACTTCATGAAACTGTTACTCTCTTCTCTTTATTGTAGGGTGTCTGGTTTTGATTGCTTTAATTTTCTGAAATTCGAAGATTTCAGATCAGTGATGGTCCCATAAAGTATTATCTCTGTCTTGAGGAATACAGCGTTCCGTAGATGCCTTCTTGCAATCACGTCCTCAGTCTCTTATACGCTTTTATCGACCGAAAATGGTGAATTCTTCGCCACAGCAACCGAATGTAATTTGATAGGTTTTGACTTAATACCAAAAAGGAAACCACCAAACAGGCTCAATTTAGACCCTGTTGACACCAACAACAGAGCGCGGCATATCTAATAGCGAACAGATAATCTTGGATACCCTCAACTTTTCGGCAAATGGATTTAATCATCCTCATTTTACAAAAAATGATCTGAATTAGCCGCCCAGTCCCATTACCACGAATACCGTTAAGAGCCACGAGAGGAAGCGGCTAATCACAAACATTTGCAGTATTTCACCTTCGGATTCAGCATTGGATCCATCTGGAGTCGAGTAGCTTCTGTTAAGGTGCTCTTCTGCTATCGAATGTGGTTAGCATCATGAGTAAAGAACTAGTTAGTTGGTCAAAACTTACTTTATAAGCTTGGAATCGTTCTTTTATATGCTCCGGATTCCGTACATAGTGATGGTATTACCATTACGCGGACGCTGTGCTAGATTTAGCCGCCCATGTCTATCCGTCCTGATCGTGCTACCTCACTATCCTTCCTATGTACAGAATTTATATCCTGATTAGATTGGAGGAGGCGGAGGGGCATGGGCTTGATACAACCTTTCAGAAGACATCTGGAAGGTCTTGAACAGCTGCATGTAAAGCTCTGGTGCCATGGCTTCGTAGTCTCTGTAGCTGCTGCTCATCCGCTGATAGAACATTTGAATCATTGCTGTAAGCTCTGCCAGGCAATCTAAAGACTCTCCCAAGATACTGAGGTTCTTCCCGGACTTTATTGAGGGCAAGTTATCAGGACCTGTGGAAACTGAGGCCATGGACCTCGAGTTGAAATACATTATCAAATCGTAACACATCTTCTCAAAGTTGGCCAGGAATGAACTGGGCAAATTGGCAGATAACACCAAAACCCCCTTCAGCAGTGCAATGACTTCCAGTAGAGCATTGCTTGCTACAAAAGTCTTGTCATTCACCACAACAGATTTCTTGTGGCCCTTGGAAACTGTGCTTTCTGAACTTTGGGTGTCAGAATGGGCTCCGGTTTCGTCATGATCGTCGCCATCAAGGCTCATGAGTTTAGACCAGCTAGTAGGTGTCATGTGTACACACGACACTATCTCATTGACACTTTGCTGCACTTCAGGCTCCACGACCCGTGGAGTCCACACTTCTTGATCTATAGCCGTTCTCACCGACTGTGCATTCTGAGAGTTCAAACTGCTTGCGTAGCTTCTTATTTGCGCTGCTAACACGTCTTTTAAGTACTGCGTGAGGAATTCACCTGTGATGTTTTCGCACTCACGGTCAAACCAGGAGCATACACTGCAGAGCTTCAGAAAGTGATCGTACCTCAGCCTGCTACTTAGGTCTCGCCTAACAGCAATTATCTTTCCCATCCGCAACTGTACAATTCGGACACCCTCGTGAATGGCCGGATTGATGTCTAGTTGTATTATTGATTCTGGACTGGACCCGTTTTGATGAGAGCTGTCTGCATAAACAGCAAGCGCTACATCGAGAAGAACTTTCTGATGCCTTGAAAGTCGCCAAAGAGCTTGATTCTCGCGGACAAAAATTTTGAGCAGCATTTCCTGGAACTCGCTGGGCGTAAGGCCTCTTATCAACCGCGACAATTTTGAACCACTGCCAGTATTTTTCGGCTCTACAGGCCCGTCGTTTGGGCCCGGGCTGTTCTCGGGCTCTTTGGGGAGAAAATCCTTGATGACATTTTTTAACTCTACGATAAACCTCTCATTGTAAAGCTGAATCGCGTCTGCTAGGTTGTTACACTGAACCAGTCGTTCCGCTGAGCTCTTTATTCGCTCGGCTAGCTCTGCATCTTTTTGAGGGTTCCGTAAAAATTTGGTGTCGATTAACTTTGTTCCCAGTTCTGCTTCACCCGAGTAGTTGGCTTTGATGTCGTCGATTAACGTATCACAGAACTCTGATGAATAAGCTAGCCCTATCTTTTCAGTTATGTCTTTTAGCTCATCGCCGATGTTTGCAAAGCTCGTAATAGATCTCAAATTTGATAGCTTGTAGGGCCACTTTTTCGTCATTTCTTGTATATGCTTGTCATTATCGTCGTCACCCTTTATTAGGTTTTCGACATGCTCTATCAATTCAAGGCACTCCTGACTTTTGCTCTCTTCGTACAATGATTTGCACTCGGAAACGAGCTCCGTAACACGCTTGGCTTGAAGTAGACCCTGTTCAAGTTTTTCGATATTTTTCCTCTTGATCTTCTTCTTCAAAGTCGATATCTGCGACTGAAATTGGTCTCTCTCTACCGAGCCCAGCCCTTCCGATATCGCGGCCAGTTTCTTTATGGTGTTTGCCGCTCTCGATTCTATCTTGCCAACATCCTCTAGAGCGAAAAAAAAGCTGTTGGAAGATTTGGAAATCTCCGCTAAAAGAAGGTTTTCAATGCTATCGAGATACTCAGAAAGTCTATCTCTTATGCTCTGATATGCCTCTTTTCTCTCTTGCGAAGAATGAGAGCGTAAACTATCGGCGCGCAGATCTAAGTCATCAATGATCTTCCTGAACGTACGAGTGTCGTCTAGCTCAAGCTTTTCGTTGAAATAAAAGTTCGGGAGCCTTTTGATCGTTCCGTAGTCCTGACTCTCAAGAATTTTATCCTCTTTATGATCATTTTTTTCTTCTGATGGTGTACTATTAAGGCCTTCGTCCTCATCCAGTCGCAGTCTTTCTAAACCCTTCACAGTTTCCAAGTTGTTATTGCGTTCAAACACAAGATAATCAGATTCAATATCTGCTACATACTTGTGGGTATCATCGCGCCACGTCTCCGGTATCTCGTTTTTGCTCAAGATAATGGGCGGTATATCGTCAATTGTTGGTCTTTTCAACCAATTCCTGCGTCGAGTGTTTAAAACTAATTCGTACACGGCGTTGTTTCCAAGTGGTGAGAATTCCATACTCCCACTGTGGCCTTCGTTTCCTGGCGTGTTGAATCGGCTTTGTCTACCCCACACGGAAGATGAATCAAAACTCTGTCTGAATGACGTGCTTCCTGGGCTAAGTCTGCCCGAAGAATACTTCAACCGATCATTTCTACTAGTGCTGCTATTGATACTCATCAAATCATCATTCAATGATGTAGAATCGTCTAGCATTGCACTCGGACTTGACTCCAGGTCCACCTGCGAAGGTTTGGGAACTTTTAAGGATGGCATTGTGCGATCCACAGAGACAGAAGCTGGCTTTAAAGGCGTTGATCCTTTAAGCATCCTTGCTTTCTTGAGAGTAAGGGTTGGCTTCACTAGGTTGAGGCCCAACCTGATCTCAATGGGAATTCTTAGTTGGTATGGACAATTCGTAGGTAGCTTTCGAAGAAGATGACTAGAAGTTGACCTTATTTAATATCATTGTATACGCAGGGCTGGGGTGGGTTCGCCAGCTCTTTAGGACAAGTTCACAATCAACTGTCACCAGATGAATACTACAGTTCCAGCCGTATCAACGCAGAGAAGTGTTATAGGAAGGCTTCTCTTATTAGCCTCTTTCCCTTTTTTGTTTTCGAATTTGGACTTAGTTATGTTTCCTCCGGACCAATATCTCCTTTACCTACTTTTTCCAAGAATGAAGGTACTTGCTTGCGATGTCCCGCGCTGAGCTCATCATTTTCTGTACATTCTCCGCACTAGAGTCCTCCTCATCATTGTCGTGATGATCTAAGTGCCAATTTTCTAGGTTTTTGTTCATATGATCAACATCTTCAGCACTAGATTTGTTATTCACAGTCATCTTTTCCTTGGCCACCACCGACTGCATAGACTCGTTGCGGGGTGAAATGTATCCCGAAATTGCAACGTCCGAAAGTGAGGTGCGGTAATCCCCGGAGGCGCTGACTATGTTTCTCAGAGAGTCGCTGGGTCCCCGCTGTCCTTGACTTTTGGAAACGGGTGAAACGGCCGTTCCAAGGGTCGGGTCGTTGTGAGACGATGGATTAGCCTTAGAGGAGGTGTTGCTGTAGTTTTCAGATTCGATGCTGCCCGCTGTATTCTCGTTTTCATCTTCAGGGTCGTTCTGCCTCGAGGAAGAGCCCAAAACAGGGCTGTCTATATTGGTGTAGCTGTACGAGTCCGAAAGTGACTCCGATTCAGAATCAGAATCAGAGTTGAAGGAAAAGCCTTTTGCATGTTTTGGCGCGGTTGGGCTTTTCTTAGATGACTCCTTTTGTGCAGTGTCCCACGATTGATTCACCTGTCGTAGCGGCTTTCCTGTGATAAAACTATGCGTCTGAGGTATGGAAGGAGATTGGGGTCTAAGATCCTGCAGCGAACCAGCGGTGGAAACTCCCAAAGATGGGGTCCTTCTGAGAGCGGGAAGACTTGCAATGTCTGCACTTTCGTCATCGCTACTTCTGTCCTGTGAATCTTCGATAAATTGTGACTCACCATTGGAGCCGTAGGAGTCTGTGTCACTGTCCAAAGAAAATGTATTTTTCGTTGCGGACCCTTTCGGCAGTTTATCTTGGTTGGAATCCTGATCCATCAAATGCGAATTGGAGTCGTCATCCTCTATAGGGGTTCTGAGTCCCTCAGGAACATCGACCATATCATAGTTGTTTGCCGCAATGAATCCTGAAGTGTCCCCTGTGTAAACAGAGTTGTAGTCGTACATGTAGTCGTACCCTCTAAAGGTGTTGACGTTATGGGAAACAGCGTTACTGCCGTAGTATTCGTCATCATCACCAAAGTCCTCTTCGTCTGAACCGTAGTTTAACGTGGTCGCCGGCAAAGGCTTTATGATCGGAGTGCCGGAAATTTTGAACTTTGAACTTTCGGAATTTGCAGATGAAGCACCCGGTGAGCTCTGCAAGCCATCCGATTTCCTGGAAAATCTTGCATTTATGAAAAGTCCTGCCTCTTCCTCGTCTTCGTCTGAAGTTGAGCTCTCAAGCTCTTGATCCGATTCATCTCCAAGCGAATTATTCTCATCACCCAAACGACGCGAACGACGTCCTTTACTATTTGTGAATTCGTGATGAACGGATCCTTGACTTCCTTGTCCGTATACTGTGTCATCGTCAAAGTTGTAATTGTTGTCATCGTCATCAAAGTCGTCGTAATCATTATCGGATCTGATGGCCAACGCCATGCATTGTTCCACTCGGTCGTTGAAATGAATATGTCTGTTCTTTTGTTCGTGAGCATTTTTGGCATTCCGCTTGCCACCAGACGTCAATATCGATTCTAAAGCAGGTGCTGGCGACTGATTTGCAGATGTTGGCCGCGTTGTGATAGAACCTTCGTTATGATCATCCCCGAACGAAGGTTGATGTTCACCCGGGTACTCCAGTAGCTCCTGACGTTCTGCCTGATCTCCAGGGTTGGGTGATGCTGTAGAAGAATCCGCTTGCAGCGAGTAATATTGGGAGTTTACTCTGGCCGCCAATGCGTCATAATCGTCCGCTTCTTCTAAATGGCTGTCGTATCCGTCCATCAAGGCCTGCGTGCTGGATAGATTTTTCTTGTGTTGCCTGGCCACATTGAGTTTCCAACGAGAGTTTTCCTCAATGATCTCAGATACTGTTCTTTTTTTCAAAATGGGCTTTGGACCATGGTTTGCCCTTTTCTTGGTTTTCAACGTAGTCATTCTTTTGGACGTCTCATCATCGGACCCGTAGCCGTATTCGACATCGGAATTCGCATCTCGATCGTTAGACTTCTGTCGCACCACTGGGCCGTACAACCATGTCACATCGGAGTCTTTGGACCAGTTCACAGTCTCAGGGCTTACCGTACGCAGATGGTTGCGAGCTTTGGCCCACGTACGCCACGAAGCGTTTTCAAGCCTTGCGGCGTTGACCAGGTCTTCGTTCTTCTTCTTCTTTTTCAAAATGATATACTTCCACGACTGTGAGATCTCAGATTCCTTCCACTCGTGCGACAGATAGTCTACATGCCGTTTGGGCTCATGCATAATGTCGTTGTCGTCATGCGGGACCATGAAGTCGTCCGTTTCCGGTGCTGGAGGCGATGTTGACTCTGAAAGCACGATTGGCGATGGTTCTACCGAGTCTCTCATTTCCGGACTTTCTGCCACTGCTGAAGGCGACTCCGAACGTGTATCCAGCAGTCCCATCGACCGTGTGCGCTTGAGATTGAACGTTGACCGCCGGAAATGCTCGTCGTCGTCTGCTTCCACCGCCATCGATACTGACGGACCCATATCGTCGTCGTCGTTGTTGCTGTCTTCTGCACGGTGGTGCATTGCTTCTTGGGCGCGGCTCGGCTCTACTTTGCCACCACCGATATCCCCCACCGGTTTCTTCGACATTGGTGCCAATCCTGGGGGTTTTTCTCCACTTATATGGTTTGGTCTTCACACCGCTCTATAGCCAAACCTTCAACCACTTGAGATTTTATATGAACCTGTAATTTTGAACCAACCAAGACAGCTAGAAAAGTCGTACTTTCGCGAACTTGCTGTACTCAAACCTTATTTCAAACTCTATTGAGACGTTGGACACCTCAAACAACCACTTTCGGCTCCACCAGGGTTGTGCTTTGCCTTTGCGTTAGTGCTGTTTAGCTGTGCAAAGGGGCACACACTATGGTCAAATTATATTGAAATTATAGACAGGCTCAAAACATATATGTGGTCACGTGGTTGGTGAAATTAACTTGACGACAGCGTTTTTCAGAAAACAACGATCAAAGGTGAAGTTTTGGAGGATGTTTGATGCATTGTGTATTTGGTTCTGTAGTTATGAATTGTAATTTTAGCAAAGCGAAAGAGCCCTTTTTTGAGTGTTTTTAGTGGCTCAAACAGTAAAGTAATGGTGAAGACAGTCAAGAACTTTTCAGAAAAAACAAAACCTTCGTGGATGTGCCAAATGGACCTTTCTGAATTCATGTGCTTCTTGCTTGATATAGAGAGAACTGATGTTAGTTTGAGACAGCTTTGGTTCTTGTGTAGGCTCTTTCTGTTTCTTTGTTGTAAGTGAACCATGGAAATATAAATTCTTATTCCATTTAATGTATCAAGAAAATATCCATAGGTCTGTCACACGAGGAAAAACGGCTAGGAGGAATGCCAGAGAAACCGTTCTCGGAGCGCCATTGTGGTTTTTATTGCGAGTGTGTCAGTAACGATGATGAACCGAACTTCTGGTGGGAAAAGCCGGGAACCTGGAGAGACCAGCGTGTTTTGGTCCTGTAACGAGATTTCGGCGCTGACACTTGGGAAAAGTGAAGAAACGAGGGCCGGTCGAGCCATGAAAAGCCGTCCATTTGTCTTTTGACACCGAACCTTAGAGGAAATCAAAAATTGAGGCCCTTCAAGCCGTTCTGGGCAACAAAAGATCTATATTTCAATGGTCTCGATTGCTGGTGAATTTTATGATTTGTCAAAAGGGCATGATGCGAGGCCTAAACATTTGAAGGTTTTCTCTCTTTAGTGTGTCAACAACAATATTGCTTCAAATGCCATTTAGATGGCTCTTCAAGTGCGATATTCCAGGATCTTGCCATGCGTGTGATCAGTCCCCAGTATCAGCCGCACGCCGATGGAGTTGGTCATTCGGCTTTGCAAAGCCATGCAAGAGAATCTAGGAGTCGCCCTTCTGTGTCCTGCGCCCAACGGATACTGAAAAGCATGCAATTGCCGTCCCGTGCGGGCTTCGTAAACAACCACCTCCCCGTAGTCGGAGTTGCAAAAGACAAAAGGCCCCTCCCACATCAGGTACTGCGCAGTACGATGGCGGAAACGATTAGCCATCAAGTCTGTCGCACCCAGCTGCCGCACCACACGGCTCCGGTTGTCTCCGTCAAAAGACCACAGCTTGTTTTTGCCGTCATTCCCCGTCGTCACAAGCTCATGGTCGCCGGACGGGTTCCAGCAAATGTCGTTGCAACAACGTGCGTGAGCTTTGGACATGGAGTCTGGTTCTGTGAGATCGCAAAGCGCAGCATTACCTTTACGCAAATCCCAGATCCCGACGTTGCCATCGTTATCACCAGTGGCTATCAATTGAGCAGCAGTGGTTTTGTCGCGAGAAAACTTGGCTGTATTGATGCCGCACTTCATATCTGAGCGCTTGACCCCGAGACTTATCGTAGCACTCATCGATCGGAGGTCGATCAGACGAGGGTGCGAGTCTTCGGTCGCCACGGCTATAAGGTCACCCTTGGTGTCCAACTGCGAAACCCGGTGTGCCACGTCGAGCGACGATGCCACCTGAAACGTATTGGTGTCCCATATTTTTACTTTCCGGTCGTTGCTGCCTGTGAAAAATAGCCCATTGTCCGATTCATACCACTGCACAGTCGAGATTGAAAATGCATGGACTGTTTCGTGTGGGAAGGGTGATGCGGTGGTTGCACTGGATGCAATTGACGCACGAAACCTTTGGGAGCCCCCCTGAGGTCCAGAAATATCCACTGGCCTTCTTGCCACCACATGTGTCCTATGATTCGTAACGTGAGTGTCATTACCAGTTGCTTCCTTTGATTCTCCGCGTGCAAACTGAATTCGTTTGTCGACCAGCGTGTTTTCACTGTAGCTTTCGTCCAGTGCCCACATGCCCACACTTCCATCTTCACCGCTGGCTAGCAGAAACTGACCTGAGGGATCCAATGCAACTGACGTTACGCCCACAGTCAATGATGATTTACGGTAGTTGTACACCATCGCTTTGGCTTCGGGAAGTTTATTGAGCTCGTTTTCGAGTGCCACATCGAAAAGCTGATGGCTATTGATCCTACCTAAACGCCATTTGAAGTGAGCCTTGTTCATGGATGATGTTTGAACATGCCAGTAGTTGACTGCTTGTATAGGCGATGAGATGGCTCATCTCTCTATAAGGCGGTGAAGCCCTAATATAAGTCACGGGACTCTATTTGGCCAGGTGGTCAGTAAATAAAAATATCATGACACGATCTCAACTGAACTTTGGTGAAAGAGAGTCTGCAATGAATTTGAGAAGTTGACGACGGTCAGTCTTTGAGTTATATGTGACGTTCCATGTGTATATTTTCCGCCCAAAAAGTCGATTTTTTTGGTGAGAAACGACCAAATCCTTAGAAATGCCTAAAGGAAAATGTCAACATAAAGTGAAACTTCCGTGGCTTTTAAATCATGCCTTTGGTGGGCGTCGTTCAGGGTTGGACAAATTCAACAAGACACTGAAGCCTTGACATATCTCTTTTCAAACAGGTCTTTTCAAAAAGTCCACGTGACTACTTTTTTCCCAGCTCTTTATAAAATATAAGGCTCCCATCCCAAATGTGTCCTTCGCTCTCAGCTTTCGAGCATACAAGCTTCGGCCCCACGAATAACTGTCTCTTTCCCCCCTGTTCACAATGTCTAACGCGCTGGATCAGTTCATCATGGAAGATGTGGCCCGGAATTGCCCTCAGCAGTTCATGGAATACCATAAATGTGTATCGAAAAACCGGGAAGACCCTTCCCAATGCGCATACAGACAAAGAGACCTATCGGTGTGTATAAAACAGAAAGTGCCAAGTGTGCAGAAAGTAATGAGCCATTGCGGGTCTTTAATGGCCCAGTATGAGACGTGTTTGCGTGAAAACATGGAAACCAGAACAATCAATGAAAATTGCATCCCATTATTGAATAAAATGCGTCAGTGTGCGGAAACGCAGATACAGGGCGAAACGAATCCAATCAACCAGCTATAATAAGGGAAGCTTCTTGAGTGAGGAGAAAAGTTACAAAAATACATATACCACATATATTCTTATCTTACGAGTGCACCGTTTGCAAGAGCGAAAGAAGAATTGGTTATTTTTTCTGTCTCATACGTTCTCTTTGAATGTCATTTTGAAATCCTTTTTCCGCTGGCGGTCGGTCATGCAAGCTCTCTAGGAGATGAACTTTTGGACAGTCTCGTAAAATGTGCGACCCTGGGTCTCGTTGACTCTTAGTTCCAGCTCCGAAGGCATGCGAGAGCCGTCAGATCCCGCAATGGTACCAGCACCCCATGCTGAGCCACCGTGGACCTCCTCGAGGTTGCCCAAGTCTTGGAACGCGTTCTTGTAGCCCAAAGGCACATAGATGATGCCGTGGTGGGCCAAAACAGACAGCGCGTTGACCGCAGTGGTTTCGTTACCACCACCAGTACCGGTGGACACGAAAACACCGGCTACTTTGCCGTGAAGCGCACCGGTGAACCACAGACCTCCAGTGGCATCCCAGAACGCCTTCCATTGCGCTGGATAGTTACCGAACCTGGTTGGAATTCCGAACAAAAAGGCGTCGTATGAAGTGAGTGTTTCGTTCGTCGCGATAGGATACTGTGGTTTTGGTTGACCACCCAAGGCCTTGATGACGTCGTCATTCAGCGTTTCTGGCACTTGGTAGATGTCTGCTTGGCCGCCTGCGGCCTCCACGCCCTTTTTCTGTGCTTCTGCGAGCTGGGTGGTGTGGCCGTACAGAGTGTAGATGATGATAGCGACTTTTGACATTTTAGGACAATTATTTTCTGACTTTATGGAACGCAGCTGGATATGCTGGAATTACTGTTCTTTGACTTAGTTTTGATTCGATGCTGTTGAACACACACAAACACAGTCAACTTGTATCCTTTGATGCTTTGCTGGTTTCTTTATGAATTCATGTTTTTCATGATGGGTTTAGGTCCCCCTTTATATAGTGATATAATCTATAAGGGCTCGAGCAGTTAAAGGTCACGTGTTTCGATATTTCTAATGTGTTGATAATTTTTACCTAAAGTTAGCTAAACTGTAGTGTCAGCTAAACGGAAAGGACTTCCTGTTTCGATGTGACGATGTTTGGTAGCGTTTGGCGAAACTATGGCTTTTGAGCAGAAACCGCGTTAGTAATAAGGTTATTGATATTGGTTTATAATGGTTTATAATGCGACCAGAGAGGAACATTATTCAAGTTTTAGATAATTGTAGGAGTACAGACAAGACAAGTGTTTCTAAACTAGGTTCAAGCGCTTCTATCGTATGTGTGTGTTTTACGTTATAGTCTTCTGGCGATTTCTTCATTTATCAATGTAGTCAATGTAAGATATGGTAATGGTGTCAAACGGGTTGCAAGCGGGTTGCTGCTTTGTACGAAAAGGGTTGTTATGGGTCCTGTCAATTTTATGTTTATGGATCCTTCACAAGGCTTTGGCATGAAATGAACTAATGCAGCTCTAAAGAAATTGAACAACGAGGATAAATACAAAATACCTTACATACAAAACAATGGTATTTCTTCAAAGTGAGGGGCATTTAAGCCAGCCACAAATGTTTAAGTCTTGAATATCAGGATCTATCGAAGGATCTCGTGTTTCACCTTTCCTAAACTGATTTTGCGTTGCGCGTTCTGAAAATCCTCAAAGTGAGTGTTTTGCACTACGGAAAATACCGGTTTCGAAATTTCAGTGTGTTTGTTTGTAACAGGAGTTAGATATTGTCGTCAGTAGGCAGGTTTAGATCGCATGCGATTTCGCAAAGCGCTGAAAAGACCAAAACCTGCCCAAAAATCGCAAATGAAAAAAATATCCCAGCTCAAAACATGAACCGATCGCTCGACATCTCTGTATAACAGCCCCAAACAATACTCACAGATAATCCTCACAGTGTCGTTTGTCTTCACAGTGACGCGCTGTTTTCGTCACGTGATCCTCGAAAGTCTCTGGCGCTATTTTAAATTGGATTTCGTCAAAATACACCGTTGAGATGAGATGAAATGAGATGAGATGAGATGAGCACACCTTGAAGACCTTCAGACCCTAGCAACACACCCTAGATACAAACCATTCTTTTCGTCTCGGCTATGGAATTGCCCGCATTTCTAAGCCAAAAACCCCCACCCGGCTACATCGCCGGTGTAGGTCGCGGTGCCACAGGGTTTACCACCCGCTCTGATATCGGGTCCGGCAAAGTACCAGGAAGAGTGAGGGAAGACCGAGAAACGGTTTTGGAAAACAGCGATAAAGATGAAGACCGTGACCGTAGCAACTATAAAGGACAATTTGAGGATTCAAACGGGCTATCGCTGGCTTCTACAGGTCGCGGACAAAATCAGACAGACGAAGAAGCAGATCGAATTTACCAAGAAGTGGATGCCCGACTATCCCGCAACTCAGCACAGAGAAAGGCAGCCATTGAAAACACCCGAAATACCGCTGCGGCCTCAACGGATGCTTCCCAGGCTTTTGTGGACCTCAAACGGTCGCTAGCCACAGTCAGTGACGAACAATGGTCAAACCTTCCAGAAGCCGGAGATTTCACGAGACGCAACAAGCGACAACGGCTGGAGTTGCAAAATGAGCTAAAAACCTATGCTGCCCCGGATACCTTGATGGGCGATAATATCGATCTCACAAAACTAACGCAAGAGCGTGAAAAGCTATTAGGTCGTCACTTGGACGAATCGCTCAACGACGGTGGCCAGGACTCGAACCACAACACAGACGCGTATCTGCAAGAGCTCGACGACTCAATTAAGGCGACAGAAGTGAACTCGGATTTGCAAGACATCCCCAGGCTTCGTATCATATTGAATTCATATCGCAAATCGGATCCGTCAAAACCACAAGGCTGGATAGCCTCGGCTAGACTGGAAGAAAGAGCGAAAAAATATCGACTGGCAAAGAGTCTGATTGAAGAAGGATGTGAAGCGTGTCCGCAAGACGAAGACATTTGGCTTGAGAACATTAGACTAAACGCTACTGACCAACACTATTGCAAAGTATTAGTGGCAAGGGCACTGACATTCAACGACGAAAGTTTGAAACTATGGCTCAAAGCTGTGGAATTGGAAAACGAAAAGATCAATAAAGTGAGGGTTGTTCGAAAAGCACTTCAAAATATACCTACCTCATCAGAACTATGGAAGCTCGCAGTACAATACGAAAGTGATAGAAAAGAGGCCATCAAAATCTTGCAAAAGGCCACAGAGCTAATACCCAACGATATCGAGCTTCTCACTGCTCTAGTAAATCTGCAGGAGCACTCTGATGCTAGGAAAACCCTAAATTCTGCAAGGCAAAAGAACCCCAATGAACTTCAAATTTGGATCCTAGCCACCGAACTGGAAGAAAAATCCGGTAATGGCTCGTTCGAAAAACTTGTCAAGATTCTGAAGAAGGGATCCCAAGAATTGGCAAAGCACGGGGCTGTTATTACGTTCCGACAATGGTTCGAGGAAGCATCCCAAGTGGAGCTGCAATTTTCGAGTATTTACCTCACAACGGTTCGAGCTCTTGTGAAAGTAGCAATTGACACTTGCTATGCCTCAGAATCTGCTACAGAAATCCTTGCGTTTATTGGAGGCGTAAGTCACAACGGCCTCGCAAAATGCTACGCCCACAGGTACTTGCTGGAGAAGGAACCCTTCAGGATAGCGCTTTGGGACAAGTTCCTGGAACTGGGCCGCATTGCAGGTCGCAGCAGCGAAGTTTATGGTGCGTTTGAAAGTGTGTTGTTTGGTGACCACGGCACTGTCCTGAAAGACTTCCCTGTTCTGGCATTGAAATACTCCAAAGAAGTGTGGAAGACTGACAAAAACATTTCTCAGGCAATGGATATTATGAATCGGAGTATAGAGCTCGAACCTTCGAACGTCGATTTTTGGCTGGCGAAGATCAAGTTGATGATTGCGGATTCTAAGTTTGATATTGTAGATCAACTATTCAAAACAACTATTGAATCACTGGCGTCACAACCTGAATACACAAGAGTTTGTCATCGGTATATTGGGTTTCTACGATTTCAGCGCAGAAACCAAGAAGCACTTGAGCTTTTGGAGAACAAATTCTTGGCTATTGATGAAGCGTGTGACAAGCTCTATTTACAATGGGGCCAAATCTACCAAGACTTGGGCCAGCCGGAAAAAGCGCGCAATTGTTACTCTGAGGGTGCTCGAAAACTACCCCAAAGTGCACGGCTGTGGATTGCACTGGCACGAGCCGACCAGGAGCTGCTGGGCCAATCTGTCAAGGCCCGTTCAGACTTCGACTTGGCCCTGCTAAAAATTCCTGATGTGGGGCCACAGAAGGAACATGTGCTCGTGGCGCGCGTCCAGATGGAGAGAGAACTCGGAAACCTCGAGCAGGCCAGACTGCTGGTATCCCATGGCTTGAGATCTCATCCAAACAGTCCGCAGCTGTGGGTTGAGAGTCTGAAATTGCTGGCTAAAAAATCGCAGCGCAAGACTGCGTACCAGGATGCTTTACAGCGCACTGGGTCGCACCACACAATCCTAGCGGCAATAGGTGCTGACTTGTTTGCTGACACACACTATTCCAAAGCTCTCAAATGGTTTCAGAGGGCCGCGACAGCGGCCCCACTATTTGGTGACGCTTGGCTGTGGTATGCACGGTGTTTGAAACGAATGGGCCAAGATATCGCGGAAGTTCTGAATAAAGTCGATGAGCACGAACCCCGGTACGGCGTCGAATGGATAGCAATGGCTAAACAGCCTGCTAATATGGCTTTAACGTCGTCTCAGGTACTAGTCAAGTGTCTGTCGTCGTACTCGTGAGTACACATCGATGTACTCGTATACTCGTGGCCACGTGATGAACTTTTTCACCATTGACCATTATCTTCAAATTTTCCAGAGGAATTAAGCCAAACCTACGAAATCCCACTGAAATAGACAATGCGTGCGATGCCCATCTTGAACGGCGAATCCTGCTCAATTTCCACAGACGTAAGCGCTCAGCTAGGGTTCGAGACTTCTACTAAACCTTTTCAAAAGAATTTGATGTCTTTTACCAATGACAAAGTCATCGACCAGTCGCTGCCGTCGGCCACACCAGCACTTTTTACAGGCAGCGGGTCGATGACTGGTTCAGCGACTCCAGTGACTTCATCTCACCGAGATGGGCTCTTTGGGCAGCATTTGATGGTTGATGAGGACGATGGGGGAGGAATGGATACGTCCGTTGCGGGTTTGGACGAAATGGCAGTGGGAACAGGTCCCAGAAACTCAATTCATAAGGGAAATAACGGTTTGCATAGCACTGCCAATGGACTAACAGCAAGGTCTGTGCATGGCACTAACGACAATGGATCGGTTTCAATACCTGTGACCCTGGGAAGTTTGGAAATAAGCGGTGGTAGCGGTGGTAGCGGTGTAGCTGCAGCTGCAGCTGCACCCAACGATGGCAGTGGTAAAGTTGTGAAAAGAAAATATTCTCGTAACGGGTGTACGGAATGTAAAAGACGGAGGATGAAGTGTGACGAGGGCAAGCCCACTTGCTGGCAATGTGCGAGGCTGAACAGAAAATGTGTGTACGAACTGCGAACCAAGAACCGGAAGCGCAAAACAAAGAATGAGGAGGCAGCGACAGATTTTGCCATGCCTGATTCCAAAACAGAACACACAGATGCAGACATGACCGGTGACTTCTTAATGACAAACAACTCCGGGGCCACGAATCTCCCAGATTTGATGCCCACGCAAAACGTGGATTCCTTCGACGCAAACCTGCTAATTCGAAATCTCAACGACATCGTCAATATGAAGCTTAACGACTCTTTCATTTACGACGATTTCAAAACCACAGATTTTTCTGACCTCGATATCCCAGAGCTCAACATAATGCCCACAGAAAGACCCCGTCCAGCAGTCCCCATCTCCTTCCTTGTCGACAGTATCATGACTTTTAACATGACGCTCAGCTCTTTCAAATTGGGAGGCACCAACGACAAGTATCTAGAGGTTTTCTTCTACGATTGCTTAGACTCCATAGCACCTTTTTTCCAAAACCAGGAAAATCCTTTGCGAGACATTTTACTATCTTTTGCCAAAGGCGAGCCCTACTTGCTGTCTTCGATACTGGCAGTGGGCGCATCGATTTCGCATCGAAAAACCGACGATGTGGAAGACGAAAGAAGCTACTGTGCATATCTATCCCATTGTCTTGGACTTCTCACCGAGCAGTTCAAGGATGAGAGCAACGTCTACAACAAGATTGAACCCATCATCCTCACGGTCCTCATGTTAACATGGGACTGTATTTACACCATGAACAGTCAATGGAGATCTCACTTGAAAGGTGTTACCGAACTGTTCAAAAAGATCAATTCCGGGAAATCTTCAAAAGTTTTGAATGTTGCAAAATGCTGGTTCAAGGTCATTGAGACGTTTGCAAGTATCAGCACGGTACTGGGTGGTGCAGTCATAGATGAGAGTGACCTCGATGTCATCTTTGATCCATACGATTTCCAGTATCTTGACTCATTAAAGTTCCTGAACATAATCACACCTCTAAATGACTTCAATCTCTTGCGGGGGCACAAGGAGGATTTTGATCTAGTCATCAGGGAGGTGTTCAAGGCTCTAAATGCTATTCGGCACTCAGAAAAGAAGTACTTTTCAGAGCAAGAAGGAATTTTTGATAAAAATTTGGACTACTTGTTGTGGTCAAACCCGAACACAGAAACGTTCAAGGAGCAGTTGTCGTATTTCAAAATTCAAAAGATTTTGGTTGAGATCGATCGGCAGTCAGATTACATTTTCATAGACAAGACAGGAATCATACCTTCCAGCAATCAGTCGCATCCGAACAACAGCAAAATACTGGACAATGCCATTGATCTTGTAACCCTGCGCAACGGCGAACAAATAGCCATCAGTTGGTATGACATCTCGCATCAAACACAAGTTCTATCGTTCCTCCTCATTGTTCTGCTCAAATTACTTGGAATTCCAAAAGAGTCTATCGCCATTCAACAGGTGGTACAGAAAATTACCAGTTTTTTCGGATTTTTGGAGAGCGAAAATCCTCCGCGCAACTTGCGAACCTGTTATTGCAACTTTGCCATCTTACTTGCAGGTCTCAATGCCATTGACGAAGAGACCAGAAATGTCATCCGTAGGTACTACAAGATTAATGGTGGCCGTTTTCAGAGACTAACAGAACACAACCTGCAGAGATTGGAAAAGGTATGGTACGGAACAAAGAAAGGATACAAGCTAGAGGATCAGGACGTTTTGACTTGGTAAGTTCAAGATGTACTACATAGGTGGTTAAAGAATGTACTATTTTTTTATTTATTTTGGGCTTTCTTCACTTCGCCAGAGCAGCTAATGAAGTGTCATCAGGCCTAAGAACGAGTCCACGACCTGCGCAGCAACGATCGAGGTAATCTCTCCATTCGAATCAAATGCTGGCGATACTTCTACTACATCAGCTCCTATCACATTTAGACCTTCAAAACCGTCCAGAACAGTGAGAAGTTCCCTTGCAGTTAGTCCACCTGGTTCAGGCGTGCCTGTGCCGGGCGCAACGGCAATATCCAAAACGTCGATATCGACAGTGATGTAGACCGGTAGATCACCCACACGATTCTTAATGGTATCAACAATGTCTCTGAAGCCTAGAATGTCGAAATCGCGTGCAACAATTTTCTCGAATCCACAGTCGTGGTCGTGCTTTTCGTCAGACTTTACAATGAAGGGCGCGCGGATGCCAACATGCATAGAACTGTTGTGGGCGATATAGCCTTTTTCGTGGGCAAAATGCAGGAAAGTGCCATGATTAATGCTCTGAGTCTTGGTAATTCCTCCACCGAGCACTTTCGGATCCCAAGTATCGATATGAGAATCAAAATGGATCACTGCGACTTGACCATGGTGCTCATGGGCTGCCTTTAGTGCCATTAATGTTACCGTGTGGTCACCTCCCAGTGTAATTACCTTTGGTGTTTTCAGACCATCTTTCACAGTTGTTCTATTGTAAATAGCCCGTTGCCCTCTGTACAGCTGGTTCAATGCGATTCGGTTGTCAAATGGGGTCATGGGTACGTCCCCGCAGTCTACAATTCTGTAGCCTGCATTGTAGGGGTCCAAATGCCGCATTTTGGATCCTGGAAACCCTCTGACAGGTAGAAATCCTCCGCCAAGCCTTCTGGATCCCTGTCTGATGCTATTGGGCCCAAATCTCGCGCCCGGACGATACGACACAGCCGTGTCGAAGGGTGCTCCGACAACTGCAATATCGTACTGTGCACCGCCATGTGCAGCGTCAAAGCATCGTTCTATGGGCACATGTGCAAATGACACAATGCCCGCGAAAAGCTGCAAATCGGAGCTCAGGTCGTCATCGGGATACGATACAGGATTCTGTTCGTAGTATCCGCACATGGCGCGGAATTCTTCATCCTCATCGGCCTCCAGCGTGATACGCTGCGTGGCGAGGCCACTCGCTCTGTCGTGGTAGTCCAGTATGGGACCGTACAACTCGTTGAGCAGACCACCAGGGCCGGTACCAATATCCTGGTGTGTGGGGCTGCTCAGAAACGCTGTTTGAGCACCTGCAACACCCGCTGCGGCCACCAAAAGCGATTCTAACTTCATATATCTTGTTTGGTCTCTGGAGCTTGCTGCTTGCGACCTAAAATGACGCTAAGACCACCGTTTTGAGCGCAAAAAAAGGGAGATGTGAAACTTCCGACTGTATGCAACTCCTTCTGCCCGCCAATTGCTTGCTGGTCTACCTATAACATGCGCTTCAGCTGTCTTAAACGCTTACTTGTTCACTGAGATGAGCCATCCAAGTCTCGAGCCCTTTCTTTTATCTCTCGAGAGCGCTGAAAGAATAACGAGTTTTTCAGCTGACGTAAGCGGCGTAGCGCTTTTTTCCGAAAGATAAGGATGTTTCCTGATTGGGAAATGAGTTCCGATAAGAAATTTCAGCGGGTGATGATAAATAATTGAACTTTTCCAAGATAAACAGGAATGAACCTACCAAAACGAATGAGATGAGCAAGGTGTTCGGACAGTTTCCTAACGAATGAACGAGTTCTCCAGTAGCTGTGATAGACCTTAGAAAAGGGCGTAACATCAAGCTTCATTTAGAATTTTCAAGCCAAAAAATTGGAGCTCTATTGGTTGATTTAGAGCGGTATAAAGAGCCAGAAGTGGGTTGGACATGTCATTGAGCAAAAAAGAGTCACAGGTCCACGAAGAAACCACGGGTGTGTATGGGGCGACCGCACAGAGCGGTAGCAGGAGTAGTGGGAATGTTTTGTCCCGCGCTGAAGTGGCGCCACCCATTGTGACAACGACACGACAGGAATTCCGGGAAATTAGCAGAACAGCAGCTCCATTGGTGATGACTTTTGTACTGCAGATGTCCTTGTCGTTCGTTAGTGTCGTGTTTGTGGGAAGACTGAACGCGCTGGCGCTGGGCGGTGTTTCGCTCGCGAACGTGACATTCACAGCGACGATGGCCGTGTTCCAAGGTCTGGCCACCTGTCTGGACACATTATGTCCGCAAGCGTACGGTAGCAAACGGTACCAGTTGGTAGGACTATACTTTCAGCGGTGTGTGGCGATTTCAGTGCTGTTTGCCGTGCCCATCGCGCTGTTATGGTGGTTCTCAGCTTCGATTCTGCAGCTGATGGTGGAAGACGCCAGGCTTGTGGCCATCGCAGCAAATTATTTGCGAGTGATGGTAGCCAGTATCCCGGGCTTCGTGGTTTTCGAGTGCGGGAAGAAATACCTGCAAGCGCAAAGAGACTTCACTACAGGCCAGTACATTTTGTTTGTGTGTGCTCCGCTCAACGTGCTTGCCAACTACATTTTCATCTTTCGACTCGGCCTCGGCTACATTGGCGCCCCGATTGCTGTGTCTTCGACGTTCACGTTGATGGGTGCCACGCTATCCGGCTACATATGGTACTGTGCGCGCCAGGAAAGCAGTGTCAATTGCTGGAATCCGCTTTCAAACTGGAGACCCATTTTCTCCCAATGGAACACGATGATTTCGTTAGCGGTACCCGGGATTATCATGATAGAGGCCGAATTCTTGGCATTCGAGTCCTTGACGGTTTTGGCTGCGAAATTCGGAACAAATGCCCTGGCAGCGCAATCGGTAGTTGCGTCTGTGCAAAGCTTGACGTTCCAAGTGCCATTTGGAACCGGCGTTGCAGCGTCCAACAGAATTGCACATTATGTAGGCAATAAGCGGACTGATGACTGCAGAATTGCCACTCGTGCCACACTGCTGCACATTGGGGGAATTTTGGCCGTGGCTAACTTTCTGATTCTGGTCTTGGGCAGGAAAAAAGTATCGTCGTTTTTCAGCAAAGATGAAGAAGTGGCGCACTTAGCGTCGCAAATCCTGCCCATTATTGGTGTGAACCAGTTCGCCGACGTTTTCAATGTCCTGGCTGCAGGTGTTTTGCGAGCTCAAGGTCGCCAGCGGATTGGCGGAATTCTAAACGTTCTTGCCTATTACGCTGTGGGGATTCCGCTGGCTCTGACTTTAGGGTTTTATACTGACATGGGATTAAAAGGGTTTTGGACAGGTCTTGGCTGCGGTATCGTGGTTTTGGCCATTAGTGAAGTCTATTGCGTGTGGAACTCTGACTGGATCAAGATCATCCACGATTCTCACCTTGTGCATAAAGCTTCTGCGGGGAACTGGGAGTAATAGTGTGTCAGTAGCAAACGCTTCAACTGTTGAAACACTCAGCACTGACAGTTTCCTACAAGATGCTATTCTATGGTACACTTCATGCATCAATCAAATGAATCCACAATCGACTTCCAGAGACCGCTCAAAATGTACAATGACTCAATAACACGCTTTTCACGTCAGCAAAACAACCTGGCGGATTACCAAGTCGCAAATCGGTTCGAGTGTCAGTTTTCAGCTAAAACTCGGAAAGAATGCTGACGCTTCAAGTAAACTAACTATTTACAGGCTTCCTGTGAGGTTGAGGCACTGCAAATTTCTACAACTATGGTATGCCGAACTCTCAACTGAAAGCCCACAACCTTTAAACTGACGTTCGCTCGACGACGTTTGCTCGACGACGTTTGCTCGACGACGTTTTGATTTTAAGATGATGTTCTTCTACCTGAGTATATAAACTAGAGAGATCAAGATTATTGCAAGGGCTTGCTTGACCACCTTTAATCGCAATTCCAACAATAAAAGCTCAAAATCAAGCTATAATAATGCCAGAAAGTGTTGAAATCACATCCAAACCTTACATTCACGACTATGGTGCAAGACTCAGCGAAGGAATAACTTACCTCCGGGAATCGCAGACCTTGTTTTGGGTTGATATCTTTTTGAGTGAAATTCACTTTGTCACGGACATCAACGACCCCAAAGCGTCCCATAAGGTTATCAAGATCAATGCTAGCAACTACACAGGGGTTTACCCCTATTCCACGAAGTTGCCAGAACGCGTGGGTGCGGTTTTCCCGGTTGACTCGCCAACAGGCGTGAAAGAGGTGTTTTTTGCTGGAAAATACGGGATCGGCCATCTATGGCTGGAATCAAGCCAATGGAGCTATCAAGTGTTGTTTTCGTCGAGCAAAAATGTTTCCGACAAGGATTGGGAACGATTGAGGTCTAATGACGGCAATGTTGCACCAAACGGCGACATATACATCGGAGTGATGAACGATTTCCATATCGGCGTAGACACCCAAAAGGAGGCCGAAGGGTGTTTGTTCCGGGTGAATCTCAAGCACAAGAGCATTGAACTCGTACTGGACCATTTGCACATCCCAAACAGCATCAATTGGAACCAGACAACTGACACTCTGTATCTGAACGATACGATGGCTTTCAAGGTCTGGCAAATGCCATATGTGAACGGCACGCCACAACCGGAGGAGAAAAAAGTTTTCATCGATTTCACCCCCATAAACAAGGACGTGGAGCTCCCACAGCCAGACGGATCCGTCGTCGACCCTCGCGACGGCTTTTCCTATTGCTGTGTCTTCAGTTCTCATAAACTGCAAGTTTTCGATCCCAAGGGCCAGCTACAGCGCGAGCTTGTGTTCCCGCAGACTCCCAACATGACCTGCTGCTGTATCGGGCCTGGTGGCGACGTTTTCGTCACCACAGCATCGTTGGACGTGGAACACGGCAAGAGTGTTGGCCCAAGCGGTGCTCTATACCGGGTATCGGGTGCTTGCTTTGCCGGAAAAGACAATGTTCCATCTTCAAAACGTAATCCTGAGTTTTGATCCTGACTGCTAAACAAGACTATAAGCAGTGGTTGCCATGTCTCACTTGTATGTACGACTTCTAAGAACTTAATGACACAGTATAATATGACTTGGATTCAAGATTGTGATTATGGGGGAAGGGGACCAGAGGAAGTTCTGAAAAACGGTACTTTGACGGCATGGCATCAAGAAGCCCGGCACCAGCTCGTCTTTCATCAAGACAGAAACCGAGATAACACTCTAGTCCGCTCGGTGACATTTTTTTTGCAAAAACAAGACCAGTTGAAGAAACCAAAAGATAAAACAAATAAGCGCTATTCTCATACATTTAAAATTAAACGAATATGTCCAAACTAAGTTCGAGCTTTGCCAAAGATTCGACCCAACCTCGACAGCTGTTTTTACTGTCGTCGAGCTTTGTCTTTCTCTACGAATTCTCCGGACTATATAAGGTTAAAGAATCTGGGGAGAATTTCAAGAACCTAACCCCTTTTCTACCACTTTTCAAAGAAATCCAGACTGCAACCACCAAGATAGCGCGGTTCAACATCAATCACAGACTCTTAACAGGCCAACATGTTCGACAAACTGAAGCGTAAAGTCAAAAACCTCAAGGACAACAACGACAACAATGACAACGAGAGTTTACCCGAATTTAGCGAGGCCGGAAAAGTCTCGAAACGGGAAATATATCGCAACAGATACAACTTTGGGGTGAATTTTGGGTCTCTGTTTGTTCAGGAAAGCTACATCTACCATTCTTTGTTCTCTGAAGGCGGGGATAACGAATACGAGGCGATTTCTGCCCTTGTAGCAAAGTCGTCGTCTGAAGAAGTGGCTAAAAAACTGCAAGAACACTACACAAGTTATGTGACGGACCAGGACTGGGAATGGCTACAGAAAGAGGCAGGTGTCACTGCCATCAGGTTGCCAATTGGTTACTGGCACGTTGATAACGGTGCGTATATTGCGAACAACATGAAATTTCATGATTTGAAAGCAGTCTACCAGGCAGCTAAACCATGGGATGTCGTGGGTTCAATCGTCAAGAAGGCTGCGCAATACAACATTGGTGTATTGGTCGACATCCATGGAGTCCCCGGTGGGGCCAATAACGATGCTCACTCTGGCGAGAGCAATAACGGACAAGCAAGTTTTTTTGCTACCGGTGACTTTGTTTCGAGCGTCGTGGACGAAATCGTTCCCTTTATCGTCAAGGACCTGTGCCAACCCAACGAAAACGTCATTGGCCTCCAGGTGATCAACGAGGCGGCTTTCAGTGATTCTGCAAAACCTGAAAAGAAGTTTTATTTCAAAGTGATCAGTGCAGTCCAAAATGTCGACGACACTTTACCTGTGGTGATCTCGGACGGCTGGTGGCCCCAGCAGTGGGCAGATTGGCTCGAGGAAAACAACTTGTCCAACAGTGTTGTGATAGACTCGCACGTTTACCGGTGTTTCTCTGACAGTGACAAAAAGAAAACCGCGGGTCAAATAATCGACGATTTGCCTCAATCCGTGAATTTTGCCAATGACAAAGCCGACTACATGGTGGGTGAGTTTTCGTGCGTGTTAGATGGCCAAACTTGGGACAAGACCAAAGAATCGCGCCAAGAATGTGTGCGCAAGTTTGGTCAGGAACAGGCACGTGTTTTCCAAGATAAAGCGAGCTGGGGATGGTTTTTCTGGACATTCAAGTTCCAAGAAGGCGACGGCGGCGAATGGGGGTTCCAGCCTATGATCAACAGCGGGTCTTTACCCAAGCGTCCCCGTGTAGACCCGGTTATTGACGATGAAAAAGTCCAGCAAGTCATCAATGATCATGTCAACTACTGGAAGGACAAAGGCGGTGACAAATTGGAGCATTGGCGTTTCGAGGAAGGTCTTAAGACCGCCATTGCCGATATCCGTTCGTTTAATGAGTTTGACCATTCCAGGGTGGGCAGAACTCATTTTATCAAGTCAGTGAGGAAAAGTCAGCACACAGCAGACAAAGGTAGCGGTGAATACGTTTGGGAATGGGAGCAGGGCTACGACCAAGGACTAGCAGTGTTTAACAAATATTAGTGATGTATCATATAACGAATTTATGACGCAAGATGAGAAGAGTGCCAGGGCTTTTTCAGAACCTTTTAACCTACGTCACAGGTGGTATGGCACATCGATAAGACCAGCAAGATTTTAAAAAAAAAGATATAAAAGAGAGTCGATGTAATCGAGAAGGAAAACCAGCTAAACCGCACTTTATAACGAGAGACTTGATATTGTGAGGAGTTGAGAGTTACACTTCCCACTAGACCTAGTTAGGTGATGTTTCAAAATCTATATGGTGTACCTCAAACACCTAACTTTCAATCGTTCGGTCCTATAGTGTAGTGGTTATCACTTTCGGTTTTGATCCGGACAACCCCGGTTCGAACCCGGGTAGGACCTTTTTTAAGATTTTTGACAAAGACCAAATGACATCTATTGACAAAGTGATCTGACACCGAGTACGTTTACAACTTTTTTTCTACCTGGTTTCCATCCTATTGTCCTGAAAATCTGGCTTGTTTTCGAATATTATTCCAAAACAATGATTCCATTTTCCATTCTCTGACTTCTGCATTTGACGACCTCCATTCGTTGATTTGTTTACGTCGAATTCACGTCTTCCATCACTGCGTCGTCGGCCCACGTACCGCGAGTCCTTTTTTCTTTTTAGGCCTTCCTTTCTGCTCGTCTGTTCCTAAGATCCCGTGGCGATGAGTACGTGTGAAATTTTTTTTTTAACTATGGTGGTGAAAAATGGCATCATCTCATCGGACGCAACTTAAATCGTCAAAGTTCACCATATTCAGTCATTCAAGCTGCTGAAAGGTATTTTAAGATCAAGACAATTACACTTTGTTTCCAAACTTTGCAGTGATCCGATTTCCAAATCTCACGTCAAAGTGTTGAAAGATCCGCGTGCCAAAAAAATGTTCATTAAAAACGACCACGTCGGCGACAGAACCCGTCTAGAAGACTGGAGAATCAAGGGCTACGATCCTTTGACTCCACCAGATTTGCTACAGCACGAATTGCCCGTTTCTGAAAAGGGCCACAAAATTATTGTGGAAACCAGAGAACAGGTATGCGATGTGTTGAACGGAAAAGACGACAGATTGGTGATTGTGATCGGACCATGTTCGATTCACGATCCAAAAGCTGCGTACGAATACTGTGACCGTCTTGCAGAGCTCTCTCAAAAATTGTCGAAGGATTTGTTGGTCATCATGAGAGCGTATTTGGAAAAACCAAGAACTACAGTGGGCTGGAAGGGTCTAATTAACGACCCAGATATTGACAATTCTTTCCAAATCAACAAAGGTCTCAGAATCTCCAGAGAAATGTTCACAAACCTGGTGGAAAAAATGCCCATTGCCGGAGAAATGTTGGACACCATCTCCCCACAATTTTTGAGCGATTGCTTCTCGCTAGGTGCCATTGGAGCCAGAACCACGGAATCTCAGCTTCACCGTGAGCTTGCATCGGGTCTTTCCTTCCCAATTGGCTTCAAAAATGGTACTGATGGAGGCTTGCAAGTCTCTGTGGACGCCATGAGAGCTGCTTCCCACACTCACTACTTTTTGAGCGTTACCAAGCCAGGTGTCACTGCAATTGTTGGTACCGAAGGTAACAAAGACACTTTTATCATTCTAAGAGGTGGTAAGAAGGGTACCAACTATGACGCTGAGAGCGTAAAACAAACCCAGCAGGAATTGATTAAGGCCAAGGTGGCAGATGAAGCCGGAGAACAGAGAAGAATAATGATTGACTGTTCTCACGGTAACAGTAGCAAGGACTACAGAAACCAGCCCAAGGTTGCCCAGTCCATTTACGAACAGCTCACAGACGGCCAAAATGCCATTTGTGGTGTTATGATCGAGTCCAACCTTGTGGAAGGTAGACAAGACGTTCCTGAAGAAGGCGGCCGTGACAAATTGAAATACGGCTGTTCCATCACTGACGCATGCATCGGCTGGGAATCTACTGAAGAAGTCTTGACTTTGCTCGCCAAGGGTGTGCAAAACAGGAGAAAGGCTCTTGGAAAATGATTCATTTCAGTATTTACGTTACTTGGTTACGAAGACTTGTTATTATTTAAACCTGTACCTATATATGAAATGAGCTTTGTTTTTGTTAACTACGGCTTATGTTCTTCGTTCGATGGTCAGTCTTTCAAAAATAGCGAGAGCAGTGTTGGTATCTGTATTTAGCTAAAATGTGGCTGTATGCAACACCTAGCCCTTGAGAGCTGAGCGTTCCAGCTGCTGCAATTTACGTTTCAATTCCTGGTTCTCCTTCTTCAAGAGTTCCATTTCAATGTAAATCTCTTTGGACCTCCCATATCCTAGCATCTTAGCCATGTCCTGATTCTCTTTGGTCAAATTTTCCAATCTCACCACCATTTTATGAGCAAGGGCCTCCTCATCATAGCGGCCTAATTTCGTGACAGAGTTTGTGGTGTTAAGAGAAACGGCTGTCACAAGGCTTTCTAGCCTTAATTTCGTATCCTTCAATTCTTTATCTTTAGCTGCCAAAGTCTGTGATAACTTGTGAAAAATTGCTTCGAGAGTGGTTGGCATCTGGATGACGCCATCAACTTGGCGAGCAGATGATGAACGCTCATGATTCTTCCTTTTCAATGAAAGACCCTGGTTGAATACCTGTTTCAAGCTTTGGATCTCAGATTCTAGAGACTCGATTTGAGTTTCTTTGACCTGTAATTCCAATTGCAATGACTCGTAGCTTTCTTGATTTTCGGCAGACCCATATGTTGTGTTGTAATCGGAGTTCTTAACGCTGAGAGAAGTATCCATGATGCTATTGGTAGTGAGGGTACCAGAAGTGTTATCGCGACCCAATTTCGTGTCGCGTTGGTCCATATTCCAATACGAGTTTCCTCTGCTACCAGCCGATCCCTGAGTCAAAGGATTCATCATCCTGGAGTTTATGAGGTTGCTGGTCTGAGGATTGGTCCCGTTATTGTACCCATTGGCGTTGTTCCCACCTATAACCTGTTGTTCATTCTCAGAGTTTCCAAAATAGCTGGATTGGTTGAAGCTTAGCTTTGCAAGAGATGCATCCAGTCCATGCGATGTATCAAAGCTCTGCATCTGTGTCCAATCTGGATTGGTCTGGTACCAATTGGTTGGAATGTTAGTTTGAATTCAGTGATGTTATTGTGAGGCTGAAAGATGCGACATACGTAGCCGGAGAACCGATTTTGCTGGGACGATTGCTGGTTTTCCATCAATAAGAAACGCCACGTAGTAAAGAAACGCGAAGTACGCTGAAGTGGTCTCTTTGGTCGTAATCAGAGTTGTAGTTGTGATTCTTGAAATGTCAGTTCGATGCGGTTTCAGACTAAATGACACATCCGTCCGTGGTGATAGTACGTTGGTGAGTCCAAGGACAGACCCTGTCAGAACAAATCCATAGGCTAACACCTATTGAAGAAGAATATATAGCCATTCTTCTTCAATTCTTCAATATTCGCAGCATCGTCAGCTACCACGATTTTCTCGTCATTGTAAAGGACCCATTTGGTCTCGTTTTCGACTTGTTTTCTGATGAAAGCCACGTAATGACCCGACTGAACAGAAGAGCCCTTGTGACAAATTACAGCTTTCAAACGGTAGTTTGCGAGCGTTTCATTCTCAAAACCATATTCTTTCTTTTCGCATTGTACCGGGGTTTGTTCAGTAGTTTGACCATCGTCATCTAAATTGTTGAAAACCCATTCTACACTAGCAGTGATGTCGCCCTTATTGAGGATGAGGGCTTTGCGGCACAGTTGCGGATCAAGACCCATGTTAATCATATCCTCGAGATGATGCTGTGAATTGAATTCTTCTGTCTCGCTTGATTTTGGTGGCATGATGAACGGCTCGTTGAGATCAGAGTCCTCGACGTGGGCGAATAACCAGTTCATCGCGTCCTCCACGCCACTATTATTGGTGTGGAATAATCCCTTGGTCGCTGCATTCTCAGTGAAGCCCATCTCTAATAGATTGGCAATGCATTGAGCGTTCGGTCTAAAGACTCTCGCCTCATCACTGTCTGGAAATAGCGTTTCCGTTTCGCTATTAAACCCGTGTGACTTGAACATACCCAGACGTAAAGTGGAAGTATCAGTGGCTTCGAGTCCGGGGACCAGGAGCTCTTGTGACGTCTTTGTGGGCATCCAGTTAACGAGTTTGATTCGCGTAGGGCTCACGACCAACGTGTCGGGATACGATTGAAAACCCGACGACTTGATGGCGGTAACCATTTCGTCGCACTTCGGGCAATTGAAGCTTACTTCTTCTCCAGAAAAGTAGCTCCTAATCTGTTCGGTCAGCTCCTGTGGTTGAGAGTCATCGGCTAGGGGAACTTGCAAAAATTCAGACGACTGTGTGCTATACTTCACGGAATGACACTGTGAGCATTCAAGTCTGTCCCGAATATTGAACCTAAGCAGGTCATTAGGATTGGTAGGCGTTTTATTGAATGCTTTCTGATCCAAGAGATCAGTGAAGTAGGAAAAGAACTCCAAAGCATCCTGTTGCCGTCCGGAGCTGAACTCTTCGTGCGTTCCGCCAATGCAATTTTTGAAGGTGGAAGGTTTAACTCCATGAGAGTATTTGGCAGGTTCTCCGACCATCGCATTCCGCAGCTTGATAAGTTGACATCTGATATTGCTGGAGACGTAAACCACATCGAGCGGAAAATCGCCAAGTTCCGCAAGGGACCACGCAGCAACACCTCCATTTACGAGGGTCTGGAGAACAGAATTCAAATAACAAGAGTTTCCCAAGTTTAGCAGCCCGCAGCCATACTCGGATGAGCTTGGTAGATGCTTAAGGCTATGGCCTTCAGAATCGACCATTTGGAAATCCCAATTCATGTTCTGCTCGAGTTGTAGTTCAATCAGGGTTTTTTCCTGTGCGATTTTGCCACTGATATCTATATTCCAGTGGGCTAATGCCTTAGCCCACGTATCCTGATCTTCAAAGTGAACTTCATCATCGCAAGAGTAGCAATACACATCAGCGGAGGATTGACTCAGAGACCCGAGTTTGACCGCCAAGGGATGACCTGCATTATCATTGAAATGTTTTAGCGCGTGAGAATGGCCCTGGATACCTACCTGCTGTCTACCACACCCGATGTGGCCACAATGCAGACAAAGCCATAAGTTATTATCCAGACCGCATTCCAAACATGTTTTTTGCACATTTTGCGACTCTCCTTCACCCACAGCAAAGTCCTTGACGTGTTGGCACGACTGGACTTCCAGTTCCCAAGAGCTGGCCATTTGTTGGAAATTATTAGATTTAGCGTTCAGGATCTGATCCACTTTAGCAGCCACTTTAGCAGCCACTTTGGGGTCCAATCCCTTCAGTTCCAAATCTGTGATCTTGATATTGTTCTTTGATAGCGTCCAAGATGTGTCGTACAGCTCATCCTCACTCTTTTCGCTGACCTCCAGTTTTAGTCTCTTCTCAGTGGGCTCTTCCAATACTGCAGTTGGTTTCTTGACTTTACTGAGATTCATACATAGGTCGTGACAGTCATTCAATTCGGCCTGAGCAACTGCTTTATGAAGTTCCAGATGCTCTGAACAAAAGCTCTGGAAGCATCTCAAACAGATGTTAAGCGAGTGCGATGAGTTGATGTCATCATTGTAAATCGTCTCAAAGCAGTAACCGCAATCATCCTTGTGAATAACCGATGGAATTTCTAGATTTATAAACTCCTCGATCTCTGCCATTGCTGAAGGACCAAGATGTAGAGCAAAAGCGTAGTGAACAGGGTGTTCAACCTTGGATTGAAGTTGGCATTGTCTGTCTGTCGTCTTCAAATCATTCTGGTATTTTAATACTTGAAAACCCTATCACATCTGACGAATGACCAGAATGACTACTAAAATAGCCAGGATATATACAGGAGGAATCTAGAGAGCCTTGTGCAAATGAGTGTTTTTTCCATGCTAAGTTAATGCTTTTTCTTTCCAGTGAAGCTCTCCAGCATCGCCCTCAGTGCACTTTCTGCGACAAATTTGATTGCACAGATATTGAACTCCGGACTTGCCTCTGGACGAAGCGTTGTACTGGGAGAAATACTTGACCACCTCATGACGGGACACGGCCAGGGATCTTCCCGAATTGTCGTTTCCCGTAATGTAGTCCTTGAGTTGCTGCTCTGTGGGTAGCATAAACTTGGAATGGAACGGATACTTCTTCCACGTGACCGCATCGGTCAGGTTGTTGAGCAACGACGCAGGATTCGAAGCACGAGGAGACACCAGACGGGAGAGTTCGTCTACGGTCAAAGCGGATTTGCTCCACGCATATGGAGTTTTATTCTTGTCGACCAGCTTGTGTTTTGTTCCGGCAGAAAACTCAGAAATCACGTCCTCACACATGTTAGACGCAGTGACCAGGTCTTGCTTGAGAGATGACTCGATATCCGAGTCTTTGTTGCGGCGGAACTGCTCCAAAGCCACCTGTAACGAGACACCACTCTTGGTGTCGAGTTTTCCCAACGTGACACGGGCAAACTCCTTTTCCTCAGGAGCAGCCGATGTAGAATTTATAACCTTTTCCAGAGCGGTTCTTACACCCTTGGCGTTACCTGCGGTGTCCAGATCAAAGCAGGACTCCACAACGTTCAGCTGAGCATTAGAATACTTAAATTGGTAGTCTTCTGGGATCGCAACGGAAAATTCCTCAACAGCCTTCCCGGTGATCTCCCATATATCCTCGGAGTCGTTGTGCACCGGTAGTTCACCAAGTCTTGCCTGAAGATCCTCTAAGTTAGAGCTGGGAACGTAATGTGAGGCGTAGCCGGCCATGTAAACGTCGATGCCAGATAAGAGATCCCCGGTCAAACAGAGATATAGTGCCAGCTGGCCCTTGGTACCACCCACGGTAGAGAGCTGCGGCAACGAGAATGTGGTCCCCACATCGGGGAAAAATCCAATGTCTGTTTCTGGCATGCACCACTTGGTATTTTCAGTTGCTATGCGGAAAGGTACGTGGGTAGCGAGGCCCACACCGCCGCCCATGGTGATACCATCCATCAAAACGACTACGGGGCGGTTGTAGGTCGCTAGAAGCATGTTCAAAGAGTATTCCTGCTGGAAAAACTCCAACGATTTGTCCTTATTTCCTGCCATGTTTTGTAGCGCAACCGTGGCTACGTCTCCTCCAGCGCAAAAGGCCTTTGGAGAGCTCGACGACTTGATCAACACCAGATTATTCACATTGCTCTTACTGAATTCCACAAGTGTGGGGATCATCTGTGAGCACATTTCTGTTGATAAAGCGTTGAGCTTTTCGGGTCTTGTCAAAGTGACCACCCGGGAAACACCCTTGGTACCGAACTTTACCTGTTCAGACATGTATCGTTTGATCGGCTGGCACTTGAGCGGTATTCTAAGCATGGGATTGAGCTGGCTGGGAGCGCACTTGGGAGGGAGTCTTTGGGAGTCATCTGTAGAGGAACGTCTTTGACATTTGTCGTAGCTCATTGATGCACTTAAAATTTGAAAAAGTGGGTGACATATTAGGAAAACGTGATCAAATGTTCGAAATGTATCATACATAAGATTTTGCAGGTTGAAATGGAGCCATTGAGCATGTAATGTATTTGCGTTTGATGAGGCTTTGTCTAAGAGATATTTCTTCAAAAAACGGCTGATTTTGTAGTACGTTTTTTTCGTTTTAAAAAGTTGAAATTGAACAACATGGAGTTGATGGATTATAAAGAGAGCTTGATGTTTCGTGACAAATGGTGGAGATCGTAGCGATTTGGTTAGTTCATTACAATTTTATTTGTTTTGATAGCCCGGGGGTGAAAGTAGATGTCAAGTTTAGTTTTGAGACTTAACGTATAATTCGCTGTCACGGAAAGACATCCTTAACGACCAAAACATGAAAAAAAATTGAAACACATTTTTGGCTGGAACTATTGGCAATTAACCTCTGGCATAAAACAGCTAATTACACGAAACTCAACGGCTACTTTCAATTGGAGTGTTACGCACATAAAAACAAAAACTAGTATGAGCGCCAGATCACGTGATCTTAATGAACGACAGCGCGAGGATAAAGTGACATACAAATTTCGATTAAAACATACATACAACGATGTAAAGAATACACACTGTTTAGGCACCATTTAAGCACCATTTCGGTGTGTATCACTAAATGTCAAGCCTCAATTGCTGCATTGGTATATTTCTCTCGAGAAAAATGTCGAAAATTCCAAATCACGAATTTTTTTCAATCATTCTTAGGCTCACAGCTCCTACAATCTCAGCCCAATAGAAATGCCATTTTAAACCAGATAAACCTGGCGGATTTTACCAAATAACCAATTTGATCCAGCAAAATAGCGGTTTCTCGTAGCCCGGCATTCTTCTCCTCTCGTACAGCTTAAAAGTGTGTACTCATGATGACAATGACTATGGCTTATATGCTGACGCTGGCTGAAAAAAAAAGATATCGGAAATCAGCTAAGAAATCGTAATGAATTTGCTCGAGAACTCAAGAAACACTCAGATAAAACCAATTCTTCTAACGGCCACAGAAGACTTTAGTTTGTAAAAAGATAATAGTTCTGAAGCTGGAATCAAGGGCTATTTTTGAGTTTTTTTTGTGAAAAGTTTGGAGACCTGGTTGCTTTGCTTTTCCGTGCAAATCGAACGTTAAAACATGTCAGTCTCTCATAAGGGCCTATCGATCGGTAGCGATACACTGGACGCTCCAGCAGTGTCTGCCGAGCTGGAAACGCTTCACAATTTCTATTGGGTTTCTCACAAGGAGCCGCATGCGGTGCGGAGGCATGCAATCCTCAAATCGCATCCAGAGGTGAAAAAGCTCATGGGACCTGAGCCTCGCACCAAATATATTGTAACCGGGGTTGTGTTACTTCAGTGCGCCATGGCGTTCAGTCTGCGCAACACAAGCCCTCTTTCCTGGAAATTCTGGCTCTGTGCGTACGTGGTGGGCGCAACAGCTACCCAGAACATCTTCTTGGCTATTCACGAGCTTTCTCATAATCTGGCATTCCGGAAGCCTTGGCATAACAAGCTCTTCTCGGTGTTCACCAACACACCCATCGGCATTCCGTATGCCGCCTCTTTCGGCCCATACCATCAACTCCATCATAAGTTTCTCGGGGACGAACTTTACGACACCGATATACCGACCAAATTTGAGGCGGTCGTTCTGTCAAATGTTTTGGGAAAGGCCTTCTTCGCAACATTTCAGATCTTCTTTTATGCATTCAGGCCTATGTTCGTGACTTCGATACCAATGTCTCCGCTTCATTTGATCAACGTTGCATACCAGCTAACATTCGACTACTTCTGGATCACAAATTTCGGCATCAAATCTTTCCTCTACTTCATCATTTCTGCATTTTTGGCTGGATCTTTGCACCCATGCTCTGGCCATTTCATCGCTGAGCATTACATGCTGAGTATGGAGGAAGCCCTTGCAGGCGGTAAGCTTGCATACAAAAACACTCCAGCGGAGACTGAGACTATCCACTCCACCGAAGAGTCTGATGTCACTCGCCCAGACGTTCAGTTTCACAAAGATTATGCACTCGAGACCTATTCCTACTACGGTATCTTGAATTTCTTCACCTGGAATGTTGGCCTGCACAATGAACACCACGATTTCCCATTTGTACCATGGTCTAGGCTATGGGAGTTGAACCGTCTATGTCCTGAATACTACCAGAACTTGCCAAAGCACGATTCTTGGTGCATGGTCATTTGGAATTTCGTCTTCACTCATGACGTTACCTTATACAACAGGGTCAAACGAGTCAACCAACATCTCATGAAGGCCGAGTAAAGCCTTGTTTGAACTACAAAACCACACAGCTCTGAGCTGATGTTCATTGAACAAAAGCGCGTGCCGATTCCGCTTGTTTTGCCGGTGAAGCCTGCGAAGTGAGGAATCCGCCAAAGCGAAGACCAAAAATAAAACCCAAAAACGAGAACACATAGATCACTCACGATCTGAACCCAAAACATCCACTTATTGTATGTCATTCATTCCTGCATCTGGCTTTCTTATGTCTATCTGTATACAAGAATACCCTATACTATTGCCGTTCCATTACGCTATGTTTGTTTACCTTGAAGTTGTGAGAGACTCACAGAAAAATGTACTTGACCAGCCCAAAGAGCCCCAGCGTGAACATCGCCAGGAAAAACGAATGCAGACCGAATGCATCGCCCGAAGTCATCAGGTAATATGGCAGATGTATGTAATACATCCAGTAAAGGTTTTCGCCGAAATTCGAAAGTTTCTCCCAAAGAGAGCCTGTACTCAGCTCCTCGTCGGTAGGACGGTATACAAAGGTTCCATGGCTAAGTTTCTGAGCTTTAATGGTATCAGAAGAGCTCATTTGGGGTCGACAATGCTTGTTTCAACAAGTTGTAGTCAAGTATCTAAAGTTAAAGAATTATGCCTTTAGGTATTTCAAGAGATCCGGTATTTTAGTATAAGATGATGACGATGGTGTATATATGCTATAGTTAAGTGAGTCAAAGAAAGAAAGGTAAGGGAAGTGGATGGAAAGGTCCAAATCATTAGCTCTTGAACTTGCCGAAAAACGACTTGCGTTTGCTTGCGGTGTTCTCGGTGGAAGGGTTCATTTCCCGTTTCGCACGGTCCAAATCGAGCGATTTTCTCGCATGGGCAAATGATCTTTTCGGGTCGCTACTGCTACCACCGCCATTACTCCTCCGAGAATGGTTCGTGGCGGTCTTGGTTTTCTGAAGTTTCGCATCCAGAGGAGGGGACGAGAAGTCCATCTCTTGGAATTTCAGATCTAAGGAACGCCGCCCAGAAGTGGGCTCCATTGACTTGGCAGATTTTTCGCCCGAAGTAGAGTTTTGAAGAGGAGCTTTGCGACGTAGCTGCACGGGGAAGCTTTCTGTCGAGGCAAGACTCTGCTCCGATACATTGGTGCTGTCCTTGGTGCCGTCCTTTGGTGGGGTCGAAAGATCAACACTGTCGAACGTCAAGTCCAGCTTTTGGAATTCTTTTTTGTCTGCTTGTGAAAAGTCAAGGAGAAGCTCTTCCTTCTCCGGAGTGCGAATTTGCTGGGGATCAGTAAGAGGTAATTGTCTTTGCGGGGGTAATGAAGCCTCTGGCTTGTCGCCCAGCGTGTGATACGAGTAGTGCGACGGAACTGGTTTCTCGATTGTATTATCCGGCACAGGCGTGGAGGATCCACCATAGTAGGTGTTATATGATCCCATCACACCACCTTGCTGCTCAGGGTTGTAGTTAGGTTTCTGCTGATGCGCCTCAGTCTGAATGCGGGCCACAGGATTAGGAATTTTGGACTGCTCAAAATATTGAGAATCGACATCTGGCTGAGGATTTTCCGCATTGAAAACAGGGTTCACATTAGCCTCGACACCATACTTTTCCTGCTGAATATATGGGAAGGGATTCTTGGATTTGTGCTGCTTTGTTGAAACGGTAGATCGCGCCGTGGGGTCGCGGGTAATTTTCGAGGCACCCGCAACTGGCGGCACATCTTGTGTCTGCTGTTTCATATCATCTACCGGCCTTGCCAAGTCGATCTTGCTGGATGAGCGCGAACTAGCGCCAACGCTAGCCGTTGTGTTTGAATTATTCGTGCCACTATCCCTTTTTCCTCCATCATGAAGATAGGTGTCCAAATCCTCTACCGATGGAAATTGCTGTTGCACAAGGCCTATGTCTTCTTCCCCGACCGACTTGTTTTGGCTCATAGTCGCCAAAGACTCTTGCACGTTGCTCTTTTTTGAGGTTTCGGAGGCCTCTGAGAAGGTACTGCTCTTGCGCCCCATATTAACGGACTGTTTGGGGGCAATCTCAAAGCAATTGATAAACAAGTCATTGAGGGTATCAGTACGGTCCTTGTTTTCGTAGGACATATACATTTGGTACTGTATTTTCTGTAATTTCGACTGGTACTGCGCGTATTTGTCGAACCGGTAAGGTCCCTGCTGGGTTTTATCTTGTATTGGGTTTGGAACCTTCAAAATCGAGCACAAAATGTCCATAATCTGGTAGATGTTGGGTCTCAAATTGGGGTTTTCAGCTAGCATAATGATGATCAAGTTTATCAGCTTTGATGAGTAGTTGTTGACAGGAAATTCGTACTTGGAATGCAAAATGGCGAACTGACCTGTTAGCTCGAAGGGCGTGGTGTAGAACAGCAATTTGTACAGGAAAATGCCCAGCGCCCAAATGTCCGATTTTTCGTCCACGGGAAGACACCTGTACAGATCGATCATTTCCGGCGACCGGTACTGCGGCGTTGTGTGAATGTATATGTTATTGGTCAGAATTGCAATCTCCTGGTGCGTATTGGCAACTGGCAAACAAGTGGAAGTGGACCCAAAATCGCACAGCTTGAAATTGTTCTCTGCGTCCACCAAAACGTTCTCGATCTTGATGTCGCGATGTATGAGCGGGACAGGCAAGTAGTGCATTTGTGCTAGCGCACGGCTCACATCAAACATGATTTTGACAATCTCAGCTTCTGAAAGTTTCGTGACCAGCCGCTGATTCATGTAATCCAGTAGCGAGTTGTTCGGGCACAATTCCATCAATAGCATTACTTCAAACCCCAATCCGCCGTCCCGCGACCGAGATGCATGCGAGTCATAGTATTGCACCACATTGGGGCTTCCGGAAAGCTGTTTCATCACGCTCACTTCATTGCGCATTTCGTTGAGCCCGTTTTCGTCTGTCACCAAAACCCGCTTCAAACATGCCCGTTCACCCACCGCAAGCGTGATTGCCGGTTGTTTTTCTAGCTCATTCGCATACTCCACAAACTTCACCACGTATATCTGTGCGAATCCGCCCTCAGCCAGGTATCCGATGATCTCTACCCGATGGTTTCCAACAATTACTTGCGCACCTGTTTGCAGTTGTTCTAGCACGGGAACGGTCGCACTCCTACTGGTAGTGGTACCGTTGGGTAGCTCTTGAGAAGGCGGTTCCGATTTCGACATTCTTGTGAGTCTACCGGGCGGTTTAGGTTCAACAAACGCTAGGAAAGTTAGATCATTGGAAAGGGGTTTTACTTCTTCAACATTGATGATTCCATTCCATTAGTATAGTAATAATTGAATTTTCAAGCCATTGCACGTGACCAACGGTTGATTCGAACGACAGCGACGGAGGACGACAGTTTTGACAATTTTGACTAGCATTAACTGTTGTGCGATGCCAGTTGTTTATCCCATTCGAATTAGCATTATTGGTAACAATACGGTCTGAATCCTGGTTTACGCTTATTTTTCCCTCGTTTTTTTGGGTTTGCTCTTTTAAGTATCCAAAACGTCTCTTAAAAGAGCCTTCATTTCCGAATAAGCGTAGGGCACATAAAGAGTCTCAGCACCGGATCTGTTCTTCGTCAGAGCTGCCATCCTGTGCTCGATAAACTCTCCCAACATGGATCGCAGAGATACCTCGTTGGATGCAATGAATTCGGCAGCACACATATGATAAAATTGTTTGAACTCGATGCCATATGTGTGAGTTCCCTTCTTGTTAGCAGAAATTTTGGACTGCGAACCCTCCATAGCGCTCAGCTGGGTCTCAATCAACAGCTTATACATCCGCTTGGAATTCGTCGTTAGGGATTGCAAAACGTAGCGGGCGCCCTCTGCACCGGTGGTACCCTGGCTCTTTCCTAGTTTCAAAACATCACCAAACGAGGACTCTACGGCGTAGCTCTCGTAATTGGTAATGTCGTGGAAAACAAAATTGAAGTTTTGAGCGCGAACATGGTCCCACAGAAGCGGTGCATAAATGTGGTCGGTGGACGCGATCAGGGCTATTTGGCGGACACGGGCAAGCAAGCTCAACATATTTTGAAAGGGATCTTTTCGAACCATGGGGCCATCCAAATTGTGCACCAGGACGATCAACTTGATCACGGGAGCTGAGTTGCGATAGACCTCAACCATCTTGTTGATCTGTAAGTCGACGTGATTGCTCCAATACTTGGTTTCTGACTTCGAGAGCTCTTCCTTGAGCATTATTTCCGAGATAGAATGAAACACATCTCGGTAATTACAGGTCGGATTGTAGCCGTTGATGACAACACAGGGCACCCCATCAACCTCAGCGTCATCAGCATCAACTTGGGCGTCATCGGCTTCATCAAATTCACCCTTAATGCCAGCTTCGTCTACTGCGAGGGGTTGAGAATTCAGTTCTTCCGACAAAGTCAGCCTTGGTGATAAGTACTCTGTCGCAAATTCCTCAAGAAACTTGCGTTTAGAGCCTATTCCGTAGAACAGCAGCGAGAAACCTTGATCGAGCTCGAACCAAAATTGCGGGAACATGGCGCGTTGAATGTTTTGTAACGAGTGCTTGCTATTGCGATGCACCCACGAGTTGAGCGTGTTGGATAAAAGTGAGAAGTCCTCTCTTGTGATCTGAGGTGCCATTGCCATAGAATTGGTAGATTTTTTGTTGGCCCGAATGGGCTTTTTTTGATCGATGTATCCCTCGAAGCCGTCAAAAAAATACGTTAAATGTTTCTCTTGAGGAGGCTGGTATTCTCCCTCATAGGGCAACGGTGTAGGTGTGAAATGTCGATTCAGAGTGATCTTGAACGGTGATTTGTTCAGAAGCGGCTTGGATGGGGATTTAGCGGGTGACGAGAACACTAGCGGCTTTCGAGACGAGGAATAAGCCGTTGCAAAGCCAGAATCTGAAATTTGCTCGCTTTTCAGTTTTTTGGGTGAGTTCAGGTCGAAAGCTGCATCAAATTCTAGTTGAGTTTCTGCGAGTCCATTGTGGTTTACAGGTGATTTGCTGCGGGCCCGTTTACGTCTATTTGAAGTGGTCGGAATCACGGGGGCCTCTGGGCTAGCGTAACTTTCAGCTGAATAGCTTACATTGTTATTTTCATGGTGGTCATAGTCATCCTTTTCTTGAGATGGTTTGGATGTATTCGAGTTTTGATCTGCCCTTTCGGCAGCTGTATTTTCGGCCTCCAAAGCTTGCAGAAGATCTTTACGACCCTCTACTTTCACTTCGACTTCTTCAAAGAGTTTCCGTCTCGCTGGAGAGGTAGGTCCAGCCCGACCGCCGCGTTTCATTCGGCGGTTCATGGTGCGCAAAAAACCTGGCAAAAGTCGCGAATTTCCACCGGTTTTTTCCGTAAAGTTCGCCAAATCTTCATGCCATGCTATATCGCCACTCTCAGCCATCTGAAAGTGCAAATCTAACCGTACAATCGATGGATTTCGAGCTTCGACTTTAACTGATTTAGGATGTGTTCAAGATGTGTAGATCAACTAATGAATATTATAATCGTCAACGTGATCACAACAAACAGAGACAGCGACAGCGACAGCAAAGAGGCCAAAGGATGAATCGAGAGAATACCAGCAAAATGCTTAGTTTAGTTAGAGAAATTTTTGGGAATTTATTCGTTATTTTACTGTAGCCAGAATGTTCTTGAGTCCTCGATTATTTGATCAAACAAAAGAGCATTCAAAAACATATTCTGAACAAAAATAAGAGCATGGGACTTTAGGTAGAAAAATGGTCGAACCATGGAGCGTGCAGCGTTTGAAGAAATCAGGTTTATTGGAAAATATACACCTTTGTCATTCGTACTTTAAAACACCAAAAGTTTTGCCGTGACTGTTTTTAGTCAATTCCTGCGAAAAAACAGGGTAGTCGACATTAGATAGAAATTTCAAGGACTCCATAAATCGCTGAAATGAGCTGATAATTCCAATGTGTTTCCCCAGAGATTTCAGAGAAGAGAGCGAGTACTTAGCGATTGCCGAGTTCTCATCATCTCAAATTATCACTTTAAACAGCGCTGTCACTCAAAAAAAAGTGTGCCACGTAAAAGATGTACAGAAAGGAAAACGAAAAGGCCCGAGAATAGAAACTCCACGATCGAATGTTCCACAACTTTTTCATCCCGAAAACCCCCATCCCCAGATCAAATCTCTCAAATCAAATTTTCTCACCTAAACCAAAAACTATTTTCGCCAAGAATAGGATCCAGATAAACACGAAATTTCGTACATTAAACTTCAAAGGCGCTTGTGGCACATTCAAAGGCGAAAACGGTCGAATCCCAAGCTCTTTATTCAAGCGTCAATTGATTCTCTAAACATCGTGTTACTTCTTGTAGGCCTGAAACACGTGACTTTAATTGAAAAATTGTCTATGTAAAGAAGCTCATCGCATCCAAATCTTAACAAACATTATACCCAAACTAAAGCTGTTTGAGGCCACGATGCTTTCGTTTTGCCCATATTGTCACAATATGCTTCTGGTTTCCCAGCCAGATGGTGGGGTTTACACTCTACAATGTGGTGCGTGTCCCTACACTTTTCCCATCGAAGGTGTCGAGGTATATGATCGGAAAACGCTGCCGAGAAAAGAAGTGGATGATGTGCTCGGCGGTGGCTGGGATAACGTGGATCAAACCGGGGTTCAGTGTCCAAACTACGACAGCTGTGGTGGAGAAAGAGCATATTTTTTCCAGCTGCAGATCAGATCTGCAGACGAGCCGATGACCACTTTCTACAAGTGCGTGAAGTGCGGGAATCGGTGGAGAGAAAATTGAACGGGAGAAATGGGGAAAAAGACTTACATATGTTACTGTGTGTGGCCCAGCTTTTGCCCATTCCAAGGCAATCGTCTTTTCTTCCTTTTCGTTTCCTTGTATCAGAGATACCGTTGGAATGGTCTCTATACTGTGTGCTCCGCTCAGTACTGTTGTATCACAACAAGGTAAGAAGGACACTGTTGCTCATGTTTCGGGCCTCTCCTAGATGGCAACTATCGAAGCAGTTCTCACGCAAAACGCCCTACAGCTCTGGTCCTGGCGCTAGCGTCTTCTCTCGTTGGATACGCACTTTCTTGACAGTTTCTTCTTCAAGAAACGTAGAACATCATTACTTTTCATAAATATCTAGCCTTCTATAGAGCTCATTTTTATCCTTATTAAGATTGTCGGTTCAAACCCACTCCACAGGTGTCTTGAGCACTTGTAGAAGTTTGTCTTCACGAGAGTCTGGCTCCGGATGGTGATCGTACAACCAGCAAGCGGTCACGGGAAGACTCATCAAGATAGACTCAGTACGGGATCCCGGTGTTCTTAGTCCAAATTGAGTACCTCTGTCAAGCACCAAGTTGAACTCCACATAACGTCCGCGACGAATCAACTGCCACTGTTTCTCCTCTTCTGTGAAGGGCATATCTTTTCTGCGCTCCACAATGGGCAAGTATGCGGGTAGGAACGCGTCAAAGCAGTCCTCAACAATGGCCAAGATCTCCTGTGGCTCGCGGTCGTCCATGTCGTCGAAGAAAATGCCCCCAATACCACGAGTCTCGTCACGGTGTCTGATGTAGAAATACTCATCACACCATTTCTTGTAGCGCGGGTAAAGAGTGGTGTCGTGCTTGTCCAGAGCCTTCTTGTGTTCCGCGTGGAAAAGACGTGCGTCTTCCTCGTACAGATACGATGGGGTGAGATCTGCTCCACCGCCAAACCACCATGTCTGGGGCGTCCCGTCAGGGTTCCACGTCTCGAAATACCGGTAGTTCAAGTGTGTGGTTGGAGCGTGAGGGTTCGAAGGGTGGATCACCATACTGAGCCCACACGCGAAGAATTTGACGCCCTCTGCGCTGGGTAGACCACTTTCTGGGTCCACGGGCAGTTTGAGGTTCTTGTGGTCGTGTTTCATCGCAGAAATCGCCTGTGGTGACAGCTGTCCGTAAACAACAGAGACGTTGACACCACCTTTTTCGAACGTTGTACCGTTTTGGAGCACCATCGACGTTCCGCCACCACCGTCGTTGCCGCGGACCCACGAGTCTGGTCTGAATTTCACGGTGTCGAGTGTTTCGAGACCCTTGGTGATCTCAGCTTGTTTGCGACGAACAAGCTCTATCATCTGCTCTCTGATGAGCATCCTGGTGGGATCTTGTGGAGCTGGCATCTTGTCAAATCCGGCGATTTTGGTGTCGTTGGAATCACCTGAGTTGGACGCTGATTCTGGCATGGCTCAAACTGGGTTTTATAGCTGTCTTTTATACCTCAGATCTTTGAAGTTCTGCTTGTTCTTCTTCTCGTATGGTAGAGGTTTAGCTCATCACGACAGTTCAATTTAACATCTGATTTTAGCGTTATTTGATAAACGACACACGTGACCCAACGGCCAGATCTGCAAGTTTTCAAATTTTACGACGGAATTTAAACGATGGGGGGAACGGCACGATTGTGAGGAATTATAAGAAGAGCGTGTGGAAGTGGTCTGGATACTACGAGCAATTGATTTAGTTTTATTTGTCGAGAATCGATGCGGTAAATCACGATCTTTGAAGATCGTGATTTATCTATGGTGAAATACCGTCACTCTATACGAATGGCACGTGACCAAAGCTGAAATACGTATTTTCTGATCAATGGTTATTGTATTTGGCCGTTACTGATGGATCAGACTGTCAGTGTGTACTGGCTTTCGTGTGTCTTCTTTACTGTTCTTGAACATCCAGTTCTGGCGTTTTTGTTTATGTGTGTAAAAAAATTCAAGGAAATTTCTTGAATAACAACAAAGGCTTAGTTGCCACGACGACTTCAAAATGCCAACAGTGATGCTGTTTTTATTGATATACGTACGAGCATCATTACCGTTTCTCACTCACAGTCTTTCTGAAGGAAACTGATATTCTTGGGATTTGCTCGAAGGTGTCATTGCTGTACAAAGTGATCAAAACGGCAGCGACGACACTTTAAAGCCACTACGAGCCATACAAGAATACTTGCTGTTCGTTTCGTCAAGTTCTATAGCACTTCACTACATGGTTTACACCTGGTATATATATTATTTATCTCTCTTATCGTCTCGGCCTTTACGACATTCTTTGTAGCGCTCCAGAGCGTTCAAAACGGCCAGCCTAGTTTCTCCCTCCCTTCCTTCAAAACGTTCAAAACCAAGGCGAAGATTTGTTCGCCTGGCAGTTTAGATTCCTTTTTGGCCATCTGTTTCCCTACAACGCCAACAACTTGAGGATTCACGTATTTAGAGTAGAGTTCCAAGTTGGTCAAGACGTCTTCGAGCAGGTTTCCATTCGAGTCCTGCAAAGAAACAAGGTGTAGGTAATTCTCAAATCCAGTGACGAGATCCTGGGATTTTTTAGCATTCTGGTACTGGTTCCAAGCGTCGGTGATGAATTGGCTAGGATCCTCGAGCACGTACTCGATAATTTTTTCGGTCTTGGATAGCGAAAATCCTGGGAAATCGATTGTCAAGTTGGCATTGATGATAATGGTCACAGAGTGAGGGTTGGTTTCATTTCTGCCAACTGGGTAGTATGGCCGATGCGGTCTGCTAATATGGTGCAAAGAGCCGCGCGACTCATCAAGTGGAGCGGCCTCGCACAAGTGAGTCCCGACGATCAAAAAAAATACTAGGGCAACAAGGCGACGTAAAGCGGACGAGGTCATTATTGGAATGGTTAATGTGATGTAGGCGGATTGACAGAAGAAGAATAAATGTTAAGCCAGGGACAGAAATCCATGGCCAAACAATGCTCTCGCTTTTATACTATTTCTTCCTTCAGGAGAAATGAGGAAATGAGAAATAGCTCTTGGCTAAAGTGTGGACCTTCCACAACCCTAGACTAGTGAGTGGTTTTCTGCATTCCCTGCGTAACATCAAGGCAAAAACCATGTTTTCCATGTCAACCCCCTACACGTCTAAATGGTCTTACGCTCAAAATTCCGGCATCTGGGTCCAGCTAGCCGGCTTCAAGATCCAGATGCATTCCTACTGGATCAAGTTTCTTTACTAACATACCCTATCGCCGTTGTCAAATGTTGGTAAACTTATCTCAGTTGCCGGTGGTTACCAGTGACGATCGTTTTCAGAGATGCTCGAGGCTTGCATTGCATGCACATGATTTTCAAGTTACTCGAAAGATTTGCAAGGTGCGTCACCGAGGCTGCCATTAAACACGTCCAAAGTTGAGAACCTAAGGCAGGGGGGCTGCCAAGAATCTGCGACATATGCGTTGCTCTCGAGATGTTCTAGAACGGGAGGGGTGTCGTAGCGAAAGCCGAGAAAAATTCCTCGAAAGAAAGTGGTAGCATTCAAGTGAATTCTCAGGAATTACCTAACACGGATGTGATGAAAATCGATACACTGAGAAGTGCTCAATAGCACAATGATAGCGCACGAGGAAATGAGGACGTTTTGCTCTCTTTTTCGTTTGCTTACTGTTGGTGGTCGAAGGAATGACACCATAGTATGAAGTGACCGATGCGATAGCGTTACACTACCAACCAGGCGCAAAAGAACAGGGTTTCCCAAAGAACTATCGTATCGTTAAGGTTAGCATTCCATACCTGATGTGGCTCCTATACTCGGCGATAAAATGTTGGCTTTTCTTAACATTGATCTTGAGTAACATTTGGGGGACCAGAAAATGTCGTAAGGTTATCTTGATGTTCGATAGCGATTGTGCATGTTGCTATGTGCGGTAAACAACGTCGGTCAGTGAATAATAGAGTAGGAAGACCGCACCATGGTCGCCCAGTAACTCGAAGGGCCGCGACACTAAGATTTCCGTAATGGGCTTTTTGTCTTTGCCATGATGTGCTCCACTGCAAGCATCTCCCGCTAGCAGTATGAGTGAATGCAGTGGTGAAGAAGGGAAGGATCACGTCACATACGCTTGCAGTACCAAATAATAACTCTCACGCAAACTCCGCTGCTCGATCGCTAATGTTATGCTGGGCTCACATTGAAAACGAGGAGGCAATCTGAATCTGCCGGCGAATTCAGTTGCAAATCCCTTCGTATATCGCCATTGCTCTTCCGAGAGTGCAGTTGTCTTCGCGTCCCTGTAATTGAAAAGTCTTAGCATTCGCGACTCAATTGGACGAGAGGTCTAGACATGAAGACCCCTGAAGAGGAGAGGACAATCCTGCATCGAAGATAGCTGATAAGCCTTGGGTATAATGCGATGGCCTTAGATGTCTCTGTTGACTGTTGGGTAAAGAGCTATTTTGGATTGCTCTGCGCAACAAATGAATTGTGAGCAATTGAAGGCTTCCCGTATGTGGAAACCCAGGATCAATAGAACGATCAGACGCTGTCTAGCCCTATGCTAGATCGAAATGTCGTCAAAAGTCCATTTACACTTTGAGACCGCTTCATAGTCTACTAGTTTAGGTTGGCTTTGCAAAAGAACTCCCGTAGTGTTACAACTTTCGTGTTTGAGACGGTGATACTCCACTGGGCTCAAGTGGCATAATTAAAACTTGTAAGGATGCAGTTGTCGTTGCTGCTGCCATTTTTCTTACACATTCTGGGGGTTTTCAGCCGCTTTAATCGAGCAGTCGTGGATTCACTTGCAAACATACCTTTTACGCCTTCATAGCTCTGTTCACAGTTCGACCTCTTTCAAAAACCACTGTCGCCGTGAACCAGCGTCCCTCAACTGCAAAACAGCTGCAATTGTCATGTTAAGCCCCTCACTTCCAATAGGAGATGCTGTCTATACTTAATGACATTCGCGCACGCGAAATGGCCTTCAACGAAAGATCAGTCTGTGGTGTTCCATTACATTTTCAAGTTCTTCATGAGCTTATGCTGCAGTGAGCATAAGGCCTTTGGAAAGGACTTTGAATGCAGATACGCAATTCCCCACAGAAGAACGCATTCGTCCTCATTCTTGATGTATAATCAGATTTGTGTAAGTGGGCAAAAATCATCTGCCGAAAATGTGCGCCTCCGGCCGGTTCATCAAGCTCTTGAAAACTGCCAAGCTGTCAAGCAATAGTCCTCCATTTTCTGCAAAATTCGAAAATGTTCAATGATGCTACCAATTGTACTACTCGAAAGCGTACAAATTCTCGAACATTTGAGTATGCTGCACCATAATATCCATGTACTCGCAATCGAGAGAATAGCCCGAAGAAAATGAAAACCTGCTTCACCACCGATTGTTATCGAATGTTGCCTGAGAATGCCACTTTGAAGAGTGCTTGTAAACTTTCTCGAGCTACAAAATTGACGGTGGGCCCATATATGTTGAATTGAGGCTTCAATTACAACATGCTGGATAATCGTTAGCATTGGGATCAGAAAAGCGCTGAGATTTCATCATAGATTCGGGAATTTTAACAATTGTCATTTTTTCACCTTATTTCCTAAGCCTTCTCATGATTTGAGGCTTTCGGGCGTTGAAATCGTTCGCCCATTTCGGGTCTAGGACGGTTGTGGGTTGATTTCAATTGTCACGGAATAAGTTAATTTTGAGACTGGGGCTGGGTTCTTGTTGGAAACGAAACGATTCTCGACAAGGTGTGTGGCTAGCTAAGGTTGATACTCGTTAAATGGTTATTGTCCAAAATGCATGTCCCGATTCCTTCGAATGTGCTCGATCACCGAATGCTTCGAGATTTTAACTGAGCTTTGTGAACGCTTAGTGATTGCTGACGATCAGCCTTTGAATTGGACATTGAAGTCTCGACTTGGCGGCGATCGATCCTGTTACTGAACTAAACTGTTCAATGACGTTTAAATTGTGTCTTCTCTAGAGCGTCGGAAAGGTAATTAGTGAGATTTGACCATCTCGTACAAGGTGACGAGTCTTTCAGAGCTTGACGTAGGGTTTATAGACGTTCAGAATCGAATATTCACAGCCTTCAGCGCGTAGATGAACTGCTACTTCAAACCTGGTTTTGCTGAGTGTTTTCCAGCGCGATGGGTAATTTTTTCTTTTGTCACAGAGTTACTTGTTAATCAATAATCGCTAGTCGAGGGTGATAGTTTGGAAACCGTGTAGGAATCAGGGTAAAGAAGGAATACGGCTAGATTACGAGAGATACGCGATGGCTAGTATGGAGAGAGACTCTTCGCTACGTTTGGCACAGATATATATATATTATCAATCAAGTGAAACACCAAGTCACGTGACCCGGAGTAAGCCTACTTCATATTTTTTGGTGTCATCTGAAGTAATAAGAGTTAAATAAAGGCAGTGAGCCATGGTCTCCCCAATAAATCATCGCCCGCTCCCCATCCTCTTACATCTGATCGCCATGAGACGTATTTTGGAGTGTATCACTCTCGACGAACAACACCCCCACACCTCCAGTCTAATTCTTAAATCCATTCATTCCTGTCCTATATCCTATCTATGCTCGCAAATGCGTCTTGTAATGCTGTACACAATTGTCATGCCGGCTGAATCTTTGTCCGCATCCGGCGTGCGGACACACGTGGTTCTTTTCGCCCGTGTGGATACGCTTGTGCCGTGCCAGATGCCCACTGGTCGTGAAGCCCTTGTCACACGTTTTGCAAACGTATTTACGTCTGCGCTCGATGGATGGTTTTACACGGTTCCCGTGCGGTGTGATTGTGGCTGCTGCTGCGACCGCAGCAACGTCACGTGCGCTTAGATCGCTCAAGCGGCCGTCGAGAATGATCTGAGGCTGAGCCACGGGCAGGGACCCTAGCGTCTTTCCCGTGGAAAGCGACGAGAGCGACGCCGTCGATGATGATGATGACAAAGACGACGACGTCGCATGGTACGAAGTTTGAGATTCTTCCGGTTCCGGCGTTCCGGCCGTGCCGCGTGACCCGCCCGTAGCAAAAGCCCATCTATCCAATTGGCGTTTCAAATCTGATTCCCAATCTGCAAGTTGAGCCAAGTTAAGTTCAGGTGCTGGCAACAGCACCTGTTTGCCCTGTGGTCCATTATCGAGCGCTATGCATTTATGGAGCGGCAGCATCGAGACCGAGGGCGACCGCAGTGGACGCTGATCTATAGCGTATAACGTGGCCATTATAGGTGATGTGTGCAGAACGTGTGTGCAGAATGTGTGTGCAGAATATGGTATGGTAATGTAGTGTAGTGTAGTGCAGCTAGCGTATTGGCCTATATCTGTCTTCCCAACCTTGTCCCAGCAACATAACGATATATATGCTACATATATACATACACAACTATATATTCACAACTATATATAAGATACTTTCACGGTGCCAAGCCTTTTCAGGGTCTTTTTCAAGATACCGTACGCGGTGTTTTCTGAGCCAAGAAAGAGACATTTTCATTGGCAAAAATGCTAAATCCTAGATTTCGCCACGGTGGGTGTAAGAGTGAGAACTGTTAATAGCGCAGGGTCGCCGCTACAGGGTCGGGCCCCGTGGAACAAAGTGAGTTTAGTCAAGGTAGAAAAGTTGGGATAGATGACAAAAAGTCAGATGATAGCTTAGAAAAGTGCGTGGCAAGGACGCACGGAAAGGCCAAGACGGCCAAGGCCGGGAAGCGGCGGCCTTAATAGCAGATTATCACTAAGCTTACTTTATGCTTAGTCAACGGAATGGGAAGGGAAAAGGGAAAAGGGAAAAGGGAAAAGGGAATCGGGTCAAGTTTTCGCGGGCGCGCGGATATAAACGGGGCGGAGCGGCTATTGCGGGAGAGACGAAGGAGACGAGGGGAAGTTGATGTGGACGGAGTTAGCGTGGAGTTAGCATGGAGTTAGCATGGAGTTGGTAAGGCGGGTGTTAGCGAGGGAGTAAACACACCCATGGGAATAGTTTATGGTGAAAAAGATTAGAGACGGTACGGATAGCGTTCAGCGTTGGGCGTTGCCAACGCCCAACGGGTTGACCCGGATCAAAAATTTGCAACCCGGGTTGCAAAATTCGGGTACTTAACGGGTTGCTGTTTGTTTTCAATCAGGTCTTTGAGTATTAATAATTTAATATTTACGGATCCTTCAGTGAGTTTCAATCACATTCAATAGCGTCGCTAACGGGTTGGGAACACCTCACATCGCCTCGGTGACAAAGAGGAGCAGCTCATGTTTGTTCGCGATGCTAAAAAACGTTTGACTTGATATGAATTGTATAATGCTACCTGGGCTAAATACTGGTCAAAATACTAATTACGCCGCCCAGCGACCGTCGAGATGGTCATCATCATCATAGGCATCATCATCATCAACACCGTAATCATCATCCTGACAATCATCCTCAAGGGGTTCTTCATCAGATGATATATTTATAAAATCATCGGCATCGCCCGGTTTCGTGAGTAGAAGTTCCTTGTCGTACAGGCCGAAGTTAAAAAAGCGGTCTCTTAAAAGCATGATTCTCCTCGCATTAGCGCTCCCGAGACTTCTGCGGTCGCTTCTCATTAGTTTTCCACTGATAGAGAATGTTCTCTCAATACCGCATGTGCTGAACTTTGTGTACAACATGGATAAAGCCAACGGAAACAAATGAGGGTAGGTCAAACGCCGCGAGTACCACCACTTCACGGCATCTGTCAAAGAATCTGAAGTTAAATGAGAATCAGCCTTATAGCTCTCCCATTCTTCCAGAGCTTTAGAGGTTCTTTCTGGAGGCTGCTTGAAATGCAATTTTAGCCTTTTGAACTTGGTGACGCGATTCGTGTTCACTGGCTTGAGCATATTGTCAATGTACGGATGGTTTTCGGATTGGCACTGCTTGAGGTAGCCCTTGACATATGCCTCTACCCTTCGAAAGTGCTCTGATCCCTCATTATCACCAAAAAATTCTTTAAAATAATCGCCTTTGATACTAGGATCCAAGAACGCCGCAACAAAGTAGATGTCGTTCTTTTCATACAACTCGAAGTATTCGTCGAATTTTGACCTGGAAGAGATGATGGCTTTCAAAACAGTACTCTTTATCTCTTCAGAGAGTTCGAACTTTCCATTAATGAAGGTGAAATCAAAAAACCCCTCTGGAGAAGCTGGAATGGTTTCCGTTTCACCCCTGCTGCATAAGTCATAAAATTCCTTCATCGTGGAATAGAAAGTGACTGCATTAGCTATGTTGCTTGCATTGTTGTCTTGCAAAGTATCGTTCATTAGCTGAAGATCGAGCAACAGCTCGTAAAATACTCTAAGAGTTGTACTGTTTCGTCCGTGAGCTGCAGCCGCATTTCTATCTTCGGAAGGACATTGTGATATTGTTCATTTGACTTCAAACTCTGAGCCCACCCTAAATATCCTTTGTGATGCTTTAGAAATGTAGCGACCTGTTTCCAAATGAAAATCCACCGCGTTTCGGGAGCCGAAGGCACCAAGAGTAATCTAGCATCCGCTATAGCAGACCTTAAAAGAGATGACCTCTTGATTATTTTGGCGAACGCACTAACATCTCTCAAGCCTTTTTCAAACCTCTCATCTTCCCTCAGCTTTCTCACGATCTCCTGAAACAGAAGGTTCAAAATGTGACTTGCGCAGCGAACATGATGAAAGTTTTTTGTCTTCTTGAATGCCGTCGTCCTCGAAGGTTTTATGAGATTGTGAAGAAGGAAAGAATGCATGGCCGTATTATTAGTAGCATTGTCAGAGGTAAAGGAGAGGACTTTATTTGTTATTCTAAATCGATTCAAAACCTCCACGACCGTGGTATGCAGACTTTCACCTGTATGGCGTGAGCCGCTGATATCAACAAAATCCAAAAGGTGACTGTTATTGGTCTCTTCACAGTTATTGAGTAATGCCTTTTCTCCAACGCCTTGTAACATCTTTTCATTCAGCAAGTTCGGAGCGAATGAAGCTGCAATACCCAAATAAGAGTGACCGTTGCCTCCAGTCCACACATCTAGCTCTAAGTTTATGAAATCGGTTTGTTCTAGAGCCGCAACGAGTGCCTTATCAAACCATTGGGAGTAGGTTTCGAGTTTTGTATTTATCGTGGTGCGAGATTGAATGAATGACATTTCTGGACATGCCTTACATATCCATTTCCACGTTCTAGAGCTGACAAACGAAAACGGCAACAGTCTTTCCGTCAAAAAGCCAATAGTCCCGATGGAGCCAGGACTGTGCTTACACTCGCGAGCAATTTCTCCCGGCAGCGGAAGCGAGCGAGATTTCATGATCAAAGAGTCTAGTGAACGCTCCTTTATAGTTGCAGCCTTTTGGGATCTGTACTGGCAGGGGTGAATGTTCTTGACGTGCTTGGAGAGATTACCCGTAGAATTGCTTTCGTAGAAGGTTCTTCCGCAATGTATACAGCTAGCTGTGGTCAAACCATCTGTTTGAGAAAGTCGAAAGTGCTTGCGAAGTGCGGACCTTTGCATCCATTGTGATTTTCCACGCGCTAGAGCCTTTTTTGTATTGTGGTGGGGCAAGTCACCTAGGTGGTTCTCAGGATCACTTAGAACCGTATCCCCTTCAAGATCAGTACTGGGACTCGGCGCTAGTTCATGTGGTGCAATCATAAGAGGGGCTTCCATTGTTGGTAGAAACTGTGGCCTGAGCCATGTTCCTGAATGTGAAGTAATGAATTCTGAATTTTGTCACCTTTTATATCTTCAAAAGTTTACGCGTTGCATTTTAAAAAAGACGCGTTACATTTTAGAAAAAACGCGTCCAGGTTCCTCTCAGGTTGCAGTTCAATTCTAAGCGGGTTGTACGACAGGTTATGATTTGCCCGAAGCGGGTTCTTTCAGGTACCTAGCTATTTAGCAGATGGGTCCTCAAATTTTATGAATTTTTTTTTACCCGGCCAGTTTTGCAACCCGTTGGACAGCACTGCGCGTTGGGCGTTGGGCGTTCTACACGAAAGAATAGCAAATGGCTTCTTCTACGTTTGTAGTGGTTTACACACGTTAATGCAGCCGGTGCCGAATCGACGAATCGGAAGGGCTTACGTAGTGATTGGACGAGGGCTTTTGTTTCATGTAAATTTTTTTTTTGCTTATGGGTGAGTACGTAAGACGGTTCGTACGTGGTGATGAGAATAAGAGGTGTGGGGGGCGGAGGGCTGTTAGCCGTAGATAAGACCACGTAAAGTTATTTTTGAAGTTGTAGTAAGAAAACTAAAGGTTTGATCATCTGAGTTATTTTTGAAAGTTTTTATTAAGAAAGCGTGGATTAGATCACGGTAACAAGCATGAGTATCTACACTCCAATCGATTACGTAAGCGCTGAATGGATTCGTAGAATATGATAGGTTTGCTAGTTTTCTTGCTCCCTCTATTAGCATAGGAAGTCGGTATTTGGAATACCAGGACCTAGGACAAATCTGGCGAGTCCAGCTTTTTAGACCACCAGTCCCGCAAAATCAATCACCGTAAACGTAGTCATCGCTTCGGGTAAACAGGCTGACATTGCAACTGGAACCGCCAATGGCCGAGATTGAAGTATTTAGCATATATATCTTCACTTGTCCACTCTACGGGAATGCTTTCAACAATTGGCATATCTAAGCATTTCGTTCAGACTCTTTAAGCGTCCCATCATCAAGCATTTCAAACGAGTGTCACGGGCCATCGGTCACGTGACCTCTATTTCACGTTAAAAAAAACCCCTTCTCTTATACACTACATTCACCAATGAATCTCCATCACTCACCTCCCCACTTCTAGCCCGTCCTTTGCTCACTTTTTCCCCATCTACCGCTTCCCCATCACACATACCTCTCGATATTCGCTGTTTTTTCCCTTTACGGTCTTGATTAATCGCCTCAATCTCTCTCTCTCTTCTGTATATGATGATAAGCCCAGACTAAAATTCGAGTCAAGTCACCGTCGTCAATACCGAAAACTAGTCAAACATGGGCGAACCAAGAAGCCTAACATGCGTAAGCAGCAACTTCAAGCGAACTAGTAAAATCAACGCCTTTTCAACGCCCAGGCACCACAACGTCAAGTAGAAAATCGTCCTTGAAACACAGCAGCAGCATCAGCAGCAGCAGCCGATAGCGATAAACACTGTAACAACCACAAGTCTCGAAACTTGGCTAACCTTTCACGCATCTTGATATTTAAATAAGCATCAATCACTACCACCCTGATCTCTTTTTCGTTTTCTCTTCAACACGCACACTTCTTTCTTCCAATACCACTCGGCACAGCGATGAGTACCGCTACAGAAACAAAAATTCAAACTCCAGCCGAAGACCAAAAACTTCAGCCCGCAACCGACAAGGGCTACACGATGGGCACTCAGGGCGCCCATAACTTGGCTTTCGGTGGCATAGCTTACAAAGACGTTAGACCTAAGTTCACAGACCCATTACAAGAACGTCAGCACGTCCTGGAGCATATGGCCGGCACTTTCCGTGTTTTTGGCAGAATGGGGTATACGGAAGGCCCCGCAGGCCATGTATCGGTCAGAGACCCTGTGGATCGTGAAACGTTTTGGATTAACCCACTTGGATTGCATTTCAGTCAGATTTGCGTCTCGGACCTCGTTCACGTTGATTCCCAGGGCAACGTTCTCAAAGATGGTAACCAGGAAGCCATAAACGCGGCAGGGTTCAGAATCCACGCTCAGCTCCACAAATCTAGACCAGACGTCAATGCCGCTTGCCATGCTCACACCATCTACGGTAAAGCGTGGGCTGCCTTTGGCAAAGAACTCGATATGATCAACCAGGATGCCTGTATTTTTTACAAGAGCCACGCTGTGTACCAAGACTTTGGCGGTGTGGTGCTGGAGGAGGAAGAAGGTCTACGTTTGGCCGAAGCCCTGGGCGATAAGAAAGCGCTTTTGCTGGTGAGCCATGGTTTGCTTACGGTGGGCGAGACGGTCGACGAGGCCGCCTATTTGTTCAGTCTGATGGAGAGAACTTGCCAGGTCCAATTGCAAGTGGAAATGGCTTCTGTAGCGGGTCTGCAGAAGAAGATCATCGACGACGAAGCCGCCTACTACACGTATTTCAACACTTCGGATCCCGAAAGCCTGTACAGTTCATTTCAGCCAGATTACAAGCTTGAGGTCAAGCTCACGAACGGAGAGTTTCTGCGGTGAAAAGGGCGGGGAGTTTGCATCGTGGCGGTGGTAAATATCGAGCATTTTGGCTATAGCACAATATTTTTTTTTTTACCAGATATTCAGGGAATTCAAGCGAGACGGAGGGAAGGAGAAGGAAGACGGAGGATGTAGGGAGGGAGGTTAGCATCTGGTGAAACAAAATCGCCAACCACAAACAATTCACTTTCTTCTTAGCTGACGCGCCAATTTTTTACCGCGTCACGTGCCCGTGACTCTTTTCCCATTTCCAAAACCCGAATCGTATGGCGTGCTTTTGCCAGTTTCTTATTATCTTTAAAAACCCTCCCATTCATTGCTTGTCCAGCCACAAATTCCAAAACATCGAACATACTCCAGAACTCCGAGTCTACCGTCTACTACCTCAATTATGAACACACACACACACACACACACCCCAGTTCCTGCCCCACATCACTTTGTCCTTTACTGTCGCACGCCATTTTGGGTGTAAACACTGAAAAACACCCAAATAAATTAATTACCCACTAAATGTGTATAGGTGTGATTCCAGACAAGTCGAAAAAAAAATATAACTAAAGCTCAATATGTAATAGAAATCCACCCTACTGTTCAAGCTTAAGAGGCCAACAAAACCAAAACCATCAAGGTTAAGCTACTTGGACCTGGGTGTGGAAAGCCTGGAGTGGAAAGCACTCTTGTTTTCGTTCTGAAACAAGCTCCACCCCCCTCCCACCACCCCTCCGGTCAAAAGACTTTTTTACCATGGGATGAGTCACGTCCTGATGAATTTCACAGTGCTTGGCTCATCGCTTCTATCGCTCTCTGACTCTCTGACTCTCTCGCTCTTGCCCTAGCTCTGTCACGCCAATCCCACCGCGACTTCAGATCAAACATATCAACATAATCAACAGCTCTTGTCTCTCCACTAAAATTAAAATCAACAACAAACAACGCCGCTTTTTATTGTATTGCATATGTGCATGTTCTTTACAACAACATGTTTTACTGATAGACAAAGACAAACAAACACACCAAACAACCACACAACACACAGTCACGACGGATCCTGTGCTGATGCGGAAAAAAAAATCACCCTCGTGAAAAACAAATGCTATCATCATCACTGTTCCGTCAGCAGCAGTAGCACCCTATTACTACCACCGAGACTATTCTCGTTCCTTCTCGTGTTGTGCTATCTATTTCCATCTATTGACATATTCCGGGTGTGGCTCACATACTTACACGCACCTCTAGGTGTAACGTACACATGGTTCTTGGGTGACTAAAAATTTTAGCTCGGATTGTCGTTGGCATTTTTTATTGATTGAGAGTCATCGAAGAGTAAAATCAAGACTCGATGATGATGATGATTTTGATGACAAAATTATTGCAATCACACCCATGGGGACATCAAAGGCCTCAAAGGTGTGGTTTTTCACAACGTGTGGGAGACCGATGAGCAATTCTGTAATTTTGTCGAGCGCAGTAGGTATATAAGAAAGAAAGATGGCGAGCGGAAAGAACAGGTGGGAATAAGTTTTGGCATATTAAAGCATAGCAAGCATAGCAAGCAAAGCAAGCATTAGTCAATTAAATCAATACACTGGGCCAATTGACCTTCAGTGACAAGCAATTAAGACAAGACTGCTAATATCTGCTAGATACAAAACCATACGCAAACCCATACAACAGGACAAAGTACTAGAAAAGTCAACAAAAAAAACAAGATCTCAGCTAAAATGACATACAACTCACAAGACTTCCAAGACGAGGTCTTCTCGTTCTCGCTCACCAGCGATGCTCCAGCACTCCAACACAGCCCCAGCTCCTACAACTCGAACACAGATTTGGTCGCAGCAGACGAGGACTTCCTGATACAATCGCCCGGATTCGGGGCCATGGCCAGCAGCGACGACGACGACGAGCTGTTTGCCCTTGATACCGAGCTCTCCATGCTGCCTAGATCCTACAACTGTCTGCCCTTCGACGATGCCAAGACCGTGGTACCGGACTCGCTGCCGATTCCCGACCAGTTTGCCAACGCTGCCCAGGATAACTACAGATTGTGGCTAGCAGGCGTGTAGCCTTCAGTGCTTTAATCGCACAAAAAATCACGCCAGCAACGAATCACGATCGAAAACACACATACACACACACTACACTACACTACACTACACTACATTACACTTACATCAATGGGGAAACAGAGAGCCGGAAACTAGGCAGAAGCTACAGCCATAGCATAAAACAACTACAACTACAACTACAACTACAATTACATATCATCGCACTAGCTAACTAGCATCGGCTCTATACATTAACGGAATAATTGCATAGATTTTGGGACTCGGCTCGGACGATTTATGGTATTACTATTCCATTATGGCTCTTAATGACTCTTAATTCATCATCCTGTCCTAATTACTCATATCATGAGCATGTCCACACCCGTGGATAGTGATATCCATCGGGACTTGAGTACCGAGTGGTTTTTTCAAGCCATTTTTTTTTTCCCGCTGTTTTTGGCGAAGAGATCGACGCGAAAATAAGGCAATTGTAATTAAGACATCTTGCTGTGCGGATGCCCTTTATTTGCTTTCGTTGGCGCGACGAATTTTGATGCGGATTTTCGGCCCGCGGAGTCCGGCGAAAATAAAAAAAAATACATATATGCGAAAGATCGCTGTTGTGACTTTGTTTTAGGGCCTTGTTTTCGGTTACGATAGCAAGATGAGACTGTGCCATGGTTACCATGAAAAAATGGGTACGATGACAACGCTGAAAGTTATGTTCCAGAGTGTCACGTGACCAGCCGGGGGAATAGAGAGTGATTTATTAAAGCGATAGTGGGCGATGCAATAAAGCAGACCGTGCGTGTATGTGTAGCTTTTGGAAGATCGTTGGTTTCAATTGGCGCACCATATCAAGTATCATGAATCTGAAGATCTAAAATCACTCACTCACTCACTCATACACACACGAATCTTTTGACACCCCGCAATCAATCACTATTTACCAAATTGGTGCCAGCCACTGAACGAGACGCGACTCACCCGTACAAGACGATATATAAACTCTAATTTGATATCTAATACTTATTTACTACCCTTTTCACTCACAGAGTCAATTTACCTCGCTTAATCACGAGTATTTCTGAAACTTTTCACGGACCAAACTCACCCCCTTTTCCCCGGGTTTTCTTCCTTTCAAAACTCTCCTGTTTGATTTTGTTACTTGACTCCCTCAGTCTCTGGCCGCTTCTCTCTATGGAAACTGCCACAACTAGCTTGCATTGTTGTTGCTTAACGTCCAACAGCTCATTTCACCACCATTACCCATAACATACCTTGCTTTAATGTGAGCCATGTGACACTGTAGAACTCGTTAAAAGTCGGATGCTGCCCAGTGAATTTCCTGCTTGTGACAGATACGAGTCACGTGCTCCATTTACGATGCCCTATTCGGATAGTTTAGTTTTTTTTTCTTAGGGGTACCCCACTCGACGAAATTTCTTAGGGGGCACTTCTGATCTGGGGCAAAATAGAGAACAAGACCACTATATAAGGCGTCGGCTTTCGAAGAATGTGTGCCACCACTTTGATCACCACTTTAGTAAAAAGCGGCAAAACACACAAACCAGGGAATAGTGAAATCAGCTAAAACACTGCAAAAACTGTTCCAGCACCTTGAGTCTTGAATCTGTTGGTAGAAAGAACAAGTATTCTCACTCGCACACCAGGTACGTACATATCAAGTGACATTCACACCTTTCAAGGCGTGGTAGTGGCAAAAATAAGAGAATAAAAAGACAGCTAGAGCGAAAAACTCCGTGTCTCACAGATCAACCAGACTAGTAAAGGGGAAATAGTCACCAGCGACCGAGGTTTCGCAAAAACGGGAAAAAAAAGGTGAACTTTTCGACATTCTGCGAAATTTTTTGGAGTCTTTTGATTCAAAAATCTGGAACCTCATAAGCGCCGATCTCGAAGTCACGAGATTTCTCGTTCAGAGTGCCCAAAAAACAAACCCTACACCCAGACATTCACCCAAAGACTAGTAAACGGCAATCGATATAATATAGTGATACCTTCATGTCGCAGGTTTACAAGTCGGAGCTCAAGGACCAGTTTGTGGATGCAACTCTCGAGGAGCGTCGTCTTCACGAAAACAAGACCCACAAGAAGTACTGGCTGAAATGGGGTCCCTACCTCAGTGAACGTGCTTGGGCAACGGTTCGCGAAGATTACTCATTAAGCGGTGACGCCTGGACGGACTTCCCGTTCGAGCATGCAGCCGCCAGAGTCTTCAGATGGGGCGAGGACGGAATCTTTGGTGTCTCGGACAATCACCAGCTTATTTGCGCCAATGTTGCCATGTGGAACGGCCACGATAAGATTCTCAAAGAGCGGATGTTCGGTGTAACTGGACCTCAGGGCAACCACGGCGAAGACGTCAAGGAACTATATTACTACGTTGATAACACCCCAACTCACTCGTACATGAAAGCGCTGTACAAGTACCCATTTGCCAAGGCGTACCCTTACGAAGAGCTCGTGGCCAAGAACGGCGAGCGTGGCTACGAAGACCGTGAGTTTGAAGTTTACAACATTGACGGTCTTTACACTAGCGAAGAACACGGCGATACCCCTTATTTCGACGTGGTGTTTGAAATGGCAAAGGGTGATGATAATCCCAACGATTTGAACTTTAGAATCACCGCATACAACAGAAGTGACAAGCGTGCGGGGGAGCTTTACTTGATGCCTCAAGTTCTCTTTCGTAATAATTGGGGTTGGTGTCGTAGCACTGCCGATAAACCTGAACTTTCCAAAGGGGGGAGTAATTATATCAATTTGCAGTGCAAGAAATATGGGCACAGAACTGCAGTGTTTGCTCCATCTCCAGGTGGATTTGATGACGAAGACGGTGAAAGCCAAGATGTAGAGCCACAATTGTTGTTCACGGAGAATGAATCGAATTTGGAAAAACTGTTTGATAGTGGGCCCAATCCTGCACCTTTTGCCAAGGATGCGTTTCACGAATACATTGTGGAACACAATGAAGAAGCCGTCAACCCAAAAAACGTTGGCACCAAAAGTTGCGCTGTCTATCATTTTCCCAAAGTGCCCCCAGGCGAATACGTCACCGTTAGATACAAGCTTACTGATATTGAACTTCCCAAGTACAATGACGAATTGGTCATTGACGAAGAAGAATTCGATGCGATCTTCGAAAGACGTGAACAAGAGGCGGATAACTTTTACTGGAAAATCACTCCACTGCCTATAAGTGACGAGCTCAGACGTGTACAGAGACAAGCATTTGCTGGTCTTTTGTGGTCCAAACAATTTTACCACTTTATTCAAGAACAATGGCACAATGGTGACCCTAATGTTAAACCTCGTCCTCCTCCAAACAGAGCTAACGGCAGAAATAAAGATTGGAAGCACATGTACATTGATGATATTTTATCTTTGCCTGATAAATGGGAGTATCCTTTTTTTGCGTCTTGGGATACAGCATTTCATTGTATACCATTGGCCATGGTTGATCCCGAATTTGCCAAGAGACAGTTGGACCTCATGACCAGAGAATGGTATATGCATCCAAACGGCCAAATGCCTGCTTATGAATGGAATTTCGGCGATGTCAACCCACCGGTTCACGCTTGGGCTGTTTATCGTGTCTTCAAGATCGAAAGAAATATGTATAAGCGCGAAGACCGGGTATTCCTGGAGCGAGTGTTCCAAAAACTGCTATTGAACTTCACTTGGTGGGTGAATCGAAAAGATTCCAATGGCCAAAACATTTTTGAGGGTGGATTCTTAGGATTGGACAACATTGGAGTTTTTAATAGGTCGGAACCTTTACCCACAGGCGGTGTATTAGAGCAAGCAGATTCTACAGGTTGGATGGCATTTTTCAGTTTACAAATGCTAAACATTGCGTTGGAGCTGGCCAAAGAAAACCCTGTTTACGAGGATATTGCGTCCAAGTTTTTCGAACATTTCATTCTGATCAGCGATGCCATGTCCTTCGACTACACGAAGAACAGAGAGGGCGAAGAGTTCCATGAAGAGGTGAAAGAGTCTCTCTGGAACGAAGAGGATGAATTTTACTATGATGCTATCTCGTGGGGAGGTCCCTTTAGACAACAACTTCCTATAAGATCTTTGGTTGGTTTGATTCCATTGTATGCTTGTATGACTTTGGAGCCCCAAATTCTGGACAAATTTCCGAGCTTCAAGAAACGCCTAGACTGGTTCGTCAACAACAAGCCTGAGATTTTTGGAAGGAACATTGCTTCTATGCAAAAAAGAGGAGTGGGCGAAAGATTGCTTTTGTCATTAGTTACCAAAGAGAGGCTAGAAGCGATTTTGAGACGTATGCTTGACGAAAGCGAGTTTCTGTCTGATTTTGGTGTCAGGTCTCTGTCGAAATATCACGAGGAACACCCTTTCTCTATGGATGTCAACGGAACCCAGTACACTGTCAAGTACCTTCCTGGCGAATCAGATTCAGGGATGTTTGGCGGCAACTCAAACTGGCGTGGACCTATCTGGTTTCCTGTCAACTTTCTCTTGATCGAATCTTTGCAGAGATTCTTTCTCTATTACGGACCTGATTTCAAAGTGGAGTGTCCTGTTGGTTCCGGTATCATGTTAAACTTGGCGGAGGTTGCTGAGGAGTTAGAACATAGGCTGATTCATCTGTTTATGCCAGACGAGAATGGCGTACGTGCTGTTTACGATGGCGAAAGTGCCAACATGCTGTCCGAAGATGAGCATTTCAAAGATCTCATTCCCTTCTTCGAGTATTTCGATGGAGACAGTGGGAGGGGTCTTGGGGCTTCTCACCAATGTGGCTGGACCGCTTTGGTGGCTAAGTGGATTCATGATGCCGGCGTTTCATGTCTCCGCCTGCCTAGGAGTTCAAGAAACTCAAACTCTGCCGCTGCCAGTGTTTCATCTCGTGCTTCTTCGCCAACAAGGCCAGGCCTTGGTCGGATGGCTAGGCGCAAGAGTGCGAAATCCTTGGTCAATTTGACAAGTACTTTGCTGGACCTGACCGAAGAAGAAAAAAGGTTGCATAGGCTTGGCAACGTCCGGAATCGGTCTGCTTCACGTGGAGCTGCTCAGAGGGCAGAAGAACCACTTCCAGCGGATTCCGTTAACAGAGAAGTGGATGAAAAGGGTTCCAAAGCTCCAACCACTCATGACTCTGAAGCTGCCATCATTGATGATTTGAAGGATAAGTTGTCACACTTTAACATTGAAGACGCCGCCGAGGAGAGAGCAGATGAAGAAGAGCTCTTGAACACTCGTGATGAAGCGTGACAAGATAAGCCTTGGTGACTACTGAATTTTATATATCGTTAGATAAATCGTATGTGATAAAATCGACTTTATTTAGTAGAGAGCTGGGAAGAACAAGTTCAAAGTAGGTATTATCTTACGACTTATTCTGAAGCTATTTATACTACACCATAGTATGATCATCGACATCAAAACCGTAGCCCATTAGTGGGTTCCGCGCTTCGTGTATCGATCTGCTGTTCCCAATTGGTTCCTATTTGATTCCCATTCGTTGAAGTTTAGAAGTACTTTGTCAAATACACCTGTCTTCATTTAAATTTCGCGAACAACACCAGTAGGATCAGTAAAATCAGAACTGCAATGATCGCGTAACTGATAAACTTGTTAGCTACGAGGCGTCTGCTCATCGTTTTTAGAGTTCTTATACTTTTGTCAACGTAAGAATCGGCCTGGAAAAGCGTTTGTCTTGCATTTTCCAATGTTTCTCTTTGAGCTCGTAGATCCATCATGATTTGAGAGCCCACACCCTCAGTGTCGACGGCCATCCTTGTTGCATCTCGAAGCTTGTCACCCGTGCGAGAAAGAATTGCATGGTTAGACAATAACTGCTGCCGTTGGCCACTACTGGCATTTGGCTCATTATCCCCGTTGGCGTCCCCAAATAGAAGATCTCTATTACGAGAATCCTCAAGTTGTTGCAACTGTAGCTTAACATCAGTTTGAACCTGTTTTTTATATTTACGAACTTTTTCCTTGAACAAGCTCCGCTCTTGAAGATCCAAAGCTCCATTGTTTACTTCTATTTCAATCTGATCGATTAAATCGAGCAGTTCGTCGTGCTGTTGTTCCACTTCTTTAAGAGTGCCAGTTCTTTGACTGATTGGTTGAGAAGGTGCTACTGAAAGCAGCGTTTTCGCTTGCTGAAGTGTGGTTTGGAATTCTGCCTCATAGCTGGAAAGTAAACTTGACATTTTAGAATGCTGCTGGCTCCTATTCTAGTTTAACAATCGGTTACTGTATAGTGTTAACGAGCAGTGTGGCATCATCTTGTCGAGATTAGTATCTAATTTAGGTCAATTTGGCAGGGGCCTTAACAAGCTGGAAATAAATGACGAACAAACCAAAAGAAATGAAGTCGAAAAGCAGATGGGGACTGGTGATTCGAACCATTGGAAAAATCAGGACTTTTCAGATATTTTTGGATACCTGGAGCTCTTATTTTAAAGGTAGATGTCAGGATTTATACTGCAAATACATATCACCTGGTACGAAATTATATTTTGTCAGGATGGGACCGTTTATTACAGGTTTTTTTGGAGTCAAGTACAAAGTGAAAGCAAAACAACACAGGATTGCACCGAGAAGTAAGATAATCGAAGTTTTCAAGTGGACTTCTCTAACACTACACACGAAATATTAAAAAACATATCACGATCTACGTGTGTGACAGCTGGTCACGTGACTACTATAGTCAACAAGCATAACATTGATGTCCTGGGGTTTAGGCTCATCTAAAAGACATGGTTCTGCGATGTGAAAGCGTTTAGCTCACTTTTTGTCCCCAGTTTAAATTTCAAGTAATGAAAAGTCTGTGTCACCGGCTAACATACTATTAATTTACTTTTTAGTTCTAGGACAAAGAAAACCAAAAATACGACATATTTGTCGTTCAATCAAATACAAGTCAAAAGCCTTGAATCCACTATTCTCAAGAAAATGGAAAGCTCGGACTTTAGTGTCAAATAACACCGTTTTACATCCGAAATAATCGGGCATCGTGAGGTACTTATGTACGAAACATATATCTCTGTTGATTAATTAAAGCTTAAATATCATAACTAAAGAAAACCTGGTTGAAGAACATCGCTTTATCGCATCAAAATCAACGAAAACAACAACCACATACCACACATCCATCAATTTCATGTTCAGAACGACGTTCCTTCCCAAAATGGCGATGCGCACATCGCTCACGGCAAGAATGGCCGTTTCTCGCATGCCAAAACCTTCGCTTATACCGGTACGGTTCCACGGTCATGTGCATAAACCCAAGGCAGGAGAGGAATTGCACGTCACATTCATTTTGAAAGACGGAACGCAACGCAAATACGAAGTGTGTGCAGGAGACTCACTTCTGGATATCGCTCAGGCCAATAACTTAGATATGGAAGGCGCTTGTGGTGGATCTTGTGCTTGTTCCACGTGTCACGTGATCGTAGACCCAGATTACTATGATGCTCTAGAAGAGCCAGATGACGATGAGAACGATATGTTGGATTTGGCTTATGGACTCACAGAGACCAGTCGACTGGGATGTCAGATCAAAATGAGCAAAGATATTGATGGAATTCGAGTGGCTCTGCCAGCGATGACCCGCAACGTCAGCAGCTCTGATTTTGAGTAAAACGTATCAAATCCCCGCTTTGGTCTCAATCATGAAGAACTACTTTCGCCCCATACACCTCACACTTTCCGCTTTGTCCAATCCCTGTAAATATAGTATAAAGCCCTTAGACATGTGGTGTATGGGTGTTTGTGATAGTGCTCGTGATCGTACTCGAAGGGTCTCGTTTCAAGTGACATTCAGAACCATTGTATTTCAATGTTTACAATTATTTAATCCAATAACATATTCTACCAATAGGCCATCCCAGGCAATTGTTGTGCTTCAAAAGCGTCTTTTACAAGTCGTTCAGACTTCTCTTCTGCTCTTGTCAATTGTGTCCAGAAACTAAGCGTTCTTTTGAAACTAGTTTGAGCCTTTTTGGATCACTTTTGGATCTTTTTGATTGATCTAACACTTCTGAAACCAAGTGTCAACACAATGAGCCACACAAAGATCCCGGGAATATCGTCTCATAAGAGACCACTAGGCTCACCAGAGCGTCTTGGTATGCCCAGCAAGCGGACACATGTTCTGGGGGACGTTACGAATACAATAGCGTTCAGCGAGTATTTCAAGAATAGTAATCGGAAATACACTATGCCATCCACTGCCGTTGCAGACCCAAATATGCGTCTTATGAACAGGTACTACTATGGTGATCCGAAAGTTATTGAGGAGGTCAAGAAAAGAGAACGCAAAATTGCCAGGGATATTCAGCATTTTAGAAAATCTATTGTAGAGATCGATACAGAGACCAGAATCGTGCACGAACGGGAACTGCCCGATCTCAGATACGAAATCTCAAAAAAAAATGCGTTGTGCAATGAGCTGCGCAAAGATCTGATAGAATTTACGTCGAAGCTTGACGAAAAAACCAATGATTGTGATACTCTTAAAAGGGACGGGGAACTCGATCTTCAACATACACAACTCAAGCACCAAGTAGCACTTCAAGAGGTTCAAAATGAATTGGACCAAAACATGAGTAAATGTGCTGCTGAATGGGAAGCAAAACTGCGAGAAATTGATAATGAGCGTCCCGATCCTGCTTTGCTCGTTGAACTCGAGGAACTGCAGAAAGAAAAACATCTACGCAATGCGCAGACTAAAGAATTGGCGGCCAGCAATAATTTGGCTTGCGAAAAGAAAACCCAAGAGCTTGGTACGATATTGGAGCAACTATTGATAGAGAAGCAAGAACCGCTGCATGAATTGCAGGCAAAAAGTGAGGCGGTTCAAAAGGACAACGACATGCTCAGACAAGAAACCGATTCAGTCAAAGGTAAAATCTCTCAATATGAAGATCGTTGTTCTCAGTTGATGCAACAGATCTCAACCGTAGATTCGTTGATCACAGAATGTATGGAGGAACGCGCAAAAAATCTCGAAGCCAAGAAAAAGGCAGAAGTCACATATCTCGATTGCAAAACTATCACAGATGCGGTCCAGGAAGAGGCTCTTATAGTAGAGTCCCAATACAATCAAGAGTTTGACAAAATGGAAAAAGAACAGACAAGAAGAAGGGTCATGGAAAATAGCATCGACGAGCTTCGCGGTAAAATTCGGTGTTTCGCTTTCGTGGGTGACGAAATGGTGGAAAACTCGAGTGTCGATTATTTTGCAAAAACAATCGCATTGGATGAGACCAAGCCCTGTACATTCAATAGAATCGTACCCCGAAAACTGATTGAAGAACAGGAGTTGATAAACCAAGAATGCGAACCCTTTTTTCTAATGTGCTTGAACAAGCAACTTAACTTTAGCCTCATGTCGTCTCCTACTGGAAGGCAGTTGCAATTGAAGAGAGCTTTTTTGGAGTATCTCCTTACCAAAGAGAACAAACTCCTGACACAATACGTTTCTCTTTCTGAGGGTTCAGAATCTTGTGACCTTTTCCTACCAGCAGAACAAAATGTCAAAACGGATATTCAGCTTACTCTAAAAAAAGACGCAATTGAAATCAATTCAACTACTCTCGAAATGCGATCTACACAAGACGTAGATGAAAATGCAGCTCTTCTGGAATCCAGTGTGGATTCAGGCAATGTCGGTATTTTGAAGGCTGAGATTTGGAAAGATCAAAATAAATGTTGTGACGCTTACTTTCTGGAAGTCAACGATCTCAAGACTATGGAAATGTTGGGAAATTCTCGAATAACCACTTCTACCACGAAGCCACCAATGGCTATAATATTACAAACGCTGCTGTTAAAAACAAAATCTCTTTTTCTTTTCAATCTTTTTGACAAAGATACAGCGAGACCCAGCATCTTACTAGACGCAGCAAGCCACATTAGTCACCTCGAGACGTCGCAGACGCCTACGTGAGAATAAAAAAAGCCTGTAAATAGTTCGACTTTTTGTAATGTGCTATGCTCCATACGTGCCTATCAGAATTGTTGGCACCTTGTGTATGAACATAAATTCAATCCTTGGTAAGGATCTGTCTAATCAACCATTTAAGCTCCTCTCCACTGCCCACATTCTTATCGTCCACTGGTGTAAAATTTGGCTTTTCATCAAGAAAATCCGGCAGATCATCAATGCTACTCTTCATTTCCACAAGTTCGTCGTCATTTACCAAACCACACATATTCAAATCCAGCTGAGCTCCCGTAGGTGCTACTAGATTTGGATAAATGGTCAAAGTCTCCGACATTTCCACATTTGAGATCGACCTTAATTCACGCACTGGTTCGCCATCTTCGATTATTTCGTCTTCCTCATTACCCGTAACACCTTGGTAGAAACCCTCGTCATTCAAGTCATAGTAATCCGAATGATACTTTCGCCTATAACGAACAGTGTCAATGGCAGATTCAACCACATTCTTTAAGTAGTTTTCGAGGGCCAGAGTCATAATTTCAACACAACGACCGTCCACAGCACCAACAAGTCCATGCTCACGGGCTAAACTGATCATTCGAAGGTATAAAGAGTCATTGTCAGGCAAAGAATAACTCTCTGTTGCCAGTGGGGCAGAAAACCCGTTGACTATCTCTTGAGACCACTCAAGTGGCGTCTTTAGATTACTGGCTTTCACTCTTTTCAAAGTTTCGGGATTCGTTACTATTGGTATTTTGGGAATGGTGTTAAGTCTTGCTTGCAGTACGGAGCATAAGACAAAACCACGCTTGCCCGCTTCTTTGGTGATAGCTTTCAGTCTATTTCTATCTTCAGTCGGCAGAGACATCACAATTTTCTTGTAGGTGTCAATTTGAGAACTGTGCTTGTTTGATCTTTTCTTGTTGGCGCCAGAAGAACCATTGTTGAAACCCCAGGAACCTTCACTAGACTCGCCCATCGGCATCTCTCGTAACGAATTTGCCAGAATGGCTAGCAGGAGTTGGTTGTGCATTCGTATCAGATTTCCATGGCTCAAGGCATGTTGGGAAGATTTGGAGTTTCTAGAGGCCTCCTGTGGGAAGCTGAATATAAGGTCAATTTCATTTACAAGTTCCTTCCTGGACAGTTTGCCCAGTACAAACAAGCTGATAATCTGAGCATACTTGTTCCAATTCTCTTTCCCTAGCACCTCCGTAAAAGCTTCTACCATTGATTCCATATTCAAACGCATTGCTTGGCTATTGGTGGTAGTACTACTATTATTATTGGCACTAGCGGCAGGTGCTCCACTGTTGGCTGAAGGTGCCACTTTTGGGAAAGTAGCACCTGGAGTAGTACCAGATTCTCTGGATCCATTATCTGGTCCTATAGCAGGATTTGGAGACTGAACCATGGACATTTCTCAACTTTTCCAACTATTATGTTCTCGATGAATGAAAGATAGACAAACTGACCAGAAATAGCCCAAAAATGGTCGTTAAAGTTCGCCAGAGAAGCTCTATACAAGTCTCAGTACCCTAGAGGCTTTTATCAACGGCTAATTGTCACCTAAAGGATCTTAAATGGTCGTTTTTTATGGTTAGATTCTGCTTTTCTTTAACTCTAGACTGATTATTGAAAAATAAGCTTAATTTCGATGAGCTGAGTATGCTAGTGACAAGGAAGAGCTAAATCAAAATTGAAAGGAGAATCAGTCAGAAAGTGTTCCCAAGCCTTTTCCTGATCTCATTTCGAAACTGGTAAACTCAATCGTCAAAACTGGAAGGGTTTTTGTTGTAAAATTTCTCTTTTTACTGTTTACAATTCTGTCAAGATATAAACATATTTGGTAAACTGACACTTGCTGTGTTCCCAAGTTTTGGATACTTAAAATCGAAGACGCCATTCCTTTAGCACCATAGACATTCTTTTTCTTGATTCGCGTTGTAGTTACAGTTCATGTGAAGGTTTCCGAGTACGGTCGAGGTTCATCAACTCGCATCTGCGACGGTAGACGCTCTGTGCGCTGCAATGGTGAGTCTGAGAGTCGAGATCGCAGAAGACTCTCAAGCTCCATGATTCTAGATTGATACTTGATTCTTTCGCGATCATTTCTGGCTCGATCCTCTTGCTGTTCTAGCTCGAGACGAAAGATTGTTTCGTTGAGTTGACGAATCTGGTCGGCTCGCTCGATGGACACGTCGACAACTTGGGATTCCAGATCCCGTATGCGTTTTGAAGTGTCTTTTTGTGACACAGTGGAGGACTTCAATTGCTTGTATTTGCCGTAAAGCTTGTAGTAGTTGTCGTAAATGTTTTTTGACTGCTTCAGCTCTGCAATTAACTCTTGACGCACGGCAAGATATTTTTCGCGATAGCTTGCCTCTATAGACCGCTGATGATCATTGTGTTGCTGAATGCTACCTTGAAGCTGTTTAAGCTTCTGGCCGTTCAAATCGAGCTCTTCCAGAAGCTGCAAATAGTCGTCTGTGAAATCTTTTGTCTGCGGCGGTGGATCTCGCTTACTTTGAGGATGTTCAAAAGCCTGCTTGAAAGGCGAAGGAAACTTCCCAGGGAGATTTGTATGCGGTAGTTGAGCCGATTCTTTACCGAAAAGCTTGGAGATCAAAGGGTCGCTGAGATCGGGAGCGTTGACTTTGAGGCTGCTGTCTTTGTTTATGGACGGGTGCGTCGAGTTCAAACCACGAGCTTGAAGTTTTTTTTGTCTGCGGGCCGAAAAAGTATCGGCACTGTCGTGCTCGACAAAGTCATTGACTTTTCCAACTTGTGGCACTTCTCTTCGATTTCTGCGGAGATTGCTTAGTTCTTGGAAGTCAAAATCGGAATCAGATGCGATCCGGGAGTCAGCGTCTTCCTCATGCAGTAGATCGTACCGTTGTAAAAATGACCTATTTGACGAAACAGACGTTGATCGATTTCTTCCAGACGACTGATAGTCTACACCGTCCCATTTTTTAGGCATACCACGATTTCTTTTCAGCCTGTAGTTGGTGTCGTCTTGTGAAATTTCTTTGAAACGACGTGATGGGGATATGCGGCGTCCAAAAAGTGCATCCATTGTCCATTTGTAGATACCTCCTGAGTTGTCATCACCATCAACACTATTTCCAGCATTTTTACGACCATTCCACATCGTAAAGAGCTGGAAAAAATCGGAATCGAAGTTGTAACACTGCTAGATATCAGAAACCGGCTCTGATTCTTGCAAAAAGGTATGGAATTGACTTACTTTCTGTGATTTTCTATAATATTTCACAATGATGAGATGGTCAACATTGATGCCATCTTCTGAATTATTGGTATTTGAATAGTCAACAAGAAGTGAAGAAAACAAGCAACCTGGCACAATAAGGACTCAATGGCTTTCCAGGATCTCTACAATGCGAATGGGTGGCTAGTTACGGCACGAGAAGGCGTTTTGGAGGTCTATTTTGAGCAGAATTTGGTCAATCGAGCCGTAGTTGAAGGTTTCAATGAATTTCAATGCTTTAAATTGGCAGGTGACGGTGATGAAGTATTGTCGATATTTGGGAAAAAGGCTGGCACCGTGGTTAGAATGTGGTTCAATTCAGACTCCGATGACTTACAAGAGGAGTGTGTGTTGAATGTGAATTTTGCGATATCAAGTTTTCGAGTTTTGCCCGCTGTGGGCTGGATTTTGGCTACTGACAGTGTTGCTGGAGTTTTACACGTTTTTGATACTCTGAACAGTCGCTACAAGGGCCAAATAAGACTGGATATGGATCACTGCGAGATCTGTATACGAGGTGCTAGAGAGTTTATGGTCTTGGCGCGAAAATTCGACCAGGATTCGCTGATAATCAAGACTTTTCTGAATACGTATGTGATTGACCCAGAGAATCAGGTAATTTTGGTTGCAAGCGTTTCGGCAGACCACCACTATTTACCAAACCGCTGGATATGCAGTGGCGGGTGCTCAAACAAACAGTGGCCCTTCGCACTGGTTTCCAGCTGCAATCTGACAGGTGGTTCCCTCATGGAATTCTTCGTCTCCAAAGCACAGACCCCATTCCAGACATTGACACTTGCAGAACCCGTTCTGGCCCACCAGATGTGGTTTTCGACACCCTTCACCGTTGTGCTGGTGCTGCAAACGCCGGAGAAGCTTTTTCGCATATGCGAGTTCGATATCGCCACGAATCGAGAAACTCGGTCTGCGATGCTGCTCTTAGACGAAACCCGAACCACCTACCCAGCTAAATTTCAAGCTGGATTTCAGAGCCGTGGTCCAGAAAACTCCGTTGCCGATGTCGTCGTCCTCGACGTTGTGCCTCTATCGGTTTATAGAAAACCGTCGTCTTTCTCTTCTTCGTTACTACGGTTTCTCGGTAATTTTTTCAGTTCGGTTCTAGTCTTTACTCCGGAAGCCTTGCCCAACGTTATTCTGACCTGGCAGAACGAAACTTTGAAAACATGGCATTGCCCATCAGCTGTGCTAAACGTTCGTGCTGCTTTAGACCATTCTACCCTTCTAATTCAATGCCGCGCCAGGGAAACTAGTAAAAAGACCGAGTTTTTCCAGATCGAGATTTCATAGCTGAAAAAGGCCAGAAACAAGAAATGAAAAAAAATAGACAGAGAGAGAGAGAGAGAGACACACCCTAATCACCGCATCCAGTTCCACAGAACGGTCGTTGGTCTCAGCCCTTCTCAGTAACATCAACTTATCTACTCGACAGCTTGGCACTTTCTTTCTTGAACTGTCGTCGTGGGTGTGGCACCTCAGAACGCGGCACACAAGATCTCATCGCGAAAAATATTCAAAATTTCTCGACCGTGGTATTAACTACATTTGGATTCCATCCAAGAAGAGCCATGTGCGAAAGCTACGGGGATCCTGATCCTGAGCGCAGCTACGTTGTTTAGTGAATGTACGGTCCGGTCCAGGAAATTTCATGATCGGGACCGCCAGATTTCGTGATCTTCATTCATGGAGTCTTCACACAAGATGAGCAGTGGTACACTTTTTTCGTGGTCGCTTGTATTGATATATAAGGTTTGAAGAAGCTGGCAGGATAGTGGGAAAGTTAGGCTCTGGGAAAACCCCAAGAAGCCACTCTAAGCTCTTCAAAGACTAGCGTCAACATCAGCGTTAACACTAACGTTTTTTCTTTCCTTTCACCTTCAATTTTGGGCTGTGCGATCCAATTCATTCGTTCATTAACTCTATAAGTTGCACGATAGCCATCAAGATCTAGCAACACCTGGACTTTGGAGCATAAGAACTGTGCTCTTTCTTTCTTTCATTCATTCATTCAATTGTCACTCATTTCACTGCCCTGTTTATGACATCTTCTGACAATATCCCACAGGGACTCATTGTCACTGCCAAACAGACATACTATCCCATCGAGCTCTCGAATGCTGAGCTTCTAGCACATTACGAGACGATCCAAGACTACCACCAGGACATATCCGCAAACGTAATATCACAATCATGCAAATTCAAACCGGATCCCAAATTGATCGAGCAACAGCCGGAAATGAATCTGCACCAGACCCGTCAGCAGGTTATGACGGTTCTGTTTGAGCTGGCAGTCAAGACCCGCGTCACAAACGGTATTTTTTTCCACGCGGCCCGACTTTACGATCGCTACTGCTCCAAAAGAGTGGTGCTCAGAGAACAGGCCAAACTGGTCATTACTACATGTCTGTGGCTAGCAGCCAAAACATGGGGCGGCTGCAACCATATTATCAACAACATTTCAGTGCCAACAGGCGGCCGATTCTACGGGCCTAATCCAAGAGCACGCATTCCCAGACTTTCAGAACTCGTACATTACTGCGGCGGGGCCGACGTTTTTGACGAGAGTATGTTTCTGCAAATGGAGAGACACATCCTGGACACTTTGAGCTGGGACATCTGTGAACCGATGGTTACCGACTACGTGCTCAACGTAGACGAAAACTGTCTTATCCAGTACGAACTTTACAAGAGACAAATCGAGCACAACAAGGAATGGTTTCACAGAAACTCCCAATCTTCAGACAGCGATGCCACGGAGGCAGACGAGGAAGAAGACGAAGATCTGGTTGTGAAAATACAATTGATTAACGTGAAAAAATTCCTGATAGATCTAGCCACTTGGCAAAACGAGCTTCTCAAATATGAAATGTTTGAGCTTGCTCACGGAATTTTCTCCATCATCAACAAATTCACAGGTCAAGAACAGGGTCCGCTGCTGCTGGCGCCGCTACCGACATCGGCAAGCCAAGAGCGTCTTCTTAGAATCTTCATTCTGGGTGTGGCAAGAGCCCCATCATCGCTACTGAAATATTACGAGGAAAGTCCTGGCGTATTGGCGTTTGTCGATGCGGTCAAAGAATACTACGCGCTGGAGCAGAAAAATATGCAACTTGCGTCGCGGAAGGATCTTTCCCGCACATCAACGCTTTCCTACGACGTTCCATCAATGCCTTCTCCTCCTTACCAGGGTGGCACTTACACACCTATGAGGAATACATCCGCGCCCTCAGACGTCAGCATATTCAGCACTACCGAATCTCAGCCTTCGCCTGTGACACCTGTCATGTACTCCTTTGCACATAAAGCACAATCCGGAAGTGCGTGTGGATCCACGCTCAGCGTAAACAGCATATCAAACAAACGTTCCAAACCACACGATTACGAGAGCATGGACCAAGACAAAGAAAACTACAATCATAGCACTTCTGGCTCAACTTTTGCCATCCCGCCTCGTGCCAAGTTTGTTGGAAACAGTATATTCGCATCTGGTGGCACATCTACCACCAACAGTAACCGATCGTCACTGGTTTCGCTTGCCATCAGTAACGTTAATAACATGGTGTGAGCCTCTATCAACTATAGTTACACAACATTTACGTATACACAATTTAATGGTCAACCAGCAACTCGACATGGAATTTCTACCAGAAAAGAACTCTCAGATAATACACGCTATCATCATAACGCTGCAATTGATCCAGCATCGTTGTGTCACCGTGAGTTCCGCGCTGGCCGACCCATTAGTAGTTGGGCTGAGTGAGCTTTAGTATAGAATGACACGAATTCTAAGTAAAGAAGGCTTTTAAAACTAAAGTTTCATCCAACTTGACCAAACTTTTGAAGAAAAACCACAAGTCAATCCGTAAGGTTTTGTAACGATGATTCCAACCTCGTATCTTCTAGTGGTACTGAGCTTGTTGAGTGCTGTTTTCTGTGATGATTTGACGTCGTCGCTTTATGGAACATGGTCGTCAAAATCGAACCAAGTGTTCACAGGACCGGGTTTTTATGATCCGGTGGAAGAGCTGCTAAAAGAACCTTCGCTTCCAGGAATATCGTTTTCTTTCACCGAAGACCAGCATTTTGAAGAGGCTATTTATCAGGTAAAGGCCAATCCAAAAGATCCCGGGTGTCCACTTGCAGTTATGATCTACCAACACGGTACCTACGACCTTCAAGATAACGGGACGTTGACGCTCAACCCGATTGCGGTAGACGGGAGACAGCTGTTGAGTGAACCTTGCCAGGACAATGGAACGTCTGTGTATTCTCGCTACAACCAAACTGAAGTCTATAAATGGTTCCAGGTACAGGTCAACGATTACCATGGGGTCTACGAGCTGCAATTGTACCAGTCGGACGGCACGCCTATGCAGCCAATGTATCTGGCCTACAGACCTCCCATGATGCTGCCTACCGAGACACTGAACCCAACAAATACTGCGGACGGCAGCACGACAAAACAGAAACGGTCTTTGAGGAGCTTGGTGAGACGTGGACTTGAGAATAGACACAAGACGAATGCTGTGAAGCGCAACGAGTCTTTCGTTAGCAGTGCATGGTTCAAATGGGGGTCTCTGGGTCTAATCGGGGTTGGGTCCATTACGTTTATCATTACATAGTGGGACGGCCAGAGAAAAGATTAGACAAGACAAGACAAGACAAGACAAGACAAGGCACGACGAATCTTCACTTGTTTGGCAATGTCAAAAAGCAGTGTATTTGCTGCGTGTCTCGAGATGCCCATTCAGGCTCAGCCGTAGTTAGTGTTGACAAAAGAGCACGGGAAAAAAAAACACGGCAAGGATAAAAGAATACATGACTAGACAAGCGATACACGAAGTGTAAGGAGCGTCATCACAAGCGTGTGGATATAGTTTGAATCGTTGACACCGGGTTTTTCGTTTTATGGTACAAGTAAGTCACATGACCTTCATGTAAGTCCTCTTCCTCCAGCGAACCAATTTATCTCTTTGAACGAAACAATTGATTTCTTAGGCTTCCAAATACCTCGTGAAAGTCACGCTTCAATCATTATATAATCAAAGCCTTTAAATTTTGAAATTTATAAAACCACGATCATATCTCACGAACATCTTCTATTAAAGATCAAAGGTCAGATGAGAAAAGGACTAGACAGACCGGAAACTAGCAGTCGATCCATTTCTTTCTCGTCACATTATAACTCCCCAAAACTACTATCCCACTAGAATCCTTATAAGTCTTTTATCTGATGTCTGTGCAGCCGGTTTCTTCTTCCCAGCTCGACAGCCTAGTTCAAAAGGCTACAAGCGAGTCCATTCCACACGGAGCAGTTGACTTGACCATCGCGCTAGAGGTTTCCGATGTCATCAAATCACGGAGAATTGGGTCGAAAGACGCGATGCGCTGTCTCAAAAAACGCATTGCCTCTACAAAATCTAATCCAAACACCCAGCTGGCGTCTTGGACGCTCACGGAAATGTGTATAAAGAACTGTGGGACGGGGCTGATCCGTGAAATATGCTCACGCGAGTTCATGGACTCTCTGGAGCACACTATCCTGGATAGTGAGGACAACGAAGAGCTGGAACGGATATGCAAGGGCATCTTGCAAGGTCTGAACACGGCTTTCAAAAATGATTCTCAGCTCGGATACGTTTCCAAAGTATATCAACGTCTGGTGTCAAGAGGCGTTGAATTTCCACCAAGCTCTACTAGCGATTTGGAGTTAGCCCAAGCTATGTTTGACTCGAAAACACCGGCAGATTGGGTTGATTCCGATGTTTGTATGATCTGCTCGACCAGGTTCACACTCCTCAACAGGAAACATCACTGTCGTTCGTGTGGGGGCATTTTCTGCCAGGAGCATTCTTCTAATAACATTGCGTTACCTGATCTAGGAATCTACGATCCCGTACGTGTGTGTGACGACTGTTTTAGCGAATATGACTATAAAAGGCAATCAGACAAGAAGAAAGCTCCGAAAAGGTCAAGGCGTCATTCCAAGAGGTCTTCTCAAAGCGCTCAGGATCAGGAAGATGAGGAACTTAGAAGGGCGATCGAAATCTCGCTGCGAGAGTCTCGTGGAAATGACACGTTTGTTCCCGCAGTTCCAGCCCCGCCATCAAAACCCAAAAGTCCAATCCCCGCTACAGAGGAAGACCAGGATGAAGATCTGAAAGCCGCAATCGAGGCTAGCTTACGCGAGGCTGAAGAGCAAAAAAAGCGGCAGGAATCAGTCTCCTCCAACTCATTTTATGTTCAGCGAGAAAGTCCACGTCCCTCTTACGAACTGTCGGCTTCTGAGGAAGACGACATCTATTTGTTCGCTACACTCGTGGAAAAAATGAAATCACAACCACCCTCAGCTGTACTAGAAGATGTACAGCTCCAGCAGCTTTATCGCAAAGTCATGGGTAGTGCACCCAAGCTTAATTACGGTCTGAACGACACTTCACAGAAATACAACAAGCTTCTCGATGTGAACAGCAAAATATCAGACATCACAAACATTTACGACTCTCTTCTCGAGAAGCAATTGGAGGCTATTAACCTGAACCAGCAGTACACACTCCCGCAAATTCCTTCCGACCCTTACGCTTACTACAACGTTGCCCAGCAAGATAATTCCACAGTACATCAGCACCCTTATGCAAAAGAGACCCCAATACCAAATGTGACTAGAAGTCCAGAAGTAGTACCAAGCAGCATTTCGACACCTATTCCTCAATTCCAGGAAACCCGAGTGGGGCACAACCAGGGGCCAAACTATGCGGACGATTTACAAGGGGTTTCTTTGGGATCTCCTCAGTCCAATGGTAAAGTATTAGTACAGCAACGACCCTATCCGGACGACATACAAGACCTAACCAATGTGCCTTCTGAGCCGAATTACGAAGCAACTGACTTAGACCTGGAGAAGTCTCAAAAAACCCCATATCCAGCCGACGAGGAAAATGTCGAGCAAAATGAAGCCAAGACTTCAGCCAAGGATGGTAGTAAAATAACCAACTTTGATTTCCCGACGGTTCCTGTTCATCATCCACCAGTAAAAGAGCAGCAACCGGCACATGTAGAGAACACGCAGGACCGTGAAGAACTGCTTATTGAATTATGAGGAATAGATTCTACAGAGCAACTTTGAAACACTCCACATCTATTAGAAGTTTCGATATACATATGTATAAGACTTAACATAACGTAAGCCGTGCTGCATTCCTGTTGAACTTCAGTAACCTCAACCCCTGACCAGCAAAAGACGAGTGATTAAATCATTATAATGCAATCTCCTCTGTTTCCATACCGCAAGTTTGACACCTGCGTTTGAGGATATGCAAGCCATCTTCATTACAACCTCCGTCAACGGCAGCAGAAAATTCATGTACATGTTCTTTACCATGTTTGCGATCGAGCAATTTCCTTGTGTACTCCTGTGCCCTAGTTTTAATCCGCATTTGCTTCATTTTCTCTTTATACTTCTTTTCACGCCGCTGAGCTTTCCCCTCTTCACGTCTTTGCCATTCCCCATCTAGTCCCTCAGCGCTGCCCCACTTGTTATACGCAAACGTCTCAACCTGACAACGCACAAATAGCTGCATTCGAGCGAAAGTTCCAGAGTGAGGATTTGGCTTTTCGAAGCGGTGGAAAAGCGTAACATCGTTGAGTTCCGGGTCGGTCAAGAAATAATCCTCTTTGCACTCGGTTTTTGTCAAAAGTGAGAACTTTTCTGGATGGCCTTTGACGCAAGCTTTGCAAACCTGAAGTTTAAAGACGTCATGCATGAGAGGATCCAACTCAGTATTTATTTCGCATTCTGTACATTTTGGAGCCAGTGAGGGATGTTCCGGGGGCTCTGCATCTTCATAAAGCGCCCTACGTTCTTGTTGTGCCTTTTTCCATTCTTCCAGCGACTGGTTTTTCTTTCCCTCACCGCTGTTGGGTTCTTCGTCTGTATTAATGAACCCACCGTGCGAGTTTTTCATCGTGGCCAAGTCATATTCGATGTAATCCTGTTTGCGAACCGTGGGCCGTATTCTATCCAACGGTCTCTTGCTACTGGTTGATCGATCGAGCTCTACTGACGGGTTCGCTCCAAGAGACGCATCTCGAAGGTTTTGTTGGTGATGCGTGTAGAGCTTCATGGCTTTGGCTCGGTTTTCGGCGATTGTGGAGTCAACTTCGGGAGTCTCATTCAAAGCACGTTTGGGACGTGGTTCATTGCGGCTTTCAATCTGCTGAGCCTGTTCATCTCTGATGATTCCTCGACTTTTCAGTCTTTCCAAAGCTCTTCGTCTGTTGGCTTCCTAGCACCATCAAATAAAGGTCAGTAATGCTGAAAAGTGTCGTTTTCGACCCGGAAAAAAAGTGCCATACTATTCGAGCCTTTTGCTCTGCGTTCATCGTCATAAAAGAAGGGCTTTCCAACAGCTTTGGCCTTCGCTTTACCGATTTTGATCTTAGCTCTTCTTCTTGATATCTAGCGATGAGCTAGACATTTCAATATTGGTGATGTCATATTAAATCTGGTCAGCGTCGTCTATAATGACACATAAAAACAGGTATTCAAACCCATTGGATTCTCACCATCCTTCCATTGTGTAGTCATGCTCGATTCCCGGTGTAACACTAGCGATAAACTTGAGGAAAACCACTAAGTATTGGTCAACGCGAAGACCGCCGTCGACTTCGTTTTGCAAATCTTCCCAATCGTCATCTGTGGGTTTGGCGGTGTCTACACCAGCTTTAGTGTTGTTACTCTCCCGACGCTTGCGACTCTTAACCTCCCGGATCCGCTCCATCAAAACTCGCATCACATTCGCATGCTTGCACGGATGAATCGAAACGGAGGTCACGTGAGCATTGAGAAATGGTAGCGTTTCAATTGTGGCTGTCTTGGAACGGTAGTCGGGGGCAATATCTTGAAACATTTCCTGCGGGCTCAACGGCAAACCCTCGTTATTGAACCCTACGAGATACAATTTAGGGACCCGATAAGTGGTGGAATAAGCAATGTAGAGATCGTAGTACCGCGTATCGCTCGGCACGGAAGGAAGCACAATGTCGTCATCTTCGACGACGCCGTCGTCGTAGTCATCCTGGTTCTGGCCCTGAGGGTCCAGCTCCATGTCTTGTAGCATTTCATCAATGTCTACATGATTGGTTTGACCAGCACGGTTATCTTTATTTGTACCAGCGACTTCGGTATTTGCCCCTTCCACCACCCAATCTTCGGCGCTGTCGCCATCTTTTAGTCCCTCCTGGTTCCATTTGTCTCCCTCATCGACTGCCACTGTGGTTAGCTTTTCGGCACGTTTCGCGCAGGGCACCTTGCGAGTGACCAAAAACTGTTTATCGGGAGGAAGAAAATCGCGACCTCTAACGGCGCTCGTGGCCCGATTCCACTCCCAGGTGGGAAACATATGGCACAAGTATTCCCCTGCTTCTACGAATTCTTCCGGGGTAATCTGGCCCGTGGTTTGGAAAGTTGACGCGTGCGTCACAGGCGTGAGGTATTCTCTCCAGCTCATCAGCTTGGATCTAATCATATTTGGCGATTCTTGAGTCGGAGATGTGAACTGGAGTGATGGTGTGTGTGTATTCGACGGGCAACGGTTTAGGTTTGTAGCATCAAATTATGTATTTGTATGCTAATTTAGATGATTAGAGATGATGATGATGATGATGATGATGATGATGATGATGATGATGATGATCCTCACGTGAGCGGTTTAATGTCCGTGTCCAGTGACTACTATGAAAGTACGAGTCACGTGCAATATTCATATCATGTGACTCAATAATTTAATACGTTTTCTCTCATTTTCCACGAGTCACGTGCTTATTTGATCTGCTTTTCTTCTGGGATTTTTTCCCAGTGTCACAATGGACGGCATCTGGTACGATATGTTAACAATCTGCATCCATTTCAGATCCTTTATATATATATATATATATATAATGATGCCCTAAGTGTCATATTTACATATAATAAAAATCAATCAAGATCGAAGCTCTAAACCACCTCAAGGCAAGTATTCGAGAGTTTTTCCAGTGTATATCCACCATCTTTAAGGGTTTTCCAGGTAGCCTTAACTTCACCCTCTCGAAACTGCGTTTTTTCCGACTCTTTTGAGCCTTCTAGCAGCTCTAGATCCCATTGTGACACTCCGACAGCGATGACCGTAAAAAATCGCAAAAGAATCAAAGCTCGGGACTCCTCTCCCACGCCAGAACCAGGCCACCAGAGTCCTTTGGTCAACGGCAAACACAACCACAACCACAATCATGTTTCACAACACAGTCGATCTTCCAAATCGTCAAAAAATGAGGCCAGTGACAGGAAAAAAAAAACTTGGAAAGAATCGCGACGTATCGTATTCTCGCTAGGTGCAATTCTCGGTCTGGCCATTGCGATCTACGCTGGCGCTATGGGTGGCAAGTCCAATGCAGCGCTTTTCGAAAATTTTGTGAGTTTCGAGTCGTTTCAAGACTACGTGGATGACTGGAAAGATGTGCTTCCTCAAAGCTTCACATCCTTAATCTCGGACTTTCAGCAGCGCAGCACACACTCGACGTCACACAAGGACCTCACAGAAAGCTTTGCCGTTGGCAAACAATTGCATCAAGAATTCAATCTCCACGATAAGCACCCTGTAATTATGGTACCTGGAGTCATTTCCACCGGCATAGAGAGCTGGGGGCTCTACGGGGATGACGAATGTCCTTCAGAACCGCATTTCCGTAAGCGTCTATGGGGGTCCTTTTACATGCTGAAGACAATGGTTCTCGACAAAGTATGCTGGCTGAAGCACGTCATGCTGGATCCAGAAACCGGGCTGGACCCCGCAAATTTCACCATGCGTGCAGCGCAGGGATTCGAAGCCTCGGACTTTTTCGTGGCTGGATATTGGATCTGGAACAAAGTCTTGCAAAATTTGGGCGCCATCGGGTATGAACCCAATAAGATGGCTGCTGCAGCATACGATTGGCGTTTAGCATACTTGGACCTCGAACGTAGGGATAGCTATTTTTCCAAGCTCAAACAAAAAGTCGAGCTGGACTACAAACTAACAGGCGAAAAGGCAGTCTTGGTAGGCCATTCGATGGGTTCACAGATCATCTTCTATTTCCTGAAGTGGGTCGAGGCTGAGGGTCCACTTTATGGCAATGGTGGGGCCGGCTGGGTTGATACATACATCGATTCTTTTGTCAACGTGGCAGGCACGCTGTTGGGTGTTCCTAAAGCCGTTCCTGCTTTGATCAGCGGAGAAATGAAGGACACAATTCAGCTCAATGCGTTGGCCATGTACGGACTTGAAAAGTTTTTCAGCAGAAAGGAAAGACTGGACATGATTCGAACATGGGGCGGTGTGCCATCGATGCTACCCAAGGGAGGATCTTTGATATGGGGTGACCATCAATTATCGGTCGAAGACTCGTCTTTAAACTCGACTTCGTCGTATGGGAGCTTCATCAAATTCGAGAATAAAAACGAAAATCCGTTCCATCAAAACGGCTTTACCATGAGCGAGGCGCTGGATCTTCTGTCGGAAATTTCCCCGCCATGGCTACGCAAACGTATGGTCGATCAATACTCATTTGGTTACGCCAAGACTGAGGAGGAAATGCAGGAAAACGAGCGTCATCATTCGCACTGGAGCAATCCATTGGAAGTGCCGCTACCGAATGCGCCAAATCTTAAAATCTATTGCATTTACGGTGTTGGAAACCCTACTGAGCGTGCCTATGTCTACAAACAGGACCACGAAAGTTCGGAGCTTAACTTTACCATAGATTACGAGTATCACCAACCCGTGACATTAACGGATGGAGATGGAACAGTTCCACTAGTGACTCACGCGATGTGCCAGAAATGGGCTCAAGGCCAGAGTCCTTATAATCCTGGGAATTCTTCTGTCAAGGTGGTCGAAATCAAGCATCAGCCTGATCGATTCGATATTAGAGGTGGGGCTAAAAGCGCAGAACACGTTGATATTTTGGGGAGTGCAGAACTGAACGAATACATATTGAAAATTGCCGGAGGCATTGGAGACACTATAGAGTCCCGTTCGATCTCAAACATGACTCAGTGGGTAAGTGAAATGCCGTTTCCCATGTAAGGGTAATTGCCCAAACAAGTTTTTTTTTGAAAGCTTTGCGCGACTTCCCAGAAGTAAAGAGAATACTTCTCAAGCACTGCATCATCTTTTGAGGGCTAGAAGATGGTGTGATGTTCAGCTCGCCTTTTTCAGACGCACCTTGTCTTATGCCAGCAAGAATAATCAAAACCACATGCGCAATTGATTTTTTCGTTGAGAAATCAAGCTCTTATGTTCCAAATATTGCATTCAAAGGCGCAAAACAGAAATCTATTGTTGAGAACTCTCTTCAATTCCATACAGCTTGTTTTGGTCTTCCCGTTGGCTAGTACAGATGCCCAACACCAGTCCCGTCGTTTTACAGCGGTTACATCTCTCTGTACGAACTCTTCCAGATTTGTCGCGTCGCCAAAATGAATTAAAAACAAACACGTCAAGTCTGGCAAGTCAAAGTTCGCGAACTCCACGCTAAAAAAGAAGACAAAAGCTTACTGTTATTTAAACACCACTTTAGCGAAGCTTTACTGCATTTGCTGGTTAATCCTAAATTTTATAGACCATCAATATCTCAACATGACTGCGGAATGTGAACGACAGCCTTTGGGCAGGGTATCAGAATCGAGGATGAATCAACGAAATGGTCTAACGATGGCCGAATTAACGGGGAAATCCAGCGCTAGGAAGCTGCCATCGATCACTTCGATTATCCATGAGGAGCCAGAGAGCGGAAGTGAAGCTCAAGGATCCGAAAAACACACAGAACGCCATACAGACAGGCAAGATATCGATTTTGATGAGGTTTCCCGCAAACTCAAGATCCGAATGCAAATGGCTTATTACAAGTACCGCACGAAACAGACGCGTCTCAGCTTTCGCCAGGTCGACCAATCGACGCCCAGTGGTGGCGTGCTTAAAATGGGTGTTCCGAAGGACAAAAAAAAGGGCATTTTCTCGGCACACAATAAGGCTTCCAGTGGGGTGGGGAAACCCGCACGCAGACTGGTGATGTCACAGGGCTCATTGCGCACCCCAGTCAAGCCTTCGGCCGTCTCAGGCGGTCGAACACCGTTGCGACCACTCGACGCCAACCAGACCACGCCAATGTCCGTGAAAGCCGCAAAATCACTCATAAACCTGTTCACCAGCAAGCAATGAATCTCAAGCAATGAATCTCAATCTGTCACTCAAGTAGTGACACATCCGGAAACGGTAGATAGACCCTATCCATCGCAAGCCGTTATCCTTTTGGCATCTTCTGAAGTTCGACCAAGTACTCATGCGGACTCGTCGAAGATCACATGATCAAAAAAGCTGCTCCGTTAACTGCGACGTGTACTCGTGGTGTCGTATTCGCGCTCGTTTAAACCACGTCTCGATCCATAACGAAAATGCGCCAGCTATATAAGCATGGCAGTTTAACATCACAGCGATTGTCTTCAGAGTTCGACCCCATCCCATCGAAAATAAGAACAGCACCGTCATAAGATTTGGAAATGAGATTTGTGTTTATCGTGGCTTTCATTGCCGCAGCATGGTATGCTATGGAAAAAGCGTTGTACACTTGGCTACCCACAAACTACGTTTTCGACCCAGAGACGTTGCACAACATCGCCAACGGTGTGATCGCGACACACAAGACTTTGGGAGACCAATCGACCACGGAAGCGTTGCTCAAGGACGTTAGACAGGCATTGGCAGATCATTACGGCGACCAGTACATCAACCAGTACGTGAAGGAAGAGTGGGTGTTCAACAATGCCGGTGGTGCGATGGGTCAAATGTTGATTTTGCACGCTTCGGTGTCCGAGTACTTGATTCTTTTCGGGACTGCTGTGGGCAATGAGGGCCACAGCGGGGTGCATTTCGCGGACGACTACTTTACGATCCTCAAGGGTACACAATATGCCTCGTTGCCTTGGAACCCTACTCCAGAGGAGTACTCTGCAGGAATGACCCATCACATGCACAAGGGCTACGGAAAACAGTACGGCATGGACAGAGAATCGTTCGCGCTCGAGTACGCTCGTGGCTGGATCCCATGTATGTTGCCATTCGGATTCCTCGATACTTTCACCAGTACTTTGGATTTCTACACGCTTTACCGCACAGTGTTTCTCACCGCTCGCGACATGGGTAAAAATTTGATATTCAACCAAAAATTTTGAGGGAAAAAAAACTGCGAAAAGGAAAACCGACCGAGCATTCAGATGGACAACCATGACAAAGACACATATCGGTCACCAAATCGTGTTATAGATCTGCTTGAATCTCTGGTCTTGTTTTACTCATTCCTTCGTTGTCGTTTCCGACGGGACACTCTCCAGCATGTAATAAAGTCATATATATATCTTAAATATCTGAAATTCACATTTACACGCTAAAAACCAGGCTTCAAATAGTGCTATTGGGACGCTTTTGAGCCAATAGCGTTTATCTCGTGGACCCAGGAGCTCTCCTCGTGCTAGCCTTGCTCGAGAGCTGCACAATGAACCCTCATTTGGCCGAAATCCAGCGGCTTTTGGTACCGGAATCATCGCATTTGTCTTCACCAAGCGTCGAGTTCATCCCACACCTATACTATGCCATCCATCAGGTAAAGAAGGATCCCAATAGCAGCACCGCATCTCTAGAGGCTGCAACATCGTCAATCCGCCATCGATTGAAGCAGTGCAAGGCTCATTTAGCGCAAAACCATGAGTGTCGCGAGCTGCTCAGCAGCACGCCTGCAGAATGGAACGTCACGCTAGCACAACGCGAAAAAGACCTGGAAGCAAAGCAGGAGCTATGCAAACAGCTAGCTCTTCAAGTCAAGCAACTTTGAGAGAATTAGCAGAAAGGAAGAGTGAGAACAGAGGAGGTAAGGAGCGGAAATCTTGGACAAAGCGTCTCAAATTTTTGATTTCGCCAACTATGGATAAAATACCATGACGTGATTGAATCCAAAGCTAATGTTACCCAGAAAAAAAAGCCATCAGTTGTTCTCTTTCAAAACTACGCGTTTGAAAGAAACCCGCCGAAACAGCAAAATACAATCACGTGCACCTTCCCAGTCTTTGAATCACGTGATATGTGTCAACCGTATCACTTTCCACGACAACGGAAACTCAAAAAATTTTCAAAAATCTCAAATTTCATCAAAAAAAGAGTAGAAACCCATTATAGAGTTCAAAACGTTGTTGTTGTCTCCTGATTTCCCAAAAACTCAGCTTTCCTTCCATTTTCAGCCAATTTCATTGTCATCAATGTCTTCTACGGCCCCACTTCCCTTGGGAGACTTCTCCAAGATCCCTACTATCCCAGGTGTTTCCCCAATGACAGAATCGCAACAGAAAGAGTCCTTCTGGTCGTCGAACCCAATATTCAGCTACTTGAACAACGTATACAACAATGTTCATGCTCACAGACAGTCGTTGGCGTTGACTAACCCAGGTACAATCGAAAACTTGAACAAAGAAGTGTCCAGAGACGTTTTGGTGGGCCAATATTTCTTCACCGGTTTGAGAGCGGATCTAAATAAGGCGTTTTCCATGAACCCTGCATTCCAGACTTCGCATACACTTTCGCTAGGGTCTGCCAATCTGCCCAGCTATGCATTTTCTGCTTTGTTTGCGAACGACAACATGTTCATTCAAGGTAACGTTGATAACGAGCTCAGCGTATCTGGAAGACTCAACTACGGATGGGACAAGAACAACATCACCAAGGCCACTTTGCAATTTGCTCAGGGCCAACCCAGCATGTGTCAGCTTGAACAGGATTACCAGGGCTCTGACTTTTCATTGAACTTCAAGTCTCTTAACCCATCCATTTCCTCTAAGGGTGTGTTTTCCGGTGTCGCTGTGGGCTCCATCCTCCAAAGCGTTACCCCTCAATTTTCTTTGGGTCTTGAAACCATTTTCAGCAGAGGTCAAGCCGGTATGCCTGCTGACGCAGCCGTCTCCTATGTGACCCGTTACGTGGCTCCAAAGCAAAACTGGATCTTTTCCGGTCAATTGCAAGCCAATGGTGCTCTTGTTGCCTCTTTTTGGCGTAAAGTTGCCGAAAACGTTGAGGCAGGTCTAGAAACCAGTCTCCAAGCAGGAATGGCTCCAATTGCCGATCCTGTCATCGGCACTCCTATTGGCATCCAACCCATAATTGAAGGTGCTACCACTTTGGGTTGCAAATATGAATACAGACAATCGGTTTTCCGTGGTTCTTTGGACTCCACAGGTAAAGTGAGCTGTTTCTTGGAAAGAAAGATTTTGCCTACTCTTTCCGTACTCTTCTGTGGTGAAATCGATCACTTCAAACAAGAAAGTAAACTAGGATGTGGTTTGCAGTTTGAAACTGCTGGCAGCGAAGAACTGCTAATGCTACAGCAGGGTCTAGACCCAAATGGTAACCCCTTACAAGCTCCCGTCCAAGTCTAAGGAAAATTGAACAACGCGACCTAGAATAACAAAACGATTTTTGAGGGAAAGATTTATGGCATTGATTTTTTTTCTCGCCACAAGGCTCCTTCGTGTAATGACTTCAGCATGAAAGAGCTTGTAATAGGCTCTTGTTTATAGCTTAACCAATTCCATTCATTTGTCATTCTCAGTTTATGTATTATTGTACACTGCAAATCTAGTAAGTTTCATGGCTTGTGAGAAGGACAAGTATCACTTGAGGGCCAGCCCCAAAGTGCTTTTATGCTAAATGTGAGAATGGTAATTGACGTAATCCTCGGAGTCCACATCCATCCAGGTAGTGGCTCCCAAACTCGAGGTTTTCCCGCTAAATGCTTGATGGCGCATAGGAAGTGAAGAAGATCTCACTTTTGAGGATCTTGAATCGAACTGCGAAGATAAATTGCCATGATACGAGCTTAGCCGTTTCGTGCTCGAGCCACGTTGTAAATCGCGGTCTTCCGATACCATAATATTTCGAATAGCGTTTTTGAAGGCCAAATTGACAGTTTTATCGTGCGAAATCTCTTCGCTCGTTAATTCTGTTTCTTCAGAACAACTGTCGGACTCGTCAAGTAAATATTCGAGGTCACTGTCATCTTCCATTTCCAAACTATACCCATGTGGATTCAGGAGGCTCCCTGAGCTATCTGCATCCTCATGTGGTTGTATTCTATAGGAACATATGGTGCTTATCATAGACTCGAAAGTAAGTTTGACCTCCTCACTTATTTCGGTCTGGCCTGCCAACGGTAAAAACTCTATTATCCAGTAGCGCTCAGGATTGAGCAGAAGAATCGAGATTTTGAAATGCGTACATGCCATTCTCGTAACTTGAAGTTTTGGTAAAATAGGATGCAAAATGTTGTCCTTTCTTCCCAAGCAAAGATAAGTCATTTTCTGAGGCGGCATTTTAGAGCTGTTATATGTGATGATCTGGTAAATCTCTAGTGGTCCATCGGACATCAAACAAGTTTCTCGCCTGGTTTCAGCGCTTGCTATGGAATGATCGTGTGAGATGTGACGTCGCAGAACAGTAGAATGGGAGGTCATAGCCGTAGATACTGAAGATTCAGAACTACTTCTATGAGCTTTGATGATGACATTCACCACCTTAACACGGTCGTATTTGAAAAGCGTTACTCGTTGTGCGGATGAACGTTGCTGGACTTTAATGCTCGATCTGCGACTCCCAGAGCTCTCTTCAACACGGTTTGATTTCTGCTTCTCTTGTACTTGATTCTTCACGACTTCATCGACTACTTTTGGTGTACTTTTACGAGATTTATGGTTTCGAAGCAACAGTGTGTTCTTTATACTTTTGAAGGGCGACTGCTGTCTTTTATCTGTGTTTTTGGTACCATTAGAAAGCCCAGCTCGCCCATTTTTAACTCGTTCGATACCTCCAGTTTGCGGCTTTGTTTTGACCTCACTCATGCCAATAGAATCACAACAATGGCGGCAATAGGTGACCGAAAGGTTTGTTTAGGTTTCCGTAAGTAACTTGACCAAATTTCTATCTAAGTTATAAAAGGTCACTTTTTTATTATAGTGATCAACCAACCTCAGAAGTACATAAGGAAGCTTCGGTGCATGTTAGGTTCTCGAGCCCAAGAAGACTAGCGAGCCTTGACCAGATTTATCGTTCAAAATCTTTTTTCGTTAAGTATACAAATCGTTTCATAAAGAGAGCAGGCCGATCGGTCAGTCTATATCATAAAATATCATGGCGAAGCTAGACATGAACCTTTTCCAATAGACATCTCTGCATCTGCTTTTATTATTGAGTTCCTGATAGGGTTTATCAATGCTTAGACTCCACCTTTTTGCGACCCACCAAGCTGTCGGCAATGGCCCTGGTGGCCTCCCAGTGAATGACCTTTGGCATACGCTTGACAATTTCTGTCTCGAAATCGTAAAGCTGTCTGATTGGAGAAAACACAATGTCAGAGCCTTTAATACCGAGCACAGTGGCAGTGACGGAAACAGTTCTGTTGTCTGGGTCGAACTCCTCATCGTCCGCACGGGCGCTGCAGATGTCCGCCTGGTGATCCTCGATAAAGCCCACAGCCTTGACAGCAAGTCTTGTGGCTCTGGTTCTGTCGATAGGAGAGGGCAAGCCACCTTGTTGAACGTGACCCGGTTCAGCAGACTTGGCATTGAAGGCGCCCTTGGCCTCTGCGGTGATCACTTCAGCAAGAACTTCTGGAGTGAACACCTTGGACGCGTTCTTAGACTTCAAAATCAGTTTACCGAATCTGCCTCTGCCTTGAGCGGTCTCAAAAGACTCGGCAAGAGTTTCGATGTCCTGCGACAATTGTTCTAGTGAGATTCCTTCTTCGGGAACATACGAAACCTGAGCACCCACCGCTAGCGAAGCATTGGTTGCAAGGAACCCAGAGTTACCACCTTGAACGTCCACAACAAATGCTCTGCCTCTGGTCGAAGCTGCGGATTGCTTGATGACATCACAGTAGTCCATCAATGCATTCAAAGCAGTGTCGGTACCTAGAGAGTATTCGGTACCTGGAACGTTGTTCGACAGTGTTGCTGGCATCAACACCATTGGGATTCTGAAGGCAGGGAAGTTGGCTCTGGCTCTTTCTAGCTGGTGCAATGAGACAAAGGCTTCAAAACCACCAACAATGATAAGACCGTCGAACTTGTACTTTTGGAAGTAGTAAGCCACCATACCTATGTCTGCCTCTTCAGGCGTGCATCTGTTGGTACCAATCTCGGAACCACCGAGACTTTGCCAGCCTAGCATGGATTTCCAGTCCAAAGTACGAACACTTTCGTGTCTGGCCAATCCAGACCAACCGTTGTAAATGGCATATGGTCTGTGTCCTTGCGACATACAGTATGTGGCCATAGAGTAAACGGCCGAATTCGTACCACCTGCAGGGGCACCAACGTTCACAATGGCAATCTTTAATCTTTTGTCTTGTGGTAGTTTTGGTGGATTGTGATCAGCAGAGTTGACGGCCATGAAGTTGTTCAAATGTTCCACAAATTCTGTGTCTCTCAAACTCATGGCTTTTTTGAAATCTTTGGCTTGGATAGCCTCGGCCACAGATTTTGTTAGCTTCACCGATTCGACCAACGACTTACGAGTGATTTTGTTTTCGTTGATAGCAATCAAAGGAGAAGGCGTATCTGGAGTGGTTTCGAGAACTGCGTTGACAGCTTCAACACCTTGTAAAGTAGCCAAGATACGGTCGAATGCAACAGCAGTACCACCTCTTTGGACGTGGCCCAGAGTGGTGACTCTGGTGTCAAGTTTCAATCTATCGCACAAAACCTTGTGAACATCGTTTGGAGTAATTGGTGTTAGGTCATTGGCGATTGCACCCTCAGCCACAATCACAATGGTTGTTCTCTTACCTCTTGATCTGTGCTTTCCAACAATGTCGCACATCTGATCTTGCCATTCACGAGACGAGGCAGGCTTCTCAGGGATCAAAATATAATCGGCTGAAGTGGCAATACCGGCCATCAATGCTAGCCAACCACAGTTTCTACCCATAACCTCAACAACGAAGGCTCTGGAGTGCGACTTGGCGGTTGCCTCGATGTAGTCAATGGCTCTGCAAATTCTGTCCAAAGAGGAGTAAGCACCAATAGTGGCATCCGTGGTGGACATATCGTTATCGATAGAACCAACTGTACCACAGATGTTCAAGTGCTTATATCTGGCGAAAACTTCAGCAGTTATCTTGCCGGTACCCTTCAACTCTTGCAAGAGCGAAGGCCATTCGGATCTAAACAAGTCAGCACCAGTCAAAGACCCATCACCACCGCAAACAATCAAAGCGTCAACGCCGGCTTCGATCAAATGCAAGGCACCTAGCAATCTTCCGGGACGCTCTCTGAATTCCATACAACGAGCGGTACCGATGTTGGTACCACCTTCGCTTGACCAGCCACGGACATCTTCCCACGAGAATTGCTTGATGTACTCAGGACCTCCGCGGACTAGACCTTCATAACCTTCCATGACGACGTAAGCACGGCATCCTTTGGCGATAGCAGTACGCACGATAGCGCGCACATTGGCGTTCATACCTGGAGCATCACCACCAGAGGTCATGACAGCGATGGCCTTCTGCTTCAACGCGGAATCGGCGTCGCCGCCCGTTACGCCGGTGGAAAGAGAGATTGATTTCTCGTCGGTGGAGTCTAGTCCGACAGTTGACTGAGCAGAAGAGGGTAGGTTGGATGTGAAAGTGCCTGCAGACAATGGGGGCGCGGTGGGTCTTGCGCTAACGGCATTTTTAGTTTTGGTAACACCTACCACGTTACCGGCTGGGTCCACAGCGTACACCTCCATTGGGAAAAGATCCGTAGGATAGGCCTGTACGTTGTCGAATTTTGCGTCCAAAGAAGCTCTGCAGCTTGCTGCATCTGCAGACTTGAAAACAAAAGAATCTGAAACCTGGGATCTCCAGTCACAGGTGTCGCGTTCACTGGCGAGCTTCTTTATCCGGGCATCACTTTCTGCCTGTTTGTTGGCGTCTTCGCGAAGCACAATGGACACACTTATGCTTGAGTTGCGCAAAACTGTGGACTGAGCGTTCACGCTCTCGGGTTCCAAGTGCAAAAATTGGGAATAAAACTCAATACATGTTTGGTAGCTTTTTGGCGAGTGAGCGGTAACAGTACACTGCGATGTACCGTTGACCAGGGGTATATCGGCAGTCATCTTCAAAGGTCTTTTGACGGATTTTGGAGAAAACGGTTTGTAGAAGAATTGGATCACGTCAAGAAGGAGCCTTTTTGAATTTTGGGCACAATATAAACCACCTTCTCTTTCCGCCCTCCCTTCAATCTTTCCTTTATAAAAAAAGATCAACCACGGATGCAATGAGGTGATAAAAGCATGATTCGTTTGCCCTCGCTACTTTTGAGTTAGCTCTCCCTCTTCCATTGCGCGCATTGCGTAGGTCGCGCAGGTGATTTTTTTCCCTTCGTCGCTCCTGTCAGTAGGTGCTAGCTTCCACTACGTCTTCAGCTTCCTGTCGACACGAAGCAAAATGGCAGTGCGTGTTAAAAGCTGCTGCATGAAAAAAAAGACGCTAAAGACGGGCCCGAGGGACGACGCGAGAAGCTCTCCCAAAGCGGAAATGTGTGTTGTCCTGGTGTTAGGGCCTAATGAGGAGGGCATCTGGCGAAGGATCACCTGAGACCGGGAGAGAGATACAGGTAGGATGGCTATGAGCAGCAACGACGAAAAGAAGGTCACACACCAACGCCCTGCCGTGAGAATATGAAGAAACTCATGGTTCGTTGGGTCGATCAGAGAGAGAGAGAGAGAGAGGCTCTGGAATGAATCAAATCCGTGTTTGGTGATATAAGTGATGACGTAACCCATAATTAACCACGTGCTTTTTTACTATTGGGAATCCCTTTATACGACTAAGGTGGGTTTTTTGTGTCATGTGCGTGTGCGTGTGCGTGTGGATCGTTTCTAACGCGTTGTTGACGCTTAGATCGCTTGCCATAAAGCATTCTAGCCATTGCAATGGACCAATACGGTTGACCAGGCTCTGCACAATATTGTTTCTTCTTCGGTCCTCGTCTCTAGCTCCATATTATCGAATTTTCACGTTTCTACGTCGCTCGGCGGCAAAGTTCGACATCGTCTGTTATCTCAATCTTTTTGGATCTTTGTCTCCGGGTTCCTAAACGCTCTTACAGTAATCTTTAGTATTTAGAGCCCTCGCTTTTGTTTCATTGAGTCCTTCAATAAGTTATTCGTTGTACACTTCTCGGCGGCAAAAGTGAAGTTCATGAGAACAAGTATGGTTTTCCCAGTCGCTGTTCTTATATAAACCAAAAGGTTTTGTCACGTGACTCGCGATTCAAAAATGACGACACATACAAAAGGTATCGAGATTGATATGAAAGCCTGCTTTTAAAGCGTTGCAGTATCTCAGTTTACTTATTGCGCAGTAGATTGGGGTCAAAAAGCCAGTTGCAGATGATCTCTTTTTTCCAAAGCGTCATGTTGAAAGATAGCACGTGATCTTTTTTTTGTATCAAAGACCCTAACTTGAACTATAATCGAGAGACGCTAATTTAGCTTTAAAGCTCTCTACAATTTGAATTAGGATTACTGAGCTACACTTACACTTCTCGTTTGAGCCTGTATGAACCAACTTGAATCCCAAAATAATTGGCAGTGTCACTATCTACGAAACAACATGACTTTCCATGCTAACAATGTCCCCGAAGCTCGAAGTACGCGGGTTGGAGCCAAGAAATCCGTTTCCTTCAATCAAACTCAATTCGCTTTCTAAGTTCCCTGTATACTTTACAATTGCTGTACTTTTTCTTCCTCTTTTCAAATGTCTCTAAGTATGTCAGAAACATTAAATTCGAGAAGCTGCCAGTTGATCCAAAAGGACAGACATGATCCAAAAGTCTCGTCGCCAATGAAATTGTTCGGAGAGCGCGGGCAGCTGTTGAAAGACAACTTGTGATATCCGAGCTTCAATGGAAGCTCATAGCTTTGGAAACCATATATTATCTACTTAACCTAAAACTCGACTCTCCAAAATACCTTATTTTAAAATCAAACTTCTAACCTCCGTGGCTACTAAATGGAACGCCTGTTGGTTCTTTAATAAGAAAAACCTTTTTCTCATAAAACTTTTGTGAACGTTTGCGAGTATTCAACCAATTATGTTACTCGGCAGACCGGCTTCGACCTTGACGCGCGGGTCCACATTGTCCACGCCGTTTTGTTTCTCAGACGATTTCTGAACATCTTCCAGGCTCAGTAACGTGTTGCCGTTGATTATAAGAGGCAAGTTATTGATGGTACCAGTAGCTTGATCTGGTACGAGACCCTGTCTGTTGGTAATTTCAGGATCTTGCTGGTCTTGTCCTTGAGCATGATGATACCCATCTGAAGAGCCCGCGGCCATTGAGGGGCGTCTGGTAAATTCGTAATCGGAGTTGTCCCCATCTGGGTTTTCGAGTCTCCTTCTTTCCTCTTCCTCACGGATCGGATTGCCGCCTCCACGTTGCACGTATTGAGTCTGTAATAAAACCTGCTCTATATGACTGCAGAGCGTTAGTGATGATTTCATGTCATCTTGCAACAAAGCTTGTTTGAGCATGCCTACCAGAGATGAGTTTATAGTATTCTTCGAAATACCGCATAATTTGTCCATGCACTGCCCCAAGTCGTCGTACTCCGTTTCGTAGAACTTTAGGTCGCCCTCGACCTTCTTGATGTACTGCTTCTTGCGCTTGCGGAACTTGGAAGCGGCCACTCTGTTTCTCTCCAGAAACTCTTTGCGTTTACGATCTTGCTCATCCTTGGCTCTAGAAAAAGATGTGTCAATGCTGGTTTTAGGCAGTTTAGAGTTGCTTCTATTCTTTTGCCTTTTGGTGGGAGGTTCTTTGCTGAGGGGTGGACTCACTGAAGTTGCACCTATGGACTCAGTGGGAACAGCCGTATTACCAGTTGAAGAGATTCTGGTCATATTTGTGCTTGATTGAGAATCAGAACTTGCACGACCAGACGGAACCGATGAAGAGGTCTTTTTGTTGCTGCCTGAGGGTATAACGCAAAGGGAATTGGAAGATGTCGATGAATTCGAGTTTACAGCGGTCGAGTTGCCAGACAAATGACTTGAAAGTGGCCCCCAATGAGACGGCTGCATGGCTATTTGTGGTGAAAATCTCTGCTGTTGCGGCTGTTGCGGCTGGGGCGGCGGTTGCTGTTGTGGCTGCTGTTGCAAGCTTATACCCAAAAGCGAGGAAAGACCGGGAGTAAACTGTTCGGCTGGCAGAGATAAAGGTGGTACGATATTGGCCGGGGATTGAAGGGACGGTGACGGGTGTGGCGGTAATTTCCCTTGATTCTGTGCATGAATATTAGCTTGAGCTTGAAGCTGTGAGTGTATTGGATCTGTCGCCGAGATATTTCCAGGAGTCAAACCCGGACGCATGCCTGAGGAGTTGGGCGTGAGTCCCGTTTTCGAAAGATTGAGGAAAAAACCAGGCGTTGTTGTGCCTGGAGGCATGAGGTTCTGTGGAAGAGGGGAGAAATGTGAGTTTTGAGCTGGGGGCAGCTGGTAATGCTGATGGGTCTGGTTCGAAAGCATATGAGAAGAGCCTGGCGACCTAGTATGTTGCTGACCAATCATCGACGACGACGATCGCGCAGGGTCGCTTAGCAACAGTGGCGGAAGCCTTGTTGAGAGCTCGGCTGGCTTGCCATGATCCATATGAAGCTCTGGTTTGGACGATGCGGGGTTGACAGCAGTTGTAGTTGTGTGGTCAAAATTGTGTCCGTGAGAAGCAACATTTGGATGTGCCGACGTGCTCGACGTTTGAGCAGACTGAGGATACTCCAGCGTGGACTTGGAAGGAGGGAAAGCGTGAAGCACGCCTGTATTCATCGATCCAGTCATATTTTGCTCGTCAGCGGGGCGAGCGCCTGTTTGCTCCGGGTTGTGATTTTTCGACGAATGAGCTTTCTTGGTGGTCGCAAAACTTTGCTCAAACGGATTTGGCTCGAGATCAAACGATGAGACCATGTTTGCTGGAATACCAGCATGGTTTGTGCCATCAGGATGTCCTCCTGACTTGTTGGTCATTGCTATTTCCATTTGACTAACTCGAAAGAATCAAGTGGAGCAAAAAAAGACTCCGAACTGGAAAAGGCGAGCGAGTGGTATGAAAATGCGGCCTAGATCAGCACAGTACTCGCACGCGATCCTGTTCCCAAGATCAGCGGCTAACGCTGTTGTGCTTTGCGAATTTTCACTCTTGCCTGTGTCTATCCTGTCCAAATATACCGGTATGGTAAAATTGGTCAAAACTTCACCAAAATTGCCGGGGAAAAAGAGTTTAGAGAAAATCAGATGTTTGTTGACACAGTTGCGAGTCGAAAGGATGTCAAATTCAAGTGAATACGTCTGTTCCAACACTATTCTTTTGATCTATTTTTGAAAACATATAGATCTTACTTATAATCTACCCGATTTTTACTTTTTCACTAATATTCATATGGGTCAGGAACGTTAAAATCGACTTCTCGAGATGTGATAGAAACAGAGAGTTTTATCAGCAGCTTTAGGGATTTCATAAAGCACTTAAATAGCTTACTTTTAACAGTAAATTTTCAGGATTATTTTCCAGTTTTTGCGGATCGATTTGAACAAGATTTCGTCACACAGTGGTCACTTCTAACTTTTAAAATGTTAGTTTGCAGATTTTTCAGAAAAACAGCGCTGTATGAGGCTTTCAAGGCCATTTTGGATAGTTCATCAAGGGAAGAGCCGAGTGGGTTTTTAATGTGGCAATTTGAGCTCGATTGGCCTAAGTATCGATCATGTAAACGGCGTTACCAATATGTTGATGACAGATGGCAGGTGACAGAATAGTACATGGTGATATGCTTCTGGAAGCAGATGCGGCAGGTTTGCAATGTGAAGGGTTTGATGATCAAGCAGTCATTTGAGAAGCTGTAGAGCTTGTGTCTTGAGACTATTTTTGAAGCAGTGCGGTTTTGAGTAGACGGCAGTACGACCTTTCACCTGAAGAGGTTCGTTAATGCTTTTATTGAAGACAAAATGTTGAGTTTGAGCTTTACGGTATGAATTGAATGTTCTGAATCATTGTTAACAGTATCGATACTATATTGCTAAGGGGCCGGACGGTAGCGGACGGGTGTGACGGTCCCAAACTTACCTGGACCCGTTCGTTCAGTATTGAATGTTATCATTCTGTACTAAATTGGCATCTGGCACTAGCCTATATACACAGGTTTGGCCGAGCTACATTCTTCCATTCAACATGGACCATCTTCCTTTCAACAAGCCCGGGCGTGTCGGTAGGGGAAACATTGCATCCCCTGGGATGATGTTTGCCTGTTGAAAAGAAACGGGGTCGCACCGGCATGTCTTTTCATTTAAATGCACACTTTATCTCTACAGTCGCTCCCGCCGCTTAAGGTGTCCGTTTCATTAGCTGAGCAAAATAGCATTGTACTTCGTTTCAAGTCACAATGAAACCTGGGTGCCAATTGGATTTCTTGAGATCCAGCTTTAAGCAAACAACTACTCTTGCGTTTTTTTGTCCAGTATATATTCTGGCACAATATGCATGAAGCGCAGCTCTGCATCTTTTTTTGGTCTTCTTCATATTCGTTCGTCGGCTGAATGTTTCAGCCTTTTCGCCTGGCTGTTCTGACATCTCTTTACTCTTGACAGCACGTTCCCGATGGCTTTAAGTAGCTTACTCATCTGCACGATTGCTTGCCTCCATCTTAGCTTTCTGCATCAACTGCTCGTTCTTTCTCGAGTGTTTCTTGGATAGATAGATCGCTGTTTTCTACCCCCAGCTTCTTTAACTCACTTGAAACCCTTTGCAGCTCCATGACGTTGGCTTCCTTTATTTGTGCGCACTCTTCAAGTGTTGCATTCACTGTTGAGTGAAAAGTTAGTTTCTAATGGCAAGAGGGAACGAAAAAACGCACGGGAAAAAGTATATACATACATTTCAACTGCAGGTGATCAATCAAAGCTTTCTTAATGCTAGATCTATCCTTTTCACTGAGCATTGACACTGTTGTATGCTGCAGGCTTCTCGCCTGTTCTCACAGGTATCTACAATAACAGTACTTTAATTAAAAGATCATCAGTCCCGTGATCTAGAAGCAGTTGACTTGGGCTAAATTTAAGTCATGTGACCGAGGCTAGATACAGACATGCGCAATGAGTAACAAAAATTAGAAATTCCCAACAGGTAACCCGTCACATGACGTCTAAACTACTCATGAGTATATACCTCTTTACGAATTCAATTTTTGAGTAACTCGTCATGTAGTACGCTCATGACCTGTTGCTTACTCGGGAGTTTTGGTGCACAATATATGTTTACCACACTGAGATAATGCAATTGGTAACATCCAGGAAGCCGAGTAACAATCACAGCGACAAGCAATTACGAAGCGTCTTGTTGTGTTTTATTTACATGAAGGTGATCCGGAAGAGTCATCGAAAGCTTCTTTTGAAGTACTAAACATGGAATTTTAACCTTCAGGACTTTACGCGTCGCGCGTACAGTTTTAGCCGATTTATGTAATAACGCGTAAAGATAAAAAATTATCAAACTATATAAGACCGTTGATATTCTTCTGGAACCCCAGGTGCAAGTAGTCTCACCTCCTAGTGGTATAAGTTTCATACTGTTGGCGAAACACTGAAATGTTGGAAGAGAATATATGCGTAATAGAGCAGACTATGGCAAACCAAGCCGATCGGGCCTCTCAGCGGCCACAGATAGCCGAAACAAGTACAAATGTGGGCGAGGAAGACGAAAATGGAGGAGCTGCAGATGTCACCAGGACCACCACGAAAAGAGCGAAAATAAATCAAGGATGGATGGTGAAGTCTTCCTTGTTGAAATACTTTGATGTAAAGTTCAAAGACGGCAAGAAAATCGCCAATTGTAGACATTGCGGAAAATGTTACAAAGAAGGGGAGTCCACTGGAAACTTGAGCAAACATGTACGGGCTGTACACCCAGCAGCCTTTCGAGCCCACAATGGAAAGGTTGATAAAAATGTAGTGTTAGACTGCTTTATCAAAAAGAGAAAATCACTAAGCATCTCTCAATCAATATCTAATGAGTTCAAAAAAAACCCACATACTTTCAGGACTGCTTTGCTTGTTGCAGAGGGATTTTTGCCCCTGAATTTTGTCGAGCTCACAATGTGGAGCACGTTCAGCGACGACAATCAGTCAGTCGCTCCTGTTCGATCGAGGGCAAAAATATTTTGTCAATATTTATGGAGCTGTTGGAAAAGCATAAGCTTGCAGACAAAATAGCAACGCTGACCATGGACAACGCCAGTAACAATGTCTCAATGTACCAGTCGTTCATTTTTTCGCTTTTCAATGACAAGAAGCCTTTGGCAGGCCGTCTCCTAGGTAAGACCCGCTATGTTCGATGCGCAAGCCATGTTCTGAATTTGCATTTCAAGACGATAGTTTTGGAATTGTTTAAAAACGCTGATTTCGCAGCAGCTTTACATCGAGTCAAGACGCTGGCAAAGACCATGAGACGTAATACTCGAATCTGCGGTAGTTTGAGAAGTGCTAATATACCATTCATTCCGCTTGAAGCTCCCACCCGGTGGATGTACACCTGGCGTCAACTGAATTCATTTCTTGAAAATTATGCCAGATACAGATGTGGTTCGAGAAGCATGAGGAGAACGGTGATTCGGATATCATCTATATGCTTCGTGAATACATCTATTATGACGATCGAACTCTAAACATGCTAAATTATTTTGTTCAAAGCCTCCAATTCTTCAACGACTTTTCAATGAAGCTTCAAAATGAATCTTACAATCATCTTTCGAACGGAGTTCCCTTTTACTACTTGGTGGACAGTTTTTACTCTTATTGCGAAGGTGCTTTGAAAGGCCACGAGATCCGCAAAAACCGGTCCGGTCATGATTTCTCATTTCTGAATGGAGCCGCCGATCTCGAGCTTGGCGATAAACAACTAATTTTGAACGCTATCTTAGCTTCACGAAAGAGCCATCAAAAATATCTGACTTTGGTACGGCAGGACCCAATTTACTATGCGGCAATGATACTTGATCCAGGTGCTAAGACAGGGGCCTTATACAGAGTGATGTCAAAGGAGGAAGCCGACCAAAAATTGAGAGAGACTGGCCACTTCATTCAAAGCTATTTCAAGGAGTTCGACGATTCTGTTGATTCGCCATCCTTAACGCCTGTCGACACGGAGGCTGCACGTGGAACAGGAGATTTCATTTGCGATAGAGTTGACTTTCAGGGCACAGATGACCGCTCGCAGCTTTCGACTAATGCTGATACGCTAGTTCCAGAAGATGATGACTTTATGGAAGAATTCTATGCTTATCTGCGAGAGCCTCTTCTGAAAAATAGGTCGAAGGAAACAGCTGTTGCTTGGTGGTATGAGCATCGATACAGGTTTCCGAGACTCTTCCCTCTTGCAGTATCGTTGTTTTACACAAAGCTCAGCTCATGCGAAGTGGAAAGAGTGTTTTCTTTGGCATCGCGGGTAATGAGAAAGGATAGAACGCGACTTTCATCTAGAAACTTCAATTCATTGATGCTGCTGCGAGATAGATTTTCCCAGTTTGGCCTTTACAAACGCGGACCTTCCGGTGTTCGTGATGTTTGCAACGAGAAGTATGACATATACGAAGAGGATGAAGGCCTATCAGATCCATTCGAACTTTACGCTGCTTCTGATGATACTATGTGCGGAAGCGACCCAGATCTAACTGGAGAGGAATCGGAATTTGAGGCAGGTGATTTAAATGAAGAAGATTTGAGTGTAGCTGAGCCAAATAGTACATAGCACAGATTAGAATTATAACACTAGCCGCCCAACACCGAATCACTATACACGTTATAAAACACGAGTTACTCATTTCGTACATAGTCACTTACCCATTGCTTACTCAAGTTTTGTATGTGAGTGAGTAAAATTCGTTATCGATTACTTACCCACAGTTACCGGGTATTCGCCACTAGTTACTCGAGTAACCCATTGCGCATGTTTGGGCTAGATACACCGATGACAGCCCGATAAATAATGTAGATGATGTTTGTACAGCTAGTACGATGTCTTTCTTTTGCTTGTGTGCTACGATACCAAGATTCCAACAATCGAGAGTTGATTTTGCGTTTTTTGCGGAGCATTCCATATCACTTATCACTTTACCGTCGCCGTGGGAAGTATGAGAACTCAACAGGGAAAGTGTTTAACGACTCTTCATGGTCACTTTGCGCTATTCATAAGCAAATTAAGCAACGGACCTGGTCAACCCAATTCATTCTTGTAACTCTTTAAACCTGCTTTGTATACCCATTTTTTTTTGCTTTCGTCCAGCGTGAATCTCACTCACTGTGGAATATTACATGAGAAATTCAGAGTTTTATCCATACGCTAATAACCAACAGCTAGTTCCTTCTCTTCTGATAAGCTCAATTCTCCTAAATTGATGCCCGTTGGCCTGTTCGACGATAAAATGGTTTCCAGAAGTCCCAGATCTTGCTAGATTTCATGAATATCAAAATTCTAATTTGAATGGGATTGATCCTTGCCGCTCGACACCGTTGCACAACAGCACCGTCGTCATTGTCTGTTTCCTCATTCACTGACATCTTGAAGATATCTTCATCATTATCGACGATAGAGCTTCAGAATATATAATGGTGGCAAAAGGTTAACCAAGTATCGTCAAGGCCAGATCAAACAGGACCACATGAAACTAACCTGAACGCGTTTCCACCACTATTATAATCGTTTAGGTAGAACACAAGATGGTTTTAGAGGCGACCGTGCTGATAGTGGATAATTCTGAGTATTCCAGAAATGGAGATTTCCCTAGAACGCGATTTGAAGCGCAAATTGATGCAGTAGAGTTTTTGTTTCAGGCCAAACGTAATAGTAATCCTGAGAACTCCGTGGGGCTGATCTCATCCGCGGGCAACAACCCACAGGTTCTATCTACTTTCACGCCCGAATTCGGTAAAATTCTCGCCGGTTTGCACGAAACTACCATAGGAGGAGAAACAAGGTTAAGCACAGCAATTCAGATTGCGGCTTTAACATTGAAACACCGTCAGAATAAAGTTCAACATCAGCGTATTATAGCGTTCGTGTGCAGTCCACTGCAAGAAGATAGAGAAGAACTTATGAGATTGGCGAAAAAACTGAAAAAGAACAAGATCGCTGTGGATGTAGTCAATTTTGGCGAAATCGAAAGTAACACGGCCATTTTGGACGAATTCATTCAAACTGTCAACAATCCACAAGAAGAAGGCAGTCATATTGCCACCATTTCGCCGGGACCTAGACTCTTATATGAACACATCGCTGCTTCCAGTATAGTGCTCGAAGAAGGAGCTGAACCAGGTTTTGGCGGCATGGGAGGCGCAGGAATGGGCGGAGGTCAAGATTTCATGGACTTTGGTGTAGATCCCTCCATGGATCCGGAGCTTGCACTCGCGTTGCGTTTATCTATGGAAGAAGAACAAACAAGACAGCAGAGGCTAAGACAGGAAGAAGGAAACGACACGAAAAACGAGAGTTCTTCCACTCAATGAAATTAGTAACTTGGAAAGATGTTTATGTCAACGACTCTGTCACTGCGTATGCTGCTACTACACGCCTTTACCGGATCTGCAATGTTCATTGCACATTGTGATGCACATTGTGATGCACATTATTCCATAAAGACAACGCAAGACTCATCATCCTATGTTGAGAGGTCAGTGATTTTGATAACACTTGACAAATGCACCACCGTTGACATTTCAAATATAGGCGAATTTTGGTAGAAAAGTTTGATCTGGAGTGCTTTGAAAACTCAGGAAATTTATGCTGGTAGCCTGGTCTAGAGCATTGGTCTTGCCTCCTACTCTGGACTCAAGATCAGCATCCAGCGACATTGTTTCAATCTTTGAAAACGCAATGGCCTGAAAATGCTATCTACACGAAACCTCAAGATCTGCCCGGCAGCTCTAACGAACAGAAAAACTTTGAGATATTTAGTCAACGCTTAACTGCAGCTGCAACTAGGTGTCCAATCTCCTATCGTGTGAAGACAAAAGTGTGTCTCGATGATATGGAAAGCCCATGGTCACGTTATTAAATATATAATGTTAATTCAGGACATGGAAATAATGCATCTCAAAAAGTATAGCCCTCGCAAGTACGTTTAACAGCTCACGAAGACCAGGCTTCTTGCGAGGCCCGCATTTATGCCTCAAAATGATTCTGGAAGCCAAAAATCTTCTGCCGGGGACCCTTCCGGCTCGTTACAGGGCTCATTAGCCGATAAATACGACCGTTTTAGCTCATCCAACATGCATCTCGGCAAATTGAGCTCGAAGATGAACATCGAAAATAACACGCTGACAATAGGAGGATCTACTGGAGCCAGACGCTTGGGCAAGCCTAGACTCACGCTAAACTCAAATCTGGGGCGAAATGCGATATCTCAATTGAAGTCTGAAAAAGTTGAACCAGGCACACCTTTAAGTCCTGGCAACACTGAGACTAAAACCCCGGAGTTGGATGACATTTCAGGAATTTCGTTTACAGTCAACAGTAGGCCGAAACGGAACTTTCAAATGGAATTGGTGTTGCATGAGCCGAGATTTTCGGAGGAAACGATCATGTTCGATCTCGCGAGCATACCTGGAATAAAGGAAGGAGATCTAGCGGAGTTGAAAACCTATAGGGGCAAAAACAGTGCCAAGGGCAAGAAGATCTATTTTGTTGTCAAAGGTTTCGATAAAGACTTGCGGAAAAGATACAAGGACACTCAAATATCGATACTCTCAGGGCCTTTACAGCATTTACTGGGGTTGCCTACAAGGTCCAAAGTTTGGATAAAAGCGAAAAGTAAGGAAGATTGCCAGGCGGATCTAGTTGAGCTTCATGTAAGGGATTGTTTGGTGCACCGTGGTGATATGTGGATATTTTCGTCAGAGCTGGTCGGAAGCTGTGTCTACGCCGAGCAGAAGCTTACTTTCGTGGACAGCATCAGAGCGACCGTGAAGCAAATATATCGTAATGGGAAAAAAGTGCTTTCGGGTTACATCGGTGACGAAACAAAGATCGTTTATCGATCTGAATCAGCACGCTTGATTTTCCTTGTTCAAATAACAGACGAAATGTGGCATTTCGAGGAAAATGGTGACATTTTTTTTTACAAAGTGGTAAATGCCTTGTTTCCAACTATTTTTAAAAAGTGGAGAAACATTGGCACTCACCACACAATTACCATTGTCTTTTCTGCTTCACTGGATCTATCAGATGTCCCATTTACTGACGTCCCGGATGGTGAGCGGCGCCCCAATGACGTCAAGGACTACTATCGTATTGTTGTCGATCAAGTAAACATTGTCCACTGGACAGAAATAATGAAAACATTGAGGCGGGAGTTTTTCAAAATCGCCAGAGATCTCAAAACATTCAAGAGAGCGGACGGAGTTTCGATGTTGAGAGGAAGGTTCTCTCCAGCGCCAAAATCAAACATTCTGGAGACCATTTGCATGGCGACTACGTTTTTAACAAATCCATTCCGCCAACCAGACCTCAGAAAAACAGGTGCTCATGTCATAATCATAAGTCCGGGGTCATGCATATATGACGTTGACTTCGGACTACTTAAGGCCACAAGTAAAAAAATCCAATCAATAGAGTTGTCTCTTGATGTCATTTGCTTGGGAAGGCCACCCTTACATGTCGTCCCACTTCTGAGATATCGAGATAATGACAATAATCTACGATTTTGTGCTCCGTCCTGGATCAATGTGTCATTTTGGCGCTATTCGTCTCATTCCAATGACTCTTGGTATCCGAGATGTAAGATGCACGACCTTCAGATGATGGGGCTAACAGAAACGGAGATGAATGAAGAGATAGCCATTGACTACATGAACTCACCGGACAATGTCGTTTCGATCACTGAGCTAATGAAGCAATACGACTATCAGGCTTTCACGGCTCATAAAGATGTTCAAGAGGAACTCAAAACTTCGTTGACGTCAGAAATCACCGCAGAAAAACGTCGTTCGAAGCCTCCGAGACTTTCGAAGATGTCATCCAAGACTACACTTGCTTGGAATCCTCCGAAATCAGCTTCGCCCCTGGTGGAGCCCACGGCCCATTTACAAGTGTTTGGTGATCTCGCGCAGACATTACACGCAGCGCCTTCGGTGAGCATTCATAGTAATCAAGTGAACTATCACGATCTTGACAACAAGAATGATAATCGTTCGCGAGCCGTCAATCAGCTCAAAAGTGTAGCAAAAGGTGGAACTATTGCTCAACGCATTGCTTCAAGATTCCGTCCTGAACTCGATAATAAGTCAAGAAAGGAAACCAGCACCCCAACCACACGGGGTGAATTACCATCTTTACACAGCGGAAATGGGGGATATAATAACGAAGAGAATGAAATTAGCCTAAGTGCTGCCAGTCACTTACCCATTCTTAGAAAAAACCTTTCCTCTTTACAGAGATCCGATCCTCGGAAAGGAATATTTGATCTAGGGTCCTCACCAGTTCAGTCCCTCTCGGGTTCTCCTTCGCGTCCACCCATTTCATTTTCGAATAAAGCCTTACAACGTTCCCACGTCGAGAGTTCACTGGCAACTCTTTACAGCTGGCTGCAGATTGAAAACCCTTCTAGACCCATGAGTTCGGAAAGAGCTGGTGCTCTCATTACGCCTCAGTACAGGGACGTTTACCCAAAGTATGTTCCAAAAAGATACACTAAGTGGAGATCGTTGACAACGCCAGCAGAATTGCCCGTCACCATATCGAGCTTCCCGGCTAAGACTGACTTTGAGCAGAACTTCACTTTCACAAATCACTCAGTAATTTTAAATCCCGATCAAACGGTGAAAAACCAGACAGCTTACGACCTGTTGAGAGACATGGTGTATGTGAGGCTTCTGGCAGGCTTCCAAATCTGCATTGGTTCTAGTGTGGAGAAGATAGAAACATCTAAAGGCAAAGAGAGTGACAATCGAAAAGTCACAAAATACTTCACACGAGACAACTACATGAACGTTAAGGTGTACATGATGTTTGCAGAAGAAATTCACAGATTGAGTTGTGACTATGATGGTACCATAGATGTGCAACGACATATTCGTAAAGACATTTTCAGCTCATCAAATGCTATACCGACCTACAATCCACAAATTAAAACACGGTATGAGAATTCCTACCGAGATACCATGACCGATCCATTGAAGTTAGAAAGAGAGAGGTATAACTGGAATCAGCTGGATCAAATGATGGCAGGCTACGAAGACTCAGTTATTGACAAAAACAAAAAGCAGTTTAGGTCGAAATTTGTCGTTCTACCATCCGATATTTCCTCGAATACTGTCTCTTCCACTATCAATGGCCGAGCTGAGGTGTTGAGTGCTGAAGAAATCAGGCTGGAAGGTTTGAGGCGTCTCATCAGTACGATATATCGATCAAGGTACAAACCTGCCGATGAAACCTCTGGCAATAGTTCTCGTAAGGAGGAAATAGCGCCCGAAATCCTGTTCTACACAGGCTCACTTTTCAATTTTATCGATGAGCAAACTGAACTTTTGAAGATGGCAGGGCCCACCAAAAGTGATAGCAATCATCTCAAGGCCAGTGAAACGCTGTCAAAAGGTATTGGTATCTCAGATCTTGCATACAAGATTCAATATGCAAAGAATCATTTGAAGTTGATAAACCGAAAATGGCACTGGAAAAAGCATCAAAACTGTTTCTCTGGTCTTGAATTAGTGAACTGGTTGATCGAGAATTTCTCTGATATCGACACTAGAGATGACGCTGTATCTTATGGACAGGATCTAATGAACCAGGGCTTATTTGTGCATGTCGAAAACAGACACGGTTTTCTGGATGGACACTATTTTTACCAGATAACGTCAAAATACGTTAAGAGTTCAGAATCCAAAACTGCTGACATAGATGATGAGACGTTGAACCAGGCCCCAGAATTTGGAATCGGATATAAGAAGAGTTCGGATAATGAGGATGGTTCTGGCGACCAAGAAGGCAAGACTAAAGCAATACCTGAAGGTGCTGCTGGACGAGAGAACGACACTGAGGGCAAAAAATCTGTTGTTCTTCTCAGTAATGTCATAACTGTGAATGCTGATATTGGAAGAAGATCTTACAAGCCGGAAATTTGCAAAGTTCATTACGATAGGGTTCATAATCCCGATCATTGCTTTCATATCAGATTAGAATGGCTGACAGCAACTCCCAAATTCATCGATGATCTTATCAACAGTTGGGCGAGACTCTGTAAGCGCTATGGTCTCAAATTGGTAGAAGTTCCGTGGAATGAGTTGTGTACTATTCCTTTATCCAATCCCTTTCACACTTTTGTGGACATAACGCTGGCTATCAATCCGTGGGAAGACCCGGACTTTAAAGACGCAAGCTTGATAGACGAGCGTCCGTACTACTACCATACCTACTTGCTGGAAAAAAACGGATTTTTCATTGACAATAGAGCGACCAATCTTCTGCAAAAAGGTGTCGCTGGTCATGAGGTTGTTTATTCTTGGGGGTTGCCGAAGTTTAAATATGCCCAGTACATTCACTGTACTGGAGCGTACATCGCAGAAATAAGGGAAAACGGGAATCTTTTCTTGGCGCCCAACAACAGGCATTTATCGAGGGTAAACGTCGACTCTGTGATGTTGAAGGCCAAGCAAATTCCAAGGTTTGTGCTTGACTCGCAAAAGATCATGTTGGCTTTCAAAAAAACTTGTTTGGACTACGATAGGTTGCATGAACTTTTTGCTGAAGCCAAGCAAGCATGGCAAGAGGAGCGCGAATTTGTATGAGCAATTGTGATTGACGGTTTTTGACTAACTATTTAATAACTATTACGAGCTCAAGATTTCTGGTTCTCCACATTAAGTGCTGTCTATCTATTCAAATGTTTCAAAGATGCTAGATTATGTGTACGTTTTAAAGAGAACTAAAGTCTTTGGGCGATTTTGAAGACATCAGCAAGAACACCAGCAGCTGTAACATCGGCACCAGCACCAGCACCTTGAACAATCAATGGGTTTGGATAACGATCAGTTTGAATAGAAACCACATTGTCGGAGCCCTTCAAAGAGGCGAAGGGGTGCGAAACATCGTACTTCTCAATTCCGACAGAGACCAAATTGTTGGGGAAATCCACTTTACCAACGAATCTCAAAACCTTATTCTCTGCTGCGGCCTCCTGCTTCAACTGATCCATCTCGTGGTCGTACTCAGGTAGCTTTGCCAGGTATTCATCGCCCGAGGAAACGGATTCCAATGGTTTAGGAATGAGCGAGTTAACGGGGAAAGAAGTTGGGGACTCGACCTTGAAGCCAGCAATTCTGGCCAAAATGGTGACTTTTCTGGCTACGTCAAGACCGTTGAGGTCATCTCTAGGGTCAGGTTCGGTGTATCCTAGTTCTTTGGCCTTCTTAACAATGTCTGAGAACTTTTGGTCAGAAGAACCAGTGCTGGAAAAGGTGTTCAAGATGAAAGAGAGACTTCCAGAGAAAATACCCTCGATTTTTTGAACTTTATCGCCGGTCTGAACGATATCGTTCAAAGGTCCAATAATTGGCAAACCAGCTCCAACGGTGGCTTCGTGGTAAACAAGGCCGGATGACTCGTTACCTTTGAAAATTTCGTTCCACAAAGAAAGGCCCGAAGAGAAAGCTTTTTTGTTTGGAGTAGCAATTGAAATGCCGTTTTGCAACAAATTAGGGTAGAAGTTGGCAATGGAGTCATTGGAAGTGTTGTCCACGAAAATGACAGGTTCTGGAGATTTTTTCAAAAACTGCAAAAGCTCGTCCAAAGACAAAGGAGCTTCTGTAGTTTTGGCAAGGTCGGATTCCCACGATTGCAAGCTCAATGGCTTGTAATCTTTCGAGATCAAGGCCTTTTTTGAAGTCGAAAGTAGAATCAAATTGTAAGAAATTTGAGATTTGACCGCGGCCAATTGCTTTAAAAAGCTCGATCCAACGACACCAGCGCCTGGAACACAGTATTTTCGGTTAGTAAAAGCTTGAGTTCAAGTCAAAAGTAGAGTTTCGAGACAGATCTGGGTCAAAAAAGATGGCCAGAAATTTCCCAACTTTCCATGATTAGAACATAAGACGAGTACTAAGTAATAATGGCACCGCCAACTTAGATTTGTTGGCTTTAAAGTTGATACGTACCGATGATTGCGATGTTCATAGTTTTAGAAGCCATTGTGATTGTGTTGATGACGATTGTGCTTCGAAGTTACGGGCCCTTGATCTAGTTCAAGAAGTTGTGAAGATTGATGAAATTGGAATTGTATAACGACTTATTATTGATGTGCGGGTAAAGGGTCTTTATCAAAGATTTTGAGACCCGAAAAAGTATTTAATTTGTGATCCGTTTGTGATCCGTTTGTGATCCGTTTGTTATTCTCGTTTGCGATCCGTTTGTAATATCCGTTTGTGATCCGTCTATGATCTGTCTGTGATCCATTTCTTGAATTTGAATACTTGGAAGACTTCCCTTGCGCATTGTCATTTCAAAAGGCCCTCAATGTACTAGTCTTCGAGCCAACTAGTGAGACCGTGCTGAATAAACAATTATCTTCTGTATTGCACACGTCAAATAGGCTTCAAAAGCTATATAAATGCACATCTGTGTTGAGGAGGTGTTGAAAAGTGAAAATCCGACTATGCACTTAATGCTGTCCCTGGCCACCCACTAGCGATCTGGACTGGTTTACACATATATACTTATAATTAACAATTGACTGTCCCGTAATCACGACAGCCCATTCGAGTTTCATGCCAGTCCAACGTACATGCTTGAACCACATATGATTGTTACGATAGTGCCTGCAGCTCAGGTAATCTTTTTTTCGACTAAAGCACTTATCTTATCGAATGCATCCTTCTTGCTCACCTTTTTCCGACTAGAGACGGTCTTGGACTTCGCATTGGATGCGTTGGTAGGTTCCGGGTGGCTCTCCACTGGTTTCGCTGGCGTAACCAAAATGGTTGTGAGATCTTTCTGATCCACCTCTGTTTTCTGCGAAACAAAAGGCTGATAAATGTAAGTGAAATAGAGAGCCATGCAGATCCCGTCGTATCCGTTATTTCCCTTCTTAAGATGCACAGCATGGGCCAATGTTGTGAGAAAATCTGGGTCATATTGGGCTTGGTCAAAAGTTTGAAAAATCTCGTCGCTGTGTTTGATAAATTGAGCGTAGTTCAGGGCAGGAAGCAGTTTGTCCAGAGCCTGCTTTTCGTTCACATCAAATTTGCGCTGAACAGCCTGAGAGAAAAGCCGCAGAGCCCGTTCACTTGCCAATCCAACGTTGACCATGCCCGCTCCGAACTTTTTTAGTTTTTTAGCGACCAGTGCAATACTGGAGTAATCATGACCACAGAACAGTAGATCCAGGTAGAACATCACGTATTGGTACGTGTATATGAAGTGCTTTCCGGGACGTTCGAATTCTGGCTTCCAAATATTAACCAAACTTTTGTTTGAGCTTTTCACAAAGATAATCTCGTGCATCTCTGTAATAGCACCGTTCAGATCACCGAATTGGTCGAACAAAATCCTCGCGATACGATATTTGGGGCGATGGTGCCATTTCATCTTGTCCAAGGCTACCAAGGCTCGCAGCAAATCCAAAACTTTCTCATAGAAACTTTGTGCTGCGTCATCTGTCGCTCCAAGTTCCCAAAAACTGGTTTCCTTCTTGAAGACATTGTTGTCTTTCCGCAAATGATCCAAAGCTTCTCGCGGCGTGATTATGCCTTTAACCACTAATTTGAAGCTCGACGTAATCAGAAAGTAGTGCGGCTCAAATATTATATCTTTGCTGTGGGAAATGTCTTGTGACAGGCTACAGGCTTCTAGAAGCACCTCAAGCCCTGTCGTTTTGAACTCTTGCATACACCTTTTAAAGATAATCTTCGCAAAATAGTAAGGATTTTTCCAATTGCATTGAGACCGCCGCAGTTCAAGCTGATGAGTTTCAATCTGAATCGCCTTAGATAGACCAACAAGAATGGCTTGTTCAACATTGTAGTCACTGACCGTTTGTGCAGTCGGGGAAGAGCGACTGCATACTTCACCGTCAAGTTTCAATTTGAGGGCAACAGGTGATTCCCACTCAAAACACGACTTCTCCATAGGCTTCAAAAATCCGTTTAATAGTTCTTCTGACAGAGTTTCGAGAAGTTCTTTCAAAATTTGATGGAAATCACGCTGCTCACTGTCAGTCATGCAATCGTGACTCTGTTGCATCGCCATTCCTAGAGCCATGAGGTAACACAATATCGATTTCCTTTGAACTTCGGTAGTGCCCTTCCTCTTTTCATGCGTCGCCAGTTTGTCTGAGGTCCATATAAGGTCATCCTCAACTCGGAAAGAATAACACTTACCGAGTAAAAACCAACTTTCGAAACGATTTGTCTTGTAAAGTATGTCATTCTTGAGTGTCGAAATAATAAAATCCAATTCGGATGGTCGCGCTTGCGTCGCCTTCTTCCGAGCTTTGTAAAGATTCATGGCTTGAATCGCCGCGACATAAAAAATGCCTGAATCAGCGACGCTTTGCAGTGAGTCGTTGGGCTTGATGAGTTCAATGGAGATATTTCCGCCATAAGCGGATCTGAATAAATCGGTTGTTATCATTGATCTCAAGTATTGATCCAAAAAGAAATCGTTACGAGATAATATGTGATTGCTAGAAAAGTCCACTTCGCCGATTACTTGAATTATGTTATCAAGTATCTGCTTCAAGTTTGTCTTATTCCCACAGGCAATCAACAAATTCCTTCCTTTATAGTTAGAGTCGATTAAAAATTTACCAGCAGCAACGGCGCTCTTTGGACTCATTTCCTTTCCCTTTGTATCGTGTTGCTTTACCGTGCTATTCTCGCCACTGACAACAAAATGGTATTGACACCACAGAACTTGCCTTATTTGTCTGAAGCCTTTTTCATCGCTCTGCTCGCACAAAATCTGTTCTGCGAAGTTGAGGTAGGATCCATTGGAAGCGTCACAGAACTTCAAGCCACCCATTAATTCGTGTGAAGCCTCGACTAGATCAATTAAACCACGTTGTGGCTTGGTCGCTTTCAGACTGCTATTCTCTAATATGTGACAGAAATAGATCGTCGATGTTATGAGATCCGTAAAAATGTTCTTCAGCTTCCCGGACGATTTCACAGCTTTGTGGAAAAACGATTTCAGCGCGGCATCCTTTTGACACAGACTTTCATAAAATACGATCGGATAAATAAGTCTCAGCCATTTCAAAATGATAAGAAGACCTGGTTTAATTTCAGTTTCATGCAGCCTTTTAGTCTTCAAAGATTCACTACTAAGATCCAAAACTTCTCTCGTGAAAGCACCCACACAGCTTATCGTCAGTAAAAGAGTTTGCTGTCGCTGTAGGTGTGATTGGGCTCTGTAGTTCGGACAGCAAACCTTTCCATATAATATGTTCAGGATTTTGAAGAAGATGGAAACTGCAAGGTTCATATCTCTACGACTGTAATAAGATATCAAAAGCCGCCACAGCTTCACTTTGAGAAGAAACGGGGAATTTCTTAAAAACGCTTCCATCGGATCCTCTTCCACAATCTCCGCGCTCATATTGTCTTCGGACACCAGTGCGTTCTTTATCAACTCCATCTGCTGCTCCGTAGCAGCGTTATTGTCCTGACTTGAAGCACTGATGTCGATTGACGTAATCTTTCGAACAATTCTCAGTCTGGATAGCTGACTCTGTACAGCCTTTAAATTAAGCTGCGGAATGGTGTCGTAATTGGAATATGGGACATTGACCGCCGGTGCGCACTCTTGTATCAGTGATTCTATCTCTTGCAGACTATCAATTAGCTGATCATCTGCAACACCGATTGTATACTGGAGAGAGCAAAACTTTGCCCACAGAAATCGAAAACGAGATCGCTCATCCTGAATGCATCCGTTTTGAAACAAAACAGTCCAAATGCCGATCTTTTTTTCCAGCTTATTCTTCTGGGTCTCGAGTTCATTAATTTTTTGACCCTGGAGCCTCTTGGCGTTAATTCCGCTGTATATTTTGCCCATCATATTCACAAGAATCTCGTAAACAGAAAGCCCAAGGGTGAACATTCTAGTATCGTCTCCACCCATCATGTAATATAAGTTACTTTCAACGCTCATAACGATCGACTCAACAGCTTTGAAAAGTAAAGGACTCCAAAAGGTGTCGATAATCAAACAACTTCCGTCAGGGCATGTGGTCAGCAAGACGTCTAGTAATCGAAGCCTCACTTTCTGAAAATGCTGGTCGTCGTTGTTCGTCTCATTAATAAACGCTTGTATCTGATCCACCGGTCGATCAGTTAGTGACTCAATCGGACAATTATCTCCAGACAAGACACTTGTTCTTATGAGAGCATTGAGCTGGAACGAGTCCTCGCCTTCGTTTTCCGCGTTCTTTGAATTTTTGGTATCGGTTTGATTCAAAAATTCGCTGTGTTTGTTAGTCCATAATCGTAGGCATTCGTAAAGATCAGACATGGCACAAAATTCAGGCGCCTCCTGATCGAGATCAGACGGACTCATTTTCTCCACGCTCAAATTGAAGGGAAATCCAAGAGTTGTAGCAATATCGTTGAGTAAACCAAAGAATTTTTCATGACCGTCGAGGGTTCGACTGTCTGCTACAACCGGAGGTTTCTCTTTGAAACGTTTGCTGGACCTTTGCGAAGGCTTATCACCTTCTTCCGGTTCTAGTGACCTTTTTTTTTCATTATGTTGATCATCACTTTCCGTTGTTACCGTTGTTTCCTCGCCACCTTTTTCCATGGCCCCATCGCCATTTGTCTCTTGTGGGGCAGCTTCTTTAGTATTTGTGATGCCTCGATCCCCTTCAAATGGTTGCGCGTCGCTTTCCGCTTCCTTGAAGACGAACTTGAAATGTTCCAGCGGCTCTTCTGCTTCGTTATATGGATCAGGGTTGCGACTGAAAAAGTTGGAAGACTTGTATTTGGGTAGACAAGATGTGACGACCTCCGCTACAGCCTCCCAACTAACTTCATTTATCTCCACACTCACTGCATTTGGCTGTTTCAAGCTTATGTTATCCTCCAGCCTCATCTTTTGTATTTGTGACAGAAAGGGAGGGAGTTGAGCAGGTTCATGAGGTTTGGAGGCTATCAATCGGTTCAATTGTGTCACGAAACCCGTTCGCAGTGTAGAGTCATCGCGTAGTTCACTGAGAAGCTGTACAAAGCTACGAATGAAGCCACGAATTTCCGGAAGAACAGAGGCGCGTCTTGTCAGTGCTGTGGTGAGCTCTGTGTTCCTGAGTAATTCATACTCAAGAATTAGTCGTTGCAGCTTTGCGCTTTTAAAGCTCATAAACCCTTCCAGCAGTAGTTTGGATACTGCAGAATCACAATCTCCATGTTGCAGTGCGTCCAGCAGATTTTCCACAATACGCAGCGTGTACTCCACTATATCGTGCGGCTCAAGAGTGCCGTATTTGTCCTGCAAAAATCGATAGTAGAATACTCCCCGGTTACGGTATGCAAGGTATCGGAGTGACTCCAGTATTGCGCTGCGATGTTTGTACTGACCCCACCTGTCGGGTTTTATAACATCAATGCTGAACAGCTCCTTGAATTTTTCTTCAGCCTGCTCGAACCTCTTCGCCTTCAAGTGCAGCAATGCACTTTGGTAGACCTTGAAGCTTTCTTCCACCTGCAGCTCACGGGAATGCTGCTCTGCCTCTTGAAGAGCTTCATCTGGGGTGAAATTGAGCGCTGTGAACAGAGACATGAAATGTCTAGCAAAGTAATGCCGTCCCCGAACGGTCTTTTAGTCGATGTCAAGTTATCGTGAATCCATGCCGATATGGTGTATGAGAAGATGAGTTGAATACATGGTGCACACTTAATGAGATGTTCGTTTTTGATGATGTCTCTTACAGACGCTGAAATGCACCAATTTTCGAAGTATGAAGGGGAAGACTACGTTTAATTGGAAGCCCAAAGCCATCAATAGAATAGCACTTATTTTAGTGACAGGTGGCTATCTTCAAAAGGAACAATTTTTTGATATCCATCGGGGGTCGTTGATGAACAAAGTTGGTCACGTGATCTCTGACGGGCCATTTATAAAGAAACGATGGTTTGCATGGCTAGAAGCCTTTAGAACACTTTTTGTAGTTTTTTCTTCATCTTTCGGTCGAATTCCAAATCCTTTGTAGTCCTTCTGCCATATTTTTTGACATGATTCATATTTTAAATAATACAATTTTGTGTGTTTTCCTGCGGTCCGAAAATAAACTAAATTACGAGGTACTTGCTTAAAACATTAAAAAGACGCCGAAAATACAACCAAAAATCCATCTGACAAGGATACAACTGGTAGATAAAATGTACTTTGACAACACCGCGATCTTTACACTTTAGAGAAGCTTTGACACGAAAGTCAATAACGATTTAAGTGCGGTCACGTTTTCTTATAAATGTGTCAAGCGATGACAATATGTAAATTAGTGACGAGAAAAAAATGCTTCTCATCACAGTACCCAGTCAAGCTTTTCTTTTGAATTATTGAAGATGCCCAAGAATCACCGTTCTAATTGAAAAATCAAATAGTCTAGCTATCATTCAGATGGAACCAGTAGATTAAAGAAAAAAAAGCTTAGTGCAATGAGCGGATCACGTGATCTGCTCGATGACAGCGACACACGACTTGATTCGAAAAAGGATCATCAGAAGATTTGTTTTATCCCTAGAAATCAGTATTCTTCTAACTCCTCTATTCCAATATTTCCACAAGACTAAGGCTGTATCGGCGAAAGCGCTCTATTCCCCTGTTTGAGCTATCATCGTCGATGGCTCGCGTCAGTTTCGATTAATATCGAAGACTATGGCGAATTCACAAAGAGCCGCATATAGCTTTTTTCAAATAGTATATTTCCGGATTATTTGAGCACCATAATGAACATTTAACTCTTTCAATTGGACCCCAGCAGCTCAAAAACTTTAAATTTTGATTAATTCAAAAATTAAAGTAGAGGTGTCTGATTCAATCTCCCGTTAACGTGGGATTCACATCATCCCAAAAAATGAAGGAATTCAAAAAAATGGGCTTAGTTTGAAGCAGGCGTTTTTTTTTTGCATTCGACGTATCGAGAAGAATCTATACAGATTGATTTCGATTCTTTTCTTCATACATCAACCCGACATTATAATCCTTAATATTCTCAACCAAAAGCTTATTACTCTCCACAAATCGGCCATTATAGCAGTCAGTCAGTCTCGATTCTATCGCATCAACAAACGAAACCGGCTTCACTTCTCAGCTCGATCTGTTCTTTCACGAAATCATGTGACACGCCAAAAGGTCATTCGCTATGCTAATATATGTAGCGAAGCCAGAAGCGATTGGAAGAAAGATGCTAACTCAACAAGCGATGAGGTACCTCGTGGAGCACCTCCCGCGTATCGATACCATCACAGTCATTGTTGAAAGCAATGGTTTGTGTAGCGCTCGAAATTTGAAATCTCAGAGTGTGGAAATAGTTGACGAAAACGGGTCATCTTGCAAATTAGAGTTACCTCATCGCATACAGATCAATAGTGGCAGAAAAGGGCTTCAGATCAGTGGTCCTGGTTGCCAAACACTGCGTCTCAGAGCTCTCAAAGGAGCGGACACTGAGAACATAAGCAATAACCGCTCTGTTAATGACGCCATGATGCTTTTACCTCAGAAGTGGATGCGTAGCGATCTCCAGGACAGCAGAAAATTTGAGATCCACTGCGCTGGTTGCCACTATTCTTTAATAAGTGATGAAGACTGCAGTAAGATTAGCGATTTACCCTCTGAATTTTGGACGGAACTCATGGATTACTGGCATTGCCATAAGCCAACTACCACCGATGATGCCAAGATCGACCGTTATTCAAGACTGCAACCGCTGGCGGATGAACTACTGGTGGGATCATCGCAATTTCAGGTGAGTGAAAAATGGGGTACCGGAAAACTGGATTTTGGTGGCGCTTATACTCGGTGCGCCAAATGTCATCGAATTTTGGGGTCTGCAACTAAAGATTCCAATTTGTACAGCATCAATAAGTGGACAGTACAGCTGGTGAAAAATGGTATCACTGACAATTTTTCATCCGAGCTGCACGTCGTGTCGACTCTGCTCAACAATCTAAATTGCAACGGGACCCGCATAGTGAATTTGAAAAGTCCTGACGGCGATTGCCATCTGTTGGTCTGGATTTTTGTAGTGAATGTCAATGTCACTATCAAAAACAATCAAATTATGACCAATTGCATTAAGATATATTACAAAACAGGATCTGAATCCGAGCAGCCATCTGCAGGCCCAAATCAGAATATAGATCAGGTATCAATTGATGGCCCTGTCCTCAAAGACTTGATTGAGAAGCTTGATTCCATCAACGGAGATTTGCCCAGTAATGCGCGAATGATGAACTCTTGGAAGTTGGGATACTTGAGTCCGATGTAGTTAGAGTCAAACTCATATGGCTCTACATGCTTCTTGAACATAAGGAACTACTTGTTTGCGACTTGCATTCGTGTTGAGCTGAGCGAAAAATGCACAATTCTCACAAGGCGCTTCGAGGACTTCGATAGATTGCAATTTCAATAATGCTGTTATGTTCTCAATGACTTTAGATGAAACCTCCATGCTTCGTTTTTCTTTGACATATAGAGCGATCTGCCGCTTGAATTGGGCCTTTGAGTCGGTCCAGCTCGTCAAGATCAACAGTAAATCCAAATTTCTTTCGTCCACAAACTTGGAACAGGCCTCTAAAAATTGCTGGTCAGGAAATTGTGCGTTAATCCAATTGAATGGTTTTACCACGGAGGCAAACCCACATTTTACAGTTCCTTTTGTTTTAGAGAAAACGAATTCTTTGTAGTCCTTTCGCAAGATATCTCGCAATGATAGTCCAGCAATATCGTCCTTGGCTTGGCGAAGTTGGCTAGAATAGACTTCAAAATCCACGTTTGGAAGCAATTCCTTGTAAGCCGCATGTGCTTCTTTATCAGGATCCTCTACTTTGTAGGCCATGTTAGTCGTGTCAATGAGTAAAGCTCCCAAACACAACGACAAGGCATCTGAGCCGCCAAATTTCTGTTCGCTACCGTTTTTCAAACTCTCGTTCCAAAAATTGAATACCAAAGACGAGCAGCTTCCAGCAGGCCGAATGATCCGAGGTCCACCATGGCGTTCTGAGATATCTTTGTGCAGCCCCAAGTCTTCGTGGTGATCGATGATTCCAACTACAGAATCCACCACTTTTTTTGCGAGGCTCTGTGAATCGTTATGGTCTACCAGCACTGCCTCTATCGGCCCTCGGAATCGTTTACGCATATCGTGCAGATCTTCGTGGAAATACAACAGATTGTGTGGGATATTGCGCTTTTTCAGGACCCAGACAATATCTCTACGCAATTCCAGATCGGCTTTTAGAATGTTGATCACAGGCACAATTTGGACGCCAGGGTTTTTTATATAGCTAAAATAGGCATACGTGATGGCCGAAACCACCGAGTCCAGATCGGCGCTTTCATTACCGCAAACGATCAGCAAACGTGAGGAGTTGAAGAGCTCTCCAGCTAAATAAGAGCTTTTCAGACACTTTAAAAATCCTAGCAAGCCTTCAGCCATAGTGTGATTGACGAGAGAGAAGAACGTCTCCTGGTTCTTAAGATTTCTTGATTCTATTTGAATCGAGTTGAACTGATATACTGATATGGAAGCTAATTTGAGATAATCAATTATTGAGTTTTAGACGTCACGTGACTCCGATATTGAGTTCACGTTTTGAGCTTCTCGAGTCATCAGTCTCCTACGTGACAACCCACAAAACCAGATTAACTGATAACTGATATTTTAAAAGCACTTGCAAAATTGCCGATATATAAATCACTGTTTGTGAAGCTTTTTTTTTTTTTTTTTTTTTTGGCATGAATACCCATGCATGTGTTGACTTTAGTGAGGCATTGAAGTATACCAAGTTACGCTACCTCATCAGAGCTTACAAACTTTGCAATATATCAACAAAAAACCTATGGAGTTGTGAAGATGTCAGGATAACAATATATCATGGTCCAAATCCAGTCACTTTGTACTAATGTGGCATCTATCATGAAAGAGCATCACCGTGTCATTTCAAGATCAGCGACAGAAAACATCTACAAACGAAGTAAGCACTTCTCATATCACGAATAGACCATTAGAGAACTTAGATCTTAACTTTTACACGAGAATTTTCTGGCTTTATTTCTGAAGTCCGGCTAAAAAGATTAACAATACCAGAGACGCTAAATTCCCATAATTCCTTGAAAAGGACAGTATCGGCGTATTCGCAGTTTTTGAAAAACATTCTCGAATCATAAAACGAGCCTTCGATTTTGAATTCCATCCATGGATCGCCAATGCTTTGGCTCGTGTTTTATTCGACGAATCATTCTAGAAATTCACATCACATGCGGTTATAATATCGATGAATATAATATAATCACATCTGTATATAATTCTAAGATGCTCAGATTACAGACCTGAACTAAAGCATAAAAGTAGACCACAGAAATGACCAAAGTCGTTCTTCGAGGCGACAAACAAATTCTAGAGCTTCAATTGGACGATTCATATTCTTACATAGATTTAGTCGACAAAGTAGATCTTTTTCCAGCAGATTATGGCGAAAATGAATACTTCCAGGAAAACGTCTGTATCATGGAAACCCATGAGGGAACTGCCATAGGGTTCATACTGAAATGTGTGGTAGATAAGATGAAAGAAATTGCGGGCGCAGAATTCGATTTCGTTTTCGTGCCAAGCAGTCGAAGTAAGAATCGGTCTTACAAATTCAGGTCTGAAGACTTCCAGGCCCGCAATGATCAATTGCATGCCTTAGCGACCAAATTAAGGTCTCAAACAGCCTTCGAGTGTCTTCTGGGCTGGAGAGACGAGTTTTACACTGTGTACTGCGAACAACGCAAACCTTACGTGCTCGTGGAAAGAGCTCTTTCCGGTTTGCTTGGCATTGTGACTTATGGGATCCACGTCAACGGGTTTGTACGGGACCCCGAAACCGGGGAAATCAAAATTTGGGTGCCGCGTAGGTCTGCTACGAAATCTACCTGGCCTTCCATGCTTGACAACGTTATTGCTGGCGGGCTTGGCTACCCGTATGGCATCTACGAAACTATGATTAAAGAGAGTCAAGAAGAAGCCAACTTGTCGAAAGATCTAGTCGAATCGCACATTAAATCCGTCGGTGCTGTATCCTATTTTTACTTTCAAAACGAGACTCCAAATGGGGTGCAAAAGTTCGATACAATTTCTTCGTTGATCACCGGTGAGGTAGAGTATCTTTTCGATCTCGAGTTACCGCTTGGAGTGACACCTCGGCCCAATGATGACGAGGTAGAAAGCTTCAAACTACTGTCCTTGCAAGAAACAATTGATGCTCTCAGAAGCGGACAGTTCAAACCCAATTGCGCTTTGGTAATGCTGGATTTTTTGATCAGACAAGGCTATATCCACTCCGAAAACGAGCCAAACTATCTGGAAATTATCTCCCGCATTCACCGGCGTCTGCCTTTTCCAACCCGGAATTAATGGTAATCAATGGTCATCAATATTGAAGAAGTCTTTCGAGTGCCTATATACATCTACTTACTTGGAGAAATGCAGCTTCATGTTGAAGAATTCCCTGCTTTTAACCTCGTCGACAGTCAAACTAACGTCACCATAAATAATGGGTGAGAAGAAGACAAATAGCCATACCAACGCCACAGTTAGCACCGTAACAAATAGGCAAAATGGAATAAAGCTTAGTTTGGGGTCTGATTCATGGGGGTTCGAAGATTCTTCCTCGTCCTTGGCAAGATCGATTGATTTGTTGTCTGTGAAGATAAACTCCCAGAGTGCTGCTGAAAACATGGAAGCGATCAAGTGCGCTGGCAAATAATGGTGCAAAAATTTCTGTCTTCCCATGAGGAAAAATGGCAAGTAGTGGCATAACCATCCGACAAACAAGAACGACAGCGGACCGTATAGCTTTTCTCTAGCCATTTTGTTCAACGGGAACAAACCACGGCGTCTCACCAAGAGATCAGCCGCCACAACACCGCAAAAAATAGCCAGCGCAACAACTTGAGACCACCAACCGACCAGATTTCCAATAAAGTAAATCTGCATACGGTCTTGGTCTTTGGTCCAGAATGACACTCCCGAAAGAGAGCCCGGCCAAGACTCAGGGCTTGATGCAAATGGGTGCTCAGAGGACAATTTGTTATTGTGCTCGAACATAAGTCTTTGCAATTCCGACCACTTTGAAAAGAAGGATAGGTGCTTGACAGGTTTAGGGATGTAGACTTTCCGGGCGTCGTCAATATTTATGATTGAGTCCATGTACCAAGAATTTTCTGGATCTGCGATTTTTTTGTTACCGTTTACCTCCTGCTGCTTGAATCCCCACTCTGGGAGCAAAACATCGTTGTGAGTCCAAAGAGCCACAGAGGTGTCTGTATGGACAATTCGGAATATTGACGCCTTTGTTTTCAATTGTTGTTTTTCGTCACCTTTGCTAGCAGATTGAAGACGGAACGTAGTCTCATGACTATTGTCACCTAGAGCTTGCTCCTCAGACACTGTTGTCACTTCTTCATTGGTAGGGTATAGCGGGGAAGCAACATCATGGGCTAGCAAATAGGTGCCGGTCACAATATGCTTGAAGCGAACAACATCGTCCAAATGAACAGGCTGACCTTCTCTTGATGCCAATTCCTTCGTGGGCAACACCTCCCACTGGTTGTTGACATCCTCGAAAGTGTAACCGGTGACTTGCTGGCCGTTCGAAGATACCCGACCATCTTCGTAGCGAAGAGGGTACTGCTCAGCATGCGAATGGAGGAGAGCGTTTGTATTCTTGTGCTTCATGGTGACAATATCGTAATAGTTTACCTGTCTGGCCTCTTTGGCCAATGGGGAATCCGTTAGAGTTTCCTGGAATTGAGGCGACATAAAGTCATCACCGGGACCAGATCCAGTCAAAATGGAAAAATGAACATAGAACCAAAACAGGTAGACCATAAAGGGAGCGAAAATCAGCCCATTGAGTCTTTGAGTAACATGTCTGGCGACAACTCTGAGTGGCAAACCAGCTCTAGCGTCGAGCAATTGCCACAAGTTGAATGCTACACCAACTCCAATGGCCGCGTACGTCATGACACCGATATACTTGGTGGACATCACGAACGACAAAGACAGTCCTGTTGCGTATAACCACCCGTACCATTGAGACGAGAAGGGCGCTAGCAATTGAGTTTTGTAGAAGCGCACATAACAGTAAAATGACATTGCCACGGCAATGATGAGTGTGGCATCCAGCAAAATCAAACGAGAATCGATAACGTGAGCGCAATCGACTGCAACAAGCATGGCCGCGAGAAAACAGGTAACGGCTCTGAAATTGAGCTCTTTTACAGTGTTGAAAACAATTGGCACTGTCAAGGTACCCAAAATTGCACTTAGAGATCTATAAGCGATGAATGGTGCAGGGTTCGAGTCGTAGCTCAAGCCAATGTCTTCGAACTTGAAGGCCCCGTTATAGCCCACAAGCCATCCGATGAAGGCGATCAACATCTTCGCAAAAGGTGGGTGAACGTCAAAGAAGAATGTTCTTTCCAGGTAATAAGACGCAAACTTGCCAAAATGAACCTCGTCAAAGACCACCTCGCGTGGGTACGGCAGCTCCTTAAACCTTACAATGAAGGCTATTAATGTGGCAGCCCATTGCAGCACTCTATAGGTCGATTCTTTGTCCGGAAGGCCTTTGAGAAGCCAGTTTTGGCCCAAAAACTCGTACAAAACTGGAGACTTCGATGCTGTTTTTCCCTCCTTGGAGGCAGCATCGGCCTTCTGATTCTTGACAGTTTTAGAACCAGCCATTATCGGTGAGGATACGGCTCTCTTTTGTGTGGTTTGGCGAGGGATTTGAACAGTTGTTTTTAGTCTGAGTTTACTTGGATGATCTTTGAATCTTTGAACAGGTAGCCTTTTTCCGAACAAGATCACGTTTTATCTAGTGGGGAGTGGATTATTGGATGCATGAGCGAGTGCAGAGATGGGTAGCTGTCCAAAAGCTAAGAGAACCACGCTTTCGAAGATAGTGAAGAGAGACCGTTTGGAGATGCTAAGCTGGCAAGACCATATTCATGTCTGCGCTCTATGACTTTATGACCATATCAAGGATGAAGCAACTGCAGTACAACGACGCGACAAGAACTAAAAGAAATATTATGTCAAAAACTCGAGCATTTGGAGACGCCAATGATCGAGTCGCTCTCCATCAGGGCAAAGGTGCACGATATGCATACACAGGCTTCATTTCCAGTCTTTCACTGCCAAATGAAACCACTCCTCTGTTTAATGCTGTGTCCTCCACTTAAACATCTAGTCGAGAATCTACTTGTCAAGTCGAAAAATATGTTTCAATACAGCTCTGGTAATTATAGCGATGAAAGTAGAGAGAAACATGCGATGTAAAGCCAGTCGAAAACAACCAACACCAATCACTGCACGGGAAAGCTCGGCAGCCAGAATTGGGTACTATTTGTTCAGCCTGGATCAATGCTTGTAAGACGAGTCTTCTCACTGGCTCCGAAAAGCTCGAGAAATGTTGCGACGGCCGTAAAGAGAGTCGTCAATTCAAGACCACCTGCGTCTTCCTCTGCCACCAATGTCGTTGCCAACCCTGTTGCTGCATCCAACGCCGAGAATTCAAATGTCGGAAACAAATCTGGAGGATACGGACAGCCTCTCAATCGCACGATCAAAGGGTACACATTAGAGACACCACAGACCAATGCAAGCATCGTCAACTCCCAACCACACTCGAGCTCTGAAGTCAACTGGGCTGTCTCGTTTCAGGGCCTGGGGTCCCGTCCATTTGACGACAATGTGCAGACAGAATTGAGCAAGCCACTTGCTCCAGAAGACATCGAGGTCAAGCCTGACGGCTTGGTGTACCTTCCAGAAATCAAGTACAGGCGTATTCTGAATAAGGCATTTGGTGCTGGTGGCTGGGGACTGGTACCAAGGTCGGAGACTATAGTCACTGACAAGCTAGTGACACGTGAATACGCACTTATCTGTCACGGGCAGCTCGTAAGCTTGGCCCGCGGAGAGCAGGACTACTTTGCTGAGTCGGGCATTCCCACTGCCACAGAAGGCTGTAAGAGTAATGCTCTGATGAGATGTTGTAAGGACCTGGGAATTGGGTCCGAGCTATGGGACCCCGTATTCATCAAACAATTCAAGAAAACTCATTGTGTGGACAAGTTTGTGGAGCATGTAACCACCAAGAAAAAGCGTAAGATATGGCTGCGTCACGACCGCGAAGTTGAATACCCTTATAGATAGCCGAATGTCAGAAAGCAAGAATTGAAGCCAATTTTTGGCCGTGTGCCCCCTGAGACATTGGGAAACTCAGTGACGATAGAATGCTACGATGAGCCAGGTGCCAGATAATATCAGTTCGTTAACCTGTAGAAGAGTCAAAAGTACATATGTGAATAGCCTACCTGAAAGTGTCGTGTGTAATTATCACGAACTACTAGAAACTGTAACTGATCACTTAACTTGACCTTTTGGGTCCTTTTATTCCCTCCATTCTAGCTATCCTTCTTAACTAAGCTATGTCTACTTCCTTGGTCTCAGACCCTCTTTTATATGTCAATCTGTCATCCCTTTTGTGTCATCTTAAATGTGACACAGCTTTTGTGATAGATCACAAAAGCTAATCGCTTACTGTTGACAGTGACAACTTCCTTTCAGCCTTATCTATTATTATTCATGTCAAGTTATTCCATGACAGAAAGCACCATGGTCTCTTCATCCCATATTTAAACAAAACATTGAATCATCTCAAGCATCTGTTCCGATAGTGTAGTGGTTATCACGTAACCTTCACACGGTTAAGGTCCTGGGTTCGACCCCCAGTCGGAACATTTATTTTTTGAAAAACTATCAAGTTCAATTCAAATATATTTGAACACTGACCCTGTGAATAACCCAAGAAACAAGTCTTCTGTTACCGAAGAGACCTTGCCTTAGGGTAGCAATTCCTTTGCTATACTATGTTCAGTGTGACGTTCACCAGCGTCCTTTTGGCGTTGATATGTTTTTGCAAGTGTAGAACACTGGTGAATCCGCAGCAAAGCGTTCTCTTAAATCCCAATTCACAGAACCCACCTACAAGAGAACTCGAAGTCGGGGAATTGAACTTTCTACATACAACTGATACGCATGGATGGTTGGGCTCGCATCTCAATCAAGTAAACTATGATGCTGATTGGGGCGACTTTGTAAGCTTCGCGTCACATTTCAGACAAAACAAGCTCGGAAGTTCCAAAGATCTCATTTTGATAGACACAGGGGACAAACATGACGGCAATGGACTTAGCGATGCTACAGCGGTCAATGGTGAGCTGTCTACGAAAATTTTCAATGAGCAAGATTACGATCTGCTCACTTTGGGAAATCACGAACTTTACACTGAGAATAACACAATTTTGGAGTATTATTCCACAGCACAGTCAGACAAGTTTAAAAGCGCTTACGTATCCAGTAATGTTGAATTTGTTTTGGAAAATGGGCAAACAGTCCCTTTCGGGTCGAAATATCGCTACTTCAAAACGAAAAACCGCAACATCCGTATTCTGGCGTTAGCATTCATGTTTGACTTTCGGCGAGCCAATTCAAGAGCTAAAGTTACACCAGCTACAGTTGCACTCCAACAAGAATGGTTCAAAGACGTAGTTTCGCGATACCCAGAAACAGAAATTGATGTGCTTGTTATTTTCGGTCATATGCCAGTCACTGATCCCGAAACGCACGAAATCAACCAGGTTCATTCGATTTTACGGACTCATTATCCCAATTCGATCACCCAGTACTTTGGTGGCCACTCCCACATTAGAGACTTTGCAATCTTTGACGATAAGTCCACCGGACTACAAAGTGGGCGCTTCGCCGAGACCGTGGGGTTTTTGTCCATTGACAACATTAAGAGCGGTTTGCCAGAATTCCACAGGCGGTACATTGACTTCAGCAAAAATCAATTCTCCCATCATTCTGGATCATCTCTGCAAACCGAAAAAGGTGCCAAACTGTCTCAAGAAATAAGCAATCTTAGAGAGGCGCTGAATCTTAACGATGTTGTGGGATATGTGCCGTCAACATACTACATGTATTCGAGGCCAATCAGCTCAAAACATAATATTTACAACCTGCTGACTACAAAGGTCTTGCCAAATTTAAAGTCTGACCGAACTGATGAGTCAAAATCTCGTTTCATTATCATCAATACAGGTTCAATCAGATATGACTTGTACGAGGGCAACTTCACAAAAGATACAGAGTACATTGTATCGCCATTTCCCAATGATTGGAACTTTGTGGACGTACCACTTTCGCTGGCCGAGGGTGTAGCCACTTATTTGAATGACGGACCCGTTCTGCTCGCGTCGATGCAGCCACCGGAGGTGCGGAAACATAAGCATCTACCCAGAAAATGTCCCTTCAGAAACGATCCTGAATTGCGAAAGGGCTACACGACCAGCGATGATGCCGGATGCGATGGAGATGATGTCATTCACAACACTGAACTTGTCTTTGACGTTCCCAATGTTGTTCAATCCGTGGAACTAAGTAAGACAAGTGATAGAGTGCATCTGGTATTCTACAGCTTCATCCAAAAGGATGTCCTACGGGCCTTGAATGATTTAAGCAAGAAACAGCAATCAACAGCCGTTTACACAGACGCAGACTGTCACAACTATGGTGGCCGGTCAACAAAGGAGCTTTTGAAAGAGTACATAAAGGGTATGTAAGTTTATATAGCACCGACGGAAAGAAGAGGGATAAAGAAATCACTGAAAAGGGCGACGGTTGTGAGCGCATCATACTCCATAGGAAAAGAAAGGCGGCTCCCATTGGGAATCTTCAATACATATTATCATCACAGTTTTCGAAATCTTAATATAATGAGAAGTTTTAACGCTATTTATTGCACAGAGGTAGTGATTGATGTGTTTACAAACCTTGTTGAGCTCTTCTGCGGTCACGCTCTTCAGCGATAGACAGCTTGATACCCTTACCCTTTGGCAACGAGATGTAAGGCTTACCGGCTTCACCGATGACGAAGACGTTCGACAATCTGGTGACGAAGGTGTTGTCCAAAGAGTCCTTGATGTGAACCAAGTCGAAACCACCTTCGTGTCTTTCTCTGTGGACGATAGAACCAACACGACCCAAGTTACGACCACCAGTGACGTACACTAGCTTACCGGTGTCGAACTTGATGAAGTCAGTGATCTTACCAGAGGCCAAGTCAATCTTGACGGTGTCGTTGACCTTGATGTTTGGGTCTGGGTATCTTAGGGTTCTACCGTCGTGGGTGACGACGTAAGGAACACCCTTCTTACCCAATTGAACCTTCTTGACCTTACCCAACTTGTAGGAGGCTTCCTCGTCAGTGATACGGTGGACGGCGAATCTACCCTTGACATCGTACACCAATCTGAAGTTTTCGTTGGTGGCTTCCAAGGTGATAACGTCCATGAAACCAGCTGGGTAAGTGATGTCAGTTCTGACCTTACCGTCAACCTTAACGTGACGCTGCATCATGATAGCTCTGACTTCACGACCGTTCAAGGCGTACTTCAATCTGTTTCTCAAGAAAACGATCAAAGGCAACGATTCACGCAATTTGTGAGGACCTGGGGAAGGTCTTGGGGCGTAGCACCCGGACAACTTGTCCAACAACCAGTGGTGTGGAGCTGCTAATCTCTTTAGATGCTTCTTTCTGTTGTAATAGCGGGTTTGTTAGTAGGAATTCCAAGGGCAACTTTGAAAAGCTGAACAGTGCAAGGTCCCATGAAGAAAGATTGTTTCAGCTTTAATTGGTTTCCATCTCTATCTCTGCAGAACTTGGTACGAGTGGTGACATGCTTGTGTGCAAGTTTATCGGATGCAATACGCAAACGTTTTACACTCTTCGATCTCAAATGATATTCATGTCCAGGGATGCGGCAAAAAAACTCGTGGGATCCTGCTCTTTAGGCTTGCTGTTCAGCTCGTTAACTAACGCTATTTCAAATGGTTCACATACGGTCCTCTAGCCATCTTGTCTTATGGGGATTATGATCTGCTTGTAAGACTATATGAAGTTAGCACACTGTAGTATGATATGTCTTGAAATTATGAAATGGTAAAATTTCACACACACCAGCAGCCGGTCGAGGTTCCGCGAGTCTGCTACTTCCTACGGTTCGCCAGATCCCCGATGGGGATCGGGGCCAAAGTTGCGTGGGAAGGATGAGCCCAGCTCCTGCCTAGCAAATTGCTGAAGGGACATTTAGGCAGAGAGCCCAGGACCTCGCCAACGGGGCTTGAGCCTACGGGCTAGTGCCGCATTGAATCGTTTTCCTCATTTTCCCAACTCGTTAAATATGCTTTTTAAATAAAATGTGTGGGTGTTTCAAAAAGCAGTCTCATGCCAAATTAATTTATTTGAAGACTATCTGGAGAGATGAAAAGTAACCCTTAGTATAGTGCTCATGGAGTTTTCCTCACCCATCAAACATCATTCACTGACAATAGAAATTAGTTATTCCAGTCATGACTCTAGCACTAAAAATTTGCGTAATGTCTTGATAGTCAAGCTTAAGAGGCACTACGCGTAAATTTCGCTTTCTCGCTATCGTAACTACTTCCCAAGACCTTATGAAAAACCATCTTAACATCACTTTTTTATTTACTGACACAACACCCTCTCGTATATCGTGATGGGAGGATTTGCAGAGGAAAAATTAAGGTAAACAAGCGTTCATGACACAAAAACGGCCTCGGCGTATATATAAAGGGACGTTATGTTTCTTTCTCAACCCTCACTCAAGACATCTTCTTTTCAAGACTACATGCCATTTGAGCTCTAAAGTCAGAGATATGGGCTAGTAAGGTAAAAACCGTATGTTATTTTTATGGCAGATCGGCAATTCTTTCTCATAGAGTTTGTTGCACAAGTGAAGAGTTACGTTTACTGTTACTTCTGCTACAGTGCGGACCGCACTTCGTTTTCTTGTTCAACGAAGGAGCACGTACTTGGATGGACTCAGCCTCAATAGGGATCCTTCTTACAGCGTGGCCAAATACTTGGTTACAGCATGTAACGCATCTTTGTGGCCTTTAGCCGCGGAAAGACGCTAAATTTAACTTGTGAGCTTTCAATCCTCCGTGTTCCAATTGAGTTGAGAAATGATTGCCATGAAATGCTAAGCGCTCGCGTAACTACAAACATTTCATTTGTCTGACAAGTCGCACGTCCGTTTACTGGAATGTTTAAAAATTCCGCACATTTGTGTCTTGGCCGAACTTTGAATAATAAACGCCACTGCAAATGATTTCTTCATGTTTTTGACCCGCTTGGGCAAAACTATTGATATCCCGCCTTTCCTTAGGCTGAGAAGAGAAGGGAACTCTTCGTCACGTGCCCCGATGCCGCCCTGAAAATCATTCTCATTGACTTCAGGTACGACTTTTCGGAGTTCATATCCTAATGCGGTTAGCATTCAGACTCTTTTTCAAGAGAAAAAAAACCGGCATGGGTCTCCAGCTTGATAATATTTTCCAATACATAAACGGATCGTGAAGTCTGTTGATGATCTTGCCAGCTAACCTTGGAAATAACGCGTTTTGGAAGCATAAGGTTTGTTACAACCACAAAGATTCACCATAGGGCCAGAAATCTTAGTCTATGTTCAATGCCGTGCATTCTAACAAGATGTATCACCGCTGGCTCGTAATACGTAAAGCGAATCACTCGGTAAATTGTCCTGCAAAGTAATAGATGCGTTTTGATGACATTTTCGGTGTATTATGTCTTCTCACCCTTCTACCCATTGCTAACCGAGAACTTCAATGGGGGCGGTGACTACGCCTTTAACGCGCTGTTTTCCCTGAACAAATCTAGAAAACGTCGACCTCGGTCTCTAGGCTCTAACTTGCTGCCTGTCTATTGAGCATGACTTCGAAATCTACGCCGCCCATCAGTTGATTCTTCACCAAGTCTTTGCCTTACAGTGGACATTTCCTATTCTGGCAGCGGCACCTGTGAGTCCAGTGTTACCATGCTGTGCACAACCGAAACTATCAAGGGACATATGACTTCTCAGTCAACCTTGACGAAGGAGACCTCTAGCTGTCAGAAACCAGAACCTACTTCATAGGAAAACAACTGACGTCTCAACACTGTTGTTTCTCATCCCACAAGCGAAGAAGAAGCTTTTCTTATGTGTGTCTCGCCACTCACTTCGGCACCGGCGGATCCATTCAAACTCCACAAATGCATGAAAGTTTCCAAGGACCAAAACACTTTGGTGACACTTGAGTTATGGTTCACATCACGCTATGACATCTGTCCAATCGGCATGCACTCTTGATATCACTTGACAACCGTTGCCATTGTTTTTCAGAATTTTTCAGCATGTGATCCAAAAAGTAATTTTCAAGTATTCTATAACGAGGGGGAGCAGTTGAAATCAAAAGACCAAGTGCTGAACGGGTCTCGACGTCTACAATAACCAAGCGCTACATTGGGATAGAACTTGGAGTGTACAAGCTCGAGTGTTTCGAATAGCGAGGTTAGCTTGACTGTGTTCCTTCAGCTTCAAAGACAATCAGGAAATCAAGCTTGTTACTGTTTTCTTCGTGCTGAAATTCACTAAGAGGACCAATTTCAGAAGTATCGAGAAGAACATTTGCAGGGCAAAAGAAGCTCTCGAAGCCGAAATCCATAACCATATCAAGTAGCTCTTCGAGTTTGAAACACATTTGTGCGGCTGGGAGTGCAACGATCTAGGCATTTGAATACATTTTTTTGCCACGTTAACTCAGAAATTAAAAAGAACTGGTCCAGCAAAAGGAGGCACTCTAGACAAACTTAGAGTGATTTTGAGGTCCAATTTAACGTTAAGACTTAAATCTCCAATCATCAATTGCCCGTTGTCATGATGAACTTTTTCGGCACCAAGAGTTTTGGTGGCCAACAGGAACAGAATGCACCAAATCAACAACCTTCGGTCTGCTATCAGCAGCAACAACAAGCACAACATCCTCAAGAGCTTCAGTACAGGCACCAACATCAGGGCCCTAACTCAGAGAAGGCCAAGCTAGCTACTAATGGTCTCTTCCCTACATTTACCACCCAGACGGCGACACCTACAACTGCCGTTAGCGAAAATTCCTACGCTATGGGAACTACCGGGCTAGCCTCCGCACAATCTGATGTCGCGCTAGCTCAAATGAAAACAATGAGTAACCAAAGTGAAGTACAGCCCCAGCCCAATAAGGTTACATACCAGGACTCTCTGCAGGCTCATTTAGCTCCTGTGCAGCCTCCTGTGCCCCCTTCGGGTTATAGCGTTCAGCAACCTAACCAGACTACTGGCAGACAGCAAACTTCAGCTGGAACCTCTGACGGGAACGCGTCTGAAGAAAGAGACGTGGTGACAAATTTGAAATCGGACCCGCAAGAAACAGGAGTCCCCAGAGGGAGGCTCGAAGTGAGTATTGCCGAGGCGCAGGGCCTGCTTACTCGTTCGAGTCGGTCTCAACCATACGTGGTGTGTACATTTGAGAGCTCTGAATTCATATCTGAAGGGCCCGATTCTTTACACAACAAGCCCATGGTAGTTGATGGAGCCAATAACTGGAGAGGCGAACCAGAAAAGAATGGTAAGAAACCGCTGTATACGCGTCAATCGTCTTCGCAACTGGATAAGCTGAACTCACCGGCCCTTGGTACAGACAACAATTGTGCCAACCCAATTTGGCACCATGAAACTACTTTTGATGTACTGGGCGCTCATTCAGAGCTTGACATATCAGTATACGACGCTTTTCATGATGATATGTTTTTGGGTCAAGTACGTCTACGTCCAGACTTGAATTCTTCCTCGACCTCTAGGCATGAACAATGGTACAAAGTACAGAGCAGAATTATCGGCGAGAGTGTATCAGGGCACATTTTAGTCAAATGGACATACAAATCCACTAAGAAACGTCAATATGGACCCCAGGATTTCGAGGTTCTGCGCCTTCTTGGCAAAGGCACATTTGGGCAGGTTTATCAAGTGCGGAAGAAGGATACTAAGAGAATTTACGCTATGAAGGTTTTATCCAAAAAAGTCATTGTGAAAAAAAATGAGATAGCTCATACGATAGGCGAGAGAAACATTCTTGTGCATACCGCGTCCAAGCTCTGCCCTTTCATTGTAGGGCTGAAATTTTCTTTTCAGACCCTCAGCGACCTTTACTTAGTCACCGATTATATGAGTGGTGGTGAATTGTTTTGGCATCTACAAAAGGAGGGTAGATTTACAGAAGATCGCGCAAAATTCTATATCGCAGAACTTGTTCTCGCGCTCGAATACTTACATGAAAACGATATTGTGTATCGTGATTTGAAGCCTGAAAACATTTTGCTGGACGCAAACGGGAATATCGCACTGTGCGATTTCGGACTATCGAAGGCCGATCTGAAAGATCGCACGAACACTTTTTGCGGAACAACCGAGTACCTCGCACCCGAGCTGCTTCTTGATGAAAGTGGTTACACGAAGATGGTTGATTTTTGGTCGCTGGGTGTCTTAATTTTCGAAATGTGCTGTGGCTGGTCACCATTTTTCGCTGAAGACAACCAAAAAATGTATCAAAAAATCGCTTTTGGTAAAGTGAAGTTTCCTCGCGATGTTTTGTCACCTGAAGGGCGGTCTTTTGTCAAGGGTCTATTGAATCGTAACCCCAGACACCGTTTGGGCTCCATCGATGATGGAAGAGAATTGAGAGCGCATCCCTTCTTCGCAGATATTGACTGGGAAGCTTTGCGACTAAAAAAAATTCCTCCTCCTTTCAAGCCCCATTTGGCGGGCGAAACTGATACTTCCAATTTCGATCCTGAATTCACTCAAACTTCAACTTCCTATATGAATAAACAAGCAATAGCTGTGACACCATTGTCACCCGCGATGCAGGCCAAGTTTGCTGGTTTTACCTTTGTGGATGAGTCTGCCATGGACGAACACTACAATAATAACTACAACAGCCGCAAGTTTTTGCAGAACTCGTACTTCATGGAGCCCGGGTCCTTTATTCCTGGTAATCCTAACCTACCTGCCGACGAAGACGTTATTGACGATGAAGTCGAGCAAGATGCTGAGCTTGATCCTAGCAAAGCAGCGAGTGTACACGAACAAGTGGACTACGACGGCGACCATCATATGGACGACGAATTTGTCAGCGGTCGTTTTGAAATATAAGCAACAGTGTTGACACAGCGAAACAATTTGAAAGAGCGGTCTTCTTCGAGAAGGGCGACCTGTCACAATTGATCAAGATGTCTCTCATTGGCCATCCCCTCGACATCTTTTGTAAAATATAGATACCTAATGTCACTGTGAAGTCTGGACCACACACTAACATTCGCGTACGTCACGTGAAGGTAGGCGTCTGTTTGTCAAGCTGTAATAATAATAATAATAGTCAGGAATGAGTTCATCTTGAAGCGAAAGTAAGAACGACTCGAACGGAAAAAGCAGACAAAGCAAGGTTTGAATACTGATATTGACCTGCATTTTGCTTATAAGGCTTGTTGAAACCAGTACGTGGGGCACAACACAAAAACTAGCATTTCTTTTGCTGGTTTTTTGACGAATTTTGGTCCATTATTGAAGACATCAGCCTGACTGAGATAACAGTACCAAGATTCATCACCAGGTCTCAGAAAAAGGTCGTTTCTCTTGGTGAACTTAATCTTTGACCAAAACTTTACACAATGGAGACGAGCGAGGATTTACCCAACTCCAACGGAAATGAATATGCCGGGGCTTCAGGATCTAAAACTAATCAGAAAGCGGGCTCTAATGATTTCGTCCGCAAGCTGTTCAAGATACTGGAAGATGGACAATATAGCCAAATAGCGAAGTGGACAGAAGATGGCGATAGCTTTGTCGTTTTGGATACAAACGCATTCACCACTCAAATCCTTCCCCAGCATTTTAAACACTCGAATTTCTCCAGTTTTGTGCGACAGTTGAACAAATACGATTTCCACAAAATCAAGAGAACAACAGAGGAAAAACAAAACTCTCTGTATGGAGAACACAGCTGGGAGTTCAAACACCCGCATTTCAGGATCCACGATGAGGAACAGTTGGATAACATCAAGCGGAAGTCTGCTCTGCAGAAAAAAATCATGTTGGATGAAAATACGGTGCTAGTGAAAAGTCAAAACGGCATTGACAATGGTTCACTGGATTCCGCCACGGAAATGCTTCTAAACAACACGGTCACAAAGTCGAAGTTTCATCAGATGAAGCGCAGAGTTGAATCTTTAGAACAAGAAGTCACGTATTTGAAGAATGAAAACTATGAGCTCAAGCTAGGGTATCAAAAATCGCAATCTCGTTATAACACATTATTGGAAAACCTCATAGCGACGAAAGAATTCAGCAACGTGCTGGTGACCAATTTCAATGTTTTGATCAACAGCTTAACTTCCCAGGGTTTAGAATTCCCAGCAACACTTACTTTCAACGCAACAATGCCAACAACAAACTCCATGAAACCTGTTGGATCGCCACAAATGAGTTCCGTTGTCCCCACACTGCCGGCGAAAAAGCCTTCACAAATAGAGTCTGGCCCACCTTCTACCACCCCACAGATGATTTTAGATCATCCAATCCTACGTCCAGGGTTCCACGTACTCTTAGTGGAAGACGATTCCATATGCATCCAGCTCTGTTCCAAGTTTCTGATGAAATATGGATGCACAGTAGAAGTTGTTACGGATGGGTTATCGGCCATTTCAACGCTGGAAAAATTCCGGTATGACTTGGTCCTTATGGATATCGTGATGCCAAACCTAGATGGTGCTACCGCAACATCAATAGTCAGGAGTTTCGATAATCATACGCCAATTATCGCCATGACTGGGAATATCGAAGATCAAGATTTGGTAACTTATTTGCAGCACGGCATGAATGATATATTGGCTAAGCCTTTTACCAAAGACGATTTGCATTCCATGCTGATACGGTATCTGAGAAATCGGGTGCCGCTGTGTGAACAAAGGGGGGAACCTCCGTCAAAAGAAGCACGGACCCCTCCCTTGCCGCATGATACAGACGTCTCCAGTCTAATTCGTGAAGAACCGCTCACAAAAAAACAGCACGTTTAAAAGCTAGCATCAGGGATGTTATGCGCACGAGGACCTATCAGTTTACGGCCGGTTGTGTCAATACGACATTTATAAAGACCTAAATATTTTCGGTCAATGGGTATTATTTTCTAACTTACTATTCATGAGTTGAACAAGTTTCATTCTTCAACTGCAGCCATTACTTTGTCATCAAACCTCACAGACTTCCTTCTCCGGTCGAAGCCAATTTCTATGGGGATCTCTAAATCGAATTCTTGCCCATTTTTCAATAATTCTGATAGATCTGGTTTTGAGCTCTTCATCGATGATTTGCGTCTGGATGCGTGCACGGGTGAAATTGGCGTTTCCAGCATAGAGATTGACACATCCTGCTTTGTTTTTCGTCGAGCGCTGAGATCCTTTTGGCAGCGCGGGCAACTACATAAGAACCCCCAGTTTACTAGAAGTTCCCTACGTCTCAAAGTAACGCCATGAAGTGGATTCACATAAGTCGTGTAAAGCTCTTCGCCTTTCTTAATGTTCTTTCTGGCAAACACTTTCAAACCATTCTTGGTGTCTAACTCGTATCTGACGTTTGGCTCGCAGTTATGGTTTAACTGAGAGTAAAGTGTGAATAATTGGCCCTCGAGTTGATTTATGTTGAACCTTCCAACGTAGGTTAGATAGGTATCAAAGTCCAAATTTTCTTCTGTACAACTTGGAAAGGCTTTGCAGAATGAATCGAAGCTTTGAGACCATAGCCATTGTTTATCTGGGGAAATTGCACCTGTTGATTTATCAAATGTTCCTCCCACATTCGTGGAGTCAACAGCCTTTTCTCGTAGGCCTTGACTCACCTGTGCTAAGGAATCGAATTGCTTTCGAATATGGTTACCTTCTTGTTTATCGAGTAAAATGCGGGCGTAGATCATGCCTGCAGAGTATGCAGAATGCATAGCGTTTTCCCTGCATACTTCCTCAAAAGCCAACCACCCTGCAGCGTTCACTTTTTTGTTTTTAGAAACCGGGTGCTTTAGAAAGCTGTGTGTTGCACCATCTAGACGTTTGCAATGCTTGGAACACCAGATTGCAGAGCATTGCTGGCAATCCAGCATGTTTTTCACTGTGAACTGCGAACTTTGAGTTAAAGAGTGTCCACAAGTAGCGCATGAACGGCCCCGTTCGGCTAAGGACGTTTTGTCAAGAGGTAGAATAGGTGTCAAAGGCTCGTGCTCATAAAAGATCACTTCATCCTGTCGAAGGTCTTTTTGGGCAAACACAGACCAGTTTTGTAGGCCATTGTGAGATCTAGTCTCTCGTAGTACGATCTTTTCAGCTTGTTTGTCGTTTAAGAGCGGATGGTTCAAGCTTCCCACTTGATCAGCATAAGTGAACAATTGCGATTCGTCCGAAAACGAGAGATTATGGTCCAGAAGGGTCTTGCCCAGTTCTGAGGATGACAACTTCCAGGTAGGATTTCTTGATTGTAGTTTTTCCAACAAAACACCCATATCTACATCTTCAAAGGCCGGCTCTTGGCGCCATAAAAGTACTACATCATCACATATTTCTTCAGCACTAGGTACTTTCTTGGGCTCGTTGGAAACCTTTTTTCCACGAGATTCATCATTGAGGTGTACCTGCTCGATTTTCAAGGGCATTCCCAGATCAAATCTCCGTAGAGTTCAAGATTGTTGAACTAGATAGCTCATCGGATCTTTGATCAATTTTCGACATTAATTTATGCTTGGAAAACGAGCGAAATCCACCATACAAATGGCGAAAAAACAGAACAGCTAACCAAACATACAGCACAAGAAAAGAAGCTTAAACTGCTCCATGGACATGAGTCATCGAAACCGTATTGGTATGCGGCAATTTCAAAATCATTTTGAGCTCGAAAGACCATCTTGAATTTGGATCACTATCCACGAACATATTAATCAAACAAATTGATGAAGTTGAGCAGGGTGCTCATTCGATTTTAAAGGTTGAAATAAGAGTGTTTTGTTTGAAGTCAACGCTTCAAAGATGTTTAGAGCACTTCTAAGAACCAATCTGAGAGCATATTCGACACCAGCGAAAAAATTCGTTGTAAGACAACCTCAGAAGTCTCGAAATTGGCTACTATGGGCGACTTTTGGCACAAGTTTTGGACTCGGATGGTTTGTCACACAGCATATGACATTTGCAGATGTAGTGGCCAAATACATGTACGATGATGTTCCTGAGAATGACGAGGGTCTCATGAAATATAAAGCACAGTTGCAGAGCCGGCTGGAACATTTGAACGTTGTTAAGCAATTGAAGCAAGTGGGATACACGGAAGTTTTCTCCGAAAGACAAAAGACCAATACACTGATAGACCGAACTTTGAGAGTACCGGGAGGCATTGCTATATCGCCTCGGTTTTTCTACAACCCGGAAACTAAGCAAACAGTTGGCATATATCACTTGGGAATGAAACTCACAGGATATCCATTTTTGGTGCATGGCGGGGTTCTGGCCACAGTAATGGAGGATTTGATGCGAGAATCAGTCACTTTTGCAAAGGGTGCACGCTCTGAGAAAACCCAAGATCTCACACTCAATTACAAGTTCCCAACTTTTGCCAACCAATTTGTGATAGTACGAGTCACCAAAGTGGAGGAAAATGGCAAGAACTTGAAACTACACGCAGAGCTCATGGATCAGAGTGGTGACCGTACTTTGGTTAAGGGGACCGGTCGGTTCTCGACTTGAAAACCAAAAAAAAAAAAAACACACTGTCTTGTATCTTTTCCGCATCCCCGCATTCATATTTATCTATTAAACGCACCTTCCATTACATATACATTCAAATTTCAAGATTTACGTACGAGTCTGGTTTGATTCGATCCAATGAATAGTGCCATCGCCACGTACTATGGCGTCCATGTGATGGTCGTGAGCCTCAGTGGGGACGTGAGGGACAATCTGCTCTTGGAGTGCCAAACCTACTAAAAGAGGCCGTTTTCCATGCTGATGTATTGTCCGGTGTATGAAATCGTCGTAAAATCCAGCGCCATGGCCCATTCTTGCCCCCGTTTTCAGACAAAACGCTACGCCTGGAACCAGAACAACGTCGAGATTCGGAGGATGTGGATGTGGCTCTTCCAAAGGCGGTTCGAGCAGCTGGTATTTGCCCTGCGGTTGCAAACGTTCCACTTGAGCCATGTTATGCATTTCATGGAACGTCAGGTGCGGATGAGACTCGACGTTTTCCCTCAAAACCTGGTGTCCACTTTCCCTGGTGTTAGTGCACCTTGGCAAATACACTCTTTTGTTAGCATCAAATAAGTACCGAATGATGGGTAAAGTTCGTACTTCGCCGCGACCCATGTCCATGAAGCATGCTACAGAAGAGTAGGGTTGTAACGCCGATTTCAAGACATCTAAAATGAGCTGGGATTGGTGATCGAGTGATGACTGTGGAATCTGGCGAATGAGTCTTTTGATCTGTGGTCTCAAAACCGATTTTGGAGTTGGCATAGCTCCGAAAAAACTGGATGGCAACTTTGAAACCGATTGTTTGCGGATCGATACGCTAGACTCTTAAAACTTTTGTTGTTTTTATGCTGTTCCTGATGAGTCCTGAATTTCGATAATTCGATATTTTCCAGCTATGCTTAGCTTGCAAACTTGGACACAGGCTTGTAAAATAGTACAATGTTGAGTTGTGCAACGCTGGTTGTAGAAAGCACCGCTGGTAGTCAGGAAACGCAGCTGCAGAATTGGTGAGGAAAACTGTGATTTGTTGAAGCGATGAATATGAAAAGATCTAATTAAGAGAGGCATCACCAGCTTGTTAAATTATAACCAAACTTAAGAACAAGAAACAAGAGAGACGTGGCGAAAGATACGCTGGGTTAAGATCCACTAGAATGCGTGTTGTGATTTTGAGAGCATTCCAGAGTTTACGCGGCCGTATTTAAAAAAAATGTGTCTTTCCCGTGTATCGGGCGTTATTGAGTTGGATGGCATAAAGAGCATTCGTAGTGGTATCTTTAAAAGCGGTCAGTCTTATTTTGCTGTGTTATGATCCGAATTCACACTGATTCACACATCAGCTTTCTGAAAAGTAACTTGAACCAGTGAAATCAGTGAATCCAATGAACGACTTTTTTCCAAGTCTGTTGTTGTGACCGAGCTAGCGACGTCTGACATTGAAAAGTACTTCTGAAACTCCGGATATCACTGGCTTGCAAATGGAGTTGGGCAGATAGAAATGGATTTATAATGAAAAGTTTTGATACAACGCTAGCTATAAATATGTACTTTTTCAAATCTAATGACTACGAGCATTACAGGTTCTTCGAAAATGGAATACTGATGGAATTGTGATACTGGCGTTGAGCGAATTTTACTGAAAGTAAAGATTTTGAAGAAGACGATCAACACAGATTTGATGAGAACCCTCTCTTTAGCGTCATTTCACCTGTGATCTGCCAAATTGGTGTTGATAGCGTAGTGTTGTTTTCTACTGGCCTACCATGTCTATTAAATTAATTAAATTTAAATTCAAATTTACTGGCGCCAACAATTCAAACTTGAGGAATTGACAACGCCAAGCATTAAAAGACGCCCAATGCTTTGCCAAATCTGCCATACGTTTCGTGGACGTATCGTACAGCTTATAAAACCATGAAGAACTGAGCGTTAGACCTCACATCACAATGTCTATGTTGCGCCATTGTTTTTCGACAAGAAACGCGTATTTATTGGTTTCCACCATTACTGCGCCCATTTTGACTGCAGATTTCTACATGTGTCTAATAAGATGCAACAGTCCGAATTTAACAGCTTCCAGCTGAAGGAACAAGGTTTTTTTTTGAGTTTCGCCTACTACTCGTGCTAGCAAAACGCCTATAAAAGAACACATTTTTTTTAGGTTCATCAGGTTTACGGCCATATTTCGCACACGTTAAAATGGCCAAAATCAAGCATCTAACGAAACGTTCTGTTGCCCTCCCATCTGTCACTGAATGTGTCATGCAATGTGTTGCTTTGCCTAAAACGCTTGGCTCAGCGCCGCTACCGGCGCTCCCGCTGATTCTCTGGTCATCTGGTCGCATGATCGCGCCGGTACCGGCGTCGAGAAAAAAATCGTCAAGATTTCTGTTGCACACGGGAAACCGACCCGTTGACTCATTCACCTTCTTCAGAGAAGATAAAACTGGCCTGTCATCTACACTTGTCAGTGAAATAAGCTGAAAAAAATTAAGCTGTGATTTACCACAACCATCTTTTTTCGAAACAAGCAAGGTATTCAAACCATAAAAGAGATCACAATGCTCAGAACAAACCAGCTGAGATTCGCTAGCAGATTTTTGAGCAGCGCTGCTACCAGAAGAATGCCAGCTGCACTCGACTCAAGCAAACTTAAGATCCAATCAATCTCGAATCCTTCGACTCCTAAAGCTAACAATGAATTGGTTTTCGGCCAGAGCTTCACAGACCACATGCTGACCGTTGAATGGACAGAGAAAGACGGATGGGGAACACCTTCGATCAAGCCATACGGGAACTTGAGTCTGGACCCTTCGAGCGCTGTGTTCCACTACGGTTTCGAGCTTTTCGAAGGTCTCAAAGCGTACAGAACTCAGGACAACAAAATCACCATGTTCAGACCGGACATGAACATGGCACGTCTAAACAAATCGGCAGCTCGTATCTGCTTGCCCACTGTGGATGGCGAAGAAGTGATCAAACTCATGGGCAAATTGATCGAACAGGACAAACATTTGGTGCCCAACGGACAGGGTTACGCCTTGTATCTCAGACCCACGATGATCGGTACCACGGCGGCTCTGGGCGTTTCGTCACCAGACAGAGCACTACTTTTCGTCATTGCTTCCCCCGTGGGTCCATACTACAAGACCGGATTTAAGGCTGTCAAGCTTGAGGCCACCGATTACGCCACCAGAGCTTGGCCCGGTGGCTGTGGTGACAAGAAACTAGGTGCCAACTACGCACCATGCGTGCTACCTCAGAAACAGGCCGCAGAGAGAGGCTACCAGCAGAATCTGTGGTTGTTCGGCCCAGAAAAACACATCACAGAGGTGGGCACCATGAACGTGTTTTTCGTTTTCAAGGACGCCAAGACCGGCAAGAAGGAATTGGTCACCGCGCCATTGGACGGCACCATTTTGGAAGGTGTCACCAGAGACTCCATTTTGTCGCTAGCCAGAGAAAAACTGAACCCTGAAGAATGGACTGTGTCTGAACGTTACTTTAGTATCCACGAGGTCGAAGAAAAGGCTGCCAAGGGTGAATTGGTGGAAGCTTTCGGTGCCGGTACTGCTGCTGTTGTGTCTCCAATCAAGGAAATAGGATGGAACGGTAAGGACATTAACGTTCCTTTGCAGCCAGGAAAGCAAGCCGGTGCTTTGACTGAAAATGTGGCCAGCTGGATAGCCGATATCCAATATGGCAGAGTCAAGCGTGGTAACTGGTCTCGCGAGGTTGCAGGACCTCTATAAATGTGCAGTAAGTAAATTAAACTTAAAACTCAGGTATACAGCTATAGAGATCAATACACATGGCAGTAAAATGCAAATTCAAAGTAACCGACCGAAACTAGACCGAAACTTGACCAAAAACAGTGGAATGGAAGAGAAAGGGACATAAAAGTTCTTAAAAGAACAACTCCGATCTTGGTATCGAACCATATCTCATTGATTTCGTTATCAATTAGCCTAGCTACTCAACCTGTCATCTCTGGGACGAACGATACAGAAACGATTGGGATTAAAAGTCACAACAACATGGCGCTTAAAGACGCTTAATAGTTCGTCCTCAGCCTAATCCTATGCTTAGCCCTTTGCTTCGATTTGCAACGTTGTCTTTCTGGAAGTACTAGCGACATTTAGTGAAAAGTGACACTATAATAAGTCGAAATATCTGAAAACGTTAAATAACTAAAGAGCCGCCTTGAACGTTGAAAGAGAAACCCCATCGATCAGTGGAAGAGCATCCATTGTATCGGGCACTCGTTGCATTGTACAACTGCTTACCAGCCCAAACTAAGCTCAAAGTCATCATGTTAAACAACTGTTTTCCGTTCAAACGATTGGTCGTCCAACTTTGAGTTTCCAAACACTTCATAATCAGAAACGATCCAAAAAACCGTTGACGTTCAAGCTGGAGGTAGACAAGCCTATCTGGTAGTTGAAGAATGCTTTGTCCTTTACTTTCGGCGAAGAATAGGTTCAATTTACCCTATCGCATTGGTGGCTGATGTCGGGATAAGACATAGGCTAAATGAGCTTGTGCCGGGAATCAATCATCCAAGAAACCCAAAGTTTCATGTCAAAAGGAGTCATCCAAGTCTCTGATGCACCGGTTCGCCATCCTGGAACTCCGTTGTTGTTTTCGGCCACAATGAGCCAATCCGAGTTCAAAAGAAAGATCCACCTTCTTGACAAACATTGATTATCTGAGATCCTGAGATGAAATGTGCTCACCACATACCAACGGCGCCTTGCTTTGAGGCATTTCCTGTCTGGGCTCGGGCTCATCTGCACTAGAAAAAGGCATAACGGTGGTCAAATGACAACATCGTAAAAACCGGCCATGTGCATGATAGGAAACATGGTATGTGTATAAACTGTTGCAACACAGAGACTAGGGTGGTGAAAATCCAGGAACCCAGATGAGTCCACGATCGCCGCAACTTAGGAAACAAAGTCCGGGCTCAACCGATGGTCGCTTACTTAAGAAGAAGCAAGGGGAAAATCTTTGAAAAAACCGTCGACTTGCGTGCGAAAACGCGCAACGGCAAGACAGGAAAACGAGCAAAGTCCCAGCATTTTGTTGGGCCTCACTGATTCGACTTGGTCACAACAGAATACCAAAGGGTTCAAACTCAACCTCCAGAACACCCAAAGGTTGCCGAACATGCATTCTTGCAATGACTAGATAACGCGCAGTGAAAATACAAGCGGCCAAATTGGGCAGTTGCGAGCCTTGAGAAAGAATAATATCAGTACAGCGTAAATCAGGTCACTACGTATGCGCGCACATCACCAACGCTAGTGGTTCAAGAACAACAGATTCTTTACCACAAACGCTCAACATTCAACGCGCACGATGGGAGCTTCCTGCAGAATCACTGCTGGTTTTTGAAGGCCGAAAAAATCAATAGAGACTCACTTACTTACTCGCAGAAGAACTTATTCACAAGTGGTCCGCATATTCTTTGAAACTCCGCCTGGAATGGACTTTCTGCAGACTCCGCAGTTTCTCCGATCTCGTCTTCTATAGTATAATGAAGGCCTGATTTCTTTTCCACATGTCTCAACACCTTTTCAATTGACTCAATCTACCCAACCGTGGAGCTATCTGCTCCCGACTCTTACGAACGAAGATTATGGAGGATGATGAACGGTGCTGTCGAGAGTGTAAATCATTAACCGAACACGCGGCTGCGCTCTGCATATGCACAATTATGCGGGCTTATATAATGGAAGGGCTCGAGGAATTTCTTCATCGGCTATGCTCGACACCACCAGGCGGCACCAACAGGACGATCAGTGACAGGAAAGAAAAGGGTCGGCAAAAACTATGAGCACAGGATGACATAAAAGAAGAATAATAGAAGTCTCAACAGCGGGACCAGAGCGGAATATTTTTCCAAAATCTGAGTTCTTTCTATCTTCATTATTCTGTATCCCAATCACTAATTCCTGCTTCAGCTACCAGATTCCATAATGCTAGTGCTGAGAGCCCTGGAATTCCTTGTTTTGGGGGTTTTACAACTAGCTTGGGCCGCCTCCGTTCAAAACGAAGGTGCCATTCAAGGATGTAAACCAACGATTCTAACTTCTGGGTTTTCTGTCACCTACTACAGTATGCCGATCCGTGTCGGCAAAAGCCCCTGCTACGACCCAGTTTACTCAGATGCGGCGTATCTGCATGGTGGTTACGAGACATACGGATACGGCAAACAGGGTAGCTCCAATGGCGTAACCGATCTGACTTTCGATACTGGCAAATTGGGTAGCTCTTGTGGTACCTACAAACAGTATCTGCCCAGCAACTACAACTATCCGAATCTTCTGACGGTCAGTAACTTTTCTATGCTGGTAACAGGATACTTCTTGCCACCCGACAGTGGTACGTATCTCTTCGATCTTTCGTACGTCGATGACTTGGCATACATTAATGTGGGTGCTGGCAACGCTTTTAACTGTTGTCAAGTAGGAGAAACGGTATCAGACCCAGGTCCCTTCACTCTATTCGCGAAATGGCCATCAACATCCAACAGTATCAGTGTAGATTTGATAGCAGGTGTCTACTATCCAATCCGTCTCTTTTTCGTCAACAGAAACTACAACGGTGGATTGAAGTTCTATTTCAACGACCCTAGCGGAGTTCAGCACACGGACTGGGCAACCTACATCTTTTCCGCGCCAGATGGTCCTAACTGTGATTTGCCGCCCGACCACACCACGTTACCATGGACGGGATCTAGTACAACTTCCTACACTACCGTTTCTACGTTCACTAATTCGCTGGGACAGCTGACAACAAACAATGTTATTGTCGAACAAGACCCCAGCACTTATCAATCGTCGTCTTTTTCGACAAGAGCATATAGCGGTCTTGAAACAACGACATATTCCACAACGCTTGTCACTGTGACCGGAAGTGATGGTTACCGATCTGTCGATACGGTGTTTTACGTCGAGACTCCGACCGTTGGCATCAGCTCCACCTTTGCCACAGGCTGGTCGGGCTCAGTCACCTCGACTTACTCAACTGAGTTGACCACCTTCACCGGCTCTGACGGTATCCCAACCACAGAAACCATCTACTATGTTGAGACTCCAATTGTTGGTACCAACTCTACCTCCACAACAGGATGGACTGGTAGTGTCACTTCGACTTTTTCAACAGGCGTGAAAACTTTCACAGGGTCTGACGGTGTTGCTACCACCGAGACAATTTACTACGTTGAAACTCCAATTGTTGGTACCAACTCTACTGCTGTCACAGGCTGGACTGGATCGGTGACTTCAACCTACTCTACCGAGCTGACTACTTTCACCGGATCCGACGGTATCCCAACCACGGAGACAATCTACTATGTCGAGACTCCAATTGTTGGTATCAACTCTACTGCTGTCACAGGCTGGACTGGATCGGTGACTTCAACCTACTCTACCGAGCTGACTACTTTCACAGGGTCTGACGGTGTTGCTACCACCGAGACAATTTACTACGTTGAAACTCCAATTGTTGGTACCAACTCTACTGCTGTCACAGGCTGGACTGGATCAGTGACTTCGACATACTCTACTGAATTAACAACCTTCACCGGTTCCGACGGTATCCCAACCACGGAGACTATTTACTACGTCGAGACTCCAATCGCTGGCAGTAACTCCACTGTCGTTACTGGCTGGACTGGTTCAGTGACCTCTACCTACTCTACCGAGTTGACAACCTTCACCGGTTCTGACGGTATCCCTACCACAGAGACCATTTACTACGTCGAGACCCCAATCGCTGGCAGTAATTCCACTGTCTTTACTGGCTGGACCGGTACTTTCACATCCACATACTCCACTGGGGTGAACATCATCACTGGATCTGATGGCAAGGTGACTACCGATACCATCTACTATGTTGAGACTCCAGAAATCGCTTCAACTTCTTACGCTCCATGGACCGGCACTTTCACGTCCACGTACTCCACTGGTGTGGACACTATCACTGGATCCGATGGTAAGGTGACTACCGAGACAGTTTACTTCGTTGAAACACCTGAGAACGCGAGAAGCTCGTACACTCCATGGACCGGTACTTACACATCTACTTACTCCACCGGTTTGAACACTATCACTGGATCTGATGGCAAGGTGACTACCGAGACCGTCTACTATGTTGAGACTCCAGGAGTCGCTTCTACTTCTTACACTCCATGGACTGGCTCAGTGACTTCAACCTACTCTACCGGAGTAACTACAATGACTGGCTCTGATGGTACTCCAACCACACAGACCATCTACTATGTTGAAACTCCTGAGAATGCGAGAAACTCGTACACTCCATGGACCGGTACTTTCACATCCACATATTCCACTGGTGTCAATACCATCACTGGATCCGATGGCAAGGTGACTACCGAGACCATCTACTATGTCGAAACTCCAGAAGTCGCTTCAACTATCTACACTCCATGGACCGGTACTTTCACGTTCACTTACTCCACTGGTGTGGACACTATCACTGGATCCGATGGCAAGGTGACCATCGAGACCGTCTACTATGTAGAGACTCCAGAGGCTGCTTCTACGTCCTACACTCCATGGACTGGTTCTTTCACATCCACGTACTCCACTGGTGTGAGCACGGTCACCGGCCCAGACGGCAAGTTGACTACTTCCACAGTATACTATGTTGAGACTCCGAGATACGGGTACTTTAATACAACCACTCAGCAAACGTACCCAGGGAGACACTCTTCTAACACGGGAATGAATTCCGATCAAACGTCGTCAACCCTGTCAAGCATTGTGAGCTCTTCGACGTTGTCGACTGTTGTAGCCCCTTCTGCTCCATCAAGTGTTGTTCCTACTTCTACGCCTGCTCAGCCAGGTGCGTCTAGCGAGGGCACCAAGACTTGGGTCCTCCAGCCATCAGAAAAGGCTTCATCGCCCCATACAGCTTCCGAATCAACCGATCCTACCTTCAGCAGCTCTGAGTCAAAGACTTCAAGCGTAATGACAAGCAAAACATCGGAATCTTTGGAGACTGTCACGACCTGGAACGGTGTCACAGTGACCACAACAGTTTCTCCTACCAAACCCAGTACGGCTGGTAATGGTGTCGGCACTAGCTTCAAAAATGCTGTCACTGGCACAGACGAGGGCAATTCGCCCGCTAGCAGTGGCGGTAGCAGTCCTAAGAATGGCCAAGCCACTTCGAGTGCTCTTGCGTCGGGCACAATTTCTGGTGGTGAAGGGGCCAGTTACACGACCCCTCCTACAGCTAAGGTGCCTGGCTCTGACACAGGTTCAAGTACAGCTACTCCCCAAAGCTCTGACAACGGCACAGCGTCTGGGAATGCAGGCAGCTTTGAAACTGCCGTCACTCAAGCCACGCAAACTGGTAGCTCATCAGCTTATGAACCATCTGCGTCGAGAAATTCTGCGTCTGCGTCTGCGCCTGCGTCTAATGGTGTGAAAACGACTGGTAAGCCTGTTGGCTCGATGCAAAGCGGTTCAGGTGCAAGTCAAACTCACAACCCCAGCGCAGGCCCAAGTATTTCTACCTATCAAGGTGCGGCCAACAAGTTGGGCGTAGGACTGCTATTGGCGCTACCTCTTGCATTGATCTAGTCAGAAACTGACTCGAGGCCCATGTGACTGAAACTGTGCTTACAAGTAGTAAGTTTACTGACATTAAAGAACAATTGAAGTCACTTTGAGATAAAATTATGCTAAGGAGACAGCTAAGACTCTGAGCTTTGCCAAGCAAACGCATCGTTCTTATTTTCCGTTGTGGACTCACTCAATTCGATCAAGACATTTCGGTTATTGTACTTAACTATTATAGATAATCTGGCAAATTTAAGCGTTTTTAATGAATAGAATCTCGAGCTCGGCCAAGCAATTGCTGAAAATTTCCTACGTGTGCTTTCAATGTAGAAAAGAGCTCCTTGTTGGTGTTATTCAAGACCATTGGCTGCACAAAAGAATGTTTGTTGGTGGTGACAGTTTTTTATGTTTTAGACGACTACTCTTACATTGCGTATGATGCTTTTAGACTTCACTATGTAAATATTAATAAATTATCGAGCGAGTGAGAAGCACCTGGAAAAGAAAAACGAGATGAGACGACTACTAAGGATCGGAGTGAGCCGGTATGGGTCAGAAAACTCCTGAAAAGAGCGCTAAAACATCAATCAGAAAGAACCTTGAGTGATAAAGATTCCAATCACGTGACCCTTACGTAATTGTATAATATCAATAATGAGAGAACGCAGTTTAACGCATTGACCTCGTCCATTGAATGTATAGAAAAGACTTACCACGTTTTCAAATAGCTAAGGAGTCATGCCTTGTATATATTATTTTAAGTTTCGAGCCCCACAAATTGTCTATTGTCTATAGTCACGTGTACTCTCGTCGATCAGGATTAATTTCTACAGAAAGAACACACAGCAAGGAGTCCTTTTCTGCAGTATATGGCCCCAGAGTGCGTTTAATTATGTCCGACGGCGATATTACCTATGTAACTTGATCCGGTGCCCTCGAGGGTAATAAAAAGAAAAGAGAAAAAGAAAGAAAAGTTCCTCCGCCCGGAAAAACAGGTGCAGCTTGCATATGCAAGCTGCAAGGCTCGAGCCAGAAAAGTTTCTCCGCTTAGTTCCTTCTCGAATACATCATTCCGCATCAAAACACAAGCTGGGCATTGAGAGGGAGGGCAAAACAGACAAGAGCGAGAGGCGGGCCTTTGGCAGAATAGACCCGCCGCTTCGGAGCGCCTTTGCAAAAATGACGATGGGCTTTCCATAAGGCTTATCGAAAAAAAAAAGTAAGAAAATGATGCAATGGCCACAGGGGTTAGAAATGACGACGATCGGACGGTTGAGAATGTGGTGACTATGGTGACTGGGATGCATCTCTTGCAGGAAAGCTTTACGGAAGAGAGAAAGAGAAATAGAAAAAGAAAACAAATATGTGTAGGAGTTTCGTGGAAAGCGACAGGTGTATGTGTGGAAAGCTCTCCTTTTTACGCGGTCAGACGTGTCAGAAGCATTTCTCGTAGGAAAAAGGGACCAAGAAACGGATTCCAGAAGAATTCATTCCAGAGGGGCGCATCTTCAGACGCTTTTATTACGCTCATTAGATATCACTTTGTACTACACCGTGATATGATAGTAATTCTGTAATTAATTAATAGCGAAACGATATCAAAAACAAGATAAAAGTAGGAATAAGTAGTAGTAGCCAACCACTTTAATGTGAAGATTACAGCTCCAGAAACAATACATGGTCAATCTGCCTCTTCCGCATTGATAGTTCAGGAATGTGGTCACCCATTATAGCTGCATAGCTTGTTTTGACTGCGCTTTTTTCCCGCCTTCGACTCCCTACATCACCAATAGCAGCCGAGGAGCCAAACATGCGATTTGCGATTTGCAAATCGTGGCGCGCTTAGGCACACGGAGAAGGTTTCCTTTCCAAAGAAGGTCTCGCTCGGTGTTAGAAAAGGAATCTTGCAGCACACCCCGCCGGGCTCTTGCATGAATTTTCGCTTGTATCGTTGCCTTACGGATTGCACGAAGATTCCATTTTTTTTGCTGCAATCATTCTAGCGTGAAGTCTCTCAAATTGCGCGCATACACATATACCAGGACCTGGTAACTAGTTGAAATTCGGTTGACGCGTGCTACCAACTTAATTTCCGTTTTTGCATATGTGAGCCCTCTACACCAATCTAAAGTACTCATGCACGGAATACCAAACTTTGATCCATGCATGACACGCACTTCTGCATATGCGTTCTTCATGCATGCACCGTTTACGAGAACCTGAAGCTCCAGCGGCTCAAAGACTTTGACGAAGACACCTGGCGATCACAACGCGTTTTGGCTGAGAACCTGCACGTTCAGTCGCCGCTCTCATGTCAAGCTAGTGTACTTTTTTCTTTTGGGGGCCAGAAGGCAAACTTTCAGGCCCAGCGGCTCGAGAGTCCTGTTGCAAGGCTGCTCATGAACTCGGAGTACTTATATGGATTAAGCTTTAGGTCCACATGGGCCTCAAAAACAGGAACGCTAGGAAGACACAAAGCTAAGCGTTCAGCAAGGGAAGTTACGATTTGTTGGGTTCGAAAACTCAGGATTTAACTTTCACTGTCTAGGATGTTAGCGCGATTATATGCTTTCTTAATCTGCGCTTCGTTTGCAGCTTTCGCAAACGCTAAGTCGCTAACTGGCGTTTTCAAAACTCTCTCGATTTCACCAGTTACCTATCAAGCCACATACCCCGATACGCTATGGACAGCCGAACTAACGTATGCGATTACACCAGCCATGCAAGCGGCTCGCGGTGATGTTTTCACACTAGAAATGCCCCATGTACTCAAGGCTTACGGCTCCGTCTCCATTGGCTTCAACACTTACATCCCGCTAACGTCCAGCGGCAGCACTTTTGCAAACTGTCTGATTGTCAACGGGTTCCAGGATCCTGCAAACTCTCGTTTGGACTGTACTCTCAGTAGGACAGTGATAGGGAATAGCGGTACTGTATCCTTCAATTTTGTGTTTAATGCAGGAGGTTCGGGCTCCGCCGGTGCACTTGACGCTGCCAAAAGCCTTTCAATGGGCGCCAACACGGTAACTTGGAATGGTGACCTTGTTGCTCCCGTTAGCTTGGGCAAAAACCCTCGTGTAACGGCTGTTACCAGTGCTAACTTCAAAGGGTACGACTTTCAATTCCCCGCAACAAGCACGTATCAAAATGCATACTATGTCGGTATCGCTTGTCCTACAAAATCCTTCAACGAGGTTATGTCGCTGATATACCGCGGAAGTCCAAATAACATGGGTCAGGTCGCTGACTGTAACAATGTGAATATTAGTATGGCCAAGTCTTTTAATGACTACAACTACCCTATGGATGCTACAGCACTTCCTTCTAATTCCTACAAAGTCAGTTGCAATAGTGAGACAATTGTGGTAAGTGCTACCAATATTCCAGCAAGTTACCACTTATTCGTTAATGCTTATCAGGTACTCGATCGTTCTCTGACTGAAGCTATCTATTTCACTAATACTTACATGGAGACCATCACCTGCGGGGGTAGCGTAAAATCGATCGCTACTGCGAGAAAGATAGGTTTTGCTTCCGGATCTGGTGGTGGTGGTGGCGGAGATGATGCAACTTATTCAACAACCACTCAAGGATGGTCCGGATCGCAAACTACAACCATAACTTCCACCTCGGCAGATGTCGGTGATGACGGGAACCTAACTCCCCAGACTTTAGTAGTCATCGAAGTCCCCACTAAGGGCTCAACCTCGTATCAGTCTACAGCTTGGACTGGTTCCATTACATCCACTTACAGCACCGCCGAAGTTACGACGACTGGTGAGGACGGCACCATTACCGTGGACACGATTTATTATATCGAGACGCCTGCAAAGCAGGCTACGACAACTAGAACGAGCGCATGGACAGGTAGGCAAACCACGACCTTTTCAACGGCTACTTCAGTAGTCACAGGTTCTGATGGAATTGCCACAACCGAAACTATCTACTATGTGAATACTCCAGCTGTTGCTGTTACACGAACCTCTGTAACAGGATGGACTGGTAGTGCCACCTCGACATATTCCACCAGCCTGGCAACAAGCACAGGTTCCGACGGTGTGGCTACCACCGAGACAATCTACTTTGTTGAGACCCCGGTTGTTGGGACAAAAACTACCACCACAACGGGATGGACTGGTAGTGTAACCTCAACGTATTCAACCAGCGTGAAAACGTTCACGGGATCCGATGGTGTTGCCACCACCGAAACGTTGTATTATGTTGAAACCCCAGTTGTCGGGACGAAAACTACCACCACCACAGGCTGGACTGGTAGTGTCACCTCGACATACTCTACCGAGGTAACCACATTTACAGGCTCTGACGGTATTCCAACCACGGAGACCATTTACTACGTCGAGACTCCAATTGTTGGCATCAACTCAACTACTGTCACCGGTTGGACTGGTTCAGTGACCTCAACCTACTCTACCGAGCTAACCACCTTCACCGGATCCGATGGTATCCCAACTACAGAGACAATCTACTACGTCGAGACTCCAATTGTTGGCATCAACTCAACTACTATTACGGGATGGACCGGCAGTGTCACATCTACCTACTCTACTGAATTGACAACCTTTACCGGATCTGACGGTATCCCAACTACAGAGACAATCTACTATGTTGAGACTCCAGTTGTTGGTACCAACTCCACCACCATCACAGGATGGACCGGCAGTGTCACCTCTACCTACTCTACCGAGCTAACTACTTTCACCGGATCTGACGGTATCCCAACTACAGAAACAATCTACTATGTCGAGACTCCAATTGTTGGTACCAACTCCACCACCATCACAGGCTGGACTGGTAGTGTCACCTCTACCTACTCTACTGAAATAACAACCTTCACCGGATCCGACGGTATCCCAACCACAGAGACAATCTACTACGTCGAGACTCCAATTGTTGGTACCAATTCTACTACTGTGACCGGTTGGACTGGTTCAGTGACTTCCACCTACTCTACCGAGCTCACCACCTTCACCGGTTCTGACGGTATCCCAACCACGGAGACT